TTCAAATGGTTCTCCTTTTCCAACAAAGTTAACCTCAATAGTACGTTGAGAAGAGGATGTTGAAACCTCAGAAGGATGTCTCCTACAATGGGTTCCGATGTTTGCATCTGTGCGTGCGTTGGAGTGTCCATGGAATCGAAAGATGTGTCTGCATCGTACACATTCCGCGTACGTGACAGCCTCAAAAGGGTTATCAGCCGTCGAAAGACAATCGTGAACTTCATTCGGCATCGCCTTCTCCAATTCAATGTCATGATAACGTGTATGGAACAACCTGATCATATTCGAGTTGCGCAATGATCCAAGCCAGGTTGGATGGTAGAACAATCTAGGGATCTTCTTCTGTTCATAATTATGAGGAATTCTCTTTTTTAGCTCTGCGAGTAGCTTGCGCGTCATCGCATACCGCTGAGAGAACGATTCAGCCTTTGTAGCAGCTCTCAGCTTTGATTTCCCATCGTCAATGCCGAAAATGGCGCGTACCCGGCGGTTAGCACGGCCATCTATCTCGCGATCTGACGCGTCACCTCTACTTGTTGCGATTGGGTACAGACTGAAGATTATCGTGGTGGCTCTGTTCATCATCCTCAGGAATTCTGCTTCCAGAAGTGGAATTACCAAATAAAACAGGATCATCATGATCTGAGCTAGAGGGGGAAACAACCAAGTTCACATAGCCGGACTGGTTATAAACAACTGTTCTTCCTGAGTTATAAACATTACCGGGTGACTGGCTTTGTGGAGAGCTCGGAGTGGAATGCACAAAACTATGTTCGGTAGACATGTCTCGCTGGCTTGGCTGATTCTGTGATAAATTCGACTTTTTGTCCATTTGTGAAGACAAGAGATATTGATTAAATTTTGATTTAAGACCAAAAAGGAAACTACAATGAGCGGTGTGAGGTGTGTTAAATGTGGCTGGTACGTGGCTGGTAAGTGTTATTTGTAGGGCAAAACTTGACATTACACCGCATAACATGACCAACTCTGTTTTTTTCTCTCCTTAGTTATATAGGCAAGCTACGATAACTCTGCATACTCGCGCTCCACAGACACCACAGGCAGTCGCTGCGAACACCAGTTGATGTCGCGCATCATCTTGCGCGGGTCGTTGCCCGTACATAGCCGGAATAACTTGTCGTACTCCAGCTCCTGTTTTTTAAACTCCCGGATCACCAAGTTCTGCTCAAAATCAATGTAAACTCTTGTGTCGTAGATCCGCAAAAGAACGTTGTCCACGCGCACGAATAACCGCTGCAATAACAACAGACACGAATGCATAACTCTGATTTTTATGCTCAAGGCCGATATCCCGTTATCGCCAAGCTCGTCCTCGTATAGCACCATCTCGTCAAAGAACAAGATAGGGTCCTGCCGCTTCAGCTTCTCCAACGGAATCTCCATCGTGTCGTCCCTGATCATCTCCGAGCCCGACACGAGGCCCTTGTACAACGTGCTGTACGTCCAGTCGAAAGGCTTGTACATTTCGAGCACGACATCGGAATTGTTGTAGTGTTTATGTTGGCGACTTTTCACCCATTCCGACGCGTAGCTGACCTGGATCAAGTTGGGTGGGTTAAACTCGACCAGCTTGAGCGCATCCAGTGCGCAGAAGTCGATCTCGAGCTTTGGATGGGATATGCGGACTCGGTTATTGCCGAAAATCATCTCAGGCACAGGCAAGTTCAAGATGGACTCGAACTCGTCGATCTCGGACGCATTGAGGATCGGGTGCCGAGCCGTGTAGATTTTCCAGTCGCCCACGTTGATGCTCGGAGTATCACGTAAAGGAAGCGTGGCAACGGGACTCGGGGTGATCACGGTCCCACAAGAGGCGCAACTGGGGGAGTCTGTTGATACGGGCAATGGTGGTTTTGCCACTGGTTCTTTGGGCACAGGCGGGCGAGCGGGCCGTTGGGGAAGCCTGCTGCTGGTTGTGAGTCTGTGCATCTGACGGGCAGCGTCTATTTGGATGGAGTCTATTGCGTTATATTTGGGAGGTTGCGATGACATAACTTTAGTAAATCAAATTAATTTTCCTCAAAAATTAAAAAATAAAATATCGTATCATTCCATGAACCTTGGTCGATTAGTGAGGAACTATAAGAAAAGTCCAGGGGTTATCACCGGGACGGTGATAATCTTGGTGTTATTGGTTATATTGGTGCCAAATAACTGGGCATCGAACAACAGACTCGACGCCCCAGTGCCCATATCAAAGGACACAGAACCTGCCCAAACCACAAACACCGTGCCCTTCATGCCCAAAATGGCCAACGAGACTTTGAAAGCTGAGCTGGGAAACGCAGCCTGGAAACTTTTCCATACAATTCTAGCCCGATACCCGGACACGCCAAGTCCGGACCAGAAGCAGCATCTGGCCGACTACATTCGGACCTTTGCATTGGTGTATCCCTGCGGAGACTGCGCACGGCATTTTGCAGGGCTGCTAGAGAAATATCCGCCGCAATTGAGCTCACGGAAAACGGCGGCGTTATGGGGCTGCCACATCCATAACCAAGTCAACACACGTCTGTCAAAACCACAGTACGACTGCTCCACGATTCTGGAGGACTACGACTGTGGGTGTGCGCAAGACGAAGAGGACGAATTAAAGGAGAAGGAGACGTCGGACCATTTGGCGAGCATAAAAGTGGACTCTACCGAGGAAATGGTGGGGGGCTAGGTTATGTAGATTACCTTTTAGTGACGATTAGGTCCGTGAATACTGTAATTTATGGCGCACAATATGCACCGATAAGTGGGTGAAAGAGGTTTAAATGTTGGAAGTGTGTATGTGCCGCACAGCCGCATTATTTTCCAAAGTATTGTTATCTGGAGAAACCTGATACAAATTATTAGCCCTGGTGGGTGGATAGCAATTATATTAAGTATCTGAATGCTCTTTCGACACCAGTGATGGAATTGGGGTTTCTAAAAAATGCCGATAGTGCTCCCATTACTGGGCCGGAACCAGAGAACGAAAAGTTGATGAGGATAATCCAGCTCAACAAGATGAAGAGTATGAAGCTCGAGCGGCTCAACCAATATAACAATCGCTTGAAGCGAGAGCTGGCAAGGGAGCGTGTGAACGCGTCCAACAGCTCGCTGATGATAATCAAATACACAGAAACCACCAAGGACGGTCTTATTCCCGAACTATGGGGTCCCACAGAAACACGCTATCAGGAAAAGACAAAGTCTCCGAACAACGAGCCAACTGGTGGATGTTGTACCATTGCTTGAATGTACCATTAGTTGTTTGTAAGGTTAGTTAATGAGAGATAAGAATTCGCTGATTCTGTCGAGGTCGGATTGGTTTGTTGCCGAGTCCTTTACCAGTTGGTTTAATCTGGTGCGGGCAAGGTTTTCTATCTCGGTTTGTTTTAGGTCTCTTGCTGTGACTAAAAGACCGCACCAACTGCGGGCGTGCAGCTCGCATAGTTCAATTGCTCTGAGGAACGACCGTTGTGCCTGTTTCAGCACGTCTTTGCTGCGGGCGTCCTTATCGTAAATCTTGCGACATATTTCTCCTGCCCGACACCACACCACGTAGGCACCCGGAGCACCCACCAGCACCTCCTGCACGCACTCGTACGCCTTTTCGTACTCGCCTAGGTCGACGTACTGCTCGGCCAGCTCCATCCACGTCTCGTAGTCCAACGGGCTGTCGTCGACGTATTGCAATAGGTTCTCGATATATTCTGTGGGGGAAGACGACTTCAGAGCCACTTTACGCTTCTCCACAAGACGCAGACTTTTCGGGTCGCGGCTGACGGGCTTGGACGTTAGGTCGACGGGGGACTTGATCAGTGGGGCCGACGCCTTGTCCAGATACTCAAGGGCGTCTTTCTTACCGAGCACCTGGATGTAGTAGCTTCTTAACACAGTGAGTTTTTCGCTCGAGCGCGCCTCGAACTTGTCGCCGAACCTATCCAGTGCCGATTTTGCCTCGTTATCCCGCAACGTGAGCAGACAAAGGAAGAAGTGCAGTTCCAGCAACGTGTAGTATTCCAATTGGCCGAGCCGCGACTCGTTCAGTCTGAGAAACACAGAAGACACGCCGTACAGGTTCTCCAGGTCTGCGGGCGGGAGCTGGGCGTACTTGCCGGATCTGAACACCAGCAAGAGCCGGTCTCTTATTTCTTCAAACATGGGAAAATGAAAAAATTGTGTGATTACGCTATGTAAAGTACGGGGGCCCAGATCGGTGGGGGTGAGATTGCTGGTGGTGTAGATTTAACGAAGAGTTGCGTTTCGCGACAAACTAGTTATGCCTTTGAGAATTCCAAGTTATCTTTGCATCGGTCTGGTAGATGCGTGTGTGCCCCCACACACGGCCAACCCTTAAACCTGTAGGCATTTTTTTGTTTGTTTATTTTTTATCTTGTTAATGAGAAGGAAGTACTCGTGCGTGAAAGAGCGCGAAGCCACCTTTGACGGCGTGCACAAGGCCGGCGAGATGGTGTACTGGCATCTGGCGAGCCCGTCGCCGGAAACAATGGCGGTGAACGGATTCTACTTCGACCCTACCAAGACCCACATGGACAGGGTGGGGTGTTTTACGTGCAAGGTGAAGGAGTTTGGTTGGTCTCCGGGAGAGACAGATCCGCCTGCGGTGCGACATTTGCGCAGTTCGCCAGACTGCGTATTTTCGAACATTCTGGGCGCGCGACATCAACACGAAACCGACCATCTTTCTTGGGACGAGCACGAGACGTTTGCCGATCTGAAGGAATCGGCGCAGATCCGCCTGAAAACGTTCAAGCTGGCCAACTGGCCGCACGAAAGAAACAAAAAAATGCCCTCCAGCACAGAACTGGCGGAAAACGGGTTCTACTACTCGGCTTACGAAAAGGGAGACGACACAACAACTTGCATGTACTGCGGAACCAGTCTCGAGGGCTGGGAAGAAGGCGACGACGTGGCTGCAGAACACAAGAAACGCACACCCGACTGCTACGTCTTTAGCGGACGACGTCGCACGGGGGTGTATTCGCGTCGAAATAGCGTTGTTGCCTCGAACGTGATTGAGATCTCTGATACCTCGATCGAACAGATACAGGAGAAGCAGGAGACAGAAGTTGTGGAACCGGAAAAGACAGTTACAGAAACGAAGGTCGATGAACAGCCTCTCCAGATTGATTTACAAGAACCAGAATCTGTTGAGGCACCACAGGTGATTCCAGAAGTGGTTCCGGAGACGCAAGTGGAGGATATTCTAATGGACTCTGACGAGCCACCGCGAGAGAATCCAGAGCCCGAGCACCCACAGATCGATAGTGTCAGACTAGAGGAAGAGGTCGTGGACGATGATAGCTTGGAGGCTGCTGCTGATCCTGTTGAGATCCCGATGTCGACTCTAAATGAGCTTGAGGATCTGTTCTTTGTGGAGGACTCGCGCAGATCGTCTACTTTTTTCAACCGTTCGCGTCCTTCGACAGGAGGAAATGCCTCGTATGTGGAACGACAACCTATTCCATCCGAGCCTCTCAAGGAGGTTCCCGAGGAGATTCCAGAGGAGGCTCAGGAACAGCCAATTGCGTCCGACCAGATCGTTCCAGACTACGCAGAGCCAGAGATGGTTGTTCCCGACAGCCAAAGTTTCCACATGGGACTGGACGAGTCGCTAAGAGAAATGAAACAGATCGACCCGTTGAATCCTGTTGAAGAAATGGACATGCTAGACGAAAGTACCAGAGACGACATCAAAGTGAAGGACACAGTGGACAGTCAAGCAGAAATTCAAGAGGAAAAGGTTGTTGAAACTGTTAACAGTCCGGAGAAAGTCGTTGTTCCACAGGAGGAGTCCGCGGAGAGCACATCCAAGAAGCGCAAGAGAGACGGGAAAGTTTCGAAGAAGCACAAGAAGAGAAGGAAGGAGGCAAAGGAGAATGAGAAAAAGGAAGCAAAGGAGAAGGAAAGAGAAAAGAAGAGGAAACGTAGAGAGAAGAAACACAGGAAACAAAGAAAGCATCTCAAAGAAACTTCTGTTGGTCAAATCCCAGATCAGGATACTCTGGTCGCATCTTTGCCTGGAGCACGCGATTCTAATATTGACATGGTTGAGAGATCGGTTGAGACGAAGAATTATGTTGAGGAGTTAGTGGAAACCGACTTCTCTGCAGCAGAGTCCGAGCCTGAAGTGGACGACAAGATGGAGAGCATTGAGGAACAGCCGGAAATTGAAGAGGAACAAGAACAAGAAAAGCCAAAAGAAATTACCAAGGAATCTATTTCTGTTGCGGACGCGACTCAAGAGTCTGCAAAACAGGTTGTTCAGGACGAAGATGAGGACGATGTCGTGTTGGACAAGGACTTGCAAAGCATGATTCCACAGCCTTCGGAAAGCCATTCTGTTTCTCCATCCAACCAGAACTCCAAGTCCGACACGCGCTCGCATTACCGTGTGTTTGAAGGTCGTGTTGTTTCCTCCGATGATCCTCTCTCGTTTGGAAGAAAGCGTGGACGGAGAGCAAAGAAAATCAGAGATACCACAAGCAGTGGAAGCAAGGAAGTTTCGCCAGAGACTGACAAGGTCGGAAAGAGTCCGGTTGCGCGCGAGCAACCGGAACTCATTGAAAAAGTCACTACGACAGCCATCGAGAAGCCCGCCACCAAGGACGTTGCTTTGTACGAGCGCGAAATCTTTAATGAAAAGCCTGAGGTGTATGAAGACGAGGCTCCACAGGTCATGTATCGGGAACTATCTCCTGAAAAGTCCGTGGCACAAACAATTGCGTCTTCTCCTATCAGAAGGGAGCCAGAAAGCCAAGTGGAGAAAGAGAATTTGCCAAGCCCAGCCAAATTGGAGAAGAGTCCAGCACACGGAATCTCGTTTGCTGCGGAACAACTTTCTGGCAACCAGAGCACGCCAGAGGTCAAACGGAAGTCTTTCCAATGGGAGCCAATCAAACAACAATCGTATAGCGAAGAGCTTGAAGAAGCTATCGAATATACGAAAGAACTGTTAGATTGCGATTACCAATCGTTGAACGACGACTTGGAAGGCAAGTTGACCAACTTTGTTGCCGAGATGCCTGAAGAAGAGCTGGAGATGACAATCAAGCAATGGATCAATTACCAGGCCGAACAAGCATCAAGGGCGGTTCTTGGAAAGACAGAAGAAATGATCAAGAATTTCCGTGTGGACTCGGCCCGGGCCCTGGCTGCCCTGGAGGCGCTTCCGGTGGCCGAGGACAACGACGAGGACGTGATTTTTTAGAGCTTGTACATGTAGAGCTAATAAATAGGTACATGGTGTACGGGTGTACGATTTTTAGGTTCAAGAAAAACTCCATCTGATGGCGTCAATGATAAATAAAGAATAAGATACAAGACGGATTGTATTTAAAACCAGGGATTGAGCAGATTAGGAGCGAATATCGGGATATCCATACCACATAGATATTACTTTTTGAAGCTCGGAGTGCCAAAACGCGTGCTCAATTGATTTCTGGCTCTTTAATACCAACTACTGACAAAGCTCACAAGATGTCCGAGCAACCAAATACCAATAGTTCGTCACTCGGATCGATGTCGTCACTTGGATCCAACGTGTTGGGAATACTTACACAGAAACCCAGTGGGCGAATGGCTCCGTTAGACGGTCCTCTTAGCGACGAAGAAATGAACGACCCAGATACAGATAATGAGCAACACGCGCGCAAGCTTATTTTGCGGTCAAAGGCTCGCACGGGATCAATCTCTTCTGAATCAGGATACAATTTCAGCACGATCAATAACCCTATTGCTGTTCTACCTCCTGAAATTTTGTGTGTGATATTTTCATATTTGAATTCCAAATCGGATTTGATTTCTGTTGCCTTGACATGTCAATATTGGGCGAATCTGATAATCGAACTGATTTGGTTTCGTCCAGGAATATCATCTCGTACTATTTTTGACAAATTGGGCAAGGTGATGAATATACCGAAAACACAAACTGCATGGGACTATAGAATGTATATCAAAAGACTCAATTTGTCCTTGGTTCCTCATTTGGTGACCAACGAGTATTTGGATTTATTCGTTGGAGCCAACAATCTGGAAAGAATCACGTTGGTCAACTGTTCGAACATTTCCCATGATCATATATCTTCGATAATCAAAGGTTGTCATCGGTTGCAATCGATTGATCTGACCGGTGTGAAAGGTATCCAGGACGATATTTATCACGAGCTAGCCAACAATTGCAAACGGCTCCAGGGCTTGTATGCTCCGGGATCATTCCAAGTTTCGAAAGAAGCGGTGATGTCGTTGATTCACAGTTGTCCGCTGTTGAAGCGTGTCAAGTTGAGCGATTGCAACAACGTTGACGACGAGGTTGTCAACGAGCTGGTCAGCCGGTGTCCAAACCTTGTTGAGATCGACCTGCATGGCTGTGAGAAAGTGACAAACGAGTCTTTGCACAACCTGTTTTCCACGCTTGAGTTCTTGAAAGAGTTCAAGATCTCCAAAAACTCAAACATCACATACGAATGCTTCGAGTCCAAAACCGGCGCCCAGTTGTGTTTGGACAAACTGAGGATCCTGGACTTTACACAGTGCTCGAACATCACCGACAGAGCCGTTGAAAAAGTGATCAAGTTGGCTCCCAAACTAAGAAACGTTGTTCTTTCCAAATGTACCGCCATCACAGACGCGTCCCTCAGAGCCATTGCTACGCTAGGAAAAAACCTGCATTACGTGCATCTTGGTCATTGCAGCAACATTACCGATTTTGGAGCCAAGGATCTGATCAAAAGCTGTTACAGGTTACAATACATTGACCTTGCATGCTGTACACAACTGACAAACGAAACAGTGTACGAACTGTCCCAACTTCCGCGTCTCAGACGGATTGGTCTTGTCAAATGTGCACAGATTACTGACGAAGGCATTCTTGCCCTTGCTACCAACGCCAGAAACAGTGATGATACGCTGGAGCGTGTTCATTTAAGTTATTGCATGAATCTTACAATATACCCAATTTACAGGTTGTTGAAGGCCTGTCCAAAGCTCACACACATCTCACTGACTGGAGTTTCGCAATTCCTGCGTCCTGACATCACCCAATTTTGCCGGGAGCCACCGCAGGAGTTTAATTTACACCAGAAATCCATTTTTTGTGTTTTCAGTGGTGAAGGTGTTGCGCAGTTGAGAAACCATCTGCTGCAGTTGTTTGAGACTCCTCAGGACCCTGAAAGAGAGGCCGCGGAGCTGCTTGAGATTATTGCTGCGGTGATTGAAGGAGTTGACGACGTGAACGACACCCTTTTCAGCCAGGACCCGATCCAGAGAGAACGACTCCGGGTTTTCGTGGATACATTGGATCGTTTCATCAACGAGTTCCACGGACTGAACGTTCCGCGTGCGCATTTGGAATTATTTGGACGATGTGTATTTACGAGACTGCCAGCAGAGCATGTTCCTCGCATCCAACGGTTTTTCCAATTATTGCAAAATCATCCTCATCAACCGCAAAGATTGAGACAAAATGCAAACATAGGCACGCGGGTCCGTCCCGAGCCGCGACAAGCATTTCGTCCTGCCGAGACCGAGCTGTTTCAGAACATGGATGACGACGAGGTTATGGAAGATCTATAAAAATTACACTGCGATAATGGGTTGAGATCAATGTTCATAAAGAGTTTCTACAGAGTCTGTTTGAATGTCCGATTCGCAAAGGAGGGTTTCCAGGACCGACTCCAGGGTTGTGCGAAGAAAGGTGAGATCTGACCAGATCTCGTCTGTTATTTCTGGATCTTGGAGCATGAGATAAGGTTCACTTTGAATGCCGTAATTATGTTCCACTGTATTTTCGAGATTTAACAGACGAAGGTCGTTGACAAGAGTTGCGGTTTGTTTGATCAATTGGAGTGACGATGGAGGGCCCTTGGTACCGAACTCTAGGGCGTGCAATTTGTCTTCAACCAATTGGAATGTCGCTTTGCTGGTTGGGTCGATTTTCTTATACAAGATGATGGAGTTGAGAGTTCTAGAGTTGGATTTTTTGTGGTAGAATCTGGAATAAAATATTTTGGCGTATGAAACCGACGTTGTGGAGGATGCTGGGTCATTCTGGAAGGATTGGTCCAGCGATGAGGTGAATTTCTTGGTTTTGAAGCGAGGATAGTAGGTATGTTTCTCGTTGTAAAGATATGGTAGCTCGGGGATTATGGGAGCTATTTTTGCCAGGTGCCAGGGAGATTTCAAGGATATTGAGCTGGCCACGGTGGACAACGGGTTGACCAGAACGTCTGCAAAGCTAGAATGACTAGGTTTCTGGTACGGCGTAGCAAAAGTCGCAGAGTAGCCCCCGTTGCGGGAAGAAACAGACATGGCGCGCGCTGTAGGGATTTTTAAATTTTTTTCCCCACACAAATACCCGCCAAGGCGTCCCCGGCGTCTCCCGAGACAGGGTCGTGTCCATTAGCCACGTTTTGTGGCGCGGTTACCGGCAAGGGAGGGAATTTCGAATAAAATAAGTTCAACATCTCTCGACATTCTGCAAAACTCCGGTTGAAACAAATACAACAGCTCCATTCGGGACACATCACCAGCCACATTTGTCCACATTAGTGATTTGACCATAATTCCCAGCAAATACTTTAGCTGTTTCAAGCAGATCGAACTTAATGCAACAAGGCATTCCTTTGTTTGGAGATTTCCAACAAGCCCCCGATATGTTGTTGACTCCGCCCCAGGACAAACAACCAGCGACAATGCAACAGCCAGTGCCTTCTATTGATCTGTCCAATTTCATGATGTCGGAGCCAGCAGGACTTGCTTCCAGTTTGGCCGACCCGTTGAACTCGTGTTCTGTTTCGTCAGCATCCAACGTGGGAATCAGAACTCGACACAGAAGCGGGACGTTACCAACCAAGTTGTCGTCTAGTGCCGGTCCGATGCCTTCGGCGACGAACACCTCGACCACCCCGCTGTTGCCTCCGGAAACAAACCATTTGAACGTCAGCATTAGTCCCGGTTTGAACGCGGTGTATGAAGATTCCAATTTGCTCAATCAACCTACACAAACAAGAATCCGGTCGGCCTCGATCCAGAGCAGCATCTGGTCGGACCAGCAGGACTCCAGCTCGACGTTTCTGCCTGTTCCTCAGGATCCGAACAACACCTTGCTCCAGATACCGCAGTTGAACATTGATCTTGATTCGATTTTGTCGTCCGCGACCTCTACCACGATTCCGTCGGTTCCATCTGTTCCGTCTGGGTCGGCAACTTCCCCGGCCAGCTCAACTAATAGAATCAGATCTTACTCTGCCAACAACGCTCTGTTCAACCCGTCGGAAAAGCTTTTCCTCCAACAATACACCCCGATCAAGGAAGAGTTCGTTCCGCCGGTAAATTTTGGGTTACTAGATGATACCAACGGGAGACCTCGCTCTCACACGAGTGGCGTATTCCCACAACCCTCGAGCATGCCTTTGCTCCAAGATAATTTGCCCGAGCTGTGCATCTCGATCACCTCGACGCACACCAACCCTTCGCTCGGCCCAACAAACACCCTGTTGTTCATCAACATCCCAAACGACAAGGAACTATCCAATGCTCTTAATTTCTACAAGATGCTTAATCAGTTTGGCCCAATGACCTCGGTCCGGATCGTCACTTGCAGCGAAAACCCCGACCTGGTGGCCATTGTCGAGTTTGTTGATGTTGAAAGCGCAATGAGGTGCAAGTCCAAGATGAATTTCCAAGAATTAATGCCTGGTCTCTGTTGTCTTGTTTCGTTTGCCAAGATCCTCTCGTTGAACGACAAGCCTTCCTCGTTGGGTGTTCCAATTCTGCCTGTTAACCGGGAGAGGGAGGAATCCGCAGCAAAGAGCTCCAAGATGACGATTTTGAACGACAAGTTTTTCAACTTCCAGTCGTCGTTGAACGTTTTGCTCCAGAAGATCAGTCTTTCTGCTAGCGAAAGAAATCATTTGAACATTATGGTGAGCAATGCGTTGAACTACCCAACTATTAGAAAGCAAGATTTGGGCAAGTTGCCTGCACCTGCTGCGGTGAGACACTTTGACACGCCAAAATTGCGCGAGATTAGAAAACAACTCGACAGCCACCATTTGTCCAAAATCGAGATCGAAGAACTGGCGTTGGCCATGCACGACGAGCTTCCGGAACTGGCCTCGGATTATCTGGGAAACACCATTGTCCAGAAGCTCTTTGAAGTGTGCGACAACCCAATCAGAGACTCGATGATCAAAAAGCTTGCTCCTTACTTTGCCCAGACCGGTGCTCACAAAAACGGTACATGGGCTGCTCAAAAGGTGATCAACACGATTGCCACAGATAGAGAAAAGTGGATGGTTGCCAATGCGCTAAAGCCTTATTGCACGCAGCTTTTCAACGACCAGTATGCCAACTACGTGATCCACGGAGTGTTGAAGTTTGGCGAGCCTTACAACGACTTCATTTCCGAGACCATGCTCAGCACGTTTTTGGAGCTGTCCAAGAACAGATTCGGGGCTCGTGCTGTGCGTACGTGTTTGGAGAGCGAGAGTGTGAGCAGAGAAACGGTTGTTGCCATTGCTGCGTGTGTGATTACATGGTTCTGGGAACTGGTTGTGGACTCCAACGGGTCGATTTTGATCACGTGGTTCCTGGATACTTGTCAGCTTGTTGACGACAGACACTTGATGTTGACACAGCTGCTTCTTTCTGAGAGTTCTGACGAGAGCCAGTTTGTGAAGCTGTGTTGCTCGAAAGTTGGTAACTTGAGTGTTTTGAAGCTGTTGAGCTTCCGTGGAGACAACAACGCGCGGGACCTAATTTTGAAGGAGATTTTCGGCCAGGATCTGTTTGAACACGAGGACTGTGTTCACGTGAGCGAGGCGCTGAGACAGATTCTGAACGACAAGACGTCGAACGGGTCCACGTTCATCTACAAGGTGCTTTCGCTTCCGACGATCGACGCGGAGCTGCGCAAGCGGATCAGCTCGAGAATCCGGTACGTTCTGCAAGATCCAAGTTTGAGCGGCCACCAGTACAAGCGGCTCTACGAGGAGGTTGGTTTGAAACGACACCAGCGGCCGTCCACGGGTGCACACAAGAAAAAGACACGGTCGCGGTCCAACAGCAGCAACGACCCGCACGCGGCGTCAGGCGACGTTGACTACGACGCGGTTTTGCGCCAGCAACTAGAGAAGCTGTCTGTGAGCCAAGAGCAGCAGCTTTTTTTCTGAGCATCACTTGATACAATAATGATAAGTAATGATATAAACACTAATAAGAATCAATATAGCGATGATTATTTATTAAATACTTTGTCTATTCGTCGTCACTTTCCTCTTCGGCTTCATCGAGCCACTTGATGAAAGGTTTAGCAGCTTTTCTGACCTTCTTGGACGTTTCTTTCGGAACAAACTTCTTGCTAACATGAGTTCCCCAATCTCTAGCCACATCTTCAGAAACCAGGTCGTTATCGTACAGGCTCATGAGCACTTTTGGAACGCTCTTGATGAGGTCTGGGTGTTGCAACCCGATCAGTCTTTCGATACCTCCCAACAGAGACATCTCGTGCTTTTCGCTGGTGACCAATTTACCCAACAATCCCTTGTGCTCCTCGATCTGGTCCACGATATCCTCTGTGAACAGAACCTGGGCCAGCACCTCGATGGTCTTTGGCTCGCCAATGATTCCTGTCTCGGAGGCCTTTCTGAAGATCTCTACGTCGTCGGGAAGGTCGCCCTGCAACAGCCACTCGCCGAACTCCTCGAACTTGTCGTTGGCAGAAGAACTCAACGTTAGTCCTTCCAGCTCCCGCGCACGAGCCTTGACCGCCTCCTCAGACATGTCCACAGCCCAGTCCTCGTCCTTGACCACCACCTTACGCGAAGGAGGAGCTTCGCCGGCGAAATCGCCTGCGCCAGACTCGTTGTCCTGCTGTTTCTCTGCAATCTCGGCGATCTTGGTGCCACCGCCTCCAACGTTAGCAGAGGCCGTTCCGCTCTTCTTGCTCTTCTTTGGCGGCGGGTTCTTCAAGATGTACGTCACCAGCTTCTGTCGTGGGTCACAAGACGTGATTTTTCCGCACGCCTTGCAATCTCTCATCACGTTGTCGTCCTTGGTGATGGTCAGCTCCGTTTCCGGGTTCTTACACGACGGACACAGCACAAACTTGTTGATGAAGTTGTCCAGCACGTCCTGCAGCTTTCCCGCGTCGTGCTGACCGTTCACCACAAACTTCTCCTTCTCGTCGTCGATGTTGGTCAATGCTCCGAGCTCAAACCCAAAGTACTTGATCACATACGCCGTTGGCCGCGCCAGGGCCTTGGCCACGTCGGCCGCGTTCAGCACGTTGGTCTTGATTCCGTTTCCACGGCCCTCCGTCTTGGCCTGGATGGCCGGCATCTTGTACCGGTAGAACGGGTCGTTGTTCTCTCTGCAGATATTGATGAGCGACATGGTGTAGATGGAAAATTTTCAGCATTATTTTTATAGAGTTTCTACACATTTAAGGTGCACCGCCACGAAGATGCGTGCGTGCACCGCCACTCACAGCGAGTGCGCAACAAGCTTCTGTGTCGTGCGCAGAGCCTCGAACTTGACGTTGGTGTTGGCGCTGCTCATCAGCGTCATGATCTCCGCCTTGGCGCCCGTCTTGTCCAGCACCTTGACCACCTCCGGCAGCACCTTGATCAGCTGGCTCACGTCGAAGCACACTATGGCCTGGTTCAAAAACGTCTGCTCCGGGTCCGACGTCTCGCCCAGAAGCGCCACCAGCTGCTTCAGAATCCGCCAGTTGTTCTCCTTGAACTTGTCCGCGTTCTCGATCCAGAACTCCTCCGACTTGTGCGACGGAGACCAGTTCAGCTTGCCTGTGTTGAGCTCGTTCTCGAACTCGTCAAAGGTCGTCAGCGTGGTCACGGCCTCGTTGAGGATCGACAGCAGTGTCTCCAGGTCGCTCTTGAGCTCCTCGTCTGCCCACTTGCGCTCGATCAGCTGCTTCGTGGTCTCCAGACCCTTGACTAGCAAAAATTGCTTCACGAGCTGCTCGCGGCCGGTCTCGACGCTCAGCAGGTTCAGCAACGAGCTCACGCTCAGCCGCACAATCTTCTCCTTCACAGCGTCCCTGGCAACAGAGTACAGCGTGGCAATCAGCTCTGTGTACTGCGTCTCAATGTCCTTCAAGGCCTGCGGAATGAATGTCAATAGCCAGATCGACATTGTGGCGTAGTACTTCATCTGCAGCTCGCCGCGTCTCTCGCTGAACACCTTGAGCAGCGGCGGGAAGAACGTCTCGTGATAGGCCCAGAAATACTGTCTGTACTGTTTGATGCTCAACAATTCCTTCAACAGCTGCACCGACAAGAAATTGAGGTCCAGTTTCGTGGAACTGAGCAGCTTGACGCTTAGGAACTCAAACAGCGGCTTCAGAATCTTCTCCTGGCCGTCGTGCGTCTCGCCGTCGTCCGTCAGCAACAGTGTCAGAACATATGCAGAGCTCAACTTGATCGACTCGTCGTTCGACCCAACAAGCTTCACCAAAGGTCCGTACGGCAACGACGAGTCCAGATGCGAAATGCTAAGGATGTTTTTGGCAAAATTGGACTTTGGAGCCACCAACGTGTCTATCAATGAAACAAGAACAAACCGAACAATGTCGTCATGCGGAGCTTTCGAAAGCAACGAAACGATCTTGGTGGAGTAGAAGTCTGCGTTCTTCAAAATGTAGCTGGTTTTCTCGTGAACATCGGTGAAATCAGCCACTTTCTTCAAACAGTCGGCTTCTTCCACCGTCAAATAGTCTGCCCTCACACAGCTATCCCAGCCAATCGCACGGGTCCGTGCGTTCGACACAATGTCGTTGATCGTGTCTCCTTCAAGCTTGAATTGGGACTAAACGGCGTTAGTCGCTGGAATCGACATACTTACCAATTGGAGTTCCACTGTCATTATGTCTATTTTACAGGTTTATTTAAACGTAAATTTTGGTTGCACTCCTAGGGCCGGGTAACCACGAGCTTGGGGAAGGCCTCCTTCTTGCTCAACACGGCGACCCTGTTGCTGTGCGAAATGTACCCCTTGGCGAGTCCTTGGGCCACGAGGTTGGCCAGACGCGACTCCACCTCGTCCAGGGAGTACTTGCGGCCTGCGCTGATCTCGAACGCCCGGTGCAGAGCTTCCAGTTTCAGTTGGTGGCTCTGCTCGATCGAGACCACCTGGCGGGTCAGTTTGAGCTCCACAAACGGCCGGATGCGTAGATACACCGAGTACACTTTCTTTTTCAGCAAAAGGGACTGGAGTTTGGCGAGTTCGGTGTCAAACAAGCCGAGATGTCCAATTTTCAAGGCACGGAATATCTCCTCAAACACGCCCAATTGCGGGTATCTTTTCCAGATCTGAGTTCCGGGAAGTCGTTTCTCCACGAGGAACTTGACCGGGAGCAATATCAGCAGGATTAGCTGCTGTTGTTTGAGACTTTCTTTGGGACAAGTTTTCAGAGCTGCGGTAAGATGTTTGTTGACCGACTCGAGATCGTCGTTCATACAACACACAAGACCGTTGTAGTAGTGGAAATTGACAACATGGGCCTTTGGCGACTGGTCCAGGTTGGGCAGGTTCGGCGCTTTGGCAAGCACTTTGGACAAATTGGAGGCAGCTTCGTATTTTCCAAATTTGAAGTAGCATTTGAGCACCTCGTTCGCGAAAAAATACACATACAGCTTCTTGGATCGCTGCAGGGTGTCGGACTTGTCAGTAAGACACGTCTTGAACGGTTTTTGTAGCACATCGACCAGTCGTTCGTCCAACGGAAGGGTATCGTTTTTCAAAGTAACTGGGCCCTTTTTCATGTTCAGGTACATGCAAGCGAGCTGTCGCAGTTCCGAGGTGACGGTCATGAGTGGCAAACAGATCCAGGAGTCCTGTTTTTGGGCGATTCGGACCATCGACTGGACCATATTGATTGACTGTTCGATGGCGGATTCCAGGTCCGAATCCACCAAAAAAGACTTGATCACCAGCACGTACGCGCGCACCAGGTCGCTCCAGTGATCCAATTGGTCCTGTTGATCGGACCCGGGCATCGAGAGCATGTTTTCCGGGGGAAGCGACAGCAAGAAGGTGTAATAATCTGCTTTTTTTTGGAGGATTTCGGGTTTGAGCAAGAACGAGAACGCCGAAGCAACATGGACCGAGTTATGTGCGTAGACAGCTCCACGTAGCTGTGTCAAATACTCCAGATACGTCATACTGACTCTAATTTGGTAGATATTATTTCAAAGTGCAAAAAAACCAGTAGCACAGCCCGGAGAATATTTTCGGAGGTGGATATTTTGGTATTACCGGTTTGGGGAGTAATGGCCAAAACGTTTAAAGGTGCGACAAGCTGCCAAAAATGAGATTCCAGGATGAGCCAACTTCGCAAAAAACAGTCGCTGTCAATTCTGTCTGGATCGTTGCTGAACCAGGTGAACGGCCAGGTTCCTGCGGTGGTGGCAGATAAGCCTGCTAAGGACCGGGTGTTTAGCGAGAGCACGGGACTGATCAAATTTTCTTTGCGGCAGGGGTCTGAGGAGACGGATGTGGAGCCCAAGGAGGACGAGAAACAGGGTCTGCCGATTTACATTCCGATCGAGGAGAACGAAGAGCTGTTGGACGAGACAGAGAAACAAACGGAGCTGAACGAGGTGATGTTCCAATTGGCTGCCAAACAGCGAAGATCGCTCGAGCTGAAAGAAGAGCTGCTCAAGGTGGACGCAGACATCAGAGATCTGGAATCGAGATGTCGCAAACTCACCCAGAGACAGCAAAATCGAGCCCCAAAGAAACCGGCCAAAAAACAGTCCATCATGAACTTTGCCGCCAGACCAGACAAATTGGCCGCCCAGGAACCAATTGCCCAGTTCAGCAAGACAATCAATACCTTCACCAACAATCTCAGTAACAACATCCAGACCAACGACCTGTTGAACCGCGGAAAAGCATTCATCGAGAATCTGAATAAAGATAACGAAAAGTGGCTCAACGAGCTACAGACCAAGGCATCCAACTTCAAAACGGACCAAAACCCGATGTTCAAGAAACTGATTGGGCCCAAAGACTTGTCGTCGCCGTTGATCCCAAACTTCAAGGCTCTAAACGTGTTCAACTCGAACCATTCGCAATCCCCAATCAGGGACTCCAGAACAGACCATATGGACCCGGAGTTCGAGTACTCCGAGTGCCAGTACTACGACCAAACGCTCGTGTCGGACGACGAGCATTACGGCGGCCATACCGTGCCTTACCTCGCACCTTCTACATAGCACCCCAAATTAGAACACCCGTACACCAACACCCCCATCCGATATCGTTATCAAAATTTTTGTCTCAGTCCGGTCAAGCAAGAGTCACTAATTAAATTTGTAAATTACCGTCTAAACACGAGAAACGAAATTAGATGAGCAAACCAGCCAACCAGCTACCAAATCTGAAAGGATCTGTAGATCTAGCTTGCTATAGAGCGATGAGCAAAAGAAAGGTGTCTGAAAAGTTTAAATCGCGCAGGTCATTCCTGTAGGAACGCAAAAATCAGCTAAAAAAACAGAGAAAGAACCGGAAACCGGAAACAGAAAGAAACCTGTATTGAGTGAGTCTTCACCAATCTCTACTTTTGTCATTTACACTTGATTGAGGCCACCTAGGCGGATTGTCTTTGGTACTCCTTGGTCATGTCGGCGTCAGGAATAGAACCGCAGACAGTTTCCACCATGATACCGGTAACCAAGTATGGATCAATGTTGGAAGCTGGTCTTCTGTCCTCAAAGTATCCGTAACCTTCAGCTTGAACAGATCTTGGAATTCTGACAGAAGCACCTCTGTTAGCAACACCGTACGAGAAGGACTCCATAGAAGCGGTCTCGTGCTTACCGGTCAATCTGAGGTCGTTGTCGTCACCGTACAGAGCAATGTGCTCGGCGTGTCTCTTGGACAGTTTCTCGATGGCGGACTCGATGGCCTTCATACCGCCTGGAACTCTCATCGAGGCAGTAGAAACGTTGGTATGGCATCCAGCACCGTTCCAGTCTCCCTTGAGAGGCTTTGGATGGAAGGTGACCTTGACACCAAACTCCTCAGCGACCTTGTTGAGCAAGTATCTGGCCATCCACAGCTCGTCACCCATCTTGATACCTTCGCAAGGTCCAACCTGGAACTCCCATTGGGAAGGCATCACCTCGGCGTTGATACCGGAAATAGTGACACCGGCATGCAAGCAGGCTCTGTAGTGGGCCTCGATAACGTCTCTGGCAAACACCTTACCGGTACCAACACCACAGTAGTATGGTCCTTGTGGGGCTGGGAAACCTCCCTTTGGCCATCCGTAGATAGAGCCATCAACAGGGTCCAACAAAGTGTATTCTTGTTCCAAACCAAACCAGATTTCTTCGGAGGCGTGGGCGGTCATGAGCTTGTTGCACTCATGTCTGTGGTTGAACTTGTTTGGAGTTCCGTCGTTGTTCCAGCACTCAGTCAAGACAATAATGTTGTCGCCCTTTCTGAATGGGTCTGGGTAGAAAGCGACCGGTCTGAGGTAGACATCGGAGTTGTGGCCTGGGGCTTGGCCGGTGGACGAACCGTCAAAGTTCCACTCTGGCAGCTCGGACACATCAGTGACTTTCTTGGACAAGGTTCTAGCCTTGGATCTCATATCGCCAGAACCGTCAATCCAGACGTACTCGGCAATCACCTTGCCGTTCTGGTTCAAGTCCATATACTTGGCCAGGGTGGCTGTGTGTTCTAAGATAGAGATTTCTTGGACCATGGTTGTGTTTTAGAAAAAGGGCGTACGATTTTTCTATCTTGTGAAGCGGATAACACTTTATTTTTATACGACCATTGGTTCTGTAGCTGTTCAAAGGAAAAAAAAAAATGAGTCATGCACACGACCCCACTGAGCAGAAAACCGGAAACCTGGAGCTTTTTTTAGCGGAAATGGGAGTCATTTATTGCTCTATGGGGCTATTGAGAGGATTTGCACGCAAACTACAATTGAATTTAGGCTGGTGTACCAGGTTGCCCTAGCTTTTTTAAAAAACCCAGAGCCTGCTCTGCTCTGCCGGGAAAAAGAAAAGATGATAACATGCTGGTATTTTTTCTATTCGACGACTTTACCACCATCAGCGTGGTTTACTGGGGGGAAGCCTGCATTTGCCGATTGTGTATTCCCGGAATCATGCGTTTACCTGCCCGAAATAGCAGGTTACATATCTGTGCTTTATCATTGGTGTCGCGCCCGATGCAGTAATTTTCGAATTCGCGAAACACCCTTGTCGGCCGTCGACAAACGAGGAGCTGTGGTTTTTTTTTTTTCGGTCGGTCTGGTCGATCGTCTTTTTTCTCTCCAGCCACTCGTCACCTTCCCCATTCGGCAATAAACAAACACTAAACATATATATTCCGGAGAGTTTCAAAAACCTTCTCTTCATGACTAGTACGAGCGACATTTTCAAACTGGCAAACCAATCGGTCGACGAGCTGCTCAGAGAAATCAGCAAGGACACCGCAGACCACCGCAGTGTGCCGTCTTCCCCCACCACAGAACCCTTGAAAATCGAAGACGTAAACAAACACGACAACGACAGTATAATGAGCGAGTCTTTCCAAGGCCCTGTTGTTCCTGCTTTTAATGGACTGCGTGCCCTTGACCAGTCGCCTATTAAGAAGTCGTCGGTGGTAGCCTTTGAGCCGCAAGTGATCACTATTGGCAACGACGAGCTATTTGACAGACCGTTGCCTTTGCTCAAGCCGTCCGAGTCGGACTATTCCGTGAAATCGATGCCTAATTTACCCTCCAGCTCTATAAATCTCTTGGACTCGCCATCGGCGCACTCGAACAACTCGCAGGACTCCGAGAGAACCATCGCTGTTGACGAGAAACGGTCAGCCACCAAAAACCTGCAAAAACTGCTTTCTGCAGAGGAGGAGTCTGCTGCGGCGCCGGTGGGGCTTGCTATTCAGAAAACCAGAGGAGCCGAGCCGACCGCCGAGACCAGGTCGCGCCACGTGTCGCTGCAGAGCACGGCCACCTCGCTCAACGAGTCGGACTTTGTTTCTGCAGACGAAGGTAATTCCAGCGACTTTGAGCCAGAGACAGTGGACAGCGACGCCACAGTTGAGATGGACGAAAACGCCAACGACACAACCGCCAATGACACGGTGCAGTCTGTTTCTGCGTCGTTCGACGACGACCCGTACAAGTCGTTCGAGGTGCCGGAGGCCAGAAACGTGAGCAGCTCCAGCAGAGAAACTGCCACCGAAAAAAAACGTGTTTCGTCGGCAGAGTCGGCGGGCAAGAACGACATCCTGGCCATCTGGTCGAGCCAGGAGGACTACCAGAAGGTCCGCAGGACTCCAACGTCGTTCCAGAGTATCTGCGACCCGAAAAAGTATACCGTCAGAGAGAAGTCGTTCAAGCAGATCAAAGTTGCCAGTCCTGTGCAACCGAAGGAGCCGGCCGAGGAGTCCAGAGACGAGACCGACGCCGACGATGAGGACGAGGACGAGGACGACAGTCCCGTCACGCCCAACCAGTCGGTCGAAAAGACGTTCAACAACCCGCTCGACTCGATGCACACCGACACCGACGTTTCCAAGAACGTTTCCAACATGTCCAATCTCTCAATGGGCTCGATCCACCTCTCGGACGTGCTCAACGAGGGCGACGACTCGTTCCTGAAAGACCTGGAGGCGTGGGAGCCGCAGTCGCGCGTCGAGCCGGTGATCACCAAGGCGTCGAACGTGGAGACTCTGTCCAACGTCTGGCGTCGCGGGACTCTCAGCAAGAAACCGGTCTCGTCGAAAACGGACGTCGAGTCGGTGAAATTTCCGCACATGTCGGCGGGCGAGGTGGAACAGTTCATGATCCTCAAGAAGATGGCCAGCGACGAGTTCCAGATCAAGGAGGCCAACAACAAGCTCACTCTCGAGAGCAACACCTTGCACCGGGAGCAGCACGTGACCGTGGGGGACGCCCGCAGCGACATCACGGCGGACGACAAGGTTTCGACGATTGTGCCGGACCTATCGATTGCGACGGGGCCAATTGAGGAGCCGGCCAAGCCAGTCGAGCCAGTGGTGCCACCTACGGCGCACCGTTACGGCGACCTTGTTCCGGCTGCGCGGCGGGAGGTGAACAGAGCAGAGCCTGCCAGTTCGATCCGCACTGCCTCGCAGCGGATCAGCTCTGCGATCTCGTCCTCCACCAAGGCTGAGGTGGAAAAGCCGCTGGTGCTCGGAGAATACGGACGGTTCTTTTTGCGAGTGATGGGGCTCCGGGAGCTCAAGTTACCGGAGATTGCGCACCGCAACGCCAAATTCCAGATCGTGCTGGATAATTCGATCCACCGGCTCACCACGGACTACTTCCCGATCGAGAGTGCCGGGTTTGTGCCCGTCAACAAGGAATTCGAGCTTGTGGTGGCAGACGCTCTGGATATTGTGATGACCTTAAAAATCAAGTACGATAAGCCCAAGGCCCAGCTTGTGGAGGTCACCGATAAGCGCAAGGTGAAGCCGAAGAACGTGTTTGCAAAGATGCTCGGCTACAAGGACATTGTGACGTCGACAAGGTACGTCACCAAACCGGCGGAGAAAGACCCCTTGGCGGAGCTTGTAGCCGCGGACGGCTCGTTTGCCAAGTTTTTCATTTCTTTTGCCAATTTCGAGCACCACGTCACGGGCGAGTCCAAGATCTTTAAGCTGGACGGCATGAACGAGTGGAGAAGCTCCAATGATAAGTCCAAACCCGCTGTTCCGTACAAAGTGTGTGCTGCCGACTTCAACATGCTATTTGTGCCGCGCACGAGCGAGTACGAGACGCTTCCGATAAGCATCAAGAACGCGTACGATATGGTGGCCGAGGTCCGCAACACGCTTAGCGAGACCAACGAAGGCTACATGTACCAGGAAGGTGGCGACGTGGAGGTCTGGTCGCGGCGATTCTTCAAGCTGCAGGGCTACGATCTCTGTGCGCATAATGACACCACTTTCAAGCTCAAGGCGCGGATCAACCTGAAACGGGTAGTTGATGTTGAGTATGTGGGCAAGGAAGATACCGCGGGTAGCAAACGTGTTTACAGCGACCGGTTGCTTTTGAACAACTCGTTCAAGCTGCGGTTTGCCAACGGAGAGACGATATACTTTGGTTGCGACAGCAAGGAAGAAAAAACCCGTTGGGTGGAGCTTCTAGAAACTATCGGCGCACAGAATAGCTTCATGCGCCAGCCGTGGGTGAAACTGATGGCAAGCAAGGTCCAGTAACGTGGCCGCGGGACCAGACATTAAAGCCGGGGCCGGTGTGCGGCTGAATTTTCCAGTCGGCCACGCCGAGTTTCCCTCTTGGGCAATCTTATCGGGGCGGTGCAAGGGTGTCGCTGTAAAGGTGACAGGCGGCAGCAACAGTATATAAAGCGAGATAATGTACAAGAATCCTTGTGAAAACAAAACAAAACAAATCACAACATGCCTGAGCAAACATCCATTGACTTTATTCCGCTTGAAGATCAACCTTTTGGAGCACAAGTTCGTCTTCCTAGCTACACCAACAACCCTGCCGAGTTGAATGATGAGGATTTCCAGAAGCTTAAGGAAGGTCTGATGACCTACTCCGTTCTTGTTGTTCCAAATCAGGAGAATCTTTCGCCGGACTCGCAACATTCGCTCACTGTTCGCTTTGATCCAACCACCAGCACGGGCTATGGCCACGATCCAAAGCTGTTCCACTCTTCCAACTCGATCTTGGCCAAGGACGGCAGATCTGTTCCCACCAGGCCCGAAGTTCAGATGGTTGGCAATGGGTCTTTTGAGGCCGGCCACGAGGGCATGAAGGCGTTCACTCTGGAACACCCTACCCACTTCACGTTCCACAAGGACGTGCTCAACAAGGAGGAGGTTGCACGTGGACAGACCCGGTTCTACAGATGGCATATCGACGCTGCCCTGTACGCGCTCGCTCCGCCAGTGGTGACGACCTTGTTGGGTCTGATTGTTCCAAACAAGAACGAGAAGCAGCGGATTGTCTACGAGGACACCAAGGAGGAGAAAGAGGTGGTCAAGGGAGCCACTGCCTTTGCTTCCGGAAGAATTGCATTTGAGCTGCTTTCCGACAAGGACAAGGAGTTTGCCCTGAACCACACCGTTGTCTACGCTCCACATCCATACATTTTCATTAATAACTGCAAAGCCACCTCCGACGGACTCACGATCGAGTCAGAGGAGCCTCCTAAGGAGGTCCCATTGGACAATCTTCCTCAATGGGAGGAGTCCAAGGTCAAGAAGCTTCCATTGGTTTGGACCAATCCTGTCACCAAGAAACCTCACTTGCAAGTGCACGGCTGCTGCGTGTACCAGCTGATCAACACGAAAACCGGCGAGGTTGTTGCCGAGCTCGAGGACGCCAGAAAGATTGTCCACAAGCTCATGAGACCGGCCATCTCGCCACAGCACATCTACTGCCACGGCTGGAACACCGGCGACCTCTGCATCTTCCACAACAGGGGCGTGATCCACTCTGTCACGGGCGAGTTCGAGCCCCACGAACAGAGACTCATGCACCAGTGTAACGTGGCCAGCGGCGAGGACCCTGTTCTTTTGCAACATTAACGAGTATATATGGCGAATCGAATTATTGTACATCACGCTAGCGCCGTCTTCTTCTGCCTCCTCCTCCTCCTCCTCTGCTTTCTCTATCATCTCTGTCTCTGTAGCTGTGCTGGTGCGAGCCTGTTTCGAAGTCGCGGTCGGCCTGGTCTCTGTGGCTGGACGTTTGCGCTCTGCCCGCCTTGTTGCCTGGTTCTGGCGTCATGGAGTTCGATGCTGGCCGCGACGGCAGCTTCGACACCGGCTGTCCGTCTTTCTTGCCAAACATGTTTGGCATTGGCATGAACGGAGGCATGCCCATCATGAACGGAGGCGGCATGCCCGCCTGCCCGTTTGCTCCCGGCATTCCCCCAGGCATTGCACCGAGCAGCCCGCTCAAACTTGGCGGAATCGACCCGCTGGCAATCAAATCATTGATCAATTTCGATGGATTGAACTCGGCACGCAACTTATCCTGTTTCGAACAGTACGCCAGCCACGAAAGCTCGTCAAACCCGAAATTGAAGTAGTCCGAGATATCTGCGCCCGGCAGCCGCCACGGCTTCTCGTTCAGCTCGTCCAGCGACAGCTGTGTGATGGGCTGGCCGTTGTACGACGCCACCTGGTTCACGTCCAGGCCTGTTGTCTGTGTGAAGATCGGCACCGACGGCTGCTGGGTGCCTGCGACGGGCTCGTCCTTGGGCTTCTCCTCCACCGCAACGGGCTTCGACTCGGACGACCCAATGATGAACTCCACGTCCGAGTCCGAGTCGTCTTCGTCGCTGGAGCTGTCGCCGCTCGCGTCCGCGGCCGGCTGGGCGTCCTTGGCCTCCAGCTGCGCGCCGTCCTTGGCCTCGATCGTCGTCTCCGACTGCTGCGCGTCCTTCTCCTGCGCGGACCCGTACAAAAACTCGTCGTCGTCCATGGGAGAAGTGTAATAATTTGCAAACAAATAGCAGGGGCAAGGGTTTCTAGGGGGTGGGGGGAGGACCATTGGGAAACGGGGGGACGGGAACCAAAAGCGGGGGACAACGCACGCTGAAACGATAGTGAACCTTGCACATGTGCAACCACACCGTTGCAGTCTCTTCTCCCTGATCAACGGCTCTGCTCATCACCGGTGCTTCCCTACCACCTCTACCCGCGCCACGCACCAGCCACGTCCGCAATTAAATTTCTCCCTGCACGACACCTGTGCGTCACGTGCACACACACAGGGCTGGCCGATATTAAAATTTTTTATACATTTTTCAAACTATCCAAACTACAGTATCACAAATGTACGTATAGCAATGAAAGTGGCAGGCGCGGACAGTTTAGACTCGCCAGATCTGCCCATCACCCATCGTCAACTAACAATTCAGGTCGAAGAGAACAAAGAAGGTTGGAATCACCGGAAAGTACGGTGTCAGATACGGTTCTTCTTTGAGAAGACAGTGTAAGAAGCTCGAAGTTCAACAACACTCCAGATACGACTGTTCCTTCTGCGGAAAGAAGGCTGTCAAGAGAGGAGCCACTGGTATCTGGACCTGCAAGTCTTGTAAGAAGACCGTTGCTGGAGGTGCCTACACTGTTTCCACTGCTGCTGCTGCCACTATCAGATCCACCATCAGACGTCTGAGAGAGTTGGCTGAGGCATAAGTAAGGTTAATACAAAGCAAGAGTATCAGAACGAGGTAGAAAAAGAGAATTCGGCACTGTCAGTTGTTGGTTAGAGAGACCATGTTGGCTTGTGCTGAGACGGAAAAAAAATTAAATAAATGGTGCATGCGGGGTTTGAACCCGCGACCATCGCGTGACTTCGTAATGAAACGATGTGTGACGTTAGTATAGACGTCTGACCGACTATAAGCACGATGCTCTTGACCTCTGAGCTAATGCACCATTTTTTCGAAATTTTTCGACTATTAGGATTGTTATAGGACGCGGGCCATGTAGTGTTCTCAAACAGCGTAGTTGTGGTTTCCAAAGGCAAACACTTTTCTCAAACGCTTGCCGTGGCAAACGTTTTGCTTCCTGCAACCGCTTGTTGTGCTGGCATGCGGCAAAAGAAAAATATTTAATTTATCTTACTAATTATTGAAATGTTCGTTAGACGAGTACCAGTGCGTCTTGGTACGGCCGTTATTCGGCGACTTTCAAGCCTGCGCTCGACGCCCGCGGGGTATTCCCAGTCGGTGCCCCAAAAGGACGACCAGATCGTGATATCCATGTCTTCTGGCGTGGACTCGTCTGTCGCAGCTCTGATGTATGCCCGGCAGTACAAGAACGTGCGCGGCGTGTTCATGGCCAACTGGTCCCCGGACACGCGGGGCGGCGTTTCCAAGTGCACCGTTGAGAGCGACTGGGAGGAAGTGCAAACGATCTGCACCCAGATCGGGATTCCCTGTGAGCGAGTGAATTTTGAAAAAGAGTACTGGTCCGATGTGTTTGAGCCCATGTTGGAGATGTACCGTCGCGGCCTGACGCCCAATCCGGACGTGGGGTGCAACAAATACGTCAAGTTCGGCAAGATGGTGGAACATCTCACGAAAAAGATGTCTCAGGACAACTGGTGGCTGGTGACGGGCCATTATGCGCGGATCCTGACCCACGACCTCACGGGCGAGTCGCACCTGTTGCGGGCGTCGTACTTGCCGAAAGACCAGTCGTACTACCTGAGCCAGATCCCTGAGCACGTCATGTCCAAGGTGTTGATGCCGATGGGCCATTACACGAAGCCAGAGGTCCGTCGCATTGCTCAGGAGGCCGGACTGGCTTCCAAGGACAAGCGCGACTCGCAAGGGCTGTGTTTTGTGTCGCAGAACGGGCGGTTCAAGGACTTTCTGGACGAGTTCCTGGAACCCAACCCTGGCGAAATCGTGACTCAAGATGGCCGTGTTTGGGGCAAGCACAACGGGCTCTGGCACGGCACCATTGGCCAGCGCAGCGGAATCTCTATGCCCCAGGGAGACCCGGCCATGAAGGGCGTGTGGTGTATCTCGGGAAAGAACTACGAGAAGAACCAGCTGATCATCTCGAAGAAAAGCGACCGTTCAGCGTTTTTGAAAGACCGTATCACCGTTGCCGACTGGCACTGGGTCAATGCGTCGTTCGACCTGGACTCACTTGACACAGCCAGTCTCACTGTCCAGGTACGGTCTCTAGAAACCCCGCACGCGCTAAAGTCCGTTTCTTTCCCCGAGTTTGCGCTCGAAAACAAGCTCTCCGACGTGGCTCCGGGCCAAAACCTCGTGCTTTACCACGGCGACCGCGTCCTGGGCACCGGCATCATTGTCGCCACCGCCTGATGTATATAGTCATGAGTTGTTCCTCTGTTCAACAAGCTGCGTGCACCGTCGCAGACGGGTCTCGACGTCCATGTAGAACGTTGTTTGTTCCAACGTATTGGCCATGTATAGCTGGATCAGCCGCGTGGAATTCAAAACCACCGTGTAAAACCGTTTTTTCAGCTGTCCCAGGCCGTCCAGAACATGACACATGTCCTCATGCCCCAGGGAAACCAGTCTGACCACGGCCTCTCGCGTCTTGACGTCTTTGAACAGCCCGTCCCACTCGTCCAGCCGTTGCTGGATCTCCTCGTACCGTGCGAGCTGGGAGTCCAAACTCTTCAGGTTCGCTACCACCACGCGGTACTTGTCCTCGAACGGCACGGCCGTGTCCGCTGGGCGAATCACCAGCTCGTGCAGCCCGATCTGCCGCGCTTTCTCAAACAAGTCAACAATACCGTCATGAACCCCCATCAACTCGGCCAATCGCGTCGACAGCTCGTTCAGCCGCGCGTTCACATCGCCACTCCCTTCAAGCACCGCTTCCAGCATCACCACGCGTGCCTCCAGCGCCTCCAGCGTCTGTTGTAGCGACATGTTGATCCAGATAATTACAAAGGGTATTACCTAAGCAAAATTATAATTCTTTGGAAAAGTCGTTCTCTCCTGTTGTTGCCATCAAAAGCTACGTACTACAAAACAAGCCAATAGAATAGCAAGATAATTAAAAATGGTAAGTATCTCAATTGCTTCACAACAAAGCCGCGTACAGGCCGCCAACTAACCTCTCTAGTCAAGATCCGGGTATGTTTCCACCAATTCAAAAGACTGCTAACGTTCTAGTGTTGCTGTTTCCGATGAAGCATTGAAGGCTTTCAACGACCTCAAGCTCGGCAAGAAGTACAAATTCATCATCTACAAGTTGAACGACGCCAACACCGAAATTGTTGTCGACTCCACCTCCACCGACGACTCTTACGACTCGTTCTTGGAGAACCTGCCAGAAAACGACTGTAAATACGCCGTTTACGACTTTGAGTACGAGATCGGCAAGGGCGAAGGTAAGAGAAACAAGATTGTCTTTTACCAATGGGCCCCAGACACCGCCAAGGTCAAGGCCAAGATGGTGTACGCTGCCTCCAAGGACGCTCTTAGAAGAGCCTTGAACGGTGTTTCCACCGACATCCAGGGAACAGACTTCAGCGAGGTCGCTTATGAGAGCGTTCTTGACAAGGTCTCCAGAGCAGCAGGCTCTCATTAGTGTAAACCAGATGTATAGTTTAACTTCGTTATCTGTGTTACCCGGCCGATCCAAAAGGCCTGTTTTTTCAGGACCGTATTTTTTGGGGGTAAGAAGTTCCAGATTACACAGGGCTATCGAGTAAACATGCCTTCTGTTGGGAAAGATAAGCTTCCACGGGCGAATTTGGAGCAGAAGATCATGATCATCGATCATTTCCACAACTCCAAGCGCCCTCAGAGCGAGACCGTGGACTTTTTCCGCGATCAGTTCTCCATTTCCACGTCCAGCTTCTCCGAGTGGCTCAAGAACGAGGCCGAGCTGCGATTGCGCTACCGCGAGGCCCACCAGGCCGACTCTGCCACGTCCAAGTCCATGCGCAGCTCCAAACGCAAGTTGTCGTTCAAATACGAGCCCATCAACCGCGCCATGCACAAGGTGGTGGAGGATCGGCTGGCACAGAACTTGCCCATCACCGAGCCCATTCTGCGCGAGTACTGGGCCAAGTTTGCACGGGAGTACGGCGTGGACGACCCGAAACGGCTGGAGAGCTTCAGTCACGGGTGGCTGTCCACTTTTAAGAGGAGACACGGGTTGTTTAAGAAACAGATGCGGATGGCCAAGACGGACGCCAACACGTCGATGCGCGGTTCGGAGCCGTCGTCGACCTCTTCCACCACCGCCAACGGCAACACGGACCCGGAATTGTCCAACATTATGCCTTCTTCCGACTACTCGTATCCTAGTACACAGCCACCAAATTACGACCACCAGCTTACTCAGCCACAACCGGCGTTCAGCAACACCAGGCAGCAGCAGCAGCGGCACGACCAGGCCGAACAGCACGAGTACCTGCTGATGGAGTCGAACGAGAACAACGCGGCCGCGCAAACGTCGACCCCAACCGCCGATCGGTACCAGCCGTACGAGGTTGGTCAGATGATAAATAATTCAGGGCCCAACGGCCAATCTAGATCGCTCGCAACGCCAAGTGTCATGTCATTCACGCCAAAACCGCCCCACCAACAGCAGACTCAGCCCGCCACGCACAACGGCTCGTTCAACTCTGCCTCGGCCCAGTTCCAGTCGCAGATCTCTGGCTACCTGCCCATGGACAACCGGTTCCCTGTGGCAGCTCCCAGACAGCCGCGTGCCGAGGCCAACGAGCCCGACTTTGGCGTGGACATCGCCGACATGGAGAAGCTGCTTTTCGTTTATTCGGAGCGGTTTTTCCAGCAGTACGGCTACCAATTCAGCAAATCCAAAGAAATCTTTGACGCGTTCAAAACCAAATTCATGGAAGAGAAGCTTATCTACAGCTCCAACGGACCCAAACACGGGTCCACAGTGGACGAGATGTTCATGAGAAGAATACGATAAAGAACAGAAACGGAACACCCTTTTGCATTTAATAATCCTCTATCACAACTCCAAACCCCTAATGTGCATCTCTCACAGGCTGACCAGCACTCTGTTGATGCTGTTGTTGTATCATTCCGGATTCGTACTGCTCCTGCTGAACATTGCTACCATTTAGAGCCTCCGAGCTCTCGATCTCGTGGAAATCCAAGATCTCGCTGTACATCATTATTCTCCAGGTATCCAGAGGCAAGTCTGCATCGTTGAAACTCCAGTCGAACTTCTCCTCAGCGGACGGTTCATCCGAAGGGTCGTGGTACGGACTGAGGTACGGATGCGACAGTGCCTGTTCTGCGTTGAAACGTTTGCGAGGGTCGAAAACAAGCATCTTGGACAGCAAGTCCACGGCCTCTGGCTCGACACCTTTAAATCGTTCGGTCAATGGAACAGGCTCTTTGTGTGGCAGCGACTGGACAAATCTCAGTGTGTTTTCGGAGCAAATTGTATCAATAACGTCTGCTGGCGGAGACCCCAATAGCTCGGTGATGATGGAAAACTGGTGAACGTGGTCTTTACCAGGGAACAACGGCTTGCCTTCGATCATCTCTGCGAAAATACATCCTGCAGACCAGATGTCCACCTCTGTGTCATACTTTTGCCAGGTGAGCATGATTTCTGGAGCACGGTAGTACCGTGTCGACACATATCCTGTCATTTGCGGGTCCTGGATTCTTGCCAATCCAAAGTCGCAGATCTTCAGGTCGCAGTTCTCGTTAATTAAAATATTGCTAGGCTTCAAGTCTCTGTGGATAACCCCCGCAGAGTGCACGTACTTCAGTCCACGTAGAATCTGGTACAAAAAGTACTGGATGAACTGTTTTTCCAACGGCCGCGACGTGAGCAGTCTATGCAAATCTGTTCCTTGCAACTCTGTCACGAAATAGATGTCTTCCAACGGAGAAAGAAAGATATCGTCCAACGAAATCAGGTTCTCGTGTCGTAGATGGTTGAGCAGCTTGAGCTCGCGATACGTCCTCTTTGCCAACACCGCTGTGGAAAACGGTTTCATCACCTTCTTGATGGCGACGTTCTGTTGTGTCAGTTTATCCTTCGCAGAACACACCAAACCAAAGGCCCCCATTCCCACGGGGTTCAGGTCGGTGTATCTGGAGGTCGTCTCGAAGACCGTGCCGAAAATCTGGGTTCTTGTGAACTCTTGCGTCATGGGAACATACAATAATTAGAACTGTTTTTTTTTTTGGAGGAAAACCTCTGCACTGTTTCTTAAGGCTTGGCGAGGCGAGCAGCACCAAAACAGAACATCCGATGGAGTGGTGGACGAATTTGAGTTTTTATGGGGGGAGGCAAACAGCCATGTTGGCCCACGGCAGAACGCCCGTACTCTATACCGATCTTTGCCACCGGTGTGACGCCACCCTAGCAGTCCCAGATCGGGCTCTATCGGTGCGCCCCACCATTTTTATGAAACCGCACATCCGTACACCGTCGTAAATCTTTTTTTTTTAATTCTCGGGCTACAAAGATTAAATTTATCTGATTCTACAAGCATGGGATCTCTCAAAGCGTCCGAGCTAGACGCCCAATTCGACTGCTACAACGACAAGTTTGTGTTTCCGACCTTTGGGTCGATGGGACTGGAGGGTCCAGCCGAGGAGAAGGTGAATTACCTGTGTGGGAACTCCCTCGGGCTGATGCCCAAAAGTGTGCCCCGGGCCATCAACGACGAGCTGGACGCCTGGGCCGCCAGAGGAGTCGAGTCGCATTTCCGCCACCCTAATGAAGGTACTGGCGGCACCGCGTGGATGGATATCGACCTGCCTGTGGTCCCACTCTTGGCTCCGATCGTGGGAGCCAAGACTTCGGAAGTTGCATGCATGGGAACGCTAACGATGAACCTGAACTCGTTGCTATGTGCTTTTTACAAGCCAACCAGCCAGAAGTACAAGATTCTGTTTGAAAAAGGTGCTTTCCCGTCCGACTACTATGCATTTCTCAACATGGTCAAATTGCACGGGTACTCCGAGTCTGCGTTGATCCAGATCGAGCCGAGAGAAAACGAGTTCACGTTGCGCACACAAGACATTCTGGATGCGATCGACAAGAACGCCGAGTCCTTGGCACTGGTGTGTTTGCCAGGAATCCAGTACTATACTGGACAATATTTCGAGATTGAGAAAATTACCGCTTTTGCACAGTCGAGAAACTGTGTGGTTGGCTGGGACCTCGCGCACGCGGTGGGAAACGTGGATCTGAAACTCCACGACTGGAACGTTGATTTTGCCGCTTGGTGTTCGTACAAGTACCTAAATGCGGGCCCTGGAGCCATTGGAGGAATTTTCGTTCATGAGAAACACTGTGAAGCATCACGGCCACGGCTTGCGGGGTGGTGGGGAAATAACGCAGAAGAACGTTTCAAGATGCTTGAGAAGTTCACACCCATTGAGAGTGCGTTGGGCTTTCGCCAGTCCAATCCGAGCGTGATTGACGTTGTGTCACTTAAAGCTTCTTTAACCACCATGCACGAATGTGGTGGCATCAATAAGCTTCGCGTAAAGAGCATGCAGCTGACTCGGTTTTTGGAATCATTGTTGCGGAAGTCGCCGTACTATCGCAGCGCAGAAAAGCAAGGCGATGACGCTGCTCCACACTTTGTTATCTTGACTCCGTCTGACCCTGACCACAGAGGAGCCCAGTTATCGCTGTTGTTCAAGCCAGAAAGCGTGATGGACAAGATCTTCAGCTACCTCAACTCGCGCGGCGTGATCTGCGACGAGCGGCGTCCGGACGTTATCAGATTGGCCCCCACGCCTGCATACAATAGCTTCCTCGACTGCGAAAAATGCGTTACCCTGCTTAATCACGCATTTTCCAGCTTGACATAACTGTGGTGGTGGCACCCGTAGTGGCGCCTCCAATTCCCGGGCCCAAACAATAAATTGCGGCTGGCGGCTATTATAAAACCGTGGCATACGTTAACAAAATTCACGTGACCAGATCTAATAGTGAAAAATCTTAAGCTTCACCCTGGATGGTGCAAGGCATTACTGAGGACGTCATCTTGAAAGCTTTTTTGCTTTATAAGTCTTCTCTCAGACCTGGAAAAAGTCCATATTGATCCCAATGACTGAGTCCATTTCTGAAAGTCTAGCTTCTGGTCACAACGACACAGAGCTTCCGGAGGTCAGTCTCTCGAGCTCCAGAGAGTCTGTTTCCAATGTTGCGATCGAGAAGTACGAAGACGACTACATCCCTGCCTTGGACTATTTCAAGGAGACCTTCAATGATCCTGTTTCCAAAGCCGGCAGATACGTTAAGTCGTTGTTCCCGATTTTAGGCTGGATTGGCCACTATCCATTTACTCCGTCCTGGGTTTACAGTGACTTTGTTGCCGGTGTGACCGTTGCCATTGTCCTGGTGCCCCAATCCATGTCTTACGCCCAATTGGCCGGCTTGTCTTCCGAGTACGGACTGTATTCGTCGTTTGTTGGTGTTTTATTCTACGCCCTCTTTGCCACGTCCAAGGACGTTTCTATCGGACCGGTTGCTGTTATGAGTTTGGAAGTCGGAAGACTTATTGCTCGTGTGCAAGACAAGCACGGAGATGAGTACTCTGCCCCAGAGATCGCCACCATGGTGGCACTGTTGTGTGGTTCTATTACCCTCGGTATCGGTCTTTTGAGACTCGGATTCATCGTCGAGCTTCTTTCCTTGCCGGCCGTGCTTGCCTTCATGTCCGGTTCCGCTTTCAACATCTTTGTTGGACAGGTCCCATCCTTGATGGGTTACAATAAGCTCGTCAACACCAGAGCTTCATCATACAAGATTGTCATCGAAACGTTGAAACATTTGCCACACACCAAGGTCGACGCCGCTTTCGGACTGGTGTCTCTATTTATTCTCTACGCCTGGAAGTTCACCACTTCGCGTCTGTACAGACGTTATCCAAGACAGAAGATCTTCTTCTACCTGGAACAGCTGAGAACCGCCATCGTCATCATCTTCAGTACCTTGATCAGTTACCTCATCATTAGACACCACAAGACCAAGCACGCCTTCAGTGTCAACGGAAATGTTCCTTCTGGACTGAAACACGTTGGTGTCATGAGCACTCCACCCCGTTTGGCCAGCGACATCGCTTCCGACCTTCCGGCTGCAACCATCATTCTGGTGTTGGAACACATCTCTATCTCCAAGTCTTTTGGAAGAATCAACGACTACAAGATTAACCCTAACCAAGAGCTGATTGCCATTGGTGTCACCAACCTTATTGGAACGTTCTTCAACGCCTACCCAGCCACCGGATCTTTCAGTAGAACTGCTTTGAAGGCCAAGTGTGGTGTCAAGACTCCGTTTGCTGGTATTTTCACCGGAGCTTGTGTGTTGCTCTCCATTTACTGTTTCACCGATGCTTTCTACTACATTCCTAAAGCCGCTCTGTCGGCCATTATTATGCACGCTGTTGGCGACTTGCTTGCCTCTTACAAGATCACCTGGAACCTGTGGAAAGTGCAACCTCTGGACTTTGCCATCTTCATCATCGGTGTCATCATCACTGTGTTTGCGTCGATCGAGGACGGAATCTACTTTGTTGCCTGTGCCTCTGCCGCTTCCCTGCTGTGGAAGCTGTGTAAGCCAAACGGAACGTTCTTGGGAAGAGTGCGTGTTGTCGAGGTGGTGGACCCTGTGCTCACCAACCCTGAAGACGGCTCCTACGACGTTTCCAACAAGAAGGCTGCCGAGAGAATTGTCACCAGACCCGTTTACAGAACACACTACAGATGGGTTCCATTGCAGCACAACAACCCATACGGCAGCTCGCGTGTGCACACCGAGTTTGTCAATGAAAAGGTGTATGTTGCTCCGCCTCCACCAGGAGTGATTGTTTTCCGTCCTGCTGAGTCGTTTGTGTACACGAACTCGTCGAGACAGATCGACCTGGTGCTGGACGAGGTGAAGCGTGTGACGAGACCGGCTCTCGTCAAGACAGAAAAGACGTTCAACAACCCAGGACCATTGAAGATCAATTGGCTCAACAAGGTGAGAAAGACCACCAAAGAACACGTTCCAGAGACCAGACCGCTTTTGAAGCTGCTCCACTTCGATTTCACGCAGGTGACGTCTGTGGACGCGACGGGAGTGCAGGCCTTGATCGATCTGAAAAAGACGATCGATATCTATTCGGGCCAGTCTTACGAGATCCACTTCTCGGGAATCATTAACCCATGGGTCAAGAGAGCGCTTATTAACGGAGGATTTGGACGCAATGTCCACGAAGATAGACACGAGGAGTATCCGACTGCAGACGAGTCTGTGGAGGAGGAGCTCGAGGAGATTGAGGCCAAGCCAAGAGTGCGCGAGGTTGACAGACACGTTCTGGAAGCCGGTCTTGGACCTAACTCCTCGAACGTGGTGTATTCGCTCACGGGAACGAATTACCCATGTTTCCACTTCGACATTCCTTCGTACACCTATTTGGATGAGTAGATTAGATAATTTAATTTGGACGAGCAATAACGGAATTTAATCGTGAAATATTATTTTTCATAGTTTATAAATTTCTCCAAATGGTGGCTGGAGAGATTGTGGTGATTTCGCTGGACCAATTGACTAGTACTGTTGAGGACGTGTTGATCCGTGTGATCAACCGGGGATACAACAAGCCGCGGTTCCGGTACGGTGTGATCGACACGCCGCGGATCAAGAACTCGGTTCTGCGAGATCTGAGCATCTTGGAGGTGGAAAACTCGTACTTGGCACTGTTTCTGGCTCCCAAGACGGAGCTGACTGTGGTCGAGGATCAGGACGCTCAAAGTCTGACGCGAATGTTTGTGAACGAATGGGACTCGCTGGAGTTTGACGGGACGTACTCGGACCAACTGGACAGTGATGGTCTTGAGGCACGAATAGTTGGCACTGTTGGGGTGAAAAAGACAGGATCCGAGTACGAGTTGACTGCACTCACATCGTTTTATCCGAAGCTGTCCACTACCCTGCTTGATTTCATGCACGGGTTCTGCAAACGGCTGGGAGCCCCGAAAACCGTGGTGGACGTTATCTACGAGCACGAGCTGGTGGACTTCTACGAGAAACACGGCTACTGCACCACGAAACGCACGCGGTGCGAGATCGACCCGCAGACGGGCTATGTGAAAGGCACAAGGCTCGAGGATGGTATCCGTGCGACGCGCAACTTTGTTTTGGTGGAGATGGAGAGACAGCTATAACTGCTTCTAGTGCTGATGTAAGCGGAGCGAGTGGAAAAAATTCTGAGTCAACGTTGATGTATAAAACCTGGTTTTCAGGGATTAGAACCTATTCGAAAAAAGTAGTACGACCACGCAAAGGACTGCAAGTTTTGAAAATGAGCGGCGAGTTTAATAGAGAGCAGTTGGAATCTGTTTTGAAGCGCAGATTTTTCTACGCCCCTGCTTTTGAGATTTACGGAGGTGTTTCTGGACTTTACGACTATGGTCCACCGGGATGTGCATTGCAGGCCAACATTGTTGATGTTTGGAGAAAGCACTTCATTTTGGAGGAGGACATGCTGGAGGTGGACTGCACGATGCTGACGCCGCACGAGGTGCTCAAGACCTCTGGTCATGTGGACAAGTTTGCTGACTGGATGTGCAGAGACCTGAAAACAGGCGAGATCTTCAGAGCGGACCATTTGGTCGAGGAGGTGCTGGAGGCCAGACTCAAGGGAGATAAGGAGGCCCGTGGTGAGAAGGTCGAGGAAGTTGAGGAGGACGACCAGAAAAAGAAGAGAAAGAAGAAGGTCAAGGAGATCAAGGCGGTCAAGCTCGAGGACTCTGTTGTGGAGGAGTACGAGACGATTCTGGCCAAGATCGATGGTTATTCTGGCCCGGAACTCGGTGACATCATGGTCAAGTACAACATTGGCAACCCTGCTACCGGCGAGCCATTGGAGAAGCCAATGGCGTTCAACTTGATGTTTGAGACCGCCATCGGTCCATCTGGCCAACTGAAGGGTTACCTGCGTCCAGAGACCGCCCAGGGCCAGTTTTTGAACTTTTCCAAGTTGCTGGACTCCAACAACGAGAAGATGCCGTTTGCTTCTGCCTCCATTGGAAAGTCGTTCAGAAACGAGATTTCGCCAAGATCGGGACTTTTGCGTGTGAGAGAGTTCCTGATGGCCGAGATCGAGCACTTTGTGGATCCGCTCGACAAGAGCCACGCCGGGTTCAAGTCCGTCGAGAACATCAAGCTCACTTTCTGGCCAAAAGAGGTCCAGGAGAAGGGTTCTACAGAGACCTCCAAAATCACCGTTGGCGAGGCTGTGCGTTCCGGAATGGTGGACAACGAGACCTTGGGATACTTTTTGGCCAGAATCTACTTGTTCTTGATCAAGATCGGTGTCAACCCTGACAGACTCAGATTCAGACAGCACATGTCGAACGAGATGGCCCATTATGCCCAGGACTGTTGGGACGCAGAGCTGCAAACCTCGTATGGATGGATCGAGTGTGTTGGTTGTGCCGACAGATCGGCCTACGACCTGACTGTGCACTCTGCTAGAACCAAGGAGAAGCTGTGTGTCAGAGAGACTTTGCCCGAGCCAAAGGTGGTTGAGAGACTCGAGTGCCAGATCGACAAGAAACGGTTTGGTCCAAAGTTCAGAAAAGACGCTCCAAAGGTGGAGCAATGGCTTTTCTCCAGAACCGAGTGCGAGCTCGAGGACCTGGCCAAGGAGCTTGACGAGAAGCTCAAGATCACCGTCCAGATCCCAGAGACCACTATTCCAGAAGTTGAGATCCCAGCCGAGCTGCTCAAGATCGAAAAGGTCACCAAGACAGAGCACGTCAGAGAGTACATTCCGTCTGTGATTGAGCCATCGTTCGGTATTGGCCGTATTCTCTACTCTATATTTGAGCACTCGTTCTGGTCGAGACCAGAGGACTCTGCCAGATGCGTTCTTTCTCTGCCACCATTGGTGGCTCCAACCAAGGTGTTGCTGGTGCCATTGTCCAACCACGAGACTTTGCAGCCTGTGTTGCAAGTTGTTAAGGACAAGCTCAAGTCGAAGCAGATTCCGTTCAAGGTGGACGACTCGTCGGCTTCGATTGGTAAGAGATACGCCAGAAACGACGAACTGGGAACCCCATTCGGCATCACCATCGACTTCGAATCGATCAAGGACAACAGTGTCACTTTGAGAGAAAGAGACTCCACTCTGCAAGTTAGAGGATCTATCGAGTCAGTGGTCGAGGCAATCGTCAACATCACATACAACCAAGTTTCCTGGAAAGAGGGAACCAAGCACCTCGAGAGCTTTGAGTCCAAGGCCGACGAATAGGCGTGCTACCCGTATATATATAATATAGCTGGCTTGAAATTCATTGTCCCGGAGAACTACACCCGTGCACCGCACAGATTTCGACAACAGCATAAAAACAATTAGAACAGCTTTTCACGAGACTGCATGGAACATTCTTGCGCTACAGCCTGAGTTTAGTGTATCGTTGCTTGTGTCACTATGGATTCCCGAGAAAACAGCGGTCCGGTTCCGCTAGCGGGCCAAGCGGCCCTGCCCAGATACAAGGGCACGTACAATGTGAACGCATTGGCAACCGAGTCCCATGATACAGATTCCAGTGTTGAGCCGTTGCAGGAGGACCTGGACACCCAAAAATCGGACACAGATCAGGACGAGCCTCTGGGATCAGTGCCCGTTCGCAAAACCCCGGACTTCTTTCAGCCCGTCATGAATATAAGCGATGCGAACAATGGCAGTACCGCGTCATTGCCGTCCCAGCAGGGCGAGTACGAGGGAAAAGCGCCCGATTTGGACACAGAGCCCAAGCTGATGTCGAACCTGAGCTCGCCCGTGCGCGTGCTGCACCACAAGCAGGGGTCAATCGGCGACATGCTCAGCGACAAGGACGATCAGGGGTCTAGAACTTTGCGTCAGTCCACAGCCACGGAAAAATCAAACTACTCGCATATCATCGATAACTACCAGGACGGCCCGGACTCGCCGTCCAGAAACACCAGGTCCGAGCCCGAACACATACCCAGATCTTCAAACGGGTCGAATCTGGCACTTGGTGGCCGAACGTCGAACGGCTCTGCCAACCTCATGAACGGGTCAGATCTCCGACCCGACAAACTGGGGCCTCCGTCCAACAGGTCTGCGTCGTCGTCGATCTCGTCCGCGCGCAAGCCCGTCTCGGTGGCCACAACGCCCTCCTCGGAAACCAAGAAGAGCAAGATCAAGTCCAAGAAGATGTTTGGCAACATCACCAGCTTCGTTTCAAGTTTGAGTGCTTCTTCGTCCAGATCGGCCACTCCGTCGCGCATCATTTCGGAACCGTACGACTACGTCCGGCACCAGCACGTCGAGTACGATCCAGACTCCCAAACATACATTGGATTGCCCGAGGAATGGAAAAAGGCCCTTGCTGCTCAAGGTGTTACCGTGGAGGACCAGAAACGCAACCCCCAGGCCGCCAACCAGGTCATCAACTTCTTCAACACAAACTACAACGACACCTCTAACAAATACATGAAGGTCCAGGGCCACCAGTCGCAGCGCAGCAACGACAACGACGACAGTTTGAGCGACAGTGATTTCAAAACCCCAAATCTCTCGTCAGCTACGCAGTTCGATCCGTCCAGCGCCAAGACCACCACCACGAGTCCATCCAGCTCGCGTCTCCTGGCCACCCCAATATCCTACCAGAAAGAGCCAACATTTTCTGCGCCTGACAACGACCCAGAGTTCATTCCTCGAAGACACGCTCCTCCGCCGCCATCTTCCGCAAAGGCCACTCCGGCCATGTCGATGTCGTCCAAGAGCCCGCTCGTGGGAACTATATCGCGGATTCCTTCTGGGTCCAAGAAAACGGCGGCCTCGTCGCCGTCCTCGATCATCGGCAGTCTCTCGCGGAGATTTGGCTCCGGCCATGGCTCTGCCTCCACGAGCGTCCGTTCCGAACGTCCACAAATTTTGCATCTGGGAGAGATGCTGCCGGGCCAAGCAGGCCAAGCAGGCCAAACAAGCCAGACCCCTGCTCAACAGGCTGTGCCGATCTCTCCTCCGTCGAATCCGAAAAGAGAGCAGGCAGTTTTCGACGCCAACAAGGAGCTTCCAATTCCTGTTCCGCAACGACAGGCTCCTGCCGTGCCGCCGACCTCGCCGCCCGCGGTGCCCGTGAAGGACAAGACGCCGGAGAAGAAGGACACTATCACCGCGGTGATACCTCCGATCCCGCTGGTGAAGCCAAAGTCTGGTAAAACACCGCTCACCGAGGCAGAACAGGAGCGCAGACGCGAGCTGCGCAGAGCCAAGGAGAGAAAGTGTCTGCAACGACTGACGGAGATCTGCTCGGCCGAGGATCCAAACCAGAAGTACAAGAACCTGGTCAAGGTGGGCCAGGGAGCGTCTGGCGGAGTGTACACGGCAACAGACCTGGAAACCAGTCATTGCGTGGCCATCAAACAGATGGAGCTCGAAAAACAGCCCAAGAAGGAGCTCATCATCAACGAGATTCTGGTGATGAAGGGCTCGAAGCACGACAACATCGTCAACTTCATCGAGGCGTACCTGATGAAGAGAAACTTGTGGGTGGTGATGGAGTACATGGAAGGAGGATCACTCACAGACATTATTATTCAAAGCGTTCTGACGGAGGGACAGATGGGTGCTGTTTGTCGCGGAACGTTGCAAGGACTCAAGTTCTTACATTCCAAGGGAATCATCCACAGAGACATCAAGTCCGATAATATTCTGCTTTCGCTTGAAGGAGACATCAAGCTGACTGATTTCGGGTTCTGTGCGCAGATCAAGGACTTTTCCGCCAAGCGTAACACCATGGTGGGCACGCCGTACTGGATGGCTCCCGAGGTGGTCACCAAGTCGGACTACGGTCCAAAAGTGGACATCTGGTCGTTGGGAATCATGACGATCGAGATGATCGAAGGTGACCCGCCATACATGAACGAGACCCCGTTGCGCGCGCTTTACTTGATCACCACGAACGGAAAGCCGACTCTGCACGACCCGGAGGCCTTGTCCGAGGAAATGATAAGCTTCCTGGACAGCTGTTTGGAGGTGGACGCTGAGAAACGGTTAACGGCTGTGCAGCTGCTGGACTCGCCGTTCATTAAAAACGCAGACGAGTACTCGTCGCTCGCCCCGCTCGTCAAGATGGCCCAGATGCAGAAGCTCGCAGAACGGTCAGAAAGCGAAGACAACGACCCATAGATAAGCATATACCTTGTTTAGGCGTAAGCATACAATTTCTATTGTACAATTATTCACATACTATCCTCGTCGTCCTCGTCGTCGTCGTCCTCAGGAGAACTCACAACAACGTACTTGGACTGGACAAAGAACAGCTTCACCACCGTCTTGCCCTTGTTGTCAAACTGGTAAAAGTTACCCATCGGAACCTCGAAAGAACACCCCGACACCACAACAAACGGACTGTGCGACAACGTCACCTCTAGCACGCCCTGTATCACGAAGAAGATGAAGTAGGTGTCGTCGTTGGACTTGATGGCTTTGCGCGAGCCAACAGGGATCTCGATGATCCCGCCTCCGCTGAACTCGCTGTCCTGGTCAAACAGCGTGGCAATCCGGAAAAACTCCTCGCTGTTCTTGATGATGGATATGTTTTTCGACTTGTTAGGGGCCCATGCGACGGTCCGCTCGATCTGGTTCTCAGACCCAGGACCTTCGAACACAGGGATCGTCAGTGAGTTCTTCTGTAGCCACTCACCGCCGTCCAGCTGCTGCGCTTCCTCTTGCTCGTTCTTCTGCTCCTCAACGGGCTGCTCCACAATCTTGGGTTGAACAGCAGCCGGCACCGGCTCCTCGCTCTGCACCCGCGGGGTCCTGCTTCTTCGCCGTGTCTTTGTCGTTGGGGTCACCGACGACTGTCTTCTCTTGCGCGTCACCGGCTTGGCCTCAGGACGGTGCAGAACGTCCTTGATCTGCTTCACATACGTGCCATTCTCGGTCCGCGTTTCGTAGATGATCTTCTCGTTTCTCCACCACGCCACAGGCGTCACTCGGGTTCTGGAAGACCGTCTTACACCCGAATCGCTCACAGGAGTTTCTTCTTTGGGCCGCGAGACTTCCTCCACAGAGTTATCGTTCTGCTTGACCAGAGGAAGCGAGTCCTCAGAAATGCTCACGACCTCTTCGTCCTCGTCGTTGTCCACGACCCCCTCGTCATGAGCGTCCGAACGCTCGAAGTCGGAGTCTGCCGACTCCTGTATCTGTTCTTCCTCCGGCTCAGGCTCGGATTCCTGGTCTGAAATGACAAGTTTGGAAGTTTTGGCTGGCTTCTTCTGGAGAGCCATGTTTTTCGTGATAGAGGCAAACTGGTGCGCCCGCGTGGACTTCGATGCCGTATTCACCGGTGGTTCATCTTCCGACACCTCTTCGCTATCGACGTCCAAGATACTGGACTTGGAGCCCGGCCGCACGTCTTTTTTCAACGGTGACGGCTGCAACGACTTGGGAGATTTCGACACCGACTGCAGCTGCGAGGACGCTGGCGAGCCATTGACAGAAGCCTTCTTGCGCACGTTGGGTCTGATCGGAGACCCCATCTGGGTGGCTGCGTTGATTATCTCATCAGCATCGTCTGAATCGCTTTTATCTTGGTCTTCATCGCTGGACGAGATCAGCAGCATACTCAAACTGCCCTTCGGCTTAGCTGGTCTGGATTTGGGACTCTTTGTTGGAGTTTGCGCCTGAGATTTGTGTGCCTTGAGTTGCTGGTACCGTTGCGAGAGTCGTTTATTAGGAGAAGTGTTGATTTTTTGGTTATTAGGAGACTCGTATTCTTCGTCAGAAAGAAAGAAGTCTTTCAGATCTTCCAGCCCGTTCTCGTTCTTCTTGGGTGTTCGCGTAAGAAAGAAGCCTGTTTTCCGGCCGACTTTGCCCGGAGGCTCGAACACCTCGCTTTTTCGATAGCTCATGGAAGATGATAGTAAGAGTTGATGGAAATGGAGTGGTTTTTCTAGACTTTGTTGGATCTATAACGATTGTGCAATTATCCAACCAACAATCGCAAGGCTCAAACGCGTAATTTGTCACGATTCTAAAAAATTGGAACCAATGGTAAACCCCCAAACCCTATATCAGATTGTTTAGTTTGTTTATTTTCGATATTAGAAATAAAATCGACGCGATATGGAGGAAACTTTTTTTTCTTCTCTTTCAACTATAAAGAGGTCGATCGACCCTGATTTTTATATATCGTTACAATTAGCCACCAATTGCTAGTTCAATGGTACCACCTCGTTAGATTCCCCGTCGTGATAAGCGCGCATCTCAACCTTGAAGTCTGCACACGCGACTCCAAAAGTCTTCAAAATTAAAGCTTGTCTAACATCCAAAACGTCACCTTCGTTGACAACTTTGTATGGCTCAGGGAGGGTGATTTTTCCAGACACAATCTTGGTTGGCAGCTTGAATTTGTTACGCAAAGTTGGCTCCATCGAATGCGACATTGGAACGTCTTCCTCCTCAGGAACTTGTCCTCCACGAGAGTACACAATCCCTTCTGGAATCACAAACGTTATTGGCGACTTGGACTTGGCTCTTGGATAGTCAGACTTGACGTATGCGTTGAAGTATGCCTTAACAGTTTCTGGTTCTTCGTCTGTAAATAGCAGTCCGATCAGTCCATCTGTGTATTGAACGATCTTGTGTAGGTTGTCTTTGTATTCCTGTTCTGGAGACTCTCCCAGAGCCTTCTCAAGAACCTTTCTCTTTCCGAGGATCAACTTGGATCCGACCCAGTCTCTGCGGATATCCTGCAAAACAGGAGTTCTAACGTCCTCCAAACCAAGCACCCACGTGTACTTGTGGGCGTCCAGAGCAGCTCTAACCTCATCGAAGATTCTGTTCTTGTTCTCACGACCCTTTTTGTCGGTCTGCGCCAAAGTGACGAGCTTAGATCTCTTCGAACGAGGCATCTTTAGCTTAATCTAAAATTTTTCAATCTAGCTAAATATTTTTCAAATATTTTTTCATCCCGTTTCCAGAAATGGGATCCTTGATTAAATAATCTGATTGAAGGCAAAAGGAAATCAAAGGCGATCTAAGAAAGAACAGACGGAGTTTTTGTGGGGGGAAAATCGCATAAATAACACCAAATAGCAGCATTTCACACGCTTTGAGGTCCATAAACAACATCTCAGTATGACCAGGCAGCTCAATCCAAGGAAGTCCAAGACTCATACAAGAAACTCTTCAGAGTCCCAGGAACACGATATCAATCGGTTTGACCAGGAAATGGTCGACGCAGACTTTGAGACAGAAGACCAGGACGAGGAGGACGCCGTGCTCACAAGACTTGCAGGCAACTACAGGCGCTTCTCTGAGTCCCAGAACAGACTGCACCACGATTCTGGCGAAGACATCGAGTCTCGCACCACTTACGATTATGACGAAGAGGAAGAGGAAGAAGAGGAAGACGACCTCATGCGCTCGTTTCACGGAGCCCTCGGGACAGCGTCTAGCGCACATGGCGCTCAATTGGAACTCAACCTGGCCAACGCCCTTGGAAGCTCTTCGCGGTCAGAACATTCCGTTGGCACCTCCAGAGACGATAACGAAGACCACGACTCTGCCCACCAAGACCACGAGATCGGCATGTTCAGAAGCGCTCTGGGAAGAATGTTCCCCGGTGCAGGCTTCGGAGAGGTGTTTGGCAGCATAACCCGAATCTCAGAACTCGTTAATGCACTTAAAGAACACCAAGATCCATTTATGATTTTAGAAACCTTGAACGAACTGTCCGAACGATTATTGATGATGAACGGCATCATGGCCGAGCGCAACTTACCGTCATACAAACTGGCACAGTCCATTGTGTCCATCATCGAGAACCCTATGTACCAAGAAGACTTGGAGGTTCAGTTGGTGGCGTGCCGTTGTCTTTACAATTTGCTGGAAGTCAACACCGATGCGGTTCACGACGCAGTCTCTGCAGGAGCGATCGAAGCGCTTCAGTCCAAACTCATAGAAATCAGTTACATCGATTTGGCAGAACAGGCTCTGCAGACTCTGGAAATGATTTCCAGAGAATGCGGCCGAGAAATTCTACTCAAAGATTGTCTTCCTGCATGCTTGATGTACTTGGACTTCTTCACAATCCACGCACAACGGAAAGCGCTTTCCATCGCTGCCAATTCATGCAAGAACGTTCCTTTATCCAAATTCAACCTCCTGAACGAGGCTTTCCCAATAATAGAGCGCGTGGCCATTGAATATTCCGACTCTGCATGTTTGGAGAGCGCATGGCTTGCCATCTCACGAGTGATCAAGAGTTTTGACCGAGAACCACAGTTATTGGAGCTCCTCATTAACGAGAAGCTTATCAAGAAGTTGTTGACTCTTCTTCCTAGCTGTTTGGGTAGAGGAAGACATTCTAACAATTTTATAGGGTTCGGTTCGTGCCTTAAACTCATCAAGTCTCTCTCAGTCATTGCAAATGCATCTCCAAAACTATCGAACGTTTTACTTGAAAACGGAGAGATTGGGAAAATGATCCTGTCGTCAATCGCTGGTTACGAAAAGACAGACAAAGAGGAGAACGTCGCAGGGACAGCCGAACAGCAGGTGTCCGTTGAGGCACTTATGGCCACACCAAAGGAGCTGATACTTGCTATAATCAATCTGATTGCACCAATACTTCCATTCTGTGAATTTGATCAAAGCTCTACCAAGGCCACTGATGTTGGTAACTACCGCGGATACAGAAGCTCGCGTGATCGGTTGAACTCAAACAAAGCGAGAATCGAGTTATACAACAGCGAAGAGAATGTCAAGGCGTTTGAATTGTTCATCCAGGAGATGTTCCCATTGATTCTTAACATTTACTCTTCGACGGTGGATTACCAAATAAGAAGGCTCGGATTGGTTTGTCTAATCCGTTTGGTTGGTTCAGCCAAAACTGACCAGCTCTCCAATCTTGTCCAAACATGCAACATAACTTCTTTGTTGGCATCAATCGTGACTCATGGACACCACGTTTTAAAGAAGGGAACGAACACAAGCGGATCGATCCACGAAATGAGACCATATGTTCTGATGTACGGGGCATTGGTGGTCACAGATATGCTCTTGGTGAAGGCACCCAATGTGTTTTTAGCAGACTTCGAAAGGGAAGGCCTCATCGCTCACGCACAGCAATTCACAGAAGATCTCGCAGCAGACGAGAGAGTCTCCAAAGCACTTGGGGAACACAGCGTTGGGGAAGACGATGGACAGATGGACGATATTGATTCTGAAGAAGAATTCGACCAAGAAAGCTCAAACGTGAGCCAGCAAGAACACGTTCATCATGGCGATTCCAAACACGTCGAAGATGTTGATGATGAGTCTAACGAGCAAGCCGATACATCAGATTCACCAGACGACGACGACGAAGAAGACTCTTACATGCCTCGACCTGTTTACGACTACACGCTTGAAAGTGATGGTGTAGCTGCTCTCACAATGGACGCGTTACTGACAGAGCTTGCAAAAGCTGGACAAACTCTCAGAAAAGATTACTTTTCAGTCAAAGCCACTACTCCTCATCTGTCTTCTTCGCAAACGGCACGGCTATTACAGCTGAAAACTATCTTCGACAATGCTCACTCTTTGAAATATCAAGACTGGTTAGAGCTTTGGCGCAGGTTTGCGGAAACTTGTGGTTTTGTCAAAGGCGGAAGACAGATATCGAGTTATGAGCTGATATCATCAGGAGTGATACCACTTCTTTCTGAGCTGTTTAATGACGAGTCTGCACATGAGAGTTCAGAGTGTTTAAGAGCATTCCAAGAAATCTTTTGCTCAACATTCAGTCCTTTGGGCAACAACGAACATTTGCCTCTGGTATATTTTGTCAAAAAGCTTGAGGAAGCATTGAGTCGTACAGAGTCTTTTGAGATTATCAGCTCTGGCGCAAACTGGAACTCTTCCAACATGAATTCAAGAGCATCGTCGATGGCTAAACAGGTTAAACTCAAACTGACTCCTGATGATTCAGAACAAGGAGGAAGACAATTGATGCTGATGGTGCACGCAATTGCTACATTCAAGTCTATCAACGAGTTTTTGAAGCAACGTGCCGACGGAATGCGTGGTTTAATGAGAGCGATTTCGATTCCAACACCAGTGTCTCAAGAAAGCGAGACACCGTACCATCTGGAATTCACAATCAATGGGGAAATCATCCCGCACGGAACGACTATTTATGGAGCTATTCACCGGTCTTTGCAAACGGAGTCCAACGACATTGTTCCATCACGCAAGATCTGGACCGCTGTTCCTCACGAGGTGCACTATAGAAGGGTCGAAGGCGAATCCCCGGAATACGACGAGGATTTGTATCCAGCAGAGGGAATCGATGATTCATTGGAGTCTCTTGGAGACGAGTCTACTGTTCAGATACTGAAACTCCTGCAGATACTTTATGCAGTGAACGGTTCAACACGTAATCCAGGGGCTTCCGAAACGTTGTTCCTAAACTACAAACTGACTGCAAAACTGAACCGTCAATTGGAAGAGCCTTTGATTGTTGCCAGTGGGACGTTGCCGGACTGGAGTGTCCATATCACGCGACAAGTTCCATTCTTGTTTCCAATCGACACAAGAGTGTTCTTTTTACAATCCACATCGTTTGGGTTTTCTAGATTGATCAACCTTTGGCAAAACAGATCCAGCCAAGAAGACCACGACGGGTCAAGCTCGTCTGCCAGCAGCGCACCGCAGCTTGGAAGGCCCGTTAGGCACAAGCTTAGATTGTCCAGAAAGAAGCTGTTGCAAGGAGCGGTCAAAGTTATGGACGGGTATGGAACAATTCCTGGTCTTTTAGAGATTGAGTATTTCGATGAAGTTGGAACTGGGTTGGGTCCAACTTTGGAGTTCTATGCTAACGTCTCCAAAGAATTTTCGAAGGCAAAGATCAATATGTGGCGAACCAATGGTGGTGCACGCTATCGCGATTCCGAATCGTCATCATCATCTGACTCTGAAAACGAGTATGTGAAATTCGAGACAGGTTTGTTCCCACGACCACTACATTCACCAAGCAGCAAGATTCTGCACCTGTTTTCTGTGTTAGGACGATTTGTTGCTCGGTCATTACTTGATTCCCGCATCATTGATTTTGAGTTTAATCCGCTATTTTTCGAGATTGCCAAAGAGCTCGACACAAAGAGCTGGAGAACATTATCACGGACGCAGTCAATCGAGAGGGTTGGAAAGGTGGATCCAGGACTAGCCAAGGCTCTCTCGCATTTGGCTAAGTATTTGGATGTTTATGCCGAGGTTCCTGAATCGTATCGGTCTGAGGTTGAAATTGACGGGTCCAAATTGAGCGATTTGTCGCTAAACTTCACTCTACCTGGATACGAGGATGTCGACCTCATCCCTAACGGTCAAGATGTTGAGGTTTCGCACCTAAATTTGGCTCAGTACATCGACAAGGTGGTTGACATGACAATCAAATCAGGAGTTCGTTCGCAGATCCGGTCGTTTGTGGAAGGCTTTTCAGCCGTGTTCCCGTACTCATCGATGACCATTTTCTCTTCAGGGGAGCTTGTCAGACTGCTTGGCAACGGGGAGGAAGACTGGTCGTACGATACCTTAATGAGCGCTGTCCATGCTGACCACGGCTACACAACAGAATCAGCAAGCGTGCAAAGGTTATTGGAGATTATGAGCGAGTTTTCGTCGGACGAGCGCAGAAAGTTTCTACAGTTCCTGACGGGGTCGCCGAAATTACCGGTTGGCGGGTTCAAGGCTCTGAGTCCAGACTTGACTGTGGTTCTTAAACATTCGGAAGATGGTTTGCAACCTGATGATTATCTCCCAAGTGTCATGACATGTGCCAATTATCTCAAGTTGCCGGACTACTCATCAAAGAAAGTGATGCGCAAACGATTGATAACGGCAATGACCGAAGGAGCAAACTCATTCTTACTTTCATAAATGTTTAATAATACTAGGTACCTATTTAGTTTCCACGAACCCATCCGTTGAGCTTGGAAAGCCAGCTCTGGGCCTGGTCGTTAGAGTTGCTGAGGCCTTGTTTTGTCTGTTGGATCAGCTTGGAGCTGCCGTCCTTGACGTTTTCGTTGACCTGGTTAAGGTAGTTGTTGAGGTTATTCTGTGCCTGATCTTTCTGCTTTAACACTTCTTCGTACTGCTTCTTAGCAGCATCCTGAGCCTCCTGAGACTTGGCCTTTCTCCATCTCAACCAGCTGCTCTGGGTCTCGTCGTACTGCTTCTTGGCCTGCTTGGACTGTTCATCGTAATAATCGTACAATTTCTGGGCAGACTCCTTGGTCTTGGCAGCAAACAGACCGGTCTTATCGCTCAGAGCACCGATGTGCTCGTTCGCAACCTCGCCGGCCAGCTGGCCAAAGCCTGCGATGGCCCTGTCGGCCTCCTTGGCAATGTCCTTATCGGAGAGCTGGCCACGGAAATTGTCGGTAAACTTCTCCACGTTCTTCTGTCCGGCCTCCAAGGCCTCGGAACCTCTCTGCTTCACGTTCTTGGACCACTCGTTCAGACGCTGCTCAGTGTCCTTCAACACGTCCGAGCCGTACTTTGACAGGTTGTCACGTGCACTGTCCAAATTCTTCTTTGCGGCTTCCAATTCCTTGTTGGAGTCGTCTTTTTTAGACTCACCCCATTGGAGCCACCCCTTCTTGTGTTTAGAGGCCTTGTCCTCCGCCTCGTAGTACTTCTCCCACGCAGAAGCATAGGCGCTCTGAGCAGATTCCTTGGACGAGCCAAAGAATGAACTAAATCTATCTTTCGAGCTCTCCAGACGGTCAATCACACCAGAACCTGCCGAGTTGACAGAATCCTTTATTTGGCTACCGGCCTGCTGAGCATTCTCCTGAATGTTGGAATTCTTCTCGTTAATCCACGAGCTGGCCGAATTCTTGAACTCCTCAGCCTTCTGAACTCCAGCGTTGTAGGCCGAATCACTGTAAACCTCCACCTTTGGAGGAGGGTTCCAATTGTACAGCCCCAATTGATCAACGTTGCGGCCGTGATTGTATTGCACATCATAGATGTACAAACCAGTCAGCCCGGTGGCCAAAGCCAAAATATATCTGTTTGCGAATTTACCTGAAGTCATTTTGTTTTCCTGGAATAGTCTTCTGGGGGTCCATATAAATATTCTTGCACAGCAAACTTGCTACCAACAGTTGCCATGTCGCCGCACGCTATAGAAAAATCTCCAGAATTCCACGTGAGAAGAGCAATTTTGGTGTCATCTGCGCGGTGTACGGATGTGGACCCGCCCATGGATTAGGTGCGAGGGGGCGACACGATTTTTCGTGAAAATTGTAAATACCACACACGTAGTTGATCTGTCAGGTTCAATCACAGCGAACTTCACTTTTTCACCAAAACAAGTGACACGTACCTGCTGCGAGTCGTATGCACCCTGTCATTTTTAAGTCGGGACCGTTACTTTCAAGTGTCAGAGCTTTGCGTTGTGGGAACTTTTCCAAATTACCCATTTCCCTCTTTTTACGATCCAACAGTACTTCCAGAATGAGTGATTCCGAGTCCCAGTACTCGTTGTCTGCGACACCGTCGCCGCAGAAACCAAAGAAGAAGCCTCTTTCTAATTCTACAAATACCACCAATGGCTCAAAGTCCTCGGCTAGTGATCAGTACCAGAAGCTTTCCCAGCTCGAGCACATCTTGAAGCGTCCAGACACCTATATTGGGTCTGTTGAGAAGTTCGAGTCCGAGCAATGGATCTTCAACGAGGAGACTCAGTCCATGGAAAAAAAGCTTGTGAACATTGTTCCTGGTCTGTTCAAGATCTTTGACGAGATTCTGGTCAATGCTGCAGATAACAAAATTAGAGACCCATCGATGAAGAAGATCGACGTCAAGATCGACGCAGAGAATAACGCGATCTCCGTCAGAAATGACGGAAGAGGTATTCCGATCGAGATCCATACCAAAGAACAGATTTATATCCCAGAGCTGATCTTTGGTAACCTGCTCACCTCGAGTAATTACGATGACGACCAGAGAAAAGTCACTGGTGGAAGAAACGGTTACGGAGCCAAGCTATGTAACATTTTCTCGACCGAGTTCACCGTGAAGACTGCCGATAAAAACACCCAGCTGCTGTACTCGCAAACATGGAGAAACAACATGTCTGAGGCGGGCAAGCCAAAGATCACCAAGATGAAGAAGCAGGAAGAATACACAGAAATCATCTTCAAGCCCGACTTGGCAAAGTTCGGAATGGAGACCCTAGATAGCGACATTCTCGGGGTTTTAAGAAGAAGAGTGTACGATCTGTGTGGTTCGGTGAAAGGAGTGAAGGTCAGCCTGAACGGGACCACTCTCAAGGTGCACAATTTCAAACAGTACGTGGAACTGTACGTTAGAGCGCTGGAAAAAGCCAAGGGCCACAACGTTGATGTTCCTGTCAAGTCTGAGCCTGCTGAGGACGGTGCCATCAACCCGCTCCCAGCCCCAGATCCGTTGCCCACAATTGTGCACCAGGTCATTGACGATAGATGGGAGATTGCCTTTTCGATCTCTGACGGTAACTTCAACCAGGTTTCTTTTGTGAACTCGATTGCCACCACCTCGGGTGGTACGCACGTTGAATTGGTTACCAACCTGCTCGTGGCAAAAATCCAAGAACAAATCAAAAAGAAGAGCAAGACCGCCATTATCAAGCCGTTCCAGATCAAAAACAACATGTTCCTTTTCGTGAACTGTTTAGTTGAGAATCCAGCTTTCACATCCCAGACCAAGGAGCAGCTCACCACCAGAGCGTCCCAGTTTGGTGGAAAGAAACTGGAGCTCCCAGATTCGTTTGTGAAGAAAGTGCTCGCTTCTGGAATCCTCGATAGTGTTATGGACATTGCTGCTGCAAATGCAGACAAGGCATTGAAGAAAAACGACGGTAGCAGAAAGAGCAGACTTACTGGATACCCTAAACTGGAAGATGCAAACAAGGCAGGAACCAAAGAAGGACACAAGTGTACTCTGATTCTGACAGAAGGAGATTCTGCCTTGTCGTTGGCTGTTTCCGGTCTTGCTGTTGTCGGAAGAGATTATTACGGATGTTATCCACTTAGAGGTAAGATGTTGAACGTGCGTGAAGCCAGTACCGACCAAATCATGAAAAACGCAGAAATCCAGGCTATCAAGCAGATCATGGGTCTGCAACATAAAAAACACTACGACGCGTCCAACGTCAACACCCTGAGATATGGACACCTTATGATCATGACAGATCAGGATCACGACGGTTCCCATATCAAAGGTTTGATCATCAACTTCTTGGAGACCTCGTTCCCTGGATTGCTGGAGATTCCAGAGTTCTTGATCGAGTTCATCACACCTATTGTCAAGGTGACTATTTTGACAGGTCCAAACAAGAACAAGAAGATCTCGTTCTTCAACATGCCCGAATACGAGGAGTGGAGAGACACAGAGGGAAGAAGTTGCTCGTACAAGCAAAAGTACTACAAGGGTTTGGGTACTTCTCTTCCACTGGAAATGAGAGAGTATTTCAGTCAGCTTGACCAGCACTTGAAGAAGTTCCACACACTTCAAGAGGAGGACAAGTCGCTAATTGATCTGGCTTTCTCCAAGAAAAAAGCCGACGATCGTAAAGAATGGCTAAGAGGGTTCCAGCCAGGAACTTTCCTTGATCCATCGTTGACAGAGATTCCTATTTCTGAGTTTATCAACAAGGAGCTGATCTTATTCTCCATGGCAGATAACATTCGATCCATCCCGTCTGTTCTGGACGGTTTCAAGCCAACACAGAGAAAAGTTCTTTATGGTGTTTACAAAAGAAACCTTACCGGAGAAATCAAGGTTGCACAACTTGTTGGTTACATTGGTGAACACTCCGGATATCATCACGGTGAGGCCTCGTTGACGCAAACGATTGTGTCTTTGGCACAGGATTTCGTTGGCTCTAATAACTTGAACATCTTGAAGCCAAATGGAGGTTTTGGTTCGAGAGCATCAGGAGGTAAAGACGCCTCTGCTGCAAGATATATTTTCACAGAAATCACTCCAATCACGCGGAAAGTTTTCAATCCGCTAGACAATCCTTTGCTCACTTACTTACAAGACGACGAGCAAACCGTCGAACCCCAGTGGTATGTGCCTGTGCTCCCTATGTTGCTTGTGAACGGATCAGAAGGTATTGGATCTGGATGGAGTACTCAAATTCCACCCTTCAACCCTATCGACATTGTCAAGAACATCAGGTGTTTGATGAATGGTGACGAGATGATTGACATGGTTCCGTGGTTCAAAGGATGGGAAGGTTCGATCAGAAGAATCGGTCCTGACAAGTTCAGGATGGAAGGTAACATCGAGGAGCTTGATGACAATACTCTGGAGATCACCGAGTTGCCTGCTCGTATGTGGACCATCACCATGAAGGAGTTCCTGTTACAAGGAATTGCAGGATCCGAGAAGCAGAAGCCATGGATCAAGGACATGGAGGAACAGCACGGAGTTGGGATCAAGTTCATTGTGACTCTGAGTAACGAGGAAATGGAAAAGTCAAGAAGAATTGGTCTCAAGGAAAGATTCAGGCTTGTTTCTGTGATCAACACCTCCAACATGGTTGCATTTGATCCGCAGGGAAGAATAAAGAAGTACGACCACGTGAACCAGATCATTGAGGACTACTACCATGTGAGACTTGAGTACTACCAGAAACGTAAGGACTACATGGCGAACCTATTTTCGAACCAGTTTGAAAAGCTCTCCTTCCAGGCCAAGTTTGTCAAGATGATCATCGATAGAGAGCTTTCCATTAACAACAAAAAGCGTGCCGTTCTCGTTTCTGAGCTGAAGAGTCTTGGATTCCCAGGTTTCGACAAGCAGAACAACCCTATCAGAATCACCGAACTGAACGAGGAGGATGACGAGAATGATGAAGAGAAGGAGGAGATCGTGCAAGACGCGACTGCTGTTGTTCAAGAAAAGAAGACTGCTGCCTCTGCGTACGATTATCTGTTGGGCATGCAGCTTTGGTCTTTGACCCGCGAGAGATACGAGCGGTTGCTCAAGCAGAGGGATGAGAAGGAGGCCGAGCTGAACGATCTGTTGAGAAGAAGCGCAAAAGACCTTTGGAACGAGGACTTGGAGGTGTTCTTGAAAGAATGGGAGCAGTTCCTATTGGAAGATAAGGAGAACCGCGAGTCGATGAGTGTTGGTAACCAGGCAAGCAAGAAGAGAAGAAGAAGACCAAAGGCAGATGGTCCTAAATCTCCGGCCAAGAAGAAGACCGCCGTCAAGAAAGAGACTCCGAAGCCAGTTGCTGCTGCCAAGCCTGAAGAGCCAAAAGAGCCCGAGTTCAAAAGCGTTTTCGGGGGTTCTGCGTCCAAGTTCAGTGCGGCCTCGAGCGTGTTTTCCACGGCAACTGCCAGTCCAGAGCCTACTGGTGCTGCTCCAGCAAAGGCGTCCTCGTTCTTTTCCAAGAAACCGGCTCCTAAGAAGGCCAAGAAGGTTGTCGAGTCTGACGAAGAAGTGCTGGGCTTGTCTGACGACGACGACGACGACGTGGCCACTCCTGTCAGCCGTGCCTCGTCCACACGGAAGAAGACCACCAAGTCGTACGTGCTGGACGAAGACGACGACTCGTTCGAAGAGCCAGAAGACGACGACGACTACGAAGGATAGATATCAATTGCTTATGTTATACAATTCAAACCTTTCTATTTGGAACCATTGGAGCCCACTTGTCTGCGATTTCCTCTGTTGGGGTGCCGACCAGAGCCTTTGGCTTGCTGGGCACGATCGGGGTGACTTTTTCTGCATGCTGTTGCGGTGCCGGATCGCTGGAGACGGCTTTCCGTGGCGGAGGAGGAGGAGGGGGAGCAGACGTGGCTGGGGCAGGCGAGCTTGTAGACGACCGTGTTGGTCTCATTGCCTCGAGCGAGTAGTTTGGACTGGCATTGGGTGCCGTGTTCGGTTTCAGCGACGTCTGGAACGACGAAGACAGACCGGGCACCAGCATCGACAGCGATTTGTCTGCGTCGTACGGCGGCGGAACACGGCGTCTCTGCGGCGTGGTCAAGGTGTTTTCCTGCGACGAGGAGTGTGCGGACGTCCGTTGCGGTAGTGGAGGCCCCTCTGCTCCGCCAGACTCGCTGGACAGGTCGATCAGCGTTGGGGCCGACGTCATTGACCAGTTGGACATCGACACGGTCGACTTGGCGTCCACGGTGTCATCGTCGTCCGCCTCGTTCAGCTCAATCACCGCCCCCTTGGACGCCATGGCCGACGACTTGTACTGCAAATACAGCTTCTTGACGATCTCCATCTTGGTCTTCTCGTCCACGAGCTTGACGTTGGACGTGAAAACTCCGTAGATGGGTTTGTGGTCCGAGTACACGAGCTCGACGATCGCGTTGTACGCCAACTGTGTCAAAGTGGCCCCTCTGTAGAGAATTCTGTCTGTCCAAGACGGAACACGCTGTTTCTCGCTAGAGTCGTAGTCGGACGTTCCCTTGTCGAACTTGTACGTTGGAATAAACTTGATCGGCATCTCTTTGAACCCGCGCATTTCCGCACGCCGTTTGAGCTCGATCCGTAGCTGGTCGTAGTCCTGAAGCGTAGCAAGCTCATTCGAATCCAACAGAGAACGCACTTCCTCGTTTGGCTTGGAGATTCTGTAGTTCAGGTCGCCGAGCCAGACGATGTTGTCATGGTGCTTGATCTGTCTATTTCTCGAGAACCGGATCGCGTTCCACGAGGTGACAAAATCGTTGTATCTCTCTTCGATGTTGGTGGTTCCCGCAGCAAGGTGTGAGTTGAAGAAACAGAACGAAGTGGACCCGTAGTCAAACCGGATCGCAACAGACCCCTTGTTCGCAGTCATACCTCCAAGTCCAGTCTTCTTGGACTTTCCCTCCACCTGTGTGATTTTTGAAACAACGTCTGCCTTGACATAGAGCAGCAACAACACAGACGACATGTACTCAGCACGCAACAGCAGGTACTTGTTGGAACCAGCATCATTCAACTGTCGTTCAATGACGGACTGCCAATACTGCGACGGAGTGGCGTCGTTCTTTAGTATGTTGGACGCGTTAAGCTCAATCACTTCCTGGAAACCGACAATCACTATGTCGGGAGAAAACGAAGAACCGCCGATCTTGCGCGGGAATAGCCAGCTGCTGAGGTCACCAGAAATCGTGTTACCAGCAACGTTGTACGATCCAACGTAGATAGTGATGTCCTCATGAGAAACAAACTTGCGCTCGTACTTTTTCGACTCCTCGTTCACGTACTCTGTGATCGGATCAAAAATTAAGACAGGTAGCTGGTTGGAGTTTTTTCCAAGCAGCGTGTCGGTGACAGCCTGCTTGCCCTTGTCGACGAAATTGTTGATGTATATTCTGCTGATGCTCTTTGTTGCGTCCGAAAAGGCCCCCGCAAACCCCATTTTGCCAGACCGCGAGAAACTCGACTTGAGAGCGTTGGTGCCTGTGTATATCTGGGAGATCTGGTCTCCATGGTCGGCCCACAGACTGCTGTGTTTGTTGTTGAGGTCGTAGATGTCTCCCTTGCGGAAAGCCTTGACGAATTCGTCGAGTGCCGCCATGGAAATTACCTGCTGCACCACGTTGGTACGATCCAGACAGTCCAGACAGTTCACACGGAAAACGCCCTGCTGTTCCAGCAGAATCTCTTTGGTGGCCTTGTTGTAGCAGTAGAACCCAAACCGGTCCAGAGAAAGCTGGATGTCGGACAAGATTCTGGCTGCGTGTGCATAGGTTTTTGCTGTCTCTTGGTGGAAGTCAAAGTCAGTGAAATAGACCGAGTCGGGTTTCTTTTCGTCCAAAGCCATGAAATGATGCTTGTATTCTCTGTTGAGCTCAACCTCGGACGATTTTGTGGACGACAGAAGGTTCACAATGTTGACAGGACCGTACTTGCCGTTGAGGTTCTCGAAATGTTTTTCGAAAACAGGCTGAGTCGCTTCGAAACTTCGGGTGATCTGAACTTTGGGCGAGATGAGAGCCGTATCCTGTTCCCAGAACACAGGAATCGAGCCTCTGATCTGGGTATATGCAAAAACGTGGTGTTCGTCGTCGTAGATGAGTTCTGTCTCGACAAAGTTGGCAACGTTGCCGTCGTCGTCGACTCCACGCACGTTGAACCGCGTGCCCGCCCGTTTCCAGGACTGCTTGGAGATGATGGTGAGTTTGGACTTTCTGCCTCCAACGCTCGCACGCATGGTTTCTGCAAAACCGCGGATCACTGTGGTGAGAAACCTGTTTTCATCCAGCACTTTTTTGGGCAGGTCGTCCAGGTTGTTGCGGAACTTGATCACCTCCTCCATCATGAACGCGTTCCACATGTAGTCCAAATGGAATCTGTCGCGCGAGAGCGAGTTCTTTGTGTCTATGCCTCTTGTTTGCAAAGTGCTGGTGAGATCAAAGTCCGAGCTGTAGAAGAACGAGCCGTCGGTCAGCAGCTTGCGAAGCTCGTAACAAGGATGCTGTTCGTATTTCGGAGGGTATCCGCCAGGCTGGGACTCGGAGTCGGCATCCAATGGGAACCCGTTGGCGTTGAGTTCCAAAAAGTCCCAGGTGTCCCTTGTTAAACAATGGAATTCAACGTCCATGATCTTGTTGATGACCTCGCCCTCAATCGGCGACGCCACATCGACCTTTCCTGTGATCACCGACAAAAACACATCTCCGTTCATCTCAATCAGCCCCAGAAAGCCCAGAGGCTTGTGTCTAGACAACGACCTAAAACTCTTGCCATGGAACATATCCTTTGGAACAAGCTCGATTGCACACTTTCCCGTAGACGAGATATATCGAAACAGTAGTACGTGCGTGTCCGAAGCCAGCGCAAGAGTGCGCTGCGACTTGTTGCTGATCAGAATACGCATCGTTGACTACTCTATCAAGTTTAAGATTCAAAGGAAATGTTAGCTGGAATATAAATTCGTCCGCGCACACGACGCATCATTATATGTATTTAACACTAAGGGCCCATTTCATGTTTTCGTACACGGCGAAGGTGATGCAGGTGGCAGGAACCACTCGGATGAGGTTGGCGAACACACCTTTGTAGAACCCAAAGAGTCCCTCGCGGGTCCAGACCTCTTTGGCAGCATACACCATTCCGTACCGTCCGTGCTTGATCTGCAACCGGGACCGCACCACTTGGAGTGGATAGAATACAACAGTCGAGATCATTTTCGACACGGCGCTTGCATAGAGATACTGTGACGTGTTCAGATGGACCGAGGGCCCGGAAAGATGGGCCTTGAGTGTATCGTAGATGGAAAATTGCAGTGCACCTTGAGAAACACTGAGCAACGCGGGCGAAAGTCCTCTATAGAAACCAGAAACACCCTCTTTTTTATAGATCTGGAGCACCCCGTCTTTGATCGACAGGTAAGCTCCAGGGGAAGCGCGAGAGGTGGAGATCATTCTGGTTTTGATCACCCAGATTGGGTTGGTGAAGATCGACGTGCTCCAACCGGCTGCAAATGCACACATCAGGTACTGTGACGAGCCTAGGCTCTGAGCGGGCTGTGTGCTTGCGGTCAGCAGGCTCTTGTACTCGCCGTAGAAGCTAAAGTAGAGACCCCAGGCGGTGGTGCTACCGAGCAAATTGGGCCCGACTCCTCGATAAATATTGCGTATGAGCTGCGATCGTTGGACTACCCCGTTCGCGGACGAGTCCAGCAGCAGTTTGTTTCTGATCTGGCGGAAACTTTCGAGCTGGGTCTTGGATGTAGTGTCGAGCTGGAGTCGCAGCTTGAGGAAATCCAGCGGGTGCGAAATGAGCGTTGTGATAAATCCGGCAGTCAGTCCAGAAACCGTCTCGATGGACCGCGAGCCAAGAAGACGTGCCTCCTTAACGTCGTCCACGAGATTGACGGACCTGTCAGACATAGCTAAGTTTGAAAAGTTTTAGGGCGTCGATCGGCGCGTCTATAGGGACCAGAGCACCGTAGTGGTGGGGTGAGCAAAATGGGTCATCAGATGGAGCCTGGAGGTGATTATGGGTGAACTTGAGTGAGTTGAACTGATCTTATCACCACAACCACTTCCAAACAACTCTTTGTCTGGCCAATTTCCTGTCTGGCCAAATTTTCCAAATTACCATCAGAGTCAATTTTCCAGCTTCCATGTGCTAAAAAAATTAACAGGAAAAATTGATCCAACAATTAATTTGGTTATCATGTCAGACTTCAAACGTCTTAAGCTGAATCTTGTCAAGCCAGTCCCTTCGGACTACGAGATCTCGAGAAATCAGACTCCTAAGCACATTAGCGAGGTTGCTGCCGAGAACGGAATCACCGAAACCGAAATCGAACCATATGGAGCTTACAAGGGTAAGGTCAAGCTCGATGTGATCGACAGATTGCAACACCGTAAAGACGGTAAGTACATCTTGGTCACCGGTATCACTCCAACCCCACTTGGTGAGGGTAAGTCCACCACCACTGTGGGTCTTGCTCAGGCCATTGGTGCTACTTTGGGAAAGAAGGCCTTTGCCAACGTTAGACAACCTTCTATGGGCCCAACTTTCGGTGTTAAGGGTGGTGCTGCTGGAGGAGGATTTTCCCAGGTCATCCCTATGGACGAGTTCAACATGCACATCACCGGTGACATCCACGCCGTTGGAATGGCCAACAATCTGTTGGCTGCTGCTCTCGACACAAGAATGTTCCACGAGGCCACCCAAAGCGATAAGGCTTTGTGGAAGAGACTTTGTCCAGAGAAGAAAGACGGCACGAGAGACATTCCTATTGGACTGCTTCCAAGAATCAAGAAACTTGGTCTCGACACCATCGATCCTAAGGAGTGGACCGAGGAACAAGTGTCCAAGTTCGTCAGACTCGACGTTGATCCAAAGACCATCACCTGGAAGAGAGTTTTGGACCTCAACGACAGATCTCTCAGAGGAGTCACCATCAACCAGGCTCCTACCGAAAAAGGTCTTACCAGAGAGACTGGATTCGATATCACCGTTGCTTCTGAGGTGATGGCTATTCTGGCTCTTTCTTCTTCTTTGAAGGACATGAGAGAGAGACTCGGAAAGATGGTTGTTGCTTCCTCGAAGGCCGGTGAGCCAATCACCTGTGAGGACCTTGGATGCGCCGGTGCCTTGACTGCCATCATGAAGGATGCCATCAAGCCTAACATCATGCAAACTCTGGAGGGAACTCCGGTGTTTGTGCACGCTGGTCCATTTGCCAACATTTCGATCGGTGCCTCTTCTGTGTTGGCCGATAAGATGGCTTTGAAGCTCGCAGGTACTGAGCCAGGTTTGAGCGCTGAGGAAGAGAAGGAGCAGGCCGGATACGTCATCACCGAAGCTGGTTTCGACTTCACCATGGGTGGAGAGAGATTCCTCAACATTAAGTGCAGATCGTCTGGATTGTCTCCCGACGTGATCATCATCGTGGCCACTGTCAGAGCTTTGAAGGTGCACGGTGGTGGAGCTGAGGTCAAGGCCGGTGCTCCATTGCCATTGGAGTATACCACCGAGAACGTGGAGATGCTCAGAACCGGATGCGCCAACTTGCAAAAACACATCCAGAACGCCAAGGAGTACGGCGTGGACGTTATTGTGGCCATCAACAGAATGTCTTCCGACTCTGCCAAGGAGCACGAGGTTATCAAGGAAGCTGCTCTCGCTGCCGGTGCGACTGACGCCATTGTTTCCAACCACTGGGAGGAGGGTGGACAGGGTGCCAAGGACCTTGCTGAGGGTGTGATCAAGTGCGCTCACAAGGAGTACGCTTCTCAGAAAAACTCTGGCGAGTCGTTCCACTACCTCTACTCTACCGAGGGTTCTTCCATCGAGGAGAAGATCGAGAGTATCGCGAAGGTGATGTACGGTGCCGGCTCTGTCGAGTTCCTGCCTCAGGCCCAGGAAAAGATCAAAGAGTACACTGCCCAGGGCTTCTCCAACTTGCCAATCTGTATTGCCAAGACCCAATACTCTCTTTCGCATGACGCCAAGCTTAAGGGTGTCCCAACCGGATTCGTTTTCCCAATCAGAGACATCAAGGCATCCATCGGTGCTGGCTATTTGTACGCTTTGGCCGACCAGATCCAAACCATTCCTGGTCTGGCCACCAAATGTGGTTTCATGAACGTCGAGGTTAACGACCAAGGAGAAATTGAGGGATTGTTCTGATGGTGGTGTTTCCTTCCTGTTTACTGTTCAACACTGTATTAGATAAAAAGAAATAATAGATTTCAACATTATCATGCCTCGCTGCGTAGCGAAATCGGTTTTGGAGGCTCTCTGTTCTCCTTCTGGGTGTTTGATGCTGTGAGAACACGAACGTTTGCTCTTGCTCGTTGTAAGTTTAGTAAAGTGTCTTCGCACTCCGTGACCATGCTGGTGATCTTGTGTCCTTGAACTTTAACCGCTTCAGTGAGTTCTGTCAACTCTTCCTCCACAATCGCTTGTTTCTGTAAATATGTCCGGTCTTTTTGTTTGCTCACGTCATCCATCAATCTGCAATTAGCAGTAATCTCTTGGTCAGTGTCGCTAATTGCTTGCAGATCATGCTGGAGCTTGGCTCGCGTTTCCTGAGCGAACGAAACCAACTGCCGCCTCAATTGCTCAATTTCCTCACTTGCATGCAATTTATACTGCTTATGCGACGCAACAACCGTATCGTATGCGATTTTCAACCGCTCCGTTTCTTCTGTGCCCCTTTTCCCCTCTTCCTGAACACTCGCAAGTTTCCTGCGAAGCGACTCCTGCTCGCACATCCACGCATCAGCAGCAGAACATGCTTCCGTTAACTGTGCCTCCAAATCCAACAACTTGCGCTCCTTGCGACTCAACAACGCCTCAGCAACCTCTCTCTCATGTCGCGCATTCGATAGCTGCTCGCCAAACACCTGGTTCTGCCTTGAAACAACTGCAAGCTTCCGCTTGAGATCTGCTATCTCTGTGTCCTTATCGTCAACCTCGTCGCCCAACCGGTCAATCTCGCCCTGCAAAGACTCAATCACACGCGATGTCCCCCCATGGTGGCTCACGGGCCCGTCCAGCTTGCCAGGAAATGTTCGCGTCATCTGGAACATAAACAATTATTTTTCTCCCTCTTTTTAACTAGTCATATTCTCTGACGCTGCTCCTTCTTCGAAAACCACGGCTGTGCAGTGTGGGCCAAAAACCCTTTTTTCCTCGATCTGTCTTGCTGTGCCAAATTTGTTCTTTTCTTGGCAGTGCACCCGGTTTTCGCCTTACTTCTATTGTTTTCCTGAGACCCCGCGTGGTATGACCAGCCCACACAAGGCGTGACAATTTCCACACGTACATATATAAATCTTCTTTGCATCTTTGTAAGAGTATCAAAAATGGGTAGGTGGGCTTCTTTAGCAATATCAGTGATGTCGGTAGGCCGACAACGTTCCAAATCATCGCCGCCGCCGATCTTCGAGCGCAACGTGCAGTCGTTGAAGATGTGCCCCCATCGCGACTGTCCAGGCCACTGGATTTCAGACAACTATACCTGTCCTATTTTGGACTCAACAATCGAACTTTTTAGTGACGAGTCGACTCTCAACGCCACAGAGATCATCGAGTACCCGCACTCGTCGCTGACGCTTCCTTGTGCGAGGTCGGCCAAGTCAACAAGACAGTCTAGGTCGAGTGTGACCAGCGAGCCAGGGTTTGTGGAAAGGTCGCTCCCCCACATCCAACGTACAAGATCTCTCAGTTTCTTCTCTTACTCGGACTTGGTCGATCACGAGGTGCAGCCACTGCCCCAGGAGCGCGTGTGTTCCGCGAACACGCTTTTGATGACAAAACAGAGACAGCTATCAGAACCAAGTCTCTCTTTAGCTTCGTAGACTGCCACTTGCGAGAATGGCGCAATAGGTGTTTAGGTAATATTCAATGGTTTTAGGTGTTGGTGAAAAATAAATTTACGAGCGATTCATTCAGCGATCCACAGCTCATGGAGGACTTGCCCGATCGTTCTTGTGCTTACTGCGGTATCACGTCTCCCGACAGTCTAGTGCACTGTCAGACGTGCGACAAATGGTTCTGTAACGCAAAGACCTCCCGCGCCGGGTCCCATATTGTCACCCATATGGTTTTTTCCAAGCACCAGAGCCTGTGTCTTCACCCGGACTCTGATTTCGGCGAGACCATGCTGGAGTGCTACAATTGCGGCAACCGCAACCTGTTCGTGCTTGGATTTGTTTCTGCGAAAACAGACTCGGTCGTCGTGATTCTGTGTCGTCTGCCCTGTGCCGCGTCCAAGAACGCTGACTGGGACACAGAGAACTGGCAGTCGCTGGTAGAAAACCGCCAGCTGCTGCCGTGGATGGCCAAACCGCCGTCCGAGGAAGAAATACAACACGCCAGACCAATTACAGCCGTCCAGATATCCAAGCTGGAAACAAAATGGAGGCAGGATAAGGATGCCACGCTCATGGACTTGGACCAGGAAGAAGTCGAGGAGGAGCTCGAGCCAATTTTGATGCGGTATTCCGACGCATACCAGTACCAGCGGGCGTTCTCGCCGTTGGTGCAGTACGAGGCCAATTACGACAAGTTGCTCAAACAGTCGCAAAGTCTCCAGATCCGAAATATAGAGTGGAGTCTGGGAGATAATGGCATGCGACTGGCCTCGTTCACCTTGCCGTCGTACGACGCATTTGCCATCAAGCTTAACGTCGGCGACCCGATCGAGCTGAAATACTCGGGGCCAGAACTTGGCGACCCGTGGCAGGTCAGCGGATACATTGTCAGAGTGCCTGGTGTTTTAAACAACTACTTCACCGCAGAGCTGCTCGCCTCACAGTCAGATAAAATGCCCGTCCACATCTCGTCGGGCTTCACTGCAGACCTCGTCTGGAAGGGAACGTCGTACGATCGCATGCAAAAAGCCATGAAGCACCTGGCCGTGAACAGCAAGACTGTCTCCGAGCACGTCTACTCTGCTCTGCTTGGAATCGACCACCAACCAACAGCGTTCCCAGTCAGCCAGAAGCAGAACTACTCGGTGCCAAAGTCCACGAAGCTCAACGCTTCACAGGACAATGCCATCAAGAGCGTGCTTTCCAAGCCGTTCTCTCTTATTCAGGGTCCTCCCGGTACAGGGAAAACAGTCACCTCTGCAAACATCGTATACCAACTGGCAAAAAGACAGAAAAAGCCCGTGCTGGTGTGTGCGCCGTCCAACGTGGCCGTCGACCACCTGGCGGCCAAACTCGAGTCGCTTGGTCTGCGAGTGGTGCGTTTGTTCTCGAAGAACCGCGAAGATGTTGAGTCGTCCGTGCAACACCTCTCGCTCACGGAAAAGGTCAAATCGACTGCAGCCATCAAGGGCTTTTACAAGTCCAAGGACTCCAACGGCAAATTGTCCGCTGCAGACGAAAAACAGCTCGAAACACTCCAGTTTAAAGAGCAGCGCAGACTTATCGTGAACAGTCAGGTGGTATGCTGCACGTGTGTGGGAGCCGGAGACCACCGTTTGGACAAGCTCAAGTTCCCTAGCGTGCTGATCGACGAGAGCACGCAAGCATCCGAGCCCGAGTGTTTGATCCCAATAGTGAAGGGCGCGAACCAGGTGGTTTTGGTCGGAGACCACCAGCAACTGGGTCCGGTGATATTGAGCAGAAAGGCGGGCGACGCTGGACTCAAGCAATCGATGTTTGAACGGCTGATCCATCTGGGCCATATTCCGATCCGGCTGGATGTGCAATACCGTATGCATCCATGTTTGTCGGAGTTTTCATCGAACATTTTTTACGATGGTAGCTTGCAGAACGGAGTTTCAGCAGAAAGCCGGATCCGCGCCAACAACATGTTCCCATGGCCGATCAGAGAGAAACCAATGATGTTCTGGGGGGTGGGTAGCTCCGAGGAACTTGGACCGTCCGGGACGTCATATTTGAACCGGGCAGAGGCCATTAACTGCGAGCGGGCCATCACGCGACTTTTTGCCGAGGGGGTCGAGCCGAGCCAGATCGGCGTGATAACTCCGTACGTTGCGCAGAAGGAGTTCATTGTGCAGTATATGGGCACGCACGGGACGTTTGCGGACAAGTCGAAATATCTGGAGGTCGAGATAGCGTCGGTTGACGCTTTCCAAGGACGCGAGAAGGACTACGTGATCTTGTCGTGTGTGCGGGCGAATGACAACCAGAGCATCGGGTTCCTCACAGATCCACGCCGGATGAACGTTGCATTGACCAGAGCACGGTACGGCATGGTGATATTAGGTAATCCGAGAACTTTGAGCAAAAACAGTATATGGAGTCGGCTATTGCTGCATTACAGAGAATGTGGCTGTTTGGTGGAAGGAGACTTGGACAATTTGAGACTGAGCAATCTGCAATTGCAACGGAGCGTGCCGTATCGCGCCAGAGAACAGGGATCTTCCACTCCGACCAGCGCGGGAGATCTGTTTGGTAGCCAGCTGGACCTGAATCTGCACGGGGGTGCACAGAGCTGGCCCAAGCTGGGAAGCGAGCTGGACACGCCGGCAAACGCCCGCAGCATGCATGACGATGAGATCAAAAATCTGGCCGAGCAATTGCAGGGCAAGATAAGATTCTGACCGGGAATAAGATGTGGAGCAATTGCGGGTCGTGAAAATAAAACGTGAAATCATTAGTCAGAAATAGTTAGTTTGCTACAATTTAATTTCTAATGTCCGCCTTAGATATCAGAATCCCTCTCAACAACGGCACTTCCATTCCCGCCGTGGGAATGGGCACTGTCTGTCCTGAAGACAAAAAGGGTCCGTTCAAAAAAGCTATTGTCACTGCGATTGTGGACGCCGGTTACCGTCATCTTGACACCGCTTGGTTTTACGGTGTGGAGGAAGATTTGGGCGATATTTTACAGGAATTGTTCCAGGAGGGCAAGATTAAGAGAGAAGAGCTGTTCATCACGACCAAGTGCTGGCCTTCGTTGTGGAACAACCCGGAGAAATCTTTGAACGACTCGTTGAAGAGTCTCAAGCTGGACTATGTGGATCTGTTTCTGCAACACTGGCCGCTCACGTTCAAGTCGGACGCCAATGGCCAGCCTCCGGTTCCTAGGGACGACAATGGCAAGGTTATCTTTGACGATGGCGATTTCCTAGACACGTACAAGAAGATGATCGACATTTACAAAAACACCGATAAGGTCAAGGCGATCGGTGTTTCCAACTACAGCATCGGCAATTTGGAAAGATTGCTCAAGGAAACCGATGTAGTTCCTGCAGTCAACCAGTTCGAGCTACACCCTCAATTGCCATTGCAGGACCTCGTGGACTTCTGTCAGGACCACAAGATTGTCGTTGAGGCTTACAGTGCTTTTGGCTCTGGCGGAGCACCGGTCACTAAATTGCCATTGGTTAATGAGTTGGCTAAAAAGTACAATGTTACTCCAGCAGACATCTTGATCAATTACCACACTGTCTCTGGCCGTGTTGTTCTCCCTCGTTCTCAGAACCCTGAGAGAATCAAGAAAGGTTACCCAAAAGTGCCATTGACCAAAGAGGACCTTGAGAATCTGGCCGAGATCGGCGAATTGAAGCCAACTCGGTACATTAAGGAGGACTGGGGAAAAGACATCGGTATGCCTTACTGGTGATCACGGACACCGGATGCCTCCGTTCCAGATCTCGTAGACACACTCCCGTTGGCGGGAGGTTGGCACCAGCGGACTGAACACCACGTGAAGTTTGCGTTGGGTCTCGAAATTATGGTTCGCGAGGTAGTCGTTCGACATGAGCACCTCGGCAACGGTTTTGCGTTTGGACTCGGAGCTCGACTCGGCGTTTTCCTCGTCGTCCTGCGACCGGAGAAACGACGAGTCGATCCCCAGATCCTCGCTAAACTCCTCGATCATCTGTTCATTAAGTATGGGTTTATAGTCCTTGAAAAGACATATTCTTGCGTCCAGGAAGTTGAGCCAGTCGAGTCCCAGTGCCGGGATCGTTTTGATCTTGGACACCTTATTTTTGTACTTGGACTCAAACATCTGTTTGCGCTCGGACTTGAGCTGGTCCCAGATCGGTGTTGACCCGCGCTGCGACGCCTCAGGTCCGTCCGAGGTTTGCGAGTAGTTGGCGTAGTCGATCTCGTCGTAGGTGTCAAAGTCCTGCTTATTTCGCGAGCACAGCTGTCTGTACACGATGCCGACCTCGTCCCACCCATAACACCAGCCCAGCTGGTAGTCTGCGTTCATCTTGAGAAACACTTCGTCGCTGATGATGTCTTTGAGCGGCTTGTCTGTCATCTGGTTGGCAACCACCACCGTGACACCGTAGTCGCAGCACAGCTTGCGCAAAAACCGCCCCAGCTTTGTAACCGCCTGAACACGCTTGCTAATAGGCACCTCGGCACGGATGTGGTGTGTCACTGAGTCGATGATCACCACCTTGATGTTTTTGTTCCGTTCCAGCATAACAGGCAGCTGATAATAAATACACCGGTCCTGGCGTTCCAGGTCTGAAATTGCCATCGACGGCGTGAGAACGTTGGCAAGCTGCGGGTGGATCGGCGTCTGTTTGATCCCGTTCGCCTCGAGCAGGTCCTTGTAATGCTTAGAGATCTGGCTGAGTCTTTTCGTGCTCAGAGCACTCTCTGTGGATATGTACATGGTTTGGACCGGTTCGCGGTGTTCTTCAAAAATCGACGGTCCCAAGCCACCAAACTCCAACGGCAGCTGGCTCGTCATGCTCAAAGTCATCAGGAAATTCGACTTCCCCGTTGCGGACCCCCCACTGATCTCCACCAAACACCCGCACGGAACGCCTCCATTCAGCGCCTTGTCGAGTTTTTCATCGCCCGAGGTGAAAAACCGTCGCTGTGTGTCCATTTCGGCCAAGTTTCGCTTTATCGGCGCTTGTTTCGCCAACAGTGCGCGGAGATCGCAAACAAACGACTCGATCTCGGAAATGGGCACCCCAACTTTCTTGGAAATGTCCTTCACGGGCCACAGCAAAAGCTCCTGCGACGTGATCTGATGCCTCTCAAATAAGGCGTGCAAATCCTCGTACTTTTCATCCTCCAAGTTGCCTATATCGCCAACCTCTTGGGCAAGGTCCATGCTATTTATTCTTGAAATATTTCTGGTTTCGCGTTATATAAGCACAGCCGTGACAAATCATAATAGGTATACTGATATATAGACACTAGTCCATCTCGATGTCGCCGGTGACCGTTGGGTCTTCTTCCTGCTGGTCGTCGTCGTCGTCGTATTCGTCGTCCTCGAAGACGTCCTCGTAGATGGCTTCCGACGAGTGGTCTTGAGAGTACCGCAGGTCGTACTCTTCCTGGGTTTCGTCGAACTTTCCGGACTCCTCGTCAAGTGTGCCGATCTTGCTGTTCCGGCGCTGCGACACGGACGCATCAGCGTCTTTCAAGATGTTGGCAGAGAAGTTCAGGAAAGCCACGCGCTTCTTCTTCTTGTTGAACAGAAAATACATGTTGCACCACAACGTTCCCGGTAGGTCGTTTAGAAACGCTTGTGCAGGCTCGTACTGGAAACACGTGCACTCATCCAGGTCCATGTGGGTGTTGATGGTCTGCCATATCCAGTCGAGTCTCGAGGACCGGCCCAGAGAAATAAGCAGCGAGTTTATTCGTTGCACAAGCTCTGCAGACGAAGGTATCAGCGTAAAGTTGTTTGGTTGCACGGACGAAAAGTCATGGTCCGGATAAACAGAGTTGAGAATCGCAATCAGGTACGCAAACACTCTGCGCGACGACTGCAGACTAAGCGGTCCGAATGGCGAGTACTGGTCGTCCAACATGGGTATCTGGTCTATCTCGTCGTTTGACAGGTTCTCGAACCCGTTGGTTTTGGGAAGCGACTTGGGAGGAGACATGTACGGAGAATGGAACGATTTCGAGCGCGACTTGTGAATCTGGTCTTTGTGACTGAGAGTCTTGGAGTTTGGTTTATTAATTGGATGGGAGTAACTCGACGACCGTTTTTTCAGCCTGATGAACTCGGGCGAGATGTAGGAGATATCTCGCGGCGGCGAATTGCTCATAGAAACGTCGCTGTTGGCTCGACTCTTGGACTCGGTCTGCGGTTCGGGCTGGTCGCTATTGCAATAAAGCTTGTCAATTGTCTTGTAGAGCTTTCTATCTGAACCGATGGGCTTCGTCGTAAAGAGGTCGCACGTTCCTTGGATGTGCATATCAGTTGTGTCAAAGCTAAGAGCCTGGTTTACCAACTCTATGTCAAACTCGTCAATGTACTGTACTTGTTAGTAAACCTTCCAGAAACCAGTCGCAATGCTCACCTTCATCGTGTTGAACAAATAAACGCTGTAAGGGAAACAACGGTGCAAACGCGAACTTGTTTAAATATATCCGCAACACGGTTTGCGTCTTATCTGTTTATACTATTAGCACGTTGACTTGCAAAATAACTTGAAAGCGGTCTGCGGTGGGGGGAGCCAGGTGGCTGGTGGGCGGCTGGGGAAACTTTTTCAGGCAGTTTCGGCGCAAACCGGGCTTTCTATTTCGGTTGGTACACCCGTGCACCACCAACTACAGATATAGTCTTGGCCTTTGGGGATTGCTGAGCAAAATGGGCCCAACTGAAATTTTGCATGCAGAGTTCTACGTCATTTCCCGAAACGTTAAGCAATCAACGAAAACACACTAACCGCAAGACATGCGCGACGGATTTGCCTTGGCCGCCGGGTAACGCCCAGACAATAGCGAAGGCTTTGCATAGAAGGGATTCAAAGTTTAGTTGCCAAGTTCACTATTCTGGAAAGCGTTCCTGACAGTTATTCAGTTGTTTCATGCGCATGCAAGGTGAATTTTTTTTTCTTTTAGAAGCCAAAGGTGCATGCGGAGTGGCGGTGAAGAGTAAAAGGAGTGTGCAGTTTGTACTTGCAAAACGACCTTATTTGCTACCTGTTTTTACGCAAGATAAGGGGTAGCTGCACGTTTCACTGTGATCTATGAATAACTCTGTAGGTCCGATAAGCTATTTTTACTCTACCTATGCTTGGGAATTTCCAAAGTTGCATCGCCACCACTCATCTGTTAGAGAATTTCAGCAACAATAGAATTTCAGTTTTATTTAGGGTGGCTGGTAGCGGCAGAAAAAAAATCAAAACAGGACATTCCTATATAATTTCATCAAGTCCCAATTTGTTTGTGTTTTGTCCTATAAACGTTGATTGACTTTTAACAGAAATGGCTAGCAGTCAACAACAATCCAGTTCGTCCGTGTCGGCATTTGTGTCGGCATTGATCTTGAACTTAATCATCTTCGGCGTGTTTGTGTCGATCTTTGTTGCTCTTAAGGGCAAATACACAAGAGTTTATCAGCCAAGAGCAACTGTTGATACAGTTCCCCCAAAGCTTAAAGCTGACCCACAGCCTAAGGGTGCTTTCGCATGGGTCAACTACATCCTGTCTAAGCCTGAATCTTATGTTATTGAGAAGGCCGGTATCGATGGTTATTTCTTCTTGCGTTACTTGGTGACATTTGCTTCTATTGGACTTGTGGGTGGTCTCTTTTTGTGGCCGGTCCTTTTTGCTGTTAACGCTACTGGAGGTGCAAACCAAAGTGGTTTTGACATCATCTCGTACTCTAACAATCTTGGAAGATGGAGATCGTTTGCTCACGTGTTTTGTTCCTGGTTGTTTTTCGGAATTGTGATCTACACGATCTACAAGGAACTGATCTACTACACCAGTTTCAGACACGCTATCCAGACCACTCCATATTACTCCTCCTTGCTCTCTTCTAGAACCTTGTTCATTGACAACCTTCCAGAAGAGATCCAGGATGAGGCTACTCTCCACAGATTGTTCCCTGCTGCTGTTAACATTTGGTACACCAGAGACACTAAGGAGTTGCAAAAGCTTATCAAGAAGAGAGGTAAGCTTTCTGGAAAGCTCGAAGGCAGCTTTGTTAAGCTTATCGGAAAGGCTATCAAGCTCAGATCCAAGGCTGTGAAGAAGAATAAGCCACTTCCAGAACCAGCTAATGAAATTACCTCGTACATTCCTCAAAAGAAATTGCCAACCTACAAGGACACTTGGATTCCATTCATCGGTAAGAAGAAGGATCTTCTGACTACCGGTGTGGATGAGGTTGGTGACTACAACGAGAAGATCAACAAGGAGCAATTGAACTACCCAGATGGTTACGAAAAGACCGGATCCGTGTTCATTGAGTTTGCTAGCCACTTGGAGTTGCAAAGAGCCTACCAAGGCGTTCCATACGCCAAGGAGCTTAAGTACTCTAGAAGATTCACTTCTTCTGCCCCAGAAGACATTGTTTGGGAAAACTCCGGTCTCACTGCTAAGGCTAGATCTGGTAAGAGAACCATTGCCGCTACTGTCTTGACTTTGACCATCATTTTCTGGGCTATCCCAGTCGCAGTTGTCGGTTTCATTTCTAACATCAACTACTTGACCAGCAAGCTGCACTTTTTGCGTTTCATCAACAACATGCCAGACGTTCTGATGGGTATCATCACTGCTTTGCTGCCAACCATTGCTTTGGCTGTGTTGATGATGCTGTTGCCACCGTTCATTAGAAAGATGGGTAAGGTTGGTGGATGCATGACTGCGCAAAGTGTTGATCACTGGACCCAACAATGGTTCTTTGCTTTCCAGGTTGTCCAAGTCTTCTTGGTTGCTACCTGTACCTCTGCTGCTGCCTCTTCCGTGACTCAGGTTATGGAGGATCCATCGATGGCCATGTCGCTTTTGGGTCAAAAGCTCCCAGCTGCTTCGAACTTCTACATTTCCTACATGCTTCTGCAAGGTCTGTCCATCAGTTCTGGTGCTCTTGCCCAGATTGTTGGTTTGATTTTGTCTTTTATTTTGGGAAGATTCCTTGACAACACTCCAAGAAAGAAGTGGAACCGTTATAACACCTTGGGAACTCCATCCTGGGGAACCAGTTACGCCGCTTTTGGATTATTCACAGTCATCATGCTTGTCTACTCGATCATCTCTCCAATCATTATCGCTTTCACCACCATTGCTTACTTCCTGATCTACATTGCCTACTTGTACAACTTGAACTACGTGCTTGACCACACTGTGGACAACAGAGGACGTAACTACCCATTGGCTTTGTTTGAGGTCTTTGTGGGACTTTACGTTGCTGAGTTCTGTTTGATTGCTTTGTTCGTTATGCCAAAGAACTGGGCATGTGTTGTTTTGGAAGCTCTTATGGTTGCCGTTACCGTTGCCGCACACTTATACATGAGATGGAAATTCGAGCCACTGCTCGAGACTGTCCCAGTTGGTGCAATCAAGGAGGTTAGTGGTGGCCAAGCCGGTGCCTACCCAATGAGTGACCAAGGCTTGCGTCAAATCCGTGAAGAGGGAGAAAACTACTTTGTCTCTGGTTCTTCTGACTCCTCCAAGTATGTGGAGAACGACTCTGCTACCAAACAGCCATTCTCGCCAAGCGACACGCACACTGCTGCAACCGACTTGGAGAAGATTGCCACATTGGACAACGAGGAGAGACCGTTCAACCAGGCTACTGTGGCCGAGGGACAGAACCAACTCGACCCTAGAAAGTACGCTAGTGCTTCGTTTGTGAAGGGCTACGTGGACAGATACTTCAAGCCAAGACAGTACTTGAGCTTCAACTACGTGAGATCCATTCTGCCAGCCTCGTGGCAAACGCCTGTTGCCAAGAGCAACGACACATACAAAGACCCTGCTGTCACTCTTGATGAGCCACACTTGTGGATTGCCAAGGATTCGCAGGGACTGTCCACGAGCTTTGTGGAATCCTGTCAAGGTAAGATTCTGATTTCTGACGAAAACGCTGTTGTGGAAGAGAACGGTAAAAACAACTACACCGGTCCGCCACCAGACTACACTCCTACAGAGAAAGCTTGAACAACGTGAATTTCGTTTTTTTATGTTCGTCCGGTCATAATGATTTCGACCGTGGCATTGTGTCTTCTTAAATGAATATAAATTGAATTTACTTTGCTGGTTTTAGGTGTACACTATTTACTAATTTTTAAACTCGTAGTTCGTTGGAGGAAAAAGACAAGTTGTAAAAAAGTGTTCCCAACAATGACTTACACTACCAGACAAATTGGCGCCGCCAACACTTTGGATTACAAAGTTTACCTTGAGAAGGATGGCAAGGTGATCTCTCCTTTCCATGACATCCCATTGTATGCTGATGAGACCAAGCAGGTCTTGAACATGGTTGTCGAAGTTCCAAGATGGACCAACGCCAAGTTGGAGATTTCCAAGGAACAGAAGCTCAACCCTATCATTCAGGACACCAAGAAGGGTAAGCTGAGATTCGTCAGAAACTGTTTCCCTCACCACGGTTACATCCACAACTACGGTGCTTTCCCTCAAACCTGGGAGGACCCAACTGTGACCCACCCAGAAACAAGGGCTGCCGGAGACAACGATCCATTGGACGTTTGTGAGATCGGTGAGCACGTTGCCTACCCGGGCCAGGTCAAGCAGGTCAAGGTTCTTGGTGTCATGGCTTTGTTGGACGAAGGTGAGACCGACTGGAAGGTCATTGTCATCGACATCCACGACCCATTGGCCTCCAAGTTGAACGACATTGAGGATGTCGAGAAACACCTTCCAGGCCTGCTCAGAGCCACCAACGAGTGGTTCAGAATCTACAAGATTCCTGACGGAAAGCCAGAGAACCAGTTTGCATTCTCGGGTGAGTGCAAGAACAAGAAGTACGCCGAGGAGGTCATTGCTGAGTGCAGTGCTGCCTGGAAGAAATTGATTGCTGGCGAGTCCACTGTCAAGGACATCGAGCTCACCAACACCACTTTGTCCTCTACTTCTACCTTCACTACTCAGGCCAACATCCCTGCTGCTAGCCCTAAGCCTGCCGAGCCAATCGACAAGTCCATTGATAAGTGGTTCTTCATTTCTGGTTAGTGTCCATTACTTTATATACTTGGCAGCTGCAATGAATTGCGTAATCTTGTCCGTGTCTTTAACACCGTCCGTTTCCACTCCTCCGCTCACGTCCACACCTACACACCCTTGCACCGCAAGAGCGGACTGCACGTTGTGCTGGTTCAGCCCGCCGGCGAGCAAGTATCTGCCATCGAGCCGGCGATGGAACTCGGCCGCGTCCGCCCAGTCGATCACTTTGCCCTCGCCGCCAGCCTCCGAGTCCAGCAGCGGCAGCACGTGACTGTGTGTCTTTGGAGCGTCTTCGAGGTTTGGGTGATCCAGCACGAACCGCGCAATAACGGGCACGTCCAGCGCGGCGGTGTACGCTTTGAAGTCCTCTGAGCCGTGCAATTGCACGAAATCCAGACTCAACGCCTCTCTGAGTTGCTGAACATCCTCCAGCTTCTGGTTTCTAAACACCCCGACCAAAAACGGTCCGTTTTTTGCAATCTCCTCTGCCACGTACTCGAACCAGGCCGGGCCTTCGAGATTCGACTCGAGCAGGTGTTTTTGCAGCCGGGTAGAATCCACATACTCCCGTCCCAACGCCTGTCTCTTTTCCTTGCACAGCTGACTAATCTTCTTTGCCTCGGCGTGGTCCACTGTTCGCGCTCTATTAGGGACCAGAATCACTCCCACGAGGTTTGCCCCGCTGTCTATGGCAGTTTGGGCGTCTGCGGCCGTCTTTAGCCCACAGATCTTGACTACCTGGTTCATTTCAAATATGACATTTTTCAGTGCACAGCCGCGAAAATATCCTTGTGCAATTTCAATGGCCCCTGCTATTCCCCCACGAGACTACCAGACCAATTCCGGGGACCTTTTCGGCCCGATCGCCACAGACGCGCCTGCTGTTCCTCAGGGCTCGACTCACCCGGTTCCCCTGCCGAGATTCTACAAACAGGACAAACCGATCCAAACAAACAACTTCTACGGCAACTTCCTCGTGGAGGAACAAACACTGCCCGTGTGGACCCATCCGTACAGCGTTTGGTATTCTAAGGACCCCGATTTTGTTGGGCTTGGAATCTCGCACACGGCAAACTCCCAGAAAGTGTTTGGAGAAGACCCCAATTCCAACCCTGTCAAGTACTTCTTCAACCCTGTTGGCATTTGTTCGTTGCTGTTGAGCGCGCAGCAGTTCCAGCAGGGCCACGAGCTGCTGGTGGGCGAGTGCGAGCGGTTCAGCTGCGGACTCAAGTTCAACTCGGCCGGCGGCTCGATGTCCACCAAAGTTGTGCAAGGAATGGGGTTTGTCACTGGAGTGTACGAGAACCTTGCTCCGTTGATCAAGAGCAAAGTCGGGATCCAGAATCTGGAGCAGAGACAGTTCAGTAACATGCGCAAGTACGTGGCCACGCTTTTTGACCAGAACAGATGGGTGATCTACTCCACTGGTGACCTGCAACTGAGAGACCAGAACACGATTGTTGGTAACAGTGCTGGATTGGTGCAGATTGCCAAGTTAGGCGGCGACGAGCAACCGTACGACGCGGCTGCTGGAGCATATGTCGTCAACATGACGCTGTCTGGGTCGGTGAATGAGACAACCAAGTACTGTTTCAACTATGAGCTGGCTGGAACTTCTTCAAGCGGGAAGACCATCCAATGGGCATTGCCGCATCAGTACGAGGCGTTTGACCAACAAACAGCGTCAGAACATGTCAACATGGTGCTCGACTCTACCTGTAAGGGCCAGATGAGAGCGTTTCTCACACGGCAATTTGTTGTGGTGGAACAGCTTCCACCAAAGGAGATCCAGTTTGCTCCGTGGTCCCAGCTGCACGGATCCACGAGCTACTCGGCCGAAAAACTGGACCGCATTCGTCAGATCGCCAACGAGGAGATTGCCTCGTTTGACGTGGTTAACGCGTCCAACACGGATTCCATGTACACGGCCGGTAAGATCCTCGACAAGGGGGCCTACATGTTGTATGTTGCTGCGTTCATTTTACGGGATGAGCAGCTGGCCAAAACACAGCTGGACAAGATGAAGCAGGCGTTTGGCAGGTTCATTAGCAACCAACAGCAGGCACCGCTCGTTTACGAGACTAAATGGAAAGGTATAGTTTCCACTGGCGGGTTGCAAGACGGCAACTTCTACGTTGATTTCGGTAATTGTTTCTACAACGACCACCATTTCCACTACGGCTACCACATCCACGCAGCCGCGTTGGTGGCTCTGGCAGACAAAACGTACGGCGACGGCTCGTTCTTGCAAGGATCCAAGAAATGGATAGAGAGTCTGATCAGAGACGTTGCCAATCCAAGCACGAGGGATCCGTATTTCCCTGTTTTGCGGTCGTTTGACTTTTTCAACGGGCACAGTTTTGCCAACGGGCTGTTTGCTCACGGTGACGGCAAGGACGAGGAGAGCAGCAGCGAAGACTACCACTGCTACTACGGAATCAAGCTTTGGGGAATTGTCACGGGAAACGCGCAGCTGGAGAACCTGGCGTCACTGATTCTTGCTGTGGAGAAACGTGCAATGAACATGTACATGCTGTATCGGTCAGATAATACGGTGATTCCGCCAAACTTCAAGGCCAATAAGGTTTCTGGCATTTTATTCGAGAACAAGATCGACCATGCCACCTATTTTGGTATGAACAAGGAGTACATCCACGGGATCCACATGCTTCCAATCACACCAATATCGTCGTTCATTAGAAACCCGCAGTTTGTCCAGGAAGAGTGGAACGAGCAGCTTGGCTCTGTGGTTGCAAACTTGGACGACGGTTGGAAGGGCATTCTGATGCTAAACCTGGCCTTGTTTGACCCAAAATCGTCGTACGAGTTCTTCTCGAACCCCAATTTCCAGTACAAATGGCTCGACAACGGCATGTCGCGCGTTTGGGCCACAGCTTTCAGTGCAGGAATTGGTGGTTAAATTTTGAAAAAAGATAAGCATTTACATAAGAAATTAGACATATTAAAGGCGATTGACTTTTTTTTGCCTTCCTTGATCTAACAGTTTGAAATATCTCAACATCTCGAAGTTTGCACCGATTCGTCGTTCATATTGTTTCTGGTCAGATACAATTGAACAACCCCGTTTGTTTTGTATTTCTATTGCTTTTCAGGTAACACCCACCAACCATGACGGGCGACTATAATAAGATTCGGAGTTACTTGATGAACTCTCCTCGAGAAAGCTCGCCGTTGTCACGAACGGTTTCAGGAACCAACATGTCACGAATGAGCTCAATTCTGCAGAATAACCTGGTAGACTCGAGAAAATATAATAGTTCCACGGCAACGTTGAAGTCCTACGATACGTCAGACGACTCCGAGTGTCTGACGCACTATGGTCTGAATGTGCCGGAGGACGACGACGAAACCATGCGACTGCAGCTGGACAAATCATCTCAGTTCTATTCGACCGATGTTCGCAAAGATCTCAACCCAAAGAAACTGCTACCTTACAAGACAGAGTCTATTAAAGACCAATATCGCTATCTTAGTCATGTTGTTTCGCATCTCTATATTGCCATCAAGTCCGAGGATTTGAAAGGCGCATTAAGTGTCAGTGTTGCTGATCTCGAAAAGGCAAGATCGATCCTCTTGAGTCAATCGTCTGAAGAGTATAATGACCACTTCTACGAGACATTGAACCAGACAGAAAGTGAAAGAGAAGACATGGACACCGACCAGGAGAATCTCGACGAAGATGATTACGACGAAAGTTCTGCATCTGAAGCCGAAGACGACCAGTTTGCCGCCACTCCTGTTCCAAATATCGAGGTGCGATCCGCCGCCATCATCAATTTGAAGCACTGGACCAAGGAACTGAAAAATCTGCTGAGAATGGGTCTCGTGATCCCTGTTCCTTTGACTATTGCCCTCGTCAAGGTGTTTTATGCGCTCATCCTTTCAAGGGGCCAGGATATCAACATCCAGTTCTACATTGGGGTTTCGTTCCTGCTTCTCAAGGAGAAAGATCTTCTATTTGAAAAGGGACTCAGACTCGATTGGAGACCTTTCCACGAGGAACTCTCGAGCATTATGGCTGACGCAAGTGGCACCTCTCATTTTACAGACGAGCACAGATTTGGACATTTGGTCAAGTTTGCCGGAAAGGTGAACACGTTCTTTGATGAAGATAGCGTTCCAGAAATCATGGCTAAGATTATGGCCAGATACAACAACCAGTCAGTTTCCATCTCATTTGTCCAGATGGCCGTTTTGATTCCAATTGTGCTCAAGAAGCCAGTTGTGAAAGACGGCATCGTTTCCTACGATGAAAAGGATATCAGACACTATCTGCCGTTCTTCTTCTCCTGTTGGACCTCGCAACGTTTGACTCCAGAAATCTCTTCCTTGGTGACTGTGGTGGCCAACATTTCAGATAAAGCACTCAAAGCGCTATGTAAGGACCCGGAGGTCGCGGTCATGGGCAAATACGGTATCTTCACAGAGCCCCAGTTCAAGTTCATCATGAACCAATTGTTGTTGACTTCCAGATCGTTTAGAAAAGACGACCGCAATTCCCAGTACATTAAACTGTTGATCGAAATCATCATCAACTCCATGACTTCCAAACAGGCTTTGGAGGAAGACGGGATCTTCGATCTATTGAAAACGTTCTGGAGAGCACTGCATACATTGATTCATCCATCCAACACTGGTGCTTGGTCGGCGCTGTTATCACAGGCCGTTAAGAGAATGGCCATAGTGTTCCATATCAGACTCCTTGAAGAGCGTCAAGATAAGTCCTTATCTCATTCATATTTGGACGATTACTCAAAGCTTCCCGAAGATATCAAGCTGTCTCCAAAACTTACCGACGAGTTCATTGACATCTTGCTGCCACTCATTCATTTTGGTGTCCAGTCGAAATCCGTCTCGCATAGAAAGAGATACATCACTGCCCTGGAGATCTTGGCCTTTATCAATCCAAAGAAAATCCTCGACGATGTTTTGATGGATATCTACAATTCCGTTGAGTCGATCAACTCAACACATCGTATTAACGTTGTTTTGCATGAATTATGTGTGTTGGTGAGATACATGGCACTACTTCCTGTTTACCGAGTGCATATTCCAAGACTATTGCTGATGCTTGTTCCAGGAATCGACTCTAATGATCCAGAGAAGACCATCTTGACTTTAGAGTTTATCAAATCCGTGGCTGCTGTTGTTCCGCTAACGGACCTTTCTAATGGCGCGGGTGACGATGGACTGATTGCTTTGGACTTCACTTCCCAGCAGCTGGCTTATCTGAACTCTAAATTTTTCAAGAGTTCTCCAAGACAGATGATTTTTGAGGAGGAGGTTCCAGACGAGTTCCCTTATGATCCAGAGTTTGAACTTGAGGCCTTGAAATCGAGCTCTTCGTTGTTTTCCGAATTCATCAGACAGTTCACAGAAAAGGCATTCAAGTACCTTGAGTTTTCTCCAAGTTTAGAGGATGATGGCCAGATGGAAACTAAAGCCAGTGTCTTCATTTCGCAAACATTCGACTCATTAACTGAGTCATTGTCGGACGAATTGTTCAGACAGTTAGCAGATGCTTTCTACGAATACATCACAAACAATGTCCAACATTTGGTGGCTATTGTGTTCTTCAATATTCTCGAGCTGATCATCAGAAGAGATCCAAAGACTCAGTTCCCAAGATTCTATCGTTACTTAGTTGAACAGGTGAACGATGAGATCGATAACGGTGCGGGTGCTTCGCGGACTCAGGACGTTCTTGCCAAAGATGCTCGGTTGACATGGTACCTGAAACTTTTGTCAGGTACTCTCCTAGGCGCGACTGGGCTAGATGACACAACGCTCAAGGAAATCAAGGACCTGATTTTGTTTAGACTTTCCAAATTGAAAGGAGAAGCGGCATTCGCGTCTCTCACCATCGCAGAATCTATTTTGGCTGGAACCACTCTTCCTAGACTGCTGGAACGGCGTCTTATTTCCAAGTCTTGGATTAAGAAGAATGGACCAATTGACGAAAGATGTTGGGGTGGATTCCAGTTCGATAAGGCCAGGTTTGACAAGGACAACTTGGACTTTTCTTGGTACGTGCCTTCTGCCAAGAATATCGAACAGGCTGTTGACTTCTTTGACTTTGTCACTTCTCTTGCAATAAATGAAATCAACCAGTTTGTTCGGAGTTTTGATGTCAAAGAAGAGATTTCTTTGGCTGATTCAGACAGAATCGAGTTTAATGTCAACTTGTTGGAGAGCTCTCTGGCTGGTATTTGCACGTTATTTGATCCGAACTTCAGCTCCAATCCGTTTCACTCATCCAAACTTGCGTCAACCCCATTATCTGCGTCCGCTTCTATGACCAGTATATCTGAAGATCGGTCAGACGTTGAGATGGCAGACTCTCCAGAGCCAGAAAACTTGCCTGCTGATATTCCAGGAGAAATTTTGGTTGAACCTGTGAAAGCTAGTCTTCTTGAAGATCCAGATTTGGAGGACCATCAAGATCAAGAGACCGAAGAGTTTTCAAAACACGACTCTGACCAGTATAGTACACAATCAGAGTCTGAGATCCCTAGCGGAGTTGCCAGTCCTACCACCATGGTGGCTTCTGAGGGTTTGACAAGCTATCTTACTGGTGGTCCCCCTGTTCTTTTCTCGTTTGGTTACCATTTTGATGGACAGAGTACCCTTTCCAATCATTGCAATCCAACGTACGTGAAACTTCATCAGGCTAGAGAGAATATTGGTAGATGCTTGCACGAGCTGATATCGTGTCTGATCCAGCAAGACGGTGCTGTTGATTTGAGTCAGCAAGTGGTTCACTGTATTCAATGCTGGTTAGAAAGCTGTGGAAACTTCACCTCCAAGAACCCGATTTTTATTGATCAGATTCACCTTGTTGACCTACTCAATATTCCCCATGTTAGCTCTCCATACTCCAGAACAGTCATTGGAGCCCGTCTTGCAATCTACCATTGCAACAGGCTTTCCGTTTCGCGGTCGTCCAGACTGCCAGGAGAAACCGATAAGTTGTTGATCAAGGATCTCGTCACTTTGGCAGCAAGCAGATACAACGAGACAGCCCAGACTTCAACAATGGTTCTTGGATCTGCATTGAGAAAGATACTCAACTGTACAAATCTTGTGTATGGTATTTTCAAGGAGTGGGAAGTTGCATTGCTGAACGACGACAGAGAGCGGTTGAAGAACGTGCTTCGATTCTTCTTGGTCCGCAAGTTTAAAGGATTTGCAGAACGGAGTCTCCATCATTTCGGCAAGTACGAAGAGCTGCTTGCTCGTTCGATCGAGGTGAATGAATCTGAAGTCAACGCTCTGGCAATGAAATTGTACTCATCCATCAAGAACCATATCAAGGTCCCAAGTGCAGTTTGTATGATTGAGAACAAGTTGGTCGATACCATCAAGCCTCCAGGCCTATATCTCGAAGAACAGGTCAAGTCTTTGAAATTGGCAAAGGACCACAAACGGTCAATTATGCTCGGACGACTCAAACGGTTGGAGTCGAGCGTTCTTCAACGTGCACGGGAAGACTTGTCTTGGAAGTTCAGACTCAAGGTTTTGGGATTGCTAGCCGAAGTGCAGTCGAATCTGGAGGTTTCTCTGAGCCCGGATATCTTGCTATTACTGGGAAACTCTGTCAATGGTATCCATCCCGAGATTACGGAGGAGTGTATCATGTGGCTTGCGTCGATTCTTGATGCTACGAGAACCAAATCTATGATTTCTTATGACTTGCGCAATTTCTTCTCGCTGGATTTCAGACTGGTCGATGTTGCTCCTGTTTCTAAGTTTATTGGCAAAGACAATCCTGCTGGCTTCTTCAAAGAGATGGCCAATTTCAAGGACCCAAAGTTCTTTATTGACAGCAAAGTTTGGGTGTCCACTTTGTGTTGGAACAACGACATGGAAGTTGTCACTAACGAGCCATCCACCAGCTTGAACCTTTCTCCACATGACACAGAGACCATTTCAAGCTTTGGCCAGTTGATCACAAAGGAGTGGATCCTTCAAACCCTGAAGCTCCATATGGACGAGTCTGAGGCCAATGCCGATTTCCAACCCGATCTCGTTTACTATCTCTCGCTGCTTGTGCACATTTGTTCTTGCGGATACACTCCAAACATGAAGTACCAGGAATGGCTTGAGATTTGCGACGAGATCTACAACAGAGAAGAGAAACAAACACATGTTGCGTTGGGCGAGCTTTACTGTGCTCTGTTACTTGCTGCAAAGCACAATCCAAAGTACTTGAAGGAGACGGACCACCAAATAGCCACCAAATTGGCAGAGATCTTCAAGACGGGAATCACACAGTCAACACACAAGATCTGGAAAACGTTCTCGTGGTGGCTGCCTGCGCATTTCGACTGTCGCCGGTGTCCAGAGCTTGTGTCTCTCATCACCAACTTTGACATCCCGCGGACGGGTGATGTTTCTCCGTTCATCATCTCGTCGCGGATTGGGTTCCTGAAAGCGTACATGTCGTCGAACCTGAACAGGTTCCACGATTTCGACGGATTCACTCGCAAGTTCTTCAAGTCGCTGTCGCACCCATACCAAACGGTTTCCGAAAGATCTGCTTCCGTGCTATTTGATTCTTTCCTGTTCACCTCGTCGTTATCGTTCCACAACAGCGAACAACTTGTCCAGGCCAACCAAAACGCACCAGGTGGACTCGGACTGGCGCCATTTGAGATTTCTCCCGTGTTTGCAGAGTGTCTGCTGGACTACTTAAAGAAAGTTCAGGAACTAAGCAAGACCATCTCAGGACTTTCTACACAGGAGATTGTTGAGTCTGAGTACATGTACCATGTTCGTGGACTCCACACGTTGCTATTATATGTTTTTAAGACAGCCCATGGTGTTCTTCTGGTTCCATACCTAAAAGACTACATCATCCCGCACTTATTTGAACTCGACACCATGAAAGACGTTTGCCAGTTGGTTCATCTCAACACCAACGTTATTTATTTCCTGATCGCCTCGATCCGCTACAACAACGAGCAAACAGAAACATTCATTGACCTGATGATCAACGACTTTGGTCTCAAGAGTCCAAATATGGTCCAGAAGGACCATCTGTTAACAATTTTACAAAGCTACTACACAGTGAGATACATGACCATCAGCTCGAAACAGCGGGCCAAACTAATTGAAAAGGTGGTTTCGTTCTTGTACTTGTCTCCCGTTTCTGTCAAGGAGCAGGCTGCTGCGGTATTCTCTGCGATGATCCACGGCTCGGTTGCCTTTGAGTCCCAGGCCCTGATCGAGAGCTATGTCAAGAAATTCACAAAAATCATCAATTCCCACCGTCGCATAAAGTCCAAGAAACTCACTATGGACGAGACTAACCTCGTGCACGGCGCAACTTTGGGACTCGGTGCCCTGCTGAACGCTTTCCCGTACACATCTCCCCCTCCAAAATGGCTTCCTAATGTGCTGTGGATCCTGGCCGGCAGATGTTCGACGTACGAAGGTGCCATTTCCAGGACTGCCAAGTCAAGCCTGTCCATGTTCAAGAAAACCAGACAGGATACATGGCATATCGACTCCCAGTTCTTCACCGAAGACCAACTCGAGGAGCTGGAAGGAGTTTCAGGCAAGTCCTATTATTTATGACCGTTTAAAACGATAGATGTTGTAATCTTTGTTGAAGAGGGGCTTCTGGCGACTTAACCGGCGATTCGGAGCTGACTGCCAGCTTGGCCCGGCTCAGCTCCAAGCCTTGTAGAAGAATGCATGCTTTGCAGATCTTGTTGGTGGACAAGTATCCGCACTTTTCGCAGCGGTTTCCGTTCTTGGATAGCGAAACAGATCCATCGGCGTTGATCTCCACCTCCTGCGTGCTGTCTTTCTTTGGTGGTGGTCTCTTTTTCTTTTGCTTGAGCTTGAAATGCTCTCCAGAATAAATAATATCGAGAATACAGGAAGTGCGCACACTTTCGAGATTCTTCATGAGCGCTCTGGCGGTTCCTCTAAACGCCTCTGGTGCGTAAGTACACTCCGTGCTGAAATAGTCGAGCTTTTTATAATGCGCATACAGGACGATTTCCTTTTGGTAGCAGTACTTGAACGGTTTAGATCTCTTGATCGGCGATCCGGAAGATTTGGTGGTGATGTTTGTGGAGCTCTCGAGTCTAGCAGTGTCTCCGCGTAACAGGTTCATGAGAACCGTTTCAGCCATATCGTCCGCGTTGTGGCCCGTCACCACATGGTTGATTCCGAGCTTTGCTGCTCCTCTGTCTAGGGCCTGTCTTCTGAGCACTCCGCAGTATGTGCACGAGGACTTGACTCCCGAACAGGAAACAATCTCGTCCATTGTCCAGTCGTAGAGGTCTTTGTACGAGATGATCTCCAACGGCATTTGGTACTGGGTCTGATTCCGTTTAACTGTGGCTAAGGAGTCGTCTCTATAACCAACTATTCCTTCATCTATACTCAGTAGCACCAATTTCAACTTGTAATCGTACCGCTCATTGAGTGTCTTGAGCACAGACGCCAGAACGGTGGAGTCTTTGCCACCAGAGGCCCCAATAGCCACTTTCTCCCCTGGATAGAATAGGTTCTCTTTGGATATGGTGAGATGGATCTCAGTTTCGAAAACGTGGAAAAAACACTCTTTGCACAGTTTCTGTGAGTTCTTAGGCCGTCGCATCACCGCCTTGGTGACTTGGCACCGCTCGCACATGTTGGAGGCCTTGGAGGGCATTTTTGAAAATATTTAACAAGGAGAAAATATTTCTGACACAGCCTTCGAAAATCATACTTGTCACCATTAGTGTCTTGTTTCATGAGGTTTACCATCTTTCTATTTATTGCTGCTGTTTTCGGTTCCGTGTTGGAACTGGAAGGTTCCAATTTTAATGAGGTTGTGCTGGAGTCGGGAAAAACCACGCTGGTCAAGTTTTATGCCTCGTGGTGTAGCCATTGCAAGAGACTCGAGCCGATCTGGGAGGAATTGGCTGAGGTTTATTCCAAGAGACCGGACGTGCAAATCGTGAGTATTGACGCTGATAAACACCGCAGTGTCGGCAAAAAGTACGGCGTCAACGCTTTCCCAACTTTGAAGCTGTTCAAGAGCAGCGATCTGCAAAACCCCATCGAGTACGAGGGCGCAAGATCCGTGGAGGCATTCACCAACTTCATTGTGGCCCACACGGGCGTGAAACCCGCCGGAACGGCTCCAGCGCCAGTTGTCGCTTTGCATGATGGTAACATCGAACAGCTGACGGAGGGAAAGGACGCGTTCATCTCCATCACTGCTGACTGGTGTGGCCACTGTAACAACCTCAAACCAACGTGGGATAAACTTGCGGCCAATTTCGCCAAGGACTCGGACATCGTGGTTGTTGGACGTGTTCAGACAACCGATCCGGAGGCAACAGAGTGGATCCAGGACAAGTTCCAGGTGCAAGGGTTCCCTACTTTGGTGTACATCAAGAACGGGAACTTGGACGAGCCCGAATTTTATCAAGGTCCTAGATCTCTGAGTGCTCTGACTGAGTTCATCAACGAAAACGCAGGAACCACCAGATCCGAGGACGGAGGACTACACCCTGAGGCCGGACTGCTCCACTCGTTGGACACATTGGTGGCCAAGTTTGTTGGGGCTGGCAAAAACGAGCGTGTCAAGCTGGCCAAACCTCTCACCGAGGCGATCGACCAACTCAAGACGGAAAACAAGTACAGCAAAGAAATTAGATATTACACAAAACTAGTCAATAGTTTGGTGAATGGGCCGTATGACTTCATCCCGAAGGAAATCACAAGACTCGAAAAGCTTTTGACAGAAAACGTGAGCACCGAGGCCAAGGACTCTGCCATGTTCAGACTCAACATCCTACGGTTCTTCAATAGCCACACCACCGCGGCCACTTATAATTAATCACCAGGTCACGTCGAAGTTCTTCACTCCTCTGACCAAAGCAGGAAACACCTTACCTTGAAGAACGGTTTCGTCCAAGATTGGTTTCACGTTGAGTGGAGTGCACCTGGCAAACCAGACAGCCTCGCCGCCGTGGTTGTATATGAGCACGTTGGCGGCGTACTTGTGACCTCCAACGTGGTTGACAAACACCACCTGGACTCCTCCCGGTCTATCGTCGCCAGGATCTCTGTACAGCTCCAGATCCCGGAGCTGGGAGTCGAACTCTTTCTTCATGATTGGAGCGGTGATGCCGCACTTCTTGTCCCTTGTGCGGTGGGAGCACAAAAGCACAAACGACTTGGACTCGTCCTTAGTTATGGCACATCCCCGGAATTCGGCCGCGATGGCTTTTCCACTCAAAAAAGATCCAATCACTTCTTTGAACACTGCCTCGCAGTTCTCCTTTGTAATCCCGCGTATCCACACAAAGTAGGGCATCAGCAGCACATCGCATTTCTCCTGGTTGCTGTAGGCCGCAAACTCCTGCTCGTTCAGCGCCAGAGACGTTGTGCTTAGCATCGTGTCGAACTTGAAGTCACGTGCTATTGGTCCTTTGATCGTTTTCGAGACATGCTCAAGAATCGTGCCTGGAGCATCGAACGGGTCTCTTTGCCAGTCAGTCTTTCCCGAAGACACCAGCACGTGCAAATCAGGAACAGACGCGGTCTCCCAGAGCGGAGTATTGGCCCCATCTGGCGACAACTTGAAGCACGATGCCGAGTAACGATTGTGGCACTCAGAGGCGTCACAGCTCGAGGAGTGCTCGGAAATCGGCAAAACCTTGGAGATCGACGCTTCTGCTGTGTTCGGGTCCTTTAACGCCTTCTTCAATAGAAACATGGCAACTTTACTGTCTCTATAGGAAAATTCTCTCCTATTTATTATTCTCTTATCCAAGATATAAAAAAATCCGGCGTTTCCTAGTTGGGAAAAGACCGAGTTTATCTCGTACATAAGGACTGGCTGTAACACGAACTCGGTCTTAATCCTCACACTCGGCAGGAGACAGGATGTCGTAATCGTCAAATAACGAGCGCTCGCCGTCGGATCCGGTCAGGTCGTACTCTTCTTCGCCAACAACAACAAACTCGGAGTCTTGCTCCTGGTCCTTTTCCGGTTGGTCAACCTCCATTTGCGACTCGGCACCAGAATCTGGAATCTGCAGCACACACGAGCCGATTCCATCCACAAACTCGAAAACTCCGTTGCTGACCTCCGTGGCGTCTTCCCGAAGCTCGGTGTTTATGACATGTTCGCCCTTGAGAACCGACTCCGCGGAAATAGTGTCGAGCTTCCAGTCGTCCAGATGCGCAAACACCCAAACCGTCCTATTTTGCTCCATCAATTCTGGTAGATCGAGGTCGTTGGTGATGCCGTCAATCGAAAGCTTCACCACCGGCTTTGACAGGTCGCGGTGAAGACGATTAGTAACCCCCAAAAATAAAACACGCGAATCCAAGATAAAACATGATGCGTGGACCGAGCCTTCTTCCAGCTGACCATTGTACACATCGGCTAGCTTTCTGGTGAATGTGCTGAAATTCTTCTGAGGTTGCTCGAATAACTTCAGCAAAAACTCGGCTTGAGCGCATTGTTTAGAAAACGCATTGAGTTTCTCGCCATTATTGGCTCCCAACTCGAGCAGACGGTCTGAAACATCTTTATCGTACACTTGTGCAGACTCGACAGTCACCTCCGGGACAGAAGGCTCAAACTCGTCAGAAGAAGGGGTAACGTATCCCACCACTATGTTGCGAGCGCCCAATTTCGGTCTTTCTGCCTTCTTGATCTTGAGCATCTGGTGGTCCGGTAAGTGGTTGCTAACCGCCTCGGCGTTGTTCTCTTCGCATTGTGAGCAGAAATCAAAGTCGTGGCATTCCAAACATTTGTATCTGACTCCCTCGATCTGCTTGTTGCAACCATCACAATGGACATTTTTGTGCACCACCATTTCTGGTTCCGGCGCAGTCTCTGAAGTGCCCTCCATCTTGACCACGATCTTGGACAGATTGACATCGATCAGATTGCTGAACGCCTTGATAAAGTCCGAGTTGGTCAAATTATCGGAGATGGAGCTGCTCAAACTCTTAAGATTGACATTCTCGTTGCTACTGAAAAGATCCTCAATTCTTTTGAGAAACTTCTGAACCTCCTTGGTGTAGTCCGTGATTTGAGTGTCCTGCTGGACAGGAACAAATGTAACGTGCAACTTCAAATTATTCTTCACTGTTAAGCTGCGTTTCAGATTTGCAAAATCCTCAGCGGAAACAAGTGGGACATACGATGAGGATCGCTTGCTTTTGCGGGTAAGCTGGATACCTTCGAGCGGCGAGGAGTCCAGTAATTGGACAATCTGTCTATCGGTGTGTTTCGATCTCAACTCCCTGATGATTTGCTTTTTAGACAGAAGTCTGTTTCTGTCTGTGGTAAAGACTTGTTTCTGGTGATGATCACCGATAAGATAAACCGCTTTCACGGTGACGCTAGAATTTGATGATGAACTCATAACAAACCATTAATATCCCTTTAATCCGTAACCAATCCCAATCCGTAACCGTCGCCTTGACCAATAGTTCCTGGTTTTCCCAATATAACCCAATTCTTGCTCTACTTAATTAATTTGCCCCCCTTAAAACTATTATTTCACCTCAGCCGACCCCAGGGGGGTAAGGATAGAACCAGTCGACCGTCGACACGGCCTAGGAAAAAAATTCGTCCGCCCAAACGAGGCTGCGTCGATTCTAAAAAAAGATAGTTTTTTGATCCAAATAAACAAAAAGACAGACCGTCTCATTAGCCCCATTTTAGAGAAAGTGCCTGTTTGAGTTTTCAGGGATGATGATTTTGAAATCGATTTCTTTCCTTTTGTCACTTTCGTTGGCTAACGCGCTGTCTTTGGACGTCGGAGACAAAGATTCTGTTTGCGATGCAGCAACTCTGATTGTGGACGGAATGATGGACTATTACGAGGGAAACCGTTATGGTGGTACCGTTGGTATGTTCCAGGCCCCTTACTATTGGTGGGAGGCCGGTGAAGCCATGGGAGGTCTGATCGACACATGGTTCTTCTGCAAAAACGACACATATGAAAGTTTGATTTCTCAGGCTCTGCTAGCTCAAATCGGCTCGGACAAAGATTACATGCCCTCGAATCAAACCGCCACTGAAGGTAACGATGATCAAGCTTTCTGGGGACTTGCTGTTTTGCAGGCTGCTGAGCGAAACTTCACCAATCCCTCGGGAGATGATTCTGACATTTCATGGATCGGTCTTGCACAGGCTGTTTACAACACCATGTGGTCCAGATGGGACTCCGCAAACTGTGGTGGTGGTCTCAGATGGCAGATTTTCACCTGGAACGCCGGTTACGACTACAAGAACACCATTTCGAACGCTGGTTTATTCAACATCGCTGCAAGAATTGCAAGATACACTTCCAACAACACTTATGCCGAGACCGCAGAAACAGTTTACGATTGGCTCAGGGATGTCGGATATGTTTCCTTGAGTGACGACGGGACGTACTATACCGTTTACGATGGTGCCAAGATCGGCACCAACAACTGTTCCACCTTTTCGGAGACTCAGTACTCTTACAACTATGCGCTCTTGCTCGGTGGTGCTGCTTACATGTACAACTACACAGAGAACGAGACCTGGTCGACAGAGGTTGGCAGACTGTACGAAGGGATTTCCAGAACCTTTTTGAACAACTCCATTATGTTTGAGTACATGTGTGAAAAATCCACTTCGTGTAACAACGATCAAAGATCTTTCAAGTCCGTTTTCAGTCGGATGATGGGACTTACGGCAAAGCTTGTGCCTGACTACCATGACAAGATTCTTGATATCCTGGACACTTCTGCAAATGGAGCAGCACAGTCTTGTTCGGGAGGTTCTGACGGACACACTTGTGGTAGAAACTGGGCTTACGGTGGTTGGGATGGATGGTACGGACTCGGAGAGCAGATGTCAGCGTTGGAGGTTATCCAGAACACTCTGATTGACTCAGCCGATGGACCATACTATTACTACACAGGACACCCTATGAACAGCTCGGACTCCAGTTCCGACGACTCTAGCAGCAGAGGTGGAGCATCGTCCTCGATCGATAACAACGCTGGATTGAGTGGAGACTCGGAGTCTCTGAATGCGAACTCAATCACCGTCAAGAGAAAAGACCGCGTGGGAGCAGGAATCGTTACTGCCATCGTGCTGGCTGTTCTGATTGGTTTGAGTGTGTGGATGCTGTTGTGAACGATAAAACCTGCTCAATAGCGAGCAACGAAGAAACAACATAGAACTTTTCGCCGAGCTGGCGAGCTGTCTCCATGTTCCGCAAAAACCCAGAGGTTCTATCTCTGTCCACAAGAATGGCCCCCCATCCAGCCTTTAACGCGCTTTCGATATCGTTTTTCAGGTCGTCGCCCACATGCCATGCTTCCTGCGGATTTATAGCTCCTCTTCTTTGTACCTTCTGCAACATCAATTGGAAGAATTTGATGTCTGGCTTGGAAACTTCTAAATCGTAGCTAAGGAAGATATCTTCGTTGCTGACAAACCTGTCAAGAGCGAACTCGTTGGCCAACAAGTTGAACACCCGCTTATCTGCATTAGATGCCACCAACGGCCGCACCCCTGCACGTTTCAGCTGCCCCAGAAACGGCTCAACGTCGTCAAACACTCGGAACGCTCTCCGTGTACCAAAATGTCTGATTATGTCATCAATAAACGGCTGGTCGCCGTGATACAAATCGCACAGCACTTTGTGCCAGAAAGTCTGGATCGACAGGTGCTGAGATTTGCCGTAGTTTGGAAACTCGGCCCACACCTTTTTGAACGACTGTTTAAACCGACCATTAAACTCTGTTGCGGACATCTCCTCTCCATTCCGATTGGCAGCAATTCTGTTATATTGGACGTCCAAAGGCTCCCTAGGAGAATAGATGGTACCATATGCGTCCAGTGCCAGTAGCGAACAACGCGGCAATCGATACATCGCTTTTGGTATTCAAAGATCGTCTATTATACAAATTATTTACATCAAGTTTTTTCACTCAGTAACCTTTGCGTCTGCGTCTCTTTCTGGCAGCACGGACCTTGTATTTCTGCTCGCAGTCGGGGCTGCAGAACCACCTGCTCGTTGTAGGCTCTGTGTAGAGACCAACACATTTGTAATGGAACCACTCGATCGGACACGACGAGTTGTCGCACGCAATCATCTTTCCCATACTCGGACCGCGACAGAAGCAGTACACTTCCTCTGGGGGTGTTGGGTCTGCGGGTGTTGGAGACCCCTCGGTATCGCTCTCCACGATTCGTCTCTTGCGTTTCTTGTGTGCTGGCTGAGCCGGTTGAGTTTGTTCCCGCTGTTCAACCTTTTCCACCGGCACGAGTTTCTTTATCTTTATTGGTATTGTAGGCTTTCGCTGGGCAAGCGGGTCTTCGTCCTCGTGGTCGGAGTCATCCTGAGCAGAGAAAACGAACCGCTTCTTGAACTCGGTGAACTTGCTCCAGGTACGTGTATCGGGCGGGTTTCTGGAGCACTTGAGCAGATCCATCAGTTGTATTTCGTTCAAAACCCGGCTATGGTGATTGGCTAGAATATGCGACAAATAGCGTGCCTGAGCGATGAGTTCGGCGGAGTTTCGCACGAGCTGGCGCTTGAGGGTCGCGATCTGGCGCAGAACGTCTGTTTTCTTGATTTTTCCGGGCTTTTGGCTCTTGAGCAACGCATCAAGCTGGGTTCGCAGGCCATCGTTCTTCAAACTCAGGCTCTGTGTCAGCCACAGCGAGCGAACAATATCGCACGGCAGGTGGTCCAGGAACGAGATGAACGCATTATTGGCGTTGACCACGGTGCTGGCAAGAGCATCAAGACTCATGAGATCTCAGATAAAGTATATGGGGATAAGAGAAAAAGATTAAGGTTTGGGAGAAGAAAAAAAAAGTTACCGACGAAGACGATCGACGCTGATCAAGAGAGTCAGTTTAGAATAGATGTACATATGTTATAGACAATCAAGAACCAAAGGTCTTCAAAACGGACAATCTTATTAGTCTATATTTTGGGATGCTGACGTTTATTTCTTTGGAGGGTTGAAGGTGATCTTTCTGTGCTTGATAGGAGTCCACTTGAACTTCTTAACCCAGACAGAAAGGAAGTAAAGAGAGGTAACAATGATCATAGCCTTGATACCAAGTCTCTTTCTCTCGTCGTGCTCAGGCTCGCTCGCCCAGTTCAAGAAAGTGGTCACGTCCTTAGCCATCTGGGAAGTGGTAGCTGGAGTGCCATCCTCGTACTCAACAAGGTCGTCAAACAAAACTCTACCCATCGCAATGGAACCACCTGGGAAGTATGGGTTGTAGTTGGATCCTGGAGGCAACTGGACACCTGCTGGTGGCTCGTCTGGGTAACCGGTCAACAAGGAGAAGATGTAGTCACAAGCACCGTGTCTGGCCTTGACAATCAGCGAGAGGTCAGGAGGCAGGGCACCCTGGTTGGCAGCTCTGGCAGCTTGTTCGTTGGCGTATGGGCCTGGGATGTGGTCAGCAAGCTTACCAGGTCTCTTCTTAGGGTTACCCTGGTCATCAGGCTCATCGTCATACTCAAACTCCTCGCACATGGCTCTAACCTCGTTTTGAGTGTGAGACACTCCCACAAGAGTTCTCCAAGCGATTCTGTCAAGGGAGTGGCAGGCAGCGCAAACCTCTCTGTAAACCTGGAAACCTCTTCTGATCGAGGCATGGTCAAAAGTCTCGAACATGCCGTTGTGGGACCATCCGTATTCAGGAGCGTGCAATCCGTGCTCGGCAGCAGTCATGGCTTGGGCAGTTTGCGAGTCTTGGTAAAGAACGTATCCGGCACCAAGACCAACAGCAGCAACAACACCTTGCACAGCTTTCTTGGTGTTTGGAGAAACACTGGTTGTAGCGGTGGAGAAGGCTCTCAGTCTCAATGGACGCCTCAATGAAGATCCAAGCTTGGAATACATGATATAAGCTCTATCAAGTGTCTGATTGACAAAAGATATTTAGTAAAAAACTTTGAGGATTCCGGCCAACCAGTGAGCAGGAATTTTCTCACCACGGCACTCTCGCACCAGGCCAGTAAACAATTGTGCACCCACCAAGTCGAAAAATTTTTGCAGCAGCCAATAGCAGCCGATATAAAAGTCAAGCGATTTCAGGCCCGCGAAATGGCAGTCTGGTGCACGGGTGTGTGGTGCGTAAGCAGGATTTGTGTTTCCCGTGCAAGGGTGCGACACGACCAGCCCGCTCCAGAGCACGCGAAAAACGCAGCTGCGTATTTATTTTGCATAAAACCACCCCCATGACAAACACCCAGGAACAGGCGTATCTTGATCTGTGCGAGCGCATCATCCAGGAGGGCGAGCATCGTCCCGATCGTACGGGGACCGGTACCTTCTCTCTGTTTGCGCCTCCACAGCTGCGGTTCTCGCTCTCTGACGGCACCTTCCCTCTGCTCACCACCAAGAAAGTGTTCTTCAAGGGCATTTTGCACGAGCTTCTGTGGTTTGTCGCTGGAGAGACCGACGCGAAAAAACTCACCGTCAAGGGCGTCAAGATCTGGGAAGGAAACGGGTCTAGAGAGTACCTGGACTCGCTGGGACTGACTCACAGAAGAGAAGGAGATCTCGGCCCGGTGTACGGGTTCCAATGGAGACATTTCGGAGCAGACTACATCGACTGCGACACAGACTACACAGGCAAGGGCTACGACCAGCTGGCCAAGATCATAAACACTCTCAAGACCAATCCGTACGATAGAAGAATCATCTTGAGTGCATGGAACCCGCCTGCTTTTAAAGACATGGCCCTGCCACCATGCCATGTTTTCTGTCAATTCTACGTCAACTTCCCCAAGGACTCGAAACCAAAACTCAGCTGTATCATGTACCAACGGTCTTGCGACATGGGATTAGGAGTGCCGTTTAATATTGCTTCGTATGCTCTGCTTACGTATATGATTGCACATGTCGTGGACATGGAGCCGGGCGAGTTCATCCACACCATGGGAGACTCCCATGTGTATTGCGACCACGTGGACGCTCTCAAGGAACAACTGCAACGTGTTCCAAGACAGTTTCCGAAACTGAAAATTAATAGATCCGTCACCTCGATTGACGACTTCAAGTTCGAAGATTTCGAGGTTGTCGACTACGACCCGTATGGGCCTATCAAGATGAAGATGAGTGTGTAACGCTTTTAATGAATCTCCTCGATACCATTGGGTGTGCGGCGGAAACTCATGCTCCGGCGACGCTGCCGGTTCAAGTTCTCCTGGTCGCTGTTAACGGTAGTTTCCATAAACTCGAAAACAGAGTCTGCGGGCGTATCGTCTCTAGTCTGTTTCGAGAACGACGAGATGGTCTGTCTTCTCAGCTGGTTGATCTGCGACTGCTGCAGCTCCTGCAACGGATTGGCTCTCTTGGAGCTCGAGATGGACGCGCGCTGGGCCTTGATCTCGGGTGACTCTTCCACAAGCGACTTGCGCTGCTTCTTCCGCGACATGTAGATCGACGACCGTCTGCGCTGCTTGCCCACGGGCATCGGCATCGATAGCGGGTCCACGTTGTCCTGGAAAACGGCAGGACGTTTGGGTTTTGTAGCGAGAATCTCGGGCGACACGCTCTGGATCTCAATTGCCTTGGACCCGCTACCCTTGGACCGTGGAGGAGTAGCCAGAACTTCTGGCGACTCTTTTGGTTCTGGCTCTGGCGAAGGAGCCTTCTGCGGCCGTGACACGGGTGCCACCATCGGCGTACTCAGATCTTCCACCACAGCGGACTTTTCTGGTTCTGGCGTGTACACAACAACGGGTGTTTCTGGCTCCACTGTCTCTGCCCGGATAGATAGACTTCTTCTTCTGCGCTTCCATCTTTCTGAGTTGATCTGTTCTCTGTTTCTGATTTCCTGTAATTTAGCGTTCTTTAGCTCTGCAAGCTGGTTCTCTGCCATTGTGGCGTCTAGGGCCAATTCCTGGCGCATCTGGTTGATCTGGGCCATCATCTGCTGGAACTTTCCTATCAAGTCGATTTCCAGGCTGGTGAGGCTCTTCCCGATCTGATCTTTGATTTTCGCCTCGGCGTTGCGCAACGCCAAGTTCTCACTCTGCGTGGACGTCAATTGGTCCTCGAGCTGGGTGATCTTCGACATGAGCTCGGAATTCTTGGTGGCCAGCACTTTGTTCTGTTGGAGAAAGCGCTTCCGCACAAAGTCGAGTTCGATCGAACTCGACGACGTCTCTGGCGTTGCTCGCGTACCGCTGCGTGTGCGCCCAGCAAGATCGCGCACCACCGTCGGGTTGTTAGCTAAACGAGCCATCCTAGCAAAATACGGTAGGTAAATAAAGCGTATTTATTTTTTTACAGATCGACCGACCGTGTCGCGACTAATTTGACCTCAAAATAATATTCGCGTCTTTCCCAATGGACTCTTTGAACGTCAAGCTCCAGCAAAAAATCAGAGAACTCGAAAGCCTCCAGCAGATCAGAGACCTTACCAAGAACCTGAACGTGTCGTTGGAGGAGTTCTCGAGCCAGATCGAGCTTCTGGGCGAAGAAGCAGGCTGTATACAAACAGTTACCGAAAATTGGATGAGAATCATCAGGGCAGTCAGTTTGGCGTCCAACTCGCTCGCTAACTACAAAGAAGAAGACTACGAAACAGACCGTCCAATGACAGAGCGACTGGTGCGCTGTAAGATCGACGAAAACCAGAAAATCATTAGCAAGAATTAAATTAGTATTTTCTATTTATCCAGTTTTCAAGTCCAATTTTGTCGTTGAGCGCAGTCAACAAATCGTTTTCTCTGATCAAGTCGGCCTGCAGGCCTTCGTCGACGTCCAGCTGCGAAATATCGCTCGAATCAACAACCAGTTCGGTCAAATTCGACGGAGGATCCACCTTTAGTTTGGGTAAACCGGTCATGAGCTGGAAATATTGGTTATCCTGCAACTCACCGGTGGCCAGGTCGTCCCAATTGGTGGTCAAAAACAGTCGTTTCCAAATAAGTTTCTCCAAAACCTGGTGGTAGTACGAATAGCTTGCCAGACCACTGATCACCTTGGTGGCATTCGAGTTCTTGATCGCACTCAGCAGCTTGAACAAGTTGGCGAAATTATTGTGACTAAAGTCATCAAACGTTATCAACGTCAATAATTGCACAAGCTCAAACAAACTCAGTTGCTGGTTCTTGTCAAGTTTGGAAACAATCGCGCCAATCTCCGTCTCGAAGCTTGGCAGCTTGCTATCTATCAGGTACTTGGAGTCCCGTATAAATCTGTCTTTAGTGCTCGAATTGATCAATTTCGCATAATTCAGCTGTAGCTCGATCGATTGCAGGTTGATTTCAATCTCGTCCAACAGGTCATCGTAGTTCTCGTCAAGAGTCACAAGACACAGTTTGGCTGTGTTGAGCTGGACCTTTTTCTGCTCAATTGACTCTGTCTCAGCAACAGAAACGTACTTCAACAGCCGGTTCGCAGCATCAAGAAACTTGTCATTCTTGATATCCCAGATCCACGCAAACTTGTAGTTGTTCACGTCCGAGTCCAAGAACTTGTTCACAAACTCAGGGTATTGGTCCGCACACTTCATGATGAGATTCACCTTCTTAGTTCTCACATAGTATCCAAACAGAGCCTCTGCAAATTGGTAGCCGTATCGAGTAAAACAGTCCTCAAACTTCAATGACACCAGCGCGTCTCCTTCTGGTGCCTGTTCTCTTTCAGAGTCCAAAATCTCACAGAAACTTTCCAGATCGTGGCTCTTCTCGGCCAGACGAATGATCTCGTGCTGTTGGCCAAGAACAACAAACAACCGGATCCATCCTTCTCGGTTATTCTTCAATAAATCGCCATGGACTCCGCTCTCCGTGTAGTAAAGGAACAGTGCGAGTTTCAGCACGGTATTGGAGATGCGGGTCTTGAGATCGCTCGTCTGGATAGACTCCAGGACGTCCGCGTAGGTCAAAGTCACGGTTTTCAGAATCTCGTTCAGATTTGTCAGCAGTTCACGAGCATGAGCGAAAAGCCCCGAAAATCTGACATCGTCCAGTTCGACTTTGAGGAACCCGTTGTCCAAAACGGTAGCCAGCAGCTCGCTAAAAAGAATTAGATCCGCAGGGTCGTCCAAATTCGTGTTGGACACCAGCAACTGCAAGTACTCCACAATGGTTTCCGAGCTGTTTTCAAAGTACTTGTCCAGTTTGGCATCCTTGCCCTGTTTCCGTAAAACTTTCTCTGCAACCAACTTCAAAGGCTGGTGTTCCGATAGATGCTTGTACAGCTCGCTCGAGAGCTTGACTTTTTCAAGAATTGTCGTCAGCTGGAGCCACACAGACTCGTTGAGCTTGAAGTTCTCGTCGCAAAATTGGTATAGACTCAGAAGAATCTCGGCTCTCTTTTCCAAGTTGGTTTGTAGATTCTTGTATGATGCGAGTCCATTGTACTTGTTCGAGGCGATCTCTTTCGCCAATCCCAAAACAGCCGTCTCCACGTCGGCATCGGTTAGTGTCAACTTGAGATTATCTAGCTTGAAATCAAGCAGGTTTTGGGTGTTGCCAAACTGCAAGGCCTGGCCAATGTGGTTTCTCAGGAAGTCAACGCTCGCAACAATGTCGCTAGCCTTGTCCACCTTGATCTGGAAGATTCCTTCCTCGGTCAGAATCACTATCGATTCTTGCTCGTCCACCTCGTAGCCATAAACGGACACGTTATTGTTGAAACTGATAAAGTCTTCCCAGCGCTCACTGAGCTCCGAGGCGATGTCCACCATCACCATCGCACGGTCGGTCATGATATTGGCTGTATTCTCGGTGAGCAGGATCTTTGGATAGCTGTCTGTTGTAGTGGTGCTGGCAACCTCGTGGACGTACACCACGGTCGGCTCGGAGTCATTCTTGACCAATGAAATTTGTAGTCGGTTGTCAGATGATCCTTTGGATGTAGTGAGAACAAGATACACATCATTATCAAGAAGCTCTATGTCTTTCACTTTGATGTCGTCGGCGTCCAGTATCTGTTCTGCTAGTAAAGGTTTAATGTTTAGTTGAGATGCAATGTTGATGGAACCGTTCAGCCAGTTGGCAATGGTCAATTTCCCGTCCTCTTCCTGGATGAAGATCTTGTGACTGACCTGGCTCTCTTTCCAGCTCTTCACGGAGATCACCTTGTTGGAATTTTCGTAGGCCTCGATGTTGTATGAAGAGAGACCCAAGAACAGGTTGAGCAGCGACTTTGAGGCGTAGATCTCGGTAAAAACAAGGTTCGTTTTGCCCAGGTAGTCGTTTAAACTCAAAAGAACGACTCTGCGGTTGCTGGTGGCAATAAGCAAGCCAACACCGCTCACATGCTCCACGATGGTGACCACCTCGTTTCCAGACAGTTTCAGCGAAGTGGACTGGACGATGTCGAGAATATCCAGCGATGGAGCCAAGCTGAGCGCCTCCACGTATCTGACGGCCCCGGAGATGGAATCTATAATGATTACGCTGGTTTCGTTGGTGACCGGGTTCAAGAACACCTTGACTTGAGGCAAGATCCCATAGTCGTTTTTCTCGTACGTGAACTCGAATGGAACCGGCCGTATGTCTTTGGACTTGTAATTGTAAATAAGAATGCGTTCGTTAGTGACAAGCACGGCTTTCTGGGCAGTGGACTCGATGGACCCGTAGCAAATGGTTTCTTCTGCCTTCAATTGAGGCAGCTCGGTAGGGAATTTATTTATTTGATACGAGTCTGTGCGGACAATCTCTTTCAGCCGGAACAACTGCTGCGGCTGACTGGTATTAGTCGGCTTGGAATTCTTCAATCGGTCAAGACTGAAACTAAACATAGCGACCGATGTTGATGTTTGGTAAATAAAAAAGAACGGTCCCGGGTAACTTTGGAAAAAAAATATTTCAGATTAATTTTTTTTTTTGAAAAAAATTCTAGCTATCATGATTCGCAGTGTTAAGCCAAAGAATGCACGTTCCAAAAGAGCGTTGGACAAGAAACAGCCAAAGATAGTTGAGAACGTCAAGACGGCCTTGTTTGTGCCGGGAACCTCCGCCAACAAGGCTCTTCATGACATTGCAGTGGACCTTTCCTCTCTTAAGAAACCAGATATCAAACGATTCACCAAGAAGAACGAGGTGCTTCCGTTTGAGGACGCTTCGAAACTCGAGTTTTTTAGTGAGAAGAACGACGCCTCGCTGATTGTTCTTATGAGCAGCAACAAGAAACGGCCAAACAACCTCACTTTTGTGCGCACATTCAACTTCAAAATCTACGATATGGTGGAGCTTTTGGTGCTGAACAACTTCAAGCTGTTCCAAGACTTCAAGAAAGTCACTTTCCAAGTTGGTCTCAAGCCGATGTTTGTGTTCAACGGTCCGATTTTCGACTCCCACCCTCTCTTCAAGCAAATTAAGTCTCTGTTCTTGGACTTCTTCAGAGGTGAGGTCACCAAGTTGCAGGACGTGTCTGGTCTGCAACACGTTATCTCTGTTTCTGCCATTGAGGAAGATGACCACGACGAGTCCAGCATGTCGAAACTGCCATTGGTCCATTTCCGTGTCTACAAACTGAAAACATATAAATCCACAGAGCCAAAGCTACCAAGAGTCGAACTCGAGGAAATCGGTCCTAGACTCGACTTCAAGATCGGAAGACACACCTACGCCGACCCAGAAATGGAGAAGGAGGCATTCATGGTGCCTAAGCAGTTACAGACCAAGCAGAAGAAGAACGTCGACTTGGACAGCATGGGTGATAAGATCGCTAAGGTTCACGTTGGTACTCAAGACTTGAGCAAGTTGCAAACTAGAAAGATGAAGGGATTAAAGAGTAAATACGACCAAGTGAGTGACAGTGAGGAGGACGTGTCTGGCTCCGACGAGGAAGAGTCGGAACTGGAAATTGAACAATTCGATGACGACGAACCAGAAACCAAGAAAAGAAAGGTCTGACTGACTCGAATTGTCATTATATTTCATAATTAGCGAACAGTGGATAAGCAACGACTGTAAGTATAATACATTTAGCAGCGATCGATTTGGCCATTGCTAGTAAAAATTGTAGCCATACTTGTTGATTGGTGGTTTGTCATTGGAACCTGAACTGTTGTTGTTCAAGAATGACGACACTGTTGAAGGCCCTTGGAAGAAACAGTAGTTTTCCAAAAGCTTCTGGTAAGATTTGGAGTTGATTTCCGGTCTTTGTGATCCACTCAAGGAATCGGATAAGTTTGATGCTGGTGGGGGGCCTGCCGACTTGTCTGTGGGCGAAACTTCCCGGTCCAGTTGCGATTGTTGCTGTTGCTGTTGGTTCTCGTCTTTCTGGTTCAATGGAAGAGGAGGGGGGATGAGATCTGTGAAAGTGGGGGTTGCTCCCACATTTTTGAGTAAAAGTGGAGTTCCGGGAGAGTTCATGCTACTATCTAAGACGGCTTCTTGATGGAAATCGTATGGTTGGTCACCTGTAGTATTTGTGGTGGTCTGGTGGGATTTATGTTTTGTCGGCTGGCTCAAGGTGAAGTTTTCCAAATCATTCTCCAGATGAGCAAATGATCTTGAAGCTCGAGAAGAAACGTCTTCCATGCTGGCACTTCTCCGCAGAAATTTGGAAGAGTACATGTTCTGATGCTTTTGTTTCTGACGAGCATCATTGGAACCAGATGTGGTGCGACTGAACCGCAACTCGTAGTTCCTTTGGGAATTGTTATCCCAAAACACCAAGTCGTTGGTGACAAAACGGATGCACAGTTGGAAGTATGGCTCCATACCGGAAGAAGACATATGCGTAGCGTAAAATTGAGAGAAAAGTGTCGGAACAGACACCTTGAACACAAACCGGTCGTAATTGGCCCGTTTTAGTAATCTCGGTATATCAGGGATGTAGGTTGCTTCCACGTTGATGACTGTATCCCAATCATTGAACGTGTATCTGACTGTGACGGATTTGTGGTAGTACATGTTTTTGACGGCGACCTGTCCCCACAGCTCTGTCTTGTCGACGTTCAGAAAGCACCTTTCTAGGAAAACAGGAGTTTCTTTGTCAATCTCGTCTCTATACGAGATTTTAGGGAAGTTTCGGGTGACCAAGTTCCACGGCTGGATGAGCCGTCTAAACCGATCTGTAGCATTGCAGTTGTTGGAAACAACACACTCCTTGGCAATATCAAATATCGTCTCTGGAGAACCAAAGATATCCTCCTGGTCGCTTTCGTAGTCTGTGTCTTCCTCATCCGATACGTAGGGCGAGTTGTTTGCACTAATCGAACTTGGTTTATCTGCCTCGTCGAAGTATTTGACCGCAATGTCTCCTCCGAAATGCACTTGTTTGTATGTTGGGGTTGCGGGCAGCGATTTGGAGCTGTTCCCGAGATAGTTGAGCTTCAAAGACGACTTGACCAGCTCTCCGGATTTCTTCCGTACCAGGGGATGCATGTACTCGTACTGGGACTCGGGCAGCGAGATGGGGCTATCGAACGGCTCTGGCGATGGATCATCGTCAATAAGGGCCTTTTCGGAAGAAGGATCAATTTCCGGAGGAGGAGTATAGCCTTTAGAATTGAGCAGCGTATTTTGCTTCATCAACTCATCGATATCGTCGGATGAGTTGGACCGAGACGGCTTTCTTAGGAAACTAAGCGACAACGGGAGATCACCCTCTAAACTGCTATCACTCGAGTGTCTGCGGTGATGTTGCAAAGATTCCGATAAAGGAGGGTTAGGGATAGACCCGGCCGAGAGGTTTGCTTTGTTGCGCGATGGAACAAAAGGCATGATGGCAATGGACCTAGCAAGACGTCCTACTTGCGGATTTCACGGTTCGGGAAATCTTTCGACACAATCACTAAATTAAAAAACCCGTTCACGCTTTTGCTGCTCCCGCCATAAGGTGATGTACAATTATTCTTGAGAGGGGGTCTCTGTGACAAGCGCAGGCGCAGAAGGTTTCTGTGTGATGGAATGTCAGCGTCTGTGAGAGCAAACACAGATGGGATGAGTTGCTGGTAGAAACCTTGACGCGTCTGCTTGCTCAGCAAAAAGGATCGCGATTTAATACTCCTTCAGTTCTAAAGGCAACTATGGTTTTCGCTTTGGGGTTCGCTAATATTAGCGCCCATACTAAAAAAAATGTACGTGCATTAGGTAAGCGACAGATAAGATCTGGCATGGGTGTTGTGCCTGGTGATCTGAGGCGGATGAGGGGTGTGCATGCTTTAGATGACATCAAAGTAGTTGCATTGATTGTCTGGTTGAACTATGGAAAATCCCACTAGTGCATCTGCTCGCCCCAGCCAAATCGTTCGTGGCTTTCCAGTGCTACCAAAATCAGCCATTGATTTTATTTACATTTACTCTTTTTCTTCATGTCCACCCAGTACAATTTCTCCCTGTGGAACATTTGGATGGCAGCCACGCTGCTGAAAATCCTTCTGTTTCCGGCATACTTCTCCACAGACTTCGATGTGCACCGGAATTGGCTCTCGATCACCAAACTGTTGCCCATAGATCAATGGTATTTGGAGAACACAAGCGAGTGGACTTTGGATTACCCACCGTTCTTTGCGTACTTTGAGTGGTTTCTTTCGAGGTTTGTTCCTGGGTTTGTGGCCAGGGACGGCTGTATTGAACTCGTGGCAAAGGGACAGTTCGGAATACCCACGATTTTCTTCCAACGGTTCACCGTTATTGCAAGTGAAATCGTCCTTTTCGCTGCTCTGCAATACTATGTGACCTCGTCGTCCAATTTGAAGGAGAAAAAGCGGAACTTTGTTGTGGCGTCCTCGATCGTGCTGTCTCCGGGCCTCTTCATCGTGGACCACATCCATTTCCAATACAATGGGTTCCTGCTGGGCATTCTGGTTCTCTCAATTGTGAACGCGAAGCTCGGGAACTATCTCCAATGCGGGTTCTGGTTTGCTGTCCTGCTCTGCTTCAAGCACATCTTTCTGTACATTGCTCCGTGTTTCTTTGTGTTCTTGCTGTCGGTCTATTGTTTGAACACCCAATCGAAACTGCCAACCACGTTTTCGGAACTAATCAACTGCGTTCGCTGGAAAAACCTGATCAAACTTGGATCCACCGTCATTGCAGTATTCCTCGTCGCATTCGGTCCCTTTGCATATTATGGCCAACTCTCAAACGTGTTCCAACGGCTGTTTCCGTTCGCGAGAGGTCTGACCCATGCGTACTGGGCACCAAATATCTGGGCTGTCTACTCGTTGATTGACAGAGTTCTGATCCAACTGACTCTTAGGGTCCCAGGGGCAGCAAGGATCATTTCCCTGGTATTCAACAAAATAGATTATGAGAGACTCAACAACGCTGGTACACTCACAAGAGGACTTGTTGGTGACGTTGAATTTTTCATCCTGCCAAACATCAAGCCAAACCACACGTTCCTGCTTACGCTGTTCTACCAGTTGCTCTCTCTGGTTCCACTCCTGATAAATCCTACTTTCGAACGGTTTATCGGTTCTATGACTCTTTGCGCATGGGCATCGTTCCTGTTCGGATGGCATGTGCACGAAAAAGCCATTCTTCTGGTGATCATCCCGTTCAGCTTCTTGGTGCCGTTTGATCGCAAGCTACTCCCACTCTATGAGACCCTTACAGCATCAGGCTACGTTTCTCTGTTCCCGTTGCTGTTTGGCTCTGCCGAATGGCTTCTCAAAACTCTTCTCACGTTTGTCTGGTTTGTCATTTTCTCAAACAGTTTCAACGAAGTGTGCGAGTTCAGTTCCAGCATCTCCAGAAGAGTGTTTATTCTCGACAGACTCAACATTCTGTATATAGTCGGACTCATCCCGGTGTGTTGTGTTCTGCAAATGATTGACATCCAGTCGCGCAACTTTGCAATTTTGAAACGGTTCGAGTTCGTCAATCTCATAGTGTACAGTGCCTACTGCTCAATCGGAGTGATCGGTTCATGGAACATGTTCAGCTGGCTGTATTTCCTCGACGACAGCATCTGGGACCGCAGGATCAAGGAAAAGGAGAAAACCTTGTGATCTTACAAGTCGTTTTATTGACTCTCTATAGACTTTTTGATGATATCATCAATTTCGCATTCGGTGTTGATCAAACTGGCCCACGACAACATGTCTTTAACCGCCTTTGCATTTTTCAGCTGGAGCGCACGGTGAATGTACATAAACACGTAATCTGCAATGGTCACCAGTTCCAGCTCACTGTCAAACAAGATGTTCATGGATTCAGAGTTGATCAACAGAAATTGCAACTGCTCGCGGCATTCCAAGTAATGTCTGGAGAAGAAGAGAATCACCTCCAAGAGAGCTCTTTCGAAGTTCTTGAACTCGATCAGACACAACAGAGATGCCAGTTTAGGACCCGATTTTTCGACAAGGTAGTCTCTCTCAAACTGCTCCAGTGGCATGGGCTCATCAGGTGGGATTTGTGAATCGTCATTATCGAAAAACAGCTCCCTTGCTTCTGGGAGCCTGCCCAGTCCCGCGTTATGCACCAGCCAGGTTTGCAACTCGATTTTGAATTTGTGGATGCTTTGCAGACAGATTCCTTTCTTTTTCAGCAGTGTGATCATGATGCAAACCACTTTAAGACCTGCTTTGTTTGATGCTGGGTCGTCCAGACTGCTAAACAGGCTCTCGAAGTATAGATCCAGAAGAACGGATTTCTCATGGTCGGTCAGCTCGACTGCACCTTTTCTAGTGAATGGGTATTTGGCGAAGTCTGCGGGCCTGGTTTGAGCCACTTCTTCACCTCGTCTTTCTGTGAGCAAGTCGTGGATGTACGACACTACCCATTGGTTCAAAGGAAGAGTGGTTAAAAGAATGAACACTTGTGTACGTTGACCCATGGCCATGAGCAGCTCGTCCAGCATGGCATAGGTGAACGCGTGATCGTGACGCAAAATCTCCAGGAAATTGTCTTCGCAGTTCAGCCAGTCCACAATAAAATCGGTCGAGATGAAATCGTCGTTCTTTCTTGCTGGAATGAGCACTCGGAATCTTTTGCCGGTCTCGTGTTCGTATATTCCTATCCATTCCAAGCTCCGGATGATCTTGGACCCTTGGAACACCGACTCGTTACCTGTGCTTATGAAAAGATCCAAGTTGTCGATGATATCGAGTGCAGACTCAAAGAATTGGTCTGATTGTTGGGCATATGGCCGGAAAATCTGCGAGAAGCTGTCGCTCATCACACAGTTCTTCCCGCGTGGCATTTCTCGCAGATCTGTGCACCACTCATCGTATTGGAGTGGATATGGATCATCTTCTGGCTTGACCAGTTTCAAAACAGACAGAATAACTTCCAGAAGCTGGTGGTCCTCGTGTGTTTTCTTGGAAACGTTGTTCACTATGGTGTTCACCTGCTCTTTAAACTGGCTAACACAGGGACAATTTGCATGGTAGCTGGCATGGAGGCCAGGATCCCAATAGTTGTCAGAGTTGAGACCAACGTGCTTGTTGTCCTTCCTTCTGGCAGATATGCGGGGCTCGAACATGTACGCTATGTCTTCGTCGAACTTGTCTCCGATCAAAATCACCGGCCATGGCAGGTCGAAATCGATGCTGGTGATTCTCTCTGGGAAAAATGTCCAGTCGGCCTTGTCTTTGAGCGCTCCGGTGATGGACTTCTTGCCCAAGGGCCGCATGAACACAAAGATCGGGACGTGCTGGAGGTCGTGGACGTACTCGTCGTCCTTTGACGAGATCACGGCAGCTGTGATCGCTCTCACGGCTGCAGATCCCTTGACAACCTGTTTTATCAAGGCTGGGTAGCCGGGAAAGTTCTGCTCCTCGTCTCTGCGGTCGATTTCAAGGCCGTACATGATCACCTTGGAGAGATTCTCCCAGAGCTGGAAAAGGAACTCGCCGAACGGGTTGAACTGGTGCTTGAATAGCAGATATATACAGTAAACTGCTGCCGATGCGATTGTGTAAAGTAGAGTGAGGTCGTGGAAGCCATTAGCGAGACTCAGCACTCCGGAGAGTGTCTTGTGGGGTGTCCATTTCGGCAAGTCATCCAACCAGGTGTCTTCGTCGTTGCGCACGTCGTGGAGCCGGGTGTAGTCGTCACACCCGAGCAATATGGAGATTTTTTCGACGATCAACGCCAGGTCGTAGCCAAAGTCAAAATACGGTGTGTTTGAATTTTTGTAGGTGTGGAAATTGAGTGCGATCACAGAGTCTGCCACTTTGCGCAGTGACAGGACGTTGCGATAATCGTTGTCCTGTTCGGACGGCGACGTATATACGTCACAGAGGCCTGCGAGCGAGGCAAATAGCGGCCATGTGTCGAATTTCCGCGGTGTGATGGGATTCTCAATTCGCAGAAGCTTGTACAGGGCCCTGTGGATTTTCACCGGGTCAAAGTTCACCACCTGTCGCGAGAAGTGGAAATTGAAGTCAAACGTGTACTCCTGATCTTCTATATCGCTCAGTTCCTCGTCGTCCATGGATCTTGCAAGCGTATCGGAGAACAAAAAAATGTTCAAATAATTAATATCCAATTTTTTTTAAATGTATATAAGTTAATCCTGAGCTGGATAAGCTAATTATCGGATTCGATATCCCGTTTGATGGCGTCCAGAAATTCGCCGATATCCTGCTGCTCGAGCTGTTTTTCGCCGCGCTTGGCCAGCTCGAAGTTCTCAGAGACCCGTTTCTTTGTCTCCTGTTGCAACTTGAGGTCGCGCTCCTCGATCTCGAGCTTGCGCACGTAGATCATGTCGTCTCTATATGTTTCGTTTCCCGGGGTCGGAGGCAGTTTGAACGGCTTGAGCGACTGCAAATAGCTAGTTGGCAGGTTGAGCATCTCGAGGTTGTGTTCTTGCGTTTCCAGCGAGCTATGGGTCAGAATACCAGCAGATTGCGTCTTCTTGTGGCCACTGTAGAACGGATGGTAATTTTTGTCAGCCTGCTCGCGCTTGATCTGCTTGTACTTGCTCAGGTTGTTCAGAATAGACGAGTTCTGGACCTTGGAGTTCTTGTAGGCGTGCGGGGAGAAAGAGAGCGAAGGCTTGGCGGGATGGTTGTGTTCTATCGGCTTGGTCAGCGGCAGGTGGCCGTTGAAGAACTGCTCCAACAGTAGATCTTTCTCGCGGATGTTGTTTGTGCTCGGAACACGAGGAAGAGTGGAGATGTAGTTCTTGCGGGCTCTTTTCGGTTGTTTCACCTCGTTGGAAGATTCCTGCTCCACAGCATGTTCCGAGGTGGGCTCAGAGGCGTTCGACGCGCTGGATGCATGCCGGACAGCCTGAACGGAGCGCGAACCGGTTCTAAATAAAGCCTTGTGGGTGGTAATTTTCAACATAACTCAAATAAGGAGACGTCAAACGCAATATATACAATCAGCTTTTGACCGATAAGAGCCGGTGTGGGGGTGGAACCACCACAGCTGCAGCAATTGGCAAAAGACCGAAAAAAAGGAATAGTCTACAGAAAGGTCGATCGACTCGTCTTTTTGTGCCGCAATGTCTTCTACAGAGAAACGGCTGTTGAAGGAGTACCGTGCGGTCCAGAAAGAGCTGGCCGACGCAGATGCGTCCATCAAGTCCACTGGCGTGGTAGCTCTCCAACCATCAGAAGAAAGTATGTTCAAATGGAACGCCGTGATTAAGGGCCCGGACCAGACTCCGTTTGCCGACACTCTATGGCGGTTGGAAATCCAGGTCCCCACGAACTACCCGTTGGAGCCGCCGGGGATCAAGTTCGTGGTGCTCAACGACACAAAATTGCGCACCTCAAAAGTGTCGGGAGACTCCAAAATCTGCTACAAGATGCCCCACCCAAACATCAACTTCAAGACAGGCGAAATCTGCCTGGACATCCTACAGAAAAAATGGTCGCCCGCATGGACGTTACAAAGCGCGCTGGTGGCTATTGTCGTTCTGCTGGCCAATCCGGAACCTCTAAGTCCACTGAACATCGATATGGCCAACCTGCTGAAGTGCAACGACACAACCGCTTATAACCAACTGGTGCGCTATTACACGGAAAAATACTCGAGATACGAGTCGCTGGATGTATAATTCACAATGACTTTATTGATTCAATTAACTTATTTCTTAGCCTTCTCGTTCTTGGCTTGGTCTTTCAACACCTTCTTGACGATCTTCTGTTCCTCGATCAAGAAAGCTCTAACGATTCTCTCCTTGACACAGTTGGCGCATCTAGAACCACCGTAAGATCTGGAAACAGTCTTGTGAGTCTTGGAAATGGCAGCGTACTGTCTTGGTCTGAGGGAAGCGACACCTGGAAGAGCGATACCACAGTCACCACACTTTGGTCTGGTACCAATCTTCTTGAGGTGTTGAGCGACAAGCTTTCCACCAGGAGTCTTGACCACCTTGATCTGGTTGGATCTGGTGTTGTATGGGTTTCTTCTTCTAAAGGTCACTCTCTGGGCCATTGCTGATGTTAAGAAGATTTTTTGAAAAATTAAAAATTTTAATATACTCGCAGCCCGTGTTTGCATCACGTGATGTAAAGGAAAAAAGAGCACCTGTGAGAATTTGTATTAGGTAATCAAATCACTATCTAGTTCTCCACGGCAATCAGTTCCATCTCGACCTCGAGACCCAGAGGCAGCTCCTTGACACCGATGCACGATCTGGCTGGCTTGTACTCACCAAAGTACTTGACGTACACCTCATTGAACTCGGCAAACTTGGACATGTCGGTCAGGAACACAGTCACCTTGACGACTTTCTCGACCGAAGAGCCGCTGTCCTTGACAATGGCCAAAGCGTTCTTGATAACTTGCTCGGACTTCTCCTGGAAGGTTCCCTCGAGTCTCTTTCCCTCAGGGGTGAAAGGAATCTGGCCAGAAACGTAGATGAATCCGTTGGCCTTGACTGCGTGAGAGTAAGCAGCAGCGGCTGGAGGAGCGTTCTTGGAAATGACCGGAGTAATGGTAGACGACATTCTGTGGAATTGAGCAGTATAAACAGGTTTTCTAGCTAGTCTGGCAAAGGTTGCAAGGTTTGCAATTCTGTACATGATAAAGTTAGTTATAATTTGCGACCGGAATTTGAATGGCGGTGTCGGTGTTTGCACGACGTATTAGCGGCAACTCACTTGGACTCCACGCCTTGGACGATTTCGCCCGACAACGGCTGGTCGGCCTCGAGCTTGGACCGCAGCTCTTTCTGTGCCTCGAAGTCCAAGGCGTTGGCCTTTTGCTTGGCGTTCAGCTCTCTTTCGCGACGTCTTTCCAACCGTTCAGCGTCCTTAACGGGCCCGTATTTGAGGTTCTAAGGGGTTAGTAAATTGCTAGGATTGTACTTACGTCGTTCTCCTCCTCGGCAAAGAAGTAAACGCCCACGGTGGTGGCGGCACATAGCAACGACGTGACACCCAGTGTGATCTTGGAAGCTCTCGACATGATGAATTTTTTAAACTGGTGCACAGCCAGAAACATGTGGTTCGTGGCAACCAACGGTAACAAAGATGGGGCGGAGAGGGGGTTTGGGGCGTCTTTACGGGGGATTGCTTTGCAAAAGCGAGGTTGCGGTTGCTGGACGAAGGACGAGTGCCGGATCAATTTTCAGGAGCTCCGCCTGTCAATTAGCCGAAGTTGTTCGTCCACTCTGTTTATTTCCCTGTGTAGCGAGACCGGGAAACAACGTCAGGGTTTCCAGGGTCGTCAGCGTCGGGGGAACTAATTGACGGTGTATATCGGAAGTAGATCATGGTAGGATCCAGGACACATTGTCTGTTTGGCCATCGCCGACGTATCGGCAGTCCGGCACTACACCGTTTTTACAGCTTCCACCAATTCATGCACCCAAAAAATATTAATAACAGAATAAGCGTACCTGTTACATTTGCTCATGCTGAATAATTACAACAACCCGACGCCGCAGCCAATCGAGCAGTACGCGGACCAGGCGCAAGGCCAAAACCCTCTGCCGCAAGAGGTGCAGGCCTCGTCGTACACGAGCATAACGTCCCCCTCGAATTTCGTGAGCTACAACAGCCCGTCAGCAAACCCGCCACAGACGTTTGTGCACCGGAACTCGTTCTCCAGCAGGTCGAACTCGACAGACGGCTCGATCAAGAGTCTGCACCAGGGGTCCATCGGGTCGATCTCGGGGTTGCCGCAGTCATCGTTCCTGGCCTCGTCTTCCTCCCACATCGCACCGGCTGGCCGTCGGTCGCTGCTCACCACCAAGTTGCAGCAGCAGCAGACGCAGTCGTCGCCGTCCGCACAGCAGTTTGCGTCGTACGTGCCGCCGTCGCACATCAGCTCCTCATACCACGACAAGTTCGGCTCGGCACCGCTGCACATGCCCCAGATGGGGTCCTACTCGGGACCAATGGCTACACAATTCGGCTCCTTGGGACAGCAGGGATTGCCTCCGCACCCAGCCCCTGCCACGGCCACAACCACCATCTCCAAGGACATTGCGTTCTCCACTAATTCCTCCTCCAGCACGTTGTACCAGGACGCCCAGCAGTCCTTCACCACGCCAACGTACGAGTCCCATAGACCCCACTTTATCTCTGCATCGGCTCCGTCCCAATCGTTCATCCAGTCCTCCTCGTTTCCCCGGGGCTCTGTGGAGCCGCAGCACAACCAGTTCCAGCCAGCCGTGCCGCACGCGCAGTTTTCCTCCTCGTCGCTGTCCAGACACCCGGAGCCGGTCACGTTGGCCTCGCTGCCGCAAACAGGCCCTCCTGGAGACCACCTGGACATCGTCAACCACCAGGTCAACGACCTGCTGCTGATGCTGTCCGCGCTGCTGCAAAAAATAGTGGAAGCTAACGACTCGCTACATCCCGACCATTACAATAGCCAGGGCCCTCAAGTGCCGCCCACCACGGAACAGAACAAGTACACGGCCAACGTGCTAGCGTTCCACGGCAGAAACATCCCGGCCATCTCTCTACATGCGTATCTTACGAGAATCTCAAAGTATTGTCCAGTGACAAACGAGGTGTTTCTAAGCTTACTGGTGTATTTTGACCGGATAGCCAAGCGCGCGAACAACGGCGACTTCAACTCCACGTTCAACTCGTCGCCCAAAGCCGATCCGGCCGACCCCAACGCGAAGCAGCAGCAATTGTTCGTGATGGACAGCTACAATATCCACAGACTCATCATCTCGGGAATCACCGTGGCCAGTAAGTTTTTCAGCGACGTTTTCTATAAAAACTCCAGATACGCTAAAGTCGGAGGGCTGCCTTTGGAGGAGCTCAACCACCTGGAGTTGCAATTCCTGCTGCTGCTGGACTTCAAGCTGATGATCCAGGTCGAGGAAATGCACCGCTATGGCGACCTGCTGATGAAATTCTGGAAAAGAGAGCAATCTAAAGTGGCCCAACTAAGCGAGCACTGATAAAAGATATTGGTCGTGCACGGCCTCGTGGGCCAGCCTTTCCGGTGACTAAATCTGGAAAAAAAAATTTCAAAGTTCCATCGCATCTCCAGACCATGGACTTAGTCAACCACCTCACCGACAGACTGCTGTTTGCAGTTCCAAAGAGTAAGTTTTTGAAGAATCTTGACGAAACTAACAATTATCAGAGGGGAGACTTTATGAAAAATGCGTGAATTTGCTCAAAGGCTCCGATATCCAATTTAACAGATCCAGCAGACTCGATATTGCATTGTGCACAAACCTGCCTATTGCCCTTATATTTCTGCCAGCCGCCGACATCCCGACCTTCGTGGGTGAAGGCCGTTGTTCCATCGGTATCACCGGTGTCGACCAGGTCAAAGAGAGCGACGTCGACGTCGAGATAGCCATGGACCTTTTGTTCGGAAAGTGTAAATTACAAATCCAGGTGCCAGAGAACGGCAGCTACCAGACGCCACAGCAACTCGTGGGAAAGACCATCGTTTCGTCGTTCACCAGACTCACCACCCAGTTCTTCGAGAAGCTCGAGGGTGTCGAACCCGGCTCTCCGATCAAGACCAAGGTCAAGTTTGTGGGTGGTTCCGTCGAGGCCAGTTGCGCTTTGGGCGTCGGAGATGCCATTGTGGATCTCGTCGAGAGCGGAGAGACCATGAAGGCCGCCGGGCTGTACGCCATCGACACCATCCTCGACACCTCCGCTCATTTGATTGTTTCTAAGAACCCATCGCACCCTGAACTCGTCAAGGTGATCAAGTCGCGGCTCGAGGGTGTTCTTGCTGCCCAGAAGTACGTGCTCTGCAACTACAACGCCCCAAGATCCATGCTGCCCAAGCTGCTGAAGCTCACCCCTGGTAGAAGAGCAGCCACCGTTTCGCCGCTCGACGATGGCGAGTGGGTTGCTGTTTCCGCCATGGTGGAGCGCAAGAGCATGGGCCAGATCATGGACCAGCTCCAGGATCTTGGCGCCTCCGACATTCTTGTGTTTGAGATCTCCAACTGCAGAGTCTAACTGGCCTTGTGGAGTTTTTTCTCTCCATTCGCTTGTGGAGGTGTAGAGATGTGTTTGGGGAAAAGTTGAGATAAATAGGGCTGAGCCAAACTAATAAAACAAGTATAAAATTCTAGATTTAGAGATCCGTCCGTTTGCAAGCAAAAGCAAACGAAGATATGCCAATTTCGCTATAAAGGACGTTTCGTATCGAATTTGGATCCTTTTGAACTGACGCTGGTCTGAGAATTTGCCACTCACCAGCAAACTTGTCCGCTAATTACATCTTTTGAGGAGTTCGATGAGCAGCTCAGACTCGGAAAACTCTCCAAGAAACACCACCGCCCACGAACTCTTGAAAGACCGGATACCTAGCGCAACAACTGGAATCAGGTCATCTCGGTCTAGTTCAGGTCCCATTCCTTCCCGACAGCAAAGTTTGAATCAATACACGCTGGACAAGGAGTTTGAGGACACGTTGAATGTTGCCCTTGAGAACATCGACTCGAACCCGTTTATTAATATAAGTCGTCGACCTACAATTGACAATACAGACGCCTTTTCTTTAAAGAGTCTCAACAAAATGAATACAAACGCTTATGGTTACGGATTGGACGACGGCGATATTCCTTTGATCCCGTCCAACGACCAGATTCTCGACCCTTCTGACCAGCGACCTACTTCCAAGGCCGACTCCAGAACTATCTGGTCCAAGGGCGTGCAATCGCTGCTTAATTCCTCCAACAGGTTGGTTCTGGGTTCCAGAGGCAAGAAAAAGGGGGTCCAACTGCCCTCCGACGACTCCCCCGTCGGCGATATCAACTTCCACGAAGAGCGCGTCATTATCCCCCACATGGACAACGGATTCCCGTCCAACGCGGTGTCCAATGCCAAATACAATGCGCTTTCGTTCTTCCCCATCATTCTGTACGAGCAGTTCAAGTTCTTCTTCAACCTGTACTTCCTGCTCGTTGCATTGTCCCAGGCCGTGCCCGCTCTGCGAATCGGCTACCTGTCGTCGTACATTGTTCCCTTGGCGTTTGTGCTGACGGTGACGATGCTAAAGGAGGCCATCGACGATATCCAAAGACGTCGTCGAGATATGGAGCAGAACAACGAGCTCTACGAGGTTCTGGGCTCTATCAAGAAAGTTCCCGCCAAAAACCTCAAATGCGGCGACCTGGTCAAACTTTACAAAGACAGAAGAGTGCCTGCAGACATGGTTTTGCTGCAATCAAGCGAAAATAATGGAGAGTCTTTTATTAAGACGGACCAGCTTGACGGTGAGACCGACTGGAAGCTCAGAATCGCATGTCCGCTGTCGCAAGGTCTTTCTGAAGACGACTTAGACCTGATCAAGATCACAGCTTCGCCTCCTTCTAAACATATACACTCCTTCTTAGGAAAACTCACCTTTGGCGATCATACAACTCCTCTCAGCATCGACAACACACTGTGGGCCAACACCGTGCTTGCCTCGGGAACCGCAGTTGGATGTGTGATCTACACGGGTAAAGACACCCGGCAATCGATGAACACCTCTGTTCCAGGAGTCAAGACTGGACTTTTGGAGCTCGAAATCAACAACCTCTCCAAGATTCTTTGTGCGTGCGTTTTCATTCTTTCCTTTGTGTTGGTGGCATGCCAGGGATTCACAAGCGACTGGTACGTGGACGTGATGCGGTTCTTAATTCTGTTCTCGACAATCATCCCTGTGTCTTTGCGTGTGAACCTCGATCTCGGCAAGTCGGTGTACGCCTACCAGATAGAGCACGACGACTCGATCCCAGAAACGGTTGTGCGTACAAGCACGATCCCAGAAGACCTGGGCCGGATCGAGTACTTGTTGAGCGATAAAACAGGAACCTTGACCCAGAACGACATGGAACTTAAGAAATTGCATCTTGGAACTGTTTCTTATGCCGGAGACAGCATGGATCTGGTGGCCGAATACGTCCGCAACGGCAATGAGCACGTTAAGACTTCTAGAAGAGACCTGGGTGCCCGGATCAGAGACCTTGTCAACACTTTGGCCATCTGCCACAACGTGACACCAACCTACGAAGACGGCGAGTTGAGCTACCAGGCTGCATCGCCAGACGAAATTGCCATTGTTAAATATACAAAGAGCGTCGGTCTGTCTTTGGTGAAACGGGATCGTACTAGTTTGACCACATTGCACGAAGCTACCAACAAGACGTTTGACTATGACATCTTGCAAGTGTTCCCGTTTAGCTCGGAGACGAAGCGAATGGGAATTATTGTTCGCGACAAGACCCGCGAAGAGCTGTGGTTCTTGGAAAAAGGCGCCGATACGGTGATGGCCAAGATCGTTCAACAGAACGACTGGCTCGAGGAAGAGACAGGAAACATGGCCAGAGAAGGACTTCGTACTTTGGTGATTGCCAGAAAGAAGCTCACCACCAACATTTATGAAGAGTTTTTGGCACGGTACCAGGAAGCCAGCTTGTCGATGCTCAACAGAGACCAGGCCATGGCCAAGGTTCTGTCGCAGTACATGGAGCACGACCTGGAGCTGCTGGGTCTAACAGGAGTGGAAGACAAGCTTCAAAAGGACGTCAAGTCTTCGATCGAGCTGCTGAGAAACGCAGGCGTCAAGATCTGGATGCTGACCGGTGACAAGGTCGAGACGGCGCGGTGTGTTGCCGTGAGCGCCAAACTGATCTCCAGAGGCCAGTACGTGCACACCATTACGCGGCTGAGCCGGCCCGAGTACGCGTTGCAGCAGATCGAGTACCTACGCACCAACAGAGACGCTTGTCTTTTGATCGACGGCGAGTCGCTTGGAATGTACCTCAACTACTTCAAGCAAGAGTTCTTCGACGTTGCCATCCATCTCCCTGCTGTTGTTGCGTGCCGGTGCTCTCCGCAACAAAAAGCCGACGTTGCTTGGTTCATCCGCAAGTCCACCAACAAACGGGTCTGCTGTATTGGTGACGGAGGTAACGACGTTAATATGATCCAGAGCGCCAACGTGGGTGTTGGTATCGTTGGGAAGGAAGGAAAACAGGCCTCGCTGGCAGCCGACTTCTCTGTGACTCAATTCTGCCACCTCACAAAGCTTCTTCTCTGGCACGGCAGAAACTCGTATAAAAGAAGCGCAAAGCTTGCCCAATTTGTCATCCACAGAGGTCTCATCATTTCGGTGTGCCAGGCGGTGTATTCGATCAGTTCGTCGTTCGAGCCGCTTGCGTTGTACCAGGGCTTTTTGATGGTTGGTTATGCCACCTGTTACACAATGGCTCCTGTGTTTTCACTGGTTTCTGACTCGGACGTGAACGAAAACCTGGTTTCCCTGTATCCAGAGCTGTACAAAGAGCTGACGGCCGGACGGTCGCTGTCGTACAAGACCTTCTTCGTCTGGGTGTTTGTTTCTCTGTACCAGGGAATTGTGATCCAAGGCTCGTCCCAAACGTACAAGGGACTGGAAACTGCAAACTTCACCAAACTGGTTGCTCTGAGTTTCACAGCGCTGGTGCTGAATGAGCTCGCAATGGTGGCCATCGAGATCAACAAGTGGAACAAGGCCATGATGTTCAGCGAGATCATCACGCTGGCCATCTACATCGGGTCGATTCCGTTCCTCTCTGAATATTATGACATGAAGTACGTGAAGAGTGTCTCTTTCCTGTGGCAAACAGTGACGATTCTGGCCGTTTCGCTGCTGCCAATCTGGGCAGCAAAGGCCATCAACCGCAAACTCAGACCTCCAAATTACGCAAAGGTCCAACAGGCATAAACGATCACTGCGTGTCGTCGTCGTCGTCGTCGGCCTCGCTCTCGTCCTCCTTCTGCCATTGCTTTGTTGTCTTTCTTCTCTGGAAATCCTTGATGTGAGCGCTGTTGAGCATCTTGGAGATGTTGCCAATAATGGTATCTCTGCGCTGGATAGGCGTGGCCGGCTGCGGCTGTTCTTCCTGGGTAGCCGGCGAAGGAGGAGCAATCTCGTGTTTGCGTGCAATCACAGGGTATGGCAAAGGGCTCTCGCGAGACGCTCTGGACAAATGCACGTTCGTGGCATGCTCATTCTCCATTCTGAAAAAGATCCAGATGAACCGTCTGATGATCTCTGCAAGCGCAATACAAAAGCTGGTGAGCGCCGACTGCTGGATTTGCTCTTTGAAGAACGCATAGAAGATCCACTGGAACCGGAGAATCACGTCCACCACCATGGCCAAGTAATAATACCATTTTCTTTTGAATATGAGATGGTCTCTCAACAAGTAGTTTTGACTATCGAACTGGAGCAGCGACCAGTCCATCAGAATGTCCCATATGGAGCTGTAGATCGAGTTGATCGTTGCAAACGTGATCAGCAGCGCCCTGTACTTCTGGATCGTGTCGATCCGGTACAGACTCAACGACATGTAGTACAAAATCGAGACAGTGTACTTGAGCATGTTGGCCAGGTGCGGGAACCACTCGCCAGTGTCTGCGTATCTTCGGAAACACTGGAGGAATCTCCATATGCTAGGCAGCGTTGATAGAAAGCCCACGAGTCGCGACCGCCCAGAGCCGCACTTGGTAGTCCCAGAACCATCCAGACAACCTTTCCAGTGGGTCGCGTAGAGACAGAAGAATATGGACAGGTTGGAGATCGAGTACGTTAGCGAACAGAACACGTCTCCAAGGAAAAAGTCTCTAAACTCCACAGGGTACAGTCCGGAGAAGATCAGTCTAAACACGGACGAGAGCAGCCATGTGCGGGTGTTCAGGTAGAGAATGTCGAACGGACACACAAAGATGGCCGCACATACTCCCAGATATATCCAGGGCCAGTTTCTGCCGTCCAGTTTGGACGACCAGAAGTTCTCAAAACTGAACCATGCCAGCACGACTCCGGTCAAGAAAAAGATCGACGACATGGCAAAGAACTGGCGGTAGTCCAAAGCGTCACGCTGGTTGAACTCGAAAATGAACTTGTAGTTGACTTTGTAGATGGTCCAGACAAAACAGTTGACGGAAAAAAGCAGCGCCATGAGACAGCAGAAGAAGAAACCACCCCATATTTGCAACATGTACCGGCCTTCTGGCAGAATTCCTGTTTCTGTTTTGTGTAGACCAAGATAGACGGTGTAGACGAAGAACGGAAGCGCTATTCCCAGCATCAACGCTCCCGCAAAGGTGACGAAATAATACTGTTTTTCATTCTCGCTCGAACGCAGCTTGGTGATGGCCGCTTTACGGTTGCCGTTCTCAAACACGTCCGTGAACGTATTCTCCACTTTGGCCATCATGCTGTCTAGGATTTCCGACTTGACAAAGTACGAATTGTCGATCTTGTGCATGTAGATCGGAAGAATGCTGTCGTCTGTGGCCTTGTCGTATTTCTTGATCAGTTTGCGGAACGCTGTTCTGTTCAGCTCTTTGTACGACCGCAGAAGCTCCATCGACCGGTACAGCTCGTACACAGCCTTCTTGAGTCGACGACGGGCAAAAAAGTATGGAACAGCCGTTTGCTGCTGCTTTCTCCGTCTGTAATCGCGCCTGTTGTCGTGAGTTGGTTCCTCGTCATCCTCGTAGTATTGTTTTTCGACGTTGCCGTTCTCCCTGAGCCACTCGAAGCTGGGCAGCGACGGCGTGTCGAACTTGTTGATGATCCGGAACTTGCGCTTGGTGAGATACGCCCAGAACCACAATGTGCTGCTACCTTCGCGAACACCTGTTTCTTCGTCGTCGGAGGACTCCTCGAACGAGTTCAAAGTGCCTGTGTCAGCGAACTCCGAGGAGTTCACGTTCGGACGGTCGATAGTCTTGCGTTTCTGGCGCAGATCGCGCACCCGCGACAGTTTCCGTGCAGATCGCTGTTTCTGCTCGTTCAGCTGGACAATCTGGTCCTGAAGAACAAGATACCGGTCCAGACAAGCGTCTTCCCTGCTTTTGTAAAACTGTTCCACCTTCTCGAGCTCCGAGTTGACCCACGCAATGAAGTCCTCGCGCGCAGACTTGTCCAGATCGTCCATCTCTGTTCCCCCTGCAGGACTGTTTCCAACAGAGCTGACCCGTTTGAGGTTATCGATGAACCGGCCCACGGTCGACTGGCGCCGCGCACTCATTGACAGCGACTGTGGCGTGCCCAGATCCTTGTGTCCCACCGGTTTGGGGTCCTCACTAAACAACAATGGTGTGGTATCGTTCACTTTCTTGGACTCTTCACTTGATTGCGACATGCTATGACGATCCGACGGCATCAGCGCCGGTGACGGCAGCTTGAATGAGTGCATGTGGTCCATTCCAGGCGAATTGGTGTTCACCACACTTTGATAAACCGGTTTCGAGGTATCTGGGACAGACAAGTCCCCCCGTGTGCCCTTTTGTCTTTGTTCAGAAGATGCCCCGCGGATGGTCAGCGGAGTACGCAGACTGCTTGGTTTCTTCACAAGCTTCTTCAACCGCTTTTTTCCCTTCTTGTAGTCCAGATACTTGGCCTCCCACTCAGGGACCTGGTGTTCAGCCAGATCCTGTCCAAACTTCATACTAAAGAAATTTATTAGCTAAATAAATAAATCAATTATAAATTACCGGTGCGTGGGGGGGTGAGAAACAACACCCGTGCACCAGACCTGTCGCACGCAAATAGCACGCGATAAGAAATCCTGCGATGAAATGGGATAACTCACAATTGTCTGCCGTTGCCATCGTGGATCAGGTTTCTGAACAAAGCGCTTTCCGTGGCGGCCACGTCTCTAGTCCGGTGGGTGTCCTTAATCTCGCCATTTGGCGAATAGATCCATAAGGCCTTCTTGGCAATACACACGTCTCCCTGACACCCGCACTCCGAGCTATGCGAAAGATCAGATACCTGGTCTGCCAGTATGAGAGACGGGTGCTGTGGCGGGAGTTTGTGCTTGGATGCGCTTTGCACCGGTGGGATGTAGATGTTGTCCTTGATGTAGCGAATCTTGGTCGCTTCCATGTTATTAGTTAAATAAAATAGAAAACACTCGTCCTACTACATATTATAGGTGAGAAAAGGATGATTTTTGTGTGCGGCGCTGCGGCGGCGCGCTTTTTCCTCCTTTTGCCTAAACAAGAACAGTAAATATGAGCCGCATCACTGTTTCACCGCTTCGGCCATGGTGACCAACCGCTTCACGCCCACCATCCAGTCGCCGCATTCGTTCACGTGCTCGACGGCAATCTTGTTCTGCAGAGCGGTGGCTGTCGTGTAGTCCTCGGCAGCAAGCGACTGCGACAGAGACACAAGGCCCTGGATCGTCTCCTCGCTTAGAAGATCCTGGTTGTTCAAGTGGTTGAACAGAATGTTGATTCTCTTTTCGGAGTCAGCCAGGTGCTTGGAGAACTTCTCGGGGATCTTGGTCTTGAGCTTCTCCAGCTCGCTGGTGAACGTCTGGTAGATTGGAATAGCTGACTCTGGAATGTGGGATCTGTCTCCTGGTGGGTACTTGGTGGCAGCAGCAGGAGCGGCCGGTGGAGGAGGTGCTGGGGACGCTCTGGCCGAAGGAGGAATCGACACTGGCGGAGGTGGAGGGGTCGACACAGCAGCAGGCTGTCTGAAGGTTGGTGGCAGGCCCTGTGCTGGTGCTGCAGCCGAAGGAATTATGTGAGGAGCCGCACTAGGAATTCCCGGCGCAACAGACGGAGTGTCCACCTGTTTTGGAGCGTATGGGTTTCTTGGTGGAGGAGGAGCAGCCGCCACTGGAGCCGCAGCAGCTACTGGAGCAGAAACACCGTTCGAAATGAATGGCTGAGGTTGTCCCACTCTCAAAGGCTCAGAAGGTTGAGCGTTGGCCTTTGGAGCATATGGGTTGAACGGTGTTGCTCTTCCGCTTGGAGGAGCAGAAAGCTCGGCCCGTGGTGTCAGCTGCGGCGACTGGGTGGCAGAGTTCAGCGGTCCATATTTATTAGTTCTAGGAGGCGGATTCACGCTGCTTGGAGGTGGTGGGGCAGCTGCTGCAGCTCTAGGAACAGAGCTGTTACTCAACGTGCGTGGTGGTGGGGGCACTGCAAACTGCTGAGATGAGGTTCTCGAAAGGGAGGGTGTTCCGTTCTGCTCTTGGAGTGCATGGATGTTGTAAGCAGAAGGAAGAGACGAGGCTGGAGATCTCTTTGGTGGCTGTGTGCTCAATGCGCTCGGCAAATCGTTCCATCCTCCAACGTCCTTCTTGACGTTCGACTTTGGTGGTGGTGGAGGAGTGCCTGCTGCCAAGGATGGGTTGCCCAGCTGTGGAGACTGTTGCAATTTCAGAGAGTCCAGAGCCGTCTTTGGTGCGTATGGGTTGGCACCAATGGTGGTAGGAACTGGCTTGACGATGTTTGGAGTCACAGTCGAGCCAACACGTGAGGCAGCAGCGCTATACGGATTAGTTTGTGCTGGCAGAACCTGTGGTCTGGCTTGAGGACTGGTAACACCGCCGTTGGTTGGAACGACTGGCACATTCGGCATTGCTGGAGTGTACGAAGAGGTCTGTGGAATAGCGTACGGAGTGGAGTTGTGAACTCCACCGTATGTCTTTGGTTTGGCCACAGCCGCTTTCTTGTTGACTAGTTTTCCAATACGCTCCTTCTCAAGCTTGATGTTCGGCACAGAGTCTGGCACCTTGGACAAGATCTTGACAGCAAGATCGAAATGGCCGTTATTCACCAACGTGTCGGCATACTCCTTGTACACCTTTCCAAGAGAAACTGCCTGTTCAGAGGAGTGGTCAACGGAACTTGGCTCAGCAGATTGGAAAGCCAGCACTTTCTCGATGGTTTCTTCCAAAGCCTTGAAATGAGCATCAGCTGGAGTAATGGATTCGTCGCTGTCCTTCAGGAAATAGGTTTCCAAGGTGTCCAACTCGGAAAGCCAGATGGAAGCAACTTTGTCAAGAGCGTTACCGGCAATGTAACAAGTGATGGCATTGCTACGGGCGTTCTCAACAGACGATTCAAGCAATCTGTCACCCAATTTGACAAAGTTCTCGTTGAAAGCTGGAGTTCCTTCGCTGTGAGCAAGAACAGAGCCTGCAATGTCTTTCCAGGATTGGATGTCGGCATTCTCAACAACATCGTCAACCTTTTCGTTGGAAACACTGTATAGAACTCTGGCCAGTGGTGATTTGGAAGCGTACTTGGTGAAGTAGGCATTCTTGGCCTTTTGTTTGGCCTCTTCAGAACCGTTCAATGCAATAATCAAGGCTTCCAAAATGTGGTCGTCTTTCAAACACAGATCCAAAGCGTCTTCTGTCTTTCCAGCAAGCAGCTTCTTGGCAGTGTCAACTTCAAAGGATTTCTTACCCGAGAGTTTGAACTTGCCCGTTGGAACAAACTGAGCAACAGCAGGCTCCTTTTCCTTGCCTAGAGAGGCAAAGAAATCGTCATCGTCAGCCTCAGCAGAAGCTTCTTTGGTTTCTTCCTTGGTAACCTCTTTTTTCTTTTCCTCTGGAATGATCTTCTTGACCAAAGAAAGTTTTCCTTCGCTCAATAAGTCAAACAAAGAGTTCCAGTCGTTGCTACCTGTGTACTCCTTTTTAGAGCCAATTTTGGATTCGCAAATTTCTTTGAAATCGTTCTTTTGCAACGCAGACTCCAACTTCTCGGCAGCTTCCTTCACAGTGCTGCTACCCTTGTAGCTTGAAATCTCCACAACAGACTTGTTCTGTTCTTTCTTGACAACAACAATCTTACCTCCAAAGCCGAAGGTGCCAGAAACGGGTCTTTGAAGCCAGACAGGAGCCTGTTTCACCTCAAAAACAGGCTGCTGGGTATCTGTGCTGGAAAGTTGGTTCCAGAAATCATCCTCATTGGCAGAATTGACCTTGGCAGAGACCGGTGGAGAAGTATCTTGAAGAGACTGCACCAAAATCTTCTTGTCGAAAGAAGCACTTGCAAACACGTCTGGGAGTTTTGGAGCAAACTTGGTTTCGTGGACCCAGTTAGGCAAAGATGGGTATTCGCATAGTTTCTGTCCAGTGAGAGGATTCCAAAGAATGGTAGAGTCGTCCTTTCCACTGGAAAGCAGGAGACTTGGGTCCTGTTTACACCAGTCCAAAGAAAGAACACCTTTTCTATGTCCTTGCAAAATGGATTCTGGGGTTGTGTGTTTTCTCAAATCCCATGTCAAGATAACAGGGTTTCCGTCTGTGTCAGAGGCCGTGACCAATTTTGTGCTCTCGGTAGGATGCCACTCAACAACAGAGAGGTTTGCTCCCGAGTAGCTCAATTGGAGCACTTCTCTCTTAGCCTTGAGTTCCCAAATGGATGTGTAGGTAGTGTTACCGGCAGATGCAAAAATATGCGATTGGCTGTTGTTCCACGAGAACGACGAGACTTTGTCCATTGGCGACATTGCCTGGCCCGGAGTGAACGAGGAGCCTTTATTCGAGTCCCAGATGTAAATCTCACCTTTAGTACCGGAAGATCCAAGGATGTGGGATTGTAGCGGGTTGAATTTAACCTGTAAAGCAGACCCTGTGTGTTTCTTATACTCGGCGACCGATCCTGCGTTGAGGTCGGAATTCTCCAGCAGCAATTTCGGGTTCCACAGCTGGATCGAGCCATTTTCGAACGACCCGGCCAATAGACCCTTTTCGTATTTCTCCGAAGACGGGCTCCATGCCAACGAGGTGAACTTGCTTTCTAGCGAAAATTTGGCCAATGATTGTTGTTTGTTAAGCACGTCCCAGAATTGCAAGGACGAGTCGTTGGAAAAAGTGTCATCCATGGCTCCTGCAAGCGTTCCGGTGGCCATCAAGGGCATTGAGTCGTGGGACCACGCAAAAGTGGCCGTTTCGGCAACCTCCTTTAATTTGACCATATTTTGAGATCAGAGCAAGACAATGGCGTAGGAAACAGTAGAAGGACGCTTTGACGATGTTTTTTCAGGGGTGTTGAAGCCAGATTCTATTAAGAGAGCTCTTACGGTCAAATTCTGAGAAACAACGGTGAATTTCCGATCCAAGAAAATGTCTTTGTTTGTTGATCTTGAAATAGTGTTTATAATTTTTCGAACAACTCATTCGCACACGCCTGGGGGGAACTCTTGGGGGACGCACTACTTTTAACTTTTGTGGCTGGTACTTCGGGATTTAAATAGTTCAATAAAATAGTATGGAGCAGAAAAGAGAAGACGAGGTTCCCGACGACGACGAGCCTGATGAATGGTACGAAAGCTCTTTTGGTATGACTGACTAATTACAGGGACAAAAGGATCAACAAAACCGGCTGTGCAGGTACGTAAACGCATTTTTCAGGTGTACTAATTATCAGAGGAGAATCTAAAGTTACAGCTGTGCCATGCGGACACTAACGACTGGAGACAGTGTGTGAATGAGGTAAGTGTGGCTGGTGCAATTTTGTGGGGAGGAAGCAGAACTAACAATCCAGATGATGGCGTTTCGCAAGTGTTGGGACTCGAACAAAAACAACGAACGAACTCAAACGAAGGATAACGAGCTAGGATGGGACGTTAAGAACTAGACATTGGGCTCGGATTTTAAAAAAATGTACATAGTGGTCTGTAAATAATAATTTTTTAAATTTTTACCCTTTGTTGTTTACATGGAAGAAGTACAGGACCTTGCGGCTGCGAGGGGTCGATCTTTGGCCAAAGTCAAACACGTATGGCATAGTATCATCCAGAAGTACTCTTCGCTGGGCGAGGACGAGCAAGGAGACGTGTTGGACATGCGTACAGGAGACATAGTACAAGATTCGGGCCATATACGATCAATGCGAGACTCAACCACAATCAAGGGGTCTGTGTGGACCAGTCTGGCCGAGTTGGAAATGGAGCGAAATAAGAGCCCCAAGTCGGAGAAAATCCGCCGAAACTCGGGAGATCTGCTCCCTGCTACGCCCATCAAGAAGTCACGCAGCATGATGGGCACTTCGCCATTCACGTCGATATTAATCACTAGCGACTCCGAGGACGACGTGACGCCATATTTCGATAACCAGAAAAGTTCCCCGCGACGAACCACGCGGTCGTCAATTGCTCAGAAAGACAATCTCTCAATTGGCAATCGGGAAAGTAGTCCCGTCACGCCAATTCGTAAAAGAGAAAGACCAGACTTAAAGGGCGACGATCCTTTGAGATTGTCGCCTCCGGTGTACAACTACGACGAAAACTACAAAATGACAACCTCGTTGTTCAAATCAAAGCCCCAGAACGCAGAGGGCCCGCTTATCACGCCTTCCAAAGTGCGCCGGTTCAAGGCCGCACTCGCACACAAATCCAACGATTCCGGGAACACGCGTCTCAAACGTCTGTTATGGCTGAGCAAGCAGAAAAAGGACTAGCACAACATTTCAGGCTGTCGCACGATCAATCCTCCTCGAGAAATAATTTTCTAGAAAATTTGTGCCAAGGAGATAAATAATCCTGACAATTCGTTTAATTCGCACGCAAATGAGTCGGTCCCAAGTGTATTTTGACGTTTCCATTGGCGGTGAGACCGTTGGTCGTATCGCCTTTGAGCTTTTCAATGATATTGTTCCTAAAACAGCAGAGAACTTCCGCGCCTTGACCACGGGCGAGCCAGGGTTTGGATACAAAGGATCTATTTTCCACCGTGTGATCAAGAGCTTCATGATCCAGGGTGGTGACTTTACCAACTTCAATGGTACCGGGGGCAAGTCCATATATGGCGAGAAGTTTGAGGACGAGAACTTTGAGCTTAAACACGATAAGCCGTTTTTGTTGTCTATGGCCAACGCGGGCAAGAACACAAACGGATCTCAATTCTTCATCACCACCGTTCCAACGCCGCATCTTGACGGAAAACACGTTGTTTTCGGTAAGGTGATTGCGGGAAAGTCGATTGTCAAGCTGATTGAGAACACAGAAACGGACTCTGGCGATAAGCCTAAGCTCGAATGCAAGATTGAGGCCTGCGGTGAGCTCAAGCCTGGTGACCCATTGAAACTCGACGACGGTACTGGCGACCCATACGACGAACTTCTTGAGGACGAGCCAACGGTCGATATCAGTAAACCAGAGACCGTTTTCAAGGCTGTTGATGAGATCAAAGCCATTGGAACCAAGTTCCTGAAACAAGGCGATTTGAAAATCGCATTCGCCAAGTACAAGAAGGCTATTTCGTACTTGGACTCTTACTTCCCAGACGACCTGTCGGAAGAGGACATTGAGAAGCTTAATAAACTGAAATGCTCGTGCTACTTGAATGCTTCATTGGCAGCTTTGAAGACCAAAAAGGTTCCAGAAGCAATCAAATACGCTACTGAGGCATTTGAGTCTGAGAACGCAGACGTTCAAGCCAAGGCCAAGGCGCTGTTCCGTCGTGGAAGCGCAAAGTTGGCTGGTCACAACGAGGAAGATGCCATTGCCGACTTCGAGCACGCTTCCAAACTTGTTCCTTCAGATGGTGCAATCAAGAGTTCTCTTGCCAACGCTAAAAAGGTGTTGAAAGACAGACTGGCGAAGGAACGTGCCGCATACAGCAAATTCTTCAACTAAACAGATGTAGATAGATTCATTCAAGATCACCGTATTGTTGTGGTGTACGGATGTGTAATTGTAAAATTTCTACTATTATGATTTTTGTGAACCACAAGTTACGAGCCCGGGCAACAATAGCCCAAGTTCGCCACTTTTCAACGAAAGGGAAAAAATAATTAAAAACCATAACCTACTATTTTATTACTTCCTTTTGGCAAAACGTGAGGGCCAACTGGGTTAAGATAGCGGCGGATAGACGAAATCGGTAATACATCGCCTATATTCACAAAATTGCACTCATTCATTTGATCGTTGCAATTAGTCAAGTAATAAAAAAAATTTCAATTTTCCAAACGCCATCCAAAGGTCGGATATTGAACAACGGACAATCAGTGGGTTTCAAATACATTTTATTAGTGTTATTTGTCCATTCTTCTTTCATCATCTTGTATTATACGTTTAACTAACAGAAAACACAACAAAAACATAATTATCACACAAAAAACAAAAACAATTATCGTCATTATCAAATGAGTAAATTTGCTTATTCGAGCGCTCCTTTGCGCACAGTGCAAGAGGTCCAATTTGGATTGCTCTCTCCCGAGGAGATTAGAGCTATTTCTGTTGCCAAAATAGAGTATCCTGAGATCATGGACCAAACAACTAATAAACCTAGAGAAAATGGATTAAATGATCCTCGTTTGGGTTCGATTGACAGAAACTTCCGGTGTCAGACCTGTTCCGAAGATATGCAGGAATGTCCAGGACATTTCGGTCACATCGAGCTTGCCAAACCAGTTTTCCACATCGGTTTTGTTACAAAGATCAAGAAAGTTTGCGAGTGCGTTTGCATGAACTGTGGTAAAATCTTGCTGGACGAGGCCACCAACCCGCAGTTTGCTGCGGCAACCAAGATCAGAGACCCAAAGAAAAGATTCAATGCAGTCTGGAGTCTCTGTAAGACGAAGATGGTTTGTGAGGTCGACCAGCCCGTCGACGATGGTTCCGGCCGTGTGCAGCATTTCAGGGGAGGATGTGGTGCCAGTCAGCCAACAATCAGAAGAGACGGTCTCAAGCTTTGGGGTTCTTGGAAGAAATCCAGTAATGACGACGATGGAGATCAGGCTGAGAGAAGACTCATTAATCCTGCCGAGGTGCTCAACATTTTCAAGCACATTTCTCCAGAAGATTGTCACAAGCTGGGTTTCAACGAGGACTACGCCAGACCTGAATGGATGCTGATCACTGTGCTTCCTGTGCCTCCACCTCCTGTCAGACCATCGGTTGCTTTCACTGACTCCAAGAGATCAGAGGATGACTTGACATATAAGCTAGCAGATATTTTGAAGGCCAATATCAATGTGCAGAGATTCGAGATGGATGGATCTCCGCAGCACGTTATCAGCGAATTCGAGGCCCTTCTTCAATATCACGTTGCTACTTATATGGATAATGATATCGCCGGACAACCTCAAGCTTTGCAAAAGAGTGGAAGACCAATTAAGTCCATCAGAGCCCGTTTAAAGGGGAAAGAAGGTCGTCTCAGAGGAAACTTGATGGGTAAGAGAGTGGATTTCTCTGCCAGAACAGTTATTTCCGGTGACCCTAACTTGGATTTGGACCAAGTTGGTGTTCCAAAATCGATTGCAAAGATTCTTTCCTACCCAGAGATCGTTACACCTTACAACATTCAGAAACTTACCGAGTTGGTTGCAAACGGTCCAAACGAACATCCTGGTGCTAAGTACGTCATCAGAGACTCTGGCGACAGAATAGATTTGAGATTCAACAAGAGAGCCGGTGACATCCAATTACAATACGGATGGAAAGTCGAGCGTCATTTGATGGATAATGATCCGGTTTTGTTCAATCGTCAACCTTCTTTGCACAAGATGTCGATGATGGCGCACAGAGTGAAAGTGATGCCTTACTCGACGTTCAGAATGAATTTGTCTGTTACATCGCCATATAACGCCGATTTCGATGGTGATGAAATGAACTTGCACGTTCCACAGTCCTATGAGACCAGAGCCGAGCTTGAGCAAATTTGTGCGGTTCCCCTGCAGATTGTTTCGCCTCAGTCGAATAAGCCAGTTATGGGAATTGTTCAGGATACACTTTGTGGTGTCAGAAAGATGACTTTGAGAGACAATTTCATTGAGTACGACCAAGTGATGAACATGTGTTTCTGGATACCAAACTGGGATGGTGTGGTTCCTCAACCTGCTATCTTGAAGCCAAAGCCTTTGTGGACGGGTAAACAGGTTCTTTCGATGTGTATTCCTCACGGAATTTTCTTACAAAGACTGGACGGCTCGCTACTGTCTCCGAAGGATTCTGGAATGCTGATTGTGAACGGTGAAATTATGTTTGGTGTTGTGAACAAGGCAACAGTTGGTTCAAGTGCTGGAGGTCTTATCCACACTGTTTTCCGCGAGAAAGGACCTCAAGTGTGTGCTAAGATGTTTGGTAATATACAAAAGGTTGTGAATTACTGGCTTCTCCACAATGGTTTCTCTATTGGTATTGGAGATGCTATTGCAGACTCTGACACCATGAAGACAATTACAGAAACGATCGCCGTTGCCAAAGAAAAAGTGCAGGAAGTGATCATGGACGCGCAAAAGAACTTGTTGGAAGCTGAACCTGGTATGACGGTTCGAGAGTCTTTTGAACAGAAGGTTTCCAAGTTATTGAATGAAGCCAGAGACTCTGCTGGTAAATCTGCTGAAACCTCGTTGAAAGACTCCAATAACGTCAAACAGATGGTGACTGCTGGTTCTAAAGGTTCTTATATTAACATTTCCCAAATGTCTGCCTGTGTGGGTCAACAAATCGTGGAAGGTAAGCGTATCAATTTCGGTTTCGCTGATCGTTCTCTGCCTCACTTCACTAAGGATGACTACTCTGCCGAATCGAAGGGTTTTGTTGAGAACTCTTATTTGAGAGGGTTGACTCCTCAAGAGTTCTTCTTCCACGCGATGGCAGGTAGAGAAGGTTTGATCGATACTGCTGTCAAGACTGCCGAGACTGGATACATTCAGCGTCGTTTGCTGAAGGCTCTTGAAGATATCATGGTTCACTACGATGGTACAACCAGAAACTCTTTGGGAGATATCATCCAGTTCATCTATGGTGAAGACGGAATTGACGGTACACAGGTCGAGAAGCAAACTGTGGACACGATTCCTGGATCCAACGAGGCATTCGAGAAGAAGTACCGCGTTGACTTGATGAATGTCGAGACTTCTATTCGTCCTGATTTGGTTGAGTATGGCACAGAGATCATTGGTGACATTGAAATTCAAAAGTACTTGGATGAGGAGTTTGAGCAACTTCTTGCAGACAGAGAGTACCTTAGAAAGGACTGTTTCACCACCGGTGAGAATAACTGGCCATTACCAGTCAACATCAGAAGAGTTATTCAGAACGCACAACAAATCTTCCATGTGGACCAATCCAAGGCCAGTGACTTGCCAATAAAGGATATTGTTACTGGAGTTCAAGAGTTGACAAAGAAGTTCAAGGTTGTTCGTGGACAAGGTGAGATCTTGTCTGAGGCTCAAGAGAACGCTACTCTTTTGTTCCAATGTCTTGTCCGTTCGAGACTTGCCACTAGAAGAGTCCTTGAAGAGTTCCGCTTAAACAAGGATGCGTTCGAGTGGGTTCTTGGTACTATTGAGCAACAGTTCTTGAAGTCTTTGATCAACCCTGGTGAGATGGTTGGTGTCATTGCTGCCCAATCGATCGGAGAGCCGGCTACCCAGATGACGTTGAACACATTCCACTATGCTGGTGTGTCTTCGAAGAACGTCACATTGGGTGTTCCTAGACTGAAGGAGATTTTGAACGTGGCAAAGAACGTCAAGACTCCGGCTTTGACTGTCTATTTGAAGGAAGAGTATGCTTCGGATATCGAGAAGGCCAAGTCCATTCAATCCGCTATTGAGCACACTACTCTTAAGAACGTCACTGCATCTACGGAGATCTTCTACGATCCAGATCCACGGAGCACTGTTGTTGAAGACGATATCGACACTGTGGAGGCATACTTTGCTATTCCTGATGAGAAGGTGGAAGAGAACCTTCACAAGCAGTCTCCATGGCTTCTGAGATTGGAGCTTGACAGAGCCAAGATGTTGGATAAGCAGTTGACCATGAGTCAAGTTGCAACCCAAATCATGGAGAACTTTGGAGACGATCTGTTCGTCATCTGGTCTGAAGACAATGCTGAGAAGCTTGTGATCAGATGTAGAATTGTTCGTGAAGAGAAGGCTCTGGACGAGGAAGAGGAGGAAACCGAGGATGGTTTGTTGAAGGCTTTGGAAGCTCAAATGCTCGAATCGATTTCCTTGAGAGGTATCAGCGGAATTTCAAGGGTCTTCATGATGAAGTACGACAAGACGTACATCGACGAGACTGGAGATTTCGCCAAGAAGGAGGAGTGGGTTTTGGAAACCGACGGTGTCAACCTTGCCGATGTGTTGGCTGTTGATGGTGTCGACACTACCAGAACCTATTCTAACTCGTTTGTTGAGATTCTGTTTGTGCTTGGTATCGAGGCTGCCAGAAGTGCGTTGTACAAGGAGATTCTGAACGTTATTGCGTTCGATGGTTCTTACGTCAATTACAGACATCTGGCTTTGTTGGTTGACCTTATGACCTACAGAGGTCATCTGGTTGCCATCTCGAGACACGGTTTCAACAGAAACGACACTGGTGCTCTGATGAGATGTTCTTTCGAGGAGACTGTTGAGATTTTGTTTGATGCTGGTGCCTCTGCCGAACTCGACACCTGTGAGGGTGTGTCCCAGAACGTTATTCTCGGACAGCTCGCTCCATTTGGTACTGGTTCGTTTGAGGTTTACTTGGACGAAGACAAGCTGTCTATGCTTCCGTCAGATGCTCCGGTGCATGCCACAAACGTTCTGCAGACGAAGAACGTTGATGGTGGAGCTACTCCTTATGAGGAGGACAACTTCAAGGATGACTTTATTGACGTGGAGATGGAGGACGACAAGGTTGCCTTTTCTCCATTGATTGCTTCAGGTGTCAATGACGACCGCAGTGGAGGATTCACAGAATACGGTGGAATGAGCAGCTATGCTCCAACGTCGCCATTCTCTGGATACGCTCCGACATCGCCAGGCTATGGTGCCTCTTCTCCTGCGTACGCTCCGACATCTCCAAGCTATTCTCCAACGTCGCCAAGTTATTCTCCAACTTCGCCAAGCTATTCACCAACGTCTCCAAGCTATTCTCCAGCGTCTCCATCCTACTCACCAACCTCCCCAAGTTACTCACCTACCTCCCCATCATACTCCCCAACTTCCCCAAGTTATTCTCCAACTTCTCCATCATACTCCCCAACCTCTCCATCATACTCCCCAACCTCCCCATCATATTCTCCAACTTCCCCACAATACTCCCCAACTTCTCCGTCCTACTCACCAACATCACCACAATATTCACCAACTTCCCCACAGTACTCACCAACCTCCCCACAGTACTCGCCGACCTCACCGCAGTACTCTCCAACCTCCCCACAATATTCCCCAACCTCCCCACAATACTCACCTACATCTCCTCAGTACTCCCCAACCTCTCCTCAGTACTCCCCAACCTCTCCAAGCTACTCACCAAACAACAACCAGAACTAGGGATCCAGTTTGTGCCTTTAAGTTTGTGTATTCTAAAAAGATAATAAATTCATACGGTGACTATATATTACACTTTCTTGCTTAAAAGTCCACGGAACATGTCGAACGAGTTGCCGTCCGGCTGCAGCTCGTACGTGTGTCCGGTGTAGTTGCCGAACGCGTCTGTCTCGCGCGCAACAAGCAGCCCAAAGTCCTTGCTGATCCCCACAATCTTGGCCTTAGCCCCACCGTGCTGGTCCAGCGTCACGTTCTGCCCGCTGTGGAGCCACTGTCTGTAGTACAGGTCCAGGAACGGAGCCAGGCCGTCCACCTTGAACCGCTCGAGCATCAGGTTGAAAATCGAGAGGTACTTGGCCAGCAGCCGTTCGGGGGTGATGGGGGCCAGGTTCAAGTGCTCTCTTTTGTTGAGTTCCTTGATGACAAGGTTGAGTGCCGTGGTGGGGCCCTCGTTCGAGATATTGAGACCGGTCCCCACCACAACGTGGTAGAGGTTGTCGAAGATGCTTGTCTCCACAAGCACCCCACCGACCTTGGTGTACGCATCCAGGCCGTTTTGGCCAAACGAGTCCGGGCGCAGAGCGTAGACATCGTTCGGCCACTTGAGTCGCACAGGCACCTTGTCGTAGCCGGGGCCGTACGAGTTGACGGCCTGCACGATGGCCATGCTTCCGAGGTACTGGATCAGCACGATCGGCACATCCAGTGGGAGCTTGAGGAAAGTGGAGGTTGCAAAAACGCCCTGTGGGTTCACCCACACGTTTCCCGACCGTCCACGGCCAGCCACCTGGGTTCCTCCGTGGATATTGAACCCGTGGGGAAGCACCCGCAGGAACGGCGAGTTGTGCATCATCAGCGAACTTGTCGACGTGAGCACCTGCGCGTACGCAAACACAGCTCCAAGGTCGCCAACGGCATGGGCCCCGGTCTCCTGGTACGCGGCCGCAAGCTCCTGCTGGAACTGCCGGATGTCAAAGTACGGGGTCTGGGACGACTGCGGCAGCGACTTGTCGCACACGAAAACGTCTTTCACCGCGGTCACCGGGTCGGACATGTCCTGCTGCACAAAGCTGTCGAGCGTCTTGTGGATCCGCACCGTATCTGTGCCGAGATCCATGAGGTTTTTGTCCTGGTAGCCGATCTTGGACTCCATGTCTGCCACCAACTTGGCGAGCGGCTCAGGGTGGAGGGATGACAGCACCAGTGGGGTGAGACTTGGAATTGCGTCTGGGTCAGTGTTGACTCTCAGACCGAGCTGCAACAGACAGTCGCGCAGGAACTGGACTCTGGTCTCGTTGGTTTCTCTCAATTTCCCCACCGTGTGCTCGAACGGCGAGTTTGGCTCTGGGTTCATCAGTTTTGGGTTGTACTCCGGGTGCACGCCAGAAAGCAGGGCTTTTCCCTCGCCCACAGAGCACAGAACCACGGCGGCGCGTGGACCGGTGCACTCGACCTCCAATGGGTCCTCGTACTCGGCCAGCACCTGTGTGTTGGGATACTTGTCAGCGTCCACAAACACACCCCCGCCGTTGTAGTAGGTGTACAGTGGGGACTTTGTGGGGAAACCGGTTTTCAGTTTCGCTGCGCGAGCCCCTTCCTCTGTTCCATACTGGAACCCTTTAAAACAAGCGCCTCTGGCGGTGCCGGGGAAGAATTTGAGCTCGCGAGACCCAGTCACCTCCATTGTTGGGTTGCCCGTTTCGAATTCGCACCTGGCAGACCCGTAGTACCCCCCGGAGCACAGACCCAGGAACTTGCCTCCGCGCGACACGTACTTGCGGATCAGGCTGTTGCCCGTGCCGTTGAGCGTGGCACACACCCCTAAATCAGCTCCCCCAGGAACAACCACCATGGCCGTCTTGTTCTGCCATGGCTGCGACAGCAGCACGCGCGGCTCCACCGATGCCACGGCGTAGTACGGCGACAACACCGCTCTCAGCGAGTCCAGACAGTGCTTGACGCTGTCCGAAGAGACGCCCGGCCCGTTATACACAAGAACGTTCATTATAATTTTTTTTATCTATTTTTCAGTCACTCCACCCATGTTAATAAAGGCCAGTTTCCGGAGTGTTGGGATGGGCGGGCTAATGCAGCGCACGGGCGTGCGAGCCTCGCTCGTGAACCGCCAGGTCGTGTTGGGCGTAGGCGCCCCGCTGCCCTGGAACCGGTTTGTGCGCACAGTATCCAACAAAAAATCATCCCCCAGCATTTTGGCTGAGGTTCGAGAAAACTTGTACACCGTGCCCAACATTTTGACGTTTACCCGGTTGGCCGCCGCGCCGGTGGTTGGGTACCTGCTTGTGAACGGCCAGACGTCGTGGGCGCTTGGGCTGTTTGCGTACTCGTGTGTGACGGATTTCGTGGACGGTTATATTGCCCGACGGTATAACTTGCGCTCGAGAGTCGGGTCCATCATCGACCCAATGGCCGACAAGGCGCTGATGGTGATCTGCACCGCGTGTCTCGCGCACGTCGGCACCGTGCCCATGTACCTGGCGGGGCTGATCCTGGGCAGGGACGTGCTGCTGTTGGCCGCTGCAATGGTGATCCGGTACGTCTCGCTGCCCGCGCCGCGCACGTTCCACCGGTACTGGGACTTCACGCTCATCACGGTGGAGGTGCGGCCCACCACGGTCAGCAAGATCAACACCGCGCTGCAGATGGCGTATTTGGGCGGCACGATGCTGCTCCCGCTCGTGGACCTTGGCGCCCCGTTGCTGGAGCCCCTGGTGGCCGCCACGACCGTGCTGAGCGGGCTGTCGTACGTGTTCAGCAGGACGGCTGTGCGCAAAATTACACATTAAAATAGAACACCACCTACTTCATCTACTAAAGGAAATGTCGTCGATCCGCAAGATCGACTTGACCGTCTCGGCAGCGAGGGTGATGGCGCTAGTGTTGACCAAAACCGGCTGGAGCACGTGCTCGTCGTAGGTGTTGGTAGCACCGGAACGTCTGACGCTGATGCCGGCCTCTTTTTCGCCGAGCTCGTGCTTGTTGCGCAGGTCGGTGACGATCTCGATCGGGTTCATGCCTGCGTTTTCGGCCAGCGTGGTGGGGATCACCTCCAATGCGAGCGCAAACTCCTGGAAACACAGCTGGTCCACGCCAGAAAGCTGGCTGGACTCCTTGAGCAACGTGCGCGACACCTCGATCTCCGGGGCTCCTCCGCCGGCAATCAGGGCCCGCTCCTTCACCAGACACCGGATCACACACAGTGCGTCGTGCAACGACCGCTCTGTCTCGTCCAAAATCTGGTTGTTGGCTCCACGGCACACCACAGAAACGGTTGGCTGGGTCACGTTTTTCACGCCGGTGATCTTGATGATCCGCGACTCGGACGACTCCACCTCCTCCACGAGGTCGGCCGTGCCCAGACGGGACTCCACGAACGAGTCCACGTCCGCAATCGGCTTGCAACCCAGACTCTTGCTGATGAACTCGATTTCGTCTCTCTCGATGTCCTTAACCACCAGGATGTTGAGCTTGGACAGGAAGTGCAGCGCCAGGTCGTTGACCGCGTCTCTAAGAATCGACTTCTGGATCAGCAACACGTTACACTTGGCCTTCTTGATCTTCTTGCAAATATTGAGCAAATACGCTCTTTCTTCCTTGAGGATCTTGTCCATCTGTCTGTAGTCATTAACAACGATATTATTCTCCATGTCGGGCTTTGGCGGCGACAGCTGGAACTGGATCAGTCCGATACGGGCCTTGTCCATTCTGGTGGGGCCGCCTGCGCTTTTAATCACGTTCTGTGTTAAAACAACGCCGGCCACGGTTTCTGTGTCGTCGATGGTTCCGCCCAGCTTCTTGATCAAACGGATATCGTTCAGGTCCACGTTTGTGGCCTGCGGACCCACAACCTTGAGCACCGCGTCCACCGCCAGCGGACCCAACAACGACGAGTGCTGCGACACGATCTTCGACGAAAGCGACGTGTTTGCTGCTCTGATCAACGCGTCTCTGTCCTCCAGCGAGATCCGATGCGACATGTCCAGCAAAATCTGGACGCTGCGCTCGGCCGCGCGCGTGAACGACTCCGAAATGATGGTTGGATGGATGCCCTTGTTGAGCAGCTTCTCTGCGGCTCCCAGCAAGGCGCCCGTGATCACCACCACAGACGTGGTTCCGTCACCGGCCTCGACGTCCTGGGCCCCCGAAAGGTCCACCAACATCTTGGCCGCCGGATGCAACACCGCCATGTGCTTCAAAATCGTGTGCCCGTCGTTCGAGATGATCACCTCGCCACGGCCAGTCTTGATCATCTTATCCATTCCCTTTGGGCCCAACGACGTGCGAACTGCGTCTGCCACCGCACGGGCCGCCAGAATGTTCGCCTTGCGGACCTCCTGCGGCTTCTCTTTGTTCTTGAACGTTGCGTTCGACGGAAGAACCTTGGACATTGGAATAAGTTGGAAAAAAAACCGGAAAAATATTCTTAATATTTTTTATGCCCCAGACAACAACAAATACCCCTGTCGTGTTCCACGAACTGACGCCCACCGCGCAGGATATCGTCAACTGCGCTTATGCTAACTGGTACAAGCTGTTTGGAAAACACACTTTTTCAAGAACCGTCATTTTGCCCCTGTCAGAGCAGTTTATCCAGTACCTGGAGAACGACGACTTCACGATCCCGGGGCAAAAGACCACTGTTCCTGCTGAACAGGACGACGAGTGGAACTACACCCCGCCAGACCGTCCAGACCCGGCGTCCAGGTTCCCTGAGCTCCATAACCAAATCAAACTCGCTTTCGACAAGTTTAAACATATAGCTCCCAAATTGGACTGGTCTGCCCCCCAGGACTCAGTCTGGATCCTGCCCGGCCGCACCATGAAGTGTTCGTCTCCGGAAGACTTGTACCTGCTGCTCAAGTCGTCCGACTACATCAACCACGACCTGGCCAACGCCTTCGACGAGTCGGGCAACGCTCCAGAAACATTCCAACACCACTTGATCCTGCGAGAATGGCGCGAAATCAACCCGTCGGTCGAGTTCCGGTGCTTTGTGCGAGACCGCCAGTTGGTGGGTATCTGCCAGCGCGACCTCAACTACTACCCGTTCCTCAACGACCTGCATGACACCATCATTGAGCAAATAGCCGTTTTTTTTGACGACGTGCTGCTGCCCAAGTTCGGCTCAAACAGCTTTGTTTTCGACGTTTATTTGCCTAAACCGTTTACAAAGGTGTATCTGTTAGACATCAACCCGTTTGCGCGCAAAACAGACTCGCTGCTCTTTTCCTGGAACGAGCTGGCTACCATGAAGGTTCCCGAAGACGACGTTGTTGTGCGGCTTGTGACGCAGCACAACTCTGGCCGGTTCGCCACCAAGGCACACTCGCAGAACCACGTGCCGCGCGACGTGCTCGAGGCTTCGATCGACCCGTCCAAAATGGTGGAAATGATGCGCAACTGGTCGTCTGCACAGGACTCTGACGACAGCGACTAGATTTCGTCCGCGATGTGACGCTTTGTGGGGCCCGGGAACTCGATTTCGGTGCCCTTGAGAGGGCCCTCGGTGTGGTACAGGCGCGGCCGGTACGCTGGGTTCTCGACCATCACTTTGGAGTTGCGGAACTTCTCAATCAGCTTCGCCCGGCCCTGAACCCGCGCGTACGACATCTCGCACACTTTCTCCGAGTTGAACTTGTTCCACCGCTTGCCACCGCGTGCCAGATAGAATTTGATGATGTGTTTTGGGTCTGTGAACGAGATAAACGCATACCCAACGTTGCAGTGGTTCTCAAAGTCCACTCTCAAATACAGAAAGTCGTACAGGTTTTTGCTGGTGAGGTCGATGTACTCCTTCAACTCGTTGTGGTTGATCTTGTTGGGTACGTTGCGGATCATCAGCGTGGTGCGCTGGTCTTGGCCGGACCTGATTTTGGCAATGTCTATTTTATTTTCGCTGGGCACAAAGCTGGGCCCGGCCGTGGACGAGGCCAGTCTTCTGTGTTTGAGGTGGTGGTATTTTTTCTCGTCTGTGTCCAAATCGAACGTGGTTTGTTCTCTGCGCTGGAAATCGCCCGTCATCCAGTTCACCACCTGGAGTCCTGGCTCCAAAACTGGGCTGGCGGGTCCTGGTAGCTTGCACGCTTCCTCCAGAGAACCTTTCACGCGCACGCGCACTTTGCCGACGAACGAGTCGCACGCCTTGCGCGCGTCGAACGCAGACCGCACGTCGTGGAAACAGCACTTGATCACCTGTGGCGGATGCGCCGCCATCTCGAAGTTGTCGATGGAGCCAAATTTGGACAGGTACGCGAGCAGGCTGCTGCAGAACTGCACGGACAGCTCTGCTGTCTCGCACGCAACGTACACGTCGGCGTACTCGTTGGCCAGAAACCGGAACTCGTAGTGCGCCAGCACCGCGTGCAGCGTCTGTTTGTCGGTGATGAAGAACGGTTGCAACATCTCGCCGGTAACGTGTTTGAAAAGCGTCTGCAGTTGGCGGGTCTGGAACGGCACTTTTCTGTCGTCGAGCCATCCAACGGCCAGCACCGTCTCGTTCTTCAGGTCGAGCGGTCTGTACGCAAGAACGTCCTTGAGATTGGACCAGTCTCTGATGATAGCGCTGAGCGTGGCTATTCTGGAGCACCGAAAAAGCACAATTCGCGAGTTGAGCACCCCGGAACAGAACTTAGCCGTGGCAAAACACTCCTCGCCCGACCCGTCCAGACCACCGCCCGTTGCACAGACCATCGCCTGGCTATTATCTAGCATAGTAATGAATAGCGAAAAAAAGATTAGAGATTGTAAGATACAATATTTAGTTAGCAAGATATTTAAATATCCATCCACCTCAATGCAACTTGACACTCTTGGAAACGTTCTTTTTGATACCCGTGGTTTCTCCCACGTACGCCCCGCGGTCGGCCGTGTACACGGCGCGGACGGACTTGAGTTTCTTCTGTGCCTGGGCGTACTTCTTGCGCTTCTTGACACGCGAGTTGCGGTTGTCTTTGTTTCTGTGAGGAGTGAGACCGCGGTTCTTGAGGATCTGATAGTTGACGGCGCGCTTGCCGCTGTCGCCGATGGTTTCCTCAATCTCTGCCAGTTTGCCGTCTCTGGCGGCGATCTTGGCCAATTCGTGTGCTGCTTTTCTTTGCTGCTTTGTGCTCTTTTTCGAGGAGTCCACCTCCGCATAGTAACTGTTGGCCACGCTGCCGTCCAAATCGCCCTCTGGGTCCTCCGCGCCCAGCTCCAGACCAGGAGCAGACGCGTTCGCACGGTCGCCTCGTTTGCGGGCCTCCTCCAATAGTCGCAGTCTTCTCTCGAACAGCCGCTCCTTGTACGGCACGTCCTGGTCTCCCTGGAACTTGGAGTCCTTCTTGCGCTCCTGCTGGTCGATCTTAGACGTGTAGAACCGCAACGTGCGCCGGCGGCCCTTCTTTTCTTCTCTGTCCACCTCGTCAAGCTCCTCGGGACCAACAGCCCGTAGTCGGCGAACACGACGATCAGCCAGAACGTCTGGCTCCTCTTCGTCGCTCGAGACCTCCTTGGAGTCTTCTTCTTCGTCCGAAAGAGCGTCGTCGAACTGGTCTATGAGTTCTGGAGCAGTTTCTGCTTCCTCAACCAAGGATTCATGCTGTCTCTTTGCTCTCTTCTTCTGAGCCTGTCTCCACACCTCCCGTGCACTCAGGATCCCCGTCATTATCGGCTCTTCACGCATGCTGAACTGCTCGCCGCTCTTTAGATACGACCCAAACAGCGCAAAATATGTCGTAATAGTGCCCAGATACACGCTCAGCGCACTGAACTTGAGCTCTGCCTCGGAGCTCTGTTTCTTCTGCACGTCCAGTTCCTCCAGAACAGGCGTCAATGTCTCCACCTCCTTCAACAGTGGGATAAACTCCGGATACTGCGTCTCCATCAGTTCTGGGAAATTAGACTCGTCCAGCTTAGCCGTCTCTGCAACGGCTTCTGTGCTCTTATCCGGCTTCGACCAGTCCTCGTCGTCGTCATCAACCATGTAGTCGTCCATGTGCAAGTCTTCGAGATGTTTCTTCTGGATTCGCAGGGCTTCCTGCTCCATCAGCTTGGCATCCTCCTGGTCTTCAACATTATCACCACCGTAGTAGTCATTCCGCGACCCCCAGCCCTCAACATCGTCCTCTTCCTGCTCCTGCTCCTGCTCAGACCCAAAATAGTCTTCCTCTTCCTCGTCAACATGGCCAGTCAGCTGTCTTTTGTACCGTTCGATCTCCTCTTCTTCGTCGTCTTCGTCCAGCCCCAAAACTTCCTGTTCGCTCTCTTCGCTCTCCGGCTCCTCAAACCCGGCCTGATCAAAAAGAATCTGCTCTTTGCCGGCGTGGAACTCGTCCACCTCGTCCAAACCAGGATCCTGCTGCATTCTGTAAAGATTAAATTTTTTTCCGATTTTTTTCTGAAAAATTTCCTATATTTTTTAGATCTTTTTTTATCAACCATGTCCAACAACAGATTGGACTCCATTTCAAGACCTTCGGGCTCTCCGTCGGCAGGAGGCGCCGCCAAACAGAGTCTGCGGTTTAAGCCCAAGGTGGTTGCTCGACGCACCAAGGAGGAGCGTGACTCGAACGTTCCTGTGGCCACGCCTGGGGTCAGCAAGAAGCCGGCTTCTTTGGCCAAGACGGTCCAACGAACGCAGAAATTGTCTGGTCCTCGCCATCTTCAAAACACCAAGGTTGTCATGGCGGGTCCGCTGTCCCAGGGCGCTGTTTCCGTGTCAAACACAGGCCATTCAGATAGACACCGGATCGTGAAGAAATCGTCAGAATCGCTCAATCTGGCACAGTCTCTCAAGTCGCAGGTGGCCAAACAGCCGAAACAGAACGCAGACTACGACGATAGTGACGACGACACAGAAACAAAAATCGACCTGGGCCAGTCGTACGACTGGAACGACGTCAACACCCAGCTATTTCCTGTGAGAGCAGAAAGACAACAGCATTTCGAGTACGGCGAGGAAGCAATTCCAGATACATCGATCAAAACCGAGTTCCACCGCGAAGTTTCTGTGATTCCGGACTCAGAGCCGTCGTCGCGCGAGCAGAGCGTGGAGATAAAAAAAGAAGACCCAGAAGCTACGCTAAGTATCGTTCCTGACGAAAAGGAAAACGTGGGTGTTTCTAATAATGACTATCAGACCAGAATCGAGGCAGCGCGATTAGAGGAGGATTACAGAGAGATTGTGCATCGCCTGGAAAACGCAGACATCGCCCAGGACGGAAACGACATGCTCTTTCTGCAGCTCCCTGAGAATTTGGACTCGATCTCCAGCGCAGCGGAAATCAAGCCCGAGGAGTCCGTGGACATGGACTCTGGCGTGATCGGCAAGATCCGCGTGCACCAGTCGGGCAAAGTCACCATCCAAATGGGTGCAACCATCCTGGACGTTACCAGAGGAGGCGTCACTCAAACGGTCCAGAGCATCGTCCATTTGGACCAGGAAAACAAACAATGCATCGAGATTGGCAACGTGGGCGAGAAACTGATCGCCAGTCTCAGCTTGACGGACGAATAATATAGATCTAACGAGGATTCATTCTGATTCCACCTTAACTCTTTTGGTATCTGGAGATTCGTCGATACTGGCGGGTCTTTTCAGCTGTTCTGTAGTTTGTTTGAGGATCTTTTTGCCGAACCGTGCTGGTTCGAGACACAGTTTGATTTTCGCCGAGATCGTTTTGCTTTCGTCTTGCGACGGGTCCTGTACTTCTTTGCGAAGAATATCTGCACACTGTCGTATTATGACAAGGATTTTGTTGTAGTGTTGCAACCCTTGCTCGTCGTCGGGCTCGTCTTTGCGATTCACCTTGAACTTCTTGGACAGATACTTTTCAACCAGAACATCGTCGCACACCCATAAACAAGTCAGCGCGATCTGTGGCGGGGTGTACAAAAATGGAAGATCTGAAAATAAACTGTCATTCACCAACTCTCTGGCTCCGTCGTAGTTCTTGCCCAGTCTATTGAAATCTAACTTGGGCAGCATCTGCTGGATGTCCAAAAAGAACCCATAAAGCGGCTGGAACGGATGGTGGCATTGCAACGAGAATTTCATGGTCTCCAGGATCAAATACTCGTTCTTCAATATGCCTTCGGGAGTGGTTTTCGGGATGTTCTTACTGAACGAGTTGATGCCAATAAACTGGTTCTCCACCTTGGCCGCCAGAAACAAACACGTCAACATGATATTCCCCGGATGATACTCCATCACCGAATGGTATAAATAAAACTTGTACAGATACATGATTGCGGTTGATCTGGACTGGGCGGAAAGATGGAAAAAAGACGCCAGTTCTTTGCATCTGCGGGCGTAGTAACTAACGAGCTTCTTTTCCTCGTCTAAATGCACATATTGGAACTGATCTCGATGATCCTTCACTATTTTTGTCTCTGGCAAAGAATCGTCCAATTGATTGATACGCTCTTCTGTTTTCTCGATTCCTTTCTTGTTGGCCACCACGCGAAGCTCCTCAAGTTGCAACCGCGTAAACGACCAGAACCGGAATTGGGTCGATCGCCTAAACAGATCGTCGTTAGAAACAACCATGGTTTTTACTTTGAAAAAAATAATTTTCTCTACAATTATTCGGAATATCTTTTTCTCTTCTTTCTATTGATGTGTGTTATGTCAAAAGAAGATCCAAACATCATACATTCTTGGAGCCAGAGACAATTTTCAACTCTGCTCTTCTAAAATGAGAGTCTCTAGCCGCTTAGAAAGTGGCAACGAAAGTCTCGGTGGCAGACTTAAGCTTGGCCAAAAGGTCGGAAGAAAGCTCTCCCTTGGTCTTGATAGCGTCCAAGATCTCACCCTCGTTGGCCTTCAAGTAAGAAACGAATTGCTCCTCGAAAGCGGAAATCTTGTCAAGTGGGACACTGTCCAAGTAACCGTTGACACCGGCGTAGATGACTGGAACTTGCTCCTCAGCAGCAAGTGGAGAGTATTGCTTTTGCTTCAACAATTGGGTCAATCTCTCACCTCTGGACAAGGTTTGCTTGGTAGAGGCATCAAGGTCAGAACCGAATTGAGCGAAAGCAGCAACTTCTCTGTATTGAGCCAAGAACAACTTCAAAGAACCAGCAACTTGCTTCATGGCCTTAACCTGGGCAGCAGAACCGACTCTCGACACAGACAAACCGACGTTGATAGCTGGTCTGATACCCTTGTAGAACAATTCAGCCTCCAAGAAGATTTGACCATCGGTAATGGAAATGACGTTGGTAGGAATGTAAGCAGAGACATCACCACCTTGGGTCTCAATGATTGGCAAAGCAGTCAAAGAACCACCTCCAAGAGCATCGGACATCTTGGCAGCTCTCTCCAACAATCTAGAGTGCAAGTAGAAAACATCACCTGGGTAAGCCTCTCTTCCTGGAGGTCTTCTCAGAAGAAGGGACAATTGACGGTAAGCAACGGCCTGCTTGGACAAATCGTCGTAGATGATCAAAGCGTGCTTTCCGTTGTCTCTGAACCACTCAGAGATGGCACAGGCAGTGAAAGGAGCCAAGTATTGCAATGGAGCAGCCTCAGAAGCAGTGGCAGCAACAATGATAGAGTATTGCAAAGCATCGTTTTGCTCCAAGGTTTGCACCAATTGAGCAACGGTGGATCTCTTTTGACCAACGGCAACGTAAACACAGTAAAGTTTCTTGGACTCGTCAGAACCGCTGTTCCATCTCTTCTGGTTCAAGATGGTGTCAAGGGCAACAGCAGTCTTACCGGTTTGTCTGTCACCAATGATCAACTCTCTCTGACCTCTTCCGACTGGGACAAGGGCATCGACAGCCTTCAAACCAGTTTGCATTGGCTCGTAAACGGATCTTCTTGGCAAGATACCTGGGGCCTTAAGCTGGGCTCTAGCGAAACCAACGGCTTCGATTGGTCCCTTACCGTCAATTGGGTTACCCAAAGCGTCGACGACTCTTCCCAACATAGCTGGTCCGACTGGAACATCAACAATCTTTCCGGTTCTCTTAACGATTTCACCCTCCTTGACTTCTCTGTCGGAACCGAACAACACAATACCGACTTGGCCAGGCTCCAAGTTCAAGGCCATACCCTTGACACCGGAGGCGAACTCAACCAACTCTTCAGCTTGACAGTTGTTCAAACCGAAAACTCTGGCAATACCATCACTGATCTAGTTAGTAACAATTTTCGGGCTGTGCGGGAAAATCGAGAAAATTGACATTGAGATTTGAAAAAATTCAGGTTATGAGATTTCGTGGGCGTTCATTGGTCGAGACAGATAGTCGAGTTAGTTTTAAATCAACAAACTTGACGTGTATCCCATGAAGCTCGATTCTCCTGTTCCAATGGTCACAATGTCGTAGTCTCAATTCGCACTAGTAATGAACTTACCCAACGGAAAGAACTCTTCCGGTCTCGTCCAAGTTGGCCTCATCGGAAACACCTCTAATCTTGGATTCCAAGATCGAGGAAACCTCGGTTGGGGCAGCCTTGGCGGTGGCATACGATCTAGCGGAAAACAAAGGTCTAGCCTGAAGTATTTGCGACAGAGTCGCAATTATGTTAGTATTGACGATTGAGGGGGGTGATTGCCGATTGACCGCAAATTAGACTCATTGCCCAACGACCGAGCCTTCAGACGCCCATTGGACCATCACACGGAGGCCATTGGCCACCTTGGCGTCGAAAATCGGATATGTTGCGAATGGACATTTTGCTGTCACCGGCGTGCAATGCGATACTCACAATTCTTGGTGCAGCTCTAACAACGTTAGCAGCTAGAGCTGATCTAGCAGCTGCTCTGATGGCTGGTCTAGCAGAAAGCATTGTTATACGATGATTGATTCTTGGGAAAGAACAAATCTGGTTGTATAAAAGATGGAAACAAAAGTGGAAGAAAAATGAAAAAAGACACAACACCCACAGTGCTGGCCAGGCGAGCCCGCGTGGTGCGCGGTGGGTGCAGGCGAGTATTTTTTTTTTCCCTGGTGGACGCCACGGCACGCACGTTATTGGTCGAAATGAGTGTTACCCGGATATAGTATTTCCGATAAACCAGGGTGTTGGGCAGGTGTGCCGATGGTCGGTGTGGAGGGTACAATTGGCGAAGGTTTGGCTCAATTGATCATGGACAACGACGTATGTGCTGTTCCCGTGTGTTTGGAGTCCCAGATACTGCTGTTCGCCGTGTTGTCCCATCTGGCCCCCCTTTCAGGCTGTGTTCTCGATGCACAGCCCGAAAAAAAATTAACTAGCTGGGGTGTTTACTTGAGATGAGTGCTGGAACCGCAGTAGCGAGCAACAAGGGTCCTTTGTACTTCACCGAGTTCCTGCCGCGGCTAAGTTCGGTGTCTGTATGTGTGCAGGTTCCGCGCAAGCGTGTTGTAAAACTGAGCATCAAGGATCAATTTCTCGACGGTTTGACGTCTACGGGCGCAATTTCCATTCCTCTGGCAGCGAGAACGGCAGACTACGTGGATGTTCTGCCGTTTGTTCAGGAGGGGGATGGATTTTTCACATTAAAAGTGCCCAGTTCGGGCGAGAACACGCAAAGTACTACCGATCAGTTGACCAACGCAGACGGCCTGATCTGGTCGGTGAGCGAGCTGCGACAGCATCCAAAGGCTACACTGCAGTGTTCCGAGTGTGGGCAACAGATATTGGCCCTTGAAGAGGTCAGAAAGCTCCATTCAATGCCGTCTGAGCTATGGTACGAAATGATGGAGTTTTGGCACTGCCATAAACCGACAAGCGGCGAGTACACTAACGACAAGATTGCTAGCCGGTTCAACAGTCTACGGCCGGCGGCAGATTCGTTGATTGTGGGCGCTTACTACTTTCTGGTGCCGTCAACAGCGGCCATTTCAAACGACGGGTCGTTTGTGCAATGCAGTGGTTGCAACCATGTTCTTGGGGAGATGGACAACGGCAACCACAAGCTATTCAAATGGAAATTGGTCCTCACAGACGGACAATTAGAGCAGAGGTGTTCTAGTTTGATCTATCTATACAGTTATCTGCTCGATTCGGTGGCATCGAGCGCAATTAGGTTTTTCCTGGTGAAGAACGGAGAACAGCAGGTCGTTCTATGGTGTTTCAATTTTGGGCTTGACGTCACGTTTTCAACACACCGTTTGCAAAACAGTCTCAAGGTGATGTACATGGACAACAAGGAGGAAATCTTGAAGTTTTTGGCCCAGTACGAGTCCCAGGAATCGACTCAGTACGAAGTGATAGATTTGGAGAAAGACATGATGACATCCACCGTTGCCGACTTGGAAGACATCAACACCCAGCTTCCACAGTCTCAGCGCACGTTCAACCAATGGAAAGTGTCGTATATCGGCCGGTTACTCTGATTCAAGCCACTCTTGAACCAGTGGAGCGACCTGTTTCCGGCTGAATTTAGGCACGCGTTGTCTAAATGTATATGGGAAGATCCGAGTCTGTGTCAGACCCAGCGGCCCTTTAATATGATCTAATAGAGTGTCCAGTTTATCCGGGTCGCCATAAACCATCAGTTCTCTATTGAAACCGTATTTGTCTCGATAAGCCGTAAGGATGATGACCACATCCAAATGTCTTTCGTTTTTCCAGGCTTCCAGGCTCTTACGGACCTCGAACTTCTGCAAGTACGACAAACCGACAGTCAGCGAGCTGATCCCCACGGTATCGTACTCCTTGTAGTCTTTTCTCAGCAGATCCAGCATCGAAAGTCCCTCCACATTGTTCTTCGCAGCAAACAGTTCCTCGGCGTAGTTGTCTGAAAAATCCGGCTTTGCATTCAACCGCAAAGTCAGCAGGTCGTACGCTTTTGTGTCAACGGACTCCACATGGCTTCTGAGCCGGTTTGTATCAATAAGGATAGGCGAAATGAACATCTTGGCAAGTTTTGGGTCGATCTTGGCAGTCTGCTCTTTGAAATGTGTAATAACTAAAGAGGTGCAAGAACCGCATTTCTGCACAATCCGCGGATTGGCGTCCAAGAACAGCTTCTCATCGTCGTGATGGTCCAATATGGACACCACCTTGGCGTTCAACTTGCTGATCAAGTCCTGGATGACAGATCCTTGAGGCTTATTATGGTCCACCAGCACCAAGTCGATCGAGGAGGCGGAAAGCTTCTCCCAGCTGGACTCGAGATCGTCCAGAAACACCAGACTGGCCGTGTCGACGCCTGAGATGTCCATCACGTGCACGATATCTTTGCGCAGCTTGAAATCTGCGCGTGGAATATTGAGCACCGGGATGACGTCTTTTTTCGAACACAGGTACGAGTACGCTAGAGCGGCTATCGTGGAGTCCATATCGGCACTCTGATTGCCCGTGACGAGCGTGAGTTTAGATTTGGCGCCTAAATTGCGCAAGATCTGGCGGTAATTGGCCAGCATTGCGGATCAGACAATAACGTGCAACTTATTTATAGCAGATTAATTTTTTCTGCAGGGGAATTGATGAAATTTATGATTTGGTAATCCGGGGGCTTTTAAAAACGTTTGAAAATATGGCGTCGATCCCAAGGAAAATCGCCAGACTGATGGTGTTCGCTCTGATAGTGTCGACCATCATTCTGGTTGCCGTGAACTCGTCGAGTTTTGGGCTCGGTGGCTGGTTTGGGTCGGCTCAAACGGGGCCAAGAAAGCTTGTTTTTTCCAACAACAAGTCAAAGCCACCAGAAAAGGTTGTCGAGGAGAATTACAAGCTGCTCCAGGATGTTCTGATGAAGCCGATCCTGGAGCCCAAGACAGACAATCTCGTGCGTCCACCCGCGGACCCAGATCAGTACGACCGGGCCAATGCAACCATGCTTGTTCTGGTGAGAAATCGAGAGCTGGGTCAGGTGGTGCGCACCATCAAGCAGATCGAGAAGAAGTTCAACTCCAAGTTCCACTATCCGTACGTGTTTCTGAACGAGAAACCGTTCACAGATAAGTTTATGAGCGGTATCAAGGCGGTGGTTTCTGGCACGGCGTATTTTGAGCACATTGACGCGGCCGACTGGGAGCAACCCGACTGGATCGACGTGAAGAAGCAGAACCAGGACATGCGTCAACTGGACAGCGAGAACGTCGGGTATGCGAAACAGGTCTCGTACCACAACATGTGTCGCTACTACAGTCTGGGCTTCTACAACCATCCACGGCTCCGCCAGTTCAAGTACTACTGGCGGTTCGAGCCCGGCACAGACTACTACTGCGATCTGAACTACGATGTGTTCAAGTTCATGGAGCTCAACAACAAAACGTATGGGTTTGTGATTGCGTTGTACGACGTGGAGCAGTCTGTGCGAACGCTGTGGCCGCGCACGTTGGAGTATCTTGCGGCCAACCCGGCTGCGCTGCATCCCAACGGCGCGTACGACTTTCTGCTCGAGAACCAGCAAAATCCGCACAAAACAAAAGAGGCCAACGGGTACTCAACATGCCATTTCTGGTCCAACTTTGAGATCGCAGATATGGACTTCTACCGGTCCAAGCCGTACTCCGATTGGGTGAGCTACTTGGACTCCACCGGGGGATTCTACTACGAGAGATGGGGCGATGCCCCGGTGCATTCGGTCGGCGTGGGGCTGTTCGAGGACCGCGACAAGATCCATTGGTTCAGAGACATTGGCTACAAGCATCAACCATACACTCTCTGTAGCAACTGTCCGACCTGTTCCAAGTGCAAGACCGCAGAGTTCACCTACGACCACTTGAAAGACCAGAATTGTCTGGCCAACTGGTGGAAGTACGAGATGTCGGAGTCTCAAAGGAATATCTATTAAAGTATGAGTAATTGGATATTAAATTATTTTCCTGCAATTTTCTCTTTAGCTGTTTAAAATGAAGTCGGTTAATATTGCTGTTATTGGCGCTGGTGTTGTTGGATCTGCTTTTCTACAACAACTTGGGTCTGTCAAGTCGTCGATCAAGTACAATTTGATCTACCTGGCCACCTCCAAGAAGGCCGTTTACGACAAGTCGTACTCGCCGTTCGAGATCGGCCAATGGTCGTCGTTGTTGCAGTCGTCTGTCCAAACCCCGCTTAGTCCTCACGAGCTAACAGAATACCTCAAACAGAGCCCTATCCCGGTTATTCTCGTCGACAACACCTCCAACGAGACTCTGGCCAACTCGTATCCATTGTTCTTGAAGAACGGTGTTTCTGTGGCCACTCCAAACAAAAAGGCCTTCTCCAGCTCGCTCACTCTGTGGAACGACATCTTTGCCGCCGAGAACACCGGCTTGTGTTTCCACGAGGCGTCTGTTGGCGCCGGTTTGCCGCTCATCTCCCCATTGAAGGAAATGGTGGCCACCGGCGACGAGATCCAAAGTATCGAGGGAATCCTGTCCGGTACTCTGTCGTACATCTTCAACGAGTACTCCACCATCTCTCCAAACACGTCCAAGTTCAGCGACATCGTCAAGGTGGCCAAGAACCTCGGCTACACCGAACCAGACCCAAGAGACGATCTCAACGGTTTGGACGTGGCTAGAAAGGTCACCATACTGGCCAGAATCGCAGGACTACAGGTGGAGTCTCCAACCTCGTTCTCCGTTCAGTCGTTGATCCCTAAACAGCTGGAATCTGTGGAATCCGCCGACGAGTACCTGCAAAAACTGCCTGACTTTGACCACGAGATGGAGAAACTCAAGTCCGAGGCCGCCCAGGAGGGCAAGGTGCTGAGATTCATCGGCAAGGTGGACGTGGCTTCCAAGAAGACCAGCGTCGAAATTGCCAAGTACGACGCCTCGCACCCATTTGCTGCGCTCAAGGGCTCCGACAACGTCATCTCCATCAAGTCCAAACGGTACCCTAACCCACTCATCATTCAGGGAGCAGGAGCCGGTGCCGAGGTCACTGCCATGGGCGTTTTGGGAGACGTCATTAAGGTGGCCGAGAGAATTGCAACCGTCCAGAAATAGGTTTATAGTACATTAGCTACTTACTAGATTCTCCGACGAGAGTCCAAACTCCTCGTCAAACAGAGCATACTCCATGTCTTTGCTCACCTCGTAGCGCTCCAGGGCTTCTCGGAACAGCTCCCGCAGCTTCTCCGCGTCCTGGCACGTCGACATAAAGTCCAACATAACTCCCTGCGAGTCCAGGTACACAGCCTTGTTTTTGGCCTGCTGGCTGACAGAGAGGTTGACTCTGGCAACGTGGGCGTTGTTGGGGGCCAAAAAGAACCCGCCGTTCTCTCGCAGCTCGGCGATATACGCGCCCGTCTTGTGGATGAACTGCGCGTACTTGAACGTCGGCTTGCCCCACGAATAAACCACGTCGAAATTGTCGTTTCTGAAATAGGTGGCAGTTCTGTTGTCCAGCAGGAACCCGGACTTTTCCATGATGCACAGGTGGAAGAAGTACACGTTCTCCTTGAGGATGTCGACATCGAACTCTGGGTCGGTCCAGGGGTCCAGAGCAAGCGAGATGTCCACGGTAGAGTGCAATGGGTTTCTAGTTGGTAGCGTGCACAGCTCCTGCCACGGAGCCTCCACGAGAGTCAGCCCGTACCGCTCGCAGTGCTTGGCCCAGCTGTTCACGGTGTCCTCCACCAGCTTGGACGTGTTGTTGAGCCACTCCAGTCGCACATGGAAACAGTGTTCCGGGTTGTGCACAATGTCGTAGTGCACCGTCACCAGCTCTGGCTGCCACGAGAGTCTGTTCGGGTCGAGGTCGCAGGTCACCTTGCGGCTGAGAACAACACGTTTTTTGGCGCCCTGGTCCTCATCCGCGGTCTCGGCCACCGACTCCGGGTTCTTGATGCGATCTGTAGTGCTCAAAGTCGACGGAGACGAAACGGTAGCCGGCTCCGTTTCTTTCAACAGCTCATAGAAATAGTGACCGTCCAGGAACCTGTGCCGCGACTCCACGTGGCGGAACAGTCCCTGGTCCATCAGCTTGTTGCCGTACTCCACGGCCTGTTCGCGCGTGTCGATGTCCTCAAAATTCTCAATCATCCAGCTCACCAGGTCAGACCCAACAAAACAGTTGGGGTGTGTGCGCAGGTGCCATTTACGATCCGCGACGCGGATCCCCTCGTCTCCTTCGATAGCCCGTGCAAGCTTGGCCAGCGGCACTTTCTGGTCGAACCGCGTGTTCTGGAACAGCGCGTGCGTGGTGTCGCCAGTCAACTGTGCAGAAACAGTGTCCAGATAGCTGAACAGGTTGCCCGTGTAGAAGTTGATTTCGGGAATGATCTCGACCTTTTTGCGCTCCTTTTTCTCGGCCTCGGTGCGGTACTTGAGCCGGTTGATTATCGAGATTAACGAGCGTATTCCTTCCAGACGGATCTCCTCGGGTGTCAGTTTCTCCGACGCCACGTTGAATGCGTTTGACGGGATCTCTGTTGGCAGAATCACAAACTTGATCCGGTGGCTTTTGCGCTGGGCAGGCTCCACGGCCTCTTCGTAGCCCGCCAGCAGCTGGTCCAGTTGGTTCCAGTTGTAGTTCCGTGGCTCTCCTTGCAGTCCCTGGATGACCATTTGGGAGTAATTCCGAGAGTATCTGGTTCTAACGTACGGAACGTAGTCTGTCGCAGAAGAGTGTGTCAAAACGTCGTCCGAACGGATCATCCGTTTGTACACCTGGACGTTGACCAGACCGTCGAAATCGCAGCTAATCCGGTGGATCTCGTTCGACAGACTCAAATAGATCCGCGAACCAAGGTAGTTCTTCTTGGTCAGATACTGGATCAACAGCTTAGAGTCGCCGTTCGGTTTGCGCTGGTTCTCCACCTTGGCAACGTTATCGGCAACACAGATCTGGAACCCAAGTGTCAGTCGCAACGAGATCATCTTGCACATCAATGTCTGACTGTTGCGACGCTCGTTCACGTCGTCCTGACTTAAAAACACGTCGTAGATCCGGAACGTGAAGTTCTGGTTGAAGTCAGAAACGCTCGGGAAAATAGGTGTCATGAGAGGCAGCGAAGCAGGCGTGGAGATCGACTTCCACTTGATGTTCTTGCGTTTCACGTTCTGTGGGAACACAAACTGCCATCTACCGTAGGAAACCATGCTGATCAGCTCGCTGGTCACTGCGTTGGATGGGTTCTCCACCTGTGTCCAGAAACTGTTGAGCAGCGAGCTCCGTTCCTGGCGCTCGTGCCGTTGCTTGCCAGTCTTTTCGCGCTCCTCGTTCTTGCGCACTCTGATCGACGGTCTCATCAGTGCAGAGTCGGAAACCATCTTGTTGATTCTGGGAGAGTGATCAGACACAGAGATTGTGTCCAGTTTAGGAACGTCTTCGTCGTTCTTCACAGAGACACTCTTGACACCAGGCGACGAGATGATCCGTTTCACAAACTCGAACGCGTTCGGCGACGTCTTTTTTGTTTCTGTCTTGGTGATGGACAACAGCGACGAAAATGCACTCACGTTCGACTTGGACGTCGTGGTGACTCCAACAACGTTCGATGTGGTTGGCGATGAGGCCTTGAAAGTGCTGAGTTCTGGCGGCTGGAACCCGCTACGGGCGCCCGCGCTGATGGACCGCATCGGCTGTTTCGACCGGGAGGCCGTTTTCTTTGGCAGCGTTGCACTGGCCTTGGTGCTGAACAGGTCCTTGTCGTAATCGTCCATGGCGTCCTGGATCGACCTGGAATTGTGGAAACTGAGCTCCGAGACGTTGATCGCACTTAGCTCGTTCTCCATCACACCCATCATCTGCAGTTCGTAGATCTTGCACCTGGGCAGCCACTGCTGCATGGCCTGTGTTGAGTCGCTCCAGAACGAGATGTCCATCCAGCTGGGGATGCAGTGTTTCAGTTTCTTCTGGTTATCCAGATACCTCACAAGAGGAACAACGTGCAACGGCGGCTGCGACAGACACAGAACGTCAATCGTGGAGTCGATCGTCGACATCAGCTTGCTGGTTTGCACCAACATGTCGTAGTTGGTGTCGAAAATACCGGTACCGGGAGAAATGTACAGGAAATGGTTGGTGGTATGGCGCAAGTCCGGGTCTCTAAAGTCATCACTAATCAGACTCATCCCCAGATTGATTGCCTCGAGCAAGTTACCCTTCACGGAGGGAAGAAAGTTGCCTAGAATGACATATTCTTCGGGATGAAGCTGGTCTCTGTGCGGGTTCTTCTGGAGTCGAGTGTCTTTGGAGAAACTGGCAAACGCGCGACGAAGCGCAGCCATTATCTCGTTCCACAGCAAAATACTCACCTGGTCCACAACAACCCGGTAATAATCTTTTCTGTTGCCGGAAAGCTCGCCTGCGCGGTACTGGGTATTTTCCGTGTTAAGGTCCACGCTGCTGAAGAGAACAATGGTGATAAGATGGTGTGTCCCGAGATCCTTCCATCGCTGGAAAATACGCGGCAGCAGAGAATTCACCAGCTTATTGAACATCTGCTGACCGCTCTCCTCGAAATGCCACATTTCTGAAGATATCTGGATAAACACAATCAACCGAGCCGATTCTGACCGGAAAACAACCTTGGTATTGTTGCCGATGTAACCCGAAAACACTTTGCGGCCGTTTCTGTAGATCTTACCCACAGTGGCCCTGATAGAGCCGTGCAAAAAGGACAGTTTCTGTGAACGGTACAAACACTGTTCTGTGAGTAACGACGATAAATTCCACATATCTCCGCGAGACAAGTGCATGTCTTTGACATATATCTCTGCAACGTCGGCCTCAACGGCCTCTTGTGTTTTGACCCGCACCAAAACCTGGCTCCTAAGCTTCAAATCCAGTAATTGTTGGATTGGCCCAGATTGCAACGAAATGAACGAATTAGTGCCCAGTCCCGCAAGCGAAACGTCCGGCATTCGAAATGTAAAGTAGAACTTGCGCGCCACGCCTTCCAGCGACTCCAATTCGCATATCGTGCCGTCCTTTATACCAGGCACCAGTTTCGGGTCCAGAATAACGTCTTGTGTGGAAGTCCGACTCTCGTGGAATCTGACGCTCAATTGAACGGGTTCCGTCAAAAGAGATGTTGTACTATCCACAGTAGAACCTGTGCGCTCGACGTTTCTCAAACTAGCGGAAGAATCATGTCCTTGTCCCTCCAGACGGGTCTGGAATATGTTCCCATTAGACGAGCTTCTGATCTCGTGATGGTCTCGGGTCTTTCCCACAATCAAACTCGCCTCATGAGTTCGCTGACTCATGCGATTCCGAGCATGGTTGAGGTCGAAATTGATCCGTTGTCGTTGCATCAAATTATGACCCTTATTATTTATTTATTTAATTTAATTTATTAAACTTATTTCTCATAGCTCCACTCTCTGAGTCACAGATTTGCGTTCCTGTAATTGACTGGCCAGGCTTTGTTTGGCCGCGGTGGACAACACAACAGATGTGACACGCAGCTTGTCGAAGTCCTTTTCCAAAGCTGACGTGGCTCGCGTCTTGTCATGTAGCTCGTCCAGCTGTTTGCGTAGCTGCTTCGACCCGTCATAGTATGCCCGCAGTTTCGAGTCGATTCCCGAAACAACAACCTCAAACGCAGATGGGTTCGTCAAAACTTCTTCTGGATAGATCTTGCCGTTCAAAACAAACAGCTTGGAATGCAAATCGCTTTCCAAATCGCGCACTTTCTCGTATTCTTTGCGTAGCTTGGCCAGTTTCTGCATAGAAGGATGCGTGGCCTGTCTTTCGAAAGACACATTGGTACGGCTCTTCTCTGTGTCCCTCAACATGCTGTGAACTTCATCTGCCTGCTTAGTGACCTTGTTGACAGTTTGAAGAAGCGAAATTGTGTCATTTTGAACGGCTCCCAGTTCGTTCTTGAGCAATTTATACTCTTCTTCGATTGGCGACAGCACACCTTCTAGACTTCCAACCTCGCCAAGTCTCCACGACTCAGGGAACATGCTCGACTCAGAAAACTCATGCGGGTACTTGTCGTTGCTGTGGTCGGCCAGGAACTCCTCGAGTTGTTTGATATTCATATCCAAAATGGAGAATTCGGCCTCTGTGTCATAGACTATTCTTTCCATCTCTTTCATACACTCGTTCGAGGAAAGCTCAGGATAAACCACAGAGTCAAGCGAGATTAGCTGCGGAACATTCAGCGGCTCTGGTTCTTCTTCTTCATTGGACGACTCGCCAAATGTGACGTTGGCATCCTTGATGGTGGTCTCTACAGTGACAGCCTTGTCAACCATCGGAACGCTAGAAAGCTTCTTCTCCGGTTCCACGGTTAGCTCTGGTTTTGGAGTAGAGGTGAAAGATTCCACACCTTTGTCCGACGAGGTCTCAACAGGAGGTTTAGGAGACAGTGGGGTGAAAGAAAACGGTGCGGATTTTGTCTCAGTTTGCTTGGTAGGGTCGGTCTCTTCAGCTGGCTTTTCAGTAGCATTTTTGCTAGGTGCAGGAGTCTCAATGGTGTGACCGCTACTGCTAGTTAAGTCAGCATCATCCTCTTCAACAGGCTCTTCAGTATCGTTTTCTTCCACTGTATTAGTAGGCTCGGCAGGTTGCACAGTATCGCGCACAGTCTCTGGGCTCTCTTCCGATGTATCAGGGGCAGCCACTGACGACTCGAGTTCTTTGGTCTCTGACTGGTCCTCAATCTTAGAGCTGCCAAATAAATCGTTCAACCGTTCTGTTTCGCTACCTTTCACCTCGGACTCCTCAGATCCAGGCTTTTCAATCTTCTCAAAGCTCTCCTCCGAATTTCCCAACTCAGAACTGGTCGACTGATTGATTTCCTGCTCTGCATCAAGTTGGGAATCGATTCCCTCCCCATCCTCAAGATCACTTTCCTGTTCTTCCTCAGAAATCGACTCTTCGGAATCGCCAGCATCAGAACCTTCACTTGAAGTTAACCGCTGATGAGTTGCAAATGGAGAGCTGGTTTCTTGTTTAGGGACAGGGCTTTCAGACTTTTTAGTCAAATTTGCAAAAGGACTGCTCTTATCGGACAAATTTGCAAAAGGGCTCTGTGTCTCAGGTTTGGAGCCGAGTTTCAAGCTATCCATCCCGAGAGAGCTCTTGAACTGGCCTCCAAACGGCGAGTCTTGAGAACTGGATGATGCCTTGCTAGCGAATGGCGACTCAGTACCAGAATTTCCTCCGAAAAGACTCGTCTCCTTTGCTGGTTGGCCAAAAACACTCTTATTTCCAGCATTTTGGCCAAATATGCTCTTGCTTTCCGATTGACCAAAAATACTCTTTTGCTCTGTGGAGTTACCGAAAATGCCCTTTGTACTTTCATTGTTGTTGGAGCCAGCTGATTTAAATGCCGATCCTTGCTGGGCAAAAGCACCAAAACCTGATGACTGTGCTTTATCGGTTCCCGCAATCTTAAAAGCAGAACCACTTTGTGCAAAGGCTCCAAAACCAGATGATCCAAATGCTGCTTGAGACCCACCAAACGGATTGGACACTTGTGACTTGGAAGAATCGCTCGATTGGCCAAATGACGGTGTTCCAAACGCTGTTTGACCGAACTTGAAGCCTGATTGTCCGAAAGGTGATGACTTGGAGTTCGAAGACTCTCCGAAGGGACTAGCACTTTTGGATGCCTGCGCAGAACCTGTTTGGGAGGGCAACGAGAATGCACTCGATTTGCTCTGGAACAAAGGTGCCGCTGGTGATTCGTCTTTCTGAACAGGATCCGTTTTTTCAGATTCAAACTTGATTGACTCTCTGGCTTTTTCGAGACTCACTTTCCCTGCATTGATGTCCGTTGAGACCCAAACGTTCCATACTAGTAATTGTCCTCTGTTAGTCAGAGTGATCATACGAGGCAAGGATGCACACTTCTCGACCTGCTTGCATGGCTCAACAACGTCGAGCTTACCGGTAAGATCAACAACCAAACCGAGCGGCGTATCGTCGTCTCCAGAATCAGGATCCAGAGGCATCTGCGCCCTATCAGAATCGTTCAACTGGAGAATCTGCTGCGTGCTTGTTAATGTGTTGAAGTCTGTTGATTTGGAGCCTGTGAGAATAGTCAAGTGAGGATACGTCTCACTCCAATTGTGTAGATGAATGGAATAGTAACTAAGTTTTCTGTCGAGAACACCAAATGGCATGCAAATATCGTAAGCTTCCTTTTTGTCGAAAGAATCTCCATTCTTTGTGACGACAAAAGAGGTCGTGTCATCCTCGTCGGTCTCTCCTGCCAGGACCACGAGCCAGTTGTTTGGTTCCAGTTGACTGACGAAAACCACTTTTTGATCGTCAAAAGCGAAATGGGCCTGTGGTTGAGACGCCTGGACTCCGATTATTTCAATACTCGATTCTTGGCCAACCAGGAGAGTGTTGTTGTCGATCCAGCAAAAACATGAACAGTGATCTTTGAGAGCATTTTTCTTAGACCCGTCGAAATACACCAATTCTCCAGACTCAAGCAAATATGCAAACTGGCTGGAAGACTGATTCGGAGAAAGAAGGACTAGATCTTTATCCAATGGTGTGAGATCTTGCACATTGAGCTTTCCCTGTCTCAGATCAGTCACAGCGATTTGTTGAATAGTTTTCTGTTTCACAATGAACAAGTAAGACTCGTCACCTGAAAGGATTAATTGAACAACACCGGAAACTTCCAACTCCTGAAGAGATTCGATCGTATAAGTATCAGATTGCGGGTCATCAGACAACAATTTGTCAAGTTCCTGAGTATCTAAAACCTTAAGTTTGCCTCCTAAGTAGACGAACAATAACCCATGGTTATTCGAAAGCGCGAGTAGGTTATAGTAATGCGAATCCAATTGGTCGGGAGATTCGGGCTCAAACAGCTGAATGGCCGGTTTCAACTGGAAACCAAACTCCTCCAACTCCAATTGTTCCAACGTTGACATTAAAGAATAAACAAGGAAAAATATTTATATGGAAGAAAACCCATCATATACAATTTATACTGATTAATTAATTTATTATGTTCACGGCAATGCGATAAACGTACACAGAGAAAAGATGGAGCACCTGAGAGTAACAACTCTTACATGATAATTTGAGGAGTCTCAACATTGTCCTTGATAGATTTGTGAGGCAAGACCTTACCACCGTTAACGTAGACTTCGTCCTTAACGGTAACATCCTCACCCAAAACAGTGACACCTTCAAGTCTGGCCCATTTACCGACGGTGGAGTTCCAGCCAACAATGGTGGACTTCACCCAAGCGTGATCCTTGATTTGCGAGTTCTTGAGAATTGTGGATCTTTGGATTCTGACACCGTCTCCGATGATACAGTTTGGTCCAATAACGACGTTAGGACCAATCTTGCAGCCCTTACCGATCTTGGCAGACTTGTCGATCAAGACATTGCCACCGTTGATGTAGTCCTCAGAAGTGGAGGTGAGCAAAGGAGAGTTCTTCTTGGTCAAAGCAGAAAGGTATAAGCACATACCAGAAAGGAAGTCCTTTGGCTGACCAACATCCATCCAGTAGCCTGGCAAGTCGAAGGAAAAGAGTTTCTTGTTCTCAACCAAGATTGGGAAGGTCTCGTGTTCAATAGAAGTTGGTCTCATCTCAATCAAGTCGATAACGGATGGGTTCAAGACGTAGATACCAGCGTTGATTCTGTTACCAACAAACTCGACTGGCTTCTCAACGAATCTCTCGATAAGGTTTGGAACGTCTCTGTCGTGGACAATGACACCGTACTTGGATGGCTCATCGACCTTGGTGGCGACGATAGTAGCCTCTCCACCGTGGTCAGTGTGGAACTTGAGCAAGTCGGTGAGTGGGTACTCACAGATAACGTCAGAGTTCAAAACGAAGATTGGAGTGTCATCCTTGGTCAAGATCTTCTCAGCGAGTTTGAGAGGACCAGCAGTGCCCAAAGGCTCCTCCTCGACAGAAAAGGTGATGTTAACACCGTATTCCTTCTCGTATTGCTTCAAAGCACCAACCATAACTTCTGGCTTGTAGTTGACAGCCAGAACAATATCGGTACAACCAGCGTTGGCCAAAGCTTCGATTTGGTGCAAGATCATAGGTCTGTTACCAAACTCAACAAGTGGCTTTGGGAGCGACAAGGTCAAAGGTCTCAAACGAGTACCATAACCACCAACCAAGATTAATCCTTTCATTTTATTCTATCAACGAGTGTATGGGAAAAAATAATTATCGACACGTCTACTTAAAAATTGGGAACTCCAACGTTATTTATATATGGCCACTTATTTCACATAAACAAAAGTACAGTTGGCCCATATGAACAGAAAACACGTAAGCCACAAGAATACAAAAAGAAACAAGACAGAATAGATTTTAATCGCAGTCTGAATCGCCGCGGGGCGTGTTTCACAATAGCCGCAAAACACGCAATTTTTTTTTTCTATTAGGGCACGAGGCTTCCGGGTAATTGAACGTGGAATGAAAATCACTCGCCCCGACATCGTTCCTTTTTGAACCTGTAACTGATGCAATTACCTGTATCAGACGTCTTTTCAATTTAAGTAATCCAACACTAGCTGGTTAAACTCTTGCGGATTGTCCAAATACATGTTGTGTCCAGCCCCTTGCACAACTTTCATGGCAGCATTGTGGTCGTGCGAATTTAAGATATTCACCGCAACACGACCACTGTCCTCAAACATGAAATCATGCTGTCCGTAGATCCAAAGACTCGTGCATCTTAGAGCGTGCAGTCTATCCAGCACGGGAATTTTGGCCAACAGGCTCGAGTCGAAGATCCTCATGATCGCCGTCTCCGAGATGGAACGTTTCACGCTGGTATGGTACACATATTCTGCAAACGCATCCAGCTCGTGTGGCTGATTGAAATTGGACCTTTTAAATTTCGAAATGTTCCTGCTCATAAAAAGCCGCACCGCCGCAGGACCCAACAGCCGCAGAATCAAAAACGTTGGGATTCGCAGTTGCCAGTACGCCTGTATCGGAAACTTTACCTCAGGATATCGTCCCAGGAACGAGTAATCGCCAGGGGACTGCGACCCAGACTCTGTGATGTCTGTGGTGATCTCTTTGTACTGGGGATTCGTGATTGCAAACGGAGATCTTTCAACTCCCCCGGGACTAGCTAAAACCAGCCTTCGCACAGCATTGGGATATTTGGCACAATAGGCCACCCCCATGTATCCTCCCAATGAGTGGGCCACCAGGTCAAATTGGGGGATCTGATGGTGCTGTCTCCATTGTTCCACAGCGTCTACGTAAAAGTCCACCACCTGGTCAACTATGCTCTGCTGATTTTCGAGATATTTTTGCAGGTTTTTCCGTTCCAAACTGAATTTTTCCGGCACATACAATGAACGGTGGAGATGATCCATGTGTTTAAGCTTATTTCGGTCGAACTCGATCTTGAGCCTTGTTTTATTGTCCAGGAACGGGCGACCGTGTCTGCTGGACAGTCCGAATCCGGGCAGGTCGATCGCATGCACGTTGTAATTACCTGCTCTTGCAAATGTGTCTATATTTCTGAACCACCAACCCGATGACGCTGCGTATCCATGAAGCAGCACCATATGACGATCGGCGGACTCGTTTTTGACGTTCAACTCGCTCAATTGTCTGTTTCCAGTCAGCGGGGTAGTTCGGGTCGACGCGTGGAGACCATTGACAGTGCGGTTGTAGTAGGGCAATGTAAGGTCAAAAAGCGTGTCATGAGCCTGTTTTTCAATATTCCTAGTAGTTATATGCTTGTACCAGAGATTGAACGCATTTTTCCACGGATAATTGTACCTGACGGTCGATTTGAACCTTTTCGAGTACATGAGCGTAATTTTTTGTACATAAGATCTGACTAATGCGAATTTGCAGAAACAGAGCACAGCCTGTGTCGGGCGAACGGTCGTTTAGCAAAAGAGGGGCGCAAGTGGTGCAGTGCAGACGAGGGTGAACAGGTTATTACAATAGTTAAGCGAGGACAGACAGCGGAAAGACGTTAGCAACCTGGATGGCCGTTTCACCTATCCTGTTTCAGGAAACACATGGCCATTTCCGCAAAAACCAACTAATGATACAACCAGATAAACAAGATAACGCGCATTACGTTTGGGCGCTGCACAAGCTACCAGATTGATGGATACTAGAACACCAAACTGGATTTCTGCGGCACACCTCGCACCAGAATCTGGAATGCTGTAGGGCATGCCGCTAAACTGCAAAGCGTGTTGATTTAGAAGAATTGAGCGCGATGGCTATACCACAGCTAGCTGGGTACGGGCTGGCATCACTGTGGGCATACGGGAGCGTGAGTTGAGCTGTTTAGCCGATTTAGGCGTAGAATCGAGGTATCGGGACGGGAGAAAACCAGGAACGGACAATTAGCGTAGCAGAACATGGTGTTCAAATTTGAGGGTGCGAGCATATCATGTTTTTAGCCAATGGCAAGTACTGATGAATACTCTTATCAGGGCCATAACAATAAAACGGATAAAAAAAATTTTTTGTAAAAAAATTTGAGCCTCACACCCAAGGCGATTGATATAATCATCAAAGTATATCAATCAGGCCCACGGAGCAGGCCAGGGGCATTGGTAGAATCGGAAAGAAAGCTTACGTAGGAAATTTGCCCATGTCTGGGGGATGACTCCAGTCATGATCCAACGATTGCCTGATTCAGCACGAGATGACCAAAAGCCGGTGATTCATGTAAAAGAAAAGAGAAAAAAGGAATCATGCAAGGTAGGTTTCGGGAAATGATTCGATCTGGTTTCTCGAGCAGGACCAAGCGAGTGTGGAAAAGTTTTAGCGCATGCAATGGATACAAGGCGTATCTGCGGGGATTTCTAGGCTGAAAAGGATATGCCAGGTGACTGTGTAATCCGCTTTTAAAATAATGTGACTGGTTAAGTTAATTTTTTTCCTGGTCGTGAGACAATGCAAAGTTTCTGCAGGAATTCCGGACGGAAGAAATATGCCGTCACGTCAAACAACACCAGGGAATGGACAGAGACTAGCTCTAAAGCCCAGGAAATTGGGCCAATTGTGTTATGGACGTGAAATTGGGGTCCATGTCTTGCCATTGAGGTTCAATTGAGATACCCAATTAGACATGATCCAGAACTCCATGATTTAAGTGCATATTGTTGGCGCTATCGCTATTGTTCCAAACTTTTCTTTTTGCAAAAAAAAATTAAATTTTTTTCTATCCATGTTTCCCTTTTTTAGATTTCGTATAAATACTCATACAAGTCTTTTACCTCAACTTGTTTACCTTTTTGCTAGCTGTTTTATAACTTGCTAAATTTTCGCAACATCGGTGCCCATAATCGTTCACAATTAGGTACAAAACAAGCCGTCATTGGCCCTAGCGCTTATTACAATGTCATCTTTATTTTATCAATTGGCTAACGTGGGTTCAACCAGACAAATAGATGGCCGTTTAACCCCCAACAACGCAGAGACTGTGCGCAGAGAGTCTAGCGCCAACAATAAGGAAAACGGGGGATCCGAAATGGAGTCTGTCAAAAGAGCCGATTCGGAAGCGGTTAACACCACCATCCCATCGCCGCCTTTGTCGCCATACACAAGATCAGCCACTCTTGAGGAGAGCGACACCCGGTTTGCTCAGTTACTGTTCACCAAGTCTGTCAAAAAACCAATTGTGGAAGAGGTTAGAAAACGCGAGCAGTCTGAAACACAACCGATTTTACGCGAAATCAACATTAATTGGGAAAAGAAGCGCAGTTTCCCTGTTGAGGATTTGAATGACACATTATTGTGTCTGAACCCGTATGGAGACCTCAAGACTCCCGGATACAAGAAACGGCAGCTCAAGTTCTTGGGCCAGTACCAACTGAACGTGGCTTCCAAGAAACCGGCTCCAGTCGTTTCTGCCATTAATTACCGCTACAGAACCACCCCTCGGGTTAGAGAGTACGTCTCGAGCGAAAATGAGACCGATAGACCGCGCACAAGAAGGGTGGTTCGCGAAAGCTCTGCTCCATTGGAGTCAGACGACAATTCGATTTCGCGTCCTTTGACTCCACGCAAACGCAAACCCGCTGTCAAGCGGTTCGACTCGCCATCTGCAGCATCGCCTCCGCCGTACAGTTTTGACTACAAAGCCATTCCGGATTATTCTCCGTCCACCAACACGTTGCCAAACAACAGCCGGTGCCTGAAGACGGAATGGAAAGGTCAAGCGATGGATTTAAGCGAGGATCCATTAGTGGGAGAACTGCATCCTGCAGAGGTGCAGTTGGCATCGACGCTGCGGCTGCCTCCGAACGTTTATCTGGATTCGAAAAGAAGAATTTTTTTCGAGAAAGTGAAGCGGCTTCGTTCTGGCCTGCCGTTCAGACGTACCGACGCACAAAAAGCATGCAAAATCGACGTGAACAAGGCAAGTCGGCTTTATGCTGCTTTTGAGAAGATCGGATGGTTGGAAGACATCAACTTTGACGGGTTTTTACAAGAATAAAGGAACAATAGGAAGGAACAGGGTGTTTCAGGAGAACGGAATGGGAATGGGAATGGGAATAAAACGGAATAATAGGATTTGATTGTATAGGACTTTCTAGGATTATGGATTAAGTTATAGACTCTAGTTATGGAAAATGGATTTTCCTGTTGTAAGTGCAATGTTGCTGTTTTACTTGATCCGGAAAGGTTTTCACAACCCAGCCACCGCGAATATTGGACGAATCATTAAGATGCTGTTTATGGAATAAAGTAAATACTTCAACAATAGCTACAAACAATGCAAACCCAGAAAAAAGGTGCAACTGCTTAGTTTTCGCGCTCGCACGTCGTTTCCGTTCCACCCAATTTCGTCGAGCCGGCATGGAATGCAAGTCACTTAGGCAGGGGGGCCGCCAATTATTTATGTTCTGGTGATGGAAATTCCTTGGTAAGCCGAATTTTCCTGCACTTTTTTTTTTATAAAACCCAGTCTTTCTCTTCTTGAGCTTGAACCATATTTGCTACTTGGAAATGCAGTTCAAACTTGCTTTGCTCGCTTTGGCTGGTGTCGCTTTGGCCGACACCACCTCTTCGTTGAGTAAGTATTCAAACAAATAAACGAAAGAACGAGGCTTGGATCGAGTTTTTCAGATTCCGATCTGGACGACTCCTTTAAACAGAAAATGTCGACACAACGTGGTTTTTCAAGGAATTACAGGCCCAATGACTACAGGATAGTGAACCTTTCGGCGACGACTCCGCCTTGTCGGTGTCTTGTGTGCTCCTTCGCCTCGCGATCGAGTCCATTTCGTGACTGTTAGCCACATTATTCCAAATCACCTGTTCTTTTTTTAGAAGTGGATCCAATTTGCTCCTTTAAAATGCAAATCCGTCCAAGTCGCTTGTTCTTTTTTTTTCCCGAGGACTTTCGGATTCACCCGAGTCCACGACTTTTCCATGCAATACTAACACCCCAGACTCTACACTCACTTCGACAACCTCCATTTCTGTCGCTTCGGGATGTTCGTTCTCCAAGACCCTCACTGCCACCGTGCAATCCGACTTGGATGATCTTTCCTCCTGTTCTGCTATCGAGGGTGACATTCTCATCACCGGTGACCTGGCTACTGCCTCCATCGCCAACGTCAAGGCCATCTACGGTTCTTTGACCGTCTTCAACGCCTCCTCGTTGACCTCCTTTGCCGCAGACTCCCTTACTACCATTACCAAACAATTGGAGCTCTCCCAGCTCACCATCTTGGACACTCTTTCTCTTGGATCTCTTGACTCTGTTGGAGCCATCAACTGGGTCACTCTCCCAGCCTTGACCTCCTCTGGTTTGCACGGTGTTACCGACTGTCAAAGTATCTACATTTCTGACACCCAATTGGAGTCCTTGGACGGTTTGAACCCATTGGTTGTTGAGAGCTTCAACGTCAACAACAACAAGAACTTGGGTTCCATCAACTCCGAGATCCAGTCTGTTTCTAACGCTCTGTCCGTTTCTTACAACGGTGACGACACTGATGTCAGCTTTGACTCTCTTAAATGGGCCAACAACATCACCTTCTACTCTGTTTCATCGATCAACTTGCCAAACATCACCACCGTCAACTCCTCTATTGGTATTTTCGAGTCCAACGTTGAGGACCTGGACTTTTCTGGTGTGACCAAGATTGGTGGTGACCTTTCCATCGAGAACAACGACGAGTTGACCTCTGTCGACTTCTCCAGCTTGACTTCTCTTGGTGGTGGTTTCGTGGTTGTCAACAACTCCAAGTTGGCCGGCATTGACGGCTTCGACGAGCTCAAGTCCATCGGTGGTGCCGTTATCTTGAAGGGTGACTTCGACAACGCTACCTTGCCATCCCTGTCCACCGTTAGAGGTGGCTTCGACCTCGAGACCACCGGTAAGGTGGACTGTGACGAGTTCGAGTCCTTGTCCAAGAAGGGCGGTATCCAAGGTGACAAGTTCGTCTGCTCCGCTGCTACCGAGTCCTCGTCTTCTGTCAACCACTCCAAGACTGCCGACTCCTCTTCTTCTGGCTCTGGCTCTGCCACTGCCTCCGACGAGTCCACTTCTGCCGGTTCCTCCTCCTCCTCCAAGGGTGCTGCTGCCATCAACGGTGTTTCCGTCTTTGGTACTCTCTCTGCTTTGTTGCTTGCCTTGTTGTAAGATAGAAAAGCAACAAGGAGTCCACCCTGTATGCTCTTTTAAAAGGTTTAATGTTTCTCATACTATTACTACTAGACTGTATCTTTTAATTTGAAAGAAGTTTGTCTGATTTGCTTATTCTATTTACTCACAGACCTTTTCCATAGTTGCCCTTCTCGAAGAAAGCCATGATCTCGGCCACGATCTTCTCCAAAGCGCTCAACCACTCCTCCAACTGCTGGGCCACTTTTTCTTGGTCCGCACCAAGTTTCGCAAAGAAGTCAGCTCTGTACGGACAGGCCTTCATTGCCAGCTTGAAGATCGGTCTGATCAGCATTGTGTGGTATTTGGTCAAAGTCTTGCCGTAAGCGTCCGTGAAAGTCTTGTTCAACTCGTCTTTTGGTCTAGACACGGTCTCTCTCATAGCCACGGCTGTGAACTGCAGACCCCTGCACAGCCACAACAAACCTTGAGTGGCAGTCTTCTTCTTGTCGGTCACCTCGGACAAGATCAAGTCCTGCAAAGTTCCGGTCTTGTCAGGAGACTCCAACAGCTTGGCACGCACCTTCTGGATGTTGCCCGTCATGTCGTTCTGCACCACAGAAAACGCCGACGATCCAAGCAGATCAAAAAGCTTCACGAGCGACTCGGACGCCTCCAGAAAATCCGCCGTCGCGATCTTGCCGTCCACAACAGGAACGTCCGCAAACGACTTCTTCATCTCATCGAAAAAAGTGCTCATCTTGAATGATACAGAGTAATATATATTATTGGAAAAATAGAACTCGAAATTAACGTGTCGTTCCAGTGTTGAAAAATTTCGATGCACACGACAATTTCTATAATTTGAGAGAGATGTATTTTTGCAGGTGTGCTGGAGGAACAGGCGGCCACTGGCCGGCTCTCTTGAGCTTCATTCTCTCCGTGAACGTCATGTTCTTCAGGTTCGACTCCCATTCGGCAGCCTCCTTTCTGTGACGCTCGTCTGCGTTGGCCATGGCCTTTTGCTCCTGCTCGAACTCGGCCTTCTTCTTGGCCACAAACGCAGCAATACGCTCCTGTTTGGCCTGCTCGAACTTCTCCCGGGCCTCCTTCGCCTTGGCCTCGTACGCCTCGCGCTCGGCCTTCTCTCTCTGAGACACAAATTGCTCGTAGTCCGGAATCAATCTACTCAATCTCTGCTTGATCTTCAAAGACTCTTCATGCTCCTTCTTGGCATTCGCAATAAGCTTCTCCTTCATCTCGGCATACACCTCCAGCTCGCGACTCTTCTGAGCTTCAGCCTCAGGCTCAAGCAGTGGAATCTCGTATTTGCGCTGAGCTCTTTCAATGTAGTCAAACCGCTTGGCAGTAGCCTCGATCCGTTCCTCAAGAACCTTTCTGTCCTGCTCAAGCTTGTCGATTTGCATTTTTTGCAGCTCCCTTCCGTCCAGCTTCTCCATGGCGTCCATGTCAAGCTTGATAATACCCTTGGCATTAATCTCGTTGAGCAGCTTCTTCTTCTCGGCCTTTTGGATGGCCTCAAGCTCCTTTCTGCGCTTCTCCTCCAATCTCTTGGCGGTTTCTTGCTCCACTCTTTCTTGCTCCGCCTTCTTGACAGCAGCAAGCTTCTCATATCTAGCCTTCGCGGCAGCCTCCTCATCACGACGCTTGATCTCAGCAGCCTCCTTTTGTCTGTTCTCCAAAATGGTGGCACGGTCCAAGATCTCTTGTTTCTCCTCTGCGAACTCGGCATTGGCACGAACGCTGATCTTTTGCTTGAGGTCTTCCTCCTCCTGCACCACAAGCGGATCGATCAGTCTCACAGACTCTCTCAAGGTTTTGGCAAGAGTAGAAAGATGAGATCTGATAAGATCGGTTGGAGTGCTTTGAACCTTGTTGGAAACGTTGAGGGGAATCGAGCTGAGCAACGAGTTCTCCAGAGTGTCAGCCTTGAAGGAGATCACTCTAGCCTCGTGGTCGATCTTAACGGAAAGCAAATTCGAAGCAGCAGCTCTCAAAAGATGGGTCTCGATCTCAATTGGAGTGAGCTTGAATTGACCTTCGAAAGTAGACAACTTCACCAAGAAGTCAAGCTTGACGGTCTCGTAAACCTGGGAGATTTGCTCAAACAATTTGTCCAAGATCACACTGGTCAATGGCTTGATGTACATATGGAACTCCTTGTTCTCCTCAAAATACTGGAAGATACCCTTGGCTTCGGAAGCAAACGAGATTGGGTGGAGGTCTTTCTCCATGAGCTTGTACAACTTGGCAAGAACTGGGTCAACAATGCTCAAGACGTTTCTGGAAGCAACTTGCTCCAAAAGGGACTCTCTGGTTGGAACCTTAGAGAGGTTGAGCAAGATAGCCAATCTGTTGTTCTTTCTCTTGATGAAGTCGTCGGTCTTGGACGAAAGATTCACTGGAACAGCTAGAACAGACAAGAGTTGTAAAGATGCATAGTGTTTGAGCTCAGCATCCGTGGCAATTGGAGACTGAACAAACAAAGAGAAGAACTTCTGTCTGGCAGCAGCATGGAAGAGTCTGTTGTCACTGACACTGAAAATTTTAGCCAGGTTGTCGTAGTAGTTGACCATCATGCTTGGTTTTGGTTGTCTTTTGGAGATGGTCATCAAAGTGTGGACGTCCTCAACCGTGCGGAAAGACTCCTGCCAGAGCTCCAATCTAACGGAAACGTTCAACTGGTTGAATCTGGTCTCGAGGTATCTCTGCAAAGTGTCAGGGTCCGAGAGATCGATTGGGTTTTCTATCTGGTGCTTAGTAGCCGATTTTTGTGTCACTGTTTGCAAATGGGTTCTCAACATCTCGCACAAACGTTTGAATTCCGTCTTTCTGTTGTACTTGACACAGAAGCCGAATGCCTGCGAAACAACAGCAGCATAGCCCACCTCGAGCTTGGCGTTGTTTCTCAAAATGTCCAGAACAGTTCTGTATGCCTCCCACAAGAACTTCAACCATGGAACAACAAGCTCTCTGTCGGAACGGTCCTTGGTGTCGTCTGTAGAAACACTGGACATGAGCACGTCTTCTGGAGAAATGACGACTCTTCTGTTTTCGTCGTCTTCTCCATCTTCGTCATCTTCCTCGAACTGGGCAGCTTCTGCCTCCAAAGTGGCAGCAACGTCGTCAGCCTTCAATTGGGCATCGTTCAACTTGGATTCGGCCTTGTCAAGGAACTTTTTCACCACAGTCTCAACAGATTGGAAACCATACTCGTTTCCCTGAACGTTCTTCTTGTACTGGTGCAAACCGTCCTTGACAAGCTTACCACTTCTGAGCTCCACGCCCAAATCAACAAACAAAAGAGCAATTGGCTCAAGATCAGCAGGAACCACAGATCTGGCTCTTTTCGAGCTGACAAAGTCGTAAAGCGTCTGCAAAGCAGCATCTTTCTGGCCCACGGCAATGAGGTCCTCGGCACGTCTCAGCGTGTTTTCGGGACGGATGTTATATGAAGGAGCCATCACACGAATATATTTAATCCCTTTATTTTTTGGAAAATTTTACTCTTTGTCAAAAAAATTACGCTCCAGCTTACCCGGCTCTAGAACTTTACATATCTGGAATTTGCACCAAACGGCTCAAGACATATATACATACATTGCTTTTTCGAATTGAAACTGGTGTCAAAGTTTATCAGCCTGGGAAACGTTGCTGATTTTCAACTTTATCATGAGCAACCTCATATACAGATATCTGCTCAACAAGGTATGTTGCTGCGCACCCTGATTAACACCTCAGACCGGGCTATCGAACTTGGTCCACATTGGACCAACGGAGGACCCTTACAACGAAATCATTCCTCCAAACGAGCTCAAGTTCTGGCAAAGGCAAGGTGCCAAACGGCGCAAGAATATCCCCGAGCAATACTCTGCGAATGACCGGGCAATCTTGAAATCGGTGCGTGATCGTGCTTATTATCAAGATACTTGCTTCAGTATTGCTGGTATTCGATGGGGGTGTGGAGCCATTGTTGGGCTTGTTCCAGTGGCTGGAGACGTGATCAATGTTGCAATCTCTGTGGAATTGATCCGTAAAGCCAACCAAATCGACGGAGCCTTATCTAGTCCCGTGGTTGTGAAAATGATCATCAACGTGATCATTGACTTCTTGATCGGTCTTATCCCTATTGTGGGAGACTTTATCACTATCGCGTACAAGGCCAACACCAGAAACTTCCAGCTATTGGACGAGCTGCTTGTGAAAAGATACAGTGCTGTCTTGAGCAAGCAACCTCTTGATCCAATTGCTACCACCAACTAGGTCAGCTTCAAAGTTCTGAAGAATTGGACGCTCTTTTTCACATCAAACACCTGCGGCTTGTCGTCGTAATACTCGGATTTTGGTAGATACCTCAATAGGTTGTAAATTTCATCTCTAACCACAAACGGTTCGATTTGGGGAATTTCGACATCCTCCAATTTGATCTCTTCGACTTTATCCAAGGCCTCTTCCGATCCCTTGAGCGTGTACTCGTCTAGTAGCTTCACAACATTAAAGTCAGGGAACGATTTCGAAAGGAACTGGAACTCACTGCTTTGCGGGAACGCTTCTCTGTATCTTTTTTCCAGCGAACGAATCGAGTTCGAGTCTCCAAATTCAAGCTCGATAGGATAAAACTGACGATACACCTTCTCTAGCAAAGATGGTTTGTCCTTGAAGTTCTCGATACTTTGTTCCAACAGTTTTTTTGCGTTTCCCAAATCATTCAACGACAAGAGGTAATTCAGATAAACCTCAACAAACGCAAACTCCTGGCCGTAATACTTCATGGCCAGCTCGAAACACCGCATCGCAATTTTCAAGTCGTTGTTCTGGTGCTCCATCATAGCATAATCAACAAAAACATGCCATGTAATGCCAGCAAACTTTCTGGCTCCAGAAAACACAGCTCTTGCTTCCTTCATGCCTTCTGTTCTTCTGCAGGCTTTCATAAGCAACGAGTAGGTAGAAGTGATACAATGTGCCAACGTCGCTTTGACCTTGTTGTCTTGCTCCTCCTCGTACTGCTTTGTGAGATGCGCTATAAGCGTGTTCCAGATATCCTTGATCTTCTCAATCTCGTTGCCTCTTTCGTAATGGCTGGACAACACAAGCACCAAACTGACACTCTGCGGGTTCAAAACAATTCCCTGTTGAAGAAGCTCGACCGCATCCGACGACAGGTCTTTGGAAACAAGATACACGGCGTAATTGTACCAAACCTCTGGCTGGAACCGTAGATACTGCGTCGAGAGTCTATAGACAAAGTTGACTCTCTTATCCAGAAGTTCGGGCGTCAGATTCAGTTTATTACTGCGTTCCCAGTTGATCCAGCGTTTCCAGAACTCCAGTTGGTTTCTGCTATTCTTTCTCTCTTCTGACGGCTTTAGATGCGCGGTCAAGTTGATCAAGTTTTGGTTTAAAGGACGAAGTTTCATGTACTCCTGCGATTTCTCGTTGATGTGGCGTCTAGCGTTCATTTGGTCGGTCTCGTTTTCAAAGTCGAGGTATTTTTTCCAATTCTTGTCCAGCTGACGCAACGGAGTGGATATGAGTTTCCTGTACAGAGATCGAAGTTGACTGGTTTTGGATGTCTGCTCAATACTGGAAACCGGGTTCCACTCGTTCAGAAACTTGAAGTACTCGTCCCATATCGCCTGGCCGTTGATGAAATCGAGCCCCACGTTGTCCGTGGCGAAATCGTACGCTTTCATCACGGTGAGTCTGGCCTGTTCTCCTCCAGTGATGATATCGTTGACTTTACGGACGTATTTTAAATAGACTTTCCATAGTTCAACGTCATAGACCTTGGTAAGACATCTAGCAAACAGCTGTTCGACCTTACCGTCGTCGTTCTTGTCCATTTCATGATCAATATACAGTTTCCACACATGGCCGTCGTTGAAGAATATCTTCAAATAAGCCTCGAAGACCTCTTCAGATGGCGAGTTGGCCACCAATGCAAGCCATCTCGACCGGTCCAGCGACCCAGAAAGCGTCTCCAAAGTGTCGGGATTGTCCAGCTTCCGTTTCTTGGTCTCCATTAAACAAATACAAGAAAGTTAAAAAAATTCCTCCAAAAAAAGATCCATGTCTATTCATCTGTGGGGAGGGACTTTTGACGCCGAGTCGATTGCCATTGCGCAGTTTCTGGCGGCTCATGGCGGCCATATCGATATTCAGCTCAACTACGACTCCAACTACCTGCTTTCTCCTAATGGAAAACTGCCCTTGTTGAAAGACGGAAGCCTTCTTTTACAAGGTTACAAGGAGATAGTCGACCATTTGAGCACAAAATTCCATCTTTTTGAGTACTCCACCGAGACAAATCTTCTGGACCAAGGACTGATCGAGCATCTGTTGAAATCCATGGATATCGTCACCTCTTACAATTACTTTCTCAATAAGGTTAACTACGACAACTACACAAGGGGTGTTTTCAAACAGCTACTCCCGTTCCCGTTCCAGTACAAGCCACCGCTGAATTTGAAGTCCGCTGCGTTGGCTACGTGCGAGACCGCAGGCATTTCGTCGTCAGAAGACTCCGACCAGCTGCTCCAACTGAAAGAACGTCAAAAGAGCCTATTGGAGACTCCGGTACTGTCGAACTTTGACAAGTCAAAACGAGACGCCTCGCTCAAACAGGTGCTCTACGAAATGGACATTCTTACTAATATGCGGTGTATCACCATGTTGGAAGACACTATTAAGCTGGTGACCGACCTGCAGTTACCACAGGATTCGTCGTCCATGATCCTTTTCCAGGCGTACATTTTGAGCAACACAAGTCCAAACTTGAAGGCGGATTTTGTTGCCCAGTATTTGCAACGAAACCACCCTAACTTGGTGCCATCGCAGCCGTTTACCGACCAAATTCCCGACATCGTGTCTTTCACTCAGGCGTGCCGGTCTCTCGCACAGAATTACCTCTAATTCACTGGTCTGGCTTGTGAATCCCCGGGTACACGTTGTAATACACGACAGAGCCATCAGAATCACATATTCCCAAAATCATCTTGTCCACTCCAACTATGCTAAAGATCTCGTCCAGGCGTTGCATTGTGAGCTGCTGGTCCACCAGTACGGGACACACGCATTCGCGCACGTTGTCAGGGTTGCGGCCAAATAGCACCCTTACATCGTCTTTCTCGAACTCCTCGAGCTCGGTCCACAGGTGGTAATGAATAAGGTTCAGCTTCACCTTATCCATATGGAGAGAGAAAAAAAATAAAATAAAATTCAAACACTTGAAAACAGCAGGCTTAGATGAACAGGTTCCAGTCTCTCCCGCGAGCGCTGGGACAACCCAAACATCACCTCGAGCGACGACGCAAACACAGGGACACCCCGCAGCCGAATCAGCGCCGCAAACCCAAGAAGTTGCGCCAGGTGGGCCAGAAAAGCCGCGGCGTGCTCATCTGGCTGTACTCCATCTCGCTGCTGATCTTCATTGTGGTGTTTCTGCTCTTGAACGCTCTTGTTCCGCTCGACCTGATTCTGCGGTCGACGTCGCTGTCAAGTTTGACGTTCATTGCGCTCGTGGTGGTGATTGCCTCTGCGCTGTTTCTGTTTATCTCTGCGGTGATATACATTTTGCGGATTCTGATACTGAAACGCTACCTGCAGGACATTCCCAAGGCGTACGTGCCCATCACTGAGCGGGACATTGGCGCGCGCGAGTCCAAGTACATCTCGCAGGGCATTGCACGAGCGAAAAAAATCAAACAGCTCGCCCGCCCAAACGCTACCGTGGACCACCCGGGACTCCACAGCGCCGACCAGATCAACGACCCAACGCTGCCGGACAACGTCGTGTACGAGGACGTTGTGCGCGCGATCGGCGAGGACGTCCGCTACAGACACACGCTGCACCTCACGCACTCGTTCCAGGTCCAGGTCGAGCCCAACCAGACACTGCGGGACATTGTGTACACCACTTTGCGCCGTGCTACGCTGTCGGAAAAGGAGTCGCATCTCGTGTTCGACTTCCTGGCCCACTACGAGAAACTACGGTTCAGTGGCAAGCCCATCTCACGCACAGACTTCCTGGTGTTCCTGAGCCTGTGGAATCATACCAAAACAGTCCTGAGACGAGAACTGTGATACCGCAATGCACTATATAGACGTATATTTCCCTAATTCGACATTCAGTTTCCATCTGTGCAGAAACCAAACTTCCTGACGGGAGGTTGTTCTCGGAGACGGTTCATATATGGTTTATATGGCAACGGAAGGACGGCTTAGTCGTCGGCCCGTCGTGGCATTGTCTCCTGGTTGTTATTTTTGATTCGAGTCAAATTTTTTCCTTGAATTTTTCATTAAATGCAGAAACCGGGTCTGCCATTATATAATACTGTGTCACTAGGCAAACGGGTTTTCCTGGCCAGCTTCGAGAGCGGTTTCGGCCTGGTTGAACAGCGAGAAGTGCAACGGCCGGTGCAATTCGTGGTAGAACGCAATTGGGTTGTCCAATTTCAGCTCGAATTCCATCTCCTCGGTCCACGCGTTCGCCATGAACGAGTAATTCCACAGGTCTGTGTCGGGCACCAGAAAGAAGCCCTTCAATTTGTCCGTGAGAATCAGCGGTGTGGTCTTTCGGAACGAATCTGAGTAGTCAGGCACAGAAATGTTCGACCCCAGCGCGTCCTGGTGTTGGTTTCCCCAATCCAGACCGTCTTTTGTCAGTGCCACGCTCGAAACAGTCACAGACCCTGGAGTGAAAGACACCTCCACCGCAGTGGCCTTGGCGTCCCACTGGAACTGCGAACTCAGCTTGCAATGGGTAAGTAACTCCATACAGTCGTCTCCCTCGCTCGGTTTTCCCGATGGAATCGTGTGGATCCATCCCAAAGGCTCCAGATCCTCTAAGTAGCTAGAGTTTGGTAGCAGCGATGGGAACTCTACACGGTGACTGTCTCCAACCTGCGGAACAACAACAAGACTCACAATTTCCTTCACCTGATCATTGTCTGCCGGCGACCGGCCAAACATGTACGCTGCAACGTGCGTACGCACATCGCCCATCTTGATGAACTTGGATAGCAGGTTCTTGGGCATCACGTAAGCGTAGCTGTCTGTGTCTGCAAAGTCGCCAGACGACACAAACACCTTGTTGGCGCGCAAGTGTAAGCTGCTGCTCGAGATCGCACGCACCCGCCAGTCAGCACGCGACTCGAACCGGGCCTGCTCGTGGTTCGTTGTGGTGACCGTGGTGATTTTTTCGCCGTGAACGTTGGTAGTTTCTGTCTTCACGGCAGTCAGCTGCGAGTTTGGATCGCCAGAGCCTTCAATATCGGCAACGGTCTGCTGCTTCGTCGAAGGGGCACGAATATCTTGACCAAGAATAATGTCTCTGATCTCCGTGTCGGTGAGAGAGTTGATGTCCACGTTGTATTTGGACGAGTAGTCGCTCAAAATCAAGTCCGCCAACTGGGCTTCCACGTTCTTCCACTGCTCGTCGGTCAGAGTTGGCCACAGATGGTGCGGTTTGGTCTCGATCGAGGAGTCCGGCCGCAGAATCAGCTTTGTGCGGTCCTTGTTGATCTCCAGCGCACGCATCAACACAACCAGTCTGTTGAATGCCGTGAACGAAGAACACGTCTTTGTCCAGTCATCGTAAATATTGAAGAGCACCATCTGCGGCTCCTTGGCCATGTTGACGAGGTCCAGCAGCTTGTCAATCTTCAATGCAGCGCCGAACGGAAGATGTAGCTCTGAAGGACGAATCTGGATGTTTGGGAAGTCGAGCATATGCACCTCCAACGGGTCCTGTATTCCCTTTCTGGTGATGATCAGCTGTTTAGGCTGCTCTTCACGTGGAAGAGACCGCACGAGCGCGGCAACCTCTTCAGCAGACTTCCACTTGGATAACTGTGTACGTCTCTTTTGTCCTTGGAAAGCAGAGCTGTGAATGATCTTGAAGAACAGCTGACCGGTCCTTGGGTTCAGTATGAACAGCGCTCCGTTCAGACATTTAGCAGCGGTATTTCCTTCCACAGTGCTATGAGTAACAACACGGTAAACATTCACATCATCCACAAACAGCTTGTTGTCGTTGTTGAAAAGCTCGGCATAATTGCTGGACGATAAGAACGCTTCCTGTGGTTGAGCCTGGTACAACTGCAATCCTTTGCGGATTCTCTCACGCAGCACGTAAAGAGCGGGGTTCATCTTCATGATGGTCTTCATTGCGTTCTGGATAAGAGGCTTCAGCTCAGGGAACCAGTTACCGTAAGCATCGTACATGTTGTACGACAAATCAACAGCAACAAGCAGCCCAGTCGCACTAGGATACGTTGTCATTGCGTCGCTGGTGTAATCGAGGAATTTTGCTCTAGAGTATCTGGAGATGTCGTGAGAGTCGTAGTCACCGTAACGAAGTTGCACATCAAGCCAGAACTTGTCGGACTTGACCACGTTCATCTGGTCGTTGGTATCGAACAGTAGAGATGGGCGGCTGCAGTTCCATTGGTACGAGCTCGTCAACAGAATATCTGCAGCAGAAGAGTTCATCTTGTACGATTTTCTTGGATGAATGGCCATTTTCTCAACGCTGTCAATCTGCAACTCGTCCAACTGGGAATCCAGAACCTGACAAAGATCAACCACCAGACTCTCGTGGATTTTCTGCCACAAATGTGCTCTAAAGATCTGGATCAACGAGATCTTGAGAGTTGGAATCTTTCCGTGAAGGAAGATACCCGTCAAATCGAGCTGGACCAAGAATCCAACGTAAACGTTGGCTCTGTTGATCGTTGGAGACCACCACAGAGTAAACCGACGGTTAGGAATCTGCGACAGTCCAGAACGCTGGGCATTAGTGAGTTTCTTGAATTTCAAAGTGTCTTCAAATCCTGATGCTTTCTCCCAGAACAATCCTTCCCATGACTCGAACCCCGTTCCTTTGAACAAAGTGTGCTCAAGAATCGTCTCAATTCCGCCCAATGCTTGGATCACATCCGAACGGTAAGCGTTTAGGTTCCACAGTTTTCCGTCATGACGATCAGAAATCCACCAAAACGGATTGTTTCTTGTCACGGAAAATTGCTTGAACTCTTTCCGAACCCGGAAACCCTTGTCAATAGCCAGGGTTTGCCGGTCTTTTTGGAAAAGCGTGCTAATTCTCGGAATACCTCGGTCCCAGTTTTCTTCCAGGTCTTCATAAGTGAGTCTCCGACGCTGTTGTTCGGCTTCGGCTCTCTTCATTGCAAACTCCGACCACACACGCTGCGAGTCCAGGAACTCATTCTCCCATGTCGTGATGTATCTGTAAATAGTTGGAATGAGTCTATTGTCCTCATGCGACAATCCGGACCGGAAATGCGTAATTCCGGTATCCGTCTGCTTCGACCAGCGCAAATCGGAAGCAGGAATTAAAATGTGCGAAGCACTCAACATTCCCAAGCCTCCTAATTCTTTCGGCGTGTAGAACACAGCTGGAGGGAACCTTGAAGGCATCTTGGAATTCAAACCGAGTTTGATCCGCGTCTGAATCCGGGTTTCTCCCTTCACTATGCAGTCCAGAAGAGATTCTGTCGAAATGACAGCTTCTCTGTAATAAGCAAACATTGACAGCAGCGTCGTGTTCCACTTACTTGCAACCTTGGTAAATGTAGCGGAACCGGACGACATGAGAATTTGCCGGACTCTATTGTTGAACTCCTCCACAGCTTCCTGGGAAACTTGGAGGAAAGCTTTGGCAACAATCTCCTTGGTATTTTCGTCAAGCAGGTCCCAGACACCTTCCTTTGAACTGGTATCTTCCGCCATTCTGCTTTTTGGCAAGATCCGGACCTCAAAACCACACATTGTAAATAGAATATTGGCATTATCTTTCGAGTAAACGGAAGCAAGTGTGTCCTCCCAATCAATAGAGACGATGGATTCAGGAACACGGCCTTGGACTTCCCAGAAAACAGCTCTTCCCAGATGAACATCGTGCCGCATGAGTTTCATTCGCGAGTCTCGAGGCCAACAGCGACGATTGTTGTAGCCAACAATGTGCTCAAAGTTCGGATCAGGGTTCTCGGCCAAGAACTCCTGGATCAGCTCGTCAGCCTCGTCTTGTGAGAAACGGAAAAAGATATGTACCTTATCAACATATCTGGAGTAGATTCGAATAGGAGACTTGGTCTGAGTTTGCACATCTGTGTATTCCAAAAATTCATTAGGACGTTGTGGTGGACCAGCTAACTCTGAAGCTCTTTCTAAGCCAAGTAAAAGCAAATCAACCATTAATCCGTAGTATTGGAAAATAAATGACGAGAACTGTAACCCACGGATAAGACCATACTGGTTGACGTGGTTCATGTCCTTGAAAGTGATTCCAACGTTGTTTTTAGCTGTCAAATAGTCTGCAATGCTCGAGTCAACTATCAGTCGCAAAAGTTGATTCAACAAGGTGAAATCCACCTTCTCCGATAACTTGTTGAGATTAGTCTGCAACATCACGTTGCACTGGCCTTGGGAATAGTCCCAAACATCATCAAGATTGGCAATTCCCTGACACCATTTGTAAACAAGTAAAGGAGGTATCTCACCGTCGTTTGGCTTGACCCAGTTTGGAAATAATCCTCTTTTATCGGCCTCGTACCACAGATACTGATCAAGGTAAGCATCAACAATCTTCTCCAATGGCTCGATATCGTAAACAGGCACAATGTGGCTGTAATAATCCATCATCTCTAACGAAACTTCTTTGAAATTCCGCTGCGTCAGAATGGTTTTCTTGATATTAGCCAAAAACTCATGAGGATTATCGTAAGCCTGCTCAATAAGTGCCAGCTCTTCTCTTTCCGAAGAATTCAATCTTCCTTTTCCATTGTACGTTTCCTTGAGATTTTCCAATGCAAGAATGAGAATCTTGGTGTCATGCTTGTAGTTCACTGGAGGAAATGGAATTGGAACAAACTTCCGGCTTTCTAACCAATGGACCATCGTCATATAAACAGACACACCTTCTTTTGGAGACACGTATGGACCTTCTTTCTGGAAAGTCTGCTGTCTCTCCTGTTCGTTCTTGATCCATAATCTGGTAAGACGGCCAAGATTCTTTTTTGCAACAGCTTTATCAACAGCTGCTCCAGCCTTGATTCTCTGTCTGTTATAATGCGCAACAGAAATCCATCCATCTGCCTTTGCCTTGACGTATCTTTCAATGATGTTTTTGATTGGTTCAGGCATACCTGGCACGTTCCATGGAATATTGGCCTTCCAACATCTCCATGCTTCGCTCAAGTGTTGCAAAATAGCCTTGCTCTTATTCTGTTTGATACCTTCAGGTATCATATCGAGAATGTCGTGAAGAACGGCAGCACGAAGCTCCAAGTCGTAATAAGAATCGACTCTTTGTTTGGTGATTGTCTTCGCCACTTCTTTGCTCTGTCTTCCTTCAAATTGACGAGAAAGCAAGTTTCCAAGCCAACGTTCCAGAAGTGGCACAATTCCTCTCATGAAGAAGATCCACACACGCCAGGCCGGTTGCCAGAATCCGCAACCTGGTCCTTTTCCAATAACAGCGTTGAATCTGTAGTAAACAACGTGTTTCAAGTCCTTACAAGCTCTGATCTGGTGCATAACTTTGTACTTGTAACGGTAGATACCCGTCAACTGCCCAAGATGGTTCAAAGCGTAGTAGATACCGTCTGCGAGCTGGAAAGCGTCAACGTTTCCGAGCCGGAATTGAACATGCGCATCAACAATTAACTTCATGACTCGCAGAATCTCTCGTATCAAATGGAAAGCGTTACCAAACCGAGACTTCTTACGTTCTTTGGTTGTTAGCGTTTTAGTTGGCTTCAAATTGAAATTGTAGTCCAAATGCAAATACGTCAGTCCGCGACGATGAATCATCAAATTCAACATGTTGTATCCCTGTTGGCAAACCTGGAGACCCGCTTCCACCCAATCCAGCGTGGTTTGTTGGAAGAACTTCGTATTTTTCAGCTCCTTGATGAGTTTTGTCTTGGCCTGTGTGCTTGGAACAGACCGGTGGAGTTCATTTGCAACGTGCGATTTCAACAGCTTCTGATACGAAACACGCACTTTGACCGGATAATCACGCGAGGTATGTTGTAAGTACCATTCTTTCACGAGTGCAACGTCCTCTGCACGAACAGTTCGTCCGCTTCTTTTATTGAATGGATATGGTGCCCAAAGCAATTCTATCGATTCATAAGTATTCTCAGGCTCAATCTCTTGGTCCTCAAAGAATGGCTCAACGTCTATCTCGAAGGTACCATCAGACGCGAAATCGGTGTCGACAATAACATCTTTTTTGGGGGTGACAGGATTATAATTTGGCTGGAAATGGAATGCAGGAAGCTCCGGGTCCTCTTTGCGAGAAAACACCACGCTGTTGTAGTGATACCATGCCAAATGCACTCCGCGCACTGCTGAATTGTACAAATGTGGGAAGGAAACACGATACTCAGATCTGATTGGATTCCTGAAGATGATTCTGTCCAGACTGTTGAACTCACTGAAATCGTCGTTTTCCGGGTTGATATCTTTCTGTAGAGGCTCAAATTTGGGTCCACCAGGAAGAGCAACGTTCAGAGCCTTGGCAGTGAAGAACGACTCGTTGTCAAATAAATAGTGGTAATTAGGGTCAAAGAGATCGTCCATCAAAGGCGTGGATAAACGGTAAAGCGTGGCCATAACGTCAAGATCGAGCTTCCACCGACGGTAGGACGGTCCATTGACATGTGCTCTATCATCGACAAGCGGTTTCTCGTCGTAAAACCAGTCTGTCACTGGTAAGTCTTCAACATCTTCTAGTTCCATTTGGATACCATCAAGTGGCTCAATGTCTTCAATATTTTCACTGAAATTCATCGGAGGCTCCTCATCATCAAATACAGGAAATCTGATACGTTTGAAGTGTCTTCTGGCCTTTTTTTCTCGTCTCATTTGTAACCACATAGTCGCCCATTGTGCAATATAAACAGGTTCGATAACTCGTGGAATTTCGTCCACGAATGTGATTGCACCGCTCATATGGTAAACTGCCCGCACCTCTTTCACGGCTTCCCATGGTTGAGGCATGTTTTCCAAAAGTTTCAATATCGCATGGGGCATGTACTTGAGCGAACCGAGAATCGATCTTTTTTCTTGTGAGAACTTCTTGGACGAAAGGTCACCCTGTTCGTGAAGGATTTTTCGAAGATGTTCTTTGGGCATCTCAATCTTTTTGGTTTGAACCACTCCATGCGATCTGAGCTTACTCTCTCTGTAACGACGTTTTTGTAACTGGAGCCAGCTTTGTGATCTCGATTGCAATTCGGGCTCCTTTGACACTGGTTTTCGTGTTCCAGGCATTCCTGGCGGTGGTGGAGGGCGTGAACCATTGGTTTTCAGGCCCGGTGGCGGAGGAGGAACACTAGTTCCATTCCTTGGCTTCTTGTTAGGAGGCGGTAATGGGCCGGTAGTGGGCCGTCCAGGAGGAGGCCGGACATTAGTTGGTGGCCTTGGAGGCGCACCTGGTGCCGGGGGCTTCCCCTCTCCTCTATTGGCGGGCTTTGGCGGCGGTCTTGGGGGCATACAAGGACAATTAGTACTTGGAAAAATATTTACCTAAAAATTGAATGAATTAAAAATATGCACAGCCAAGAAAAAAGCAGATGGCGGGAGGAAACATATTAGATCAAGATCCTCTGTTCAAGTTGACACGGGCCTCCCTCGCAATAGCCCGGGCCTCTTCGATTTCGTTGGACGTTCCGTGGGTCATCTGTGAAGAGTAGTCGTAAGCGGCCTGCCAGTTCTGTCTCTCGAGCTCGTATTTGGCCAGCCAAAGCCGGGCTTTTGAGGTTTCCGCAGTTATTCCATCGTTAGGTTCTTCATCTAGACACATCTTCATGTAAACTGCGGCATTTTTGGTATCTTTGATGGACTGGTGCAAATTAGCCAACTTGTAAAAGATCGCATGATCTATGTCGCTCGAAACGGAAAGCGCCTTCTTATAAGCCTTGATTGAATCTTCGTACTCGCCTAATTTCTCGCTGCAATTTCCGACTGCCTGCCACATCCGCTTATCGAGAGGCTTTAATGCACATGCCCGCTGGTAATAATATAGGCTGTACAAATGCATGTCCAGGACCTCATATGCTTGGCCAAGACCGTACCATGCGCGGAAATCTTTGTTGTTTGTATCGACTGCGCGTCTGTAGCTCTCGATGGCGGCGTGAGAATTTTTCAGCTCCACAAACTCGTGGCCCATCAAGGTCCACGCGCTCAGGCAATTTCTATTTAGGGCCAATGCCCTCTTATAATACATGATTGCCTTCTGGTGGTCAAATTTGAGCGAATAGTAGTTGGCAAGAATGCAGCATGTTTCCGGTCGGAAATTGTCGATCTGTGCAGCAAATTGGGCAAGGAACGCCAATTTGGACTTATTTTCCATCACATACAGGATGTTGGAATATGTATCCATATCGTCCAGCCTCAGTGGGTCACTTGCTAGTACGTCATCAAAAATGTCTTCTGCAGAAACATAGTCCAGAGCGTTGTAGGAGATAAGAGCCTTTTGGATCTTGAGGTAGCTAAATTTAGGGAAGATCTCCAAAAGGTATGTCAAATCGTCGTAAAGCTCGTTGAACTGCTGGAAGAACTCCTGTGAAATTGTGACTTTAAAAAATAGCAGCATCACATGGAATAGCTTGTTGTCGATGAATCTCGCGTTTTTGGTGAATCTGTTCAGAATGGCTAAGGCCTCGCTAAAACTGGCAAGATTGGCAATCAGTTCGGACCAGCACGACCAGTTGAACGGGTAAATCGTGAGCGATTGATAAAAGCATTCCTGCGCCAGAGTGTTGTCTTTCAGTTTTGCAGCTACCAAGCCATTCAAGTACAATAAGAACGGATCGTCTAGGCGTCCTTTGCCCGAAGTCTTTGTGTACTGTTCCAGTTCTTTAGATATCTGTGTCAGTTTTGTGTTCTGAATCTTGCCGTCCTGCTGGCCCAGCACTCCGCCTGTTTCGTCGCACTTTGTCTTTTCACCGCTCAGATACATGGCGTACAGTTTCAGAAAAACGCATTTTGAGCTGGAACAGTCTTTCAGGACGTGTGCACATCGATCAAACTCCTTGAAATTGAAGTACGATGTGGCCATAAGCAGCCTCTCGTTTTCTGTAAACTCCAGAAAGTCGTTTTGTCCCTTGGCTGGCAGAAACGATGGCGGGGATCGCTGAAGAGACTGCTGGTAAACCGCGAATTTCTGGTCATTTGTCAGCGGGACAAGGCCATTGAGCGCTTCGCTGGACCACTTGGCGCCGTGGTGCAAGCTCAAGAGCTGCAAGGTCTTTGCGCTTTCCGTCAGGGCGAATCGAAGCTGCAGCTGTTGATCGAAATCCATGGGAAAAAAGTGAGTAAACAATGGTGTAAGGATGATCTAGTTTAACAAAATTGCAATTGCCCAAGAAAAAAAAAACCTGGGACTTGGTTTCAGGGTGATGTTCGGCAATATTTTAAAATGTTGCCGACAGATCCGAATTTTAAGCCGAAATAACGTGGCAGGACAATAAATGCAGTTTGCTCAATATGGGAAGTTGTAGTTTACGGACATTCGCAAAGTTAATTAAAATGGCAATCAAGAAATGGGCCCATTATTGCAAATAGGGGCAAAACGTGCCACTTGAAAAGTGCGGGAGCAAAGCGCATGTGCGTTCAAGTGGGATATTTTGGTGCCTTAGCACCGGGTCTGAAGAGAATGAGAAAAGCAGGTCGAGTTGTCGGGAAAACCCCGCTACTCTCCAGACGCAGAATGCACCCCCTATGTATGAAACAATAGACCAACAAAACAAATGCGGTTCTACTTTGAGGATCAGAGGCGATGAACAAGGGAAGCAGGACTGCAAGCTGCATCACTGCAAGTATCGCGTGGCTTCTGGCCTGATAGGCTGGTGTCACAGCCTTAGTTTGGTTTCCCATGACTGTGATACGAGAAGGTATAAAAGCGGCCTAATTCCCACCTGTATTTATGTGCCACATGTCCAAGTTTGAGTGGTTAGACGATCTTCAGTACGAGCTGGAGGAGCAACGTCAGTCGTTCAGCAGTAGCGATGGATACGACATTGACCTGTTTGATATCCCAAACGTGGTGGGCCACACTCCTTCCTCAATCACAACCTCGCCTGAGGAGGAGAAGCCAGACTTCAAGCCGTCTGTCAAACGCACGAAAAAACGGCGTGCAGATACTAGCAAAACTAAAAAGCCAATGACGGTTAGGCAACGCAAAGCCCACAACAAGATTGAACGCAAATACAGGATCAACATCAATTCCAAGATCGCGAATCTCCAGAAACTGGTTCCCTGGATGAGCAACGAGAACGTGGCGTTTGAAATCGACGCTGCCCATCTTGAAGATATCCCTAAGGAGAGTCTCGGGGGCCGAAAACTCAACAAGTCTATGATACTGGATATTGTGACCAAATACATTGAGCATCTTCGGAATGACAATGAAGCACTCGCCAAGAAAGTCGCGGAATTGGAATACGCTATGCGCACGCAGTCGCAGGACTCCAAACTGTGATTAAATGGCTAGATTGTTTCCACGAGACAGATTATATAATGGACACCTCGCACCTCCAATGTTGTGGAGCGCAAACTTAATATAGTACAGTAATGGTTTTCCGATAACTACATCCTAGCACCGGTGTAAATTGTTTATTTATATGACTCTGAATAAATCCAAGTTTACGAGTCTTACGTTCGTAAAGAAGCCGCGGGCACTTCATTCGCAGGTGCCTCGTGAGGACACGCTGTTGGGCTCCGCCACAAGCAGCTCCAGTCTTTCGCAGCCTCCTCGTAAGAGATCCAAACGCGACGTTTATATTGCCACAGAAAAAACAGCCCCTTCCAAGCAGTCAGAGCCCGCCTCTGACGACGACCTGCTTAAAAAGTTCGACATTTCGCAAATTAAACAAGACACCGACAAGCTTCTTAATCAACTGGATAGTATCAAGAAACCAGAGAAGGACCAGTCGAAATACATTGATAAATTGTTCTCCCAAGCGGACACCGTCGACAAGGATGAGAAGGTCGTTGCTCTGGCAGAGACCCAGGGAGTCATGAACCATTTGTACGACGATAAGGAGGCAACAGAGCGCACAGAGCGCAAATATAAAGAGTTTTCTCCTAAAGTGTACTCAAAGCACGAAATCGAGCTCCAAACCGATAAATATATACAGATTGCCAGAGATATACTGAGGGGGAAAACAGCATCGTATTTCTACGAGATTGCTCGCGAGTATGCAGACTCGTCTCCCCGTTTGAAGGTCACCGACTCCGAAGTCATTAATCTCCCCAAACAGCGCTACCACGGGTACATTGGGGCCGCCCGTGCCAACACAATCACAGAACACTTGCTGGACAAGTTGAAAGAGCTTTTGAGCGACAGGAAAGCTAACAAGGTGCTCCATTTCTGGGGAGATCGCTATTTTACACGGTTTGTGCTCACACCAGAAATAATTGCCCGAATCATCGAACAGGACGACCAGATCGACTTGGACCTGGCATATGATAAAATGGAATCAACCGCAGACTACGGCCTGTACGTCATGGACCAGAAAGACCAATAACCACTGTGCCATCTGCTTATCTGCTTATCTACGATGTTACGTAAGCTTTGTCGGCTGGTGCGAGGGTCTGAAAATTTTTATTGTCGTCAACGGCATCAGGCTTATTAGACCTGTGAAGGAGTTTAGTGAGATGTCTGTGGTGTTCCCAAGAACGTGTTACAAGTGTGGTCAGGTCGGTCATTTTGCTGACGCCTGTGAAGAAACCGAGCGGTTGTGCTACAACTGCAAGCAACCAGGTCATGAGTCCGGAGATTGTCCGGAGCCTAAGCAGACCACCCAGAAGCAGTGCTATAACTGCAAGCAGACCGGACACGTTCAGAGCGAGTGTTCAGAACCTATCAGACCGGTCTCCAAGTGCTACAACTGTGGCAAGATCGGTCACTTGGCTAAAACCTGTAATTCTGTCAGGGGCGGCCCAAAGGTCACGTGCCACAAGTGCGGAGGACTCAACCATTTTGCCAGAGACTGTCAGTCTGGCGTTGTCAAGTGTTACGCTTGCGGAAAGACCGGTCACATTTCCAAGGACTGTTCTTCTGCCAGCGGTGGATCCAACTTTAACGCAAAGACTTGCTACAAGTGCGGAGAAGCTGGCCACATCTCCAAGTTCTGTGACTTGGATTCCGAGTAAATACTAATTGTTAAGTGATTATATTGGTATCGTGATTCACAATCGTCTGTAGATACGATCGGCCATCGCCGTTATATCTTTCATTTCTTTGTAATCGTGCACCCGCACCATATCGCTGCCGCTTGCTATGCAGGCGGTCACCGCAGCGGCGGTACCAAACAGCCGGTCACCGGCTGCCTTCCCTGTTGCTTCGCCGATGAATCTCTTGCGGGACGGTCCCATGAGCACCGGGATATTGTCAAACGAGGTGTAGCTCTGCGATAGCTGTTTGTAGTTTTTCAGCTTGTCCAGATCTCTTATCAGTTCGATGTTTTGGGAGCTATTTTTCGCAAACCCTAGTCCTGGATCAAGAAGTACTTGCCAGCGGCGAACTCCAGCTTTTTCCAGCTTGTCCAGCGCAGTGGCCAGCTCTTTGCAAACACGACTCATAAACGGAGTCAGCTGGCTGTACTGTTTGATACCGTCTTCAAAATCCTGATAGTCTGTCAGTCGGGCCATTGTCGAGACATCGCCGCGAGTGTGGCCCAAAATGTATGCCATTCCTGTTTCTGCGGCAACATCAAAGATCCGTTCGTCGAAAAGTCCTCCACTCACGTCGTTGATAATATGCGCTCCGCGCCGCGCGCTCTCCAGGGCAACACCCGAACGGTACGTGTCGATGCTGAGAACAACGTCAGGAAACTGTTTTCTGATCTGATCTAGCACAGGCAGCACCCTGCTGAGCTCTTCTTTCTCCGAAACTTGGACCGCTCCCGGACGGGTTGAACAGCCGCCAAGATCAATCACGTCGACTCCCGAGCTCACCATATCCTCCACCTTGGAAAGGGCGTGGTCAACGGCGAGATTGGCAACAGACCCATCGCTGAAGGAATCCGGAGTCACGTTCAAAATCCCCATCAGAAACGTCTTGCTACCAAATGGAAGCATCTTTGCACCAGGCAGGTTAACAAACGGTTGCAGCTCGTTTGCAGGGGTGGTGGCCTTGAGTTGACGCCAATGATTGTGGATCGGCTCTGCCGTCACTGGGTGCAGCATATCTGGAGGCACGAGCTCGCAGAGCGGTGCCAGCACAAACGGTCTTTCCAGCATGCTAATATGAGGTATGTTCAAGTTTGGAGCGTTGAAGATTGTCCCGTCGTAAAGAAGGATGTCCAGGTCGATGGACCGCGGTCCATTATCAAAATGCTTAACTCTTTTGAGAGCCTCGTACTCAATTTCCTTGATTTTGTCTAGTAATTCCTGTGGTTGCAAAAAAGTCTCAACTTTGATACATCCATTGACAAAGTCCGGCTGGTCCAGGAAGTACATTGGCTTCGACCGGAACAGTGTAGATGTGGCCACGACGTTAATTTCGCGGGCCTCGAGCTCCTTCAAAGCCCGTTCGATGTTGGATACTTGGGCGCCCTGGTTTGAGCCAACTGCCAAGTAGACCGTGTGCTTTCCCTCAACAATGGCTGTGTCCTGGCCCAAGTTCGGGACAAACTCTGACGAAATACCCTCAAAATCCACAATGGCCATATCTGCAAGCTCCTGTCGTGATCTCTTAACAGAAACACCGACACCGTCTGTCTCCTCGATCGCTTCTGGCTTGAGCACAGAAACCTCGCAAACATCCACGGCATCGGCCACCTGGAACACGAGCTTTGACACGTTCAGCACCAGCGCCTCCACGGTCTTGAACTGCGAGTCCGAAACGTACTGTTTCACGGCAGAAATGACGTTATCAATGGAAACGTCGCCAGTCACCGTCAAAACCAGCTCCAGCACCACCGGCTGTTTGGCCAGCCGTTCCTCCTTGAACACCCCGATAAGTGTGTCAACGGCGATATTTGTCACCTTAATTGCACTTGTGGCCTCTGATTCAAGATCGCGCTGCATCTCGACCCGAACCTGGCAGTTTTGTTTCTCCATATCAAAAGTAAGAGTAGCATGCTTGCAATTTGTGCTTTCGAACAAGACGTCCTTGAAAAGCCCGTCTCCGAGCTGCAATACCGAACGGAAACTCCGATTTATGTTCCTGCGCTCAAATCCACGAATGTCGCGGCTCAGAACCGCATAGTTGATTGAGTATTTGAGATCATCGTCAGTGCTGGCCTGGCCGAAATCGGTGATCAGGTCCGTCGACACCCGCAGCAAAGTCTCCGTGTCGTTTATCAACCCCTTGTACCGCAGGTTCTTGATCGAAACGGTATCGTTTGTGTGAATCCGCCTCACAAACGCTGGCCGTAGCGCTCTGATCACGCTGCCAAACATTTTCAACTTTTTTTTTTTCTATCCGTAGCTATTTATCATGTCATTGCGGTTTCTGTCGACTGTACGCGCAAAAGCACCGCAATTGGCCGACATCGTCATTATCGGCGGTGGTCCTGCAGGACTGACGCTGGCGGCAGCAATCAAAAACTCGCCAACACTATCGTCTCTCAATTGCAAGCTTGTTGAAGGAGGGAACCTGATTGGTCCCTTGACCAAGTTCAAGCAGGAGCCGCCGTCCAACTTCACCAACCGGGTGGTTTCTCTCACTCCATCCACGGTCTCTTATTTGTCTGAGATCGGGGCCTGGAACCATATTCAGGAGGAAAGAGTCGAGAGCTACGACAACATTGTGGCCTGGGACGGGGTCAGCGGAGCCAAGATCGACTTTGACGGGCCGTCACTGGCTACCATGTGCGAGAACCTGAATCTGCAATCAGCTTTGCTGAGCAGGATCGAGGAACTGGGCCAGGACCTGGAAATCTTGGATAACACCAAGGTGGAGAGCATTCAAGCGGACGAGAAAATCGGATGGCCTGTTTTGCAGCTGTCGAACGGCGAGTCGATCCAAACACGGTTGTTGGTGGGCTGCGACGGGTTCAATTCGCCGGCACGCAAGTTTGCACAGATCGAGAGCCGTGGATGGATGTACAACCGTTGGGGTATTGTTGCAACCATGAAATTCAAGGACGGCGAATTTAGACACCCAACGGGCTGGCAACGGTTCCTGCCCACCGGTCCTGTGGCCCTGTTGCCGCTACCAGACAACTGGACCACGCTCGTGTGGTCAACGACGCCGGAAAATTCCGACATCTTGATGAAACTGGACGAAGACAAGTTCCTGGCTATGGTGAACGCTGCGGTGAAGCTCCCTGTCGAGGAGCTGGAGTATTTGATCAAGGTTGCGGCCTCGAAGCCAGAAATTGTGGCGGAGGAAGTCGCTTGGAGACTCCAGCTTTTCAACGATAAGCTCAGTCCGGAGGAGGCTGGTGGATATCCGCTGGAACTGGAAACTATTGTCACCAAGTCGCGGGGAAAGTTTCCTTTGAAGTTGAGCCACGCAGACACGTACGTGGAAGAGCGTGTGGCTCTTGTTGGAGATGCCGCGCATACGACGCATCCGCTGGCCGGCCAGGGTCTGAACATGGGCCAGGCCGATGTGAAGAGTCTGGTTGGTGTTTTGGAAACGTCTCTGGAGCGTGGACTGGATATCGGCACCAAGATGGCCCTGGAGCCCTACTTCAGCGAGAGATACCCGGCCAACCATGTGCTGCTGGGCGTCGTGGATAAGCTACACAAGATCTACTCAACTGACGCGGCACCTTTGGTGTTTGCGCGGTCGTTTGGCGTCAATGTGCTGAACAACGTGCCGTTTGTGAAAGATTTTATGGTTGCAAGAATGGGCGAGTAAATTAAGTAATGCATTAGAACGGTCTTTGCCGTTTGCGTTTCGTGCTCTGGGAGAAGTCGACATGGACACGGCGGTCGTCAATGCGGGCTCCTTCCATTTTCCTGTACGCGAGCTCGACGGCTTTTTTGTCGGTGAACTCGATGAATCCGTAGCACAGGGAGTGGCCGGTGACTTTATCCTTGATTATCTCGACAGAGCTGATGGTGCCGAACCGCTGGAAGATCAAACGCAGGTCTTCTTCCTTGGTTATGGGGTTCAATTTGGTGATGAAGAGCACTTTGTCGCTGGGCTGGATCTTTGCTGACGGCAGGTCGCCGAGCACCTCCAGCGTCAATGCGTTGGACTCGGCCTTGATGTCCTGCAACGCATCCTCGTCCAGCAGCAGCCGGAACGAGTCGATCTGCGTCTGCGTCGGGAGCGGGCTCGCTGGTGAAGACACTGGCAGATCAAAAGGATCGTGGAGAATGTATGTATGCAAAATACGCACGTCTTTCAACGGTCGAAGGTGTATGTCCAAGATGCATTCGTTGATGTACTCCAGCGTGGTGAAACCTTCTGCCACCGAACCAAACACCGGGCTCTGCAACCGGGATGCGGGGCCCAGCAAAACCTTGAACTCGGGACCCGGTGTCTGGTCACGCACAGCAAACATAATCTGGCCTATCTGGCCCACAGTGCCCGATAAGCTTTGTACTGGGGTAAATGGTGGGGTGTACTCCGCGTAGGTGTCAAGGTGCGCAACGTCAACAGGCTCTGGGAAATGCGGATTGCCACAATCAACGGACTGATTTTTCACCACGTTGACAAACGGCGAGTAGTGGTAGTACTTTCTCTTGCACAGAGCCAGAAACAGTCGGCACTCCTTGGGCCGGCTGTCGGTGTCGAGATCAATCACCAAATTACCGGCGGTAGTTTCCAAAAGCACACTCATTGCAGTCTGGACGATCGACCCCGTGTGTTGCTGATAAAGCTTTTTTATCTATGCTCTCTTATTTATTCCTTTTTAGGTAAGAAATAGCCTTTGGCTAGCCAGAGCTAAGAATTATATAAATTGAAAATTTATCCGCTCTTCATCTGAAAAAATGTCTACTGCTGGAAAAACCATCACTTGTAAAGCTGCTGTTGCCTGGGGAGCCGGTAAGGATCTCTCTATCGAGACCATTGAGGTTGCTCCGCCTAAGGCCCACGAGGTGAGAGTCAAAATCGTGTACACTGGTGTTTGCCACACCGATGCCTACACTCTTTCTGGATCCGATCCTGAAGGTGAGTTCCCTGTTGTTTTTGGCCACGAGGGTGCCGGAATTGTCGAGTCCGTTGGTGAAGGTGTCTCCAGCGTCAAGGTTGGCGACCATGTCATCTGTCTTTACACCCCAGAGTGTAAAGAGTGCAAGTTCTGCAAGTCTGGAAAAACCAATTTGTGTGGAAAGATCAGAGCAACCCAGGGTAAGGGTGTGATGCCAGACGGTACTTCGAGATTCACTTGCAAGGGCCAACCATTGCTCCACTACATGGGCTGCTCCACGTTCTCTCAGTACACTGTGGTGGCAGACATCTCGGTGGTTGCTGTTGACCCATCTGCTCCAATGGACAGAACCTGTCTTTTGGGCTGTGGTATCACCACCGGATACGGTGCTGCTATCAACACCGCCAAGATATCGCCAGGCGACAACGTCGGTGTGTTCGGTGCTGGATGCATTGGTCTGTCGGTGATCCAGGGTGCTGTGCAAAAGAAGGCTGGAAAGATCATTGTCATTGACATTAACGAGGATAAGAAAGACTGGGCCTTCCAGTTCGGAGCAACCGACTTTGTCAACCCAGCCAAGCTGCCAGAAGGCCAGTCAATTGTTGACAAATTGGTCGAGATGACCGACGGCGGTTTCGACTACACCTTCGACTGTACCGGAAATGTCCAGGTGATGAGAAACGCTTTGGAATCTTGCCACAAGGGATGGGGAGAGTCCATCATCATCGGTGTTGCTGCTGCCGGCAAGGAAATCTCTACCAGACCATTCCAATTGGTCACCGGTAGAGTCTGGAGAGGCTGCGCCTTTGGTGGTATCAAGGGTAGAACCCAGATGCCAGCGCTTGTGAAAGACTATGTTGACGGAAAGATTAAGGTGGACGAGTTCATCACACACAGACACTCGTTGACTGACATCAACAAGGCTTTCCACGACATGCACAGCGGATCGTGTATCCGTGCTGTCATCACTATGGATGAGTGATTTATAGAGGAATGAGGAGATGACTTATAAGCGAATAGTAGCAATGGTAGCTGGCAAGCCAACTGGTAGCAGCTTGTGTGTGGTGTTCTGCTCGCATGTATTGTTTGCGGGCACAAAAGTCAGTAAATTCTGCCGTTCTAGTATAGTGGTTAGTACTCTTGTTTGTGGCACAAGCGACCCAGGTTCGATTCCTGGGGACGGCAATTTTTTTTCGAATCTGGTCACTATCGTTTTTTTCCGGCTTTTTGCCAAAAATCAACTGCCTTCTTGCTACTCTTGATTATTGATTATATTTCATGTGTTTATTATAGTATTCATTAATCAATATATCCAATTCTTAAAATCAATTCTTGCGCTTGAAGTTAAGTTTAGGCAAACTCCACTTTCTCACTCTCAACAAGTAGTAGAGAACAAGCATACCAACAGTGTTGGTGATGATATAAACGCAGAAGAAACCAATATTTCTCCATCTGTGGCTGTAACTCATTCCAACTGTCTTCAGCCACTCGTCTCCGACTCTGTACAAGCAGACACCACAGTTGGATGTAGCGTCAGGGTTCTGCACGTATCCAGAGTAGTTTTCAAAGTACTCGGCAAGGTAGCTACCACAGGTCTCTCCTTGTGGAGGGTTCAAGTAGTTGAGCTCCTGAGCAGAACAGTGGACTTCTCTATCGTGCAGCAAAATACCAACCAAGTTCTCCACGATATAGGTGAATGGAGAGAGTCTCCACATAAAGTGCCAGAAACCAGGCATCAGGCTTGGGCTTTGCACCACACCACAGAACGAGATCACAAAGTTGAACACCAAACCAATCAAAACATTGGCAGATGGAAGGTCCGGTGAGGCGTACACAACACCAAGACCAAGGGTAACATAGTAAATTTGGAAGAAAATCGACTGGGTGAACCACCACAATCCGGCACGCGATGGCTCGTTGTCGAGCTGAATAGGGAAGTACCAGCAGATGAAGTAAACGGTACCAAATGCGATCGAGTATGGAATCTCAACAAGCACTTGGGAAAGCAGCAAACAGGACCAGTGGAAAGTGTTGGACTTGGACTCTCTGATCTCGAAGAGCTCTCTCGATTTGATAGCTCTTTCTTGGATCTGGTTTGTCAATGGTGCACTAACCACAAGGGCCATGAAACAGGCAAACATGACGTTTTGCATACCAACGTTGGTGTGCTTGACGTTCCAGAAAGAGAAACCAACCAGCAAACCAGCCAGCAACATGAGCATGAACTTGGCCATCACGTAGTCCAGGTCCCTATAGAATTGGAACCAGGTTCTTCTCAAAACGTTTCTGAACTGCACAGCGTATGGGACGGCGTAACGAGATTGTAAGTGAGACTGATCAGAAGACTCCAACTTGCTTGTGTCGTCAATCAACTTGGCAACTTCAGCAGTGGTCTTGGCGTAGAGAGGACTGTTCTTCCAGATCTCGAACCAATCCTCTTGGACAGTAGCAGTAGCACCAGCACCAATGACCTCCAAAATGTACTCAGCAGGGTTCTCGCTGTCGTCACACTTTCTTCCTCCATTAGACTCAAAGTAGTCAAGCATGATACGAGAACTTGGTCCAATGTCTCCGAAATAAACGGTCTGACCACCTCTCTTCAGCAAAAGCAGTCGGTCAAATTGTTCAAACAAAGTGGCAGAAGGCTGATGAATGGTACATAGAATAGCCTGACCTGCAGCAGCAAGGGATCTGAGCACCTGGACGATAGCCCAAGAAGATTGAGAGTCCAAACCAGAGGTTGGCTCGTCAAGGAACAACAAAAGAGATGGCTTGGCAACAAGTTCAGTGGCAATTGACAATTTCTTACGTTGTTCAACGTTCAAACCGTAACCAACCTCACCGGCAATGGAGTCTGCATACTCATCCATGTTCAAGATGGAAAGAATTTTATCAACGTAGGCAATCTTCTCCTCATCTGGAACACTGTGTGGTCTTCTGAGTCTGGCAGCAAAAATCAAGGATTCACGAACAGTCAACTCTGCAATGTGCAAGTCTTGTTGCTGAACGTAACCGGTTCTTCTTTCGAAAGAGCTATCAATTGGCTTTCCGTTAATGAGCATATCTCCAGAAACCACACCAACGTCAGTTCTTCTGGACAAAACGTTCAGCAAAGTGGTCTTACCGGCACCAGACTCACCCATCAAAGCAGTCAATGTACCTGGCAAAACGTAACCTTGCACATCGTCCAACAATTTTCTAGCCTCTCCTTCATATGGAACAACGTAATCAACGTGTTGCCACATGAAAATATCACTCGACCCAAGTTTTTCAACAGTGGAATCTGCAGTGGAGTGCTGAGCATCAGCAACTTCACTCTTTTCGTCAGACCGGGACTCGCCGCTGCTTTCCTCATCGTTTTTGGCAGGGGCCTGACCAGTAGCTTCCAAGAGAGAATCAGGAAGCTTAGCACCCTTGATGAATAGCAATTGATCAGAGCTTGCAACCAATGGGTTGTAAAGCTCGACAATCGCAATATTAATGAACAAGAAACCCAAAACGAAACCAATCAGAATACCAAAGTTTCTCCAGCAGTGCGAGAAAGTGTACTGGAAGGCAAGATCCAAGTATATTTCACCAGAGACATCGTTGGTCATACCATAGATTTCTCTGGAAGCACTTGCACCAGTGAAGCCACAAATCTGGTTTTCTGGAGTAATGTTCTCGTAACCGGTACCTCTTGGAATAAGCTGGGATGGTGTACATGGCATCTTACGGCCTCTGAACTCCAAAGTAATCAGAGCCTCGAAACCATAAAGGATAGGATTCATGTACGAGAACCATTTGAACCACCAGTACATCGAAGGACGCTGGATCATATACGAACTGTAAAGAATTGTCGACATCATAATGATACCCACAAATCCATTGGCAGCCGACAATGTTGGAGACAGCGATGCAACCAAGATGAACAAACAGTTCACGGCCAAAACGGCAACGTTAACGAACAAAATGAAAGCGAAGAACGGACCTGCTTCTCTTTTCATATCTGACAAGAAGTACAAGATGATGGAGAACACAAGAATTGCGACAGCCCGAACTGGTGTTTGGGTCAAATAACTTGCGACCAGATCTGCAGATGGATGGAAGAACGAGTAACCTCGTTGTTTGTTGGTAATTGGCTTGTTTTCGAAGAAAGCGGCGATTTCAGCCAAACTCATGATACAGAAGTAGAGGAAGGCGAAGAAAATCACACCTCCTCTTGAGAAAGAACCGACAGTGGACTGTGGAATGTTGTAGTACAACGAACCGACAATCAAAGCTTGAACAACAGCAGCAACTAACAGCGTGGCTGTGTATGCCGTGTTGTTTGCAATATTTTGGAAACCTCTGACTGTACAAAGTTTGAGTTGCTCGATGTAGTTCACCACATATCTGGAAGATGGTCTGGTGAGAGATTGTTTCTCACGCAATTGGACAGCCCGGAAGTTATCGAAAGTGGCAGAAGGATTGTAAGAGGCCTTCTTTTCGGCGATCTTGGCCTTCAAAGCCTTGAACTCAGGGGAGGAAAGCCACCGGGCCTCAAATTCCTCTGCGGTCTTTGGAGCAGAATTTTCAAAGCCAGGAGCCACAACTCTTGCGAGCGGATCGGTCACAGAGGTCAAGAACTCTGCACTAGTTTCTCTAGCACCTTTCTGGAATCCCAACTTTTGGAAGTATGCAACACCCTCTGTTGCAGGGCCAAAATAGATCTGTCTACCATAGTAGAGCACAGTAACATTGTCGAACAGTTGGTAGATATTCTCAGAGGCTTGGTAGATGGTAACAATGGAGGTGGACTTGGTGATGTTGGTCATAGTACGCAAAGATTCAACAAATTCCAATGCTGTCGAAGCGTCCAAACCTCTGGTAGCATTATCGAAACAGTAAACAGAAGCACGAGTAGACATTGCCTCAGCAATGGAAACACGCTTTCTCTGACCACCAGAAATACCTCTCACAAAATCGTTACCGACAAGAGTTTTCTCAACGTGTTTCAGACCATACAAGGTCAGGTAAAGATCTTTGATGGTTCTGATATATTCGGATCTCGAAAGATTGTCGATTCTGACTTTTGGAGTTTTACAGCCGATGGCGAAGTTCATGGTTTGCTCGACTGTCAAGTAGGGATAATGCACATCCAGTTCCGGGTTGTAGATAACTTGATTTTTGAACGATTTCATCATTTCCTTTTGAGGAATACCATTGTAGTTAATTTCTCCATCCAGTCCGATGTATGTTTGGGTCTCACCGGATAGAGACTTCAAGAACGAAGAACAACCACTTCCTGGTCTACCGAGGGCAAGGGTCATGGTTCCTGCCTCGCAGTATCCGTTCATGTTACGAAGAATCTTTCTTGTTTTTTCCATGTTTCCAAAGTCCACTTTAGGCTTGTGAGAAAGCCTGTCGGCAATTTTCAAGACAGGTCCCAGGAACACATCTCCTGCAGTCGTGATAATCGTTGCAGCAGTGTTCTTACCCGTGAGCTCGAGATCCTCGAAAATGAGGTCGGTTGTACGACCACCAATTCCTTGTTCGTTGGATCTGCTCTCCATATACTCCAAAATTCTCTTGAGGTCGAAGTCATTTGGGTCAATAACCAACTTGTCCATTTGGTCATGTGTCAAACGTGACAGTGTGCGAGAAAGAGTGGAAAGACGAGTGAGCACATTACCCTGTGGGCCTTGCTGCTCGCTTGATTGAGTTATAGTACGATGTAGTTCCGCAATCCCGTCCCCTTCGTTCTCAGGACGATAGTATTCGACAGGCTCTGCTGCACTGCCGTAAGATTCAGAGGTTGCCATTGCGTGTGACATAATTCACACCCCCAGGAGATTGGATTGCCTTTATAGCTTTGTTTTGGGAAAAAAGGCGTGCAGTGACAAGAAACCGTGCTTATTAACTTTTATCTGCGTTCGGGGAAATTTTATTTAGCTATTCGGGTTTCAAACAATATAACAATTGTGGATCATCGGCGCTAAGGCATGAAAACTCGCAGAAACTATTACAAATATTTTTTTAAGTCCTAGATAAATCTTAACCCCGGCTACTCACCCCCTTATGCGCCAAACAGAAATAATCACTGTTTTGGGGCCAGCCAAAATCACCAGTCCCTCCTACTTCTCTGATTCCGCAAGTCCTACCCTTTCCCCGTACTCTCCTCTCTCGTTTCCTTCTCCTATTGACGAAAAGTCTAGCAAAAATAAGTATTTATCAACCCCGATATTAACCCGAAAAACAAATCGTGCCCTGAGCGCCACTTGCATTGTGGTTTTGGTGCTTTTCTTCATCCTTCGAACTCCCCAGAATAAACCGCACTGGGCTTACTTGGAGAATGTTTCGGGGCTCGGGGTTGACAATTACACCGATCTAGACCTTGGTGACAAATCAAGCCAGTCTCTATGGCAAAAAGTCAATCTCGGAACCTCCTATTTTCCATCCCCCGACCATCCGTTTGATCCGCGCCTGGTTGCCGCCTTATGGCTGTCAAAACTACAAACACATCTTACTAGTACAGTCGATCCGGCAGAGCTACCATCTTTCTCAATCCCCTTCAATTGGCGCGATTGGGTCGATATAGACACAAGGCTTCGTCCTGCTCCCTCATGGCTACGCGCAAATAAAGGCAAAAGCCTAGATTGCAAGACTTTCAAACGCCAAATCGGTATTCTAGCCTTAAATTGCCGAAATAAACTTCCCGTGGAAGCGCAAAGTTCTGATTCAAACTTTCCGAATTTACTTATCAGTCAGCCGTTCGCGGGAAAAATGCCTTTGGAGGCAAGAATTGTTTTCGGGGCTAGCTACCTTTCCACTTCTGCTCCTGCTCCCAAACAAGTCATATTCGTTTCGGAATCTAAAGCCGCTATTATACCGGCTGCTTCCTACGACCGTCCAACCTTGCGACAGCTAATTGCAGAGTACTCGATCAAAAAAATTATTAGCCAGGGTCTTGCACAGCCAGAGCCACCTTCCGGCGTAAATTTGGCCCGAGAATCTGCTCTTCTGTTCGGGGATAAGTTTTTCCAAAAGTCAACAATATACGCACAGCTCGCCGATTTCCCTTTTAGATCCCGCAGACCAAAACAATCAAAACCAATTTCAGGTGAAGCGTTTGAGTGCGATGGCTCGACCGATAACTCACAGCATGCTGGGATCCACCCAAAGTATTTCCACGAGGCGGACAGCTTTGACAAAAACGTCAATGGTGCGCATTTTGACTGGCGTTTTTTCAACGGCTATAATTTGACTGCGTTGCAGCGAAAGTCATCTTTGCACAAGCTAATGGCTACCTGGACGCGGTTCTCGAATGCTGTTGACATCCACACCTGGATCTCCCACGGAACGCTGCTCGGGTTCCAGTTCAATGGCCTGATGCTCGACTGGGACTCTGACCTCGACGTCCAGGTTACACAGAGCAGCTTGGTCCGTCTGGCACGTGACTACAATCAGACGCTTGTTGTGGACGTTGATGGCTCTGGGAGCTATTTTCTGGACGTTAGTCCGTATTACAACGACCGCGCTCGTGGGAACGGCAACAATGCTATAGACGCTCGTCTGATCGACACTGCAACCGGATTGTACATTGACATCACAGCATTGGCCAGAGTGGACGGACAGGCGCCTCCATTTCGCGAGAGTCGTATAAGAGAGCTGCAACGCCTATACAAAAAGAACAATATTGGTCCAGATCAGTTCCCGGATCTTTATGGATGTCGAGACGAGCACTTTTATACGCACGACGAGATATCTCCATTACGCCCTGTCTTATTCGAAGGATTGGTGGTCTATGTGCCCAACAAGGTCGACCAGATTCTTCTGCGAGAATATCCCAAGTATCTTTCTCGGTTGAGCCACCAAGGCCACACTTTCAGGCCAGGACTGAACTCTTGGGTGCCTAACTCGCTATGCAGCAAGGAGGACGTAATCGGGCTTAGCTGTTCTGATCCGGTCACTGTTTTTGAATACGAGCTCACCAAACATTATACGAGCCAGCACTCTCTGCGCAGAATGCAAATGGTGGCCGACCAGGACGAATTCCGCGGTCTACGTATCGACACCACTCTTGCTCCCATAGTCCAGTACCGGCTCAGAAATCTGGTGTGAGGAGTTCCGGTTTATATATTGGAGTCTTTTATATGGGTGGATAAAAAATAACAGATATTTCATGGAGATTAGCATTGGAAACGAGCTGAAAGACGCGTTCAAGCGCACAGACAAGTGGGTTAAGGCCGGCTTGGACTGGGTCGGTGACCTGGAGTCGTTCTATAAACAGCGGTCTGCCATTGAGGCCGAGTATGCGGACAAGCTGAAGAATCTGTGCTCAGAGACGTTCAAGAAGAAAGCCAAAGTTTCTGCAGCTGTCAGCGTGGGGCCTGATCCTTTGATTACGCCAGGGTCATTGGAGAGTGCCAGTTTGGTTGCTTGGACAGAGGTGATCTCGCAGACCGAGCAATTGGCCAAAGAGCGGGGCGATCTGGCCAAGGAGTTCGATAAACGAGTGGTGGCGACTTTGGCAGATATACAGGCCCGGTACGACGTGATCAGACACAAGTGGAAGCAGGCGGACGAGGAGCTACAGACGGTGAAAAACAAGCACTTTGACGAGGTCACCAAGGCCAAGAAAGAGTACGACAACTCCTGTCAGGCGATGGAGAGCCAGAGATCAAAATCCGAGAAGAGCAGCGGCGAGCGCACACAGCACAAGTACGAAAAACGGGAGTTCGAGATGAACAACGCGAAGAACAACTACCTGATCAAAATCAACATTGCAAACCGTCTTAAGGATAAATATTACTACCAGGACCTGCCGGAGATTCTCGACGGATTACAGGCGCTGAACGAGTCGCGTGTGAACCGTGTGAACGGGATCTGGCTCACGGCGGCCGCGCTCGAACGGCGAAGCTTTGAAGACGGACTCAAGTGTCTGGAGAGCATGGACAAGATGGTGAAGCAGAATCTGCCTAAATTGGACACCGCAATGTACGTGAAGCACAACATGGACAACTGGACCGAGCCGGCGGACTTCTACTACGTTCCATCGAGTATATGGCACGACGACGAAACGATGATCACCTCGGACCGCGAGCTGGAGGTGTTGAAGCAGAGACTCAACGAGAACTCCTTGCTTTATGAGAAGTACGAGCGTATTTGCTCCGAAGAGAAACAGCAGCTTGCCGAGTTGAATGAGGAACGTACCCAGCTGATGGGAGATGCATTCGCCGAGGTGAAGGTCAAACCCAGAGAGGACTATCTGAAGTTTGAGGCCATGTTGACTAAAGGTGTTTCCGGGTTGCAGAAATTCGCAAACGACGACACCTACCGTGTTTCTGCCGAGGTGGAGATAGAAACTATTCAGTCTGCTGCCAACGGCAAAGATCTGACGCTGACGCGGCCAATAGAAAAGAAGAAGAAACGGACACTCGGGTTCCTGCGCAAGAAGAGTGCTGAGGAGCCCGAGTTTGACGACGTTCGTTCTGTCACAAGTGGAGTCAGCAAGCTCACGACCACCACGCATGGAAGCACAAAAGGCCGTTTGTTTGGCCAAATAAGCAACATTTTCTCTGGGTCCAGTGCTGAGCCAAGTGCGAAGGCTCTATATGCATACACTGCTACCGACGCGGACGAGGCCTCCTTGACCCCTGGAGAGGACCTGATTGTGATTGAGGAAGACACAGGTTCAGGCTGGACCAGGGTGCAGACGCCAGCGGGAGAGTCTGGGCTGGTTCCAACGTCGTACATCCAGGTCACGCAAACGTCGTCGGGCAAAAAACAGGGGCCTAAAGTCGCTCCACGGAAGGGAGCCAAGAAAGTCAAGTACATGGAGATCTTGTACGACTATGAACCTCAAGGCGATGACGAGTTGGGTGTTGCTGTTGGAGATCGTGTGGCGGTCGTAACTGAGGATAATGGTTCAGGGTGGACTGAGGGAGAGATCGAGGGAATAAAGGGACTGTTCCCAACCAGTTACGGAAGACTAGAGGAATGATCATGCTGGAGGAAGAAATGTAGCAAATAATGCAGTTTGTAAGATTGTCCAAAAGATCCAGAAAGATGCGATTTTGCGGTTTTCAGTGAGCGCGACGTACCAGATATGTGTTGGCAAAAACGTGATGACTCTGTTGATGATCTGGACATTCATGAAGAAGAACTGGACGATCAGGTATACCAACGATGTGAGTAGAATTGGACGGATGGTCTTCACGGATCGGAGGTTGTAGATGGAAGTTGCCAAGATCAACAGGTTTGGAGCAGCAATGATGAATAGCGGGATGTTTCCAACGGTGAAATATGCCAGAAAGCCATTGACCCAGTAATGGGACTGAGCGTATGAAACAAGCGATTTTGTGGTGGAGAAACACCATTCGCCCCGTTCGGGACAGAATGCTTGATAAGGGATGTAGATCGAGAGACACAGAGACCCAAACAATGGAAGACCAGCTAATAGGGGATAGATCGAAACGTCTGATACCAAATCGTACAGAAAAACCAGTCCATAAAGCAAGCAATTGGACCGAAACCCAAACGCAATGGCTATGAAAACTCCCGATAATAAGTAGCGTATAGATCTTCTGCCATAGCTTCGTAAAAGCAAGGCTGTGTAGCAGATCAGCTGGGTGATAGGTTCAGAGTAGATGGATGTGCTAAAGATTCCCGATGGTTGGATAATGGTGAGGAGGGCACTATTTACCGCCACTTTGTAGCCAAAGTATCTTTTAGTGAGTTTGTGCAGCACCAGACAGCTCAAATAATGACTAACGTTGGAGATGAACAGTCCGCCAATCAGTTTGTAATAGATATTATCTAGCGGGATCTGTGCCAACAATCGCCACCAAAGAGGGCCAAACACGTATTCGTGCTCAAATGTGGGTCCCTCATCGGCAAGTTTGAGGAAATATATGGCGTCCCAGACAACTAGTTTTTGGAATACGTTGGTAACCAGCCATTGTAGCGCAGCTGGTAATTGAGCGAGTTCCTGTTGGTGACTTTCAAAGAATATCAATGACGAGGTATCAAACGGTGCTGGTGCAAAGTATACAATAACCAGTTGTAACAGCTTGAACAGTAGGAAAAGACCAAGCATGAGAAACAAATGCAAAAAAAATTAATAGGAATTTTTAAATATACGAGTTTATTCATTTTATTCTACACGATGCTCTCCATTTCTTTGGCGTAGGTTAACGAATTCTTGATAATTTGCTTGTCATCGTTAATTTCATCCTCAGGTGCCGTTGAAGGTTTCTCGAAGTGAACAACGCCATTTTGAACGGGCCATCCCATCTCGTCGATAAAATGCTTCACATCGGCCTGGTTCTTTAGAAACAGAAGCAGTTTGAGATTCTCCAACGGAAGGGTAGTGTAACTGGACTCGATGTTTGTAGCGATTGTCAAACGGATGGAATCGAGCAACTCTTTTTCGAACAGGTTGAATTCTTTGCTTGGGAAACTGTGTTTGGAGCTCAACAGCTCGTAAACCTTGTTGAAGTTACCGTCTATGATCCATTTCTCAAACTTGATAGGAATGGCAAAGTACTCATCTTTTTCCAGCTCGTCCACCGAGAGACCGTAATTTGCAAATCTTTCCAGCTCGATATGGAACAGTGCTAGATCTCCCTGAGTCAGAAGCAAAAGAAGATACAGGCTCAAAAGCTTGTTTTTATTTGGCGACTCTGGCAGGCTGGCAAGATCGTAGAATGGTGTGAGAAGCGTGATGTAGCTGGAGAATCCAGAAAGATCTTCCGAGTTGATGCTGGCCAATGCTCCAATCTCCAAGATTGAACGCGAGATGGCAAGATCATTAGGATTAGAGGCCGTAGAAAGCGAAGGAACAAGCAGATTTTTCTCAATGAGCTGAATCTTGATGCTTGTGAGTAGTTTCAAGCACTCGGCATACTTGTTGGCCGAGAAACTTTTGGATAATTGAGAGGTTAGTTGTTCCAACGACATTTGCCACAGAAAATAAATATAAAATTGGTGTATTTGACAAATAAATGTCGTGGTGCAGAGAGGTTTACAATTTACTAAACGTTGTATAGAGTAGCCATTAATTTATCTCTATGTTATACACCTAATGACAACACGGAATACTGATATATGTAATCTAGTCATCAATTCTTCACGCCAAACTGCTCCTCCACGTTCTTGATGATGGTCTCAACAGATTGTGGGTTCGACAGAGTGCTCATGTCACCAAGACCCTTGGCTTCTCCAGAGCAGACTTTACGCAAGACTCTTCTCATGATCTTACCAGAACGAGTCTTTGGCAAGTCTGGAACCACAATGATGCTCTTAGGAGCAGCAAATGGTCCAATGATTCCTCTCACATGCAAAACAAGGGATCTTCTCAAAGCAGTCAAGGCCTCAGCGTCGTTGGTCTCGGACTCGTTCTGTAATTGAACAAATGCGATAACGGCTTGACCAGTAAGATCATCGTTGATACCAACAACAGCAGATTCACTCACGTGCTCGTTTTCAAGCAGAACAGACTCGATCTCCGAAGTCGACAGTCTGTGACCAGAAACGTTGACCACATCGTCAACTCTACCTCTGATCCAGTAGTAACCGTCGTGATCTCTACCAGCACCGTCTCCTGTGAAGTAGAAACCTGGGTATGGCTTCAGGTAAGTATCGATGTAACGGTGGTGGTTTTTGTACACGGTTCTAGCCATGGATGGCCAACTGGATCTGACAGCCAACACACCTTCAACATCGTTTCCTTCAAGCACCTTTCCAGTGACAGGGTCAATGATGACAGCATCAATTCCGAAGAATGGCAAAGTGGCTGCACCTGGCTTGGTAGGAATAGCACCAGCCAAAGGAGCAATCAAGTGGGAGCCAGACTCGGTTTGCCAGTAAGTGTCAGAAATGTGACACAAGCTCTTTCCGATCTTCTGATCGTACCAATCCCAGATCTCGGCAGCAATTGGTTCTCCGACAGAACCCAAAGTACGCAAGGAGCTCAAATCGTACTTCTCGATCTCTGCCTCTCCGGATTTCTTGAGCAGTCTCAATGCAGTTGGTGCAACGTAGAAGTGGGTTGCACGGTGTTTCTCAACGATCTTCCAGAAACGGCCGTAGTCTGGGTAAGCTGGAGTACCTTCAAAGACGATGGTAGCGCAGCCAATAGCCAATGGACCGTAGAGGGCATAAGAGTGACCTGTAATCCAACCAACGTCTCCCGCAGTGAAGAGGACGTCTTCTGGTTGCACGTCAAACACATACTTAGTGGTGAGGAAAGCACCCAACAGGAACCCGCCCGTGCAGTGGACAACACCTTTTGGAGCACCCGTGGATCCGGAGGTGTAGAGCATGAAAAGTGGGTCTTCGGCGTTCACTGGCACTGGGGGACAGTATTTAGGGAATTTGTCGCATTCCTCGTCCCAGTAAAAGTCCTTTCCTTCGGTCATTGACACGTCAGCACCAGTTCTCTTGTAGACAAGCACCTTCTCAACGGTAGGACAGTCTTTCAGACCTTCGTCCACGATCTTCTTGGTGTTGATGGTCTTGCCACCTCTTTTACCCTGATCGCAGGTGATCACGGCCTTACATCCAGCGTCGCTGACTCTGTCCTTGATCGAACCTGCAGAGAAACCTGCAAAGATGACAGAATGGATAGCTCCAAGACGAACAACGGCCAACATGGCGATCAATGCTTCGGGGGTCATTGGGAGATAAATAGCCACAGTATCACCTTTTTTGATTCCCCAGCTCTTCAAAACACCAGCAACCTGGGAGACCTTGTTCAGCAACTCACCGTAAGTGAGAGTGGTGCTCTCTTGCTCGTCATCTGCCTCGAAAATGATGGCAGTCTTGTCAGGGTTGGCAAAGGCATGTCTATCAACACAGTTGTAGCTCGCGTTCAGTTCTCCACCAACAAACCAGGCAGAGTCACCATTGGCCAACGATCCAGTCTTAACGTGCTTGAACTCCTTGTCCCAGTCCAGGTGCTGTTTGGCAAGAGGTCCAAAAAAACCCTCCGGGTCTTCGATCGACTGCTTGTACAGAGTTTTGTAGTCATCTAGAGAGGAAATCGACTTGGAAGGCTGTTTGTCGAAAAACGATTGTGGTGTAGGCCGCGCTTTGACATTGTTGGCCTCATGAACCACTGAGTGAACCTGTTCTTGGGTCATGTTTCAAATTCAGGTATAGGTCAAACGAGAAATTTTAATCCCCAAGTGTCCCTCCGGAAAAAATCGACAATTGTTGGGGCCGCGAAATGGCAGAAATTTGCGATCGCCCGGTTTATATACGATTGTGCGGGTGTGACACGGTCGGTAAAGAGGAATACCCCGGCAGATAAGGCAGGCTTAAAATTACAGTGCACTTGGGGTCCCGGTTTGCTACCCAGATCACTTGATTTCGACTAATTACGTATGTACGTAGAGGGCTGCTGACTGACGAAACGAACGCGATTCGCGACTTGTTGAGCCGGTGCACGGATGCCGGGTTGCCGGATGCCAAGGTACGGGACTTTTGGTAGCAACCTTGGTTTCCACACCGGGAATGTGTTTGACACCTCCCAATCAATAAAATCTTATACGACAGGTCACTAATTGGGTTCGTTCTTGCCTTTTAAAAACTAAATCACCTCATTCTACCCTTGAGCCCTTGAGCACCCATTTCTCAGAGCTTGGCGATGTGTGTTACCCGGAAACTGGGCAGTGCAGGGAAAAACAGTTCCCACTGCGGCAGAACAAAAGATCAAAAAAATTAAAATAGGTGCAAACAAAGCAATACTGGATTGCCATTGATTTGAGAAATTTATCGTTCGAATTGGATCTCCTGATTTTCGGCCCTTTATAAGCATCTGTAAAAGTTGCTGAACAATCAATCTAGTCGAACACAGCAAGTTTCCAAGTAGCGGTACCAAAGTCCGTCAAAGTTTAAATTTCGAACAAGGCTTGGAACTCAATCGGAGTTTCAGATCCAATTGGCCTCCAGAATGTCGCAAGGGGATCCATCGAGCCCAATTCAAAGGCTGGATCCTTCGTGGCCTGACTCTCAGCAGCAGTCAATGGTGCTACCTAAGGTGAGACAGCAGAACGTTTCACGGTCCGGCTCTGTCAAGAGAGAACATAGTTATACTCCGAATGCCGCCCCGGCGACTCCAAGAATGCTGCGAAGTACCAGTAATGCCGCAAACATAACAGACGATACGCCCGACGCTGTTCCACCAACCAAGAGCGTGGCCCGTAAGCTTCCTTTTGCCACTCCGCAGCAATACACCCCAAGTTCAGAAGCGAAGAAACCGCAGCCCAAGCTGATGGCACCTGTCGAGCTAACAGAGTCGCCAACCCCAGTGGGGCCTGTCACTCCAAAGAAGCAGCAAGGAGCCAAATTCGGCTCCAGAAACTCGTCGCAACAGCAGCCTCAACCCCAGTTCCACAGAAAATCGATTGGAGACTGGGACTTTGCCAAGACTATCGGTGCTGGATCCATGGGTAAAGTGAAGTTGGCAAGACATCGTGTCACTAATGAGATTTGCGCAGTCAAAGTCGTCCCAAGGGCCGCCAAGATTTGGCAGAGGCAGCATGTCAATGATCCACCATCGAACGATCCTTCAGAGTTGGCGAAAAGACGCAAGGAGTTCGACAAGGAGGTGGCCAGAGACAAGCGAACAATCAAAGAAGGAGCACTGGGACGTATTCTTTACCACCCGTACATCTGTCGTCTTTACGAGATGTTTTCGATGACCAACCATTACTATATGCTTTTCGAATACGTTTCAGGAGGACAAATGCTCGATTACATTGTTTCACATGGTTCTATCAAGGAACGACAAGCACGGAAATTTTGCCGTGGAATTGCATCATCGTTGGATTACTGTCATTCCAATAACATTGTTCACAGAGATCTCAAAATCGAGAATATCATGATCAGCAAGAATGGTGACATCAAGATCATTGATTTTGGTCTCTCCAATATGTTCGATAACAAACATTTATTGAAGACATATTGTGGGTCGCTATATTTTGCTGCACCTGAGCTGCTTTCTGCTCATCCATATATTGGCCCGGAAGTCGATGTTTGGTCATTTGGTGTGGTTTTGTATGTTCTCGTGTGCGGTAAAGTCCCATTCGACGATCAAAGTGTCAGTGCTTTACATGAGAAGATCAAGCGGGGAAACGTTGAGTACCCTGATAGCATTTCCAAAGAATGTGTCTCTTTAATGTCCAGAATGTTAGTTGTGGACCCAACCAGAAGAGCATCTTTGAAAGAAGTCATGAACCATCCATGGATGGTGAAAGGGTTTGAAAGCGCACCATCAAACTATCTACCACACAGAATACCAATAGAACTACCATTGGATCCCGAAGTCATCAACACAATTGTTGACTACGAACTTGGAACTGAAGAGAACGTCATCAGGGACTTAACCGAGATTTTAACTTCAGAGGATTATCAGATTGCCACACAAAATTGGCATATAAAGAATACTCACGAAGATTATGCCAGCTACAATCCTTCTATTCCAGATCCCACAATTAGCTACCATCCTCTGATCTCAATTTATCATTTAGTTGATGAAATGCTGAGAAGGAAGAGGGTCAAGGAAGACAATTCCGGAAAGCTACAGGCGCCATACTCGACTCCGCAGAACGAGCCAGTTCATTCATTCCCGCCTTCGGACGATCCTTCTGTGGCCGCCCCAGTTCTTGCTTTCCCGCAGGCTGCGTACACTTCTCCTCACCAACCATCGACTGCTGGTCCTGCATCCCAGATTCAACGCAATCGTGTTGTGAGCCACGAGGGTGGTGCACAGCCAATCCATCCAGTACAGCAGCAAGGTGATGGCCACCAAGGCCACCAGGCCGGCATTACGAATACAATCTTGAGAAAGTTGAGCTCCAAGAAATCCAGAAACGATCATGCTCCTGAAGAACTTTCGCCTGTCGAGGACCATAACGAACTCAAGGTTGCCAAGTTTGCATCAAGACAGAACGATGTGGTGCGCAGAGTGGGTAGCATGAAGATTACTAGCAAGGAGAAACAGTCGCAAATACCTCCGATCAGTGCGGCATCCAAACAGCAGCTCCAGCATCAAAGAGCAGCCTCGGCGTACGCATCTTCCGAGACTGCAAGAGCAGCACACATGGCTGCTGTTGAACAAGCCATGAAGCAAAAGCCTCCTGCTACAGGAGCCACGCCGGAGGGTGTTAAGTTTCATCCAACAGCCAGAGCAAAGTCTCTTGGTCATGCAAGAAAACGGTCTCTCAACATTCCGAAATCTAATAATTATTCAATTGCGCCTGACGCTCCACCTGTTCCTCAGCTTCCACTACCGTCCACTATTGACGATGGATTTTTTGATCCGGTTGATATGGACGAGGTGACATTCAAAGATGACTACACTAAGCCAGACAAGAGATTGTCCGACGAAGAAGTTATTTCTCAATTTGAGCATGCTGCACCAGGCACAATGCCGTCGATCGAATATCCACGGACACTTTTCCTTAAGGGATTCTTCTCTGTTCAAACTACATCCACCAAACCTTTACCTATCATCAGATACGACATCATTAACGTGCTGCCGCAGCTTGGTGTCAAGTTCACTGAGGTGAAGGGTGGATTTGTTTGCGTGCATTATCCGTCGATTGTTGATTCAACAAGCCGTCCAGCAGCAGATGACGAGAAGGACGACGAGGCCACCAAGAAGGAGTCCATCGAGGGAGAAAGACAACGGTCTCAAGCTCCGTCACGCAAGAGCTCCACAAAGAGAACCTCGTTGTCATCAAGTTCCAGCGAAAGACATCGTCCTCCTCAGGAGGAGCTGGATCCGGAAGAGCTTACAGAGCGTGCGGTCTCGTCCCCATCGAACACATCTACTCCTTCTAAGAATGGCCACAGACGGAAATTTTCTCTTGGCAACGGAATGCTTGGTGGCTACCGGAAACAAAAAGACAAGCTGTCAGTGTCGACGAACGTGTCCAACAATTCCGAGGTCAGCTATCCAACTACTCCTGCTTTCTCGAACTTTGTTCGTCGCAACTCTTACGACAGTTCGGAATCTCTTACTTTTGAAGAGCCTAACGGGGGCTCTGATATGCTTATTTCGAGTCGCTTGGAGCAGCAGAACAAGCCAAGATCGTCATCTGTTACCAACTCTCCAGCGGTGGACTCACATAAGTCCTCTGATAAGGCTGCTGCCAGTAAGACTCCATTGAAGTTTGAAATTCACATTGTCAAGGTTCCTCTTGTGGGTCTCTACGGTATCCAGTTCAAGAAGATTTCTGGAAACACGTGGTTATATAAGTCATTGGCCAGCGAAGTTCTTTCGAGGCTTAATTTATAGTTGAAAAGATCACTGTGTGTTTGCAAGAAAGGTGAGCTTTAGCAAGCCATTGGGACGGGTGTGTATAACTTGTATATTGAAAAAAAGAGGATATCAAGAAAAAAAAAGAATGCATACAGCAGGGTTCGAACCTGCGTCCCATCACTGAGAATAGAACTTGAGTCTACCGCCTTGGACCACTCGGCCATGTATGCGCTTTCTTGAAATTGTAGACGCCGAAAGACACATGTAGGCGAGTGGTAAAAGCGTTCTCACGTTATTCTGTGCTGGACCATTTATTTATTGCGCAGCAGTTTTATATATAATTATAGATATTGCTTGATTAGTTGAGAGTTGCGCACCATGTCGTTTTTAAACACATCTGTGCAACTGCTGTACATCAGTGGTACGAGGGTTCCACTACTGTTGGATGAGGATTTGATCACTAATGGACTGGGCGAAGATCCAGCCCACGTCAGAATTGGAAACTTCAGGAACTACATCTTTGATCATTGGGAGGAGCTCGTCAACAGCGGATCGCATGGCGGGATGGAAACCAGCAACTCGGATCCCGTTCCGGAGGTGGAGGAGCAGGTACAACTGATACATCTGGGCAGCAGACTGGACCCAAACGAGCTATTGAGCACTTTAAACTTCGGCCTTTCTCCGATTGTCCACATCATAGTGAAACCCTTTGACCAGTTGCCAGCTAATTCACACAAAGATCGGATTATTGACCTGAAGCTTTCGGCCAATAGCCGAATCAATCTCCGCACTAATAAACGGCGAGGATCTACCTCAAATACCCCTGTCCCGCAATTTGTTCCGCAACCCAAGATTGCCACTTCCGTCACCCACCAGGAAGACGTGAACTCACAGGCCAAAAGATCCAACGAGCTTTCGGAACTATCGAAAACTCACACAGAAAACATTCCGTCTGAAGACATGACTGCAAAAGACAACGCCCCTGAACAACCCATCGCTCGCTCATCGAACCACGACGCCCATTCACCACCTAACCTACCTTCTGAGTCTTCCAAGTCCGGTTGCTGTATTATTGTTTAGTCATCCGTACACCAGACACGTTCAGAACGACCCCATAATTATATGATCTAGAAATGTTAATGATATAAATAATTAGAAATGAGTATTGAGTCTGAACTGGACGCGATTCTAGTCAACACGGTGAATCTCATTCAGTACGATGTGGAAAGCCCTTCTGATCCGCGCCCGAGCGTGCTTGAGGTATGTGAACTTCGCAAATCAGAGCATTGTCTAACGTTTAGTTTATCGTGTCGTACTACTTATCGCGAATATCCCGGTCTTCGTACCGAGTCCTTCACGTGAGCACTATCCACTCGTTCGACGTCGACCTGATTGGCCAATTACGCCAAAAATATGGCGATGGTGCTCTGTCCCAGGTGCGGATCGAGCGGTGTCTCAGTCTGTCCTCTGTCATGGAGCACTCTTTACAAGACCTTGATCTATTGGTGATCGAAGATATCCAGGGCCTGTTCAACATCGAGTTTGCAAAAAATTACACAAGCGGTAAGTACATTCGATTGAAATTTACTAATTGGTAGCAAGCGCAGCCGTGATAAAGCTCTTGAGACAGCTACGCAAACACGCACAGCAGAATGGTTGCACAACAGTGGTAAGTTATTCCTAAAATGGTCTCTGTAACTAACGAGCAAGTTTGCCGAACGGGACCCAAAAACGAGGTTCAGCTCGCGACCGGTGGACTTGTACGCGCGCACGCTTTACGATAACATTATATCGCTTGGAGACACCAGCTGCAAGGTTTCTGGGAGTACCACTGGAGACCGGGTTCTGGTGTATGGGTGTAACGAAAACTAGGTAGGAGGTAACGAAAAAAACTTGTGACTGCTCTGGTGTAAGGCGTAATTTCCTTGGATGAAAAATAAAGATAAAAAATTAGTGGTGAAAACTTGAAGAAAGCAAGATGAGCTCTTTCGAGAAGGTTGTCGTGATTGACGGAAAAGGACATTTGTTGGGAAGATTGGCATCCACCATCGCCAAGGAACTTCTCAACGGCCAAAAGATCGTTGTTGTGAGATGCGAGGCTCTCAACATCTCTGGTGAATTCTTCAGAAACAAGTTGAAGTACCACGATTACTTGAGAAAGAGAACTAGATTCAACGCCACCAGAGGACCTTTCCACTTCAGAGCTCCATCCAGAATCCTCTACAAGGCTGTCAGAGGTATGGTTGCCCACAAGACTGCCAGAGGTAAGGCTGCTTTGGAGAGATTAAAGGTGTTCGAGGGTGTTCCACCACCATACGACAAGAAGAAGAGAGTTGTTGTTCCTCAAGCTCTTAGAGTTTTGAGACTCAAGCCAGGTAGAAAGTACACCACCATTGGTAAGTTGTCCTCCTCTGTTGGATGGAAATACGAGTCTGTTGTTGACGCCTTGGAAGAGAAGCGTAAGGTTAGATCTGCTGAGTACTACGCTAAGAAGAAGGCTCAACTCAAGAAGGTTGGTGCTGCCAAGTCTGCTGTTGCTAAATCTGAGGCCTCTGCCAAGCTTGCTGCTCTTGGTTACTGATTATGTACAGCTAAATAATAAGGGTTTCATATGAAGAGCATTGTAGTATTCAGTTGGTACCATGGTTCAAATTTTCATAAACTTCCTTGCACCAGTTTGGCGAAGAGGGACACGATTTCCGGCAAACTACGACCGTATTTTTTCGTGGAGCGCGCGAGCGGTTTTCCATTGGAATCCGGTTTTCGTGAATGCAAGGCTGGGGTTGGGACCGAAAAGAACCGTTTCCACCTTGGAGACATAAGTGACAATAGAAGCGGTTTAGTGCTGCTACACTGGAGCATACGGCTAACACGGATGGCTTCAAAAATCTCGGTTCAGACGACCTTGAGGCAATTTATACTTCAATTGTGGCTTTGTGCCCAAGGTAATAGCTTGCAAGCTAGGTTGCAACCTAATTGATTTTCCATCTAGATAATCGATGGCATCGGAGTTCAAGTTTCAATTGGGTTGCATACAATGTAGTTACTAGGTAGGATAGATCGGTTTTAACATGCAAAAAACGCGACCGGATTCAGCTGGAGAGGCTCGAGACACTATTGTCTTACGTGAATTTTTTCTCGTCGGAACCTTACCAATATCCGTTGATCTTTTACCGGGACTTCTGAAAAGTTCTTTTTTTCAGGCTGTGTAGGACAAAGTTTGGGATGTTTCGACCACGTAACCAGTTAGTGCAAAGCCTTCCGAGAGTGAAGTATGTAGCGAAATCAAGTCTGCACAGTAACTTTCCAATTGTCTGTAACACGTTCTGGCTGGAAGTTAATAAAAGCTTAACTACTCGGCACGCACATCCCTGATACTACCGTGTTACCCTCCTTACCATTTTTGGGTTTCCGATATTAATCGGATTCACCGACCAATCACACTGCCCTCTTGCACAAAAAAAAAGTGCCAATTGATTTCGACCAAAAAACCGACAAGTATTTAAATTTGAACGAATCCTTTTCGCAACAGTTTTTCTTTTTAAAGATTTCAGTTGAATCATTAATTGCAAATGTCTGAAAACAAGTCCTCTTTCTTCGTCGACTTCATGATGGGAGGTGTCTCCGCCGCTGTCGCTAAGACCGGTGCCGCCCCAATCGAGAGAGTCAAACTTTTGATCCAAAACCAAGACGAGATGATCAAACAAGGTAGACTCGCTAAGAGATACAACGGTATTGGTGAATGTTTCAAGAGAACTTTCGCTGAGGAGGGTCTCTCTTCTTTCTGGAAAGGTAACACCGCCAACGTTATCAGATACTTCCCAACCCAAGCTTTGAACTTTGCTTTCAAGGACAAGTTCAAGAAGATGTTTGGTTTCAAGAAGGAGGAGGGTTACTGGCCATGGTTCGCTGGTAACTTGGCTTCCGGTGGTCTTGCTGGTGCCACTTCTTTGCTCTTCGTTTACTCTTTGGATTACGCCAGAACCAGATTGGCAAACGACGCTAAGTCCTCTAAGGGTGGTGAGAGAGAGTTCAATGGTCTTGTTGACGTTTACAGAAAGACTCTTGCTACTGACGGTATCGCCGGTCTTTACAGAGGTTTCTTGCCATCTGTCGTCGGTATCATTGTCTACAGAGGTCTTTACTTCGGTCTCTACGACTCCCTTAAGCCTGTCGTTTTGATTGGTCCTCTTGAGGGCAGCTTCATTGCTTCCTTCTTGCTTGGTTGGACTGTTACCACTGGTGCTTCTACTGCTGCTTACCCATTGGACACTGTCAGAAGAAGAATGATGATGACCTCTGGTCAAGCCGTCAAGTACAAGAACGGTTTCGATGCTCTCACCCAAATCATTGCTACTGGTGGTGTTAAGTCCTTGTTCAAGGGTGCCGGTGCTAACATTTTGAGAGGTGTTGCTTCTGCTGGTGTTATCTCCATGTACGACCAGTTGCAAATGATTTTGCTTGGTAAGAAGTTCAAATAAGTGCTGAGTTGAGTCTCTGTTGCTTGTTTCTAGATTACCTTTCCTTACCTTTTGTAAGTAAGTACAAAGTATTCAGTTGTATCCACACTATGAGTAGCCTAAATAATAAAATTGGTGCAAGGGTGGCTAGACGGGTATTTACTAATTTCCATTTTTGATAAGGGGTAGCTCACTAGAAATAAGTACCCATTTCCTGTGATCAATCACATTTTCCCCGGACCATGGTGGATCACAACACGTTTTTATCAAAGTTCCGCAGAAACCCCACAACCGTATCTTCTTTCCCTCTTCTTTCCAGAACGGGCACCAATGATACTACAAAGTCTGACCAGTCAACTATATTCTCCACTACTTCCACGGAAACGGCTGCAACAAATGTGTCCGCACCAAAGAGGTTTTTCAAAGTGAGGACCAGGTCATCGCCTGGAGAGTTCATCGTTCCGACTATACCCCCTGCACCCGAGAAAAACCCAGACAAGCTCCGAGAAATCAGAGACATAGCGTTCGAGGTGGACATGACACCTCGTAAGCCTGCCACAAAAAACATCCATCCGCTTGACCAGCCGATTCTTCGAAGAAAATACACATCCGGCCAGGAAGAGCTTGACTCGGACAAGTACAACCTACAAAATGCTGCCGATTTGGTAGCTGCTATGGTTCGCTTCATGTTCAAGACGATCCAGTCAGCCTGGAATTTGGAGCTATTCATTAACGTTGCACTCACAAAAAACACCACAACTCGCATTCATGTCCCATCGTTGGTGATGGGGCTCTTCGGGATTTATCTACTCACACATTCGTCGACACCTCAGTACTACCAGCCTCAAGCTGTGCAAAATTCCAGTGCGTTGCGACTCGGCCCGGTTTTCATCTTTATTGCATTATTAGCTGTGGCTGCAGTGATGTTTGGACAAGGTACCCAGGAAGAAGTACCAGAGCCTGTTACCAAAAAACTCAAACCAGCAGCACCCACTACGGCTCCTTACATCAATCCTGCGATAGAAGACGATGACGACGACTTGATGCGAAGTGAAAGTTTTAAGTACGAAGGATTTGTTCGCCGAGCAGCACGCTACGAGTAACGATACGCAGCATTTTCATATATATCTCATTTACCTTTATTAATCAGTATTATAAAGTTTCGGTTGGGATCTCGAAAGTGACTTGCTTTCCGGTCAACTTTTGGTAAATAGATTGGAATGTGTCAAGCTTGTAATCGATGTCAGACGAGTCCTTAGAGTCCAAGAGAACCTTGGCGATTTTGTTACCACCAACAAGGTATCTGACTCTCTTTCCAACGATCTCAGTTGGGAAGACCAAGTCTTCCAAGATCTTGTCGTGAACAGCAGTCAAGGTTCTGGATCTTGGTCTCTTTTGGGCCTGTCTAGAAGTTCTACCTGGCTTTGGCAAGATTCTTCTCTCAGCCAAGAAGACAACGTGTCTGTCAGGGAACTTCTTCTCCAATTCTCTGGTCAAGGTGATTTGAACTTTGTGGAAAGCGGTGAGCAATGGCACTGGGACAAAAATGACAATAGCCTTTTTGTTACCCGAAACTTCAATCTCCTTGATAGACTTGAACTGGAGAGGTCTCAAGTCAGCCTTCAAATCTGGAGAGTTGGTTTCTAAATCGACCAAAGCTTGTGCGACTTGCAATTCGAGCTCAGATGGTTCGCTGGCGAGCACTTTCGATGCGGCAGACATTCTACGAAAATATGGTTGAAGAATTTTTTGAAAAATGAAAATTTCTAAACCTAATACTACCACCCGCACACACGTGATTCACAGAAGGGTTCACAATAATAATAATATTATTATTTTGATTAAGTAATCGCGGTTCTAGTGGTAGCCAGTCGGCTAACCTTAGGCTACGGTGCAGCACAATATAAGGCACCAGCCGTTCTGATGAGTGCACATGTCTATTGAGAACGCCAAAAAACAGGCAGGGTACGCTGCAGTAGATCAGAATTTGGATCCTTCCGACAGGATCATTGGAGTTGGATCTGGCTCCACGATCGTGTATGTAGTGGAAAGACTGGGCCAACTGAACACCAAGAACGATCTTATTTGCATTCCTACAAGCTTTCAGGCAAAGCAATTGATTGTGGAGAATTCTTTGCGTCTTGGATCTGTGGATGAGTTTACCGAGATTGACATAGCATTTGATGGCGCAGATGAGATCGATTCGAATCTGAATCTTATCAAGGGAGGAGGCGCATGCCTCTTCCAAGAAAAATTGGTTGCATCATGTGCGAAGAGGTTCATTGTAGTTGCCGACTACCGCAAGAACACCGGCCTGTTAGGCAAGGATTGGAGGAATGGGGTCCCAATTGAAGTCAATCCTCTAGCTTACAAGAAGGTGATTAAAGGGCTAATGGAAATTGGAGGTAAGCCAGCACTTCGCGAAGCTGGCGCTTCAAAGGCTGGACCCGTGGTGACAGACAATGGTAACTTTGTGATTGACTGTGATTTTGGAGAAGTGCCCTCAAATCAGGTGCAGTCATTAGATGCCAAGCTTCACAGTTTGGTTGGAGTACTTGAGACGGGACTATTTGTCGGAATGGCCAAGAAGGCTTACATTGGAGAAGAGGATGGGTCCCTAACCATTAGCAAGAAAAGCAGTAAGCTATAAAAAATTACCCCACACGTTTCTTTAAATGACAGACAATGCTAAGTCTTCGTCTTAGAAGAAATATCGTCAAACAATTCAGTAGCATGGCCGACTTGGTGGAGAAATCGAAAAAACTATCAGCATTCGCGGCTGTGGACGAGAATCTTAAGCCAGATCACAAAGTGATTGGTATCGGGTCAGGTTCGACCGTTGTTTATGTTGCTGAAAGAGTCGGACAGTCTACTAACAAAGAAAAGTTTGTTTGCATTCCGACCGGATTCCAATCCAAACAGCTCATCATCGATAATGGACTCCATCTAGGGTCACCTGAGCAATACCCCGAAATTGACATTGCCTTTGACGGTGCCGACGAGATTGATTCCAACTTGAGTTTAATTAAGGGTGGAGGTGCTTGCTTGTTCCAAGAGAAGCTGGTGGCTGCCTCTGCCAAACAGTTCATCGTGGTCGCAGACTACAGAAAGGACACTGGTATTTTGGGTAAGGGCTGGAGAAAAGGTATTCCTATCGAGGTCGTTCCAATGGCCTACACGAAAGTGAGCCTTGAACTCTCTAAATTGGGTGGTAAGCCAAACGTTCGTTCCGGACTCCCAGGCAAGGCCGGTCCAGTTGTCACTGATAATGGAAACTTCATCATTGATTGCGATTTTGGTGAAATTTCGCCTGAGTCTGTTGCCGACCTCAACTCCAAGATTAAGAGTTTAGTGGGTGTTGTGGAAACTGGAATCTTTGTGGGAATGGCTCAGAAATCCTACATCGGAAATAGCGATGGAACTATTTCCACGAAGTCAGCCTAAATCCTATGTTCTAGCAATATGGAGAGGAATTATATAGGGTAACAGCTTTAATTAGTGTATGCCAAGTTATGCCGAATCCAGGTAAGAACCTGGTTTAATCCTGTACCGTCTGTGGCCACGGTTGGAATGATACACCAATTATGGTTTTGAATGGACTCCAATTCCAAAAACTTGGCCAGTTCAGCTTGTTTCATACTATGGGGCAAATCCTGTTTATTAGCGAGCACACAGAGCAGACATCCAGTCAACTCCCTGTCGTTGATTACCTTGTATAGCTCCTTTTTGGCTTCAGGAAGTCTAGCTTCATCTGCCGAGTCAACAACGAAAATTAAAGCGTCGGTGCCGGAAAAGTAATGTCTCCAAAGGGCTCTTATTCTATCCTGTCCACCAACGTCCCAAGTGTTCATCACGAGGTTCTTGTATTTGATAGTCTCGACATTGAATCCAACAGTCGGGACCGTCTGTTCAGTATTGCCAAGCTTCAACTTGTATAATAGGGCTAATGTTAGTGGGTCGTTTAAACAATTTTCATGATAAACTTACTTGTTTTTCCAGAGTTGTCCAAACCCAGCATGAGCATGCGGACCTCTTTGTTGCGACGTCCCTGATTGTTAGACTCAATTGAAATTGACTTACGAATAAGCGAGACACAGATAGACCCATGGGTTCGATAATTAATTTTGCCCAATTCAGAAGTATATATTATAGAAGCACGCGATACGCGTAGGCATATCATTTAGACAAAAATGACATTCAAACTAAAAGTGAGAAGGGGCGTGTACCAGCTCAAATATATAAACAGAAAATTAGCCAAATCTGCTACCTACGACGGAAACTAACGAAACTGGTCAGAATTTATGAATCGCCAGATATTCTCAACTTCTAACGTTCACTATCAACTTCCCACATATAGAGATCGTGTCCGGTAATTATGACATGATTATTTGTACACTGCCTGCCATAACCTGTGCCCCAAACTCCATTTCGTGATAATTTTTCCTTTATCTGGGAAAAATTGCCTTTTTAGGAATGTAGGAACTTGATATCGAAAAGGTATTTATTCCCTAGATTCACACATGTCGTCCATATATATATATATATGCGTATCAGCTTCCTTGCTTAAACTCTAACAAACCATGGGCGTTATAATTGCAAGCATAAAAACTGTGTCTGAAGCGACTCAATCCTCTTCGCTGTTTGGCTGGGCTGCATTTGTGTTGATCGCAGCGTCTCTAGTGTACGCCTACATCAATGCGACAGCTAAACCAGGACCGTGTTATTTGAAAACATACAAGCCTCTTCCGGTTGTAAAGGCTAACAACAAAAATAGAAAGTATGGACATTGGGTTCCGGAGCAGTTCACCTATCCGAAAGTGGAACCTTATCCAGATTGGTCTATCGACGAGACCCCTCCAATTCCATATCGCGCATTTAAACACACCTATTTCATTACCATGGGAATCAGAAACATGGAATGGGATAGCTGGATTGAGCTCGACAATGAGTGGCACAAATACCACAATCGCAAACAAGAACGTATCAGAGAGAGAGATTCCGATCTGTATGGAACAAGTCCCGAAGCTTGGGACGGAGCCATGGAGCTGTTGGAGGAATTTAGAAACTACTTACCTCAAAGATATCCAAGTCTGTTCCGTGCTACCGAGAAGGGAATTGATAACATCGTGACTGGAGAATCTTTTGAGTTCCTTGGTATTCCAAAATCAGACTTCAAAATGGATCCAATGTTAATGGCTGCTTACATGGTTCAAGACGATCTTGCAGTCATGGTGGAAAACGAATTCGGTGAATACGTTCTCAAAGGTGGTGCGATCATGCTTGCAGGCTTCTGGAGACTCAAAGACAAATTGAACCTACCTTTGAGTGCTATCCACACTACGGGAGATGTTCCAAAGTATAACGAGAAGCTCAAGTCCGGCATGGAAAAGTTCTTTATTAGACAAACTTGCGATAAGCCAGTTGTGCGAAACAACTACTTTTTACAGACTGATGATGACCTTGCTTGGTCTTATTCTATCGGTGATGAAGGAAAAGAAGTTGTTGGCTGGTATACCGCTTCTCCAGCTACCGATATAAACAAGATTTACTTCAGATCAGAGAGACAATCTGTTAGACGCTTGCCAAAAACTGGGGTCACCATCTTTACCATTAGAACCTACTTCTCCCCAATTGTCAAACTCTGTGAGGAGCCATATGTTCCTCTCAGACTACTTGATGGTATTTTAAGTTGGGAAAAAGACGTCCAGGACTACAGAGGGTACACTATTTTCAAAGATGTTCTCCTACCTTATTTAAGGGAAAAAGCAGATGAACAGCAAAAGATGGGCTACACCCAGGATAAAGAGCCAAACAACTATCCATTTTGAACGTTGAATAAAAGTGTATTCATTTCATCAATATGTAAATTTATTCGTATGCTATATATATGCTTTGAGCGCTCGTCGGCTTGCTAACTCGACTAGCTTAATTCTCATAAAACTCAACATGACGCTTGGCATAATCCATAGCGTCATTCACCCGTTGATTGCTAAGACCGTGTCTAAATCTTAAATGTCTGGTTAGTGCGTCGCATCTGGAGAAGGTCTTGTTACTCAAGAACTCACCATTGTCCATGGATGATTTCACCTTCTTGGAATTGTGAGAGTTGGCGACATTGGCGTTCGAATTTTCAACTGAGAACTGACTGTTTCTGTAGTTCAGACTGATCACAATCTCATTATTAGGCTCCAGATTGTTGCGTCTTCTCAGATCATCCTCACAAAGCATGCACCGGTAGAAAGATCTCTTTGGTGCGTGAATTGTGTTTTGGTGACGCACCAGATCATAAGGTCTAGAGAATTTCTTGTTGCAAGGCTTTCCGGTCTTTGGATTAGCAATGTAACAAACGTGTTCCTCCTCTTCACCATCCTTGCTCTCTTCAACAGGCGGCGTCGTTGTACGGCGAGTAGTGGTCTTGAGCTTCCGCAAAGTTGGGGAAGGTTGCTCTTGGACCTCAGACTTGAGGACAGGTGGCTTACGATCAGACAACACACTCTCTCTTCTTTGTTCGAAAGCAGGAGTGTAGAGGTCATCACTAGCGTCAGAGAAATTATTCTCGTCTTCGTCCATGTCATCATCGTCGTCGAAGGAGATAGCGTTGCTTTGGTAAAGTTCGTCTTGTTGAACCAACCTTGGGTTGATAGTTTGAGGGGTTGTGAGCGAGTAAATTGATCTGTTTGAGTTGTGAGGGCTAGCCGAATCATTGAAGTCATCCGGTTTCATCAAGTAATTATCATTTTCGTCGTCCAGACTGCTTTCGCTGCTTAAATCGTCCAAGTCCATCTCCATTTCGTCAAGTTTGTTCTGATCTTCATCGTCCTCATCATCATCACTGAATTCCTCATCAAGATAAACATCATCTGTTTTGAAAATGTTCAACTCGTTGGATTGTGGGAAAGATTTGTGGTTCAGTTCCCACTGCAAAATTTCTGGAAGAAACTGCTGCTCAGTGAGTGCGGGGTCATACACCATGAAGTCATCTTGCGGTATCATCATAACTTCTTGGTCTGGCTCGGTATTATTCGAAACTTGTTGAGAAACCTTCATGGTCTCCTTTGGATCCATGTTCTCGTGTTCAACAAATTTCTGGGTGTCGTGTTGGGCGTATTCGTATAACTCATCAGGGAAAGAAAGGTTGGCATATAGATTTGGATTAGCATAAGAGTTGTAGATGTTCTCGAAACCTCCATTTTGAGAAGGCTGCAATCCGAAACTTCCTGATGGGTCTTGAGAAACCTGGGTCTTGTTTTCTTCCTCGAGCTGCCTAAGAATAGACTCTTGAGATCCGTTGAACGACAGGTAATCCGAAATATGGTCTTGTTCTTGCTGCGGAAGAGAGTACAACTCGTCTTCCATTATATCCGTGAGTGTGCGCTTTAAAGTGGATGTCATTTTTGAGCAATGTAAAGCTGAAACGATAAAAGTAAATTTGTAAATCCAGTGGGTTCTAGTGATTGTTTTGTGGATTTATGATAAGTGTGTAACAGCCCTGATTAAAAAGCAATCTGTTAAGCTGAAATTATCTAGCCAGTCCGAAATATACAGCTGGCGTTGTTTAGTGTGGCTTTGTTGTTTTTTTGTGGGTTGTCTCTTTTTATAGATGTTTGAATACCCTTGAAAATCTCAATAGTGGAATTCAGAAGTATTGGAGAACTTAATGTGATAACTGTGGTTCACTAAGCTGTTCCAACTCTTTCAATAAAGATAAATAAAAATGTTTTGGAAGAAGAAGAACTTGCGGTCAAGTTTGTCTCCAAATAATTTATAATCAGTCTTTTGACTCACCGCCAAAATACGAATCGGCTTTTGCTGCGCTAACTCCAGTCCGGCCGGCCTCTATTTTTTTTAAGGGCCGCAATTTGTAAGCCAGGTCGATTTCCTTCTAGAACGTACTACGGTGTACGGATGTTTTAGTCATATCGACGCGTCGATTACTTAGCAGGCTCGGTCCTGGTTATGATCCAGATTCACGAAATCTTTTGTTTGTTTCGCGAATGCCTGTTCAAAGCACACACCCGGCAGAGAAGCTCTCGAACCTTGTTGATGAGGAAGTGAAAGCAGTGCTTCTAAAGGCACCAGCCAGGCTTCTGATAGAGGATCCGGTTTACCACACACAACTGACCGCTTTGAGAAACGAATATCGGTACGCTTACGTTGTTCAATGGATATACCTCCTACGTCATATGATCAAGCTCGAGATGAGCTTTGATGTGGAAACTTTTGAGGAAGAGCTACTTGGGATTGCAAGTCCAGTGTTTACTAACGCATTCCTGACAAAAATGGTCCTTTATTTGGCAAATTTCAAATTGGAGAACTTCGATGGTCAGATCAATGACGCGTTGCAACAAGTATCTGCACGGTATTACGAAGAGTACGATTTTATCGATTATCACGGGCTTGACTTAATTGGAAAAACCGAGCTTTTCTATAACCTGACGCAACTGACAATTTTTAAAAGTGCGGATAATCTCCGCAAGGGAGTCAATCAGTACAGTAAGCCACAGCATGACTTGCGTTTGGAGCCGGTCTTCGGAATTGTCGAAGACGGAGTCAGGAGTGACTGGTTTGTGATGGAGGACTCACGGGTTTACTTTCGCAAATCCGAGTACCCAGAGATGATTGTTCCTAAAAACAGAACTGAAGCTAAAAAGATTATCGGAAACCCGCTCGAAAGCTTCTCCGACATAGAGCCTTCTGTGACTGAATGGAAATGCGTTACCACGGGAATTTACCAATTTGATGATTACTTGAAGGAATTGAAGCAAAAGGCAGGTAAACGGACCTCGTCTACGGAGCACAAGCTTTACACCAACTTAAAAAATTACATTGATCAAGTTGCACAGCACGATCTAAAAAAGAGACGCCAAGCTTTGCAAAGAAAGCGGGAAATACAAATGCAGGCATTGCTTGCCAACAGGAAGAGATCGTCACGGCTGGAGGCTAAGGAACGGCAGAAGCACGAGGAAGATGAAAAGAAACGAGAAGAGGAAGAGTCATTAGTCGCACGGAGTGCCGAGCTACGCGTGCAGAAACGGCAACGTATCCACGAACAGGTGTATCAAGAGTCTCGATCTCAAAGATTACAGCGCCGGCACCGGGAGGCTGATGACGAAACTAAAACGGGCAGTGACCAGGGGAACAATTCTGGGGCGGAGTTCAATAAGATAGAAGGCTCAACTATAACGCCGCAGCAAGAAGAAAGGGAAAGCACAATAGAAGAGCAAACAGAAAGTGATGTGCAAGCCGTGAATTATCCAAATTTGGAACCCCAATCTGTTCTCGGCCAGGAACCTTGTTAGTTTCACAACAAAAATAGTGCATATTAATAAGCTAACGCGGCTATCAGTGAGCGGTGTGAGGAGTAGAGCCGCATCGAATTGTATTTACATGGTAATTTTCTGTATGTCTCGGAGATAGGCTCGGGTACCACGCGGATTATTAAACAGGGTATGACTCTGAATGAGATGCATTCTGTACTCCATACCTATAAATATAGGACCGCATCCTAGGTGCGCGTAATCCCAAAGATGAAGAAACGTATTTTGGAGTCAAAAAAGGTAGTTCCTGTTTCCTGTCTGGAATGTCGCCGCCGGAAGATCAAATGTGATCGGGGTATAGTTTGTAAGAGTTGTGAACGCAAGAAGCTTAAGTGCGAGTACCCTGAGACATTTAGATCGATCAAGATTTCGCCACCCAAGCCAAAAATTGTTGCAATTCCTGATCACGATACTGGGTTGTCTGAGGTTGATCGTCTTCGCAAGTCCAACCTTGCTCTGAGTAGTCGAGTCAAGCAGCTGGAGAGAAAGATAGCGGCTACTCCATATTCTCCCATCGCCAATTACGTTACAGCCCCATATATCGAAAATGGTCACATGACTATGATCGCAAACACCTCGGTGGAACTGCCGAAATTATTTGAGGATCCCGCACTTAATAACCAATTGATTAGTCATCTTATTGACTGTTACTTTGAAATCAATGAGGTGAGATTCTTCGATATCAACAAGAATGCCATTATTGACGGTATCGAGACGCTGGATACTACTTACGAGGGGCTTGAATTAGTCATGTTGGTGTGCTCGATGATGCTTTTTGTGCTCGACTACACCTTTGACTCGAAACGTCAGGATATTATCGATTTCGATACCACAGTGGAAAGACCCCAGATGGTCTCCACTCTGCTGGATAAATTCAGAGAGTACCGTGCACTCTGTAAGTATTCCAGAGGAGAGGTTAAGATGAAGGCTATGTGTTTAGTGTTACAGAACAGATTCGTGGAGCGCGACGAATCTTTCTCGATTACTGCAGAGGTTTTTTCATCCTATTCCGGATGTGACCATGTGGCTGCCATTTTTGTCAAGTTCGAGCACCTGTATCTGCTAAGGTCGCTGATTTTGGACGAGCCTCCGGTGTTATCGCCTGCTTGGGTTAACGTGAAGGAGACGAGCAAGTTTGATCCAAAAGACCATGTGGAGAATTTAAACATTAACCCTGCAACCGACCTTATGGATTTGATTGTCAGAGTGATTGATTCCAAGTTGAAGCTGCGCAGAGACAACTTCCTCATAATGGAGCTTTTGTTCCGGATCCAGAAGAAGGAGGCGGAGATCCAGAACCTCCGTCATGCCAGAAAGACAAACTTGGAACACTACGAGGAGATCAACACTGTGTTAAGTTCCCAGATGAAAGTTTTGTTTTTGTTGTATTACTGCGCATTGAAGATCAGATCTTTCCTGCCACCGTCCGACTACCAGCTTGAGTCGATGGTCAAGATCCTGAACCATATGATCGAGCTGTCTGTGTGGTTCGAGTCCGAGCCGTCTGCAGACTGTGTTCCTGTTAGAAACTACGTGATGCTCATCATGTGCGATCTGTTGCAAATGTTCAACGGTATTCTTTACCACAAACATGTCAACCCCAAGACAGTGGAGCTGATTATGAACAAGTTTGAAAAAGTGGCCTCGTACCAGACTTTTGACGCTGAGCTTTTGGAGATTGTTTCCGACAAGGTGCAGAAACTGCTAGCCTACAGACAAACCAGCAAACACTCGAACTTCGTCTACCGAGACGAGGTTGTGATAATCGAGCGGTTTGCTAAGAGCAAGTACCAAGGTTCTCGGGCTAGATCGGCCCAGACCGGAAAGGCATCCGGAAAACCTATCAATTTTGTGTTGGACTTCTACGAAAACGACACCGTTGGGTACGAAAAGTTTATTCCAGATACTGTGGACGAAGTGCTTGGAGCAGTTGACGATCAGGACACGATGGATGACCAAGATGAGCGCGAGGATCGCGATGATCCTGTTGACCAGATGGGGTCTCCGACATCACTGGCTGATGCCTCCAACTTTGTCGAGCCAATGACCAAAGATTTTGCAACCATTATGGGCGCGGATTATAACTATCCTGACTTGTGGCTGTCGTCGTCGGGCGATTTGGCCACCAAGTCCTTTGAGGTCACCGATATTGGAGCGTTGTCGTCGACATCCAACAAGAGCACCAGTTTCTACGCGACGGACCAGGACGCTGCCAACTTTGGCGACTCCATGATCAAATCGAGCATGGAGCTGAACGGATATGGTTACAATCAATTTATGGACGTGGAGTAAGAATGGTTGAAGTTACATTCCATCAGTTCTTAATGACGCCATGACTCGCGCTTTGCATGTATATAGCGGTATGAATTATAAGACAATTAATGATATGAGTTATTCTTTGAATCCCTTTGCTAGTTCAACATTCTTCAGGTCGCCCGGCTGCGTGTCTTGTTTGCGATCGCGTAGCGGACTCTCAAACTCGACTTTCGCAGGGGTCTTCCCGCTGGCTGACCCGGTTTGCAGTCCGTTTTGTTGCTGGTTGCCGTTGTACGAAGCTCCGCCCAACGGGGTTGAAAATTGAACATAGTTCCACAGAGCTGGAGACGAGTTCACCGAAGGATGCGATTGCGAGGACGAAGGAGGGTCCAATTGGTGACGAGACGTGCCTCTGTCTGGGGTGTATGCTTCCAATGCACTCACCTGGTATTTTTTCGGGCTCTCTGCAAAAAGCGGGTTCCCGGAAGAGCTGGAGGCTTGCTGCTTACCGTCGGCTCCTCTGGAGACAGCAGTGGAAACCTCCTCCGACACAGTTGGAGCAGGCAACGGCAAAGACCCATTAAAGTTGGACCTGTACTCTGGGGCACCCAGCTGCTTTATAGGAGACGACAGCTCGTGCTTGATTGTCGGATTAGTGGTTGTCGATGTGCCTGACGTCGAAGCAGATGGGTCAGTGGTCTGTATACTGGGTTTTGGTAAATTGGAAGCCGCAGGGACAAAGTTAAGGGCCTCGTGTGGTTCTGGTTGCAATGGAGGAGCAGCAGCAAGCTTCTGCTCGTAGAACGGCTGTTCTGGACGTTTGTATATGTTGAAGTTGGCCATTGAACTGTCGTTTCGAATGGCCGATCTGCCTGAGTCTGGAAGACCTCTGTTTTTCAAAAGATGCATTTGTAACTGTCTTGAGACGCTGCTTCCTCTTTTAACTTTGTTCAACGTTCCTTCCTCCCATTTTTTCAAAAAATCCTTTCTGTAGCTCTCGCTGATCTGCCACTTCATTCCCTTTCCGGGTTCATTGGGCTTTCTAGGAACCTTTTCAAACGCCTTGTTCAACGAAAGGTTGTGTCTGATGGAGTTCTGCCAACCTTGCTTACTGTGTCTATAATAAGCATAATGACTAGCAATCCAGTCGTAGATCTCGGACAAGGACAGAATACCCTGCTGGTTGGATAGAATGGCTTGCGTGATCATTGTTGCGTAGGAGTAAGGAGGCTTGAGGTCCTTGGCATCGTCTTTGGAATAGTCCTGGTCGGAACCTTTCATAACGGATCCGTGCGACGAGAGATCGTTGCTCGCAGACGACTTCTCGTATATCTGGAATCCTTTCACGTTATTGTTGGCATACACATCTGCCGAGTAGATGGCAGCACTGGAATTGCTAAACACGTCTGCTTTTGGTCGTTTGTTTTTCAGGTTGGTCAAGAAGTGGTTGGAGATCACAGGAACCGCATCCGGCAAGATGAACATCATCTGGGTGCCACCAATGTCAACAATATTGCCCGAATTCAGAAACACCGGGCCCGAACCGTTTGAGGTGGAGTTGATACGCTGTGCATCGATCTTGAGCCCGTTCCGGCCAAGGATTACCAATTCCCACCGTCTCTCTTCCAAATTGTACGAGATGGAGGCGTGTTTTCTGGACACCACCTTGGAAGGTCCCAGATCAATATCAACAAGGTCTTCAGGGCGGTCTGTCGCATGCGAGTCTGTATTCCTTCCAATGAGCACTTTCAACGATTTCACATAGAAGGTCCAGTCTCTGCCAGCTATCTTAGCATACGCCTGAACTTCGTTGTTCAAATTGCGATCATTATTGTAAATACGAGACACTGTCGTGGGAATATTGTCTGGAGGAACAGAGAGACTTTTGATGACCTGGTTGATAAGCTCGTTGGGGTCGTCAAACACCTATTTTTGTTAGTCCAAGTTTCAGTTTAGTACTTACCTCATTGTCGTCGTTCATAAACCGTTTTCTCTCACTCATTTTGAGACGCTAAATGGATGCCAAAAGGAACCAATAAGACGCTTTAGAACCACAATTATTAGAGCTTTGGAAGCTGGCCAATTTTTTGTTTTTATTTACAGTAATTTTATTTTGTCAACACAAAAAAAAAGTTGGAAATATTTCGTCGCAAACTACTTTTCCTGTAAATCGAGCGGAGACTCAAACGGGTTTTGCTGCTGGTCTTGGACATCCAAGTCCACCTCCAGAAGCATCTCGCCGCTGTCTGCGGGGTCCAGCGTATCCAGCGGGATGTCCAGCGACACCGTATCCCCTTTCGTTTTGGTAGAATCTGCCTGTTCTCTCATGTGCTGTGTGGTGAGGTACTCGATGTTTTCCTCGTCAGAGTCTCCCAAATCGGACTCGTCGCTGCTTCCGAGCACGTCATCGTTGTTCCGCAGCACCAACGGGCCCAGATTCAGGTTTGTTCCGCCAGAGGTGCCTGTTTTCGAGTTCGACCCGGTGTTGGAGCCAGTGCCGGTGCCGTACTGGGGCTCGTCCTCCTCGCTCTCCTCTCCTTCTAAAATCGTGTCTTCCAACACAAACCGGTTCTTTGGTGCCTCGTAGTCATACGCGTCTTCCTCCACGTTCACCAATCTCGGAATACCTCCCCTAGTGATCACATTTCCTCCGTGAATGGAAGCGGCTTCCAAATCGCTGAAATACGTCTCTTTAGAGTAAACACTCATCGCTCTGTTGCTGCCGTTGGAGGACCCGCCTGCCCGGCTATTTGTCAGTCTGGAGCTGCCGTTTCTTGTCGTCACTCCCGGAATGTATGTCACATTGATCACGTTCGAGGCCTTGGTCAGCACAGAATTGGCCACAGTGGTGAGCGTCGACTGCGAGTTCCGCCGTTGTCTGACCTGGTCACCAATAAACTGTTCTTTGTCTTGTTCGTCATCGTCGTCTTCAAAGTAGTAAAAGAAGCCGTATGGGTATCTTTTCTTGTACCATTTTTTGTAAAGAACATAGAACAAACCAACAAGTATCAGAAACGCAAACGCAGCCACTCCACCAGCAATACCTCCGACTTTAGCGGAGCTGAGCGACGAGCTTTTGGTGGTGGCGGAAGCGCTCGATGAGGCCGATGATGTCGTGCTGTTCGCACAGTAACGCGTGGGACATGCCGAGCAGGTACGGGACGTTTGAAGACACAGTTCGGTTTCCGCACACTGCGGACACGCTGGCAGCGAGTCTGTGCACGAGACGCAGTCTGTTGAGTTGTCTCCACGCTCAAATATGAACGACCGCACCTCGTAGTACACCCCTTCATGGGGATCGTAGTAAAAGTCCATTAGTTTGAAGAGGAGAAAATGAAAAGATAATTTTAGCCATGATTACTTTTCAAGGGGCTCATCACCCGGTCATGGCCGCCTCATGTGCGCTGATGTGGCCGATTTAAGATGATACGCCGTTCTAGTATAGTGGTTAGTACTCTTGTTTGTGGCACAAGCGACCCAGGTTCGATTCCTGGGGACGGCAATTTTTTATCTCCAGGTGCTTTTTTTTTTCACGGACTTCCCCTGCAAGGTAAATTAGGAGTGGCTCTCTAATTGCCCGAAAAAATCATTAATAGCGGCTAAAGCATTGAAAGTTCGTTACACACATCCGTTACGTAATCCCAAAGTCGTGAGCGGGGCCCGGTTGGGCCATCTAGCAATCGTAGTTCTCACCCTTCTGCATTTCCATCGGCGGATACACCTGTTGCAGGTACTGCTGCTGGTATCTTAGCTGGTAGTCCTGGTCCATTGGGCTCTGCAAGTTGGCAAGGTGCTGGGAGTGTTTTTTTCTTGGTTTTTCCTCTTCGCGAGGCACAATGTCAATTAGGAAGTCAAACATGTCGCTCTTTTGCAAAGCAGCGGCGATGTCGGATCTTTGTAGCGTTCTTCGTTTGTGTTCCTCGGCATGGATCCATGCACGCATCGTTAGTTCTGTGATGAAGATGTCGCAGCCCTTGGCAAACAATATGGGAGCCTCGGCAGAGATCATTTTCACCTCCTCGTCGGTTTTCATCACTTTTTTAATTCTCGCTAGCGGGAGTTGGTGGTTCTTGAAGTCGTGGTTGTCGTGCTCGATGAAGTTGATGGTTTCTTGCCAGTACTGCATCATCATGTTCTTGTATTTGCCGCTCAGACCCTGTCCGACGTTACTGAACGCTCCAGACGGGCCGCCAAACTCGTCAGAGTCGTTTTCGGCTTCGTCATCGACGTCATTTTCCACCTCGCCATTATCCTGCGACAACTCTTCCTCAAGGTCGTCCTCGACACCAATACCTTCCTCGTCCAGATTCGGAGGCATCTGACTGTACCGGGCCATGGCGTACTGCTGGTCGCTGAAATCCTCAAAGGCCATATCGACGATAAAAACAAATGTTTTCAATTTTTACTTTAATTTTTTCTTCCCACGCTTTTAGCATGCCCAACCCATTTCAATCGTTTTCGTCGGTCCGTCCAAAACAGCACAAACAGACCTTCGACGAGTTGTACGGCGAGCCTGAGAACTTCCTGGAACTGGAGGTGACCAACCCGATCACCCACGGCAACAGCTCGACGCACATGTACACCGATTACGAGATAGTATGCCGCACCAATATCCCCGCGTTCAAGAAAAAGTACAGCAAAGTGCGCAGACGGTTTAGCGACTTTGACTCGTTCCGCAAGGTGCTGCAACAGGAAACCACCCGCGTGGTTATTCCGAAACTGCCAGACAAGTCGATTCTGAACTACAACAACCGGTTCAACGACGACTTTATCGAGGAGCGTCGCCAGGGCCTGGAGAAATTCCTCAATGTAGTGGCCGGACACCCTTTGCTCCAGACAGGGAGCCCAACGCTGATCCGGTTCATCCAGGACGAGAAGTGGAGATAAACGCAGCTCATTAGTTGCGCGAAATCCAGCCAAACAGCAACAGCTCCGTCGCAATTGGACCCTGTCAAATCTGCCTACATAACTTTAATAACCGCGATCGCATCGAAATCCGTAAATTGGTCCGTCGTTATTATTTCCGCCTTAGCAGCACACCTGGAAATTTCAAGGCTGGCAAAAATTACTCCTTAATTGCTATGGCCACCCAAATAAAATTGGGACGATCGCTCAACCTTTATAGCAAAAAATTCTACTCAATTCGCCACCGCTCTTGTTTTGCACCAGCCCCCACTTTTAACGCATACAGACCCACGTTCCGTCAACCAGTGTTCCACAACAAAATGAGACTAGTCACCATCTCCAATTCCATCAAGGAAGCATTGACCAAGAACGAGGTGATCCCCACGGTGATCCACTCGGAGTCGTTTTCGCCAAATGGATTCCTCATCATCTCCTACGGCAAGGATAAGGAGGTCGCAATGGGTAACACCCTCACCGTGGAGGAGACCCAGATAAAGCCTAAAATGGCATTCACCCTTAATTTGTCCAAAGACACGGACCCAAATTTCTCAATTGCTGCCTCGGACAGATTCACGCTTGTTTTGACCGATCCGGACGCACCCACGAGGGGCGACGAAAAATGGTCTGAGTACTGCCACTACGTTGCGAAAAATATCAAGCTGAATCCGTACGACCCGAACAATGTTGTGCAGACGTCGCAAATTGAGGAGCAACTCACCACGACTGATCTCAATGGCGAAGATCTGATTCCGTATTTTGGTCCCGCACCTCCGCCAAAGACAGGCAAACACAGGTACGTGTTTCTGTTGTACAAGCAAAAGCCTGGCACGGAGCCCGAGGCTCCGCCAGACCGCCCTAACTGGGGGACCGGTGTGCCAGGGTCAGGGGCCGCCGAGTGGAGTAAAGAGAACGAGTTGGAGCTACTAGCTGTCAATTTCTTTTACGCCCAGGACAAGGAGCAGTAAGGTGCATGGTTACGTAATCGTATATTGTTTAAGTTGAAAGCAGTTTCGAAACGGATGGCGATCTCAACAAATACGGCGACACAAGGCGTAGCAGAGCCGCCGGACAAGCGCCGGTGTACGCGGATGAATGACTACTTTGCGGGGAGAGTTGATTAGAAGTAGTAGTCTCTCGAGAGCGTTAGTCCGAATCGGGGGTGTACTTAAGATTACCCCGCTTGTCTGCCCGCTGTCGGGGTCTCTGTAGGGGTGCAAAAATCCAAAATGCCAGGCACTAACTGCCCAGCGCCAGCTGCATTCTCCAAGCTCGCATTGGGACAAAAACGAGTACGGAGTTGCAGGCGGCATTTGATTGGCAACGGAGACCGGAGTCCAGCAGCAAAAATTTTCGCTGGCCAATCATGTTACAAATTAGCGACGGGGGTGTCGGCACAGGGAGTGGGGTGTGGAAAATGGGGAACTTCATGCATGGTGGGACTCCTTTTTCCCTTCCTGATTGGGTGTCCGTGCGTGCCGCAAAGTGACTGTTGTCCAGCCTTTTGGAATTTAAAAAGCAGCGATTTCCGATTCAATTCAATCAGCTTCAACCATGTTGTCAATTACTAGAGTTTCAGCTTTGAGAACTCAGTTTGCTACTTTCGCCAAGCCTGCTGTCGCACAGCAGCTGGCCAGATACTCCACTGCTCCATCCATCCCAAAGACCCAAAAGGGATGTATCTTTGACACCGCTGGTGGTCCAATTGAGTACAAGGATATTCCAGTTCCAACTCCAAAGCCAAACGAGATTTTGGTTAACGTCAAGTACTCTGGTGTCTGTCACACCGACTTGCACGCCTGGAAGGGTGACTGGCCATTGCCAGTGAAACTTCCATTGGTTGGTGGTCACGAGGGTGCTGGTGTCGTTGTTGCTAAGGGTTCCAACGTCCAGAACTTCGAGATCGGTGACTTGGCCGGTATCAAATGGTTGAACGGTTCTTGTATGGGATGTGAATTCTGTCAACAAGGTGCTGAGTCTAACTGTCCAGATGCTGACCTTTCTGGTTACACCCACGATGGTTCTTTCCAACAATACGCTACTGCTGATGCTGTCCAGGCCGCAAAGTTGCCACCTGGAACTGATCTCGCTGCTGTTGCTCCTATTCTCTGTGCTGGTGTCACTGTCTACAAGGCTTTGAAGACTGCTGACTTGCGTCCAGGTCAAATTGTTGCTATCTCTGGTGCTGCTGGTGGATTGGGTTCCCTTGCTGTTCAATACGCTGTTGCCATGGGTCTGAGAGTCCTTGGTATTGACGGTGGTGAAGAGAAGGGTAACTTCGTCAAGTCTCTTGGTGCTGAGTTCTTCGTCGACTTCACCAAGGAGAAGGACATTGTCGCTGCTGTGCAGAAGGCTACCAACGGTGGTCCACACGGTGTTATTAACGTTTCTGTTTCTGAGGCTGCTATCTCCCAATCTGCTGAGTACGCCAGAACCCTTGGTAAGATCGTTTTGGTCGGTCTGCCAGCTGGTGCCGTCTGCAAGTCTCCTGTCTTCAACCACGTTGTGAAGTCCCTGCAAATCAAGGGTTCTTACGTCGGTAACAGACAAGACACCACCGAGGCCGTCGACTTCTTCACCAGAGGTCTTGTCAAGTCTCCATTCAAGATTGTTGGTCTTTCTGAGTTGCCAGAGGTCTTCGAGTTGATGGAGAAGGGTAAGATCTTGGGTAGATACGTCCTTGACACCTCGAAATAAGTTAAGTTTTGCAGAATATATTCATTTTTCTCTTCAATATATTAAGCTTTCTTCTTATGATTCAACTCATCTTGTAGTGGAGACTGGGAAAAAATGTTACCCACCGATTGTATTTATATTATTTCTTTCTTCCGTTTATTTACGGTACCGACACGGAAGACGATCGTGCATCTGATTTAAGTGGCTGTTTCGCTATGAACACTGACCTCGATTTTTGGCAATTTCGCAAGTTGCATGATAAAAACGACACCCTGCTGGACAAAGTTGAGAAACAATTGTTTAGATATGCTCTTCCGAATCTGCCACTGTGGGGGCCCCTTGCTCCTGCGCACGACTGCACCAATCTGCGTGCATTGATGGGTTTTGCTCAGTCGTATGTGGGGCTATCTCTGATCATGAGGATTGGGGGGTTGAAAGGGCTGCCTGTCTTGCGTCGAGTGACTTCGTCGTTTGTGCGCATAGTGGTTGGCTGTGGGTTTATCTACGGGGGTTCGACAGAGTTGAACAACGCCTGGAACCCTTACAATAACCCGTTGTATGTGGAGACGTGCTTTGCTCGCGATAAGGCTCTCCAGGACGGCGAGGAAAGCACCTATTGGCTGGGCCCGAAAAATTTCATGCCCATGACGGTTTCGCAGTACTACAACATGAAGTGGATGCAGGTTCTCACCACGACAGATGTGGAGAAGGTGAGTCGGTCGAAAATCATGGAGCAGTACTCCGAGCACCACGAAAAACTGAGACTTTCGCTGGAAAAGACAGGAACGCTTGGTGCGCGGGTCCAGGAGATCTCGAGCCGTCCAGCGCCAGCACGCGCCGTGCGCAAAGAGGAGGTGAGCTCGATCATGGGCGTGTTCCACACGGACGAAGACCTAAGTGACCCTGCTGTTGTGGAAAAATACTGGTTTGATAACCACCCGTGGATCAAGCTGCAGGTTCTTACTAACACAATGTATCTTGCATCCAACATTCCACGTGTTGCGCACATTGAGGAGCAGGAACAACAAGAACAACAACAAGAACAACAAGAATTACAAGAACAAGTCACGACTGATGAATAAAATGTATATAACGAACAGGAGTCCGACAAAATGCGTCAGGACCGCCCAAATCTATCAAAATCTACTGTTTCCAAGCGGCATGGAATTGCTGCCGCTCGACGAGTAACCTCTGTTACCGCCTCTGTAACCGCCTCTGCCACGGCCTCTTCCGTAACCACCACGGCCTCTGCCGTAACCACCACGTCCGTAACCGTATCCGTTACCTCTGTTGCCCTTCTTATCAAGAGCCTGCAGCTCAGGAGGAATGTCCTGCTTGGCCTCTCTCAAAATCACGATCAAATCGTGGGCCTGGCCGGAGTTACCCTGGGTGAAGAGAGTGATGGCAGTACCTTTCTCTCCAGCACGGCCGGTTCTTCCAATACGGTGAACGTAGTCCTCCACGTTACCAGGCATGTCATGGTTGATCACCGTGGTGACACCCTTGACGTCTAAGGTATTAGTTTACAAGATGATACCTTCCGCCCAACTCGAATATATTTCTATACTAAAGTGTAGCCAAGCGAAAAGTAATGTGGGGCGATTCCCACAAGCGCACTTACCAATTCCTCGGGCAGCGACGTCCGTGGCCACCATAATAGGCGCCCGACCGGATCTGAACTCGCTTAAAACCCAATCTCTTTCCCTCTGCTCTTTGTCGCCGTGAATAGCCAACGCTGGCCAGCCCTCTCCACGCATGTACGAGGTGATCTCGTCACATGTTCTCTTGGTGGAAGCAAACACAATCACCTTGGCTTGTTTGTCCTCCATGGCGGACTCCAAGTACTTGGCGAGCTTGTCTCTCTTCTCGTACTCGGAACAAACGTCGATGATCTGCTTGATGTTGTGGGAGGCTGCCAGGTCCAGAGATCCAACATTGACTTGAATGTAGTCCTTGAGGTAATCTCTGGCCAATGACTGGACAGATTTGGGCCATGTGGCCGACCACATCAGAGTTTGTCTATCAGGACGGATCTGGTCGACAATCTTACGGATCTGGGGCTCGAATCCCATATCCAGCATTCTGTCGGCCTCGTCCAGAACCAGGTAGGTCACTCTTCTGAGGTTGGTGCGACCAGAGTCCAGCATGTCCAAAAGACGGCCAGGCGTGGCAATACAGATTTCTGCTCCTCTGGCAAGATCTCTCACTTGTTGGCCCTTAGGAACTCCTCCGTAGACACAGGTGTTTCTGATTCTGGAAGAACGTCCGAACTTGGAGCACTCTTTCTGGATCTGAACCGCCAGTTCTCTGGTTGGAGCCAGGACCAAACAAATAGGACCATCGCCAGGCTGCAAAAGGGGCTGGGCATTGATGTGCACAATAGCAGGCAAACAGTAAGACAAAGTCTTACCGGAACCTGTCGAAGCAATACCCACCATGTCGCGTCCAGAAAGGGCCATTGGCCATCCTTGACACTGGATGGCAGTAGGGTTAGGAAATCCTTGAGCCTTCACCTCCTTTAAAACGTAGTCTGGGAACCCAGCCTCGTCAAAGCCAGTGATTGGTCTTGGGATGTCCTTACCATAAACCGTCATATCGTGCTCTTTTCTAAACGCAGCCACCTCATCTTCAGACCGCGAAGCAACGGCATCGGCCTCTTTGTAAAAATTCTTTTCAAATTTAGGCAAAGTTTCGAGATCAAAGTTAGGCTTAGTCAAATTAGCACCCAACTCGTAATCGTCTCTACGTCCGTAGCTGCCATTGCGGTCATCTCTGCCAAACCTGTTTCTATCACCGCCGCCATATGAACGGTAGCTATCTCTATTATTGTTAGTATACGACATTAAAAAAAGGGAAATGTATAAAATGTATGATAAAAAAATTTGATAAAAAAATTATCTTTATACGAAAAAGAAAGAAAAAAATTTCTCTCATTCTTTACCCGGCCCGCTAATCGTAGCCAGCTATACCTGAATCTGTCTAGTGATTGATTAAAATTACATCCGTAGTCGTTGCCTATGATCGCCTTATGGCTCCTCCGTGCTGTACTTTCTAGCGCTGATCTGCTCCCCGAAAACGTCCTCCACATGCGTGCAAAGGTCGACCAGGTCGTCCAGTCCCTTGTGCAGCGCCTCCACGGCACTCATTCCGCCGTATGTTTGGATCCGGATGTTCATCTTGCTTTCTGCCGGGTGCGGAATCGAGTACCCGCAGAACTCCACCTCTGGGTTCTTCATCACCATGTACCGAAGTGCGTTTCCAAGCGTGTGGTCCTCATCGCTGATCTGGAACGAGGCCGCGGTCCCGTCGGGCGTCGAGCCGGGCAGCAGCTTGATCTTCTCGGTGTCGAGCTCGTCCTGGCTCATTGTCTCGTCCACCACGTCTTCCATCACTACGTCTGACATACTGAAAAAATGCAATAGTTGAAAAAAAATTGTAGCCAGTCCAAAGACAGGGGGAAGAAGAACTGCGGACGGCGGAAGGCGAAATTGTTCATAACACATAAACAGACACTATCAGTCAACCCTCCTCCTCACATCCAGCAACCGTTAACTCTCCCATTGGTGCTCAAGCCGCCTCTGTCGCCACCGTACACCCTCCTCATTTTGGATTACATAATTGCTCAAGTCAGCAATTTCCTCAAACTTGCTCCAGCAAGGGCCATAAACAAAACACTTCTATAAAGAAATTTCGTGCAATTCCTGTGACACAAGATTCAAGGGTCCTAATTTATGTCGATGATCTACTCGTCCCAGCAACCGGATCCGGGAAATGGCACCCAGGGCGATCCTCTTAACGGGAAGCCGGGCTCGAAACTCGGGTCGACTTCCGAAGAGGTCCCTTTCAATTTTGCCAACAGAAGAGACTCGCTACTTACCGGATCATCCACAGCCCCAACAGACTTCTACCAACAGGGGGCCTCAGCCGTGGGGCCTGAACAGATGCACAACAACTCGATATCAGGTATGTTTCCCCGCCAGGACAGCATTTTCTTCCCTCGGTTTTCGTTCGACTCCACAGGGCAGCCGGGCAGTTTTAGTGCTGCCTCGCACCAGCCGCCGCCAGAAGGGTTCCCGTACAGCGATATCCAGCGCGAGTACTCGTTTGTGTATCCGCAGGGCAACCCAAATACCCAGGCACAGGCTTATGTGCACCCGTACTCTTCAGAGAGACACCCCACGTCAAACGACCATGTTTATGCTCGGAGACCGAGCGAACAACTGGAGCCGTTCATCACATCGCAACAACCACAGCAGCAACAGTCTCAGGCGTCGCAGTATGCTCCCCCACAGATGCAACCGGGAGGAAGGTCCCGAAGTAACAGCCATTTCTTCAAGCGATATCCCAACAGTGAGCTGCCTGTCGGAGACGTTGACAGTTTTTTGAAGCGCGACAGCGTCAACAAGATATTCGACCAGAACGGCGACCTTCTCGATAGCATTCCATACAATGACCAGCAGACACAGACGCAACAGACGCAACAGCAGTTCCAGCCAGGACACTCGCGACCAGGCAGTATTTATTCGGCAGCACCGGTGCTCCCGATCCCGCCCCGGATGGTTCTGGAGCCAGGGAAGGGTGTCCAGGGATTCCAGAAGCCACAGCAGAGCGCACAGTCTGTGCAGGAACCAGAAGATATCAAGACAGCAGACAGAAAACGTCCGGCACATTTCTCCACGGACTCGCCAGGACACGGCAACGCGGGTGCCTTGTCCGCCAGCAAGAAATCCAATTTGCAGCAGGCGGCTCAGCCACTTGCCCCAGCTCCGCAGCAGATCGCGCCCCAGATCAAGTCGGAGTACGGCAACGTCTCGAACCTGGTTCCTGCAAACCAGGCCCTGCAAACAGAGGACGGCCGGCCTCTTATTGGAGCCACCAAGGTGGACCAGCTGATGCTGGTGATCCAGGCGCGCAAGAAGGGGCTCACGGGCGACATTCGCCAGGCAGACGACGGCACCATCCTGGAGGAGGTGGCTCCGGGCAATCCAAGCACGTCTGTGCTACCAAACCCGGTGGAGCTTGTTGGCGGGGTGGAGAAACCAAACATCAGGGGCCACAAACAGCACCAATGCCAGTACTGTTTCAAGAAGTTTACGCAGTCCACTCACCTGGAAGTGCACATCAGGTCGCATATTGGACTCAAGCCGTACGAGTGCTCCTATTGCGGCAAGAGGTTTACGCAAGGAGGCAACTTAAGAACACACTTGCGTCTTCACACGGGTGAAAAACCGTTCAAGTGCGAGGTTTGCGAGAAGTCGTTCTCCAGAAAGGGCAATCTCCAAGCACACATGTTAACGCACAACAACTTGCGGCCGTTTGTGTGCAAGTTTGACAATTGCAACAAGAGTTTTACCCAACTAGGCAATTTGAAAGCTCACCAGAACCGGTTCCATTTGAAAACTTTAAACGAGCTCACCAACAAGCTGGCGCACATTTCATCGTCGTCCAACTCGATCGACTCGCTGCCGCCCAACGAGCGGGATTTGTTACTGTATTTCGCCGACCTGTACAAGAACCTGAACAGAGGAATCCGGGGCCGTGGTAAGGGCGTGAAAAACGCAGACGCGTACCCGGGCGAGGGCCTCTAGCGGCCGTATAGACAGATATATAGTGCAGTCGGCCATCTTCATGTAATTCGATTATGTATTAAGTAACTTTATTGACTTTCCCGATTATTATGTCTTCCCGTTGTACTCATTTGCAAAGCCTGAGTTCCAGTCGTTTGGGAATATATCATCAAATTCGTAACGTTTAGGAGATCCCCGGTAATTGTTTTCTATGCCGTTGAATCCTTTGCTCGACTGCTCTGCGTGGGACACCGTGGACAGTCCTGATGGGATGGAACCAAACAGGTCTGGGTTTTGAGTAGTTTGGGGCTGCGGTTGCGGTTGCGGTTGCGGCTGAGAATCTATTGGCTCCGGGAACTGCTCTGGCATGAGTCCCGGCTCCGGTGTTGTTTCCGTCGACTGCTGGTTCGAGTTCAACATGTATGGCGGCAGGAACCGGCCAAAGATCTTCATGTCCAACTGGTCCATCGGGCCAGGCACGTACTTGTACTTGGAGTTTGGCTCCTGGGGCGAGATCGCCGGCGGAACAGCTCCCACGCTGCCCACGTCCGCTGCAGACCGGTCAAACGTCCGTTCCAATGACGGCAGGTTCAGGTTGATGCCCGTCGACACACCGTCGATGAAGTTCACGCCGTTCACGATGTTGTTGATCTCGGAGTTCTGCATCTTGGAGTAACCGTTGAACGGCTGTTGCGGTGCCTGTGGGGCCTGTGGGGCGTACTCGTGTCTGAGATGGGAAGGAGGCAGCGGAATGGCCATTGGCTCGGCGCCCGGGTGGTCGCGCTGCTCGAACTGCGACTTGCCAACCTGCGGAGTGACAAACTGCGTGCTTGGGGTCTCGTGGTTGATGATGGCGTTGGCGGTCTTGCGGTTCAGCTCCTCGAACAGAGCGTTCAGAATGTTGTATGTCCGTTTGGCAGCCATGCTGCTGTCCTTCAGAATGTCCAGCACGCGCTTACCGCTCTCGGCGTCCTTCTTGATGGCCATGTACTCCGGGTCGAACGCTCCTGACGAGGTGATTGGCGGAGCAAAGTGCACGTAGTACACCAAACAGGCCACAGAAAAGAAAATCGTGTAGATCGAGAACCAGTACGAGCCACTCAGCATGTTCTTGTTGATCATGTCCTCGGCAAGCTTCACCACGATCCGCGCAACGTTGATACAGTTCTTGGCCTTCTCGATGCACTTGAGGTCGTTGGACGTGCGGGGCCGGCTGGACTGGTCAGACGAAATGTAGTGGATGAACGGCCGGTACAGAATGATCTTGACGTGCAAGTACGAGATGTGCAGCAGCCGGTTGGCCTTGAGGTACTGGCTCGACGGCTCGACACCTGGCTTGAGCTCCAACGGCAGACTGTTCATCCAGTCCTGCAGATCGATCTCGAGCTGGTACACGATGTCGTGGGTCATGAGCTCGGGACGTAGCCCGTTCTCCACCTTGCGGGGCTTGATCGGGTACAGTTTGGTGACAATCTTCTTCATGATGAAGATGAGAGTTGTGTGCGCGTTGGCAATTCCCGAGCTCGAGAGACGGTCGCCCTGTTTCTCGAACCGATAGCCGTCCACGGTGATGTTTTCGTCGTCGAGCTCTATTGGCATGTCCTGGTCAAAGTCGTCCTCGCTGATTGTACGAGGCAGACCCAGCATCGTGTTGACGTAAATGTCCATCTTGTAGATGGTCCAGAACAGCCGTTTTCTAATCTCGAGCTCGATGGGGTTGAATGGATAGTCCAGCTTTCTGTGCAGGCCTTCTCTCAGCGCGGCTCGAAGCGCAATGCCAATGTATGCGTAGCAGGTGGACAGTCTGGCGGAACACTGCAAGAAAATGATCAACATCACAATCGTCTGGATACCGTAGGTGTCTCTGGTGTCTGTGATGTCGATCAGCTTTCTTGCAGCAATGAAATATCTATAACCTTCATCCTCAAACACCTCGTTCTCGGTGTGTTGCTCGCCGTTCTTGGAACCGGTGGTTTTCTCGTCGCTCTTGAGGAACAACGCTCCACAGGCCATCACCGAGTACACCAGTGGCAGGAACCGCTGCTGCTTGTTGGTGTACTGGCTGGGCTCTGTGTCGTACAGCTCGTTTAGGTCCTCAATGAAAGCGGGCCGGTGGTAGAAGCGGAAAAGCACACAGGCGTTTTCCCAGGTCTGTGTGATCAGACGCAGGGCGACCTCGCGCGAAGGAAGAATGATCTTGATCTCCTTGCCCATGCTGGACTCGTACGAGCCGTCAATGCCTGGATGGACGTTTGAGGCTCCGTGCGGACTGTGGAAATGCAGGGTGTCTGCTGGCGAATGGTCGCGTGGTTTCATCGTGGTGGACACCGACGGCGACTTCGACACGGTGGGCAACGACGGCACAGGCACGTCGGGCAACGCAGAGTACTCTTCGGCAATGGTCTTGCTGGAATCCTTGGACTCGTCACACGACTTCTCGCGCAGCTTGTTCATGGCCGTTACGAGCTTCATAGGGTTGATTGGCCGCGGATTGTCGTTCAGATCGGTCAATTTGATGTCGGGGAGAAGCCGGTGGAGAATGTCGTCGTACAGCTTGAGTCTATCGGTGAGTCTGGCCATCATTTCTGGGTTGCTGATAGGCAGTTGCGAGCTGGGGCCTGAGCCATGGTTGGCCGAGCCGTGGCTCGACGGCGAGGCGCCAGATCCAGGCTGGGTCTTCTTCTTTGTCCTGCTAGGCTGGTCGTACGTGCATTCGTAGCTGTACACCGTGCAATGGATACAAGGAAGATCGCCCGAACATTTAATCTTGAGCTTCCGACATCGGTCGCACGCACGCACCACTCTGCGCTTCTTCTGCCAAACCATCCCAGAGGCGTTTTCTGACCCTGGCGGCATGATTATTTTCGGCGGCGCAGACATGCTGGGCTTCATCAGGATCTCCCGTCCTATCTCCTGGCCGGACTGATTGGAATGCCCTGAATTAGGACCCTCCTTGTGCGAGGGCGCCTCAGGTAGTTCCATCGAGTTGATCTTTCGTTTGGACATCTGTGCACCGGGTTCGGATCGCTATTATGCTGGATGTTAAAGCCTTTTTACATGCACTTATACAGCAAAAGGGTACAATTTTTTCCAAACCGCATTAGGTCCCCTCAATTCCACCAAAATAACGCGGCAGTGAAAACATCTCTACCATGAAGATTTTACTTAAAACTAGCTATTTCCTTTATTTTACATACACATTGTTGCTGTCCCTTTGTTTTATCCTAAGCTCCTATTGTATTATTTCCCGTTCTTATTGTTTTAGTGATTGCTGGCTTTGTGCCGTCCTGTTTGTACAGGGTTCTTGCTTATGCCTCTGTCTCCGATCCGGAGTCAGATTTGTCCTCTGACCAAGCTTCTGCCCAGAAGTGTGGCATCGGGCCTGGGGACCCAGGAAAATCGCCCCGTCTGCCAGACCGGCCTCTCCACTCTCTGTGGCGGCCAAACCCACGCGCTCTTGGGAACTCGTGCTCAAACCCTGGTGTAGCCCCAAAATACCGGTGGTGGTGCGGGTGGTGTGACCACCCGTGTGGGTGTGGGGGAGGGGGTGGACCACCAAACCCACCAGGACCTCCATGGCCAAAATGTCTTGGTGGAGCATGATGTGGTGGGGGTGGTGGGAACCCATACGGCCCAAACGAGTCAAAATCCTCGAACGGCTTGTACCGGGCGTCAAACACCCACGGCAGACCCCTCGAGCTGCGGCTGTGGTGTTTTCTCTTGCGCTGACATCTGTGGCAGCCTTCGTCGGTCTTTGTCGACTTGGCTGCAGATTCGCGGTGAGATTCCTTTCTTTGCTCAAGCGTCTCGGCGATCTTGGCCATTAAGGCCAGAAGTTCTTCGTCGGTGGCGTCCTCAAGCTCAATAGTGGTGACTTCCTTTTCTGTCATGATTGAATGGATTTCAACGTGGGAATAAGCTAACTATTTATACAGGTTCGGGAGTCCAAAGCAAAAGTTTGAATCCCGAAGGCTGAGTCGCCGAAACAATAGATGCGGCATTTTATTTGCTGTTTGCAATTTCATGTTTGCCGGAACTTGCATGGCCTCATGCACGTAAAATGCCGAGGTTTGGTCACCGGTTTCCCAAGATTTTTCCCATCGGCGCATCCTTGCACCACTTCAGAAAAATTTCACGGGGTTACGGGCAGCTTCTTTTTTGGGGGACGCGCGCGCGCGGAGTAGGGTTCTCCACGCATGGACGATCAGTCACACCTTCCCCATTTTTTGCTAAATTGTTAAGCGGCAAAACTGTAGGCTAAAAACGTGGTGGTGTGGATGTTTACCAGCCACGACAGCATTGACTTTAGTCCGACGTGCTGCTTGTACATACACATACTGAGTCGATAGCCTCTGTCACAAACTGTGGAGAAGGTTTGCCTGTAGCTTTAAATATTTTTGTACTAGTGCATCGTTTCTTTTGCAGGAACTCCACCGGTTTTTTTTAAAAAAAGAGTCTGACCAATTTTGCAGCGCCGTGCGGTTGGCCAATATAAATTGCTAAATAGCCCCCTCTTTGTAATTGATTTCGATAATGTTTGGAAAACAGGACCAACAAAACAGCACCGAGACCGAGGAGTTCAAATCTAAGCTCAACTACGGAGCAGAGAAGGAGAAGCAGATTATGAACGAGATCAGAAATGGCAGTAAGGCCAAGGCCTACAACCAGCTGTTCGAGAGCAGTCTTGGAGGAGGCTACTTCAGCTTTAGTTACCGCAAGAATTAGAGCACCCTAATAATACTTAATACGCTACGATTATGAGTTTTTGCGAGTGTAGACCGTTGTAGCTCTGTTCTGTTTTCGCTTGTACCGGTGTCGGGGGATGTGGAGCCATGGTTCGGAGTTTTTCGTTTCCCAAAATGGAAGTCCGCGAGTTGGAGGCAGGAAAAAAAAAAATAGTAAAAAAAGCGACCTCGGTGAGGATCGAACTCACGATCTTGCGATTAACAGTCGCATGCCTTAAACCAGCTTGGCCACGAAGTCAAGATTGAGTAATTTACGAGCAATAGGTTTTTATGGGGAGTGGTCACAACTTGGCAAGGTGTTGCAGGTCAATTGTATCGCAATGGGGGGCCATCGAGCTGAATGGGAGTGACATGGACTTGTGGAGAAACCGGACTGGTCTCCGTGTAGCCCCACTGAGCTTTGTTCTGACTTTTCAGTTCTGTCCAGACAGACATGTTTAATTATCGGCAGATATAAAATGTACATGAAGTTTCGACAACTAAACTTCTGTTCCAGCACTTCTTCAATTGTCTATTTCGTTCACTCGCATTGTCTTTCCTCCAACTCCTCGGTCTCTCCTTCTAGTGATTCCTCCCCAATCCCTAGTTCCCCCTGCTGCCCCCTCCCCTTGTGAATAAATCCCTCCAAAAATATTTTGTCTTGTTATTTCTCGCCATGTTTTTTCTCTTCTTCTTCCTGCTGCTGGTGGGCGCCCTTCCCGCGGACGAGATGTTCCGCATCGACTGGCAGACGGTGCAGATAGGCCGTCCGTTCGCCGCGCTGCTCGACAACGGCCGGGTCTTCTCTCTCACCGACGAGAATATCTTTTCTGTTCTCGACGCAACGACGGGGTCGGTGTTGTACCGTTTCCAGTCACCGGACCCGATCTCCCATGACTCGCTGCTACTCGCCGCGTGGGACGAGCTTGTTGCTTCGGGCCTGAATTCAGAAACAGGACCGTCGCGGCTGGTGTTCTGGACTAAAGAAGGCCTCGTCGACCACGAGCTCGAGGTGGGCCCAATTGCCGGCATTCACAGCGTCAGAGACGAGTCACTTCTCGTGGTGCAGAAAGACGGCTCCGTTTTGCAAGTCGCCAAGGACTACACGGTCGAAACCATTGAGAAGCTCGGGCCCGTCAGTGCAAGCAAACTGGCCTCGTTTGCCAACGATCTGGTGCTCGTTGCAAAAACAGCCTCGAAAACAGCATACAAGGTGCTTGGCGGCGAAGAGGGCATCCTCGGCTGTAAGTTTGAGTCGATCCTCGTCACAGGTGACGAAATCGTCTGCAACAAAGACGCTTACTCGCCGGAAAACGGCAAGCTGGCTAAACACAAGAATTCCGCACTGTCGTCCATCGCAGCGGGCGAGGAGCTCGCGCGCGTGGTCAATTTCCAATACCTGGCCACTCTCGGTGATCAAGTGAGTGTCTACGACTTGGATGAGCTGAAAGGCCCGTCCAAAAGCTACCCATGGACAGCAGGTACTACGGACTTGGTCGAGTTCGGCACAATAGACGACAAGCTGGCGATCTTTGCAGTCACCGGTCCTTACATCCAGTTCTACCTGGACGGCGAGCTGCTCTGGGCCAGGGACGAGTCGCTGGCCAGAATTCAGGACGTGGTGGTGGCTGATCGCCATGAGAAACTTAGTGTGTCCACCTTCGATCTGATTCACGAAAACCAATGGTCTGGATACATTGACAGATTGAAGCGCAACTTCTACCTTCTCTCCAATCACAAACCTATCGACACACAGATGCACTTTGGATTCAATAAGTCGATCATTGTCCTGACTGAAAATGGAAACTTGTACGGCTACGATTCGTACGGCAAACAGGAATGGGCCATCAAGGACAGGGGGTTCAGCAAGATCGCAGTGGAGGGAGATTTTGTTTACGCGTTCAACGACAAGACGTATGTTGTTGCCGATGGAACTCTTCATCCTGCTGACTTCAAACTAGAGCAACCAGCTGAATACCCTCCAAACATTGACGAGTCTTTCCGTCTGATTACAACTGAAAAACGGTCGTACGACAACGTGCAAGTTGCGTCGCCTGCTGTTGTTCTGGGAACCAGAAGAGTCTTGTACAAATATCTTCATCCAAACACAGCACTGGCAGCTTTCTACAATGATGAGACAGAGTCGCTCAAACTTGTTGTTTACAACGAGGCCACAAACCAGACGTATGCGTCGTTTATCCACTCGACAAACAACCCAGACTCGTTAAACTTGGATTTCGAAGAAAACTTCATTATATTTACAACGACTGAGAAAAACGCTCCTACCAGCGTTATTGGTGTGATCGAGCTATACGAGTCGCTCACTCCTGACGAGCGGTCGAAGTCGCCGGAGGCCCAGCTGCGCACGTACATTTTCCCTGCGCGGATCAGTGCGCTCACGGTGACCAGAACCAAGTATAACATTACCTCCAAATGGTTGATTCTTGCATTGGAGACGGGCGAGGTGGTGGCGGTGCCGCGCACCGTTGCGAGCGCCAGACGGCCGTACGGCAGCTTGGACGCAGACCAGAAGGAAGAGTTCCAGCTGTTCAAGTATCAACCGGTAGTGCCATTGAACCCGAAAACCACGCTGTCTCATTTCCGCAAGCTTGTCGGAATCAACAAGCTTGTTTCTGTTCCCACCGAGCTGGAGTCGACCTCGCTGGTGATTGCCTCGGGAACCGACCTGTTTGTGACGTTTGTGCGGCCGTCGAGCTCTTTCGACTCGATGAGAAGCGACTTCAGCAAGCAGACGCTGCTGGCCACAATGGTGGTGTTGCTGCTCTCGATTCTTGTTGTTCGCCCGATGGTAGACCGCAAGCGGGTCGCGGACGTGTGGGTGACCCGGACCTAGCGGTCTCTGCGTCTGCGCTCTGTTTTTCTGCCGAGCTCGAGGTCTTTGCGGCAATCTGGACAGTACCAGATTCCTTGCGGAGGCTCTTTGAGACCGACACAGTCATAGTGGAACCATTCATATTTACAATCCGAGTTGTCGCATGCAATCATGTTCCCGTAAGATACCTGCTGACAGAAACAGTACAGCTCGTCTTCTTCGTTTGAGTTGCGTGGAGCCTTTGGGATAGTCACTGTTCCTGAGGCTCCGTGTTCGAGGAACGAGCTTTTTTTGCGCGGCGCCTTGAGTATCATGTCATCCATTTCGTAGTCGCTCAGCTCTTCCGACGTCATTCGGTTGCGTAGACCCATCATCGAGCCCGAGTACCCGCCCATATAAACGTTGGACGGCGTGGAGTGTCTGGACTTTCGAGGCAGTCTGTTCTTTCGCGGACCGGACCCGAGCGAGTCCAGCGACGTGCTCGAGATCTGCGAGCTCAGCATGTCCAGCATCCCGTTGTCGGCATCCTCTTCCTCGGACGACTCCTCGTTCAAAATCGGCGGCACCACGCCCTCCTGTTCCAGTCTCTCGATGTCGTTCTCCAGCCGGGTGAGGTGTTTAGCAATAGAAAACAGCGCCGTGTTGGCCAAAACGCACTTTTCCTCCTGCAACTTGATCGCCTTCTCGTAATCCTCCCTATTTTTCAGATATATCTGGTCTTCTTTGGGATGTTTCACCAACGAGCCTTGTTGCTTGATCAACTTGAACAGCTGGTTATCGCGCTGATTGATCCGTTTCTTCACATCATGCTCCTTCAAGTCCTTGTCGCGGAGCTCTTCCAGTAAATAAGCCAGCTCCGACGGCAAGTTCGACAGATCCTGCGTGTACTGTTCTAATAACGTGGAGGCGTCCATAAACAAATAATTACAATCTTTTTTTTTTGGTCAATGATTACTTAATACTTAAACCTGCTTATTAGGCTTTCTAATGTCTGTCTCGGCAATAACCTGGTTGTACTTTCCTTGGTTTCCAAACCGACTCCGTTTAGGCTTGCGGATGTGCGAGAAGTCTCTGTGCTTGCGGTTCAAGTAGAGGAATAAATACATTCCAAGCACAGCAAGAACCACAACCGTAGGAACAGACATGATGATGTAATACACGTCGTCGTTTGTTCCTGTGCGGTCCTGTAGCTCCTTGTCGACCTTGCTGTTTTTCGCGACCGTGGCACGTCTTTGGAAATGAACCGTCACGTGGTGCGACTTGATCAGGTCGAACTCGTCGTCGTCCACGTTGTCAGGCTGCACAGCCACAAGAATGGCCTTGCTCTGCTTGTCGCCGAGCCACTCGTTGTCGACCTCTATTGGGAAGTACCCGTCCAGGTTCGGTATCCAGTCGGACGTGAAGAAGGCTCCTGGGATGAGTCCCTTGTGTTGCTGCGAAGGCACAATGTTCTTTGGTTTAGGTTTCACAGGGGCCCCCAAATCGTCCAGATCAACCAGGCCTCTTTTCACCATACCAGCGTCTCTGGACGCCTCTTTCAAGAATGCATAGTGGATACGCACTTTCTCAGCCTCGGGGAAGAACCGGGTGAACCACGTTAAAAAGTATGTTCTACCAGCCAGCAGCTTCTGGTTTTCGTGCGGCGAGCAGAACGGCTCCGAGCTCAAATCCTTAGCAAGACCCTTCTTGTAGTACGAGTTCGGAGTGCATCTCATTAGTGGGTTCAGCGACACGTAGGTGTCATCTTCAGGTTCCCAGATCACCTCTGTGAAAACCTGATCCGGGGCCATGTTGTGCGCCTTAAGCTGTTCCTTGTTGTAGGTGACGGTAGATGCGGTTTGGAAGTATGTGCTATAGTCAGGGCGGGCGTTCTGGGTTTTCCCGTTCTTTATCTTGGGTCTGATGGTTTTTGGAGACCCGTCTTTTTTCAACGACACCCAAGGCTCCAATCCGTCGGTTTGGGCGGGAGGCTTTGCGCTGAAGGTGATTCCAGCGATCACTGTTGGGGTGACGATTTCTGGGATCGTGCCGTAGATTGTGCGGATCCAGGGGGCCGGTGCCTCAGACGAGGTGTCTGGGGTGGCCCCTTTGTTTTTCATCTGGTTGGCATAGTCCTTGTTGACGATCACCTTCTTGGCCCTTTTTTCCAACGGGGCGCTGGTCTTGGTGGGCAACCCAGGTCCTGTGGATGGGTCTGGCAGAATCGCCGGCAATGCCGAGGCGTGCAATGCCAGAAGCAGATAAATAAAAACCCTCATTTTGCAAATTATTTATTTATTTATTAGAAATCAAGAAAATGATATCAAAGCGAAAATCCAAAATTATCCGAAGCCGAAATTCAATTACTCAGGTTTTCACAAGATAGAATTATTTGTCATCGTTAAATATCGTAATGCTAATCATGAACTTATAATCTTACCAATCACCAAAAGGTATATAATGCCGTCAATGGTCTTCTGTTGGTAGTATCAATTCATTATGACTACCACTCCTGCACTCAAAGACACTAAGCTATTCAAATCAATCAAGGTTGGAAACATCGAGCTTGAAAACAGACTTGTTCATGCTCCTACTACTAGATATCGTGCTACTAAGGACAACGTTCCTACCGACTCTTTGCTCACCTACTACGAACAAAGAGCAGAGAACAACGGAGGTCTGTTGATCTCTGAAGGAACCTATGGAGCCGATAACTGGGGGTTGCACAATAACGTCCCTGAAATTAAGACTCCTGCACAGGTTGAGGGCTGGAGACAGGTTGTCGAGGCCGTTCACAACAAGGGCTCTTTCTTCGCAATTCAATTGTGGAATATGGGTAGAGCCGCCGACCCAAAGCTCAATAAGGAAAGAGGACTGCCATTTGTTGCTCCATCCGCGCTCTACTTTGACGAAGAGAGCGAGAAAGCCGCCAAGGAGGCTGGAAACGAGGTTCGTGCTTTGACCATTCCCGAAATCGAGGCATACGTCAAGGAGTTCGGCGCCGCAGCTAAGAGAGTGGTTCACGAAGCCAAGGCAGACTTTGCCGAGATCCACGGAGCTCAGGGATATCTCCTTGATGAATTCAACCAGGCCGAGGCAAACGAGAGAACAGACAAGTACGGAGGCTCTATTGAGAACCGTGCGCGGTTCTTACTCGAGTCCATCGACGCCGCTATTGACGCCGTGGGAGCAGAACACGTTGCTGTTAGATTATCTCCATACGCCACATTCCAAGGTATCAAGGGAGTTGATTCGTCGTGCCACCCGATTGCCTTTTTCGGCTACGTCCTGAGTGAGCTCGAGAAAAGAGCCAATGAGGGAAAACGGTTGGCCTACGTTTCCGTGGTGGAGCCTCGTGTCAGCGGAAACGCTGATAGCAAGGATACCAGAGAATTCAACACTTCGTGGATCAGAGAGATCTGGAAAGGTGTCATGATTAAGTCTGGCGCTTACTTGAACGAGAATTACAAGTTTTTGCAACAGGATGTTGAATCTGACGACCAGTTGCTGATTGGTGCTTCAAGATACTACACCTCGAACCCAGACTTGGCTGACAGGCTTAGAAACGGATGGAAGCTCAACAAGTACGAGAGATCGCTGTTTTACAAGGTGTTTTCGAACGAGGGTTACATCACCTTTCCGAAATACGGCGAGGAGGCTTCCAAGTACAAATACCTGGAGACAGTTACGCCTAAACCTTTGGCTTAGAGAAGCAATTTCTTTTTGAGTTTTGAATAGAAATGATATACATTAGACGGATTTTAAGGATTATTAGCAGATGATTAGGTAGCTGATTACAAAGACATGCTCCTGTTGAGTGGGATTTGAAAACTATGCAAACATGTTATCCATGCCAACCGCGCGGTCTTGGCTGTGTTCACCATCAGTTAAGAAAATACATGGCAAAGCACGTCATTGGGGTGCATTTGTGGCAAATCGACACCAAACAGGATAATTTACTCGTCAAGGGGTGGTTTGCGGCAGCAGAACATGCAGGGTGTCACATGACCATGCGGGAGGGATCTTGATCTAAGTTGCTGTACATATGGGTCTTGATTTAAAGGAGCACCCCCTGTTTGCTAGCTACTGGGAACGAATATAGAACATCATGTTAGTAATCACTAACCGCCATCCACAACGACAATGCCAAGAATCGATTATTCGAACATTACTCGTAACAGAAGTCGTAATTGAAGTTTCCATAGGGTCTTTGTTTGGCTCCCATCTTCACACGGTTCGAGTTCGTCAGTTTTTGCACAGCCCTGATTTGATGTCTGAGTTGGATCGAGATTCAAGAATGTGTAGCAGATCATCTCGATCGTCCAGTAGTCCTAGACGCTTACACCCAAGCACTCAAACTCTTCATTTTCAACTGAACAGCAAAGATGACCTGTCAATTCTTGCACTTCAGCAAATAAACAGACGAACGAATATACATTAGTTTTAGACTCCCTTTATTGCTGAGATAATTAAGTCAATTTGATTCACGCAGCAAATTGTGCCACATAGGATCAATCTGAATCCTTTGTTCATGATTATGAGAGCTTTTCCATTCATCCCCACAAGTGGCTTGCTGGTGTTTGTATAACGGTGAGCAATTGACTCAGGCTGGGTAGCAGCTTCCAGTGTTTATCTGCTACCGTCTAACCCCGTCGATTAGAACGGCGTGTCATTTCTTCAGGAAATGAAAAATACAATCAATAAGGCTCATTTACTGCTGACGAAAAGAAAAGAAGCACGCTCACGTTTGCCAATGACATTAGACATTTCTTACTTCCGCGTGGAAAATCAAACTGTCCGGTACATTTGCGACAAATCTTGACAAAAGTCCAAACAGAAATACTCTCCAGATCTGTTCTTCTAGTTTGCTAGTAATCTTGATGACTTCAGAGATTTGCCCATTTGCGGAGACAACTTATCGTTCGCTGATAAGTTCTATAAGTGGAGGTTTCTGGCGCACCCCATATGGCTGGTGTGTGGCTGGTACGAGATGACGTGTAATGCAAAAGCTCTTGCATTACACGACCCTCTTCGGTAAACACAAAAAGAATCAAGGCGAACGAACTTTAATTTCGCGAAAGCCGGTCACCGTTTCTCGGCCTTTCTATAGAGTCCGACTGGCTGCCATAACGCAATTTAAGCCGCTACCATTCATGAATGGATCGTATTACTAATATTCAAAAGGTATAAAACCCACACTGGTCTCCTATATCTATTCATAATGACTGTCATTCCTCCTCTCAAAGACACAAAGTTATTCAAGCCCATCAAGGTTGGTAATGTTGAGCTCAAGAACAGGCTTGTTCATGCTCCCACCACCAGATATAGAGCTTCTGACGCCCATGTTCCTACCGATTCGTTGCTCACCTACTACAAGCTACGTGCAGAGAACAATGGAGGTTTGTTAATCTCTGAAGCAACCTTTGGAGACGACACCTTTGGTTTGTACAACAATATCCCTGAGATCAAGACTCCTGCACAGGTTGAGGGCTGGAGACAGGTGATCGAGGCTGTCCACAAGGAAGGTTCCTTCTTTACGATCCAGCTGTGGAACCTCGGTAGAGCTGCCGATCCGAAGGTGAACAAGGAAAGAGGACTGCCGTTCGTTGCTCCATCTGCACTTTATTTTGACGAAGAGAGCGAAAAGGCCGCCAAGGAGGCTGGAAACGAGGTTCGTGCACTTACGATTCCTGAGATCGAGGCATACGTTAAGGAGTACGGTGAAGCAGCCAAGAGAGTTATCTACGAGGCCAAGGCTGATTTCGTCGAGCTCCACGGAGCACACGGATACTTGCTGGATCAGTTCAACCAGCCTGAGGCCAACGAGAGAACCGATAAGTACGGAGGCTCTATCGAGAACCGTGCGCGGTTCTTACTCGAGTCCATCGACGCCGCTATTGACGCCGTGGGAGCAGAGCATGTTGGTGTCAGATTGTCGCCATACGCCAAATTCCAAGGTACCAAGGGTGTCGACTCCAAGACTCATCCAATTGCCTTTTTCGGCTACGTTCTGAGTGAGCTCGAGAAGAGAGCCAATGAGGGAAAACGGTTGGCTTATGTTTCTGTGGTGGAACCTCGTGTCAGCGGAAACGCCGATAGCAAAGACACCAGAGAGTTCAACACTTCGTGGATCAGAGAGGTCTGGAAAGGTGTTTTGATCCGTTCCGGTGCATACTTGAACGAAAACTACAAGTTCTTGCAACATGATATTGAAGCTGACGATCAACTGCTGATTGGTGTTTCAAGATACTACACCTCGAACCCAGACTTGGCAGAAAGGCTCAGAAACGGATGGGAGCTCAACAAGTACGAGAGACCACTCTTCTACAAAGTGCTCTCCAATGTGGGCTACATCACGTATCCAAAACACGGCGAAGAGGCCTCCAAATACAAGCATTTGGAATCGGTGCAGCCCAAACCTTTGGCTTAGATAAGCAGTTTCTAGATAAGTTTTATACAGTCAACAGAAATTCACGATAAATAAATAAAGACATGTCTGTGCCAAACCAGTCGTCGTCGTCTAAAGTTGGCTCGTACGGGGCCATTCCGATCCCTAACCGGTCCACCAAGCCCAGCAAGTCGATGGTATTCCACTCGCCGTACGGGTCGTACAAGGCGTCCAACTCTTTGACTGGCTTTGCGTCATCGTACCACCGTGCGCAGTCGTTCCGGTCGCTCGAGCCCCGGTACAAGGCGTCACGGTCATACTTCCAGGATGACGAGGCACTCGTCGACCCTGACACTTTCGCTCCGTCGCCCATGGGCCGCAAGATCTCGCACGTGCTGCAGAGCAGACCGATTCTGGACACCTCAGTGTTTGACGAGGCGGCCGTGGACGATGCCTCTTTTGCGGACCACTCGTTTGCAGACCTATCGCGTGCTGGATCTCTGCACTCATACGCGGCCTCCATGTTCACCGCGGACGACTCGTTCGCGTTCCGGCAGGTTGAGGACCAGGACGGGAAAGTCGTCACCATGCTGGCCCCAAGATCGACTGTCGCACAGACCGTCTTCAACAGCATCAACGTGCTGATCGGCATTGGCCTGCTGGCCTTGTCCAAGGCAATGAACTACTCCGGATGGTACGGTGGCTGCTTTTTGCTGGTTTTCTCTGCCTGCATCACTTACTGGACAGCCACGCTGCTCAGCGAGTGCATGGACACTGACCCGACCCTGGGAACCTACGCCGACCTCGGCTACAAGGCGTTCGGGTCCAAAGGCAGACTGTTCATTTCGTGTCTGTTCTCGATCGAGCTGATTGGTGTCGGGGTGTCGCTGATCGTGCTGTTTGCAGACTCGCTCAACGCATTGTTCCCGGAAATCTCAGTGACCCACTTCAAACTGATCGCGTTCTGCGTGCTCACGCCGTTCTCGTTCCTTTCGCTCCGCGTGCTCAGCAGCATCTCCCTGCTGGGGATCATGTGCACCATCTCTCTGGTGGTGACCATTCTGCTTAGCGGTCTCACAAAGCCGACCAGTCCCGGATCGCTGGTCGATCCAATGCCTACAAACATATACCCGCCCTCCTTCCACAGCCTCATGGTGTCTTTTGGCATCATCCTCGGCCCCTTCGGCTCCCACTCGTTGTTTCCTGCGCTGAAGTCGGATCTTGCACAGCCCGAGAAATTTGAAAAGTGTCTCAAGATCACCTACTCTGTCGGTTTCCTGGCTGACGTGACGATGGCGCTCATTGGGTTTGCGATGTTTGGCGCAGGAATTCTCAACGAGATTACCCAATCCGTGCTGGTCACCCAGGGCTACCCGCAGTTTGTGTACCTGCTGGTGAGCGTTTGTGTTTCCATGGTGCCAATAGCCAAGACCCCGATCAACGCGATGCCCGTGATCAGCATCCTGGAGTTCACGCTGGGGATCTCTGCACAGCAGATCGACACCCCCACACTGTTGCAGTCGGCCGGCAGAGCTGGCGTCAAGCTGTTTGTGAACCTTATGTTTGTCGTCATAGCCATCATCTACCCCGAGTTCGATAAGATCATCGGCCTGAGCGGAGCGTCTTTGTGTACCATCATCTGCATCATTCTGCCGTGTGCGTTTTACTTGAAACTGTGCCGGCCCGCCAACGCATGGTTCTACCACCTAGTCATCGTGCTGGCTGCTCTGTTGGGCATAGCTGCCACCACGGCTGCAATTACAGATTAGACATTAAATATGAATTTATTGCTGATCGCTCTTCTGCACACGTTTCTTCTTGCCCTCCTCTCTGCGCTCGTTGTGTTGTTTCCGTTTCTTGGCCCGTCTGAGACGTTGTTTCTCCTCTCTCGAAAGCTCCTCTTTCGACATCACCACTCCCGACTTGAGCATCACCTCGTTCTTTCCCACCTTCGACACAGGCTTGTACACTTCCTGAGGTGCCAGGGCCTGTGCGGTTGACATTGTCAACGGCTGCGCGTCTTCCATCGAAATACTCGACGTCTGCACCTTGATCTCCAATTGTCTCTCCTTTGGCTTTGGAACGAAATGCGCAGAGCTCAAAGAGTCCAGCTGGTGGTTCAGCTTGTCAAACAGAACACTAATCTCGTCGTGGGCCTGTTTCAGCTCAGCGCTCGATGCGTCATCCTGCTTACCCAGATAGTCCTCCTCATAAATCTCGGCAAGCGACTTGCTGGATTTCTCCTCGCTCACCTCGACCTTCTTCGACGGCCGGAAGTCGTTCAGCTCAGAAACAACACGTCTCTTGAGCTCGTCGTAGTTGCGCTCCTTGATACGCCGTTTGATTATCTCCTCTATGGTTTCTGTGCTTTCCTGTGTTATCACTGGGACCGGTTTGGCTGCTCTGTCGAAATCGAGCTCCTCCTCCAATAGCGAGTCGGCTGCTCTATGCTTGGCCTCGGCTTCTCCCTTCATCTGCCACTCCTTGTCCTTGATGGCCTCGGCCTCCAAACCCTGGATTTCCTGCTGCAGCTTGAGCTGCTGCTTCTCGAACGTACTGAGCTGCTCCGTGTTGGAGTTATAGTCGGCCAGAACCGAGTCGAATGCGGCGTCGTAATCGTCTTCGTTCAAATCAAAAGCGACTGCTTTCTGTTTCTTTGCTTTCTGTTTCTTTGCTTTCTGTTTCTTCTGCTCCTTTTGCTCCACCTGCTGCTTGAAGAAATCGTCGTAGTGGTAGATCTCGTCGTCGGACTCCTCGTCGTCCACGTCCAGGTCAATCTCGCTGTTATCGCCTTCCATGTCCATCACCTGCTTGTTGAAGTCGTCGATCGAAAAGAACTGATCGTTCAGTCCAAATGCGTCCTTGGCGGGAGCAACGTCCACGTCAGACGAATCCGACTCATTCTCCTCATCAGCACCAAAGAACTCTGCGTCAGAGCCCAACTCACCCTCCTGTGCACTCTCGTAAACCTCCTCGCTCTCCTGCTCCTCATTCTCCGACTCTTCAGACTGTCCACTTTCTTCACTTTCTTCAATCTCTCCCAGTTCCTCCTCCTCTTCGCCGCTGGTCTGGGAATCCGCTTCACTCTCGTCCTCCCACTCGTCTCCCCAAACACGCTCGTTCACACCATCGATCACAAGTTTGACCTGTCCCCAGACCTGAGACGGAGTAAGGCCATCAACGTGAATTTCGTCCAGAACCGAGTTTGCCTTCGCGATCGGATCAACAAACCGCTTCGCCTGCTCGAGCAATCTGCGCTCGTCCAAACCGCCAACAACCGTCTTCTGCGGATCGGCAACCAGTTCTTCAAGCACACCCATCAAATAAAATTGGAAAACTCTATGCACAATTTTTTTCAAATATTTTTTCTCCTATAATTTTTAGGCATGAACACACCTTTGCACCATAACCTATAAGGGAGATTTCATAGATAAATGTTTTAGTGTCACACGTGCGTTCCTGACAAAAGCGACATTCCACGGACTGTAAACTTTGATGGTTTCCGTGTTGTCTTCTTTTATCTCAGTTTTAAACGCCGTGGGCTACTGGCAACACTCGAATGATCAGTACAATCTGTTGAAGCACTGTGGAGGCATGGGCCCGTACGTTGAAGGAACCGGCTTTGGTCTGTCACACGAGCTACCTGCGAACACCACGGTGGACCAGGTGTACGTGTTTTCACGTCATGGCGAGCGGTTTCCGACCGTTTCAGTTGCGGAGGAGTTGCGGGCCGTGTATAACAAGCTGAAAGCCGCGCAGGTCGAAGAATACAAGGGCCCGCTAGCGTTTGTGCGCGACTGGGAGTTCTACATTCCCAACGATGACTGTTTGGAGATGGAAACCAACACGTCCCGGTTTTCTGGACTGCTGGACATGGAGAACTTCGGCCGTGCTGTTCGCAGAAAGTACGGCTATTTGTACAAGGACGAGACAGAGCTACCATTTTTCTCCGCCGGACAGCAGCGTGTTGTTGACTCTGCTACAAGCTTTGCCAAGGGGTTCTTTGGCAGCGAATCCGAGTTCGACCGGCTCGCGCATATCCACGTTATTCCGGAAAAAGCCAAACAGGGAGCAAACACACTGACCAGCGGTCGCAGTTGCAAGCCGTACAACAAGCATTCAAACTACGACTCGGGCCTGAAAGAATTCGAGACACAGTACTTGTCACAAGAAGCAGACAGACTCAATAGTCTTTCACCTGGGTTTGATCTGAATGCCCAAGATGTGCAACGATTGCTTGCATACTGTCCATTTGAGTTGAATTACCGCGGACACAGCGAGGTTTGCCAAGCCTTATCGTTTGACTCCTTCGTTGGCCATGAGTACTCTCGCGACCTGGAACTTTACTACACCAAGGCGTTGCACCCGTTCAGTTTCATTCTCGGGTCGTTGTACGTGAACGCTACATTGACGCTATTCGAGCAGGGTTCGGACCAGCTGAACCAATCGCTGTGGTTCAGTTTCTCGCACGATACAGACCTACTATACTTTATGAACGCTTTAGGGATCTTGGACCATCAGGCCACAGATCTAAGTCTTCACCATATTGATTTTGCCAGATGGTTCCGGACCTCGGAACTGATCCCGATGGGGGCCAGAATAGTTCTGGAGCGAATCAAGGACAGTACCGGCCAGGTGTACGTGCGCGTGCTCGTAAACGACGCGGTGATCCCGATCCCCAAGTGCACCGAGGGGCCAGGCTACTCATGTCCGCTTGCGGAGCTACGCAAAATCTTCGACTCGCGTCTGGACGGCGACACATTTGCATCCAAATGCCACGTGAAGTCGCGCCGGCCCTGGCACTTGTCCTTCTACTGGGACTGGAACACTAAATAATTAGTATGGAACGGATCTGATACCGATCTGAGGAAGCGGTGTCAGGAGTGGTGACGAATTCCAACTTAAAATAGTACAAAGATAGATTCCTAACGTTTCCGATTTTGTGATGGATAACTCGCACAAGTGCAAAAAATGCCACCAATCCATCACGGAGGGCCACGCCTATGAACTGGGAGGCGACAGATGGCATATAGAATGTTTCAAGTGCTCGAAATGCGACAAGGAGCTGGGTGTGAATTCCAACTTTTTGATGTTGGGAACAGGCTCGCTTGTTTGTTCAGACTGTTCTTATTCGTGTAAATTATGTGGCAAGAAGATCTACGACATGGCCATTTTGACCGGCGATCAGGCCTACTGTGCCAGCTGTTTCAAGTGCAAATCTTGCAAGCGACCAATAGAAGACCTACGGTATGCAAGAACGTCCAAGGGGCTGTTTTGTATGCCCTGTCACCACAAGTTAGTGGAGAAAAAACGGCGATATGAAGCAATCAAGGCCCAGCGGCCGCGTGCCGCGTCTCAACCCGAACGAAGTCAGCCGGTAGAGAAAACTCAACAGACAGACGAGAAGAAACAGATTTTCGATGATCTGGACTCCTCCAGATCGCTATCCGCCGTACAAAAAGTCCAGGTGACCTCTCCACCTAAAGTCACCAGAAGTCCCGTTGCGCAGATGGTGCAGGCATCGCCGATTCCGGTCAAGAAGGAGTTCGACGGTGAGTTGCTCACGATTCCGCTGCGGTCTCCAAATAGAAACACAGTGTCACCCAACGTACAGCCAGTTGCGGCATTTACGTCTCCTAAAATTGAAGATTTTTCGCATCTGAACCTGGCCACGCCTACCCCAACCAAGAACAATCGGGCCTCGTTGTCAGGAGTGGTTTCTCCCGGCAATCGAAACGCATTTATTTTTGAGAACGAGCCTGATTCGTTCATTGATCTGAGTGACGACGAAAACGAATACGAGAACCTTGTGCGGACACAGGACCCTACGCTTTTGACACGGTCGCCAATGAGCCCCGTGCCTCACACACCGGAAAGAAGGGCCGAGTCGCCAGCTAAGGGTCTCAACATCACAGGACTGCCGGCCGAGAAACGGGAGCCCAAGCCCGAACCACAGGAGATTGAACAGGAAGAAGCAAAGGAGCCAGTCTCTGACCTGGCAAGGGACAAAGAAAACACAGGCACACACTCGCGGAAGTCGTCTGGAGGGTTTGGACGGTCTCTGTCTATCAAGAACGTTTTCAACAGACACAAGAAAAGCAATAGCAACACAGGTACGGGGGCAGATAGAGTTAAGATCCAGTCATTGCGCGACGCTGCTTCTCCGAAGCTAGACCAGGACGATTTCCTGAAAACTCCAGATTTCGGGTCTCCAATAGTGAACCAGAAACTTACCCCCTCAGAGTACTCGTCTCCTCAATATTCGCATACCAGATCGCGTTCTGACGTTGTCTATGATGACTCGCGTCCTGACAGACAAGTTTCACAGCTGGAGAACCAGATTCTACTTCTTCGAACCGAGATAGCCACTCTGACCAGCACAAAAGCCACTCTACAGCGAGACGTCCAATCTTTGACCAGCGAGAAAACTGCATTGGAATCTGACATATCGCGACTCAAAGAGGTCAAGGACAAGAAGGAACCAGAGGTGATACCAGTCAAAGACGACGACTCGGTCGAGACTCCTGGATCAACACAATCAGAAAACACACTGTCTGAGCAAATGAAGCCAACAGTGTCTAAGAAAATGAGCTCCACGGACGATTTGACTGATCGTCCAAAGAAAAGTGGGTTCATCAGACGGATCTTTGGAAACAATGGACAGTCCCAGCCATTGGGAGTTAACAGCGTTGGGTCTCCTACGCTCCAGAATATTGGATCTCCAAAGAACTTCCGTCAAATAGACGACTCGTTCACCGGTTCTCAGGAAGACCTTGAGGAAGCCAGACCACAAGGAGGACTGTCGACGCTGATCAAGTCGCGGTCGACCAACTTCCTACGTGTACATGCATATCCTGGCGGCAAGCCGTTGTACCATTGCACGCTGCAGGAACGAGCCGAGATCGAGATGAAGACTGTTCCGTTTGTGTTTTCGTGCTGTTTGGCCGAGATCGAGAACCGCGGAATACGCGAGGGTATCTACCGGGTGAGCGGATCGTCGCTGGCCATCGACAAGATCGAGAAATTCTTTGAGACAGTGGATCTGAGCAGCGAGCGGGACGTTGGCCGTGTGTCTACAGTTTTGGAAGGAGATATCAATGCGGTTGCTGGGATGCTGAAACGGTATTTGAAAAAGATTCCGGATCCTGTGATTCCGTTTAAGAACTATGAACAGTACATTGAGATATCGAAAGCGCAAAACAACGTGGACAAAACGGATATGCTGAGAGAGCTGTTAAGCGACTTACCAGAGGCCAATTACTATGTTTTGCATCAACTGACACAACACCTCGGCCTTGTGGTGCACAACTCGCGGGTGACGAAGATGACGTTCAGCTCGCTGGCGACTGTATTTGCGCCGACGCTGGCCCGCGACAACACGTTCAACCCGCAGAAGGAGATCATGGACAACGGAGCCAAGACGGCCACGACGGAGTTTCTGTTCCGCAATTACATCGACCTGTTTGCTAAGCCGACGTTCTAGTTGACATCGGTGATGGATGTGCTGGAGTACATTTCGAGTCTCCTGTTTCCTGTTCTGAGCAGATGCTCTATTGCAGCAAAATTGCGTTTTGGAATATCTCGGTACCGAGCAAACTCAGAGTGGATGAAAACGACCCAATGAGAGCGTTTGGTCTGGTGTTAATCGCATACAATGGATAGGAACTTACCACCGGCTTGGTTCGTGTTGCTCGTAGACAATTACGGTACAGAGACAGCACCTCTTTTTGGAGACCCGAAAAGCGTTTTGGCATAATTTTATTGCAATAGAAATAAAAGCTCTTATTTGGGTTGGACACCACATACCAGTGGAAAACTACAGCACTAATTACAGTAAAAACGGCTTCATAATTCACCAATTTATTACCTAATAGAAAGTGGTTGGACGCTTGGCGGAGTAAAGCTTGGATTGCTTGGTAACTCTGTGAGGCAATGGGAATTGCAAGTCCTTGGTCAAGAATTGTCTGATGTACTGTCTCTTGACATCGTCGGTCTTCTCCAACTCGACAACCTTCAAAATGTGGATAGATCTAAATCTGGCTCTGTGTCTAGCAGCAAGGTCGGAGTACATGGTCTCGACAGCACCAACTCTGCTGACGTCTCTGTATTCCTTGTACATGTTGTGGGTTCCGGATCTGGAGTCGTATCTGATCCAGATACCGAAGTTCTTGACCTTGGTTGGGTGGGTCTCGCTGATGATGTTGAGGGAAACGATCTCACCAGAGGCCTTCTTCACCTTGTGCAATTTTTGCAAAAAGTACCAGTATCTCGACTTGGCGACAACATCATTAGGAGCGAAGATTCTCATTCTGTACAACTTTGGCTCCGGCACGGACTCGGTAGGCAGCTTTCTGCCGATGACCTGGTATTCGTAAAGACGGGACATGTTGGTCTTGTTGAAGTGTATAAAATTTTCAGCTTGAAAAATTTAATATTTGCCAGGGTCGTCAACCCGGACGCAAAGTCACATGACCAGGGCTGGGGCGAGGTTTTCCTAGAAAAAGAATTTGGGGCACACCCGCACCGTCCAGACGCCTCGCACCAGGACACCCACACCGTATGCATCCCTAGAGAATCACACCACAATGCTCGTTTGTATCGTATGTCTCGTTTAGCACAAGCATAAATAAACCGCCAATGTAGCCCCTCTATCAGCAACCATGAACAACACCTTTATCGACACCGTCCATGTCGTGTTCAAAGAGAACCAGCATCTCAATGTCGCAGAGAAGCTCTGGAAGTCCTGGTACGACTACATGGACAATGACATTCTTGCTACCGGCCTGCTATTTTTTTTCACACACGAGGTGGTGTACTTTGGAAGATGTTTGCCATGGATGATCATCGACAAGATCCCATACTTCAGACGTTGGAAGATCCAGCCCTCAAACATTCCCTCCGACAAGGAGCAATGGGAGTGTCTCAAGTCTGTGCTACTTTCTCATTTTATGGTGGAAGCACTGCCAATTTGGACGTTCCATCCAATGTGTCAGAAACTGGGGATCAGTGTTTCTGTTCCATTCCCGTCGTGGACAAAGATGTTCTGGGAGTTTTGTCTGTTTTTCGTTCTGGAAGACTGCTGGCACTACTGGGCTCATAGACTGTTCCACTACGGTCCGTTCTACAAGTATGTGCATAAACAGCACCACAGATACGCTGCTCCGTTTGGACTGACTGCAGAGTACGCCCACCCGGTTGAGGTCATGTCTCTTGGCTTTGGAACCGTTGGGTTCCCGATCATCTACGCATACTTCACCAGAGACTTGCATCTGTTCACCATCACCTGTTGGGTTTGTCTTCGGCTGTTTCAAGCTGTGGACGCCCACTCGGGCTACGACTTTCCTTGGTCGTTGCATAACTTTATTCCGTTCTGGGCGGGCGCAGAGCACCACGATCTACATCACCACTATTTCATTGGTAACTACGCTTCCTCCTTCAGATGGTGGGACTACACTCTGGACACAGAGGCCGGCCCAGAGGCCAAGAAGAGCCGCGAAACAAGATGGCGGCTCAAACAGGAAGCCAAGCTGGCAAAATCCATGGAGAAAAAGTCCAAAACCGATTCAAAGTAGCACCTCATATAATTTATCTAATGATCCATATAAATGCGCATATAAAAGTTGGCTTTAATTATTTTATAAGCTGTTTTGTTATGCCTCAGATAAATCGCGGACAGCTGCTGCTGTTCATCGTTTTTCTCACGTTCTTGCTCCCGAGCGCCCCGCCAGAAGAGGCCGGGTACTTGTCGCCAGAAGAACGCAAACAGATCGTGGCCAATTACAAAGATACGATATCCACAGAACGGACCGCAATGTTGTCTAATGACTACGCAGCAGGATACGGTAATGTCACAGGGTACAAGCTGAGCTACGGCGACGTGCTAAAGGGCCGTCGTGTGGAAGACTGGCCGTTCGACGACCACACAGAGTTCACAGAGTCCGAAAAGTACAGCATACTCCCCACACAAGTTAGCCAGCGCGCGCGGTCGGTGTGGGAACAGAAGGACACGGAGTCGGGAGTGTTCTGGCGGAACATCTCAGGCACCATAAGAGGAGAATATACCAACAAGGAGGCGTTTGCCAACATCCCCATGCCCCTTCCGTACTTCTACCAGAATCTCACCGAATACGACCAGATCACAAGCAACTTGACCAACAAGGCTGGAAACATCACAGACGAACACGGACTTGTTCGAATGGCGCTCAAAAACTACAACAATACCCCTCAAAGTCAGGATACCTCATTTGTCACGTTAAACGTCAGAATAAGCGATAACGACGAACAGCACGGTCACACGATCGAATTGCACGGTGTCTACCACGAGCAAACAGGCAATCTTGTCGCCGTCACAACGTCGGGGAAATTTGCGGGCATTTACGGGTTGCCCCACCTCAACTTGCAGGACGACCGCTATTTCAACCAGACGCAGGTTTTGTTGGAGAGCGTCGTCAATAAGACCAGTCTGGACGATATGGACCTTACTACAGTCGAGGAGAAACTGGGACGAAGCTCCATGTGCGAATTCATAGCCTACATGCACTTCAGTTCTACAAATTTGACTTCCAGCGAGCTGGAGGTTATCGATAACGAACTCGCCACTCCTCTAGGAAGACCTCATAAGCCGATTCCTCAACTGGTTGCCTCCGGGCTGTTATACTCACCAGACTGCGGTCTCTCGATCAACATACCACAGTCCGCCGGGCCGCGGGATGAGGTCCAGCAGAATAGAGTGAAGAACGTGCTGCTTTTGGGAATTGCGCTCATGAGTGCCCAAATCTGGCTCTTTATCAAGCAGATGGGCACAACAAACACCCCGTCCACCATGTCGTGCATCTCTTTCTGGTCGATTGCCACCATCAACCTCATTGACGGCTCGCTCTCCATGATCTCGCTGCTGTGCTCGTTAATCTTTGGTACCTTGTACATCCAGTTTGCCGTTTGTGCATTTTTGGCATTCACCTGCTCGTCTATCTTTGAGATGCGGTACATGATTCTAATCTATGCCACTCAGATCAACGAGCGAAGCATCAGTTGGAGAACCGCTTTTCAAGGCACGCCAATCGACGAGCGCGAAAACACAGAGACCCAGGCCGCCCCAGTGACCGCACAGGACGAACAGACCATCAGCGGCCAGCTGTACATGCGGTTTTTCTTTTCGCTAATTGTTTTCTCGTTCCTCGTGCTGAATGTGACCTTGTGGCCGAAGAAGAACAGAATTGGGTTTGAGTACTGCATTGGGATCTTGATCAACTCTTTCTGGGTGCCCCAGATCTACAGAAACGTGATCAGAGGGTCCAGAAAGTCGTTCAGACGCGACTTTATCGTTGGTACCTCGATCATCAGGTTTCTGCCGATTGCGTACTTGAACTTGTTTGAAAATCCGTTCTATCACCACAGAGACTACAAGCTGGTGATCTTACTGGCCGGATGGCTCGCCGTGCAGAACGGTCTGCTGTATCTCCAGGAATTGTTTGGACCTCGCTTCTTCTTGCCAGACAAGTACCTACCCAAGACTTACGACTACCACCCTCTACTCTCCTTTGAGGACCTTGAAAACTCGTTCAACGTTGACCACGAAGTTGTGGACTCTTCACAATCGCACTCCAAGTGCAAGATCGACTGCACTATCTGCATGAACTCGTTTGAGGTTCCTGTTCTCCACAAACGTCACGATAAGGAAGATTCAGGTTCTGTGGGCCTCATGGCTCGTCGCGCTTACATGGTGACCCCATGCAGACACATTTTCCATACCGAGTGTTTGGAAAACTGGATGAAGTACAAATTGCAATGTCCGGTGTGTAGAAATAGTCTGCCACCGCTGTAAAAAATAAAGTTTAATTATTTATTCCGACATTATGACTCACCCTAAAAACGTCAAGGCGTGTCTCTTTGACATGGATGGGTTGCTGATCGATTCGGAGTCGGTCTACACGCGCTCGCTCTCTGAAGTTCTGATCAATAGATTCAATATTTCGAGCGGACTCGACTGGGGAGTGAAAATGAAACTTCAGGGCCTGCCGGGGCCCGAAGCGTCTCAGAAAGTGATCGACGAGTACAAGCTAGAGGGAATTACCAAAGATGAGCTCTACGCGATCACCTCTGCCAAACAGGAACAGTTGTGGCCAACTGTCCAGTTCCTACCGGGAGTTCTAGATCTGATCAAGAAGCTCAAAGCCAAGGGTATCCCGATCATTGTCTGCACTTCTTCGCACAAGGACAAGTTCGACTTGAAGACTAGCCATTTACAGGAAGGTTTCGAGCTGTTTGAGCTGGTTATCACCGGTGATAATCCAGTGATTGTTGGTAAAGGTAAGCCGTTGCCGTTCATCTGGTGGCTAGGACTGTCTGATCTGAACGAGAAACTGCGCAGAGAAGGCCGTATCCAAGAAGACATCAAGATCGAGGAGGTGTTGATCTTTGAAGACGCGGTTCCTGGCCTTCTCTCTGGAAAGCGTGCTGGCGGTCACGTGATCTGGGTTCCAGATCCACATGTCTTGGAGATTGTGGACTCCAACGAGCTGTTGGAGAACGGGGCCAAGGGAGAGCTGCTTAGAACCTTAGAGGATTTCGATTACGCCAAGTACGGCCTGGAGTAGAATAAATTAGAAGTGTAATGTCCTAGAATTAAACCATGCATTTTAAAATAAAGCTTATATAAATCTAGTGGAATCTAGTATGGAGCATTACGGAACAGGAAAGATATACTTTCACCATTGTGCAACCGTCTGATGGCCTCGGCCAGCACGCCCGAAACATCGATGGTGTCGAGTTTCGGACACAGTTTGGACTTTTCCTCGAACGGAACGGTATTAGTGCAGACGACTCTTTCCAGCTTGGACTTATTGATGTTCTCGATGGCCTTTCCACTCAAAATTCCGTGCGTGACAATGGCAATGACCTCTTTGGCGCCGTTCTCGAGCAGCACCTCGGCGGCCTTGGCCAGAGTACCACAGGTGTCTGCCATATCGTCGACAATGATACATGTTTTTCCAGTAACGTCTCCAACGAGAACCATACGGCTCACCTCGTTGGCTCTCGCACGCTCTTTATGGATCAGCGCAAAGTTGAGGTCCAAACGGTCGGCCAGTCCAGCAGCACGCTTGGCTCCACCGGCGTCGGGAGAAATAATAATGGCGTTCTTCACGTCCAGCTTTTCACGAATATAACGAACCACAGATGGCTCAGCATACAAGTTATCCACGGGCACATCAAAGAACCCTTGAATCTGCGAGGCGTGCAGGTCCATCGTGATCACGTGGTCGCACCCGGAACTGGTGAGCATATCGGCCATCAGTTTGGCCGTAATAGGCGCACGGCTCTTGTCCTTTCTGTCTTGTCTGGCGTAAGGGAAGTTTGGCAACACAGCGGTGATTCTTCTAGCAGACGCCGTCTTACATGCGTTGATCATGATCAACAGCTCCAAGACCTTGTCGTTGACGATGCCAGACCCTATTTGCATTATGATGTAGATATCCTCATCTCTAATCGACTCACCGATAGAGAACGACACTTCTTTATTGGAATCACGTTTTATATCCACCGGAGTGAGAGCAAGACCGAGGCTAAAGATTAGACACAAATTTCAAATGCTGGTACCTACCGCTTCGCCACAAGCTCAGCCAGATTTCTCTGGGTATCACTGGCTAGCAATTTGATCGAGTTAGATGACATTAATGAGGATACAAGTTTGATTATCTTAAAATTTTTTTTATCCTTACTGGTGTAAGGAGGAAGCTTCCGGCCGAGCGAGATTCCATTTCTAGATACCACTGATAAAGAAGTGCACCGGGGTAGTCCTAATCGGGAACATTCACGACAGAGATGTGGCAAAGCAAAACGGCAAGTTTCCGTAGATGACTATCCGCACCAGTTGATCTTCCCACTCCAGCCTCTGGTCTCTGCTGCTCTCGTGCTGACATAAGCCATTTATAGCCTGTCAAAAAGGGATAGAAATTTATTTGTTTCAAAATCACGGGTATCGAAGCAAATGGAAACTCCAGAATCGCCGACCTTCATAGAGGACATCAAGCTCTTCGTCAAGGCAGGGAATCTTCCCAAGCTTATAGATCACAACTTACCATCGGACCTGCTTTCGAGCTTCTCAATCCCACAGCTCGACTTGTCTGATCTGACGCCTGCAAAGGACCAAAGTCCGCCTTTCGCAACGGCAAGCCCAAAGAATACCCCATTAAAACAACAGACTACAGAAGAAAAAGCATAGCCTTAGAGAGATGTTCATAGTAAGATAACACAAAGGTCTATAAACGGTGTGAACTTACAGTCCCAAAATAACTTTAACCATGAATGTAAGAAATAGCTTAGGTAGCTATTGTGTCCGGATAGAAGAAGAACGAGATGGCGATGATCACGTAAGTGCTCACCAACATGACTCCCTCAAGCCAGTTGGACTCTCCGTCGAGAATGAGATAATTCGTGATGAGAACAGCCACAAACATCACCGCGGTCTCAAACGTGGAGAAGTACAAGGACATTGGCACATCGAAAACCCATCCTATCAGGACAAGAAATGGCGTCACAAACAACGAAATCTGGATCGAGGAGCCGACAGCAACACCGACAGCAAGGTCCATCTTGTTTTTCACAGCCACCACCACCGCTGTGACGTGCTCAGCCGCGTTACCGACGATCGGAATCACAATCAAACCAATAAAGGTTTTCGAAAGACCCGAGCTCTCGACGATATCGTCGATAGACGACACAAGGTAGTCGGCAGAGAACGAAACCAGCAATGTCGTCAGGAGCAGCACAACCAAGGAGGAAGGAGCAGCAAGATGGGTAGGTTGCTGGTTGCCCAACTCGTACAGGGATCTTGGTCTGCTGGTCAGGAAACTGCGTTTGGAGTGGGAGTCCGAGACATCTGCGGAGGTTCCGTTTTGTTCCTGCACCACCGGCAGTTGTTCCTCGTCCTCGGCTTCGAGCGCTTGGTCAAACAAAAATTTGTGAGTTCCGAGTTGGAAATAGAGATAGAAACAGTACACGATCAGCAGCAGGATCGAGGTTCCTCTGGAGATTTCCAGGATTTTGGAGTCCAAGTTTTCTGTCTTTCCTGGAAGCGATGCATGGAAGGCGGCCGGGAGCAACAGTCCACTCATAGACAGCGCAAGCAGCGAGCTCATTGTCTGAGCCACTGTTTGGTTGAACGACTGTTGTGGGTACTTGATACCACCGGCGATGAAACAACATCCAAGCACCAACAAGAGGTTGGAAAGAATCGAGCCAAGCATGGAAGCTTGCACAACGGTTATTTGGTTTTGACTCAAGGCCAAAACGCTCACAATAACTTCAACTGCATTTCCGAAAGTAGCGTTTAGCAAACCGGCTATGGAATCGTTATGGATAGACTCTCCCAGCTCTTCGGTTGCGTATGCCAGGACGGAGGCAAGCGGGATGATGGCGACGAAGTTGAAACTGAACACTAGAGACGCTCTGAAGCTGAGCCACTCTGCAAGGTACCCAAGCGGAACGAACAGGAGGAAGTAATTGACTGGCGAGGATTTCAAAGTCAGCCTGAGAACGTGAAGCCAGTTGTTTGTTGGTGCCGGGGCGGCCGGCGAGGCAATCAGGGGTGTATTTTCAGACATTTCTTTGAACCCTGAATTATTTGAAACGAGACAGGGAAAAAAATAATATAGGGTACCTTTTCGAGTGACCCATGGAGAAGAAACGACGCGAGCCGATCGACGCACCCACAGTTTTTACCGAAAAGGGTATTATTGAGATAAACTAATTCTCCTGATGCAGAAGGAGAGATCAACAGGATGGAGACATTGCGAGATTGATGGGAAACAATTACACAGCCTCAAACAACAAAAGGCCCGATTCAGCTTCATGATATGCGGAGAGGCACGCTATTGTCTGGTTGACAGAACAGGCAATCGACAATTAATAGCGTAAAAGGAAAGCAGTTCTCCTGTCACATTCTGACTCAACCTTTCGTGTCTCCTTCACAGTGTCCAAAACACAACGGCCCGCACAGTGCACAGGGCAGATTTTTCACAAATTCCCGCTCGCCAGTTTTTTTAGCCCGGTTTTTTTAAGCTTTCGCGTCGCGTGTCCACCCCTTTGCAGGCACTATGCATAATACCAGCGCTGTACATGGACGTGAAAAATCGAGCGGCCAATATTTATCAGGGTCAAAGTATCTACCTGGACGTCTCTGTGTCATTCATTCCTTTCTTTCTGAACCATGTCCGATATTCAAGCTTTGAACCACTTCCTTCGGAAGCCAGTTTCATCGGACATGATCCAATGTCTGGTTAACACTACCAATTCGGTCATTTCTGTCTCTGAACAATCAAAGTCGGCTTACCCATCACCACCACCCTCTCCTTTGGATGACTCGCCAATTCCTTCACTGTACGAATTCATCGAAGCTTTGATCAACCACTCTCATGTTCAAACACCAACCTTAATGTCTTCTCTGGTTTATCTTATCAGACTGCGCGAGATCCTTCCTCCAAATAGCACGGGAATGGAAACCACCAGACACAGAATCTTTCTTGGTTGTCTTATCCTGGCCGCCAAGAACCTCAATGATTCATCTCCTTTGAACAAACATTGGACAAAATACACAAACGGCCTGCTCAGTCTTAAAGACGTCAACACTCTCGAGATGGAGCTCATCGGCTACCTTGGCTGGGATAATATCAGAATCAGACAATCAGACCTAATTACCGTCTTCAGTCCGTTCCTTGAGCCTATCAAGTCCAAACTGAGACGTCAATCAGAAGCAAGAATAGCAAAGCACAGAGAAACAGTCAAGACAATCACCCCTCCGCTGGGATCGCCAACCCAACCTTTGTACGCGTCGTGGACGAAACCTCCTTCATTGCCATACCTGCCATCTCCTTCGTCCTTGAGACCAAAGACCGCAGGTATCAGAAGAACCACAGGCTCCACAAAGCTCAATGCCAAATACAACGCCCAGCAACAACAATTGCAGAAACCGTTCTCTTTCCAATCGCTTCCAACTACCGCTTCCGTCCATTCGCTTACAACCTCCTCATCAATCCCTTCGCTTGCCTCCTCGAACGCCACCCTGGCTTCTTCATACTCAACAGATAACTTCTGTCCAAAGCCAATGAGGCTACCAACGTCTCTGTCACGTGACTTCGAGGCCAACAAGGAAAATCTCTCCTCGGGACCATACCTCAAGGTCATTAATCCAGACCTCTTGTCTCCGATCTACTAAATACATATATGTTTACAGTTATTTGAGCAGGACTCAATATATTTTCCACAATTCACTTGAAACTAGTACACTCCAACAAATGCCTAGCTGTATAAATCGTCTTCTTCATCCTCAACAGATCCGAAAGCAGCACCAGAGCCTTCTCCTCCAGCAGCACCATCGGTTGCAGCGGCGGCATCACCGCCTTGGCCAAACGAAAAGTTCGAGAACTGGCCTCTAGAAGCTTGCAACTGTTGTGCGTATGCCTCATAACGTCTCAGCTCTGTTGGGGAAACAGACCGCTTAGCAGACTTCATAGCTTCCTCAAAGTGAGCCTTGGTGATATATGGCACAGCGTCTGGCGCATTTTCGTCCTCTCCGTCCTCAACCTTCATCTCAACATCGTCGGAACCTTCTGCGGCTTTCTCAGCCTTCTCTTGCTCGTATCTTTTTTGGGCCTCAATAGAGTCCTTAATAGCAAACTTGGCAGCTCTTTGGGTGATGTACTGCAGATCGGCACCTGTGAAACCGTTGGTGGTCTTGGCAATAGCATTCAAGTCTAAACCTGGCTCCAATGGAGTGTTTCTCAATTGAGCGTTCAAAATGGATAATCTTCCGGTCTCATCTGGCAATGGCACATAGATCAATTGATCCAATCTTCCTGGTCTCAAAATAGCAGGGTCGATTTGATCAGGTCTGTTAGTAGCACCAATAATGAAAACGTTCTTCTTGGAGTTCATACCATCCATTTCTGTGAGCAATTGGTTGACAACTCTGTCAGAAGCTCCACCGGCATCTCCCATACTACCTCCTCTTGCCTTGGCAATAGAATCCAGTTCGTCCAAGAACACAACTGTAGGAGCAGCAGCTCTAGCCTTGTCGAAGATGTCTCTGATATTAGACTCAGACTCACCGTACCACATACTCAACAGTTCAGGTCCCTTAACAGAGATGAAGTTGGCAGACACCTCGGTAGCAACTGCTTTAGCCAAAAGAGTCTTACCAGTACCTGGTGGACCAAAGAATAAAACACCCTTCGATGGGGAAAGACCAAACTTGGTGTATTGGTCTGGGTGCAAAACAGGATATTCGACAGTCTCCTTAAGTTCTTGCTTAATACCATCGAGTCCTCCAATGTCATCCCAGGTAACATTGACGCTCTCCACAACAGTTTCACGCAATGCAGATGGGTTAGAGTTACCAAGGGCAAATCTGAAGTTGTCCATGGTGACTCCCAAGGAGTCAAGAACCTCTGCATCAATGTTCTCCTCTTCGAGGTCAATCAAGTCCATCTTCTCTCTAATTTGCTGCATAGCAGCCTCGGAACAAAGCGACGCGATATCAGCACCAACGTAACCATGGGTCTCAGAGGCAATGGTCTCCAAATCGACATCGTCAGCAAGCTTCATGTTCTTGGTATGAATCCTCAACACCTCGAGTCTTCCAGTGGCATCTGGAATACCAATATCGACTTCTCTGTCAAATCTACCGAATCTTCTCAAAGCAGGATCAATGGAGTTTGGTCTGTTGGTGGCGGCAATAACGACAACGTTAGATCTGGCCTTCATACCATCCATCAATGTCAAAAGCTGAGAAACAACTCTTCTTTCAACCTCACCGTTGGTCTTGTCTCTCTTTGGAGCGATAGAGTCGATTTCATCAATGAAAATGATAGCTGGAGAGTTCTTCTCAGCTTCCTCGAAAGCTTTTCTCAGATTACTTTCAGATTCACCGGCCATCTTGGACATAATTTCTGGACCGTTGATCAAGAAGAAGAAAGCACCAGTCTCGTTGGCGACGGCTCTGGCCATCAAGGTCTTACCGGTACCCGGAGGACCATACATTAAGATACCCTTAGGTGGTTTGATACCGATGGCCTTGAACAATTGGGGATGTCTAAGAGGCAACTCGACCAATTCTCTAATTTGAGCCATTTGCTTTCTGCATCCACCAATATCGTCGTAACCGACCTCATTGAGGTTGTTTTCTTCGTCCTCTCTGTTGATAGGTTCTCCCTCAGAATGTATTATGGTGTCTTGCGAAACGATGGCGTGTTCTTCAGGCTCGACTTCAACGACCTTGAACTCGACCTGTCTCATACCACCTCTAACAACAAAGTGATCTCCCTTACGAACGGGTCTGTAGGCGTCAACAAAATATGGTTTCAAAAACACATCAAAGAGCGATCCGGTGATTCCCTCGATGGTATCGGCAATTGGCAAAACAGAGATTCTGGTGGCAAACTTGATCTCAGGACAAGGATGGATGGTGACAATGTCTCCAAGTCTGACTCTCAAATTGTTTCTTGCCACTCTGTTGATTTTACAAACACCATCTTCGATGTCGTCATCGGCCAGGACGATCAAAACGGTGTCCTTTCTCTTCTTACCTTTGATCAACGCAGCGTCTCCACGGAACAATTGCAACAACTCCATGGTGTTGGAAGACATGGAGATGATCGAGTTGTCATCATTGGTAGCATCGTCGACGATCAAGGCATTATCCTTCTTCTTTCTTCTCAAAATAGCGGTAGCGGTAGAGTCTTCTGGCTCCACGTCTCTACCGGAAGCATCTAGCAACGGTTTCTTCTCGTCCACCATAATAGTGATTGACTTTTAATTCAATTGAATGGACAATTAGAAAAGATGTTAAAAGATCAAGGGCAAATACTAAATATCTAGTTTTGCCACTCGGTCTGAAATTTATCAGACACCTATACAGAAAACACCCTTGCACCACACAATTTCGATATCGAACCATCTAGCATTTGGCACGAGGGACTATGGTAGCTGGCAAGCAGAGCAGGTGCTATGACGTGGGGATGTGATTACCTTATATAGTTGTAACAAACAAATCAAACAGAGGCAATTCTCGCAGACAGTTGCTTGGCAAACTCGCCCAGCTCTGCCATATCTGCGTCTTTGGCAGGCCAGCCGATGACGAGACCGGTTTCTGGATCGCGTTTTGGAATCAAGTGGAAATGGACGTGGTCCACCACCTGGTGGGCGATCCGACCGTTATTTTGCAAAACGTTGTAGCCGACTCCTTCTGGAGAGTCGATCTCCAAGTCCAATGCCTTGACCAGTTTCTTGGTCACTGGCAGGATATCTGCGAGGTACTCGTCAGGAACGTTGTGAAGCTTAGCCCCGTGGTACTTAGGGATCACCAAAAGATGTCCTTTAGAAATTGGTTGGATGTCCAAGAAAGAGTACGAATATTTGGTCTCCACCAATTTGAAAGAAGGAATATCTCCTGCGGTACATTAGTCTTACCCAACCAATTGAGTCAATACATACCTTTGATGATTTTGCAAAAGATACAAGAAGCCTCGTGAGCAACCGACATAATAATTGTGACTAAGAAATATTTCAGTAATTCCTCTAAAAATACTTGTACAATACATCGTTAAAATCCAAAGACACTGCTGAACTGCCGAAGACCCATGGACGCAACCATTTGAAATCCCTGTGCTCCAAATGGGAAATAGCTCAAGGTGTAGTAAAGAACAGCAAATATCTCGACGATTCCTGTGATTAGTGTTAAGATGGTGGATTTCAATATGGCTGCGCAGTATAGCGTACTCAGAACACTGCCAAAAAACACCACTGTAAATGGCAATCTTTCCTTAGATATGAGATGTTTGCAGTAGTCGACTGGTCCTTGTAAACAACCGAAACTCAGAACAAAAAGTAAAGACCCCAAGGTCCATAACATTGCAAACTTTCGAGGTTTCAACGTCAACACCGGGAATAGCACTATTCCAAGCGTGAAACATACTATCGATCCCGCAATGAAGCAGAAAAAACACACCAGTCTTTCGAACCGAGACAGCTTGAACCACGAGGGCTCCTGCTGCGCCTCCAGGTCCTGATTATGCAATGGGAGTTGATTGTATACCGAAGTGTATCCGTCTTGAACTCTATCTGTGAACGAGCTGAATACGCTTTTAGCCTTATTGGCTATTCCCTCGGCATCATCGGCCAACCCAACGCCGCGCGTTGTTCGCCAGTTTGATAAAAATTCGGCATTTTCGCTCATCTTAAAATGTTTAGTTGCCACAATACTTTGTAAGTATTATCAAATTTAACTTTGCAGGCTTATGTCATCCAACTTTGGTTGTTTGGCCCCTTTAGTAGTTCTTGGAAGAAAGCTTCAGGGTCTTCCACTTTGAAATCCTGGAAGTCGTCCTTTGCTTCCAGAGCAGGGTCACTGACCGTGAAGGACTCTTTGAGCTCGTCGGCGATTGGTGCGTGCGATTGTTGAACGTCCTGCCCCGACGGAGGTTCCGACGACAACTCCGCTATTCTTTGACGCAACATGTTCAGTTTCTTGTCCTGACTCTGGCTGATTTCCTTCAAATATCCAATGTAGTCGATCGACTCTGTGAGAATGGTGCTCTTGTTGGCTTTAATTTCTTTATTAGGATTGTTCTTTGACTTTGTGAAGTTGTTCAACAAGGACGGAGGAATCAGCGTCCCGAGCTCCTTTATCTTCTCCTTGATGAGGTCTCTGCGTCGTCTCTCAACAGCGTTGTGGAGTTCTCGGCGACGGTTCAGCTTTCCCTCTTTGCTTAGCGCATTTTTGGGGTTCATGTGGGAGCCGACCGAGGCAGGTGAACCGATCGCTTTGAAAGACGGAGAGTTCATTGGCGATTTCAAATACGAGTCAGTGAAACTTGCGCCTTGGTATGATCCGTACGGCGAGTCTAGAAATCCGTCATAAGTGGAGCTGGGAGAGATAAGGTTGTTGAAGGAGGTTCCAAATTGAGAACCGTAGCTTCGACCCTGGTTGCTGATACTGCTTGACCGTTGGTTCATCGACGTGGACATCGCGGGATACACCTGGGGAGAAGGGTAGGTGTAGTTATGGACACTGGTTCCTCCCACACTTTCGGACCTGTCCCGACCATTGTAGCCCTGGGGACTCAAAGCAGTCTCGGAAAGCTCGTTTACACTCAAAGACGGGTCTTCTGGCCACGCACCAATGTCAGATGTGTCCACAGTGAGAACTGGCGGTGCTTTGTGGTCCTCGAATCCCAATGGTGATATATTGTTGTTCTCGTTGTGTTCGTTTGTACCGTACTCCTGGACAGTGAGACTATCAACAAAATGGTCTAGCTGGTCAAGAGACGTTTGGTAATCATCGTCGTTCTTCACTGGAGGCGGCATTATTCCGTTCCGGTCCATTGTGTCTTAATTTAAGAGGCAACGCTTTTAAAAAATGGTGGTTTTCATATTTATTTCTGTATATTACATAATCATACGGGGGCGGCTGCGGATCATATATAATGATAATCGTGTTTTGGTTCGTGCTGTTCGATAAGAGATGGCGACGTGAGACTGATGCTTGCCGCTTTTGGTCGGCGTGGTGGACGCTCAGGGACGAAATTCAAATCTTCTGATTTGGTCCTATTTTTGATTGGAGACACTGGTAGCTGTTCGGACTGGCTTCTATATGGGGACCGGAGTCCTGATCTTTCGGACCATTCCGTCGACGAGGACTTCATCATAGGACTCGAGATTGTGTTGAATATTGTGGAGGCCCTTTTGGAGCCCGGTTGGCTCGACATTGGACTTGTTCTTGATTTCTTGGACGCAGACAGTCTGCGCAGCGGCTCAATCAGTTTTTCACCCAGGTCCTTGGGCACCAGTTTCTCTTCTTCGATGTCGTCCTCGAAATCAATGAAGCACTCTGAGCTTTCGTTGAGTTTTGGCGTGGCAAAGCTGCTCACAGGCTGTCCGGTGGACGGTGTGCGGTGGTGTCCAGTTTTTGGAGTGGCTGGAACGGTTGCAGGGCCCTGGAACGTGGATTTTGGCTTTGGAGTTTGAGGTAGAGAAACAGACTCTTTCAGAATGATTCTCTCAGGCAGTGAGTGCAATGAAGTGGTTTCTATTGGTTCTTGCAGGGCAATGCGATCAGGCTCGGGCTCGCGGTCTTGCAGAATGATCCTATCGGGTTCGGGCTCGATGCTCTCGTACAGCTTGATGACCTCTGCGGTATCGTCTTCGGACTCCACATTCTCGTGGAACATCACCGATGATGACGCGCCGTAAGTCGAACGGTTATCGCTCGCCGGAGACTCCTTGCTGATTTTGCTCTTGGCACTCACAAACGGAGAGCTATCGGAGCCGGAGTTTGGATCGCGCGCGACTGGCTGTTCCTGTGACCGCTGCTCCACAGATGGTATAAGACCTGTCATTGAAGAGACGCTCATCAAGGGTCGTACCGCGTCCGACGACAACGCCCTCACTGGGACCGCTTCTTCTATGTGGATGCTTGAGCCATACGATCCGATGGTTTCCTGGTGATCCCAAGAACCACGCGACCCCATTTCCGGCACACGCGACCGACGTAGAGTAGAACGTCGATCGGATAGCTGGATGATCCGTGAGTACTTGGACTCTCGTATGGTTTGTGATTTGAAGTCATGATAGCTGCTATAGACGGTAATTCTCCGCAGAGGATATGGAGTGACAATATCCTTGAATGAAAGGTACGGCTTTCGAGATCTGTGGGGATGGAATCCCAAAAACGACAGGAAGCGGTACCATCGACTGCGACCGGAAGTGCCACCGTCCTCTTGGTTGGAGTATAGGTCGATTATGTCCATGCCAAACGTGTTTGATAGGCACGAGCTTTTAGGATGGCATTGCAGAAACCAGATAATTGTGTCCGTAAGTGAGATTTCGAGCCTTCATGGGGAATATCGCTGGTTTGGACAAATGCGTACACGAGATTCCGGTTTCTCAGTAATGCATATATACAGATAATTACCGGTTTTCAGATGAACACCTAGGTTCAGCAACTTTCAAGTGCCACCACCAGTGTTAATGCACCGTAAGAGCAACAATTCGACTAGCCCTGCCTGACCAATCCTTTCTTTGTCCCCAACATGCCCGTCTTTTCGATTGCAACCAGCCCGTAAATTGTCTGGTGTAGAGATTTATTCACTATTTACTAAATTTGCACCAGTTTGTTTATGGCCGTGCTTCGAGAAAGGCCGTCTCCTGAGCGACGCAGGAGCCACAGGAACCGCAAGTTCACGCTGAAAGCGCAGGAGAGCGACATCGACTCGGTGCCTTCGAGACCATCGACGCCGGTGGAGAAGGACGAGTACGTTGAGTGGGCCAAACCGCGAGAAGAGCGCAACTTCAACGAGTACTACCAGGGCCTCGACGAGTTCGAAACGCTGCCTGTTCTTGTCAGCGAGGGCAAGACAGACGATGATTATGAGGAGTATCGACTCAAACGCAAACAACAGGACAGAGACATCTTATCGCGACTTAAAAGACCATCGTACAGGAAATTACCAGATCAGACCGACGAAGACGAGCCTGTGCAGCGCAACATGGTTCAATTTGGATATGGTTTGTCAAAAAGTGAGCCTAGAGAAACCTACACCAGGTCCACAGATCTTGGCGATGACTTTATCACCGGAAACCTTCTGTTGGACAGCACTGTGCGTTCTCTGTACGACATGGACGAGCAGGACTCGCTATATCTGGAGCACGTAAACTCTAGACTATCGAAAGAGAACAAACACATGAGTATGGAGCTATTTGAGGTGATCATGACGTTTTTCGAGATCGAATGGTACTTCATCGAGAAGTTGCTACCGCCAAAGGTCAAAAACCAGTATTTGGACGACGAACAGACACAGCTTCAGGTTCAATTGTACGGATCGGACGATGGAATTGGTGTTGCTCCAGAGGAAGACCAGTGCTGTGCCGTTTGCAACCGTAACGACTGCAATAACTCCAATGCCATAGTCTTTTGTGACGGGTGCGACATTGCCGTGCACCAAGAATGCTACGGAGTGGCCTTCATTCCCGAAGGTCCTTGGTTCTGCCGCAAGTGTCTCACTTCCAGAAATCAGAAGGTCAAGTGTCTATTCTGTCCCAGCGTGACGGGGGCATTTAAACAGTCAGACAACGGAGAATGGGGGCACGTGAGCTGCACCTTGTGGATCAACGAGCTATATTTTGCAAGCAACATTTACATGGAGCCCATACAAGGAATTCCCAACATCCCCAAGAGTCGGTGGAAGCTGGTGTGCTACATTTGCAGACAGAGAGTTGGAGCATGTACCCAATGTTCAAAGCCAACGTGTTCCACGGCATACCATGTAACCTGTGCGCGCCGGGCGGAGTTATACATGGAGCTGAGCCAGGGAGTGCAGGGGGCAGTCAACGACCAGACCTCTGTGATTTCGTACTGCGACCGCCATTCCCCAAAAGACTGGGATCTCTACCACGACACCAAGTTGGGGATCCAGAAAACACGCTTATACTTTAGTACGGGCAAGAACCGTTCTGTTGGGAACAAAATAGCCATCAGCAAATCTGAGAAACGAGAACTCAAAGACACAAGAAACCATTGGTTCAAATGGAAGACCGCTCGAGGAGCACCTATTCTACCGATAATAACTATACGCAAACTGGAGAAACTGCTTCAAAGTCAACGTGTTTCCATCGATTCGACATATTTATACGAGCTGGCCAAGTTCTGGACCTTGAAGCGCGAGTCCAAAGGCGGTCCGCTGGTCAAACGACCAGACAGTGCCAACTACGGCTCGTTCACCGACGAAGAGATTAACGAACGATTGCAAATACTGGACTTTATCAACAACGACATCAAACGACTTACGGAGCTGTCTAACTTGTCTCTCGAAAAGGCAAAGCTGGACGCTAAAGACACTAACGAGCTGATCAACGAGGTGGACCTGTTCTATCTGCCGATGCAAAATCTGGTGACCGAGCTGTTGCAACAGTTCCTCAAACACGGCAAGGCCACATCGATCCTTTCAGTTGCATTTGACGACCCAACGGTTCTTTCTGTTCAGCAGATCGTCGACAAGGTCGAAAACCACGAGTACAAGCTGGTGAGCGAGCTAATCGACGATATCAACGTTCTGGACGAGTACGTGATAGCCAACATGGATCACAACAGTTCCATCTACAAACACATCCGCAACTATTGGAGACGACTGCGCTCCCAGTGTTTCAGCAAAGCCGAACAAACAGAACGCATTCTTCTCAAAGGCGACCTGCGCAGGTTGTACCAGGATACCATGGTCGACGGCCTTGACATCAAGCCAAAAGATTAAAGACAGTTTAATAATTTAAGAATTGTGTCTGATTAAACCAAGTATATAACAAAAACACGATGCTTACAACTTGTCGTAGTACTCCTCGTATCCTGGAACATCCTCCTTCATACCTCTTCTCTTTCTGGTGTTGTGGACAATTTCACCAGGCTTGGTGGACTTGTCAGTTGGGTCACCGTTCATGGTTGCCCAGTGGTCGAAGATCATTTGTGGGAAAGCTTGACCACCGGTAGCTTGTCTCAAATCACCAGTGAAACCGAAGGACTCATTGACAGGCAAGTAAGCCTTCACAGTGAACAATGGAGTACCTGGTCTTTGTTCCTCAGAGATAACTTGACCTCTCTTTCTGTTCAAAACAGAGTAGATACCACCAATAGCGTTCTCTGGACATTGAACCTCAACCAAGAAGACAGGCTCTTGGATTCTTGGCTCAGCCAAAAGCATAGCAGCAAAGGTAGCTCTTCTCATGGTTGGCATGATTTGACCAGCACCTCTGTGGATAGCATCGGCGTGCAAAGTAACATCCATGATGTTGAATCTGACACCTCTCAAGGTCTCACCAACAATTGGACCCTCCTTGGTAGCCCATTGGAAACCGGCGTTAACGTGATCCTTGATTTCAAGCAAGTATTGAACAGCCTTGGTCTGGTCAACGACAACGTTAGGTCCGTTACCGTCTGGACCGAAACACCAGATCTTTCTGGCGTCGGTGACATCCCAACCGTACTCGTCAGCCATCAATCTGGCTCTCTGCTTGAAGTCGTCTCTGGCGTTAATCTTTCCGCTCTCAATAGCACCGCTGACCTCGTCGTCCAATGGCTCGGCCTTCAAGTAGATTCTGTTGTGCTTGTTTGGAGACTTGGACAAAGCGACGATTCTGGACTCAGCCTCAACGGTCTCTCTGTAAGAAACAACTGGAGGAGAGATTCTCAGTGGAACACCGGCGTGGTCGTTCTCCAAGTCACTCAAACAAATCTCCAAGTGCAACTCACCAGTGGCAGCAACAATGTGCTCACCAGACTCAGAAATAGAAGTCACAACACATGGGTCGGACTTGGACAGTCTCTTAAGACCCTCAACCAACTTTGGAAGATCGTTACCGTTCTTAACCTCAACGGCAACCTCCACAACTGGGGAGACAGAGAACTTCATGACCTTCATGTTGTGAGAAGCCTCGTTGGTGGTCAAAGTACCAGATTTGAGCAAGAACTGGTCAATACCAACCAAACCAACAATGTTACCAGCTGGACAGTCGTCAATAGCCTCAACGAATCTTCCCATCATAAGAACGGTTCTTTGGATAGCCTTGATGAACAAATCGTCCTTCTTACCTGGAACGTAGTTAGGACCTTGGATTCTAACCTTCATACCAGACTTGACGGTACCGGCGAAAACTCTACCGAAAGCGTAGAATCTACCCTTATCAGAGGTTGGAACCATCTTAGACACGTAAAGCATCAAGTCAGCGTTAGGGTCACAGTTCTTGATGGCCAAACAAGAGGCGTCGTCAGATGGACCCTCGTACAAGGTCTCAGCTCTGTAGAATTGAGCAGTAACTGGAGATGGCAAGTGGATAATAATCATCTCAAGCAAAGCGTCAGCAGCTGGCAAGAATTTTCTCATGACAACCTTCAAGAGAGCCTTACCCTCGAGGTCCTTCTCATCACCCTTCAAAGAAACCTCAAGCTTCTCCAACAAAGTTGGGATCTCGTCCTTCTTGAAGTTCATGATAGCAGAGAAAAGTCTGAAAATAGGGTCGAGCACGAACATGTTGAAAGCTCTCTCCAATGGTTTTCCAGAGGCATCTTTGTCCTTGTTAGACCACTTCTTGGTCTTTGGGTTGAAGTAAGAGTCACCCCACAATCTCTCCATCATCTTGGCTCTGTCAACACCGAATTTCTTGGAGTATCTGATGGCGAATTGTCTGACAGTGAAGGCCCAACCGTGCAAACCGGAACCGAAAGCAACGGTACCCTTCTCTGGGTAAACCTGGACGTCACCAAGGACTGGCTCGACGTAGGTAGAGATGATGACGTTAACGGACTCGACAGTTCTGGAGAAAGACTGGTAAAGCTCCTCCTTGGAGATTTGCAACTCCAACATAGCTCTGTCAACCTTGTTGATAACAACAACTGGCTTAATTCTCTCACCAAGAGATTGTCTCAACACAGTCTCGGTCTGGACACACACACCCTCAACACAGTCAACAACGACCAAAGCACCGTCGGTAACTCTCAAGGCGGCAGTAACTTCAGAAGAGAAGTCAACGTGACCTGGCGAATCGATCAAGTTGATCAAGAACTTGTTGCCCTCGGTCTTTTGCTTGATCTCCTTGACATCCTCGTCCTCCATCTCAGAGAAAAGGGAGATGGCGGTAGACTTGATGGTAATACCTCTCTCCTGTTCATCTTTTCTGGTATCGGTGAATCTGGCCTCACCGGCCTTAGCAGCAGAAATGATACCGGCTCTCTGCACAAGAGAGTCAGTAAGAGTCGATTTTCCGTGATCGACGTGAGCGATAACGGACATGTTACGAACATTCGTAACCTTGTCCATTAACTCTCTGATTTGTTCGACAGTGAAGTTAACTAAACCGTGTTAGACATTCTAATATGCGCCGTTTCACTGGCATTATCAATACATACCCATTTTTGATCGTTAAGTTGATTCTGCTAACGTTCACTAACTTTATCAAAAAGAATTAAGATTAATTAGTTCGTTACGATTGGCAACCCTTACAAAAATCCCACCAGTCTGAAAAATTTTTTTTTTGTGTACAAATGAGGAAATGCCCATGGGGGGATTACCCTACCTTGCCGGGTAAAACTACCCAGGCAACGGGGCAGGGCCTAGGCCATGATCCAAACCATGACAGCTTGAACCAGGAACGAATACACAAACAGGAACTGGGTACGGATCCGCTTAGCCCCAGATGAGAGGTTGTTTGCTTCCAATCCACTTGGAAGCACCACGTATCTGAGAGATCTCATCAGGAAAAAGCCCAGAGAGCAGATGGTGGCAAGGAATCCAGTGTAGATAGCAAACGAAGAACTGAAGAAGTTCTTTATCATCATCAGACACAGGATCGAGATGAATTTGTACCCGCTGTAGCTGACCAGGTCCCAAAGCTTACGGTTTTTTTGGTTCACTCCCAGCACGTAGAATGAGATCTTGATCAACGCGATGTCAACCACATAGAACGCCAAAGTTCTTGTTGTTGCGTATCCCAGTAATTGAGGGTGGAAGGTTCCATTGAGCCCACTGAACACCGCCCACAACAGCACGTACGAAACAAAAGACATCAACGGAATGTACAGGTCTGGAGCGTTGACGTCTTCTATCGGGGTTGCGTAGAGCTCGACATTCTGGGAAACGTCGCTCGATCTGGTTTGCCTTGTCCATGTCTTGTTTCTGTACGGGAATAGGATCAACAACAGTTTTTGTAACACATATGAGTTGGACACTTTAAAATAGTATTTAACGTCCTGATTCGAAACCAGCTGGCCAAAGTTTTCCTGCATGTACTGATGGGAAGCATTAAACGCCGATTGACTGAACTGAAGACCCATTTGTGCTGCCGGATCTTGGAAGAACGAGTTGATGTTTGCTGTGTTTTGGGGGCGTGCGGAATGGTGGTTTGCGTTCAGATACGGCTGAGACTGAAACTGCTGGGACGTTGTTGCAGCGCCGTACGGATTCTGCTTGGGCAGGTCCTGGGAATTAGCGTATGGGTTGTACATGAACAGAAGAATACGTATTAAAGAATTTAAAATAGATGGCGGTGAAAAATAGGGGAATACCAAAAGGTTTCGGGGTGGTCGTCATTGGAGGGCACAGAGAGGTTAGTTTGGAGGAGTCTCACTGGCAGATGGTATTACCTTATGACAGTGGAACGATTACTCGATCTGCTGACACCAGGTTGCCAGGCCCGCCGTGTTTGGTACTCGCCGACCGCTGGAACTGTAGTCGATCGACGCGCCGAAATGATTTGAATTTCTATAAACGCGTCTTCGCGTTTTAAATAATATTTCACGTTAGTAATGTCGGTCGCGACCATGAAACCTCACAACTCGGTGAGATTTGTCAAGAATGAACGCGACACTACGCGTGTGGGTGAGAACTATGATCGAAACAACGAAGTTCGCATCAAACTACGCCACGAGGCCGTCCAGGAGACAGATCGCATAGATTCTGTCTTTGGATTCGACAGATTCACTTCTGGGCCCAAGCGAGTCGGATGGCTCGTCAATATGCATCCCACGACACTGCCCACCACGGAGGTTCTTGCTGGAAGCTCGGGTGTGGACTACTACTTTTTGGACGAGGAAGGAGGGTCTTTTAAAGCCAGTGTTCAGTATGATCCCTATTTCCTGCTTATGGTGCAGGAGGATCGCGCTATTGAGGTGGAAGAGTATTTGCGCAAATTTCTGGAATCCACATTAAAGCGCATTTCGTGGGTCGAGAAAGAGGATCTGGGCCTTACAAACCATTTGATCGGCCTCAAAAGACAACTGTTGCAACTCAGTTTCCATAACGTTTCGGATCTTTTGGAAGCCAGACGACAACTCCAGCCAATCATCCAACAGAACAAGTCGACCAAGACAAGCAAAGATATTTATCAGTCGGTAAACCTCAATTACAGCTCGTTTATGAAGCACAATGGTGACGACGTCGAGGTGGAGCGCAAGGTCGGAGCCATTTCCGATTTAATTGAAGACATTAGAGAATACGACGTGCCCTACCATGTGAGAGTGTCCATTGACCAGAACATCCGTGTTGGAAAGTGGTACACTGTCGAAGTGGATCAGGGTAAGGTTTCTTTACGCGAACGCAAGGACAAACTTGCCTTTGCCGACCCGGTCGTTTTAGCATTCGATATCGAGACAACTAAGGCATCTCTAAAATTCCCAGATAGCTCTGTTGACCAGATCATGATGATTTCCTATATGATTGACGGAGATGGATATCTGATCACGAACAGAGAGATCATCAGTGAAGACATTGAGGACTTTGAGTACACTCCCAAGCCAGAATACCCAGGAATGTTCACCATTTTCAACGAGCCAAACGAAAAGGCATTAATAGAACGATTTTTCGAGCATGTGAGGGACGTGAGACCAACGGTGATTGCTACTTTCAACGGTGACTTTTTCGATTGGCCGTTTGTGGAAGCAAGAGCAGCCTACCACGACCTGGACATGTACAAGGAGATTGGGTTTGCCAAAGACAACGAAGGCGAGTATAAAAGTACTTATTGTGTTCACATGGACTGTTTCAGATGGGTTAAAAGAGACTCGTATCTACCTCAAGGATCACAAGGTTTGAAAGCAGTCACCACCGTGAAACTGGGATACAATCCTACCGAGCTCGACCCGGAACTTATGGTTCCATACGCATATGAAAGACCGCAATATCTTTCTGAGTATTCGGTTTCCGACGCTGTTGCCACATACTATCTTTATTACAAGTATGTGCATCCCTTTATCTTTTCCTTGTGCACGATTATTCCATTGAATCCAGACGAGGTACTCAGAAAAGGTACCGGAACGCTTTGTGAGATGTTGTTGATGGTGCAGGCCTACGAGAACGGTATCTTGCTCCCAAACAAGCACACTGATCCTCTGGAAAGATTCTACGACGGCCATCTTTTAGAGTCCGAGACCTATGTTGGAGGCCACGTCGAATCGCTGGAAGCAGGTGTGTTCCGTGCAGATCTTGCGACCGACTTTAATGTTGATCCAACAGCTATAGACGAGATTTTAAACGATCTTGATAACGCATTGAAGTTTTCAATTACAGTGGAAGCGAAAAAGAGCTTGGACGACGTGACAAATTACGACGAAATATATTCTGCAATCAAGGAGAAGCTCCTGGAGCTCAAGAGCAACAACAAGCGAAACGAAACACCCTTGATCTATCATGTCGATGTGGCATCGATGTATCCTAATATCATGACGACCAACCGGTTGCAACCCGATTCGATGAAGAACGAGAAGGACTGCGCGTCCTGCGATTTCAACAGGCCTGGAAAGACCTGCGACAGACGGCTTCCATGGTCCTGGCGTGGAGAGTTTTATCCTGCAGAGGCCAACGAGTATAACATGATCAAGAACGCACTCAAGAACGAACAATTTCCGGCTAAACGTCCTGGTCTTCCTCGCAGAAGCTTTGAAGAGCTTTCTCAGACAGAACAGGTCGCACATATCAAAAAACGGATATCTGACTACTCCAGAAAAGTGTATCATCGTATCAAGGTGACCGAGACGGTTGAGAGAGAGGCCATAATCTGCCAGCGCGAGAATCCGTTCTACGTCAACACGGTGAGAGACTTCAGAGACAGAAGATACGAGTTCAAGGGACTTGCAAAAGTCTGGAAAGGCAAGGTTTCTCAAATCGACAGGGAAGACAAGAACTCGATCGACGAAGCTAAGAAGATGGTGGTTCTTTACGACTCGCTTCAATTGGCCCACAAGGTCATCCTTAACTCTTTCTACGGTTATGTTATGCGGAAAGGTTCCAGATGGTATTCCATGGAAATGGCTGGTGTCACGTGTTTGACGGGAGCCACGATCATTCAAATGGCCAGATCGCTGGTTGAGCGCCTTGGTCGTCCCCTGGAGCTGGATACAGATGGTATTTGGTGTATTCTTCCATCAAGTTTCCCCGAGAACTACACATTCAAGCTGAAGAACGGCAAATCAGTGTTTGTTTCGTATCCTTGTTCGATGTTGAACTATCTTGTTCACGAGAGGTTTACAAATCACCAGTACCAGATGCTTGTTGATCCAGCTCGGTTGAAGTACGAAACGCACTCTGATAACTCCATTTTCTTCGAGGTGGATGGACCATATAAGGCCATGGTTCTTCCTACCTCCAAAGAGGAAGGTAAAGGTTTGAAGAAAAGATATGCTGTTTTCAACTTTGACGGTTCGCTAGCCGAATTGAAAGGTTTCGAGTTGAAAAGACGTGGTGAGCTGCAATTGATCAAGAACTTCCAGTCTGACATCTTCAAGCTTTTCCTGGAGGGCGACTCGCTAGAAGGTTGCTACAACGCTGTGGCTAACATTGCCAACAGATGGTTGGATGTTTTGGATAGTAAGGGAAAGATGCTCGAGGATGAGGATTTGATTGAGTTGATTTGTGAAAACAGAAGTATGTCCAAGACTCTGGAAGAATATGAAGGTCAAAAATCCACTTCCATTACCACTGCAAAGAGACTCGGTGAATTCTTGGGAGAAGAAATGGTCAAGGATAAAGGTCTTGCGTGTAAGTACATTATTGCCGACAGACCTGTTGGAGCTCCAGTCACAGAGAGAGCCATTCCAACCGCCATTTTCTCCTCAGAGCTCACTGTGAAGCGGAAATATCTGAGAAGATGGTTAATGGACCCTTCGGTGGAAGACTTTGATCCGCGTTCGATCATCGATTGGGGCTACTACAAAGAGAGACTTGCATCTGTTGTCCAAAAGATCATCACCATTCCAGCAGCATTACAGGGAGTGAACAATCCTGTTCCAAGAGTGTTGCATCCAGAATGGTTGCAGAAGAGAATCAACATCAGAGACGACAAGATGAAGCAATCGTCTTTAACTGGATTTCTCAGAAAGGGAGTCATGACCGATGTGACCAACAAGGTTCAGGACATTGAAGATCTTGGCGCTGTTTCCACAAATGGACCAAAAGTTGGAAAAGTCACGTCTAGAAAGAGAAAACTTGCCAGAGAAACCTCTGATGAGTTGCAACAGCAGTTGGCCAACAAACCATGTCCTGATCCGTCTGACGATTACGTTGGATTCCTGGGACACCAGAAGCTAAAATGGGAGATCCAGTTCAAAGAGCGCGAGCGCAGAAAGAGACTGTTTGGTGACAGTGTTCAGTATGGAAGCAGAACCATTGTTGGAAACATGGTGCGGAAGAACGCCGAGAATTACGTCGATTCCACCTGGCAAGTGCTTCAGTACTGCCAGAGCGAAGACATTCCAGGAGATTTGAAAGCGTATGTGATCATCAACGGAAGAATTCAGTCTCTGACGTTCCACATCCCAAAGAAAGTGTATTTGGAGTACAAGTCAGAAACAGGCCCTGAACCTATAATAGAGAATGGCGAAGTGACCAAGGCCATGGAACTGCTTCCAAGCGGCCAACAGAGTGATAACTTATACAAAGTTGTTATTCCTGAGCCTGGATTTGCTAGAGAAATGGCAAAGACCGATGGATTGTTCAGCAACTCCAATATTGCAGGCGTCTATGAGTCCCAGATTCAAAGCTCCGAGCGCGCCATCATCGATCTGGGAACATGTGTCAAATTCGACGACTCAAAACTCGGTGCTCTTGGAAAGTCTTTGGAGAAAGGATTTGATCAGAAGGTGTTAAGGTCTGTTGAACCAGACGCATACCTGACTAAATTTTCTTCAGGAGTTCTCTACTTGCTCCATGTTTCTTCCAACTCGTACGAGATTTTCACCTTTTTCAACCCTGCGGAGTCCACGGCCAACGTGTATGTGCTCAAACCAACTTCCGCTGCTCAGGAACTGAAAACCAACATGGAATCCATGTACGGGGAACTGTTCAACTCGAAACAGCAGTCGATCACACAGGATCTCATCAACTATAATGGTGAAATGAGCTTTGAAACGCAGTACTTCACCGACTCGTCAAAGCTGTACAAGAAACTCAACTCCAAGATCCTTAGTATCGACGAACATAGTGCTTCCAAGTCGTTGTTGGTTCTTCAGTCTCCATTCACATCCAAGTTGGTGAAGAATCTGCGTGCAGTGAACCAGCTCCCATGTCTGAAGATGGGATCAGGTCCAGTTAATGTCAATTCTTTGTCCTGGCATTCGCTGATCATGAAGCGTATAATCAATCACTATCTGTCTCTTTCGGGATGGTTGCAGAAGATAATTTCTTTGGCAAGATACAGCAACATTCCAATTTGCAACCTCCAGGTTGACCAGCTTGGCTATATGATCGACATCGAGTATGCAAGAAAGTTGAAGCAGGCCAACATTGTTCTATGGTGGTCTCCAAATCCAAATCCGGACCTGGGTGGATTGGAGAAGGACACTTTTGCTGTGGACGAGTCGTTCCAGTTCCCTGTCATTAACAGACCAGAAACATACGAGAGTGTCTGCTTGGAACTTGAGATCAAGAACTTGACAATCAACACCATTCTGACCTCGTCCTTGATCAACGAGGCCGAAGGTGTCTTTAGCACCACAGATGCAAGCTCAGAAAAAGCGTTTGCAGAGGACTCCTTTTCGGGCCCTGCACTGGTGGTCCTGAGAGGATTGGTGAAGAACTGGTGGGATGATGCCATCAAGAACAGCTCTGAGGCAGACTCAATGGTACATGGATTCGTTTCATGGTGCCAGAACCCTTCGTCTTTCCTGTACGACTCTTCTTTGCACTACCACGTTCACAATTTAACCAAGAAATCGTTCATCCAGCTACTTGGCGAGTTTAAGAAACTTGGATCGTCTATCATATTTGCTGACAGAAACAGAGTCATTGTGGAGACGTCTAAGACTGCAGTTGAGAACTCTTATGCTTACGGACAGTACGCGTTGACCGCAGTTCGTGCCAGTCCACTGTTTGGTTTCCTGGATCTTCAGGTTGTCAAGTTCTGGGACATACTTATCTGGATGGATAAGTACAACTACATGGGCAGATTCTGTAACGAGATTCGGGAATCAGAAACTCAAAAACTGGAAGCTGTTTCCAAGTGGCAGTTGCAGCAATACCTCCCACCAATTCTGCAAAACGAGTTTCAAGAATGGACGTGGCTTATTTTGGACGCGTTCATCAAGCACAGAGAAAAGGGACTGAGAGGATCAACACAATCTCAGGTTACCCAGCTTACTCCTGATAGAAAGGCCATTCTTAAGAACTTGAAGGAAATCAAACAAGAAAAGGAGGGCGAGATCTTGGACGCTGAAATGCTCGAAACTGGACTGTGCGAGCAGTTCAGGGGTCCGCTCTTGAAACGAATCAACACTTTGCTCAAGAAACAGAACGAGACAGGACTTGATCCGGGAATCATGGAACAATACCAGTTTCCGAAACTTCCTGGATCGCACATCCATCTATCGAATCCAACTCTGGAGCTGTCCAAGTACTTGTGCCAAATCTTGAGTCTGTCCAAGAGCCGCAACATCGAGGTCCGTGTCTTGAGAAAAGAGATTTTGTCTTTGTTTGAGATCAAGGAATTCAGTGAAGAGGGTGTGTTCAAGAACCCGTCAGCCAGTCTGATCTTGCCGCAAGTCATTTGCAACTATTGCAACCATATCAAAGATATCGATGTTTGCAGAGACGATGAAAAGTCTCTGTGGAACTGCGAGGAATGCCACAAACCATACAACAAGCTGTTTTTGGAGGAAAAGCTGATTTCCGAGTTCAGCAGACTGGTGTTCAAGTTCATGACCCAGGACCTCAAGTGCTCCAAATGCGGTAAAATCAAAGATAAAGAAATCATGGCCCACTGTTCATGCTCTGGAACATGGGCCCCAACAATCAGCAAAAAACAGATCTCTTTGGAGCTGAGGTTGTACCAGAACGTCGCTACGGTACACAACTTGAAGTTATTATCCGAACTCACGGAAGAGATTGTATAAATTATTAAAATGAAGTTAATTTGCAACCATCGTAATAGGATTTGAAGAAACTCTGCACCACGTCATTGCTCATGACTTCCGGCTGTCTGATAGACATTCCTCTTGACCAGTCTTCCAACAGCTGCTCACTGATTCTGTTGCAGTGCTCGATCTCTTCTGGGTCTGCTTTCAAAATACCCTTCATAGTCACACCAGGAAGTCTGAAGTTCTGCTTGACAGAAGTTGTTTGGGCAGTGTATTCCTGGGAAGCAATCAGTTGGTACGAGCTAGTGTAGAAGAATTGTGGAATAATAAACCGGGAACTGGAAGAGACAAAGATTGACCCCTGCTTGTTGCTTAATTGCTTTCTTTGCTCGTAAAGCTTGTTGATAATTGTATGAACGTTGCAGTCCAGATAGTCCTTAAGCTTAAACTGGTCGATGTTGAAGCTGGAGAAATCCTCGTAGCTGATCAGACAGGTATCGCTATAAAACACTGAGAGGTCACGGAAGAACTTGAGAACCCAAAGAGTCTGGATGTGGTAGCCACCTCTCATTAGTGCTCCCCACAGTATTTTGTCGTACAACGACACCACAGCAGGATCATCCGGGAACTTGAGATTCAGCGAACGAACATAGTGGCTGATCATACACTCGAGATGGGTATCGTCGAGCTTTTTAAGGTCATGGTTGGCTTTTGAATCGCGTCGGAATGTCTTTGATTTGCACACAGCTAGCCACTCGTTGAGTTTTCCCAGCGCAAGATGGATCCAGTCGTATTTCAGTGGGAGTTTGGCATACCTTGCCGTAAGATAGTACTTGTTCAGGTTTTGGAGTAGGGACATCATTTCAACACAATGAACGGGAAGGTCTTCCAAGTATGCGTCTTGGTACCGGATAAAACTGTTGGCAGCGTATAGAGACGAGTAGACACCGGCAATGGTGCTCACTTTACGGATCCTGTCACGGCGTTCTTGGTCGAACTTGGCAACAATGACCTTGTCTGTTCCTTTAAAGCCTTTCATGCAACAGAACTTGGTAAGGATATCGCAAACCACCATCACTTTCAGGAACCAGTCCTTGGCGTCTTCATAATTTTTATCTGAGAACTGCTTGCAACCATAGATCAAGGCTCTTTTGATTTGGAACTCCAAGCTCTCCAAAGTGTTTGATATTGGTTCCTTTGCTTCGTGGCCGGCACGAAGAATAGACAGAAAGTCCTGAAAGTCTCTAGGAAGCTCCATTTCGTAGACATTCACCGACAAGTATGTCAACACTTGGTCCAGGCGCGGTGAGCTAAAAATGGACTTGTACACAGTCAAGTCGGGGAATTTAAACAGTTCAACCATCAATGAGTTCAGGAAATTGTTCAATGAGGTGTCATCGAGCTCCAGCAGATCTAGTTCGTCAAGCGCAGTTTCCAGGTCACATGCATTGGTGAATTCCCTAACTATATTCTTAACGAAAGGACATCTCTCAGCCATTTTTGTGTCTGCTACCATGTCTCTCAAGTCTTCCAGTTCTTGCTTGAACTTTTCGTGAATGGATAGCTCCGAAAGCATTGATCGGAATGTCTTTTCCTTGTATCTAATCAATGATCCAATGGAGCTGGAAGTGTTGGAGTGGTCGGATTCAAAGGTCGCGATCTTGGATTTCAAATAAATGATCAGCGGCGTGTTCAAATCTTTGGAAATTTTCGAATGAAGCAGCCCTTCACGATAGCACTGGTAAGCGCTCTCTGGTTCATTGAAGTTCATGAACACGTCTCCCACCTGACGAAGCAGCTGAGACTTTTCCAACACGGTAGCCAGTTTGATCACGTTGGCCAATTCTCGTGAGCCTGCTTTCTTTCGGCCCAAAGCCATGAATGAAAAGGCTACTTCTAACCGCTTTTGGTTATCAAAACTGGGATCCATCAACGTAAAGGTTTCGAGGCTGCTGAGCTTGGAATGTGCAAAGTCCTGCTCCACCAAAGTTTTATTATTGGGAGCACCTTGGTTTGACGCCGAGAAAAGACTAGTTGCCGGATGCACCCGCTGGTACGAGTCGGTACTTATATCGCTCATAGCAAAGGTAGTACTATGCTAGCTAGTTGTTAATAATTGCAAAGAAGGAGCTTGGTTGCACTTTTACAAGCGCTGGCCGCCGCTAATATGCCAAACCGTGCACACCTCGCACCATCCACCGCAAACCGACACGCTGCCCCAGATCGAACGTGATTATTCTGTTGAGGAATAAGAGTCTTTGCGGATGAACGAATCGGTTGGCCCAGGCAGCCGGGGGTCGCAATCGAGCGATCATCAGCAGTCCACTGCCAACGTGTTATCTCAAAGTTCGACGCGAAACGACGATTCTGCGCAGAAGAGTTTGCCTGTGACGCGAAAAATGTCGTTTAGCCAGAATGCTAACAGCAAAGGGAAGTCAGACATTGGAGGCCCCAACCAGTCCCAGTTGTCCCATACAATACGGACTATAAGTGGCACACAGCTCACACAGAATTTCCGGATCAATGACTCACCTGTGTCTATGCTGAAAGCGGTGCACGATCCGTTTGAGGATTCGCCCGATTCCACAAGCACGCCAGCTCATTCCAAGCTTATTACGAGGCCATTATTGGGCACCCCATCCCAAAGCGCCGCTTCTAGAAGCAAACAGCTTGCCAAACATAATGCATCTGCTGACGCTTTCAAGAAAATGAGAGACCAGATCCCTGAAGCTTTTGAGTACGACACAGAGATGGGCATTGTTCTAAACGACCACGACGATAACGACGAGACGCACGAGGAGTCTGGCACTTTTCTCAACTTACGGGGCGGGTTTGCCAATTTCAAAGGCAAGTTTGATGAAGGATTCACCGTGGATACGTCGCCTGCTACGCAAATGGACGAGAATATCAACGAGGAGATCAACGAGAAGTTGCGACAGAAAGAGACAAACGACCAAAACGAAACAGACTACTCGTATCTTAATAATTACATCAACAAGCGGCTATCGCAGCAAGATCCAAGCAGCAAACAGTCGGGGCTTCAGAGCTCTGCGGAAAATGGAGACACAAGGGAAATACAGGTTCCTGGAACCATTGAAAAGAGTCGAATGGGCATAATCTCAAACAGCAGCCCGCTGAGAAAGAAGTCGATTAAGGAGATTGTCGAGCTAGAAGAGGAAGACGAGCAAAACGAGCAGAATGACGAGATCATTAGTTCTCAGAGTCTATTTTCTCAAATGAGAAACTTCACGGAATATCACCGTACGCAGAAAGACACACACACTGCCTCGTCGCCGAACTTTAACGAACCCTCGTCACAGGAGGTGAGCGATTTCGAATTCGACGAGAACGAGAACGAGAACGAGAATGGAAACCAAGAGGAACTGCCAGTGACACTAAATGTCTCCAACTCACAACATTCTCAGACAGACCCGTCGGCGGGCTCTCAAAAAGAGCTAAGAAGCGTTGTGGAACGCTTTTCGCAAAACTCTCATAGTTCGCAGTCAAAAGAAGACCAGGACATGTTGACACAGACCGTCCCGCTATTATCCCAAACACAGAACGTCAACGACGATGTGGAGGACATCAATGATGACTTGAGAGGCGATGCCAATGCCATTTCTTTGTCGCAAGTCGCGTACACTTCGAGTCTTCTTCTGCGTCCCAAGAGAACTCTCAATACCAGTCCCAGAAAGTTGTCTCCGAGGAAAGTGCCGCGTTCTGCTCCTCCGGTAATTTCACTCGATGACAGCTCGCGCGAGTCGTCCAGACACAATTCCGAGTCCGAGCTTGATCAGCACGATGTGTTTTCGATGTCGCAGTCCAATGAGAGAGAAATTAAGGACAGCATGGACGAGACCCGGATCAACTCTATCCTGGATCGAAAGCAGATCAATGTGCTGCTTAGCACGAGAAAGGTTGAGGAGGAGCTCACCTCGCCAGCCTTTGAGCACACAGATGAGATTCAAAGTCAGATTCGCAAACAGAGCCAGTCCACGTTTGAAAAGAAGGACATTTTACCTATTGAGACATCGTCGCAAGAGATATACAGGGACGACGAGACGACCAAGGAGTTTCGCGAAGAAGATATTATCTTCCCTCGGTCTGTTTGGGTCACCCTTGACAACAAGAAGTTCCCTTTTGGTATCAGGAGCGTCTCCAAGTACCAGGACGAGAAGAACTCAATGCAGTACTCGATATCCATTTCCAACTCCGAGTTTGTTGATGTTGTCGACCAGGGCAAGATTTTTGCTCCGTTGGGGATCAAGATTGGGGATAATATCAAGATACTAGACAACAGAATGAAAACATACAAAGTTACGGGGCTGCAGTTCGATATTTCGCTTTCGCATATGGTCAAATGTATCAGGGGATACAATCGAGTGTACATTGTTGACAAGGCAGACGAGCACGCAAAAGAAATAAGCGTCCCGATAGAGGAGATATATCTGACTGCTCAACAGGGCAGTAAGCTGTCTTTCAAAATATTTGACGACGAAACACGATTTCAGAAGTATCTTTCTAGCCTCGAGGATCAGGACATTACAGAGATCCAGCATACTCTGCCAACTATCCAGCAGTTGCCGTTTCACGGGTGTTTATTTGTGCTCACATCTGCTCCTCAGTCTGAAGGATCAGATCCAACGAAGCTAAGAGACATCATCAAATTTATCGAGTGTCATGGAGGCACAGTTGTTGACGAGGGGCTACCAAAGATAGTGAAAGTCGGGAATCAAGGACTGGAGTCAGGACCTGGGCTACACGATTTGAAGTTTGCGGCTTTACTTTCTCCAAAACATGTGCGTACCATGAAGTATTTTCAGTCCTTAGCTCTCGGATGGCCTATAATCTCCACTTCCTTCATTGAGGACATGATAGAGGATCCCGAGCGCATCAACGTCTGGGAGAAAAGCTTCCCCAGCTACTTGCTCCCTTCAGGACACAGCTCCAAACGGAACTGCGTTCTGAATTCAAATGTCTACGCTTTCATGGCCAATTTCTATCAAGGAGTACATCTTGACCAGCAGCTTGGACTTAAGACCATTCTGAAGGACGTTTCCATCGCGGTTGACAGAGAGACCCTAAGCGTTAGCAGTCGAGACCTGGACTTTCTCCTGAAAGCTTTGGGATGTACCAAAGTCAGGGTCCTCAAGCAAATAAGCCACTCCGAGCTATCGAAGCTAGATCAAGACACAATACTGTTCACCGGGCTGGACAAGAAGTCTTTGAAGTCGCAACTTCATCGGAGATCATCCAAGAAACGGAAGGTGGATCTTCCAGAGTACGAGAACGAGCTGCTGGTGGTCGACTGGGAATGGCTGGTCCAGTGTATTATAGCGGACGACCGGTTCGAACCTCTATTCCGCTGGAAAGTCAATTTGACAAGAAAATAAATATTCTATTGAGTCTATTAATGCGAGCTAATGGTACAAGCTAGAGTCACAACAGCTGGACGAGTAGACATAAAAATCCCGTGAGCGTTGAGATGGCAATAGCGGACGTCATTCTCTGCGCGTCACCTTTAGAACTGGTGGAATATGATCCAGACGGACTGGCATTCGAGGCACTGCTTGCCGACGAAGCTCCTGTAACGTAAACCTCACCGCCCGAGATGATTGCTTGGGAGTATTTGGAAGCGGGGTCCGCGTTGTATAGATAGGAGTTGATGGTCAGAGTGAGCGATGCAAAGTCCTCACTGTTAGCGGTGGTGGCATGAGGAATCACTTCGGATAGGATAGGGTAAAACACCTCTTCGCTCAAATCCTTATCTTCTGCAGGCTGGGCAAGAGCAATGGTTCTGTTGTCATTGTTGACAGCCAGATGGACACTATTGATGAAAGGAGTACCGAGCAAAGAGTAACCGAGGTATTCGGAGGGTAAAAAGTTGAGGGCGCACGCGTCGTTACCGTTCTCGAACGTAAGAGTTGAACCGTCCTCGTTTCTTTGAACATCAAGCACCATATCGATCGGAATGTTCAGAGTCAGGTTTCCAAAATAGAAATCGATAGTTCCAGCAGACGCGACGTCACACTCAACCAACCAAGAACCCAAACTCTCGGCGTAGTACGCGTTCAGCTCCAACGCAAGCGAAATGAGAGTTGAGTAAGGGATAAAGTTGTATGTTATCCGAGAATCCAGCATGGCCGGAATGGGATACGAGCCCGACGAGTTCTGTTCTGTAAAGTCGTTAGAAAAGCGAACGGCATTTCCGGAAGAGGAAGTGACTCCCAGTCCCGATAAAGGAATGACTGGTAAAGAGTCTGACCAAGTGGTATCTCCCAGGATCGACTCTCCCGAGTCGTCTTGAACCGGAATGAAGTCAAACTGGTACATATCACCTTGGAAGTTGGACGTGGAAAGACCACCTGCAATTAGGAGCGGAGTGGAGTCGTTTGTTCCTGCAGGGGCTAGTGAGTAGGAGTTGGACTTGATGAATTCATTGTCTTTGAAGTAGGTCAAAAAGTTGTTGTAGCCACTCTGAACAGTGCGGGACAAACCCAAAGAGCCAACCTGAACGTAGGACTCGTTAGCCCAGATAAAAGGAATACGTTCGATGGAAACTGTATTATTGTGAAGAGACCCGTTTTTGAATGGTTCTAAAATTGGAAATTGGAAGTCATCTTCTGCTTTGTAGCCAGAGGTGGCGATACCATCGATAGCATACAGTTGGATGTGGAATGCTTCGTCCTCAGACGAAACACGCTCATCGTTCTCGGTGAGATACGCCCCACTGATGGAACTGTTGAGGTCAAAGGCTCCGGAAGGCGCACATGGTGTCTCGATGGCAGTGTCATAAGCTGAGGTTCCGGTAGTGAAATCTTCTGACGTGGAAGACTGGGACTCACACGCGGTGAACTGGTTCGCACCAGGAAGCCAGAGCTCGGGATTGACAACGTCGACTCGAAGTGCGAGAGTTTGTTTAGGCTCACCAACCTCGACCGTATAATCGATAAGTCCTGAGTTCTTAGTAGTGAGCTCAAAAACGGGAAGCCAACTAGTTGTTGGGAAAGAACTTGAGTGTGAACTCGACGCGGAAGACGAGCCCACGATGACCAGATGTATAAGGGAAAATGCAAAGATGAAGCCAAACATCAACACCGAGCACTAGAAACCAGCGCAAAATAAGTATTGGTTCTCAGCAAAATGTATACACCAGAAGAAAATGTTCCAATCTGGCGTGCGGGACAAGCGATGTCGGTGAAAGGTATTTATAAACGAGCCGTTGCAACAAAAGAAAATACCGAATCTGCAATCTTATTATTTTGCATATAAAAATAATCCATCGAGCCCAATAAACGGAGGTGCCAAGTATTAAGGAAAAAAAAAAATCTTTTCACATTGCCAAATGTAGTAATGCCTTTTGTGTTGTTTCGGCCGGCAAGATCTTACAATATACCAAAATATTACCAGAGAGCGAATTACCCGACAATACATATGATTTACATAGCATAGCCAGTGTAGGCGTAGGATTGTTGAGGTTGTTGGGCAACCTGCCATAGAGCACGTTCGTGTGTTTTGAAAACATACGGAGAGCTCTCAGAGTCCAGCGACAAGTATTCATCATCCTCTTCAGGCATGTAGCCTGTTTCGGATATCGAAATGGGTTGAGCCACAGGAGCAAATAGCGGGCGTTGTTGTGGGTGGTGGAGGTGTTGCTCTGGAAGTCTCAATTGTACATTCAATAGCATTCCTGGGGGAAGCGGGCCACTGATCTGCGGCGACGGAGTAGACGTCAATGATAGTGGGGAGTCGGTTTTGAGTTGCGAGTTCTTGGTTGGCGAGTCGTAGGAAGTCACATCTAACAATCGCGAATGTTTTCCCGTTTTTCTCTTGCCAATTTTCAACTTGTCGAGATAGACGTCCGGAAGACCTGGACACGAACCAAGTTCAAGGTGGCGCTCCACCCAGATCTCGTTGTTCAAGAACTCTTCTCCGCAAGCAGAACACCATCCCTTCGCTCCTGTACGTTCTCCCGATCGCACACCTTTAGGATATTTGAAATGTCTTGCTTTCAAATGGGTTTTATAGGTATCTCTTCTGGAAAACCCACCATTAACATGACATCTGTGAGAAGAATTCTCGTTGTAGAACGGACATGTGTAGGCCTTCTTCTCAGAGTGTTTTTTGATATGTCTTGTGAGATACCCTTTGATTTTAAATTTCGCGTCACAAAAGGTACATTTATAATCTTTGGAGGACGAAGGAGAACCTTCGCCTTCGGACATGGATTCCGAACCGGTAGACTCGTTCGACAAACTCGAGTTAGAGTTCCCAGATTTCACAGAGGAAACCGGCGAAAGCGCAACAAACTCGTCCGACCTGGCAAAAGACCCCACGGACTTCTTCTTCGGAGACTCTGTCTCTGTCAGTGGCGAGAGCTGTTGGCGTTTGTCCGTTAGTCGAAACTCAACGGTCCCATTTGGGTTCACAAAGGAAACATATTGGGAGTCGTTGGTGCTGCAATGTTGGAGATCCTTTGTGGTTAAGTTCTTGAAAAGCTTGAAATTCACTGGGAACAATGTCTCCTTGGTGTTTGGGCACGCATCACACTGAATTCTGGTGGATTTCGTATGGGGGATAACGGTTCCCACAATTACCAATAACCAGTTCAAAACTTGCAAAATAATCCTTCCAATATAACCAGTAAACCTGGGCATTCGGGAAGGAGAATACATATTCATGATGATACTATTCCTGTTTCGACAGCAATGTTGAAGTATTTCAGCAAAAGTAGAAGTTTTATTGCGATGATTCAAAAGAGGTTAGAAACACAAGATACTAACTGTTTTTTTTTTTGCCTGATTTTCCGTGCAGTCAAACTTTTTTTGGCCAACCTCTTGTGAAGCCTAGTGTGCACACCCGTGCACCATTTCTGATGTTTGCTCAGTTAACAGGTAGCGCATGAAGAGTCATGCTAAACCCCTCACCAGGCAACTGTCGAATGTGTAATTCCAAACAGGGGCGGTACAGGTTCAACTTAACCCGTCTGTGTCTAGCTGACTTCGCCTCCAAACGTAACCCCTCCCGATCTTACGGCTGTAATCTGGCTTACCTCATCACCTAAAAGTTTGTGATAGTTGGCAATTTTGGATCTACTCCATGGATTCTGACCTACGAATGAGTCGCGAAAGGTCTACGTCTGTATCGACCGCCGAAGTGGTACCAACTTCGATAGATGTTAGAAAACAGCGGACCTCGCTCAAGATTGTCACTCCGAGCAAGAATTCTGAGGAGCAGTTGATAGATTCCAGCTTTAGTGAGGGACACTCCAATGCACACCGGCGTTCGCACTCGTATGCGTCGCCATTACATTTGCGTACCCAGCAGGGATTAGAATCCCCAAGGGTTTCCCCTGATCCGTTGGGCGATACTCTTTCCCCCTCGGCTACAAATATGAACTCTACACAATCCACATCTTCGTCTAGAATAAACCCGTTTGGCTCGCTTTCTCCAAGCGGCACAAGGATACCAGACGTGCCATCTCCAGAGAGCTTCTGGTATGAGATCAAGAAGACGTATCCACATTTAAAGATAACTTTGCTCTCCATATTCAGCTGGTACTGTTTTTCGCTTGGAATATCGCTTTACAACAGATGGATGTTTTCCAACAAGAACCTCAATTTTTCGTTCCCGATCATCATCACATCGTTTCACCAGTTGATTCTGTTTCTACTGAGTCTGCTCACGCTCGCGATGATCCCGCGTTTTAGACTCAATTATCAGCCATACTCCAGATCTTTGCCCGAGGCAGAACATCTGGTTGGGGAACCAGACAACGGGAACTCCAGCGACGAGTTCAACGACCTGCTAGAGAGCAAGAAAGTGCAAGGCCAGAGCTACTTGATGCCTGTGAAAGAATACCTGACCAAGATCTTACCGTGTTCCATTGCTTCAGCCGGTGACATTGGTCTTGGAAACACAGCATTCAGATTCATATCACTCTCGCTATACACGATGATCAAGACATCATCGTTGATATTTGTGCTATTTTGGGGTGTGGTGTTCAAGCTCGAAAAGATGACGTGGCGTATCCTGTCCATCGTCCTGATCATGACCTTTGGAGTCATTCTCATGATATCGGGCCAACACGAAGACGATTCAAAGCCAGCTCCAGCACCTACACCTGCTCCAGAATCTTCAGCTGTGGGCGGAATTGTGCCTGAAGACGAAGATCTGGTCCCTGCCCTAGCTAAAAGACTGTTCAGCCGTGAAATGAAAACGACCCATCTGCTGATCCTGGGCTCTTTCTTGGTTCTTGGTTCATCGTGCATGTCGGGGCTCCGGTGGGCATTGACCCAAATCATGCTAAAAAAGAACCCGAGAACCACAAACCCTATTCTCACCATTCTCTACCTTTCACCAGCAATGAGTTTTGTTCTGCTCATCATTGGCTGTCTCGTGGAAGGTATAAAGTCTTTCACCGAGAGTCCAATCTGGGAAGAAAAAGGATTCTTCATGACATGCCTTTTGATTCTGATTCCTGGATTGCTCGCATTCTTCATGACTCTTTCGGAGTTTGTGCTCCTTCAGTACGCATCATTATTAACACTGTCCATCGCAGGTATTTTCAAAGAATTGCTCACCATATTCACGTCATGGCTTCTCTTTGATGATAAGCTTTCGTTTGTCAACCTGATAGGATTGGCAATCACCATCACGGATATCGTTTGGTACAATTTGTACCGATTCGATCAAATGCAGGCGGAGGGCTTGCCGAAAAATAAAGTTTCTCGGCCTACTTCTTTCGAGGACGAACAACCAGCCCGATCAAACGGGGACATCGAATTAGATGAGCTTCAATGCTAGATTCAGTTATTGAGTAAAGATTATAGATTTGAGTTTAAAACGCCAACGGTTCTATTACAATAGTTTTGGGTCTATAGTAGATGGGTGGCTCGTATCGGAATATGAGGACTGTTTCTAATCATTTGCGGCTGTCGACAGAGTCTAATTCCAGCTCCTCGCTCACGAGTCTCTCGGAGTCCTGGCTAGAAGTTGGAGACGAACTAGATTTGCTGCTGGACTGTTCCAGTCTGTAGAGATTGTACCAGGCAATATCTGCCAATGTGATGAAAATACCAATCATATTGACAAAGTTGAGCTGGTCACCGAAGATCAACCATCCAAGGAAAATGGTAATAAGCTCTCTCACAATACCGGCGATGGACAGAGTGAGGAGTGGGGCATATTGAAGGATGATGAACTGAGAAAGTGTCATACAGAATGCCAAGAATCCAGGGAAGAGCAACAAAACGCATGTTCCAAAGACACCGTAAGTTTCCCAAACTTGGGAACCAAGGAAATTGCCAACACCTTCGACTTGCGAGCCCATGAAGATCAACGAAATGCACATGGCAGGACTGAGATAGAAGATAGTCAAAATTGGGTTCTTCGTGTATCTATTTCCACGGAGAACGATCTGGGTCAAAGCCCATCTGAGTCCCGACATACAGGAAGCCAAGAGAACGAGGAAGCATCCAACAATCAAGGCAGAAGCGGTGAACTTGTTGAAAGTCTCGGATGCCTTCGCAGTGGCGCCGGCAAATCTGGAAGAAGAAGCCGTGTCTGTGACAGGCTCGTCGTTGGAAACAGCCGACAATGGAACGAGTCCATCGTTGTCCTCTCTAACACCCAAATAAGCCACAGCAGCTCTCTTGACCAGCAATCTCACAAGCTTGACCTTCATCTCCTCGGCCTCCTCCTCAACAGGAGTGGTCTCTCCTTCAGTTGTAGGCTCACCTTGACCATACACCATCATCATCACCGAGCCGGTCATAATGAAGGTAATGAGGCACAGCTTCATTGTAACTTTTTCAAGTCTAAGCACAAAGCCCCAGAACAGAGTGAAAATCAACACTGCCGAGGACTTCAGCATGGTGTAGAGCGAAATGGTGATATACTTCAATGAAGAATTGCCAAGGCCAATATCACCAGCCGAGGCCAATGCACAAGGTAAGATCTTGGTGACGTACACCTTAGGGTTGATGAAGTAACTCAGACTCTCGGTTGAAGTACTGGCAGAGGCTTTAGAAGGGTCAACATAGTTGAGTCTGAACTTGGGCCAAAATGTCAGAGTGAGACAACTGAGCCAAAACAGAACAAATTGATGACAGGCTGTAATTAACACAGGAAACTTGAAGTTAAGCGTTGGGTCAGAGAACATCCATTTGTTGTATAGCGAAATCAGCAAACTGAAACTGAACCACGAGCCAATAGCCGTCAGCACGATACCAATGTTAGGGACCCGAGCCTTCAGCTCCGCATACGATCTGGGAATTTGAACCATAGTATAAAATGTCTGGAGGAAACTTTTGATCTTAGCTGTCCCTTACTTTGTATTCACCGGTACACTACCTGCGCCGAGCGGCTCGCGGGCTTCGGGGTTTTCCTGCAAGCTACCGAGCGTCATTGGATCCGCTGCGAGGCGGTTTTCGCCCCACTGGTCGATGTAATAGACCATTGACGGTCTCCCTGAGCGATTACCGTTCAAACGGATGCCATTTAGGGTGTTCGTCCATCTTGCAATGTTGCATCGAGGACAGGCCACCGTGTAAGGATGTGCCGCATTGAAAAAAAAATTCTTGGAGGATCTGTTTTTCGTGTCGTGTGAGAATTGGGAAGGGTCCAGATAGGAAACGCTGATAAAATTTATGTAGAATTTGCACAGGAACACACAATTTTTTTTTTCTACATACGAGGCAGCGAAAAAACCTAAGAAAATAAATTTCTGGCAGTGTACGGGTGTTTCAAACGAAATAGAACCGATCCGAATTTGGCCAAATGCGTGCGCATAAATAAATCAGATGATTTTATCGTACGATTTTTGAGTGAATATGACATTTGCGTTATATGGCTAAGAGTAGCCAGGTACGCCTGGTAGAAAAGAATAATTATCATAAAAATTACCAGTTCTCTCTAGTCAACCACCAACAATGTCGTTACTAGAGTTTGATAACTACGACGGCCTACTGTCGTCTATGAACAAAAAGAAAAATGCATCCTCGGGGCAAGACGATGGAAACTACCATTATCCCGAATTCGATACCGCCGATGTGGATTTTGCAGATATCAACGATGTTATGAGTACTTACAACTCTGCAACGATGTCTCCGTATTCCAACGGGTCGTCACCAGACAATATGTTCCCTGCCGCATTCAACCCAGGAAGCTACGACGATTTCGCTATGAACAAATCCGACTCTGAAAACACCACCAGATCCGGTGACATGCCTTCTTTGACCACCACACATACCGCGTCTTCCCTTTCGACGAATGGAATTGTCAAACTCGAAGATGAGGACCTGTTCCAAATTAAACGCAGAAGACAACCAAGCACTAAAAGTATCGAGCATGGAATCACCAAAGGCAAGAAGTTCAAGTCTCCTCACAACCTGATCGAAAAAAAGTACAGAACTAATATCAACACCAAGATTGTCGAGCTTAGAAACTGTGTTCCTGCGCTCCGTATCTTGGTTGCCAAAGAAAATAATCACCATACAAATTCCTCCGACAGAGTTGATGATTACGATGACGATTACGAGGGTGACGGGTACACTGATGACGAAGAAAAACTGGATGGATTACAGCCAGCACGCAAACTAAACAAGGCCACGATTCTCTCGAAAGCTGCCGAATATATCAAGCACCTTGAGTGGAAGAACGAAATATTAATGAGAAAGAACGAGCGTTTGCTGGGAATGCTCAAAGGACATGGCAACCCAGCCGATATGGACTTTTCTTTGTCTTCTCCCGAAAATGATCTTACACATTCCCAAACCGGCTCGAGCCTTAGCTCATCTCCAAACCAATTCTCTTCAGCCCCTGCAAACGCCTATCCCGAGAGTTCGATGCCCTTCAGCAACAAGGTGCTACTTGGTGGCATGACTTGTATGCTTGGAGCTTCTGCTTTCGATGACATGGCTGCCGGATCTGCAGACAGAAAGGGTTTATTTTCTGTGCCGATTTTTGCGTTTTCCACGACAACTTCCTCTGGCTCTTTCAACTCCAGCATGTTGAGACCTTTCCTTGGTCTGTCCAAATTCTTGCTGTGTCTTGGAATGATCTACTTCTATGTGATTGTTCCTTTGCTCGGAATGAAGAAACAAGAATTCCATCCACTGAAAACTTACCACCGTCTTATGAGCTTGACAGCTACCGATTTGGAACGGTTCTTGAAGACCACTGATCCATCAAAAGTCTATCTTGGACTGGTCGGCCTGTTTAACCTCGAGCAGAATCCATCAAACTTGTTTGTGAAGTCTGTCTATCTTAAAAAATGCGGCGAGTTGACTGGATCGAAATTTTTGCAAGCTCAAATCTTTGATCGTCTTGGTAAAAAATACTGGGACGAGGCAAAGGATCAATCAAAAGACCAAAAGCTTTCATTATTATTGGAGAACTCTTCTTATGACGCGCTGTCACTGCAGTTTTCCAAAAAGTATGAGCAGTTTGACCTGATCACACAATACTTGCATGGTGTCAATGATGCTCTTTTGAACGAATCGTTGCAAAAGCTTGTGTTGTATCAAAGTGTTTCAATGAAATACTCAAAAGACAAATCTGATTTGCTTGAGCTCGAGCTCACCGCCATGAAGGTTGAGATCAATCAACTGTTGGAGCGCGTTACAAAACTGTCCAAGATTTTGAACAGAAATGAAGACCGATGCCAAATTCTCAAGTTCTTGGTGAAGCCAACCGAAGCAAACTTAAAGGCAGCCTTCGATGTGGAGGAGACCAATGATAATGAGATGATCGGTCTTGTGTGCTGCGCATTGAAGTACCAGCTACTTAACTTCAACGACGAGTATGATTTGTTGCACGACTGGTTCTCGAAACTGAGTCTGCCCAACTTCAGCAATGGAGGTCACATGAAGCTGTTTGAATTTGTTGCAATTTTGAACGTCCTGCAACTCACCAGCCTTGATCTCCTGGGAAAACTTGACGAGGTTAACCTCCACAACGACGAAAAGGAAAGCCACCAACCGGGAGAACCAGATTTGATTCCTCGTCCGGCTATTTCCAAACTAAATTTCAAATTACTTAATGTCGTGGCAAATATGCGCATTTTTGCCGGAAACAAAGACTTCCCAGCTCCTTTGGAAGTGAAGGATCAGCTGGTGGAGTTCTTTGTTGAGATCATCGAAAAGCTCAATGGGTTTTAGTATATAGCGACTTTTATGAAACCACCCTTATGCCGATCATCCGTACACCACCTTCTGTTTTTTGCAGGTCGCGAATTTCTGGACAGCTAATAAACTGATCTCAAAACAAAAATTAGTTTCCATCAACCGGGAGACGCCATCACCGACACCAAAACGCAAACAAAAGCTTTTGTATACTAGTGATAGAACCACAATTGTGTTTTTGGTATAGTTTTTCGTGGTAATTATTGGAAAACATGTATCCATACAACGGCCAACAGCAGTTTGGTGGTGGATATCCGCAATCCACCGGTTACAATAACTGGGCCAATACCCAGCAACAACCTGGATCGGGTCAGCAACAGCAGTTCATGCAGCCGTCTTTGCAGTCCCAACAAACCGGATATGGATTTCAGCCCCAAGCTACTGGATGGAATCAACAAACTCCACAGTGGAACGGCCAGTTCCAGCAACAGCAGCAGCAGCAGCAGCAGTCCGGGCAGCAAGGATTCCAGCAAGGATTCCAACGTCCTGACTACCAGACCAGTTACCAAACGGGATACCAGAACGGAGTCCAGCCAATTGCCACTCAGCAGACCGGATATCAACCTTCCATGATTTCCCAGCAGACTGGATTTCAGCCTCTTTCTAACCAACAGACAGGATTCCAGGCATTGGGTGCACAAAAAACCGGATTCCAACCACAGACTTCTTTTGGAACCGGTGCTGGCGCACAATCGAGCTGGCAGCCACAACCTGCTCAACAGCCACTGCAAGCTCAGCCAACAGGTTTCACTTCTTCTTTGATGACCACCTCTGGCCAAGAAAATAAGGACATCAAAATCCCAAGCATAAGGCTTTCATTCATCACCGCAAGAGATCAGGAAAGATTTGAGCATGCGTTTAGAATGCACGTTCCCCAGGGAGAGAATTCCATCGATGGCCAAACGGCTAAGCAGCTGATGATGAAGTCCGGTCTCAATGCCACCAAGTTGGCCGATATCTGGGCTCTCTCTGATCTGTCTCGGTCTGGAAGGTTGTTGTTCCCGGAATTTGCTCTAGCCCTGCATCTGTGTAACATCGCTGCCAAGGGTCAGCCTATTCCTTACGAGCTGCCTTTGAAAATGAAAAATGAGGTCAGCAGCTTTGTGGACGCAATTAGCATGGCAGTTCCAGACACCCAAAGCACACAGGCTCCAAGCCAAGGACTCTTTAGCCAGCCTACGGGCTTCCAAAACTTCTCGCAACTTCAAAGCCAGGCCACTGGTTTCGGCGGCGCCCAAAATGGTTTCCAGTCTCAACCACCACCTTCCACATTTGGTATGCAGCCACAGCAAACTGGAATCCAACCCCAGCATACTGGGTTTGGCGGTCTGCAACCACAACGTACTGGTTTTGGATTACAGCCGCAACAGACTAGCTTTGGCCTTCAACCACAGCAGACTGGTTTCAACTTACAGTCACAGCAAACTGGCTTCAACCTACAGTCACAGCAAACTGGACTACAACCACAAAGAACTGGAGCCGGCTTACAACCCCAAAAGACTGGAACTTTCATCCCATTGACTGCACAGCAGACCAGTGGACTGGTTCCTGTGTCTGCTCAGAAAACTGGTGGATTGGTCCCTCAGCAGACAGGACTGACAGCACAGCGGACAGGAGGGCTCGTTCCGCAGCAGACTGGCTTAGCTCCACAAAGAACAGGTCTTGCTCCGCAACAAACAGGTCTATATCAACAACAGACAGGACTTCTGCCGCAACAGACCGGTTTGGCACCTCAACAGACCAGTTTGCTTCCTCAGCAGACGGGGCTGATGCCGCAACCTACAGGATTGACTGCCATGCCAACTGGAAAACCTGGGCAATGGGGATTTGTTTCCGCCCCTACTGGTGGGCTTCCTGGTTTGGACATGATGCAATCTCACTTTATGCCAAACGCTTCTTCTCAAACGCATCAGCTTACAAATGTCATGGGAGGATCTACAGCCTCGAATGTTACCTGGGCAATCAGTAAGCAGGAGAAATTGATCTACGACAACATTTTCAAGAAATGGGACTCTTCTCGGAAAGGTTACGTTGAAGGTAGCACTGCAATTGATGTGTTTGGTAAGTCTGGTTTGAACAGACAAGAACTTGAAAAGATCTGGACTTTGGCAGATACAGGAAACCGTGGTAAGCTGAACAAGGACGAGTTTGCCGTGGCTATGCATTTGATTTACAGACGTCTGAATGGTTTCGATATTCCAAATGTTCTTCCTCCTGAGCTTGTTCCTCCTTCTTCCAAATTGTTGTTGGAGAGCATGAATGACATCAAGGGCAAGCTTATGAATGATGCTGGAAGACTAAAGCCTATTTCCTCAACCAAATCCTTTGACGGATCTAGATACAAAAATAATGACGAGGCTATTGGATACGTCAGCAATGCTAGACATAGAAGCTCGAAGAAGAAGGTCGAGGAGAAGGACAACAGTCAGCTGAATGTGCAGGAGCTTAAAAAGAAGATTCACGAGAAGAAGATCCTGCTCGAGGCCATTGATGCTGCCGATGAAGATATCTCCGCTGATCACGGTAAGCAGCAGGCTCTCAACGAGATTCAAATTCTGAAGATGAAGATCAAGGACGCACAGGATAAATTGAATGCATCTGGTTCAGATTTGGGATCCAGCCTGCGCGAGAAGCAAAGACTAACGGGTGATTTGAACAAGCTTACCGACAAGGTTCCCAAACTAGTTTCAGAGCTTGGATCGATTGACGACCAAATTCAAGGTGCCAAGATTGAAATTGCAAGACTCAAGATCCAAAAGGAAAACCCATCTGGAATCCAGATCAAGGGTTCTGGTCGTAACGGTGAGATCACTGAAGCCGACAAGCGTATTGCCAAACAGAAGGCTGCTCTTCAAGCAAAGATGGCTGCTCTCACTGGAAAGCCTGCTCCTAACCTTGACCAATTTGAGGCTAATGAAGCCAAGTTGTCTCAAGACATCTCGCGTATTTCGAGCGAGACTCAGCAGCAAAAGTCGATCATCCAGGACATTGCTAGTTCCATCAATGAACTGGTGAGAGACATTTCGGACTCTCTTAAATTGACCAATTCGTCGCAAGTTGGGTACTCCAAGTGGGAGCTTGGAAATGACGTCCAAACTGATGAGGTTAAGCAGTTCATCAAGGATCTCAACTCTTCAAAGCCAGCAGTTGCTCCATCTAGCTCTTCTTCTTGCAGTTCCCAGCCTAGAGCAGTCAATCATGCTGGTTCTGCTTCTCCTTCTCCTGCCCCTGTCAATTCTGCTCCTAAACCAGGAAGCACTGAAGATCGCGCTCAGAGAATCAAGGAACAAGCCAGAAGAAGAATGGACGAGAAGCTCGCGAAACTCGGAATCAAGAGACCTTCCACTCAAGCTCCGTCTCCTGGTCCGTCAGAAGAGGCTCCAAAGAGTGTTTCTGCGGTTGCGTCTCCAACACCGGTGTCTCAACCGGCACCTGTGCAGACTCTTCCTGTGGCATCCTCTGCGCCAGAAACTCTTCCAAAAAGAGCACCAAACCCCCCAGCTCCACGTCAGGCCTCGCTAACTAAAGCTATCGAAGCAAACTCTTCTGATGACGACGATGACGAGGAAGAGGAGCTCAAGCGTATGATTGCCGAGAAGAAGGCTCTGGAGGCAAAGGAGCGCGAGAGAAAACAAAAGAAAAAGCAAGACAAGGAGGCTCGCCTTGCCAAACTTAGAGCTGAGATGGAAGAACTCAAGAAGAAGGAGGCTCAAGAAAACGATTCTAGTGAAGACGACAACGATGCGTTCGTCGATGCTCACACAGAACAGGGATCTACGGTGCCTCCTCCTGCACCTGTTGTGAGTACTCCTTCTGCTTCGAGCGAATCTGTGGCAACGAGAAGTGTCAACGATCCACATAGCAACAATCCGTTTGCCAAGATGGCCAATAACTCGTCTCAGCAGAGCATACCCAAGAACACTAACCCATTCTTCAAGCCTGAACAGCCCACACAGCCTACCTATGATGCTGGCCGTTTGAAGGCGCAAAGAGATGCCCAGAGAGGCAAGAGCGCAAGCGATGACGGCTGGTCTGACTCGGAGAATGACGATGACGACGACGAGATGCCTGCAGCTTCTAAGCAGGCCGAGTTGGCATCGATGCTCTTTGGAGGTGGCGGTGTCAAGTCTTCCACGTCCAGTGTGAGCGAGTACGCCACACCGCAACCTGAAGAGCCACCAGCACCTCCTGCTGTTTCTGAAACCAAGGAGGTTTCTCCACCTGTGACTGCTGTTGCCGAGCCCGACTCTGCTCCTGAGACCGCCACCAGTCCTGAGGTTCCTGAGGTTCCTGCTATTCCAGCAGCTCCGCCTATCCCTGCTGCACCACCCGTGCCACAGGCTCCGGCAGCCGAGGTTCCTGAGATTCCAAAGTCAGAGCCTGAGGTTGACGGAGGCGTGCCTCCAGCGGCTCCTCCTCCACCTCCCCCAATTCCAACATCAGGGTCGGTCGCTGTGGACTCGCCTGCTGCTGCTCCACCTCCTCCCCCAATTCCTGGGGCTCCACCTGCTCCTCCACTTGCTTCTGCACCAGCAGTGCCTGCCCCACCTCCACCGGTCCCTGCTGAGGCACCGCCAGTGCCAGCTTCTCCAGCACCTGCCGCCAACGGCGCCCTTGGTATGGGCTCCATCAGCTCGCTGCTTGGCGAGATCACCTTGGGAAAGTCGTTACGGAAAGTTGACGATAGCGCCAAACACATTGTGGAAGGCGGTCAAGTTGGAAAAGTTCTAGATTAATGTATAAATGCATTAAATGACTGTAAATGGGATCAGAATATTCCAAATCTATGTGCCAGTGTTGAGGAATCCTTCTTGTCGCTCGTCGAGGACGTCGAGTTGACCTCCACCTTGCTGGTGATCTGTTTGTGTAGGTGTTTGAGGAAGTCAGAGTACGACCACTGGAGATCGCCCGACCGGTCTTCGTAAAGTAGCTCGATGAACTCTGACTCGTTTGTGTCTGTTTTGAATCTGCAGATCTCGACAGGGAAGAAGTCGGCGTTCAGGTAGTGCTTGGCCAGGAACTTGACTAGGTTTCTCACCTGCAACGAAATATGGGTATCTAGAGGAGGAAGCTGGGACATGAGTGGATCCAGTTGGTCCAGAGACGTCACCTGGCTACCAAACAGATCTTGAAGCAGAAGCGGGTTCACGTCAGAGTGGAACCAGAGATACAGGCGCTTGGAGTTGAAGATGAGGTATGCTCCGCCGATCTCGAGGTTGGTCTGGCTAAGTGCTCTGGTTTGCGGCAAAGTGAAGAACTGGGTCTCGCCTTCAAAGAGGCACTCGCTGTCGTCCAGGTCGTGCAGACTGATCATCAGCGGATACAAGTAGGCAGATAGTCTCTCTGGGGTGAATGTTTGGAGATCAAACAAGCTCTCGACACGCAGGTCTGGGTTGGTGTTTCTTTCTTTGATTGCTTTGGACTTGAGAGCAGAAAGTAAAAACATAGGGAATGTCCGTAGTCCATGAGGAAGAACCAACTGTCCTGGCGACGAAGTGTTCTTTGCAACATAGAGCTTGTACATGGCGTTGATATCGGCCAGCTGTGTGTTGAGGTAGCTTCTCAAAGTGACGAAGTTCATGGCTGGTAGTCTGCTTAGACTCTCCTTTAAAATGATGTTGAGCACTGCGTCCTGGTCTGAGAAGGAGAACACGTCTGCAACCCGTTCGGTAACAGACATAATGCAGTTGATCACACGCACTTTTCTCTTTCCGTCCGCCGAGGTGTACAGCAAAGCTGCCTGGAAATGAGAGTCCTTCTTGGTATCCAGTTTTCCGTCGTAAACAAAGTCGCAGGCCAAGCTGGTCTGACTGCTGAGGACAGGAAGGTATGGAATGTCGGGCTGCCCAGAGCTCGTGAAGCCACCATAGTACTTGTTGACTTGCAACCCACTGGAACAACGGATTTTCAGTTGTCCCTGGTATCCACAAGCATCTGTGACAAGCTGTTTCACTGTGAACATCAAGTCAGCTTCATCTTTGTCCAAGTTGAAATTATGCCAGGTCTTAACAGAACCTCCGGTCTTGATGGCAATTAAACCGGCATTGGCCAGATCTATAGGAGTATGGGACCCGTTCAGCAAGTGCAGTCCCACATTGGACTTGACGAACTGCTTCAACAGGTCTTGGTAGAACTTGTTGTTGGCAACAATGACATCCTTGTCGTAATCGGAGGTGGTCTTCTGGGTCGGCAGCTTCACAGCAAGTGAGCCAGGTCCCCAGGATGAGATGCTCGACAAGAAAGCGACAACTTGACCGCCAGCAACTGGTTCCAAAACCATCTTGGCTGCAAGAAGCGCTGCTCCGTACGCAGGCTCTGGGCCAGAGTAGTCGACGATCTGCTCGATGAAGCTCAAAGTGGTGTCAATTATGGACGACGACTCTAGCGGGTCGGCAAGAATACCATCGTGGAAAGGAACAAACGGATCTTCCAAGTCTCCCACAACGGCCACAGTAGACTGCTCCAGCGATGGAGAAAGGTTGTAGAAAAACAGCTTGTCTGCAAATCCAATAATGGAAACTTTGGAGCCCTGGGGCAAATTCGACTCGCCATTCTGGTACAATGCCATTCTGATTGCAGAACAGGCAGCCACGTGGAGCTTTGAGCGAATGGCCTGGTAGCTGAGATCGACCAAAAACACGTGGTGCAGTGGCTGGGGTGGTTTTTCGTCCAAGTTGTAGTCCTCAGGAACAACCAGGTCATAGACACCGGAGTGGAGCTCTGGACGTTCGTAGTAGTCCGATCTGACTCCGTTAGCGTCGACCTGACTGAGGTATTCCTGAGGAACAGGGCTCGAAAACGAACAGATGTTACAAATCATGTTGTATCCACCGTGTTGCATTGCCGGGTTGATGTAGGTTCTGCACCGTCTGCAACGAGGCACGGCAGACATTTCCCTGCAGTCGACCTCTGGGACGGGTTTTTCGCCCGGCTGAGTAGGAGCAAACGGAGTGAGAACAAGACCAAGCGGGATCTTGGACTGTTGCCGAAGTTTTTCAGAGCTTGGGACGCTGTAGAGCGTCATTCTGACAAATTTAGGAGAAGCGTTTCCCTGGTCGACAGCGACGTACTGTGTTCCTGCCAAAGGCGGTGACACGTTCTCGAAAGTAAGGAACTCGCTGTCTTTATACGTGTGGTCCAGCTGGTATCTAATGTTTGGGATCGAGAGATCGTCTGTCGAGGCAGGGTCAACGCCGATCTGCTGTTTGGGAGCAAAATACTCGGTCTGTGGCTGGTACTGGTCGCTCATTATCGGCACGGACTGACTGGACGGCTGCACGGACGGGGTGTGCTGGCCGTTGTAGTAGTGCGGAGCCTGCATCCCAGGACTCATGGCAGCCGCATTTGGATCAAACCCGCTATCGATGTGATCGTCGCGGGCGTACTCGGGCGTGAACTGGTGATGAACGTGGTTCGTCCGTTTCTTCTTTGAAGTCTTCACCGAGAGGTTTCCTAATTGATTAACGGTTTCCTCGTACTGGTTCATGGTGAATTATCCGTTCAATTTTCTTCGTTGTTATTTTTTTTCTGTCGCGCTCAGAAGTAAACATTGTGCTAATGGGGGTCACCGGGTTATTGCCTGCTCTCAAGTCCATTCAGGAACCGAGCCATCTATCCAAGTACAGGGGTAAGACTTTGGCCATTGACGCGTATTCGTGGCTACACAAGGCGATCTATGGGTGTTCTATGGACATTGTCCTGGGGAAACCAACCAGATCTTATTTAAACTACATTCTCAGAAGACTCGATGCCTTACGCCATTTTGGAATCACACCGTACATGGTGCTTGATGGGGATTACTTGCCCACAAAGGGGAATACAGAAAAGGAACGCAGAGGAAGAAGAGAAGAATATAAACGGCTGGGAATGGAGGCTCTTCGTTTAAACAGACGTCAAGAAGCACTGAATCATTTCAACAAGGCCTGCGACATTACACCGCAAATGGCCAAGACAGTGATCGAGGAGCTCAAATTCCGGGGAGTCAAGTATGTTGTTGCTCCGTACGAGGCAGACTCCCAGATGGTGTATCTGGAGAAACAGGGTCTTGTCCAGGGAATTATTTCTGAAGACTCGGATCTGTTGATTTTTGGGTGTCAGACCTTGATCACCAAACTCGACGAGTCCGGGTCCTGCGTGGAAATCCAGCGAGCCAAGTTCAAAGAGTGTCGTGAGTCTGCTATCGGGTTGTTTGACGATGCCCAGCTCCGCCTAACTGCTGCTCTTAGTGGATGCGACTACACTAAGGGAATTTCCGGGGTAGGAATGCAGAGAGCCGCGACGTATGTCAACAAATACAAGACATTTACGCGTCTGATGCAGGCAGTCAGGTTCGAGGGCAAGCTCAAGATCCCTGCGGAGTTTGAGGAGGAGCACTCGCGCGCCATGATCGCGTTCCAGTACCAGGTTGTTTTCGATCCAAGAACAGGAAAACACGACCATTTGAACCCTGTTCCAGACGATATTTCTCCTGAGTATCTTGAACTGTGTGCTGGGAAAGTTCTTGACGACGAGATCCACCGCAAGATCGCAATTGGAGACCTGGACCCAATGAGCAAGATGCCTCTTCTCAGCAGAGAGAGTCCCGAAAAGAACGTCATGTCTGCCGCAGTACCTGTTCCTGCTAAACGTACCAACACAGCCCCAGCAAGAACAATAGACACAATGCTATCCATGGCGAAACCTGCCAAACAGCGCACCTCTACAGCGCCCCAGGCACGCAAATCTGCATTACAAACGATCGATCAGTTCATGACCTCACAGGCTACCACTGTGAAACGTCGTAAAATCCTGTTTGGCTCGCAGGAGTCCGGATCAGAGGTGAGTTCCTACTTTGCCGGCCAGTCGAGAACTACAACGCTGGAAGACGAGGATCTGAAAAGCGTCTTTAGCGAACAGAACTCAAGCGACTTTAATCTCACAGACCCAGACGACGACGACGACCTGCCAAAGTCGAAACCCATCTCTGCATCTCTGCCCGCTCGCATGCCTCTTCGAGACACCACCAACCAGGTCACTATGAAACTGACCGCCAAAAAGGTCACCGGAGGTGGTTTTGATAGAAACTCGTTGAGTTCATTTAGATTCCAGGGTACATAGAAAATAGCACTAAAAAATATTTCATTTACGCGACTGTGGGGCTGATCTATGGAGACCGAAGAAAAGCTGAACTATTTGCACACGGAGTTTCCCGTTGTTGCTAAAGAGGCGCTGTTGGAGCTTCTTGTGGCGTTTGAGGGGTCTGTTGATCAGACCGTGAAGGTGCTAGAAGAGCAATTCGACCGTAAAGCTAGTGGGACGTTCAAGACGGGGGCAAATGTTAAGAAGCGGTCCAGACCCGAGCCAGTGGTTCCTGAACACAAAGATATCCCGGGAGTGTTGTCGTCACTTATTGAAAAGGTCCCAGAAGCAAAGAAACAAAGAGTTTCGGTCAATCAGAGCACCTTTAATGTTCCCAAGACGATAACGCGAGACTCTGTCATACTCTACAATAAGCAGGAAATCGAGTCTATTCCCTACCTGAAATTCTACAAGAACTTCTTACCAGGAACTCTTGCCGATGAGCTGCTGGATGAGCTGCTAGCAAAGAAGGTGGTCTTCAGAGATAAGCATTTTTTCATCGCTCAAAATGAGTGTCACTCAAACCATCAATCAACAGTGTTTTACGAAAAACCCCCAGTTGTCGTCTACGATTCAGGTTTCTATAATAACGGAGAAGAAATGGAGCAGCCTTTCACTGGGAACATCCGCACGGCTAAATTTCTGATTGAAGACGAGGTGAACGAAGTGCTGGCTACCAGAGAAAGACACCCACTGGAGATCCAGTCCGACTGGTCGGCTTCTCTATGTGTGGGAAATTACTTTCATTCCAATAAAAACAACATCGATTGGCATTCAGACAGACTCACCTCCATAGGGCCTCTCCCTATTATTTGTTCTTTGAATTTGGGTGCAACCAGAATCTTTAGACTACGCAAACAATATGGGAAGCCAATCACCTACAGTATTCCATTGCCTCATAACTCGTTGCTAATAATGCTTCCAGGGACCCAGGAAGAGTTTAAGCACTGCGTTCCATCGCTGACTGACTCTCTACATGCTACACACCCGGTAGCTAAGGAGGCACGGATAAACCTGACTCTCAGAATGCAACGGCTAAACATGCAACGGAACCTACCGAAATGTCCTCTCTGCAAGTCTTCAATGACACTTCGACGCATGTTCAAAAAACCACAGTTGAGGGGCTACTATTTCTGGCTTTGCAGTGGTGGCTACCGCACGGGAAAGGAGTGTTCTGGGTTCTATTTCGCAAATCTGCGCGACATCGACAAACCGAAATCCAAACTGTACACACGGAAAGTGTCTGAGGCGTCGCGCTGGCTGGCTCCCGACGACGATGAGGCCAGAAACGCTGGAGAGTTCAAAATGGAAGATTTAGAAGACTCGGCTGTGCAGTGAAATTTTAGCATTGCTATGACAGATAAGAGCTACATTGGCAAGATTACTAGCACACTTGGCGGTTTAGTCTCGCGTTCTCCAGGCAAGGATTCGCGTCCGGCAGGCCTCAATGTGAGTCCTGAGCGTTCGTCAGCCACAACCTCGGGTTATCTACCGTCTCCGGCTCAAAGCGAAGTTTCCAGCCATCTTTATACAGGAACCTTGGTTGAAGGGCTAGAGCTCCTGACAGACTCGCTCCAAGGCGAGCCGGACCAGCTGGCGAACGCATTTGCCAAGATGCTAGACTCGATTGTCGACAGCGGTCTCGTCACCTCAACTTTGTACAAGATAGACGATGAACTCAAGTTTCTGATAATGGAGACATATCTCAAGGACAGAGACCTTGTGCACCGGTTCAAGTACTACAAGGAGCGGAACAGGGAGCGGGACGCATTGGCGGCTATTGGGCGTGCGAAACGTGAGCTGGAAATAGTGAGCGGGTCAGAGACGTCTGGAAGCAGTCAGGGAGACCTGTACTCGCCAGAGGAAACAAACCCGGTTGCAGCGACACATTTTGAGGAATTTGTCGGTCTTTTGACGGCATTTCTGGAAATTTGTTTCACGGCCCTTATCAGACCCGTTAGCAAGACCATATTTGCTCTGTTGTCGCGTCCAGATACTAAGTACGACCTGGGGTATTGTCTGCAGACAATGTTTTCGTTTTTGAACGTGGTACTGAGACACGTGCTTATTGTCTTGACACGCTTGTTAGTGCCGTCGGGGTCCTCGCGAATCACGTCCGCAAGCACGACGTGATGTTTATTTTATCCGACGCGTCGTTGGAGGAGCAACCCTCACACCACTCCTGATTATTTGTTTACGAATGTTTCAAAGGATCTCAAAATTTGATACAAGCAAGGACTTTTTGTGGGATTTCAAAACACCAACATCTGTTACAGGTATTCATTCGCTTCATTACTACTGATCAGATTGTTATGAGTCCGCTGACTCCACAGTCTCGTAACGAGGTGTCTCACGCGTTCAAGTCCGGGTTTGATTTTGGCCCAGACTCCCAGTTCACCCCTCCCAAATCTTCCGAGAAGAAGCTGATTGATCAGCTCCACTCAATCCAGGAAGATGAATCCCTGTTTTCCGAGCTCATGGTCACCACCAATGATAGCGATGAAGAGAATTCCAAAGAATGGGCAGACCATATTTTGAAACAGCAAACTCAGGATCTGCCTCCTTGTGAACTGCTTGCTGACTCGCTGGTCAGCGGGAGTAGCCCCACAGTGCCCGACGAGTCGCAGTATCAGGTGGTCGACACGAAAGCTCTGGAGACCTCGGGATCTCCTTCGAATCAGAACGACGAAATGTTGCGCATCTTCCAAGTGTTGCGGGATGGTTTGCGCGAGTACATCCGACAACTCTCTGCCGCAAAGGCAGACTATGTCGTGATGGTCCGCTCCGACTTCCTCATCAACTATGGTGGAAAGGCTGGTTGTCATTTGCGCACAAAGATGATCAACGAGTATTTAACCATGGCTAAGAACGATGAGGAGTTGCTATGCTACAGTCTGTCCCAACAGCTGGGCGATATGAGCATTCTGGAGGACATCCGCAATCTCATTAGAGAGAGCGATCGCAGAAGAAAACTGTACAATAAGCGAAAGAACATTATGATCGATAAAGAGAAGCGTGCCGCTTCCACACCTATCAACGACGTGATTCCAAGTCCAGTCGAGGTTAGCGAGAAGAAGAGAAAGCCCAGAATTGACACCAAGTTCAAGGGTCTATCTGTGGAAAAGATTCAGATCGGGTACTACAATCAGGATAAACTCAACGCGGTTGCAGATCTCACGCAGATTTTGAAAGCAGAGGAAAGCGAGCAGTTTGTTGTAGACCTCAGGGGCAAGAGCATGCCGCTGAAAGCGTGTTTGGAAGCCATCTACTCGCCAGAGTTGAACTTTGACCATTCCATGGTGTACACCAAAATTCCTCTCAACCTGAGTTTTGATTATAGCATTGATCTCGAGTCCAACAGAACCGTTGCATACACTGAGAGTCTTCTTTCTGTGTCTTCGCACCTTGCATCAGATTTGAACGTGTCCAACGACAATTTCTCGAGGATTCTCCAGCTGCGAGCTGTTGTCCGAGTTTATGATAATGACATGTTGGTTCTCAGGCGCACTGAGCAAGTCACTGGTCATTTGCTATCTGACAACAATCGCATGAAGGTCAATCTCCCGCTCAACTCCAAGTACTGGTCCAGTCTTTTGAACGAGTATTCTAACGGCTCGGTTGGCGCAGGCAAGTTTGAGAGCTTGCGGATCACTCACACGCTGTACTTTGACGAAGATCCTTCTGTCATTAGAACGAGTCCCCAGGTCCCGATCTACTCTTTGATCTGGGAATTTTTCCTCAACACTGAAATCAACTACCTACCGCATAGCGTGAGTGTTCAGAAAAAGATTGAGCTTAGAAGGTCGCTCACAATTGACAGCTTCAAGTCAAACTCGTTTGCAGAGCCACAAAGCGTGGGTAACAGGGGACATAAACGCACAAGGTCGAGATCCATGACCGATCTGTCTAACATGTGGACGCCGATGCAACCGCCGCCCGTGTTCCAACAGATCATCCCGAGACCTCAGACCGTGCCGGATATGGCTGTGAGTTCCGCTCCTGCGATTCAAACCAGGTTTGCAATCAACGATCCAATCAATATGCAACGGTACCAGATGCATCTCCAAGCTGCGCAGATTAGGGCGCATCAATCTCAGCAGATTTCGTTGCAACAGCAACAGATGTATCAAGGTTCCCAGCCAATGATGCCTGGCGCCGAGTTCATTCCAAACGAGTACCAATTCATGCCGCCTCAAAACAACTCGAACGAGTCGTTGTCCTCGGCCAGTTCCATGAATGAGCGCAGAAACCACTCTGTCTCCGCCACAAAAAGCTCTTACAGTTCGTCTACAGGAGTGACTCCTCGATTGAAGGAATTCCAGTTTGAGGTCACCACGATTCCTGCTCCCGCAGAGTTCCAAGGAGTTCCTCAGAGCTCTCCAACCTCGTCGACTATCTCAGCACACTCGACTGAGGGACACGAGGGGTCCAAAACGAAAAAGAACGTTACCAACTCTACTGCATCCCTTCCAGGAATGGGTTCGATGAACTTGGACTTATCTGACATGCGGCCAAGTGACGCCGACTGGAAATTCTACTACTATAATCCATAGGATCCATATATATTATGATAAGTTTTTGTTACCCGGAGACGTTGTTTTTCAACTTTGAAAAAACTAAAAAACTTCACTCTTTTGTTTGACAATGTCAGTTTCCAAAGGAGTGTGGTCGAACTTCACCAAACGGTCGCCATCGTTGGCGCTACGTAACAAGGCCCTGCGTACTGCGTTGTTGAGCCCAAATCTTCCGTACGGCCCGGCATCTCTCAAATCGAATGCCAACAGAAGAAAATACAAGTCGATCGAGGGCCTTGAAGACATTTACCCGCTAGCATACGAGGTTCTCGAGAAGAAGAGCGAAGCTGTTTACAACAAGATCGAGAAACTCGACCCAAAGAGCTCGAATTATGCCGAGGAAAAAGAAAGACTTCTTGTCGAAGCCGAGAAGCACAACCCAGAGGTGGTTTACATGGCTGAGTATATGAAGAACAGCTTCGACAGAACACAACCTGTTTTTAGACATTACATAAAGACAGATTGGCTGAATCATTCCCAGATGTTGCTAATGCAGAGACTCGAGACTCTGGGTGTGATTCCAGACACTCTTCCTACTCTGGAGCCGGAAGTCGATGTCAAGTTGAAGTTCCCGCACAACAACCAGGATAGATGGATCGAGCCCGGTGTTGTTCTGTCGTCGAACGTGACCAAGAAACCGCCAGCTTTGGAGGTGATAGAGTTCAAGGAATCTAAGGACGAAATGTACACGGTTTTGATGGTTGATCCAGACACCCCTGATCTTGCTGCCGACAGCTACTCCACCACGTTGCTTTGGGGAGTGAAAGATGTCAAGCTTTCCAACACGGACTCGATGATCGATGCCAAGAAACTGGTGCAGAACCCAGACCTCGAGTTTGTGGAGTACCAGCCTCCTGTCTGCGAGAAGAACACAGGAAAACACAGAATCGCGTTCTGGGTGTTCAGGCAGGATGGAGAGCTTGCTAACGCTCCAAAGGGTCTCAAGAGAGATTACTTCAAGATTAGACAGTTTGTGGAAGACAACAAGCTCACCCCCGTGGGAGCTCACGTGATCCGCTCTGTTTGGGACAGAAACACTGACGCCGTTAGACAAATGTACGGAATGGCGCCAGGACGTGTGTTCACCCGCGATCGCTCACCTGTGTTGAAAAACTAAAAGTCTGTATATAAAGAACATTTAGAATGGCTAAAATGCATGGAAAAATAAATTATTTTTCACCCGTACATTTGATGGTCTCTCAATGTGAACTACGAAGGCAGCTTTTTAGCTCGAACCAGCAGGCCTGGGACGGCGTTTATATGGACGTTCGCAATGTAGATACCTCGTTGAAGGCCAATACGTCGTTGCTGAAGAAGCTGAGTACTAGTTTCAGCTCCAGTGCAGAAAAATCGCTTTTGAAAGCCGTGTCTGAGGTTTCCTTGACCAAGTATATGGACGAGCTGATCCCAGCTGTTGTTCAGGGACTTTCCAGCAAGGGCACTGATCCGTTGACCGCTGTCAAGGTGTGTTCTGTTCTCCACCAGCGGTTTGGATCAGACTTCACTCGAAACCTGGTCACCTTCTTTATCAGTTCTTTGTCCGAAACGAACGAGAAAGGAGACTCTTTTAGTGCACTGGGGAGACTACTGGTTCTTTTTACCGAGTTTTACCTTGTTGGACTGATTCGATTGGACGAAACGGTGTCCAAGAAAGATCTTCCTCGATATTTGAGCAAGTCGGATACACCGCTGCTTTTGGCGTTTATGACGCAGATTTTCTCGGTCCACGGCGAGGACGAGCATCTAGCAGAGGTATTGGCTGGATATCTGGTGCGATTCGGGGAGATTCTGACCAATGACACCGGATTGCTGCCAGATACTGAACGAACTCGATTGGTGAAGCTTTTTTCGAAGTACTCGGTGCACGTAATCAACTGGACCACAGACACAAACAGCAAGTGGACAGAGCTAATCAACGGTGTCGGAAAGTATGCTTCTAGCAGAAGTTTGGTCCCCGAGCCTCTCAAGATAGATCTGAAGGAGTGCACGGTGAAATTTAAACGATTGTACTACTACTCGGAGCTGGCCCAGGGGATATTTGATATTGACGGGCCAGACGTGATTGGCATAGATTCATTGGGTGCCTACCCGTTTGACGAGTCGGTTGTTCCTTGGGAATCCGAGGAGGACAGACAATTCTACCTAAATGTTCCTCTTGTTGAAGAATTGATCCAGGTAGCAAAAATTGAGGAGACGGAAGTAACACCCGAACTGCTGGAGAAAGTCTCCCAAGCGACTTCTGCTGCTGATGTGGACTCCGTCGCGTGTTCATTTTGGAACCAGCACATGAACAGTCCGGCTTCGCTCGCTAGATTGCTAGAGTATGCTCTTTTGCCTCAGTCAAACCATAAAGCGTTTGCACGGTTCCTCAAGCTCAACAGACAAGCGCTCTCGTCTCTGGTGCTTCGGACCATTCGCAAGACGTTCATCGACTTCAAGATCCAGATCCTAAGTGGCAAGGTAAATGCGCCGACCGTGACGCTATTCTGCCAGCTCGTAAACTTCAACATATTTCCACCAGCAAAAGTCTACGAGGAACTGTCGTTTTTACTGTGCGATGCCACCAGCAAATCCAGTCTGGACACGCTGCATTTTGTGTTTGATCAGTCGGGAGCAACGTTGCGCAGCCAGTCTGTCTACCACGAGCTGGTGGACAACGTTTTTGGGCTCCTGCAGAGTCTGAAGTCGCAGCTCCCAGCCGGCTCGGCCGCGGTGGACGAGTTTCTGGCCGCGTACCCTGACGCTGTAGCGTTTCGCCAAGCGTACCGCGTGGGCCAGGAAACGGACAAGAAACAGAAGTACCTGGATTTTGTGCTGAGACTGGCTTTGGACAATATCTCCTGTTTGAAGCATATCACAAAAAATATTTATTGGGACGACGAAGACTACGCCAAGATCTGCACGTTTCTGACGAGTCCGGGCGACATTTCGTACGACCAGATCTCTGCCCTGGTCAGGATCCTCAAAGAACTCGGCGAAAGAGACCCGTCCATCGTCACAGTTGTGGTGGACGATTTGATAGAGCAGATCCAGGCAGGCCTTGAGGAGGAGGATGTTCGCGAAAACAGAAAGCTGCTGGCGGTTGCAAAGTATCTTGCCGAGCTGAGCAACATGAAACTGGTGCCTGTGAAAATGATTCAGCAGCTAATCGTTTACTGTATCCTGGAGTCGCACAGCTCTGACCAAAAGAGCTGGTTTTGGGTGCACCTGGTGTGCCAGTTCCTGGACTCGGTCACAAAGTCTCTGACTTCCGAGTATTTACTACTGGACTATTACCTGGCGCTGAACGAGCCGCCATCCGTGGACTTGCAGCTGCGCGTGAGCCGGTGCTTCCAGTCACGTGGTCGCGAACGCGCACAGAGCCTGGCAGAGGCGGCCTCGCGACTGAAGGAAAACAGGGTGTCCCGCGCGGGAACGCCGCAGCCAGATACAGAGGCTTCTGAAACGGAGGAAGAGTCGGACGAGGAGGAGGATTTGTCAACGCAGATCTCTGAGGACGAGTCTGAGCTCGACAATTCGGAAAGCGACGACGCTGCCGACGCCGAGCTGTACGAGCAGATGATGAACGAACACATCGAGCAGAGCATCCAGGCCGAGTTCGATGCGCTGCTGGGCGAGAGTCTGAAGTCCTCGGGCGCGAAACCCAAGTCGAACGCGCTGGAGTCCATAGGCTCGCTGGCTACCATGACCGAGCCGCAGCCGGCAGAAAGCAACAAGTTCACGTTTCTGGCGAAAGCGGGCCGCAAACTGCACTCGCGCGTGGTCACCGTGCCCGAGGAGAGCGGCTTTGCATCGCGGCGACTGCAGAACGTGAAACTGTCGCAGCAGGAACACGAGAGAGTCAAGGACCTGATCCTCGAGCGGCAGGAGTAGCTGGTGCGAGGGTGTCGGTTTTGGCTAATTTTTGCTCTAGATCGGGCTGGCAAGCTCATAACCTTGACGAAGTTTTCGAAAGTTTTATTGGTGAAAATACTAGACAGGAAGATAAATAGAGACCATGTCTACGCTGAACGTGAGTAACTGGAATTAAAAGCGTGCTAACAAACAGGTTTTTAGATATTCCGCATTGGCGACCGGCATTGTGTACGGAGCTTACCACACCTACGTGTTGAAGGCCGAGGGTGAGAAGAAGCAGGAACTGTACGACTACGAGCACAAGAAGAAGTTGGTGGAGGAAGCCAAGGCTGAGTACAAGAAGCTGCACCCAGTCAAGCAGACTGCCGCACCAACCGAGGCCGTCAACCTCGACGACCCAGAATTCGATTTCGGGAAATTTATTTTGGGTGCTGTTGAGAAATTGGGTAGTTGAAAAATTAGTATAACAATAAATTGTACGAAAATTTTAGATATTCTAAGATGTTACTAAATAGCGCCGGCCTGGCGCGGAGTGGGCGTTTTGTTGTTTCGCGGGCACCTTTTGGCTCGCGTGTGGGCAGACGCACGTTCACTAGCGACTCGCACAATTTTAAAAACTTCTACAACGGCCAGACTCTGGCTAAACACTTTGAGACAGCAGGCCATGGGTATTTGATGTCTTTGTCCTTTGAGCCCAAGGACAGACTGAAGGACAACAGCAAAGCCACCGATGGGTTGATTTCCAAGTATCGCAAGAAGGTGTACACCAACACAGTGTATGATTCGCCTACTGGCGAGGATAACTACGTGATAGCCTACAACGACTCGCGGGTGCTTGCTGGAGTGCTAGACGGCGTGGGCGGGTGGTCTGAGCAAGGGTTTGATTCCAGCGCAATCAGCCGCGAGCTGTCGAACCACGTCACCACCGAGTTCTTAGGCGAACCCGATCTTACCCCTCTTGAGATACTGGAACAAGCATTTACAAAGATGAAGCAGGACGGGTCTGTCGAGGTGGGGTCCACGACGATCTGTTTTGGGGTGATCGACTCCAACACCAACAAGCTGCACGCAGTGAACCTCGGCGACTCGTGGTTCGGTGTCTTCAGAAAGGAAAAGTCCAAGTTCAAGTGTGTGCACCAATCTGAGGAGCAAACGTACTCATTTAACGCTCCGTACCAGCTTTCTGTGATTCCGCAGGAGTTTCTGGACCTGGCCAAGAAACGCGGGTCCAAGTACCTCATGAACGAGCCCCGCGACGCTGACCAGTACGAGTTCCAGCTCGAGTCCGGTGATATCATCATGTTCACCACCGACGGATTAATAGATAACGTGGTGATCAACGACGTGGAAATGTATTTGGACGACGTGTTCGACCCAGAACAGATCGGAGAAGTCAACAAGAACCTCGTACGCAACGTCAAGGACCTAAGTTTGAACACAGACTTCAAGAGCGTGTTCTCACAGCGGCTGAGCAAGCTCACCGGCCAGGACTACATCGGCGGAAAGCCCGACGACATCACCAGTGTTCTTGTATACGTGGAGTGAACACACAAAGGCTATAATAACTAATAATATATTTGCGCGACTCTAATAACGACACTAGTCCTTGAAACAGCCAATTGGCGACTGGATCTTGACCGAGTACTCGCATTTCTCCGGCTCGGTCACGGCAATGATCTCGTCATCCACCCCGCAAACAACCTGGACCTCTGCGCGTCTCACTGGACCGTTCCAGCACTTGTCTCCATGTTCGTAGATCAGCTTGATCTGGTGGTTGTTCTTGTCGTACTCGACTCGTTCGTAGCGGCCAATTCTAGTGGCCTGTCCGTTGCTGTTGATCTGCTCCAGCTTGTCCGTGAAACACAGTCGGTAGTCGTACGTGCCGATCTTGTTGCGTACACAGCTGTTCATGGCCAGGAAAATGTTGTCTGGGCCGTAATCGGCGTCCAGCTGCTTCTGTTTGGCAGCTTGGTCTTTCCTCAGCGGCTTGAGTTCGTCCTCGATCTCGTTCTTGCGGCGCTCTGCGTCGATCAGCGACGTGATCTCGGCTGGCTTGCGTGCCACGCCCAAAAACGAGTTCACCATCGCTTTGAACGTGGACCTGTAGTTGGACGAGGCTGGCTTCGACACCAGTTTGTGGAGCTTGATCTCGGCCGCCTCGAGCTCATGTTTGAGCCCAGCAAACGCGTCGCCCAAATCAATAGGAGTCTGTTCCTTGTCCCGTTGGAGTCCCTCGTTGACAGAGTGCTCCTGGAACGCCTGAGCAGCGGCCTTGACGGCCGGGTCGTTGAAATTGTGGTTGTACTCTTTGTTCATGGTGTCCAGCACGTTCTCGAGCTTCTGCAGACTGTCCTGCTGGGCCTGGAGCTGGCTGATCTTGGCAGAGGCTTCCTCGGAAAGTTTCTCGACCTTGGCGGTGAGATCGTTGAAGACTGCCACGATCTCATTCTCCTCCTGGCTGTAGGTGCGGATCTTGCTCAACTGGTGCAATTCGTGCTCGAGCTCTGCGATCTTGGACTCCAATTGGTGGAGATCGTGCTGGAGTCTGCTGCGTTTCTTGAACACCTGGTGGGCGAGTTTTTCTTTCTTCTCGAGTCCCTTGCGGACGATCTCGTCACGCTTCTGGTTCTCCTTTTCCCAGGCGGCGTGCATCTCGGCACATTTCGACGGACAAAGCCCCTCTGGCTCGTCGGACCCGTCGCAGCACACGTCATAGTCGCAAACGCCGTCGTTCACCTTGAACCAGGGGATGTAGCCGGGCGAAAACCCTTCATTGGCGCAGTAGAACTGCGTTCCCACGCACGCCGAGGTGCCTGGCTCATCAGAGCCGTCGGGGCAGTCGCAGTAGTCGTCGTTGATTTTGTCTGCGGAAATGACGATTTGCGGGTCGCCCAGACACCGCCAAAGCCCGTTTTCGTCGGGCTGGTAGACCGCCTGGCTCTCTGGCGAGACTCCTCGAACCCAATGGGCGGAGGCCTGGACACAAAGCAGAATCAGTGCTATCATTAAAAAAGAGATGTAGAAAAAAGGTGAAATACTTTTATTTAGGCGTGGTTCCAACATTATGCCCAGCACTGTGGAGAATCGTTCTATTTATTAACATGGTGCTTTTCATTGCGGGTGCGAGGGATGCGGCTGGCCGGAGTACTGGGGGTAGATCAAGGGCCGGCCGCCGTATTGGGGCGAGTACTGGGTAGCAGGCTGTGCGTAAGGCTGATAAAATGGAGCCACGGAGGGACGAATCTGCTGGGGAGGAAACGAGTTGTGTTTGGCCAGCGGGAACACGGAGGGGCGCGGAGCCTGCGACACGAGCGACGAGTCCGGGTGGCGCGGGAAGTTCATGGGCGGGCTTGTGGCTGAGATCGGAGACGACTGCATTTCGTGGTCGTTGTGGATTTCCTGGGGTTTCGGCTGCGGCATGTATCGATACCTTCGCGAGCCGTACGGAACCTGTTCGTATCCGGCGCACACTTTTCTGGACTTTTCGCAGTTGTAGCAGAAAGGCTTGCGTTCGTCGCACTTGATGCGCCTGCGTCTGCACGTGAGGCAGCCGGTCCTCGTTCTTTTTCTGACAACCCGCTTTCGGCGGTCCTTGTCGTCTGGCTGGGGCTCGGGGGACTCCTCGTGGACCGCAGAGCCGAGCTCGAACACGGGGGTCGGGCTGGTGTCGATGGGGTATGTTGGGAACGAGTGGTGTCTTGCAGGGTGGTGCGGGTAAGGAACCGGTGGCACCTCGAACGAGGGTCTGTATCCGCCAGGGACGGAGAACGAGTTTGCGTGCGAGCGGGGCGGCTGCGCCACCTCCGGGTTCAGGATCGCCGACAGCGGTGGAAGCTGTACCTCTTTTCGAACGTCGATGTGACTGGAGGAGTTTGAGTGGTTGAACGGGTCGCCAGAGAGCGAGGCGGACGATGCGTGGGATCTGAGCTGGGCATACACCGACGGGGAGCTTGATTCGGTGGCAGAGGCAGTGAGAGACGCGGTAAGGTTGGAGATTGAGGGCAAGGTGACAGGCGTCGTATTCGACGGGTTGGGAGACTGTTCTACGCTCATGTTGCGCAAGATAGACAGTAGCACCTGTGGAATATGGATGTGACCAGATATAGAGACACGGAGACAAAGAACAAAGCAGCTGAGAGTCTCACGAAGAAAGTGGTATGGCCATTAGGTGTAGCGATTACAAAATCAAGATTATAAAGGGGCGGGAGAAATCTGTTGAAATCTCATTTCATTTCCGGATTCTGACACCAGTTAACAAAGAAAGAACACTACTGCATAGTTGAAAAATTAATATTGATACAATAGGATCGCCCAAACCTAATGTGCAGAGATCACTAATAATACAACGTAGCCATCTTAAAAATTTTCCAAACTTGGACTGGGAGGCGTAAAGATTGCGTATTAGTGCATGGTCCATGCAGGTCTGGAAGACGAGTATTTTTTTCTCGGGGACTTGTCCTCATCACCTCCGCAGGCAATTAAAGGGTCAGCTCGTGTTCTTAAATTAGACGGAGACCATGGTGACAGGATTTTATTTTTAGTTGGAACGAGTAATGGGAAAGCGAAAAGGCAATTTGTACGCGTCTTGTCTATGGCCATGTTTTGCGACAACCAGGGCTCTGTATCTGCTTAAACGAGGGCTTTGATGCCGTACCTTTCCCAAGCTTAAAAACGCAATTAACAACTCATCGCGTGGGTGCGGCGCATGACTTGGACAAAGCGTACTTGATTAGGCTCAGAAGATACGAAATTAGGTATGGATACCGGCCTGCATTAGCCGGTTGCTATTTAAATTTAATTCATATGCAGGATCATCATCGTTTCCTGATATCATGATGTGGCCACATATTGTTTCGATATCCCTAGTGGCACCATCCTGTCAACGACGATCGGCGTCCTGTCAACTCCTGCATTGGGTGTTGGCAATCTGAGACTTGCTCACGCAAATTGTGTACACGGTACTAGCCACGGGAATTAACTTCGGCCCTACAAATTAATTCGCCACTATTACCAAGGAACTGCCAAGAAGCAGCCCGCAACCGAGATTTCTCTTAGTAGCCGTTTAGAAAATTTGTCCTGTCCCAATTGGCGCACTTGCAGTCAATTCCGCTTTATTCACATGACGGTTCCACATCCCTATTGTTCCGCTATAGTGACTCGGCGACACTGCCAATCTGGGCACAATCTTGTCCCGATACAACCTCCAAATTCAGGCAGTGTGCTTTGAGTGCGTCTCCTGCATTTGCTGCATCTGCTGTGAGTTTCATTCAGGCAGCAGCAAGCTTATTCGCAAAGATTTGCAGCCCAACAGGGAGTGTCGATCCTCCGCCGAATATTCTAAACAGCAGGGTTCCTTTCTAGTCTCCGCTGGGTAATTGTCGCGTAGTTTCGAATTAGTTCTATTATGGAAATCCCACGTTCAATTACATGAACGTGCTCCGTCAGGTTCACACATATTGTCTGCCCATGTTAGTCTTGTTTTTTAGACAATATAAAAAAGTTCTATTTTTTAAGCATCCCAAGATAAGGGCATAATTCGGTAAATTTCGGCGGAAATCGTGATTGTTCCTGCCAGCACTAAAACGAAGTGCGAAATGCAGGCAAACTAAACGACAAGAAAAAATTAGCAAAAGCGGAGAAACTAAAAACAAAAAAAAATATGCTCTCGGCGAGAATCGAACACGCGATCTTCAGATTATGAGACTGACGCCTTAACCGACTGGGCCACGAGAGCACTTTTAGAAACAAAAATTACCGTGTCAACAAGAGCGATCATCCTCATGGTTTCCGGCTCAAGCTTGGTAAAAAAAAATCACATGGTTATTTTCCGCCGTGCCAGTGAATTATCAGTTACTGTACCTGTAATTTCGAATGATATTAAGCTATCTATTTCTTGTCAACAATTTCCTTCTCCCTCTCAACGACCACAGCCTCCTCGGTAGGCTGCGCCTTGTCTGCGTCTGGGTTGTCCAAGGCAGAAGCATTCCACTCCTCGAGCTCAAGCTGGTGCTCTCTCTCGATAGCGTACTTCACAGCTTCCAGAACGTTGTCGCAAGTATGCTTTGGTTGATATTTCGGCACAGTACCCTCTTGGTAAACACCAGTTTTCACCAAGATAGAGTGCCAAGATTCGTCGTGCGAGTTGGCAAACCGGATGTCCGACTCTGGAGTATCACCAACAAAGTACACAGTCGAGGCTGGAGGCAAGTCCAAAGTCAGCTGCGACAGCTTTTGGATGGTCAATCCTTCGTCTTCGTCGTCCGAGTCCTCTGAATCTGTCTCGTTGAAAACACCCTTCTTTGGCTGAGTTGGTTTCTCAGGCTTCTTGGAGGACGGCTTGAACGAGAGAATTTGTTCTTCTTCCTCGTCTTCTTCTTCGGCAGAAACATCAGAGGTTGCTGCAGAGGTGAGTTCTTCAACGTGCTCTTCTAACACGTCTTGACGCCAGTTCATAAGAACTTTCTCTGCGTACTTGAAAGTACCACGTTGAGGTTTTCCGAATCTCGTCACCTTGAGCTCTTTTCCGGTATGTTCTCTGTAAAGAGCAGCGATCGAAACCTGTAATGCTCCCATTCCATACCGCGAAAGCTTGTAGTTGGTGGCCCAGATGAAGTCCGAGTGAGCAAAGTAGATGGCTGGGCCTTCGTCAAACGTCTCGCTGACAGTGCCCATCACACCTTTCTTGGACATGAGCAGCTCCAGGATGATCTGCTGGTCGGCAGCCCAGTTTCTGGAGTCGGCGAACACCAAAATGGCTTCGATCTTGGTCTTTGAAAAGTCCACATCTTTCTTGCAAAACTCCTTGTCCTCCTCGGTGAGTGTGTAGTACGGCGTAACGCTTGGATTCCAGTACATCACGTCCAGTGGAATGAACACGTTCTTGAACCCGTATCCCTCGGCAACTTTCCGGCACTTGTCGCCAACACCGCCGATAACAAGCACGTTATCGTAGATAGCAACCAAGTCCTTCATCGGCGTATGGCCCTGTATCACCTGGTCTTCGGTAATCTCGCATTCCAGACGGGAACTGAGTTCCTTAGCACGCTCGCTTTCGGGTCTTCCACCACCGTTGGTGACGAAAATGTACGGCACTCTGATGTTGTACTTGTTTTCGCCGTTCAACATTTTCAGGGCCTGTTTAGCGTACGGGATGGTTTCCGGTCCCTTGACAATGACACCGTCAATATCAAAAGCGAACGCGTACGATGCAACACGGAAATGGTCCACGATGTGGGTCTTGTATCGCACGGCTTGCTGCGAATTAAGAGACGACATCGAGAGACGCGAATGGGACTTGCCCAAACTTCCCTTGGAGCCCGATTTCTTAAGGTTGACGTTGCTGTTGCCGTTATTCAGCTTGGACATGGCAACGAGCGACGGCGACCTCACCGAGCCGGCCCATTGATCTGACAAAGACAAAGAGGAGACCCTTTTCTTGCGCGGGGCCGGCGTTAAGCTATCGATTCCGTCGTTGTTCAAGTACGACTGAAACGCAGGGCTTTGAGCACTGCTGGCTTTGGCGGTTTCTGCGTTAACAGGAGCTTTCTCGACGTTTAAGTTTTGCGATTCCATTTTAATCTCAGATGGCACGATATTGTGTCTTTATATAACTTTCTCAAAGCAGCATGACAGCAAATCAATGACGTAATTTTTCCTTAGTCCGATGCACGCCCTCACAAAAATGTAGGATTTTACTAAAAATTATGTTCCGGTAAATTCTGGCACCCAAACGTGGCGTAGCGTTACTAGTTGGTCTATTGTGCTGATAATATTGCGCTCTGCAAGTGAAATTGGTTACCAGACCTTGATTGTATGGTGTTGATAGGGTTATTCTGACCAGTAGCTTAAACTGCAAACCGGTTCTATCTCTGCATCTCGCTTAGCACTGTTGTTATTATGATCTGGTTATGCGAGGCTAGTGAAAAAATAATCCACGAAATTAATTAGTATCGTTATTTAAAAACCCGGGGTAAACAATACTACCACCTGTCATGACGTTCCCTACGGAGATCGAGCAGCTCATCCTGTCCAATCTGCCTTTGAACGCCTCGATCGACCTCTTGCACACGCTCGTCAACTCCGACTCCGAGATCTCGTGGCAAGACACCTTGAAACGCAACGTTACAACGTGTCTGCGGGTGTTTTGCTCAAAAGCCGACGTTCACAATGCCAACATTGCCGGCCAGCCGTTCCACCAGCACAGCGTGTTTGTGAACTCGCCCGAGTTCCAGCAATTGGCCGAGATCAGCGCCATCAGCCCGTTTGAGAACTCCTCCGTCGAGATCGTCGCCTCAGTGCAGAACTACCACCAGTACATCCACCAGATCACGGCAGTTTTTCCTCCACCCAACACCATCAGCTTGTACACGGTGCTGTGCGGGCCTGTTCCGGGCAAATCGCTCGCGCACTCTGAAAACATCGCCAAACTCAACATCTCCTCGATATCGGCAGACGAGCTCAACACCTTCAAACCGTTCCTCAACAACCTCACCGGCCTGACATACCTCCACGTCAACATCGACTACTCCGAGCGCGCAAATAGACCCTCGTTTGTCCCGATCAGACTGCCAAATCTCGTCTCCTTAGAAATATCTGCATTTGCAAACTGTGAAGACATCATTTATCCTTTGGCAGCATGCTCTCCAAAACTCACCTCTGTGAGTCTCAAGCTGTTCGAGAACGGCCAGATCAGCATGAACCGGCTACTAGCAGCCATGGAGTCCAGCTCGCTTGAGAACCTCACCATCGAGTCTGTGGAAGACGACGACCACCGTCTCGTGAGCGTGGTCTGGACTCCGGACGAGACCTCTTTACTCAAATTGGCCAACTTGCACCACCTGCACATTTCCGGGTTTGTGTTCCCGCCCCGACTGGAGTTTCTCAACCACCTGTCATGCCTCGAAAGTGTCTCGCTCACATCAACACGTGATCCAGACGCTCTGCGGAACCTGGATTGCTCCACCATAATAGCTTTAGCAATCACACATCCGAACCGAAACTTGATTCAAATCGAATTAAAACACGTTGGCGTCTTTTCGAACGATCTGGACCACCTGAGCCATTTCCCGGCGCTGCAAACGCTTAGCATCGACTCTGTCGTGCTGAATCAAAAGTTTGATCTTTGCTTTTTGAAAAACCTTATCAGTTTGGACCTCGTGGTGCGCTCCGACGTGACTACCGCAGACTTCTACAACCCGATTCCGTACGTGTTGTGGCCGCCGCACGTCAAAGACGTCAACCTCACGTTTATCAGCAGCGACGAGCGTGTTAAGAGACACTCGTTGCAAGCCATGCTGCCAAAAGTGACACATAACCGTTTGCCGAGCAGCGTGCAGAACCTGAAACTGATGCTCGAAACAGAGTCGCGAATCGGTAAGGAGTCCATTTTCCACCGGCAGGAGCTGAACGTGAACTCTTTACTCAACATGCTGCTACCGATACGGCTAAAAAGCCTCACAATCACAGGTCTTGACAGGTATTTCCCGCAGTGGTCGTGGTGGAACGAAAAGTTTCTTATCAACACAAAGGAGCTTGAGCTGCCACCGTCGCTGGTGAATCTCGAGGTCAGAAACGCTTTTATTCAGGACAAGCTGGTGCTCCCAAAACTGAAACGACTGGCCATCTACAATTCGTTTTTCTGCGACCAAGAACTTTTCCACAGCCACCTCCATAAATCAAACAAGCTCATCGTGTTGAACTGCTGTTTGGACCAGTCTGTCCAGGAAGCAGAGGCGTTTCTGTCCAAACTGGCCCCGCAAAGAGTCCAGAAACCTCCAGAACAGATCTTCCTGCGCAGAGCAAACAGATCAATCTTTCTCATCAACGGCTCCTCAACGCCAACTCTAACGATGTAATGAATGCATGAATTCTATAAACAATTAGATAATAAATAACCCGCCATATACTCACAAATACGGTCCAGAAAGGCTGACCATATGGTCAGAACCAGCAACGTCGTCGTTCTGGAACAGTGTCTTGAACGTCTCCACCTTGCCGTTCACGCTCTCGCTCACGGCGTTGATCATCCCCGTGGGCCCGTCGTAGACAAACGAGTCGGCATCGTTGATCCATTCGGACGGGTCCATCAGGTCGTGCTCGCTCAAAACGTCGTCGTCCGGCTCCAAAGTCGACATCTGACTCTCCTTCTGGATTATCCCGTTGACGTTCCGCGTAGTGACGCTCGGCTCAGAATATTTCCGCGACCCGGCGTCACTCTTCTCCTCTTTGGCAGCCTTGTCGTGCTGTTTGTCCAGAATATCGTCTAGCTTGTCGTCCTCGTCCACGTGAGGGTCGTTGCAGTCGTGTCCCGGGTTCCACTCGTAGTCCGCCAGGTCTTCGCCCTGAACACACTTGGCCGAGAAATGGTTCTCCACCAAATGCTCAACAACCTGCCACCCGTACGCGTTCGCAAACCGTCTGCGAACAACAATGTTATTATGCGCGTCTGGTTGCAGACTCACCAACACCTTACGCCAGGTCATTCCGTGGTGCCAGCGTCTGGCGATCTTCTCCTCAATCATCTTCTGCCGCTTCATCGGGTCAATCACCTCTAGAAGACTCGTGGACGACCGGAGGGGACTGCGTGGAATCATGTCTGGCTTGTAGATTTTGTCGTGGAGAATCACATTAGGACGCGACTCCGGGTCGGTGATGAACTTGAGCGGCGGCAAAGGCGGCAGCAGCACTCGCTTGATGCTCTCAATAACCGATGACTTCGGAAGAGGATTGTACTGGTCCAGATCGTCGTCCACCGAGTCGTGCGGCTCGTTCCCGTTGATTTGGTAGCGCTGGTACCTGTGGCCGGATTTTGCGTTCTGGGACGGCGCACAGTAAGAAAACAAGGTCTGGAGGGGCGACAAGATCTTGGACTTCATGGAAGTGAGCAGATCCAAGTCCTCCGGCTCGACGTTGTCTGGAATTTCGCCAACTTCTGCGTTTCCCCGGTTGTAAGTTTTAGTGTTTCCAGACTGTGCTTCGTAGACTTTGGCTAGACCTTTCCAGTCCAGATACAACAATGCCGAAGTACGCAGCGGGACAATCCCGTCGTGGACGGCGTTTGCGTAAATCGTTCGTCTTTTAAACTGTCGTAGCACTTTTCGCGTTGGTCTCGATGGTAGCAGCATCAGCAACGGCCGCAGACCTTGGAGACCCAGATCCTGGCCTGTTTTCCCCATGATACCGAAACTGAGCGCCATCTTGACGTATGCAGGGTTTTCGTTGGAAATGCCCAAAAACGGGGACGCCAAAGCGATGAAATTCTCCGGCTTGTGTTTCTCGAAGAAGTCTGGATAATTATGTGAGATGTAAGCGATTGCAAACGTCTGGACCAGACCGCCCAGCGAGTGCGCGATGAAAGAGATCTTGACGATCTCCTCGTGTTTGCTGGCCTCATGAACAAGGAACTCTGCCAGGCGGCGCCCCAGATACTTGACTCCTCGTTCTGTCTTGCAAACGTTGTGCGTGTATCCTCTAATCATGAGCGTTTCTCCAGACGATTCTGCCTGTTTTTCAAGCTGCTCTTTCAGGTAGAACATGTCTGCTGAGACGTTTGAATGGAGGCCGTGCGTGAGGACCACAAGGTGTACTTTTGGAGCAGACGGAGGTTTATTCCAGAGATCCATGGTGGTTCGATGATCGACCTGTAATTGGGACGAGAAGATGCCGAATTGGTCGCCAAAGTTGTGTCTGTGAAGGAAATGGCGATCCTTTCCGATCATGAGCTCGAAATGGACCTCTGAGCTGGAACTGAAGATCATTTGACTAACAACGTCAATCACCCACACGTAACGGTCCTTGATGGTGTGCATGGAGAGCTCTGCTCGGAGCGATTGGCCGGCAGCCAAGTTGGGGTCGTAAACGGGCTGGTCCGCGGTGACAAAACACGGCTTATCGGTCGAATAATCCTGGGGTCGCACATCACAGTACAAGACATAAGGTCCTGTCAAATAGGCGGCACGCAGGGGAAGCATCTCGACATTTTTGATCTTGGCGTACAGAGCCGGCGCGCGGTTAGAGTCTGCAGGCGTGTAGGTGACCACAAATCTGTGAATCTCGCCGATGCGCACAGATTCGTGGCTACGATACAGAAGAGACTCAAGCATAATTATCAATAATATTGCACGGCCACATTTTCGGATGCGCAATCGAACGGTTCATGCGCCACACCGCAACCGGCCCGTTACTTTTCAAAATGATAAAAAAATTTTCAAATGAGTAACCCGGGGAACATAAATATTTGACTAATTATTGGAAAAAAACATAAACCTCCAATATGCTCAGAACCAGTTGCAAGACCTCGCCCGCGATGCGTAGACTTGCGCTCAGAAGCTCGCGCTCTATGATTGCGGTGCGATCCAAGTCCTCCTCCGCGTCCGTGCATGTGGATCCACGGCCCATTCCTGCCCCATCTTTCAACAGCTCCGATCTGAAGAAGCCTTCGCCATTATTTTCCGGCTCTCAGATGGACGACTCCTTCATCGGACTCACAGGAGGTCAGATTTTCCACGAGATGATGCAAAGACATGACGTCGACACTGTTTTCGGGTATCCTGGTGGAGCTATCTTGCCAGTGTATGATGCTATCTACAACTCTGACAAATTCAAGTTTGTTCTGCCCCGCCACGAGCAAGGTGCCGGCCACATGGCCGAGGGTTACGCCAGAGCCTGCGGCAAGCCAGGCGTCGTTTTGGTGACCTCTGGTCCCGGCGCTACTAACGTCATTACCCCTATGGCTGACGCTCTTGCAGACGGTGTGCCAATGGTCGTCTTTACCGGCCAGGTTCCCACCAGTGCCATTGGAACCGACGCTTTCCAGGAGGCCGACGTGATTGGAATCTCCAGATCGTGCACCAAATGGAACGTGATGGTGAAGAGCGTGGCAGAGCTGCCAAGGCGGATCAATGAGGCGTTCGAGATCGCAACCAGCGGCCGTCCTGGTCCTGTTTTGGTCGACCTGCCTAAAGACGTCACTGCTGCCATCTTGAAGGAAGCCATTCCGATTAGCACCACCCTGCCGTCCGATACCCTCAGCAAGATCACCCGTGCTGCCGCTACCGAGTTCACCACTCAATGCATCCAGCGTGCTGCTGCGCTGGTCAACAAGGCCAAGAAACCAATTCTGTACGTGGGAGCCGGTATCTTGAACTCGGAAGACGGCCCTAGAAGACTCAAGGAGCTCGCAGACAAGGCCCAGATCCCTGTCACTACCACCATCCAAGCTTTGGGAGCCTTTGACCAGAACGACGAAAAGTCCCTGGACATGCTTGGAATGCACGGCTCTGCCGTGGCCAACTCTGCCATGCAAAAGGCAGACCTTATTATTGCTCTTGGTGCCAGATTCGACGACAGAGTGACTGGAAATATCGCCAAGTTCGCTCCTGAGGCCAAGCTGGCTGCTCAACAAAAGAGAGGAGGTATTATCCATTTTGAGATCTCGCCAAAGAACATCAACAAGGTTGTCGAGGCTACCGAGGCTATCGAGGGTGACGTGACCCAAAACTTGGAGCTTTTCAACCAGTTGGTGCATCCTGTTTCTTCTCGTCCGGAGTGGTTCAAGTACATTGGGGAGCTCAAGGAAAAGTACCCATATGCCTATCAAAAGGAGACTCCTGGCTCCAAGATCAAGCCACAAACTCTCATGCAGGAGATCTCCAAACAGGCCACCGCTACAGGACGTGACGTTATTGTCACCACCGGTGTGGGCCAGCACCAGATGTGGGCTGCCCAGCACTTCACCTGGACCAAACCACGTTCGTTCATCACCTCTGGAGGTCTCGGAACCATGGGATTTGGTTTGCCATCTGCCATTGGTGCCCAGATCGCCAAGCCAGACTCTCTGGTTATTGACATTGATGGAGACGCTTCGTTCAACATGACCTTGACCGAGCTCTCCGCCGCCGTCCAGGCTAACGCTCCTGTCAAGGTCGTTGTGCTCAACAACGAGGAGCAGGGAATGGTTACCCAATGGCAGTCCCTGTTCTACGACTACAGATACGCTCACACACACCAAACCAACCCAGATTTTGTGAAACTCGCCGAGGCCATGGGTCTCAAGGCTTTCAGAGTGACGAAACAGGAAGAGATGGTGGACGGTGTGAAACAGTTGCTCGAATACAACGACGGACCAATCCTCATGGAGGTGTTTGTGGAAAAGAAGGTGTCTGTGCTCCCAATGGTGGCAGGAGGTTCTGGTCTGGACGAATTCATCTTGTTCGACCCAGAAGCAGAAGCCAAGAGCAACGAGGTCAGAAGCCAGAGAACTGGCGGAAAACATTAAGTTAAACAGCATATTGCGAATTTGTAATTAAGAATGCTAATTCTTTTTAAAGAACTTACCAAAACTCTTGAGGTTTTCGCCAATGTCGATTTTGTTGTCGTTCATGCTGAACGTCTTGGCAATGTTCTTCTCAAAGTTATCACGCGTGGACAGTAAGGATTGTTTGTCTATCTTGAAGTTGGAATTAGGGCTGTTGAAGAACCCGGAAAGAGCCAAATTTGGCGACGAAACAACACCGGCCGTCACGTTCTCCAATTTTAAGTTCTCCAAGAACGCATTGCTTTCAGGCAGAGTCTCCTCCATAGTTTCGTATTGGCGCAGCTGCGTTTTAAACTGGTCGACATACCGGAACCTTTCCTTTTCGTAGCTTGCCTCGTTGGACAGCAGTCCCTTAAGTTTCAAGACTTTCATAAAGTTCGAGAAGTTCGAGTCTGCCACAATGGTGAAGTAACTGGCTATGAAGTCACTCATAGGAGAGGTCTTGACCATCAGAATCTTCAAGATGGTGTTAATGTTTAACACCTTGGTGCCGATGTTCTTTGAGAAACTCGACGACGAGGTGATCTTGATTGGTTCTGGCGACAATGTGGGCAGGTCTAGTAGAAACGTTTTCAGCGACTGCAGATCAAACACAAGCTGTTCCGCCATGATTTCTGTGATTGGTCTCAGTTTCACAGTGTTGAGCCAGAATTCGCTTAAAACAAGCTCAACCAGCTTATCCAGATAGTTCCGAATGTACAGAACCCGATTGAAGTTCGGAAAAATGGCAGCACAGTCCTCCTTGACTGCAGCCTTGACAGACTCCATGTACCGTGACTCGCTTGTCACCTCGTTGTGCGCTCTCCAGTTGAAGTTCACCATCTCTCGCCACGAGAGCTGGAGATCGTTCTCCACCTTGACAAACAGCAGATTGATGCAATTATTGATCAGGTTGAGATAAACGGTACGGGACTTTTCGAAGTCGATTCTCTGTGCGAGTTCAGAAGGATGCACAAGGGACACAAACCTTTCTTCTAACTGAGACACGGTCACAGAGCAATAGTCTGCGGTATTTAGAACCAAACAGATCAGCTCCATTCCTTCGTTCTGTTCGGCTTCCGTACCAGAAGAAAGACTCTTCGGATCAGGAACCAGCGGAATCAGCACTGTCTCGCGGTATTTCAACAAAAAGTTTGAAAACACAGTTGAAAGTCTCACCAAAGACTCTCCTTGAGACAATTTGGAAAGCTGACTTAATATTTGACGGTAAAGTCTGAACAAATCCGCAGCTGATTCCAGGACGTTGACCGTGGACCCGCCGGCTTCGACTCCCGATTTCTTCAACATGTTGGACGGGTTGATGAACTCGATGAACTTGCTATTGATCACTGTTCCTTGATGGTCGATCCAGATGTTCAAGTACGGCTCAAACACGTCTGAAATCATGCCGTCAAAGCTCTGTTTGAACTTCTTGTCCAAGAAAGACTCGAACTCTAAAGTTTCTCCCAGCGAGCTAAGGAGCAAGTTGACGTCAACTTTACTTCCTGTGAAACGGGTCTCTTTTTCGGTGACTTCCTTCAAATCCTTGCGCGTGATCTCACAGAAGTTCCTGGTAAGAGCCTGCGACATATTCCACGAAGCAGGAAACATCAGCGCGTGTCGAGACTCAAAATTCTCCAGCACCTGCCGGAAAAACATGAACCGTCTTTTCAGGTTGTCAAGAGAACCTGCTTCTTCTGTCGACTTGAATATCTGTGTGATCTCCTTCAAAGTAGTGATGGTGTACCAGTTCATGAGTTTATCCCTGTACGGCTGCCCCAACATGTCTAGAAGCTCGCACGCGTCGACCAATTGTGGATTATGCAACTCTTCTTGATACTCGAGCTCAAAGTCGGCAAAGATCTCGTCTATTATTCTATTCTTGAGAGAACTGATTTTCTTGTTCAGCGTGTTGATCTCGTCTATGCTTTTGTATGACTGGAAATGCTGCATCAGCTCGACAACCACACTGAACAGCTGTTTGATCTGCAGATAGTCCTTCACCGGGTTCGAGCTATCACTAAGAAAGGTCTCGAGATTCTCGTACGCGGTGATCAACATTTGCAGTCGTTTGAGGATTGTCATTGTCAACGTGAGGTTTTTCTTTGCGTTATCCAGCGTCTTAATGCTTGCGGTCATCTGATTAATTGTGGTGCCTGTATTCTCGGCAGATATCTTTGTTTCATTCAATTCGGTGATGAGGTCGTCCAACTTCTCGTCTGCCGACGCCAGAACGTCCTGGCCGTCCTCGCGGTCAAACACAAAGCTGTTGTAGTTCGATTGGCTCTCTCGAATGTCCTCATCCAGTTGCAACTTGTACACGTTAACGTACGCAAGTAAGGTGTCCAATTGCGAGAGACTCACCGGCGTGGGGAACAGCTCGTACAGATCCGACACCGGATCGTACTGGTCGCTATTGATGCTGTTTTCGGTATCCGGTCGGGCGGTGCCGGCCTCAATGAGCCGGTCCTTAAATGATTTCGTAGTCATAAATAATCAATAACTTTTTCCTACTCGATTTTTACTTGTTTTTTTCCAATTCAATTTTCGTCATGTCGCTGAGAATGCCTAGCCAGCCCAACGCGGGCTTATTTAAGCAGGGATACCAGACCCACGCCAGCACAGACGGTGCCATCAACAGAAACATCCAGGCTTGCAGAGAGCTTAGCTCGATGATCTCCACGTCGATTGGCCCGTGCGGCAAGAACAAGATCATCGTGAACAGACTGGAAAAGGTGTCCATCACCAACGACGCAGCCACGATGATCAGAGAACTCGAGGTGGTGCATCCGGCCGTCAAGGTGATGATCATGTCGTCCGAGCAGCAGGAAGAGGAGATGGGAGACAACACCAATTACGTGTTGGTGTTGGCGGGCGAGTTGTTGCATCTCGCGGAAAAACTCGTGGTCCTGGGCCTTACTCCTACAGAAATCATCCAGGGATACAATCTGGCCAACAAGTTTGCCTTGAAGGAGCTGGAGAACCTTGTTTTGGACAAAATCTCCGACATCTACTCCAAACAAGAGCTTTTGAAAATAATTAAGCCTGTGATCGCGTCGAAACAGTACGGAAACGAGGACAAAATCAGTAATTTGGTCGCCGACGCAATCAGCAGCGTGATTCCAAAAACCAACCCTAAACTGTTCAACGTGGACTCCATCAGAGTGGTGAAGATCATGGGTGCTTCGCTCAACAGCTCGTTCGTGCTCAAAGGTATGGTTTTCCCAAGGGAGCCAGAGTCCCATCTTAAAAAGATCACAACTACATCCAAGGTTGCCATTTTCACGTGTCCGATCGACATTTCCACCACAGAGACCAAGGGAACCGTTTTGTTGCACAACGCCGACGAGATGCTCGGCTTCAGCAAGGGAGAAGAGGCCCAGCTGGAGCAACTTGTCAAGGAGATCCACAACTCCGGTGTTCGTGTTGTTGTGGCCGGTGCAGGTGTTGGTGAGCTGGCGCTCCATTACCTTGACAGATACGGAATCTTGGTTTTGAAGGTGCCGTCCAAGTTTGACCTAAGAAGAATCTCGAGAGTCTGTGGCGGTACTCCGCTGGCCAGACTGGGAGCCCCAATGCCCGAGGAGATGGGCACTGTGGACGTTGTTGAGACAAAGGAGATCGGAGGTGACAAGGTGACCATTTTCCGTCAGGACAAGGAGTCCTCGTTGACGGCGTCGATCGTCGTTAGAGGAGCCACCAAGAACAACCTGGAGGACGTGGAGAGAGCCATTGACGACGGTGTTGCTGTGGTGAAGGCCATTCTGAAGGACCCAAGACTGCTTCCTGGTGCTGGATCCGTGGAGGCCGAGCTGGTGAAACGGATCACCACCTACGGAGAAAAGACTCCTGGTCTGATGCAGCTTGGAATCAAGAAGTTTGCCGAAGCGTTTGAGTTTTTGCCACGGATTCTGTGCGAGACGTCTGGTCTGGACGCCTCGGAAGTGCTTCCAAGACTGTATGCGTCGCACGACGAGTCCGACGCCGAGTCGCTCAAGTACGGAATCGACATCGAGGCGGAATCTGTGAGTGAGTCGCTTCTGGACGTTAGAGAACACAATATATACGACTCTCTGGTGTGCAAGCGCAACGCCATCAACCTGGCCACGGAGGCCGTTTGCACGGTGCTGAGCGTCGACCAGATCATCGTTGCCAAGCGTGCGGGAGGCCCTGCCATGCCTCAGCAGCCAAAACCTGGAAACTGGGATCAGGCTGATTAAATAGGAAATACCAAGTGAAAAAATTCAAAAAAATTAGTTATGATATGAAGGTGAGTAGAACTGCTAACTTACTAACTTTTAGGTGGAAGTTGCGCGAGAGAAGCTTCTATCGAACTTCGAGGTATACCAGCACCTCGTTGATATACAAAAGGAAAATTCCTGGAGCTTTACGCTGCCCGAGGACAACGCTACCAAGAAACATCGCAGAAAGAAAGGTAACTACTCGCTGGACCTCGAGATCATCACCAGAGAGCTTTCTGGGTATCTTGTGCGGACGGGCCAGTCGAACGACTATGGCAGACAGAATGTGGTGGAGTTCATGGAAGGACTGAATCAATATAGCTTGATGAAGATCGAAAAGCTGGAGATACTGAACAGACTGCCCAGAACCATCGTTTCGCTGTTTTCGGTGATCGAAGAGTGCGATCAGCGGTTCAACGAGGACCAGTGTAACGATATGTTGGAGCTTGTACAAAGATGTTTCCCTGTGGCGGAAGAAATTGACAACAACGACGAGATATTGCAGGAAGTTGAGGAAGAGGAGGAAGAAGAGGACGTGGTGATGGTGGAGCAGTTCGAAGAACAGGTTCTGGAGCAAGACAATTTTTCTAAGGGCAACGAGGACGAAGAGGACGAGGAGTAATGGAACAAGTATCCAATTAATCTATATATTAGAATAAATCCAAAAGGTCTTCATTGGATGATTTTTTCTGCGGTTGATCAGGCCCAGTTTGTTTTATAGCGTTGTTGATCATGCTGGAGCCTGTTTGCTGTTGAGGGGTTTGCGCCGAGAAGTTAGAGAACAGGTCGTTCAGCTCGTCCAGCACGTTACCTGTGCTTGGGACGGCTGCCGAAGAGTTTTGTGGAGAATCGTCGTTGTCGTCAAAGTCCAGCAAGTTCTCGGCCTTGACCGTGTTGTTGACGATTTCTGTCTTTGCAAGCTGCTGGAGCTCCTCCAATTTCTTGGACTGCAGTTGTGTGTTGATCAGTTCGCCGTCAATGGACTTGATGAAGCTGGAGGCAGGCTTGTGGTAGACAGACCCCAAGTTCGAGATCTCGTTCACCAGCTCGTTCAGAAGCAGCGGAGGGAAGTGGTCGATCGTCGACTCGAGCACAGGCAGCTTGGTCATGATGATCTTCTTTTGCAATTGGACGTCGTCCGTGGACAACACTCTCCAGTAGATGTACGCTTTGTCTCTGACGTCTGCGTTTTCCACCTCCTTGGTAGCCTCGTTCAAAATCTGCTGCAGAAGTTTCTGGGTGACGGGAGTCGGCTTGGTGAGGTTGATTTTCACGATAGTGGTCAGCAGAGCAGACTGGACCGCCGGATCGGAGTCCTGGAACTGGGACATCAAAGTTGTGAGTCTGTCCTCCAGATGAGCAATCTCGCTGGAGTACTCCCCGATGATCCACACGTACGACGCAATGGCATCACTTGTGTTGAGAGTGTCGAATTCCAGGTCTCCGATGATGGTGATGATGGTGGTGAGATACTCGGTAGGGTATCTTCTGAGCAGGTTCTGCAACACGACAACCAGCTGGTCGATGAGCGAGTCTGCACGGGAAATGAACAGCTCGTACAACACATCGATGGCTTTTTTGGAAACCTTTGGGATCTTCATGGCCAGCTGGCCGATTGCATTGACAGACTTGTTGATCACCTCTGGCTCGATCTCCAGCGCGTATTCACGAAGCTCGGCCAACAACAGCAGTCCGTTCGACTCGTCTGCGAGTCTGACCAGAATGTCGATCTTTTCCAGCTTGAGATATAATGGATCGTTGTACTTGATGAAGAAAACACGGAGCTCTCTGGCGAGCACCACAGGGTACTTTTCGAGCACGATTCTGATGTTCCTGAGAGCCACGTACTGGATTTCTGGCGGTGTCGACAATAGCGACACCAACGGCGACGAGAGACGTTTGAGCAAAGACTCCTTTTGGTCTTCTTCCACCTTGTCGAGCTGTTTAATAATAACCTTGACTGCGCTAAGAACAACAGCAGGGTTCTCGTGCTGCAGCTGGGGCGACACTCTGTCAATGATGTGTTGCACCTCGGCGACCTCCTGGGCGTTGTAGTCTGCCAGGGCGGTGAGAATGGAGATTCGGCCCCATTCTGTGCACTCGTTCAATGTCATGAGCAGTTTCTTGAGGATCTTGGAGTCAATCTTGAGGAAGTTCGAATTGGTGCTCTTGGAGATCTCTATCAGGGCAGATATGGAGTTGGCCACCACCATCTGGTTGGAGTCGTCCAACAAGTCCATCAGCTCGTCCAAAAACCCTTGCTCAACACACAGCCTGGAATTGAGGTCAAAGAACTTGGCAACACAAATGGCGGCGGTTTTCCGGACGTATGGATTGTCGTCTTTCAATGTCCGTTTCAGAGGAATCTCAATGTAGTCTGTCATTTTGTCCACTCTGATACACCCCATGGTCCGGATAGCTAATGCCCTCACCAAAGGGTTGGGGTCCTCGGTGTCCTGGACAAATGTGTTGACCGCCAAAATACAGAGCTCTGGGTTCGTCTTGGCGTAGTTCATCAGATACAAATACACCAATTTCTTCTGTTCATGGTCGTGGGTGGCGATGTTCTTGAGAATGTCAGGGAACAAAGACGACACGTCCTTGCCAACCGTCATTGCCGCAATGACTCTCTGGATGGTGTCTTTCCGCTCAGAGGCGTACTGCGACACCAATCCTTCTCTGAACTCAAAGGTCTCACCTTTGCGAGGAACGTTGAACAGCTTGCGCAGTCTCGTCTCCAATTTCGACACAGACATGATAAGTAAATTGGCCAGCGAAAAATAAATAAATCTCTTGAGAAATTTATGGCCATTGACTTGCAGCTGGGCCGGGTGGCCAAATTGCTTGCGAGGCTTGAATTTCAGCCCAAGTTCCGCGCGGTTCATGTTGCGGGCACCAACGGCAAGGGCTCAGTGTGTTCGTACGTGTCGCACGTGCTGAGTGCTCACGGGATCGCGAACGGCCGCTTCAATTCGCCCCATCTGCTGGATCGGTGGGACTCTGTGCAGGTGAATGACCGCCAGGTGTACAAGGATGCGTTCTTGGCCACGGAGGCCCATGTGCACAACATCAGCGCCCAATACAACATCAATTGCTCCGAGTTCGAGTTGCTCACCTGCACAGCCTTGAAGCTGTTTAACAGAACGGGGGTCGAGGTTGCCGTTTTGGAGACCGGTTTGGGCGGCCGTCTGGACGCGACTAACGTTCTTGCTCCGGAAAATATCATTTGCACGGGAATCACCAAGATCGGGCTCGACCACGAGGCGCTGCTGGGCTCGACGTTACCAGAGATCGCGTACGAGAAGGCAGGGATCATAAAGCACGGGGTGCCGTGTGTTGTTGACGGCTCGAACGCCAAATCCGTGTTAGAGGTGGTTGAGCAGGTGGCGGGCGGAAAGAAGGCCCCGTTGACCACCGTGTCAAATTCTCCTGACCAGAGCTACCACCGTATTGGGTCGAAACTCGGGGATTTCCACACGAATCTGCACGGGGATTACCAGCAGTCGAATCTTGCCGTTGCATTGGGAATCATCGACGTTCTTTCAGCGTCGTATAAACTCAACAGGAGTTCTATTGACCAGGGAATTCGCAACACTACATGGCCTGGAAGACTGCAAAAACTGACTGTCCGCTTGGAGACAGGCGAGCTGCCGGCGATTTTGGACGGCGCACACAATTCACAGGCCGCAGAGCAGCTCACAAAGTATCTAGGAGAAAGAAATGCGGGCACAACGTTTGTGGTTGCAATGACTTCGGGCAAGGCCACAGCGGAACTATTTGACAAGCTGCTCACGCCCAAAGACACGATTATCTGTACTGAGTTTGCCAGCACGGTCGACGGCATGCCGTGGATAGAGAGCTACAAGGCTTCTGAGCTGGCTGCAAACGTGCATACTACGAATAACGTTCATATCGAGCCGAATCTCGAAAAAGCACTAGAAAGGGCTTCTTTGTCGCACCAACAAACCGTCATTTGCGGAAGCCTGTATCTCGTGGCAGAGGTGCTACGACTACACCTGAAAAATGGAGGCCACCAAACGTGGTGATTATTTAGTTTAATATATGTATTATTTCTTCGGTCTACCTTTCTGGACGCGTCGCACGTTCTTGGCCCATTTTTTGATGTCTGAGCGGTACTCGGGACACACTTTCACGCTGTCGGGCTCGGCGAACCCAGACAAAAAGCTGTGTTTTAGCAAAGTGTGCGGGTCCGGTCTATCTTTTTCCTTTTTAAGACACAACGCAACAAACTGACACAGTTCGGGACTGTAACCGTCGGATTCTTTCAGCGAAGGAGGTGTTTCGTTGACGATTCGTTGCAGGAGGTCCAGAATCGAATCTGGCGTCTTTCTTTGCGGGTCACCTTGTAATCCAGACACTTCTTGGACACATCCTTCGGGAGCTCCTCCAAAAGCGAATATACCAGAGGCCAGTTCAAACAGCATCAAGCCGAGCGACCACACGTCTCCCTTGACATTGTACACGCCTCCCTGAATTCTTTCTGGCGACATGTACGTCGACGTACCCACAAAGGTGTCTGCCATCGAGTTGATGAGCTCTCTGCTGACTCCAAAATCGCACAGCTTAATATTACCTTTGGAGTCCAGCAGCACGTTGGACGGCTTCACGTCTCTGTGGATGATCCGATGGTTATCGTACAAGTATACCAGTCCTGACAGCACAGAGTAGGCAATGTGTTTGAGCATGAACTCGGGGAAAGGGCCGGTGACTTTGTAGATCTTGTCGAGCGAGCCGCAATCCACATATTCCATGCAGATCACCACGTCTCCTTCGTGGAGAAACGTGCCGTAGAAGCCAATAATGAACGGAGAGTCGCACTCGTGCATGATGCGGAGCTCGCGGATGATCTGGGACTGAATCACTTCTTTGGCATCGATGTGGATGATTTTACGTGCCATGGTTTTCTGCGTAGGCAGATGCAGCACCTTGGAAACTGTACCGGAATTTCCTGACCCCAGCTTCTTCAAGAGCACAAGCTCGTCGGCCTTGATGGGCAGCTGGTACTCAAGGCCAAGTTCCAGGTTCTGGATGTTGGCAATGAGCTCATCCGTGGAGGCTTTCTTATCGGGGTCCTTAAAACCGGCCTGGTCGAGCGGAGACATGGAGCTGGTGTTCCCCAGAGACGAAGTGGTGGAATTGGTTCGAATGGTGAGCTGGGGCGCAGAAAGCGTAAGTTTCTTAACGTTCTTCCTGTTGAGAGTCTTGCTCTCAAGAAATGGGGTAGGCGGCTGGTTCTGGGAGTTCAACGACGACACCACAGAGGCCGTGTCCTGCTGCTGGACCACGCGCGACGGCTCGGACAACGGCTTGATGTTCAAAAATGGCAACGGACGACGGTCCTGCGGCTGCACCGTGCAAGAGTCCACAGAGTCTAAGCTTGAGCTGGAAATTTGCGCACTTGTAACAGGCCGCACAGGCAGAGTCAGAATCGGGCGACGCGACGAGGTGGCGGGCGGAGATTGGCCATCCGACTCCAATGACCCGTCCGACTGTCCAGGAAGCGGAGGAAGGTCCTTGTACACGTTAGAGTACGACATTAGTTCGCACCTTTAGTGGTCTGAAATTTTGACTCAACGCGAATCTCAGTTATTATGTAATGGCTATATCATTATTTCTTAGATTTCTTATTCTTCTTCTTACGCGGCTTGGACTTGGTGGCAGGAGTGGTGGTCTCTGCTGGGGGTTTGGTGTCCTCCTCCGCGTCTGCATCGGTCGAGCCGGACTCTGCAACGCCAGAGTCCACAGGTTCCAGCTTGTCGGCAGTTTCTGCCGAGTCTGCTTCAGTTGGTTCAGCTGGTTCGGCTGACTCCACTGGCTCCACTGGCTCAGTCTCCTGCTGTAGTTCCTCCTTGGCTTCCGTCTCCGTTGAAACAGCCGTCTCTGGCTCCTGTTCTTGCTTATCGACCGTCTCGGTCGCAACTGGCTCGTCAATCAGATCCTTTGGCTCCGTCTCTATGAGATCCACCTCCTTCAGACCGCCGGCAACCTCGTCAACAGAGGTCTCCGGCTTGATCACATCCTCACCAGGAATCACCTGGTCCTCGTCCTCAACAACAAAACTGTCGTTGAGCGCAGAATGCGTTCTTGGTAGCTGCGTCTGTGCTAGACTTGGAGATCCCAAAAGTGAAACACTGGATCCGCTCTTGCCAATCGGCAGCCGGCTTCCCACCATGCTCTTGGCTAGAGCAAGCGACCGGAACTTAAGCACCTCAAAGTACGAGTGAGTCTTGCCGTTCTCCAAGTACACAAGGTCCTCATCTATCTCGTCAATGTAGAACTTGCCGTCTTCTAAATCCTCAGCAAGATTAAGCAAAAACTCTGTGAAACACGAAGCAACAACGTACTTGGTGTCAAAGTCACGTCCAAACAAAATGATCTGCCCCCATCTTCCCTTTGGACCAGGTGCAAGGTCCAATGCAATATTGTTACCCTCGTTGTCCTTGACTAACGGGATCCATTGATTGTGGTAATACACTTCCTGAACAGCACCTCTTGGAACCGACTTCTGCTGGTCCAAAAAAGCAAAATGTTTCGTCTTTTGCACATGGAAGCTGCTGGTGCTGGCAGCCTTATCTTGACCCTCCATTAAAATCTGTTCACTGGCATATTGCTCTGTAGTTTTCTGTAATCTGTCGCCAACTTTTCTCCAGATGTTGACTTCGGCAGCAATAGTTTCCAGATCCATCAAAGGGTATCCGTAAACAAGACCACGCTTCTTTCCCAAGTTGAGCTGGCCGTCGTGGATCTGGATCGACTCTCTAACGTCGAAAGGGAGGGAGATACTCAGATCCTCCTCAAACGCATTTAAATCGTTCACAGTGGCCCCGTTCTCCATATCGTCGCCGAGCTCAGGGAACTCGTTCTCCATCCACGTGTCTAGCTTCTCCCAAACAGCGGCAACCGATGGCAGTGGCGGCTGGCCCTCAATATAATCCTGCATCTGTATATCGCTGCCGTTCAGCTGGGAACGCATTCCAGGACGGTACTGCACAGGTCTGTTGGACGTCGAGTTTCTTGCTGACCGGCTGTTGAACTGGGCTAGAGAAGTGGACGAAGTGTTGTCCAGCATTGAAATCGATTGCGACGACTCATGCCCAGTCGATGACCCAAGATGGCTAGGCTCCGCAGTGTTGTATGCGGCGTAATGGTCATTTGTCGTGACAGAGTGAAAGAATCCTTGAATCTCTTTGAGTAAACCCATGTTTTTCCCGAGTATGATGACCGCGTCGTGATTGTTGTGAGCTCAGTTTCAATTTTAACAAAATAAATACATACGCCTACACCCTTACACCAGATAGCAAAGGATATCTGCGGGGAGGCCTGTTTCGCAGTGGCGCGCGCCAGATACGGACAGGAACGCAATCTGGCGTTTGTGAGCCCATATCCGGTGCAAATGCGTAGCATCTGGGCAACCTCTAGTACATATATTAATCCCCAGATCGCTTCCAGAGCTTCTCTCTGCCGAACCGTCCCCCTAAACACCTTGCACCACGGCGAGTTTGTCAGCGAGCTACGCTGCCAAACATGCTGACCGGCTTTTGTGTTTTGCGAGTCTTGGCGCGCTTCTTGGCTGCCGGCTTGCGGGGCTCCTCGATCTCGATAAGCCCATCGTCAGAGCTTTCCGATGCGATTTCGGTAGGTCTCATGAACTGAGTCAGATCAGGCACTGTATCTGGTTTTGGTCTGCGCCGACCTCTGGTGGAATGTTCTTCATCCGAGTCCACGAATAGGTCGGACTTGATGTCGCCAGACTCCCGCGCCTTCTCTTTAGCGCTGTACTTTGTATTGGCGCGGATCTCCTTGACAATCCTGCGGAACCCTTTCTTTAGCTCCCCAAGAGACTGGCCTTCAACGTCGGCGGAATCGCTCACCTTCAGCTTAAGCAACAGGTCCAGGTCGTTGCCGAGCTCGTCCTCAATGAACTTCTTGATCAATTGTTTGTCGTCTTTGGCGACAGAGTCCTCGATCACCTTGGACATGTCGGTTTTCTTGAGCAGTAGCAAATCGTCCTCGTCCAGGTACCGTTGAACAAAGTCGCCGATATTGAGCGTTCCTTCGCGGATCTCAAGCTCGGTGTCCTCCGTTCCTTTCTTCTTGTTCATTGTAGATGCTAGTTTGTTTCCAACAGTTCTTTTTCTGAAAAATGTCACAATATCGTTAATGTTTGCAACCTTACCAACAAACCGATTGGAAAAACGGCGCGGATTTTCCACATCGTACCCTCCGCTGTACTCCACACGCAATCTGATCAACGGTAATGGGATGTCTATATCAACGAGCGTTTCAAGAAGTTCCTTGTTGGCGTCTTTCCACTTCTCGGTAGCCTGTTCTATCAAGGACTCCACCTCGTCTATTAGCAAATTTGTCACCTCGTCCTTGCTACCAGAGGTGGCAGGGATCCCTGACTCGCTCAGAACAACATCTTTCATTGCAAAGGGACGCACAGACTTCAGCCGGATGGGTTCCAGCGAGTAGTCCTTCCCCTTCACCTTCATCAGGTAAACGTGTTTGTCAGGCACTTCTCCCTCGCTCAAAGACGTAGCCACAGAAGATCCGCCTTGGAGAACATCAAATCCCGTCGTGAGGTTGTGGTTTGGCGTTGGCAGACACTCATGCTCGTGGCCCCAGAACACAAAGTCTAGAAACCCGGGCAGATGCACCTCTTCAACAATCCGTGTTCCTGGCCGGGGCACATGGTTCTGATGGATGCACATTAGGTTGAACCAGTCGTTGCTATCGTCCGGCTGCAGGAACTCGACGTTTCCTGCCGCAAGCGTCCTTTTCAGCCGCTCTTCGCGAATGCTTTGGAGCCCGTACAGGGCAAAGTTCGTGGAGCCTTTCTGGAACAACAGCGGACTGATCTTGATATCGTCGTTATTAGTGACGCGGCCAAAATGGTTCAACAACCCGCCCACAGAAAGCAGGTCCAGCGGCGACAACAGGTCATCTCCCGTTGCGTCGTCGTGGTTGCCCGAGATCGCATACACGGGCATCCCAACGTTGATGTTGGGGTCGTACTCGCACGGATAGTTGAAGTGTCGCGTCGACATCACCACCGACGGGTCGGAAACAAGCTTGTATTCTCGTGGCCGGTCGATCCAGCAGCACTCGCGTAATGTGCGGATCACATGGTAGTATGATTTCTTCGACGGCTTGTTGATATGGAACAAGTCTCCTGCCTGGATCACCATATCCACGTCTCTTGATTTGGCTATGTTCATGATCTCCGAAAACGTCTTCCACGAGTCGTTCCCGCGAATTGGGTCCGTCTCCAGGTAACCCACATGGTTGTCGGTTGTTAGGAGCAACTCAAAGGTGTCTGGGCCAGACTCCAGATGAGGGACATGCATTGATTAAAAATTATAATTTCCTATTTTTCAACATAAACCACATCACGACACAGAATGGTCACTCGTTTGAACACTCTTCTCCACTCGAGCGGATCGGCCTTGATCTTGAAGAACTCGACTTTGCGCGCGTCGAGGTTGTCTGCCAGGCGGCTCACACGCACATTGCCCAGGATTGGGGCCTTGCTCGAGTCTCTGCCGCTGATTGGAATGGTCACCAGACCGTTCAGAAGATCGTTTCTTTGTAGATCGGCAACGTACTCCTCACTGTTGTCCTCTGTAGACGATCCATGGAGTCCCAGTTTGTGGAGCGACTCCAGAATAGTCACCAGCAGCTGGTAAGGTGGCACCACGCTGAAGAACCGGGTCAGGTTCTCTGCAAACAGGGCCGGGTATCTCTGTTGCTGGACTTGCAGACTCGACATCTTGGCATTGATCAGCTCCGTACGATCAACAATCGAGTTTGACTGCAGAAACTGGAATGATGCCGGGTCCTTGGAGATTGTGGAGAAGATCTTCTCGTCGTCTCCAAGATCTTTTTTCAGCTTGCGGCGCTTCGAATGCTCCGTGTAAACCTCCTGCGAGGCAGAGAACCCGCCAATTGGCTTGTAGTTCTCCTTGTAAATCTCGGAGTTGTGCATGTCGTCCATGAGGTACCCTTGCGGCTGCGTGCCCGCTGCAGGTCTGCTCATTTGCGTGGAAAGCTGAGTCACCTTGTTGAACTCGGCATCGGACAGATTGATGTACAGATTCACCAAAAGACTGGTAGTCAGTCGAGTAGGGTCTTTGCACATGCCTCTGTCGTCGGCAAACTTGTTCTTTTTGGAAACCCACGGATGTTTCTTGATGTCGTGCAGGTTTAGTCTTCGAGCAGGGTCTGCCACCAGCACTTTCCGCAACAGCGATAGTGCTCCGAGCGGGATCCTATTCCAGGGCGAGATTAAAACTTCACCCTTGCTGGCCACGTAGTATTTGTAGTCTTGGTCCTCCATGTGAGGCATTTCCCACGCGATCTGGCCCGTGAGTAGCACAAAAAGCACAATACAACAGGACCAGATATCCGACGGTTCAGGGTCGTATTTCTCCGAAACAACCTCGGGAGCCAGGTATGGTGGAGACCCGCAGGCCGTGGTGCACATCCGTCTGCTGCCGTTCTTCTTGCGGAACACACTGGCAAGACCAAAGTCTGTCAGTTTCAAATTGCCGTTTTTGTCAATAACCAGATTCTCCGGCTTGATGTCGCGGTGGGCCACACCTTTTCCGTGAATGAACAAAATCGCATTCGTCAGCTGGTTGAAATAGAACTGCGCCACGTCCTCATCGACTCCCAGATCAGGCTCGATCTTGTCAAATAGCTCACCGTTGGCACCCAGTTCCATGGCAAACCAGACCCAATTAACGTCCGCACCGAAATCAATCAGCTGGATAATGTTCGGATGACGACACTCTTTCTGGATTAGAGCCTCTTTGGCCAAAGTCTCGGTGGTGACGTTCTGTTGCCTAGCCATTTCGATATGAACAAATTTGACTGCAATGATCTTGGAAACGCCATTTTTCTCCACCACGGCCGACTTCACCACTCCAAATCCACCGTGTCCGATGGTCTTGCCCACCTCTACGTTCTTCAGGCGGGGCAACGGCGCCAGTTGTGACAGCTTGTATGACATTTGTCAGATACTTTTGTTTATATTTTTGTTTGGTTCTAAATAGGAAAAAATATCGCCGCACAGCCGCATCACCACATCGGCGTGAGCTCAGAAATCCAGCTCGCAGCCACCGGCCGGTACACCTTGACCTCACCCTCGACAAGCTTGTCGAGCTCTAAGGTCTCCAGGATGACCACCTTCTCGCCGTTCACGTTCTGGTGTAAAACATCCACTTTCGGAAGCTCCACAGATCCCGTCACGTGAGTCACCACAGACGTGTGGTCAGGGGACCCGTAGAACAGCGCTTTGTTCGGATACCGGATGCAGCAGTCCTTGAACTGTAAGATGTCACCCCGCTGGATGTTGCTTGACACTGGTTCTTTCTGGAACTTTGGCTTTTTGTCGTTCACCACTATGGTTCCCAAGAGAGCTCCGTGGACCAGGCCCGAGGAAATGAACGCGTGTTTGCCGCATCCACGCTTGAGAGCCTCATGGGCCAATGTCCAGCATTCGCCATCGCCAACCTTCTTGCCCTTCTGTGCCTCAGACCAGCCAGCAACGTGTTCTCCGTATACGGCAGCACCTTCGTCCAGAAGCGCCTTTGACGCCTGTGGCGGAGGCACGAACTTGGTCTCGTGGTCGGCCGATTGTGCGGGGTCGCCAGCCTTGTCCCAGGTGAACTTAATTTTGGTTGTGGAGAGGTCTCTGTTGCGGAACACCAGGACCCTGAAATTTTCCTTGGAGTTGTAGCCGTAAGAGGTAGCATAGTCCAAATTCTGCAGGTCTTTAGGAAGGTAGTTCTCGAAGTCGTCTTTGGCAAACCAGCCGGAATCGAGCTCTAAGTTGAGCACGGGCGGGTGCCAGTTGGATTTGGCAGCAGATCTGGGTGGAGGAACCGATGGTTTGCTTCGGGATCTTGGAGCAGGGGAAGCAGGCGAGGCTGTTCCCGAGTTGAACGCCGACGATCTAGATTTTGGAGGAGTTGGTGGAGCAGAGTGGTTGGGTCTCTGCTGCTGCAGTTTCAAAGTCTCCAAGTTCGAGGTGAGCGTGTTGGTGAAGGACTCGGGAACAGGTTTTGGTTTGAGAGCAGGTTTTGGCTTCACCACTGGCGGGGTTCCTTTCCGCTCGGGACGCGGTGGGGGAGTGGCAGACTTTTGCGAGTCAGATCTCTCCAGAACGCGGGGCTTTGGTGGGGCCCGCGTCTTGAGTTCCTGCACAACCGAGTGCTGGGGAGAAATGCCTGGTCTTTTTGGCAGCGGAGGAGCGTCCTCTTCCACCGAGGAAACGGAGTTCCCACGTGACGGACGCGAAGGCAGTGGGGGAGCGTCCTCATCGTCCGACGACAACGGCGTCTTGCTCGACACCGTGGAAGAACGCTGTCCTTCTGGCAGAGAAGGGGTGGTGGAAGGTGTACGTTCCAGTTTGATGGAGGCCTGTGATTTATTTCTGTTGATATGGACGGGAGGCGGAGGGAACTTGGACGCGACAGCAGAAAACGAGGTCCGCACAGGTTCCGTCGGTTTAGGTGCTGGTTTGTGCTCCGTTTTGGGCGAAAGCTGTGGTTCCGTCTTTTTCAGGCTGTTTCTCCAAGACGCCACGACATTCTCTTCGTCTGCTGGCTCTGGCGCCGTGACAACGGTCAGATCCGGCTTTTTGGCCTTAATTGGCGGAGGGATCTTTGGTTTGGGCTTCAACGCTGGTTTCTCGGACGACATGGCAGTGATCAGAGTATACTTCTGGCCAGAACAGGTTTTTCGTTACACCAACTTCCTGGCTGTGAAATTATTCATTTTCTCGCACAGCCGTGTTTGAAACTCGGAGCTCTTAGCGGGTACGGCCACACAGTTATTTTCCGAATATCACTATGAGTGTGGAAGAGCTTGCTGCAAAAATAGTCAAGGAGCAGCTGGCAGTCCCACTGGGCCACGAAAATAAAGAGTTCCAGGTTCTCAGCACTGTTAGATACGATCCTCTGTTGTACTCCGGGAAGCTGCCGTTAGGTGAGGCTCTGACTCATACTCCTCTGGACAAGTCGCTATTCTTTCTGTTTAAATACCATGTTGAGAGACTGAACCGGTCGATTGACTACTTCAAGATCCCCAGCCCAAAGGTTACCGAGGCGGGTCTGTTATCAAGACTCTCCGAAGCTCTCCAGGACAAGCCAAAGAATCAAACTTACAAGCTGAGAGTGTTGATTGACAAAACCGGAAACACAGAGGTCCAGGCGATCCCAATCTCCGTCCCGTTGAACTTGTCATTGGATGCTCCAGTGACTTGGACGGTGTACATGGACTCCGAGCCAACGATGATTTCGCCGTTCACCTCGTTCAAGTCCACCAACCGTCCGCATTACGACGCTGCCAGGAAAAGAAAGATCCCTGAAGGGTCGCAAAATGTCGAAGTTGTGCTGTTCAACCACGCGGACCAAATCACAGAGACCTCTATCTGCAACATTGCTTTTCTTCAGCCAGCGAAAAATCCACTCACCAATGAAGTCACCACCAAGTGGACCACGCCGGTTCTTTCGTCCGGCTGCCTGCGTGGAGTCACCCGCGCGTACTTGCTCGAAACCGAGCAAATTGTGGAAGGCCACATCCCCAAGTCGAGCGTGAAGAACGGCGACCAGGTTCTTCTTTTCAACGCTGTGCTCGGGGTGGTTAAAGGTGTTATTATACTCTAATTATTAGTCTATTATTCTAGCTCCTTGTCGGTGTAGCCAAAGATATATAGCGCATCTGCCAGCGAGTCCGTGTTGAGCCTACAGTCTGCCTCCAGCTGGACCTTGGGCTTGGCATTCCACGCCAACCCTAGACCAGCAGCACCCATCATCAACAGATCGTTCGCCCCGTCACCAACAGCAACCGAATTGGCCAGACTCACCCCGTGCTTGGCTGCCAGCTCCAGCAGCACAGCCTTCTTCTTGTTACCATCGACAATTTCTCCGGCTGGTTCTCCGCTGAGCACCTCTGTTCCGTCCACAACCTGGGTCTTGAGTTGGTTGGCGAACGCGTAGTCGAGTCCCAGAAGCTCCTTCACGTGCTCAGCGAGCGGCAAAAAGCCGCCCGAGCACACTGCCAAAACACAACCGTTTTTCTTGAGTGTAGCACAGAGCTGTTTGGTGCCGTTTGTGAGGTTTAGCTGCGGTTTGAGCTTGGCCCACAGGTCTGCGGACGGTATACCCTTGAGAAGGTTCACGCGACGACGGAACGACTCCTGGAAGTCGATCTCGCCGTTCATGGCCAGATTGGTGATCCGTGCAACCTCGTCCTCGACTCCAGCCTGTGCTGCAATCAGCTCAATCACCTCCTGGTAGATCAGCGTCGAGTCCATGTCGAACACAGCGAGTTTCTTGTTTTTCCGTGCGTCGCTGTCTTTCTGGAACGCCAAGTCCACCTGCGGGATGTTGATCAGTTTGATCTTTTTCGAGACGTTGTCAGCGTTTTCAACGTCCACGAAGAAATCCACCGCCTTGCCGGCAGCCAAAACAGAACTTTTCACAAACTTCACCTCCTGCCCAATCAGATGGGACTCGATCGTCGTTTGGATGTCGCTCGGCAGCTCCTTGGCTGCAATAGCCGTTATGATGTAAGACATGAATGAAATAATTTACTTGAATTATTTTTCTCTGCCCAATGGATAGTAGTCCTCCTCTACAAGACAACACCGACCTGTTGTCGGCAATGATTGCTGGTTCTGGGGCTGCTGTTGTGCAGACCGTGCTGACGTACCCATTTGAGTATCTCAAGACAACCACGCAGATTACCAACAAGGCTCTCACCAGTATCAAGTACGATATACCGACTCACAACTTGAGGTCGCTATTTGTTGGTTGCGGCGGACTGGCTGGCGGCAATGCCTTGAAGGCGTCCTCAAGGTTTCTCATATTCAATCAGCTCTCGGAGACTATGGGCACTTACGGCGGGAAAACAACAGCTCCGCAGGTGGTGGTTGCTGGACTAATGACTGGGTTTCTCGAGACGTTGGTGGTTATCCCGTTTGAGAACATTAAAACCCGTATGATCGAGAACTCAATGGAGACCCATGGGTACAAGCTTCCGATTCCGAACTACTATCCCTCTGCCCAGGCCGACAAAACAGAAAAGCATCGGCTCACCAAGCGGCCCGGAGAAAGCAAGCTAGTCAACCCAAGACAGAAATACATAGAATATTACCGGGCGAACCCATCCACGACGTTCTTGAGGGCGGTCAAGGAGATCTACGAGACAGCGGGACTTTCTGGGTTCAAACGCGGGTCGCTAATCACAATTTTCAGACAGGTGATGAACAGCATGGTTTGGTTTTCCACGTACAACTTTTTGCAGCAGTTCATTGACCCAACAAGGGACTCGATCACCGATCTGGAGCTCATGGGGATGGGTGTGGCGTCTTCGTGTGCCGTGGTGGCCATAACACAGCCGATCGATGTGGTCAAGACCCGGATGCAGACCAAAAACTACAAGCCGATCTACAGAGATATCATGACTCTGATAGTGAAGACTTTTATGCAGGAAGGAGCCCGCAAACTCTGGAGCGGATGGATGCCGCGACTGGTGAAGGTGTCGTGCAGTTCGTCTGTGACGCTCATGACGTACGAACTGTTGCAAAAGGGAGTCAAGGGAATGACAGATATAAAACCATTTGCGGCTTCATAAATTTATTTTTTAATGAATATTTTCGATACTGATGTTGGATCTGTAGGAGAAGGCGAGCAGGTCAAGTCGAAGCTGCTGATCGAGCATCTCGAGGAGCTTTCACGGAGCGGAGCCAAGCGCGGTGCCGTAAAGAAGTTCACCAACAAAGTCAACGGCACGGATATCGAGATCTCCAGCTGGAAGTTCAACGAATGGGACTATTCCTCGAATAAAGTGCAATTACCCATCTATGCTCGAGGGCTTTTCACGACTGCAGACAGGATCGTTTGCAGGGGCTACGACAAGTTCTATAATGTTGACGAGCTCGGCTGGGTGTCGAGAAAGGCATTAAGAGAAACGATTACTGGTCCGTGCACTTTAACTGTCAAAGCAAACGGATGCATAGTTTTCGTTTCTGGTTTGGCGGACGGAACATTGGTTGTTTGTTCGAAACATTCGACCGGTGCAAGATCTGACTTGAGTCGCAACCACGCTTTGGCAGCTCAGGAAGCGCTGGAAAGACAGCTGCGTGCCGCTGGACACGAGCCAACAGAGCTGGCCATGTTATTGTACCGTTTGAAACTCACTGCTGTTGCCGAGTACTGCGACGACTCGTTTGAGGAGCACATTCTCGAGTATTCGAACGAGCGTGCCGGGCTCTACTTGCACGGACTAAACTTCAACACTTGCAAATTCCGTACATGCTCGATGGAGCAGGTTGCACAGTTGGCTGAAAAGTTTGGCTTTAAAACTATTGAGTCTATTGAACTGTCTTCCATTACAGAAACGTTTGAGTTCCTCGACAAGGTTGCCGAGACGGGGATTTACAATGGAGAGGAGATCGAAGGATTTGTTGTGCGTTGCAAACGGGACGGCGACGACTTCTTCTTCAAATACAAGTTTGACGAGCCGTACTTGCTGTACCGACAGCTGCGCGAGGTGACCAAGCAATATTTGACCAAAGGACTGGAAAATGTTAGTTTTCGCAACCACAAGCTCATTTGCATGGACTATCTGCGGTTTGTGATTCCGCTTTTCGAGGAGTCTCCAGAATTGAAGGAAGACTATCTCCGCGACCGGGGAATCATCAAACTGCGCAAAATGTACATCAACCACAAGCAAAAAACCGGTAAGCAGATCATAGAGGAGGAGGCCTCTTTGGAGAAACTAGATGAAGATTTGAAGGCAGCAGAGTACGGCGCGGAACCCTGCAAGTACGTTCTTGTCACCGTTGCCACGATTGGCTGTGGAAAGACAACAACGTCTCTCACTTTGTCAAACATGTATCCAGACCTAATCGGCGTGGTCCAGAGCGACGATATCCCGTCTCCAATCAAAGACAAACAGGTGGCTAAGTGTTTGGAAGTGCTGGTGGAGAAACCAATTGTTATTCTGGACAGAAACAACCACAAGTTTATTGAGAGACAACAGACGTTTGAGTACTTTGCTAACCTTAACAAGCTGATTCCGTCGTCGAAACTTAAGTTTGTGTGTCTGAACTTCCTCGGCGGAATCAACAAGTCCGACCCCAAGCTCTGGAAGATCACGTCCAGTCGAGTCATGGAGCGCGGAAACAACCACCAAAGCATCAAGGTAGAGGATAATGGAACTTACAAAGTAGAGATGATTATGAAAGGGTTTCTAGGCCGGTTCCAGCCCGTGGACGTTTCGCAGTCACCAGACTCTCATTTCGACTACGTGATTGACTTGAAGGTGAGCCAGGAGTCGTCGTTGGACAATGCAGTGCATATAGCCAACAAACTGCGCGAAATAGCCTCAGACTTGTCCATCCCACCTCCTTCCCCCGAGAAGGCTCGTATAGCCTTCGAACAGGCACGCGTGTACAAACCCACAGTGAATAAGATCGTCAGGACTAAGAAAGAGAAGCCGCAGTATTTTGGTATTGAGGTGTCGTCTCTCGACGGATTGCCTGCTCTGGAACATATTCCATTCTACCAGCAGCTGAAAGCTAACGGAAGAGTCCAGAATGGTTTCCACGTGACCCTAATCCACATTGCAACCACCAAGAAGAACGAGCCGGTGAAAAAAATCTACCAGAACTACTGCAACCTGATCAAAAACGTCGACAAGACGTCGGAAAAGATGTTACTATCGTACAAAGCGGACATAAAGTTGTTGAGAGTGTGCTGGAACTCGCAGGTCATGTGCATAGAGGTGGAGGTGACCGGCATCAGTCTCAACGGCGAAAATATAATAGACGAGCTGGGAGTCGGGAACAAACACCCCCACATCACTGTGGGAACGATCTCTGCATCGGTCGGGGCCAAAGAGTCGAACAGCATCCTAGAGGAGCTGTACGAATTTGGCCCGGAAAATATTAAAGTGGAGGAGCTCGGCGTCGAGTTGCACGATCTGCCTCTGTTTGTGCGATATTAGCCAACAACTAGCTGGAGAATGCTGTTGACTCTGTCGAGTATTTCGACCAACGGCTCGAGCTGTTCGACGTTGTTGGAGATCGAGTCGAGGTGTTTATTGAGCACCGACATCGATCTCTGGATATCGGGGTCGGCTGCCGGGTCGTACGTTTGTGTATCGTTATCGGCAAGATTCAAATCTTCGTAGCCACTGCTTTCTGGCATCTGGAGGTCTCCAAACGACTCGACAAACGTCTCTGCCTGTGCCTCCATGAGCGATTCCTGTTTCTGCACAGCTTTCTGGTAATCTTCATAATACTGCTGTTCGTTTTTAAGGAACGCGAGCTCTTTCTGCTCCTCCACTCGTAGAACCTCCAATTGTCGGAGATTGGCACCTAGGTTCGCCTCTAGTCGCACATTCTCTCCATCCAGTCTCTCCTGATCCAAAAGACGTTCGCGCAGCCCGCCCGGAAGCCGCGCAACTCGCATTTTCCTCGACAACGGCTTTACTATGCTATCTTTCACCAACGTTCTGAACGCCAGTCGCTCTCTGTTGCTCCGGAACGTAATCTGCGCAATGCTCTGCTCAACGTACAATTCCAATATAGCATCAATGTACGCGCTCACATTGGGCTGCAGCGAGGACCACTTGTTGCGGATCACCTTCTTGGAGATCAGCTGTGTATACGTATTGAGTTCCTGTTTAGACTTTGGCTCCTCCTGCTCGGTTTCCGAGTCCTGCTCGCTGTCGTCACTTATTGGTGCAAGTGGCTGTGATTTTTTAGCCCTAGCTTTTCTTTTCCGTGGCTGTTCTGGTTCTGGGGTCTCCTCATCGCTAAACAAAGTCTGGGAGTCCTTAACCAGCGATCTTTCCTCCGTCTTTTTCGATTTGGCCGCCTTGGACTTCTTTGCGTCATTCTTATTGAACACAGGCCGATCAAGTCCTTTGAGTTTCTTGATCCGGGTCAGTGCCGACGGCCGTTTGGGAGTCTTCCTGATAGGGGCCATAGAATAAATGAAAATAAATAATTTTTTTACGCGTTTTACCTACACCTAACGCCTTTTTTTTTCACCATGGTTGCTTTATCTGAGTTCGAGAGGCAAAGACAGCAGAATATTGCTCGTAACAAAGAGCTTTTCAAGAAGCTGAACTTGGAGACGTTGTCGCGGGAGTTCAAGAAAGAATTGCCCGAAGAAACGAAAAGATCAAATAGCAATGGCCCCAAACCCAAAAAAGTGAAAAAAGAAGCACCTGTTCCAACACGGAGATCGAACCGGCTCGCTGGGGTGCAGGCCAACACGGAGGAAGAGCGAAAGGCCAATGAGGAGGCTGAACTGGCTAAACAGAAGGCTGAGGAGCTCGAACGGTTGAAGAAAATCAGACTTTCTGGCGACTTTAAGCTGACCGATGTGATTTCTGCGGATGAAAACGATAATAAAGAAGTGCTCGACAAGTTGCTCAAATTGGGCCAATCGGTCTCGTTTGGCGATTTCTTCGATACTATCAAAACCAAAGAGGCTACCAAGGATGTGAAAAGCGCCAGAGAAAGTATGGACTCGCTGGGCCTGTACGATAAGCTTCCGGCGAGCGAGCTTCGACTCACCGCATCGCGGATGACTTCCATCACGTTCCATCCGTCCACCACGCGCAAGGTCGTAATTGGTGGCGACACTGGAGGTGAAATGGGTATTTGGTCCGTGGACGACGACACAGACTCGCGCCCCGAGACCACACACCTAAAACACCACGGGAGCAACATCCCCAGGATCCGCATTCGGAACGAGAAACCCAAGGAGATCGTGTCGTGCTCGTACGATGGGTCTATCCGCGTGCTCGACCTGGATAAACACAACTCGAGCTCGGTTCTGGATCTCGATAGCGAGTATGGCGGTGCTGCCAGTTTCTCTGATCTGCACTTTTTGGACCCCAATGTGGCTGCGTTCAGCACCATGGAGGGTGAGTTTGGCACGTTTGATCTGCGCGAAAAGCAGCAGAGCCGCTCCAAGATGAACATTCTGCAACTACATGACAAGAAGATCGGCGGGTTTGGCGTGAACCCGAACTTTACCCAGCAGATTGCCACCTCTTCGTTGGACCGGACTTTGAAAGTTTGGGACCTCCGCAAAGTGGCAGCATCAACATGGTCCGAGCGCGAGAACGCAAAATCGCCGCACTGCATGGGCTCCTACAGAAGCCGTCTGAGTATCAGCACTGCTGACTGGAACAAAAGTGGAGACATTGTTTGCAACGGCTATGACAATACAATAAATATTTTCCGGCTCGGAGACACCTCCAAGCTGGCTCCGGATCACGTGTTTGAGCCGATCGTCGAGGAGGCAGAGGAGGGCCAGATCCCTGTGAACATGGAGCCTAATTTCAAGATGGCGCACAACTGCCAGTCGGGCCGGTGGGTGACTGTGTTGAAGGCCAGATGGCAGGCCGATCCGCAGGACGGGGTCGAGAAGTGCATCATTGCCAACATGAAGAAGGCGATGGATATTTTCGATCGGAATGGAAACCAGCTAGCTCATTTGGACGACGAGACCATGACAGCGGTTCCAGCAGTGTCGTGCTTCCATCCGACGCAGAACTGGATCGTTGGGGGCAATTCGAGTGGAAAGGCGTTTCTATTCACTTGAGCTCGCTGTTGGGCTGGGAACTGATGTCCTTATCCCAGAGCCAGTGCTGACCAGCCCTGTATAGTCCCAGAGCGAAAAGTGCTCCGCCCAGACCTCTGACGCTGGATCTCCACCAGGCTGGGTTTTTCTTGAAGTCCGGATCGCCTTTGAAAAGGTAGCCTGATCCGAAGAAAACGCCCGCTCCAATAGCAGCTGCGGATCCCAGAACTTGACACGGTAAACAGTCCTCGACCGGCTCGACCTGGCCGGCCGGAGCTGGCGGGTTGAACACTTTAATAATGTTGGACATGCTAAAATTTAATTTACAGTTTTTCAGATAAAACATTTCTTGGCTTAGGTAAGAAACGTTGCTTAAAATGTAACGAGATAAACGAGTGAAAGCACAAACACGAGTTTCAAGAAAAGACCTTCTTGAGCAAGTTTGGCGGCTCCGCTCTTCTTGGCCTCCGTCTGCTCATCGCCAGAAGTGAGACCGCTCTGGGTGAAGTTGACACCGATGTCATTCTCGTTGGTATCTAGAGTGCCGTCCCAACAATATTCGTCAAAACACCTCTGGCACTGGTCGCCCATCTCGAGACCGAGTCTTTCTCTGGATCTCTGCAAGATGGCGCATCCAATACACGCCCGGTATTCGTCGTCGGCAGTGAGGTTGTTTCTGGTGGAAACTTCGAATCCGTTCTGGAAAAAGCCGAGCTTTTCCTCGTTACTGTAGGACATCTTGTAAGTGGAGGTATTGGTGTAGTAGGAGTACGGTCTGTTGGCAATATAGACCACAAGCGGAGGAACGTGGTCGGATCCCACCTCGTCCATAAGTGAAGTCAAGTTGGACGAGTAGCATCCAAAGAAAGTTGGCTTGGATGTCAGGTTCTTGGTCAAAAACGTAGTTTGGTCTGGAACGTATGGGAATGCAGTATGGTTTGCCATGCTAGAAAATTGACGCTCGTAAGTGTACACTAAGGAGGTTCCGTTAGGCCAGTAAGTGTCTGTGTCGTATGAGTTATCATACGCAAAGACGATATCGATCTGTCTTTCTGGCTGGATCAATGGGTGCAATGGGATGTTCTGGTAGTCCTCACCACCGTCCACGAGGTCAAGCGACTCAGAAGTGACAATGTCTTTGGAAGAAGCAAACTCAGACCCGTAGAATGGATTTGGCTTATAATCGGCGATATCGTTGTCGTCAAAGCCAACGCCCTGCAAGAAGTCCTCGAGCAAAGAGGAAAGGAAGCTGGACGTGTCGCTGCCGTTAAGTTCGAGCAGAACTTCGTTGAAAAGAGACGATGAGGTTCCGAACACGAATCCGGTGTTGTCAAAGCCTCCAATACAGGTATCGTTGACGGGCTTACCGTTGCTGACGTTGGTACCGATATACTCGAGGTCGGTGAACGAGTACAGAGTTGGGTCCCAGGAACCCATCTCGAAAGGATTGATCTCGAAAACAGTGGAGTTCTCGGAGATGATTTCCGTGCCCGGAGTTCTTCCGTCGGTAACGACAATAGGGAACGGCATTTCGTGATTCTCGAACACCGGGAACTCTCTAATTGACGAGAACGTCATGGATGCGCCGTAATCGGACAGATTAGGGAAAAACTGGTGAGACAGAGCTCTTCCCCACGGATCCGTAAGAGTGATGTCATAACCGGCATCTTTCTTGGCTTCAATGTCGTCACTGATGGAACTCCAGTACCCAAGGGTGTGGAACAGTCCGCCGCTGGAGAGAATGGAATCCTCAAGGTCCCAAATCGCATTGTCCTGGCCGTTCTGGTCCAGAATGTCCTGGACCGAGGTCCAGTTGTTGAAAGCCAACGAGGAAAGGAACCAAGAACCACCAGACAGACCGGCGATGTACGAAACAGAAGAGAGAATAGGCACACCATGGTCGTAGCAGCCGTCGGTTCTGTTATCCAAACCGGCGATCTGACCTGCAGCACCCAACATTGCTCTATAGCCACCGCCGCTAAAAGCTAAGCCTATACGTGGGGTGCTGAGAATAGAGGAGTTTGTTTTACTCTCCTCACTCAAAGTGTCGAGGAAGTCGTCAGTATCAAAGTCTGTGAGGTTGGCGAGCTTCAAGAACCACCGAAGGTTGGTGTTTGTGATGTTGTCACGTTCCTCGATCCAATCTGCTTCGTCGTCGCTCAAACTGGTAGCAGCACGAATAAGACCGTGTCTGGTGTCTGTGTTGTAATCAGATTCATTCAAGTACGAAGGGCACTTGACCTCTCCCGGGGCATACGAGTCTGTTGGAGACCAGGCGTTGGCCACGGCCAACAAGAAGAACAGAGTGAAACGCATAAACAAAAATTTATTGCTTTGATTTACAAATTTCGGATCCCAAGCCACCAACCGAAGGCAGACCGAAATTAGTGAAAAAATTCCTGCAGGTGGTATTGGGGCTCGCAAAATTACAAATCTGTAAATAGTAGCATTGTTTCGCTAAAAAGGATAGATCTAGGATCGAAATGAGTTTGACGTTACTTTTTTCGAGTCTGACAACGTTTTTTATTAATTAGTAACCAATCGATCTGTCATTTATTTTGTCCTCCGGGATTTCCTCTTTACCGCTAAGATAATAATGACGTATTAGATAAGGCAAAAATTTGCGGACTATAAAAACCCAGGGACACCCCTACTTGTTGACCCCCAATTTAGTTTCTAATGTCTCTCTTTGCCAAACTTACCACTCCTAACAACAAGACCATCGAACAACCTTTGGGGTTGTTCATCAACAACGAATGGGTCAAGACAGACACCACTATTGATTCGATTGACCCGGCCACAGGGAAAACCATCGCCTCTGTTTATGCGGCGGGCGAAAAGGAGGTCAATTTGGCCGTCCAGGCTGCTGTTGACGCTTTTGAGGACGAGTCTTGGTCTGGCCTCACTGGTTCTCAAAGAGGCGACTACCTCTACAAGATCTACGAGATTATCAAAAGAGATGTCGAGTTGATTGCCTCCCTGGAGTCTTGGGACAACGGAAAGCCTTACGAAGAAGAATGTCTTGCGGGAGACATTGTGGAGGCCTACGAAGTGTTCAAGTACTACGCTGGCTTTGCTGACAAGATCCACGGCCAGTATATCGGTGCTGAAGTTCTCGGTAAAGATAAGATGTGCTTCACCGACCCTGTCCCATTGGGTGCTGTTGCATCTATCATTCCATGGAACTTCCCATTCATGATGATGGCATGGAAGCTCGGACCTGCTCTGGCCACCGGTAACACGGTGGTGCTCAAGTCGTCTGAGATTACCCCATTGTCTGCTATTTATTTCGGTAAGGTCATTTTGGAGGCTGGTCTCCCAAAAGGTGTGGTCAACATTGTTTCTGGTTACGGTAAGGACGCCGGTGCTACCCTTGCCTCCCACCCAGACATCAACAAGGTTGCCTTCACCGGATCCACTGCCACTGGTCAAAGAATCATGGAGGCTGCTGCCAAATCCAACTTGAAGAACGTCACTTTGGAATGTGGTGGTAAGTCTCCGTTCATTGTCTTTGCCGACAGCGACTTGAAGAAAGCTGTCGAATGGGGATACAGTGGTATCTTCTACAACAAGGGTGAAGTTTGTACCTCCACTTCTAGATTTTACGTGGAGGAGTCCATCTACGACAAGTTCGTGGAGGAGTTTGTCAAGTTCACCGAGGAAAACGCCAAGGTGGCTGGTCCATTCGAGAAAGGTTGCACCATTGGTCCACTCGTTTCTTCTCTTCAGTACGAGAAGGTTAAGAAGTACGTTGAGATCGGACAGAAGGAAGGTGCCAAACTTTTGACCGGAAAGTTCCACGACGGTCCGGGATACTTTGCCAGTCCATTTGTGTTTGGTGACTGTACCGACGACATGACCATTTCCCGTGAAGAGATCTTTGGTCCTGTTGTTGCAATTGCCAAGTTCAAAACCACTGCTGAGGTTATCAAGAGAGCCAACAACACCACCTACGGTCTTGCTGCTGCTTTGTTTTCCAACAACATCACCAAGGCCCACAAGGTTGCTTCCAAGCTGCAGGCCGGTATGGTGTTCATCAACTCCAACGGTGACTCTGACATCCACGTTCCATTTGGTGGTGTCAAGATGAGTGGTATTGGAAGAGAGCTCGGTACCTATGCATTGGAGCTTTACACTACTCACAAGGCTGTGCACGTCAACCTTGGTCTGGACTACGAGTAGATACTCATGACATTCCGATATTGCAAGTAATTGATTTAGTTTCTTTGCTGCTACCTTTGATGTAACTTTCTGGCTGTGCCATGTTTTTATAAATAAATCAGACCGGCTGTGCACTTTCTGGATTTTTCTTTAACTATGGCTATTCAGAATCCTAACAACTGGCACTGGGTCGACAAGAACTGTATCGAATGGGCCACGCAGTGGTGTAAGAAGCGTCTGGTGGGCGTTTCTGTCGGTTCTGAGCCGACGGTTTCTGTGACCTCTTTGAAGAAACTCGAGGGAGACGTTGAAGTTTGCCAAAGAAAGGGCAAGATTTTCTCTATTTTCGATCTCCAGGTGCAACTTGGATTCTCCAGCGACAACAAGGAGGGCACCAAGGGTGTTCTGAGCATTCCTGAGCTGGCATATGACACAGAAATTGAGGACTTCCAGTTCGACATTGCTTTCGATAAACCTACTGGATCAAGCGATGAGGAGACCGTTCGGGCGCTGATCAGATCGAAACTCGTTGGCGAGCTCAGAACAGTGCTCTCTGAGTTCTCGTCAGACTTGCTGAGAGAGAATGCTTCGGATATCCAACTTGACAAATCGCAGGTCAACTCCACCTTCACAGCTGCTAACCAGGAGAAATCATTGACCAAGACTGTTGTCAAGGAGAAGACGGTGTTCAACAAGTCGACCTCGTCGGAGCCCAAACCAGCAACAAAGGTCTCCTCGAGCTCGGTTCCCAAATACAACACCACTAGTCTGGACTTCTCCACCAGTTTCAACACCTCTGCCGAGCAGCTGTACCTGACGCTTCTGGTTCCAGAGCGTGTAGCTGCATGGACACGGTCGCCACCGCTGATTGAGCCTAAGGTCGGCAGCGAGTTCCAGCTGTTTGGAGGCAACATCCAGGGTAAGATTCTCGAACTTGAGGAAAATAAGAGAATTAAAATGCTCTGGAGACTTAGAGATTGGAAAGAAGGCCATTACACCGAGCTGGAGCTCAAGTTCAACCAGGGCCAGTCGGAAACACAAATGGCTGTGAGTTTCAAGGGCGTTCCTATTGGAGACGAAGAATTGGTGCGCGACAACTTCGAAAACTACTACATCACCTCGATCAAAGTCACTTTTGGCTTTGGAGCAGTGCTTTAATAAGATAAACTGAATATATTAAAAAACATTCCTTAATCAAGCAGCGTCAAATCTCTTAGAGGCCTCAGCCCAGTTGATGACGTTCCAGATGGCCTTGAAGTAGTCGGCCTTGACGTTCTTGTATTGCAAATAGTATGCGTGCTCCCAAGCGTCAATAGCAACCAAAGGCTTGAACTGGCCGGTGGCAGTGTCCTGGTTGTAGGTCTGGATAACCTCAATGGCACCGTTCTCGGCGTTCTTGACAATGAAAGCCCAGCCAGAACCTTGGATTCCAGCGAGCTTGGTGTTGGTGAGAGCAATCAACTTGTCGAAAGAACCGTACTGCTCAACAACTTTCTTGTGGAAACCGGTGTTCTCGGCAGGCAGCTCACCACCACCCTGCTTGGCTGGTGCAAGGTTGGCCCAGAAGAGGTTGTGGTTCAAATATCCGCCACCATGGAATTTGATGTGTTGCTGCAATTCAACAGCCTTCTTGACGTCACCGGCAGCTTGGGCCTCGGCATGTTGCTCAATGGCGGTGTTGAAACCGTTGACGTAGGTCTGGTGGTGCTTGGTGTAGTGCAATTCGTTGATCTGACCAGAAATGAATGGCTCCAGATCACCAAAGTCCCATTTCAGGTCTGGAAGGCTGACTTTGGTTCTAACGGCACCAATGGACATCTTGGCCACACCAGAGTTTCTGGAGGCATTCAAAGCGGATCTGACGGGGGTTCTGATGAAAGACATTGCAATTTTCAAACTCAATTGAACAAACTTTGAAAGTGATTAGAAAGCAAAGTTAGTTCAGATGATTGGCCAGTAAAAAATCCTACGCTTCCAGGTCGGACCGGAACCGCCTTTTCTGCTTGCGCCACATCGAACAAAATATTTTTTTATTTGGCTACCATCGGTGTGGCGCACCATACTAATCTTTAGATCCTTCTTTGCCCCTTTTATTTGTTTCAGAATGTTTCAGAGTTTAGGCAGCGTATTATCGAGCGTGTCTTTGTGGGAGAAACGGTATATAGTTGTGGTTTAGCCTTAGAAAATTGATCTATCATAATGTCTTTGCCAGTTCTCAGTCAGATCAATCTAAACACTTTAGGGTGCAAAAAAGCCCCAAACAAGGATATCAAGGATCACAACCCCCAATCTACCCTTTTTCTACAAGAAAACGTGAAAATCAGTCAATCGCAACACGAATCAGATGATGTCACGTTATTGGAGTACGACACAGATTTCAACGTCCAGTTAGACGACGAGCAGGATTCCCGGCCCAGCAGCACGGGCAGCAACTTCGATGTCTCACTTAGCTCCGACTACACTCACATCACAGAATCCGTCTCTAGTGTGGTAGAGAAGAGTGATCTCACCGATCTGGTCAGACGGGAGCTCTTCTTCTACACACAGACCGGTCTGCTGTCGTACGAGAACTTCGACCAGCTCTACTCAACAGTCAATTCCAAGTCAGGGCTCAACCATATAGAGGTTCGGGCTATTTGTGCAACCGTGCAAAAAAATTGGAATCAGGATCACACCTCTTTTTCGAAATTTGCAATTTGCCCCAAAAGGTGTGTTGCTTTTACAAAGGAGCATCTGTATCTAACCAAATGTCCCGATTGCGGTACTCCAAGAGATCTCCATTGCTACCTAACCTACAATTCGATAAGACCGCTTATCGGATCTATAATGGCCAATCCTTACTCGAGAGCGCAGATCGAACTGTCAAATATGCACAAACCTAACAGATACCATTTGGATTTGTCGATCATGGTTGAGCAGAACTTTACAATCAACCAGATCAACTTCGATGTGGTGTCCGTCGCCATTAATAATTTCTCCAGAGATCTTCGTGCACAGGAACAATCCGTGCACGTCTGCATTGCTTATCCTGCTGCAGCATCAAAAAATAAGCTGCAGTACTTTTTAGCACCCTTGATTGAGGATCTTACCGATCTACACGACAACGGGATCGCGGTCAAAGTGTCTGAGTCGCGTACAGAAATTTGCAAATGCACGGTCCAATCGGTCATTGGCGGTGATTTCGCCACCACCGCGTCGATGATCAGTGCCCTAAAAGGGCCAGATACATCAAAATGGGACATTCACAATGGTGTCACTGCATTCGCAGAACTTGCAAATGTGGAGGTCCCAAGATCTTTTCCTGCTGATCTCACCGCCCTGCTTTTTGAGACAGTGTTCGCCAAAGGGATACATCAAACCTTCTTTGCCAAAGACAAGTCTGAGTTAGCAGAGCAGCTGACTTTCTTTAAAAAAGCCATAGTTGCACACCTACCTTCTGTTCTCCCACTCACAGCGCAGTCGCTGCTGAAGAAAAGCAACCCAGCCCAGGTGAAAGCGTCAAATTGGCGGATTGGGCACAAGCTCTTTTTCGGTATCTTTTTCTGCACCTATTTGAGAACCGGCAAGAAAGGAGCAGACTTCGAAGTGGCTAAACTCCTTGTTGAGCTTAATGGATACTGCGAGCTATTTTCTGCAGAAGATCTTAGTGTCGAGCGGCTGGATCAGATGAAATGGTTTATCCAGCAGTTCTTAGAACGCATGAAGACACTGAGTTCCAAGCTCCCAGAGTTGAAGAAAATGAATTCCGTTCCCTGCCATATGTTACTAAGTGCTTGTGATATGATGAAGTGCGGCTACGATATTGCAGACACGCACTGTTTTGCAAAAGACCTTGCTTTGCCGTGGATTCGCAACTACAAAGCTAAAACTACAAACTCCGTTGGAACAAGGCTGACCATGAAGAGCGTGCACGACTGCTTGTGGTTCAAGGAGTACGAGTACGACTGTGATTCTGAAACCAAATGGAAAGCTCCTGCCAAATGGAAGTGTAACCGCAAACTGGCTGGTCACCAAATCCTGCAAAAAAGAATCCAGAAACGAATCATGGCAGTTCGCGCTCTTCGAGAGACGTTCCGGTCGTCCTTCAAAGACAACATTCTGAGCCTTGACGACTTGCATATTGTCAACTATACCATTGCTGTAATTCGCGGGGTCGAGTTCAAGGTGAATGGGACTAGCTGCTACGCCAAAATCAAAAATAGGTACCAGCACGGCTCTGCGGTGTACGTTCGCTGTTTGGAGTTTATTGAGGTGGAACTAAGCCAGTTCCCTAGCAAATTTGCAATTGTTGAGCATATGGAGGCCAGTGTGACGAAACACAGGTTGCCGATTCCAGGAACCGGGAACGAGCTGGTGATAGGCCGGACCTACACCAAAACGGGTGCTGAGCGAGTCGATGTGGTTGAGGTCAACAAGTATACGTGGGAGTCAGTTTCGATAATTCCGCTGGACCCAACCACGTCGTTTGTGTACGACACCCAGCTGTGCTACAGCGACATAATTACGGATGGCTTCCCCGCCTGACACCGAGCATGGTAAATAAAAGTGTGCACCAAAAAAAAAACTAAACACTGAGATCGAAATGGTAAGTTGACTTGTTTGTGCCGTGCTAACTTTACAGTCTTTTGATAAGCCAGTTGGGTTTCTGATGCTTCTTGCAGCCACGCTGATCTTTGTGTACTACACTGTGTGGACGTTTGTTTTGCCATTCTTGGAGCCAGACAACGCTATACAGAGCTTGTTTCTGCCTCGGGAGTACGCCATCAAGGGGCCGGTGCTGCTTCTGTCGATCGGTGTGACGCTTGTCGGTGCGTTTATCGGCAGCGTGCTTGTGCGCTCGTCCAAGAAAGGTAAGAAAGCTTAGCGTTTGCCCGATCTTTCTAACATGTCTCAGTCCGGAGAAGATGACCACTATGTATTGGAGAATCTATAGTTGCTATTTGCTGAATTCCAAATCTCTTCCGCCAACTCGCGGCCCATTCCGTGCTTGAACAGGCCCTTGCTGTCGACACACGCCCCGTCCTCGTGCTTGGCCAGGGTGCGTGCTCGTGTCTTGGTGTTGACCAGCTGGCTATTACGGTTCCGGTGGTCCAGGTACCGCCCGATGCTGTCCATCATCGGCTTCTTGTTGTACAGGGCCAGCTTTCGCAGATCGTTCGAGATCTGCTCGTACCGGTTGCGCTCCTCCACGCTCACGTTCGCCCAAACGTTCTGCTGCTGGCCCGCGTCGATCGACTCCACAGACTCGTCCAGCTGGGGCCGGTCGGCGGCCGCGAGCTCGAACCACGCGCTGCCGGCCGTGTGTGTGTGCAGCATTAGGTCCTTCATCGCGAGCTGTCTTTGCTGTGTGCGCATCGCTATCGTTTGCTGCGTCGTGGACGGCGAGTGTTTTACCGCGGGCCCGTCCAGCGTGTCCAGGTACGGGTTGCTGGCCTCCACCGCGGGGATGTCTGTGTCTGTGTCGTCGGAGTGCGACGCGGCCGACGCCAAAATGGGCCGCGTGGTGTTGTCGGTGGAGCCTGGCGTGAGACGCGGGAGCGTTCCTGGAGACGCGTCCACCACGGCCCGCGCACTGTGGCGTTTCGCCTGGTCCATGAAGCGCGGCAGGTCCGCCTCGCTTTGGTAGTAGTTGATCTTGGAGATCGACGAGCTGAACGCAGGCGCCTCGCCGCTCTCTGGCCGGCTGATCAGAATGCTCTTGTTGCGCGGCTCCGGCAGCTGTCCCGGATACGAGCCCTCCTGCACAGGCTTCTGATCGAAAACGTAATTCGACGACGAGCTGCGCATCGGAGCCACCGTCTCAAACACCTTGGTGTCGTTGTATGCATTGAGAATATGGCTCTTCGTGCCAGACCCGCCGCCCGACGCCAGCGACAGACTGTGTCGCTTGTACTCTGTCAACGGGTCGGTCTTGGGCAGCAGATGTGGCGAATGCGTGCGCTTGGCTTGCAAACTGAACGAGTTCGTCGACTCGTCTCTGCGCAGTTTGTTGACGGTGAAATTGGGCTTGAACACAGACGTCTGCGCCGAGGAGTCGCGACTGTGCGGAATGTTCTTCTGGAACTCGTACCGCTTCGGCACCTGGTACTGCCGCCCTCGCTTCTCTCCGCCGCGAGCGTTGTCCACTGCACCGTCCATAATTATAAAGCTTCACTGATACGGCACCCCAAAATGGCGCGCCCCAGCCTTATCAGTAGTGCGCGGCCCAATCAGGCATACGAAAACAGCAATATTTCTTGCGATTATGTCAGTTATAAATTTGCACCGGAGGCAGTTTGTCCGCGGTGTAGAACCAGTTGGACGACTCTACCTCTTTCTTGAGCCAGCGCGTCGGGAAAATCACCAGGTTGCCCGTGATCAGTTTAAGCAGCTTCTCGGACGTCTCGTAGTCGTAGATCCCCGGCAATCCCATCAGTGTCGACGCTTTGGCCCCGTTGTACGCATGCGACCCGCCAGGACGCGTGTACCGCTCGTACTGTGCTATTTTGGACCGCCTCATCGCGTTTCTGATCACCTCCGCACGCGCCTCCGCGGTCTCGGCGCTCGACGGCGGCTGCTCCCCCGCGGAAACCTCCAGCGTTCCGTTCGCAACAATGCTGTCGTCGTGGAAGTCCACACCGCCCTTCTCAGAAGAGTCCTCCGTGACGCTGTTGTACGCATCTGCAGTGCTTAGCCCGCCACGTGTGGTCTTCTGGTGCACCATGAACGCGTCCTTCAGCTCCTGGAACATCTTGTAGTCGCTCCATGTCTGCACGGCGTCGTCCGGCTGGACGTGGAAAACCATCTGGTAAATCAACGTGTTCCGCAACGCCTGTGGCAGAAACAGCCCCTCGTAGAAGTCGATATCCAGCGGGTCCTCGAACGAGTATGGGTCGACAAACGTCTGCGAAACCTGCGGTAGAGCGTTGGTGCTGAAGTCCTCGATGTCTGCATCTGAAAGAGAAGAGGTCGGGAACCGCGGAGATTTGAGCTCGGTCTCATCAGGAGAAATGACGTTCTCGGTTCCTGACGAGAAGTTCCCGCTCTCCTCCTTCGGAGACGAAGAAACCATTTCAGACTCGTGCTTACCCTTATTGACCAGTTTTTGCAAGTAGTGCAGTCTCTTGAGCATGTCCCATCTCTCATGGTTGAGAACATCAATAGGAATATTCTTGTCATCGTCACTTAGAAAGTCAAGAACATCCTCCATGCATGGAAGTAACTGTTGTGTGTCAGAGGAACTATAGTTAGCCCAGTCTTTCAATAGCTGAGTGTTTCTTGCCTGCGAGTTGATGTGGACAGGAGATTGCAAATGGTCGGGACCAAACCCGTTCACCTCATTCCTATGGGTTTTGTCCGTGACACGGGAGTCTGTAGAGAACGCTTTCTTTTCCCGAATACCAATGTTCTCCTCTCCGGCACGGTAGTTGAACGAGTGCACGAACGGAATCCGATCCAGATCGTCTGTAAGCGCATCGTCTTCCTCCCTGGTGAACGAAGAAGTCATCTTCTTCGTGAGTTCCTCTCTGGCAGACCGTGGAGCAGTCAGGATAGACTTGAACCGCGGCGTTCCAGATGGAATATTCAAAACGTAACGAGCTCCAAGCTCAACCATGGCTGATAACACTACGTCACCAGTTTTCGTGGTGGCAGCGTGTGATCCTTCAAGCGAGGCAGCAAATTTCTCTATCTGCGCAAAGCGACGCTCAACAAGCTCGTACAAATCAACATCAACTCCTAAATGCTCTCTCATCAGTCGCATTCTTAGCGTGTGTGCAAACTTGGCAGCTTTATAAGGCTTTCCATCCATAAACGTGTCCACCATTTCCTTGTCGCGAATAATGGTGCAGATCTCGGAGTCTCTTGTGCCTCTCATAGATCTCTCGTTGATGTTTGCCGAACCGATAATGGCAATTCTGTCATCAACAATCATCGTCTTGGCATGGATGTAGAGCTGTTCTGTGGTGAGCATCTTGTTTTTACCAATGTATCCCCATTTGCGCAAAGAAAAGAACTGAATGTACTCTTCTGGACGAATGCCTGCTCTTCTAAGTCTTGCAAAGATCGAAGTCTCGCCCATAGAAATCGACATGTACTGGCATTGCATGATAACTCTGATCGAGGATCCCTCCTTGCTATCCACCTGACTCTTGAATCCAGGCATCAGTGGAATCACAATCACAGCCTTCCAGGTTTCCTTATTAGCGTGTGCTCTGGTGATTCTTTCAACTAAAGCATCACCAATCTGATTCTTAACAATCACGCCATCATGCTCGTGACTGCTAACAAAAAACTGGTTCTCGATATGAATAAAATGTTCGCTCGTTTCAATCAATCTCAAGTATGCATTTTGAATACTTTGCTCGGGTTCCTGCAATCCCAAAGACCAGAAACATGACGACCGCAACACTTGCACCTCACATGTTCCTTTTAGTCCCAAATCTTCAACCTCTTTATCGGTGAAATCTCTTGGCGGAACAAGCAATGGTGTCAGTCGAGATGGCCGTTTTTGACGAAGCAGATAGTTCCAACGCTGAACAAAGTGTCTGGACAAATCTCTTGCTATGTGGCCACATGTGAGCATGTGGACATCATGCCAAGGCATACGTGGAGTTGTCTGTCTGTTAATGATATCTTCTAGTGGTTGGTTCAGATCACTGAAATCGCGCTCTCTTGGATTGGAGTAATCTTTTCCAGGGAAGATTTGATAGTTAAAAGCATTACCTCCGCCAATCGGATTTGAGGGAACCTGCGAATCAAACGCGTAAGGAGCATCGTCAATAATGGAATGGTCTGGAGTATCGTATCTTCCGTAACAAAGATCAATTCCTCCAACAAAACAAACAGTGTGATCAATGATAACCAGTTTCTCATGGTGCGCCCAGAAATAGACATTTTGCATCAGCTGATTTGGTGATCTCAGCACATACACGTTCGGGTGTAAGTCCAATAACGAATGCTTGGTCCATAACGAGTCGGTCTGAACGGTATTGGCGACGTTTCTATAGACAATCACAAAGATCTTGATTCCTTGTTCAGCCTTGCGTTTCAGTAATCTATCGAGTCTCCATTCTTGGTTTCCATTTGCGGGACGACGCAAGTACAATTCGGGAGATAGCCACCAATCGTGTATGTACACGACATCTTTTGCCATTTCAATAGCGGAAGAGACTGCCCACATATAGTCTCTAGCATCCACAAACCATTTGGCAAAGACATTATCTCTGACTGGAGCAAAACTCTTGAATCGGTGTGGTCTTGACCAGATTGTTTCCTTAGCCATTTCGTGAATAGCCAAACACCATTTCTTCATCTGATTTGCAGACTTTCCAACCACACTCAGCTTTCTCTCGGAGTTCTCCAAGGTCAACGATAGATACGACTTGCTCACAGGCGACGAATCTTCAAGAAGCCCATCGTCATCGTCATCATCATCGTCATCATCATCCCTTTGCTGTTGCTGCTTCACAAAGTCTGGCAGGTTTTGAAGAGTAATTGGAGTGTCACCAAATCCGGATAGTGTGAATTTGAAACTGGAGTCAACCATAAACACATCCAATGGAGTTGTTGAATTTATATCAGCAACATACATGATGTAGCTGTGCCCAACAATGAACCATTTGCCAATGTGACGCTCCACCATGGCCTTCAATTCTCTGGCCTTCAAATGGCCCACTCTCCATCCTTGTGCTTTTGCAGTGGTTTTGATTAACAGATAACCTTCCTTCCGTTTCCGGCCTGTTTCGTAAGAAAGGAGCATTCCGATGGGAGATATTTCGAAGAACTGAAACAGTTTATTAGCTTGGAATCTGAGATTCAGTGTGCGAATCAGGTTGTTGAGGTACTCTTGCATTGCCTCTCTGAAATGCTCGTTTGTAAGTATATCGGTATTTTTGCGCTTGAAGAAGCGATGCAATCTTAAACTGGAACGACCCGAATGCAAACTGTTGATATCAACTTCATCGTTTGAGCTTGAAGAGCTCGACAGACTGTACGGAGTCATTCCGGTTTCATCTTGGTGGTGCGAAGCAGATAATAATGAAGATGCGTTTGTCTCTAGCCTATGGGCTCCTTGGATAATTTTCGAGTATGGTGCTTGGTTTTTGTATTTGGGGAATTTGGGGAGTTCGAATTCCTTGTGACCTTTTTGTAGAACGTTTTCTTGTAAAAGCATAAGTCTCAATTTATTGTGCAAAATAGCAAGGTCTCTAGAACTCTTCTCCAAAGACCACCGGAGATTTTTATTCCCCATTGCGTAGTCCAAGCTGATCTTGAACCTTCTTTTTTTCGTATGTGGGTTGCTAGTGACATCGCTGAGAACCAGACTAAGCATTTGAAGAAGGATAGGCACACGTTTTGTTCCATGTTCGTCAGAGGTGAAGTGTGTAGAAATGATCAAAGCGACTGGGAATCCTGAGATGTTTGCATCAATGAGCCACTTGGTCTTCAAATCACTTTTCATTTGAAGCTCGTGCGAAAGGTCAATTTGCTCATGGGGAACACCACTGGGTGGTCTTCCAGATTCTCCACGAGTAGTGACCCGTTTCAAACCTTTCAACAGTTTCCTTTGGAAAGGCTCCTTCTCTTCTGGCGAGTTCAGTCCTCCGTTCTGTTCGGCGTGAGTTCCTATGAACGGAAAAATCGAAAGCCTTCCAGATTTCCTCGAGGCTTGTAATGAATTCAACCTTGCGTCCGTCGGAATTTCAGGTGTACTTGGAACCTCGTCAGGCGAAGGCAAAGGACTGTCCTCTCTGCCATTCTCCTTGCCGGAATACTTCTGCGGGCTCACCTCCCGATGGGCATCGTAGCTCTTGTGTTCTTCGTCAGAAGCCTCTATTTGTCTGTTTCTCTCTCCCAGCTGTTCAACAGCGGTCGGCGATAACGGATCCAGAGACTTGACAGATGCCATTGCGGTCTCTTCCAATCTCGTTTGCTCTATAACGCCAATTAATGCTCAAACCCCACAGCGTTTCCGTGACAAGAATAAATGTACAAGATGTTGTTTGTTCCCCTTCGTTTCTCTCGCACTTGTCAGGGTACGAGCTTACGTAATACGATTTTAATCCGATGGTTCTGGTTAAAGGACTATATACACTAGAAGTAAGGTTCCAAATACTTCTTCAGTTCCTTGGAGACGTCTCCCTTGATGTAGAGGGTCATGCTTTGCATTTTGCAGATAAAGTGGTCTTTAGGTTTGTTTGGGAACAATTTCTGCACGTCTTCTCTGAGCTTTGGGAGGTTACCCTGAACCTTTCGCACCTCTGTATTGACGGCCTGGCTCTTGATGGTTTTGTACACAGGAAGGTTTCCCTTGCTAGTTCGGGAGATGTGGTAAAAGTCACGGAAAGGTTTTGTGTACAAGTTTTCGGCGTTGACCTGCTCGATTTGCGGGAAGACCTTGCTGAGTCTGGAAACAGGACCGGTCTGTTGTGTTTGTTTGAGCAGCGATCCGGTCACTGCGGTGGACTGGTGTCTGACAACGACTCGGTTCCACATTGAGAGTTAGCGTTGGTGAAAAGTTTATTTTCGATGATTTTTCTAGTGTACGGGTTTTCTTACCGGCGAAATATGGCAATCACAGGGAACTGGTACAAGACACCAAGACGACCAGTTTATCGCACAAGACTCACTGTATAGCCAATTATAGAGTCATTAAACATCAGATGACCACTTTGAGCGGTCAAAAGCTGTTGGATTTCCGCTCCCATGACTCACTTGCAGCTACTCATCACCAGACAGGCAGGATACAGACCGTCATGTTGGCTCGATTCGAGAGATCTATTATGTCTCTATTGTATGATCAATCACAGAACCCCCTGGATCGGCAACCCGTTTATTTTATACCGCTCCGGTTGGACCAACAACACGGCTGTGCTGGTGACTCCGATGATTCAATATGCACGAAAAAGTTTGACCTGCACAAAATTTTAGCCTCATATATAAACCCCAGAGACAGATAGCATGCACAAACTAAATGGACGTTGAATCAGCCGTGAAGTCAGAAGAATCCCAAGAGGTCTTCCAAGTGGAAGATGTCAAACTTGACCGTGTTTACTGGAAGTTGGATCTCCGGATCATTCCTGCTCTATGGTGTCTATACTTTCTGAGTTCTTTTGGTACCTCTGCTTATGGTAACACGCTTACTATGAATTTCCAGCAAGGACATTCGCTGAAGGAAACTCTCAAGCTTACTTCCCATGACACCTCGACGGCTTCTGCGTTGGAGTTCGTTGGATTTATCATCTTTGACCTGCCAATGAACCTGATTATGACCAAACTGTCGCCGCAGATCTGGCTCAGCAGAATTATTGTGAGTGTCGGAGTTGTTTACGCATGTTATGCGGCTCTGAAAACTAACAGTGGTCTTGTGGCCATCAGATTCTTCTCAGGAGTCTGTTCTGCCGGAGTTTGGCCTGGAATGTCCTACTACATTTCCCTGTGGTACCCAGAGCACCGTACTGCTCGCAGAATCGGCTACTACTTCACTGCTGCGCAGTTGAGTGCCTCTGCTGCCGGTTTGGTTGCTGCTGGTTTCCAGAAAATGGACATGACCCGCGGTCTGGAGGGATGGAGATGGCTGTTCATCGTCTACGGTTCCATCACTGTGTTTGTTGGATTGCTGCTAATCTGGTGGCTGCCAGACCGGCCACAGCACTTGGCCCAGCCATCCAGATCGTTCCTCCCGGCTTCCATTGCCAAGTTCTTCACGTCTCCTCAGCCGCTCAACGAACGGGACCGTTCGGCTCATGAACAGGACATGCGTCACAGATACACCAAGATCAACTGGGGCTGGAAAGACGTGATCACCATCATTCTGGACATCCGTGTGTGGCCGTTGATCCTCATGTATTTCGGTGTTGTTGGTACCGGTTTCGGTCTGTCTGTGTTTGGAACTACGCTGATTAGTGCTTTGAACCCGAACCTCTCTGGAATTGACGTTTCTCTGCTGTACGCTCCGATTTGGCTGTTTGACCTTGGTGGGATTCTGCTGGTGACTCCGTTCGCTGACAAGTTCAAGAAACTGCGTTCTGTCTTTTTCTGCGGAAGCACAGTCATCATCATCATCGGAATGGTGGTCACCACATACGCTCACGGGTTCTGGAACAGATACGCTGGTCTTTTGATTGCCGGATTTGGTCTTGGCCCTACTGTTCCGATCACAATGACCCTGGCCTCGGAGATCATGACTCCTGTCTACGGAGATGTGGGAACCGCTGTGTCTGCAGCCCTGGTCTCTGGTCTGGGTAACCTCGGATCGGTGGCCGCTACTTACGCTCTGTACAGCGGATGGCCTGCAGACGTTCCTCGTCTTTACGAATACTCCAACATGATGCTGGTTCTGATCTTGGGAGTCAGCATTGTCAGCTGTGGAGTGCTGGAGATTATCAGACGCAACAAGCGGTTTAATAGAGCTTAATATATTCATCACGGCTTGGTAACTTCAACAAGAGCACCGTTCTTCTCACTGCTGCGCACAATTGCGTCCACAATACTCAAGTGGTGGAAACACACCTCCGGAGTGGTCTTGATAAGCGACCAGTTGTTCGACGAAAGGGCCTGGCCCAGCACCTCAAACTCTCTGTCCACGCTCACGTACTCGTTCTTGATTGGGATCACGTGCTCCTCGTTTTTCGTGGAGGCAGTTGCTCCTCCCAGTCTCAGCGTGATGGATCTGTCGCTGCCGGGGCTGAAGTCGTGGTAGACCGAGCCGTTGTCGCCGAGAATCTCGAAGAAACAGCTCTTCTTGGTGTTACCAAACGCAGAGCCGTACGTGAAAGTGCCGATTTGCCCCGCTTCGGTTTCCAAAAGAGCGTACGCGATGTCGTCAGTTCCGCTCTGCTCTCTGACCTGTCTGGTGTGTGCAGAAACAGTCTTGATGTTTCCCAACACGCCGGTCAAGAACGCCAGCTGGTGCACTCCACCGTCACTCAAGAACCCGCCAACGTGTTCTGGCTTCTGTCTCCAGGATGTGTTGAGGTAGGCGTTGTCGTAGTTGAAAGGACCGGTCGCATGGTAGGTGAACGAGTACACGGTTCCGATCTGGGCAATTGCGTTGCTCAATTCGGTCACCGCCTTGTAGTAGGACCAGTGTTCCAAAATAGTAACACTAATTTCCGGGTGGTCTCTGGCAAGCTGCACAAGCTCTTTGGCCTGGTCGATGTTGGCGGCAATTGGCTTCTCCAAACAGATGTTCTTCTTGTGTGTGACGGCCAGCTTCAATGCGTCGACATTGTACTGCACAGGAAGCAATGCGTCGACAAGATCGACGTTCGGGTCTTCAAAGACCGCCTCCAAAGTGTCATACACTTTCTCGATATTGGCGTCCTTTTTGGCAAATTCCTCGGCCTTGGCCTTGGTTCTGTTGTAACACGAGTACGGAGTGAAGTACTCAGACTTCTGCAAGACTGGCAAGTGCGCCTTGGACGCAAAGATTCCGGTTCCGACAATTGCAACGTTTATTTTAGACATAGTAAAAGAGTGGAAAAATTACACTCCAGCAAACAACTATTAGTAATGTGCCACCATCTGCTCATAATGTGTACAAATAATATGATTCGGAAACGGGTCACCCGAACAGTCACACCATTTGCAATTGGACAAACGCGCGGGTTGGTGTTGTACCAACTGTGCCATCCCACTCTTCCCAGGAGCGAAGCAAACCTCATCAGGCTGACACCCTTGAAAAAGGCGTGCGCGACTCAGAACGGTGGCACCCAGATCGATTAAAAACACCGCTAAATAAAAAAACTCGTCGTCAATGAATCAACTTAACGGGGCTCCTCAGACACAGAAATTGACGCCTCCGGCGCAAAAAGACCCGGTTGCTATCACCGTTGCTACTTATTTGCGGTACCACAAGATTTTAAAACAACGGCAGGGACTCAACATCAATTCGGGGGACAAACAGGATTTCTTCAGGTACAAGAGATTAATAAGGGCATTACTTAGTGATGAGTACAAAAAACAGCAAAAGAAACAGCCCTCGCTTCCTCCGGTCGAGGACAACGCACAGGCACAAAAACTGTTTATCTTGATGATCCAGAACCAACTTATACAGCCAGTCAAGAAACTCAAGACCCAGGACGCCAAGCAGAAGAAAGCCAAGCTGGAAAGAGGGGTTCCGTGTTTGGAGCCTACAAATAAGGCTGTTTTGCAGCCAGATGAGTATTTCATCTGGACATTCAGTCCTCCGAACCCGTATCTGGTGATCTACTCTCTTTTAGGGCTGGTTGGTATCTTCACCGTGATCCTGTTCCCATTATGGCCTTTATGGATGAGAAAGGGTGTCTGGTACCTCAGTACCGGTCTTCTGGGCCTCATCTGTCTGTTCTTCGCGCTCGCAATTGTCCGTTTAATCATCTACGTGCTGAGTTTGGTGTTCCTTCCTCAACAGTTCTGGCTCTTCCCAAGACTATTTGATGATTGCGGATTCTTTGACAGTTTCAAGCCGCTCTACTCGTGGGAAGACCCAAAGGGCAAGCCAAAGAAGAAGTCTAAGAAAGTGTCCTCGGAAACGAAAGGTGTTTCGTCCACAGTCGACAACAACTCGTCTAAAGTTACTAAGAGAGCAACCGTAGAGGAAGTCGAATAATCTACATTTAGCACACAATATAGCACAGTAAGCAATCTTAATATTGTTTCCTATTTAACAGTCCAATTATAACCAGTGTATTCCCATGTCATTCATTCATCAAAAGTTTAATCAACCTCTTCGACAGATGGACCCTGTTGCTCTGCTCCTGGAGCTCCGCCTGTTGGGAATCCGCCTGGAGCAGCACCTTCAGGGGCGCCGCCTGCTGCGTAAAGATCCTTCAACACGTCGTTACCAACCTGTTCAAGCTCCTTCCGCTTGTCTTCGTATTCGTCAGTAGCAGCAGACTGGTTGCTGTCGAGCCACGAGATGGTCTCCTCGATAGCCTTGTTCAAAGTCTCTCTCTTGGAAGCATCCACTTTCTCTTCGAATTGCTTCTCGGAGGCAGTCGACTTCAAGGAGTAAGCGTACGACTCCAGTCCGTTCTTGGCTGCAATTCTGGCAGCCTCCTTTTCGTCCTCTTCCTTGAACTTCTCGGCCTCAGAAACCATTCTATCGATGTCCTCCTTCGACAGTCTACCCTTGTCGTTGGTGATGGTGATCTTTTGACTCTTACCAGTACCCTTTTCAAGAGCAGAAACGTTCAAAATTCCGTTGGCGTCGATGTCAAAAGTCACCTCAACCTGAGGAACACCTCTTGGAGCAGGTGGAATGCCAGAAAGCTCAAACTTACCTAGCAGGTTGTTGTCCTTGGTCTTGGTTCTCTCACCCTCGTAAACCTGGATCAAAACACCAGGCTGGTTGTCGGAGTATGTGGAGAAAGTCTCGGACTTTTTGGTTGGAATGGTGGTGTTTCTTGGAATCAATTTGGTCATGACACCACCGGCAGTCTCAATACCAAGAGACAATGGAGCAACGTCCAACAACAGCAAGTCCTGGGTCTTGGAGGAGGTGTCACCAGTCAAGATGGCGGCCTGAACAGCAGCACCGTAGGCAACAGCCTCATCAGGGTTAATGCTCTTGTTTGGCTCCTTACCGTTGAAGAAGTCAGACACCAATTTTTGCACCTTTGGGATTCTGGTGGAACCACCAACAAGCACAATCTCGGCAACCTGGGACTTGTCAAGCTTGGCGTCTCTCATCACCTTCTCAACCGGGTCCAGGGTCTGTCTGAACAGGTCCTGACAAAGCTCCTCGAATCTGGCTCTGGTGATGGAAGTGTAGAAGTCAATACCTTCATACAACGAATCGATCTCAAGAGAGGTTTGGGCGGACGAAGAAAGAGTTCTCTTTGCTCTTTCACAAGCGGTTCTCAATCTTCTCAAAGCTCTCTGGTTTCCAGTGAGATCTTTCTTGTATTTTCTCTTGAACTCGTTAGCGAAATGGTTCACCAGTCTGTGGTCAAAGTCCTCACCACCCAGGTGGGTATCACCTGCAGTGGCCTTGACCTCAAAGATACCTTCGTCAATGGACAACAACGAAACATCAAAGGTACCACCACCAAGGTCGAAAATTAAAATGTTTTGCTCACCTTTACCTTGCTCCTTCTTATCAAGACCGTAGGCAATAGCAGCGGCAGTTGGTTCGTTGATGATTCTCAGAACGTTCATTCCGGCAATCAAACCAGCGTCCTTGGTGGCCTGTCTTTGCGAGTCGTTAAAGTAGGCAGGAACAGTGATCACCGCGTCGGTGACCTTGGTTCCCATGTATGCCTCGGCAGTCTCTCTCATCTTGGTCAAAACCATAGACGAGATCTCCTCCGGAGTAAACACCTTGGTCTCTCCCTTAAACTCGACTTGAATGTGTGGCTTTCCGCCCTTTTCCACAACCTTGAATGGGAAATGCTTAATATCTCCCTGAACTTCCGGATCATCCATCTTTCTACCAATCAGTCTCTTGGCATCAAACACGGTATTAGCCGGGTTCATAGCCGCCTGATTCTTTGCGGCATCACCGATCAACCGTTCGGTGTCTGTGAATGCCACAAAAGATGGCGTTGTTCTGTTACCTTGATCATTGGCGATGATCTCGACCCTGTCGTTGACAAAGTGTGCCACGCAGGAGTATGTAGTTCCTAAGTCAATTCCAATTGCTTTAGACATATTTTCTGAATTGTGAAGAAAAACAGCAAGACAGTGTCCCGCCTTATATACCGTTTAAAAACATTTCGTGGAACCGGATGGAAACACTCCACCATATTGACAGTTGCTAGATAGCTCTCGGTGCCTAGGGCAGTTTCTGGAAATTTCTAGCAAGTGCAGAAAAATATACGTGGGGTAATGCGGTGTACGGATGAATGATTTTTTTATTCTCGTGGTGGCAGAGTTCTATGTATATTGTTGTGCCTAGTCCTGTTTCTTAGGAGCAGCACTGAACTTCTTGTATGCCAGGGTGACCATCTTGGTGAACCAGTGGATGTTAAGCACGTTGAGGCCGAAGTTCAGCACGAGGATCAATGGCACTAGTCCGAACGGCAGCTGATCTGTGACGCCGAAACACAGGCTGAATGTACGGTAGGCCGCGTACAAACCCCAAACGATCCGGCACAAGAAAAACGACACGATCAGCAGAATACCGTTCACCATGAACACTGTGTCATTGATCACACCCTTTGGCAGTCTGGTGAAGAACCAGTACATGTTGACGAATGGGGTGCTAGCTTCAAAGATCAGGAACGAAGGGATCAGAGGCTGGCAGAAAGGCAGGTATGTCGAGCCGAAAACAATCAGCGCGGCACACGCGTGGAACAAGTACGGTAGTCCGAACATGTCGAAGTGGTACACGCAGCAGTAGAACAGATCCCAGATGAAATACCCACAAGTGACCGAGGCCGTAAAGCCGGCGAAATCGTAGGAGCCGAACACTGGGTCGGAAGAAAACAGAGGGTGTCCAAACATCGGAATGCACAGCCCAATAGACACCAGAGACTGGACTAAAGCTGCGATGTGGATATCAAAATTGAGTTTCAGCTTCTTGCTCGTGATTGAGGTATAATGCTCCTTGAAGACAAGAGTGTTGATCGTTGGCGACAGAAGCAGTATCACATGATAAAGCACAGCACTAGCAACAATCTCGTGCCAATGTTTCTCCAAAATGGAGTGCGCACTGTCAATATACGGATTATATTTCAGAAACGGATCACCCTCAATAGTAAACATGGTCTTCAACGTGCTTGTCCCAACAATTATTTTCTTGTGGAAATCTGTGATTATGTAAATAGCCACAATGAACGTGAAAAAACTTGTTTAATAATTAAATGTCGTTTGATCTTGTTTGTTTGGGTAACCCATTGCTGGATCTCCAGGTTAACGTGGAGAAGTCGTACCTTGATAAGTACGACCTGAAGGAGGACGATGCTATTCTCATCGAGGACAAGCATCTGCCTATTTTCGACGAGGTTCTCGCCCGTCCAGACGTTCGTCTCATTGCCGGCGGTGCTGCTCAGAACACAGCCAGAGGAGCACAGTACTTGCTGCCAGCAAACTCGGTTTTGTACTTTGGTTCCGTTGGAAAGGACAAGTACGCTGAAAGACTGTTGGAGGCCAACAAATCGGTCGGTCTCACCACGGCCTACATGGTGCAGGACTCAATCGCCACCGGTAAGTGCGCTGCCTTGATCAACGGCCCTCACAGATCCCTGGTCACCGACTTGGCTGCCGCCAACCACTTCAAACCTTCCCACTTGGAAAAACCTGAAAACTGGGAGCATGTGAAAAACGCAAAGTTTTTCTACATCGGAGGCTTCCACTTGACTGTTTCCCCAGAGGCCATCGAGTTGCTCGGTAAACACGCTGCTGAAGAAGACAAGCCTTTGTTGCTCAACTTCTCTGCTCCGTTCATTCCTCAGTTCTTCAAAGAGCCATTGCTCAAGGTCCTTCCTTACGTTGATTACGTCATCTGTAACGAATCCGAAGCTGCAGCCTACGCTGAAGCCAACGGACTGGACTCCAAGGACTTGGTTGCAGTCGCCAAGCAGATTGCTGATTCCGCCAAGGCAAACACCAAGAGAGCAAGAACCGTTGTTTTCACCCAAGGTACCGACCCTACTTTGGTCGTTGAGCAGAACAATGGTACTTATGCCGTCAAGGAGTATCCTGTCCACCCCCTGGAGGCTTCGAAAGTCACCGACACTAACGGGGCTGGAGATGCATTTGCTGCAGGTTTTGTTGCAGGATTGGTCCAGAACAAAGATTTGGCTACCAGTGTGGACATTGGACACTGGCTTGCCCGTCTTTCTATCCAAGAGATCGGACCATCTTATCCGTTCCCTAAGCAATCTTACCAGTAAATTTTCTAGAGTACTATTCACTTGTAGCGCGTAGAACCGATGGTTGTTTGGCAACCGTAGCAAGTAAAATAAGGAGACTTATTCGGGAACCCGGCATCTCGACATGCATTCAGCTAAGCATAAAACCAGGCTGATGGGATTCCTGTTATAGTATACCGGCGGTTAATAGGACAACGTAGCTAAGCCTCTGAAATTCAAGAGCTGCAGCCGTACGCGAGAAGTTAAAATTTGGCTGAGTATGGGTGAATAAGTCTGCGATTGAGTGTAAACAGAATTTAGACGGTGTTCGAGTCTTGGCACAATATTACAAATACCGAATTGGGTAATCCGCTCTGAAATCGTAGATTTGATTGGTTCCGTAAACACCGAATGCGCAGGAAAAATCTGCGCCTAGACTTTTTCACTTCTTTAGCGTATTTATGCACGTTGAATCACCGAAAATGATGATTGTAAATACTAAATGTACACCTTGAAACCAGGCGCATTCACATCGTGAAAAGGCTCTTTTGGATCCCTCGGCATCCACTCCTGCACTGCACGCAAGGTTTCAGGCTAAGCACCGGTAACCCAAGCATTTTTTTCATGTTTTAAACTACTCGTTCCGCCTCAATCTGCACAATGCACGCTTCCGCCTAACAATAGATACGGAATCACGTAGCATAATGCTAGATGATCATAAAATCAGTATATATAATTACTAACCCACGTCTCAGATATGGCCCAGTACTCTGTGGATGTTGAAGTTCCCTATGGCGTCGTCTCCAAATAGTTTCGTTCCTCCTCCACAGCAGCTCCCATCAGACGCTTCGTCTGTGAGCTTCCAAACACAGCCAAACAAGTATCAGCCCATCACAAACGTCTCTTTATATCAGATACAACAACCGGTCTTCAACGGGTATCCTTATCAGTATGAGAACCCAGACTTTGGCTTCCCAGAATTCTCAGATTATTCGCGTGGCTACCAGTCTTTATACTTGAGATCTCCCAGCTTTAGCCTTCCTTCGAAACTCCCAAAATCGGAAGAGTTTATTCCACAGGTTCCATCGCGCCTGACGTCCATGGGGGCGTCTCAACTGTACATTCCGCCGTTCGAAGAGACTTTGGGAGCGAAACCAATCAAGAAACAAGACACGCCAGCGTTTGTTTGTCGAACCTGTGGAAAAGTGTTCCCCAAACCGTATAATCTCAAGTCGCATCAAAAAACCCATTCCGACGAAAAACCGTTTCCATGTCAATACTGTTCGAAACCTTTTGCACGCTCCCACGATAGACGCCGCCACGAACGGCTGCACGAGAACGACAAGAAGCTCAAATGTGGAGGCCTTTTGAGCGACGGGAAAACAGCCTGGGGCTGCAACCGTAAGTTTGCTAGGCCAGATGCTCTTCGCAGACACTTCCGTACGGAAACCGGAATCATGTGTATCCGGCCGCTCATGGTCGATTTCCGCAGCTCGAAGCAAACTCGTCGTGCTCAGGACTCCACGCGAATGGAAACAGAGTACGTGATCAACGAGATCGCAAGGGAAGCCGCCACAGAAGTGTTGCGCAATAAAAAGTAACCATCTTATACCTTCATATCTAAATCAAACATAACCAGTGCATTTTTTATATGGGATTTCTTTAGTTCTGTAATTTTTATCCGATTTTTCTTCATGGAAGAACAAACGTGTCGCATCTGTCGCTGTGAGGGGACCGATGAGGACCCGCTTTTCCATCCGTGCAAATGTCGGGGCTCCATCAAGTACATCCATCAGGACTGCCTGATGTCCTGGCTCCAGCATTCGCGGAAGACCACCTGTGATATTTGCCATACAAAATACGCCTTCAGAACTGTGTATGATTCCAACGCCCCGGAAAGACCGCCTATCTGGCTGATTTTGCAGACTATCCAGACGGAGCTCAAGACCGTGCTGTACCACGCCCAGATCGCGGTCATAGGCCTGGTGATGGTGGTACTGCAAATACCGGTGTTTGCGTCCATCACTGCTCGCATATATACCTGGTTGCTGGGGTGTCCTGTTCCGCACGAAAACGTTTTCCTGGCCGCACTGTACGGGGCAGAGGCTCCTGATCCGAACGGCTGGCTCACGTTCAAGAACCTCGAGACGTTGGAATTCGCCTCGCATTTGAAAGGCATCAAGATTTTGTTATTGGGGGTGATTTTGATAGCCGCCTCTGTGGCCGTCCACGAATGGGTTTCCAAAGACGAGGGGTTCACCAAAATCATAGAGCACAACATTGGTCCTGAGTTCACCGCACAGAAACTGCTCCAGATGTTGCAGCAACCAAGAAACCAGCTGCCAAGACGGCCAGAGCTTCGCGTGCCTCGTCGCGTTGATCCCCTCCAGGAAGACGAAGAAGACGACGACGAGCTGGACGCTGCGCAGAGGGCCCGGATCGATCTCGACAGGGCATTGGTCGAGAGACAACAGCAGGAGCTCCAATTGCGTCGGATCAGACAACTTCAGGACGAACAGCGGGGACGACAGGGCGGCGGCGGCGGCGGCGAGAACGTGTTGTTGGAGTTTGTGCTGACGCCGATGTTTTTGATCAAAGTGGCCGGTTTTTTCGATCTCATGGTCCTTTCTGTTTTAGGAGTGTTCTACTTCGTTCCGTCATTACTTGGCATGATCGCAATCACAGCCTTGCATTCAACTATCGTTCTCCTGCACCATCTGTCCATCTACCTGTACCATCTGTCTGGACTCAAGATTCCTCTCCATTACACACTCCCGTCGCTGGATCTGTCTGTTTTCCACGGCATCTTCTCGATCTACTCGAATATCGTCAACTGGACTCCGCAGGCAGATTTTGCCGAACGGACAATTGTCGCAGCTGCAGGCTATGCGGCCGTCGGACTGGCAATTGCAGCCGTCATGTACAGACTGGAGTCTGGTTGTTCCCCGGTGAACCCGCTTTCTCGTGGATATCGGGCCGTTTATATTCTGTTGCTGGAGGTGGTTTGCACCATCAAAGTGATGGTGATCTTCTGCATCGAGCTGCTGGTGCTGCCAGTCATGTGCGGATACCTGCTTTCTGTCATGCTTTGTCCCTTGTTTTTGAAGCAAGACTTCGCGGACTCGCTCCTTAACAACTACTCGTTCCCAATGATTCTTGGGCATGCCGCCTTTGGAACAGGGTTCTTGTACATGTTTGCGTCGTTCGTGAGCATGATTCGGTCCCAGGTGCTACGGAAAGGTGTTCTCTTCTTCATCAGGTCACCAGACGATCCAAATGTCCGCCCCATCCATGATGCTCTTATGAGACCGTTTGGACTCCAGATGTCCCGCATAGCTCTCTCGGCATTGGTCTACTGCATCTACATTGCCATCGAGATCGGCCTCGTGGTGTACGGTGGCTTGTACCTGTTCCCGCTGGACATTTTCCCGCTCGCCTCAGAGTACACATCCCTGCTACCATTTATCGTGCCGCTGCTACGCATGCTGCTCGTTCACCCTACCATTGTGCGCATGTTCAGCAGCTACTGGCATACAGCCTTCAAGTACTCGTGCTCTCTGCTCAGACTGTCCTCATTCATTTTGGGATCCGACGTCCCGTCAGAAAGAGGTTCGATTGTCTATAGATCAGTCTTGCACAGATTCACGACCCAGAAACCAGACTATTCCCAACCTGTGCCGCGTTCGGAGACTCGCGGCTTCTTTGAGCAACACCCAGAGATCAGCTGCTGCTTCGTTCCAGATGGGACTTTTGTGAGAGCACCAGACGACGACAACGTCTCGCACTCGTTCATCAAAAAACTGTTTGTTCCTGTCACCAAGAACGACATCCCATTGGTTCCCGTCAAAGACGATGACGACTCAGAGGCCAAACGCAACCCGTACGGAGACGAAGAGCTGGTTTCCATTACCTCATACACCATCGTGTACCGTCCTCCGCGCTTCACGCTCCGGGTGTATGCGTTTCTTGGCTGTCTGTGGCTATTCTCGCTCGCTCTGACTGCATTTGTGTTTTCAGGAACGCTCATGTTTGCCAAACTCGTTTTCTACGTCACCTCGAACTACCGTCTGTTCCACGTCATTCTCCCGCGGTCTTCGAGGCTGGACGTGACCGAGCTGTTCCTGGGCCACGCCGTGTTCCACCTGGTAATCCGTGGACTCGACATTGCCTGGAAACACCACTCGGCGGACCAACAGAGCATCGTGGCCAGCACGGTGGCAGCTGCCAAATGGGCGAAGGACTTCTGCATGGCCAATGTGTTCCCGTTCCTGCTGACTGCGGTCACTATATCTATAGCGATTCTTTCCTGGTTCAGCGTTACGGTGCTGCCAATCCTGGCATCCGTGGCCATCTTCGAGAACCTCAAAAAGTTTGATATCGAGGTCCCATACCGGCTGCGTCTCCACAACCTCATCACTGCGTACAGCTTCTTGCTGGGAGTGTCTACGATCGTTTACTCGTACCTCACCTACAACGGGAATTTCCGCAGCGCTTGGAAAACATACCTGATCAGAAATCCAGGCTATGTCACGCTCTTTGTTGTTCAGGCTGTCTTGGTGGGGCTTATATCTGTTGCCAGTAACGACCCGGTCTCATTGATTGAGACGTGGAATCTGCTGGTGGAAGCACACCGGGACGAAAGCAAGTCGCTGAAGGGCCTGCACACCGCGCTATCCATCTTTTTTACATGGCTCCCATGGAGTCTGACCATCTCCTACACCATTTCTCGAGCCGTTTGGAGATGGCTCATCACTGCTGTGAAAAACCAGCATTACGGCAAAAAGGTCTATCTGACCAACAACGAGGACGAAGACGGAAACTAATGTATAACGACTATATTAATTATCCTTGGGCAAAAGTCAAGTAGACAATGCATCCGTATGTGCACAGCAGCAAAGAGCCGTGCAGAACATTAACTCCGTAGATCACACCGTGGATCAACGAACCGATGCACACCACCGAGCTGCAGAACAGGTACGCAGCAACATAGGGCTCGATGTATAAGGAGAACCCGGTGGATGGGTAGTGGGACGAGATGAACTGGATGATTGGTAGCACCATTCCCAAAACCTGGTTGGACGACCCAATGGCCAACGAAACAGAAAGAGCCATGTTGTCGTGATGCGCACTGATTAACGAGGAGATGTGCTCTGGCAAAGATCCTGCCAATGGCAGAATCACCATACCGATGAACACCTTAGAGATTGGCTTGTCGTCGGTGAGTTCTTTCAGAGCCTCCACAAAAAAGTTGGACGTTGGACCCAAACCGGCCACCGACACAAGAAGAGCAATGAAACAGACTCTGAGAGGGAAGAACTCTTCTTTTTCGTCTGACTCGGACTCAGTGTCGGAGTCGGAATCTGAATCCGACGAGTCGGTGGCCTGGCTTTCCGAGAGCTCCCTGTCCTGTCTCTCCTTGAGCTTGATTCTTTTCATTGCTTTGAACTCCTCGTTGGTTGACACGATCAGGTACGTGACATACACAACAAAGATGAACGATGCTCCGATCTGAGACGTGTCCATCTTGAACTTGATGCTTTTTCCCGGGTCAATAAGCGAGATCACAGACATCATGCTGAGCAGCAACGTAATACAGGTGAGGAAAAACAGGTGGTTGGCAATACCTTTCACTGCGGTTTTGGCGATCAGAGCACTATCGAGACCGCCAAAGAAGAAACACGAGCCAATCACAAGAAGGTTGTTGGATATCACCGATCCAACAAGCGAAGTAATGGTCAAAGTGGCGTCGTCCTTGGAAACCGTGGTACCGGAAATGATAAGTTCGACCAGATTACCAAACGTGGCGTTTAAAAGAGCCCCCAGAGCAGGACCGACGTGGTGTTCTGCATGCTCGGTAACGTTGGACAAAATCTTGGCAAAGTACATCAATGCCAAGACCAAAGTGATAACTGCTCCTATATCTTTCTTACGGGCGTAGAGCACAATTCCAACAGGGAACAATGGCAGGAAGATCACTGTTCTTGTCGCTAAAAGCAGTTTTATCACCTGCAGTATGGTCCCCACGTACTTTCTGTCCTTGTTGGCCTCGTACTTCTGGAGAAGAGACACCATCACTGGCCATTTCCAGAACCCAGAATAGCAACTGTCAATGAATTCCAGCATATCGTCAAACAGAAGGTGTCTGATGTGCTTCATGAATGCGATAAACCGGTAGAACCAGCTGGCCTCGGATTTCACCGTTGGGTATTTCTCTATGAGTCTTTCATCGATCTTAATTTCAGTTTGGAACCGTCCAGGAGTAGTGACGGTTCGCTGGACCTTCTTCCTCTTTGGCACGGAAGCAGAGTTCTGGCTTTCCTGTCCAGGGGCGTATCTGTCAACACTGCCTGCGGCAGACATCATCGGTACCGTCTGGGCAGACTCGGTTTTCTCAATTTCATCGGCCATGTTGATATGGAATTGTTTGGGAAAATGTTTTATATAGGACCCTGAATTTTGCACAGCCCTACGCTGGTTTTCTAAGCCCGCGTGACCGTTAGATAAAGGCTGAGGTGGGTGACCAGGGTCGAGGCGCCAAGATGGGCGCGATGGATGATGGGCAGTGGTGCATGTGGGAATTGGTGGATGGGTGGATGGTAAGTGGAGGAAACAGATGAAAGTGGATGGAGTGTAATCTAAGCTCCGTAGATTAAAAAGTTACTTAAATTAAATTCATACTTGAAAATAAGTTGCAACTGAGAAACCGTCCAATTTCACAAATCTGCTTGCCCCAACGTCTTCCCTATATGCTCTCCCAGATACCACCTGCTGCGGCTTGCCTGTTCTGCTACAGCTGCCAACCTTCTCTGTGCTGCTACTAAACCTCGACTTTTCACTGCCCCGGGCTGCATAACCACAGTAAACGAAAAACAAATAGACACGTTGAAAATATTTGTATCTAATGTCAGACTTTGCAACCAAAGACGAGATCAAGGCGATCTTCACCAAGCTTCAGAAGCACCCGGCCAACAAGCAGTGTTTTGACTGCACCACAAAGAATCCAACATGGACGTCGATTCCGTTCGGAATCTTCATTTGTCTGCAGTGTAGCGCAAATCACAGAAGTTTGGGTGTGCACATTTCGTTTGTGAAATCCTCAGTGCTGGACACAAAATGGACAGACGCGCAACTTAGATCGATGAAATGTGGCGGTAATAATGCATTCAAGGACTTTCTGATCAAGAACGGCGGATCAGCATATTTAAACAAGACTCCTCAGGAAAAGTACTCTTCTCAAATCGCGCAGAACTACAAGGATAAATTGGAGAAGAAGGCAGCATTGGACGCCAAAAACCATCCGAACGTGTTGGAGTGGGATGACGGGGTCATTGATCTAGAGTCCGAGGACAGCGGCGATTCTGATTCGAATAATTTCTTCAGCAAATGGGAAAAACCGTCTGCCACTCCGTCGCCTTTAGGATCCAGACCAATTACGCCCTCCAACAAGCCAGCCGCTGCAGAAAAGCCTACTCTTTCTCTGGGCGGATCAAAGCCGAGAGTTGTGCAGAAGACCAACTTGGGCGCCAAGAAAAGCATTCTAGGTGGTTCTTCTGTCAACAGAAACAAGGCTAGACTGGGTGTCAAGAAAGTGGCTGCCGACATCGATTTTGACGATTTCGAAAAGAATGCACAGCAGGAGGAGGAAGAGGCTAAGACCCTCGGGTATGATCCGAAAGAGGCCGAGCCCGTTGCGTCGGTCGCTACTCCAAGACAAACGTCTGTCAGTTCCACCATTGCTGCTCCTAAACCATCGTCTCCAGCCACAGAAAAGGTGACCCAGTCGTTCGCCAAGCTCGGGTTCGGTATGGTGAACGCTGCGCCAGCCCCAGAGAAAACACAAAAGGCCTACAAGGACGTGCAGTACACCGGAGATGTCGCTGCCCGGTTTGGTAACCAGAAGGGTATTTCTTCGGATCAGTTCTACGGGATCAACTCGTACGACGAGGCCAAAGCGCAAGAGGCCAGAACCAAGCTGCAGGCCTACAATGGAGCTACGTCGATCTCGTCCTCGCAATATTACGGAGAACCAGAAGGTGTGAGACACGAGAGATCCAACTCTTTTGACGGCGAAGACATCGAGCAGAAGCTGATGGAGTTTGCCGAGAAGTACATCGGTGACGATCTCAACGTGCTCAAGGATGCGCTCGAGACCGGTGCCGGCAAGCTGTCTGGCTATCTCAGAGACGTGATGAGAAATTGACGGTCTGATTGGGGTTGTAGATAAGTTAGAATTAATATACGGCAGTGCAAGTAATTTTCAGGCTCTCGCAGAAAATACAAAAATGAGTTGATTTTCTTGTCTTTACTTAATTGATATCTGGATGACAGAAACCGTTGGAGTTGTTGGGGCAGGTCTTGTTGGTGCGTTGGCTGCTCTCGGGCTGGCAAAGAAGGGCTATTCCGTGATACTTTATGATCTGCGTGCGGACCCCCGTACGACGAAGGAGAACAATTTCCGGTCGATTAATCTGGCTGTGAGCGAGCGCGGGATCCGGGCGCTGAAGTACGTTGACGAGTCGATGGCCGACCGTGTTTTGGAGGGGATCATCCCAATGTACGGGCGAATGATCCACGATTTGGAAGGTAACCAGGAGTCGCAGTTGTACGGGCTGTTTGGAGAGTCCATCAACTCTATTGATCGCAAACAGCTTAATTTGAGCCTGGTGGAGGAGATTGAGCGGTTTAACAAGACCACCGAGCACAAAATCAGTCTCAAATTTGAGTGCAAAGTGACCAATGTGCAGATCAAAGACCCTGTTTCTGTGGAGTATATCTTGAACGGGGAAAAACTCAAGGATCAGCTGGACTTTGTGGTTGGTGCTGACGGCTCGTACTCGGTGGTCAGATCGAGTCTCCAGAAACAAATCCGCATGAACTACAGCCAGGAGTACATCGATATGTGCTATCTGGAGATGTACATCCCACCAGGAAAAAAGGGCAGCTTCCAGCTGAATCCAAACAGACTGCACATTTGGCCGCGCCAGAGCTACATGCTGATCGCACTGGCAAACCAGGACGGCTCGTTTACGTCGACTTTCTTTGGATCGTGGGATCTTGTGGAGTCGCTGGATACCAAGGACAAAGTGGAGTCGTTTTTCGTGGAGAACTTTGTGGACGCTGTGGATCTGATCGGACTTAACAAGGTAGTGGACTGTTTCCTGAACAACCCGCGCGGAGCTTTGATGCAGGTCAATTGCAACAAGTACAACTTTGAGGACAAGTGTATCATCATTGGCGATGCTGCGCACTCAATGGTGCCGTTCTACGGACAGGGAATGAACTGCGGCTTTGAAGACGTGAGGATTTTGCTGGAGCTGCTTGACAAACACGGACTGAACCGTGGAAAGACGTTTGACGAGTACTCTGCGACGCGCGAAAAGGACCTCAAGGCCATTTTGGAGCTTGCGCTCAGAAACTACAAAGAGATGTCGAGCGATGTGACCTCTTCGCTGTACCTGTTCAGAAAGAAGCTGGACGGAGTGCTGGGGAGACTGATCCCCGAGAAATGGGTCCCGCTGTACACGATGGTGTCGTTCCGGTCGGATATCAGCTACTCGAAGGCGATCGAGCAGAGCCAGAAGCAGCAGAAAGTGCTGAAATGGACCGAATGGAGCGTTTTGGGAGCCGCTGCGTGCGGAGCCGCTTTTTACTTCTCCAGGAAAAAATGATTCTTGATTATGTACACCGTAATCCGGATCTAAAAAAATATTAGAAATCTGCGGACCGCGATTGGGCGACAAAAACTCCGGCCCTGTACCGGAGCAAAAAAAATGCCAGCTCCGGCGACGGAATAGTCATATAAAAATTAAATGAAGATATATATATACTGATCCCCCCCAAGGTTTAGCACTTATCATGCCTTCTGATACAAACACATCTTCCCCAAAGACTCTTTACGACAAGGTCTTTGAGGACCACGTTGTCCACAAGGACGACTCGGGCTCCTACTTGATATATATCGACAGACACTTGGTCCACGAAGTGACCAGTCCTCAGGCTTTTGAAGGCTTGAAGAACGCAAACAGAAAAGTCAGAAGACCAGACTGTACTCTCGCCACTGTCGACCACAACATTCCTACCGATTCCAGAAAAAGCTTCAAGAACCTCAACAGTTTCATCAAACAAGACGATTCCAGACTCCAGGTGCAGACTTTGGAAGACAACGTGAAGGACTTTGATCTCACGTATTTCGGTATGACCGACTCCAGACAGGGTATTGTGCACGTTGTGGGACCAGAGCAAGGTTTCACCTTGCCAGGAACCACCGTTGTTTGCGGAGACTCACACACCTCTACCCATGGTGCATTTGGTGCCTTGGCCTTCGGAATTGGAACTTCAGAGGTCGAGCACGTTTTGGCCACACAAACTTTGATCCAGGCCAAGTCCAAGAACATGAGAATCACCATCGAGGGCAAACTTTCGCCAGGTATCACCTCCAAGGACCTTGTTCTTCACGTCATCGGAGTTATTGGTACTGCCGGAGGAACTGGTCACGTGATCGAGTTTGCCGGAGAGAGTATCAGAGACCTCTCGATGGAGGCCAGAATGTCCATCTGTAACATGGCGATCGAGGCCGGTGCCAGAGCCGGTATGATTGAGCCAGACGAGACCACTTTCAACTACATCAAGGGCCGTCCGCTTGCTCCAAAGGGAGCCGAATGGGAAAAAGCCGTCAAGTACTGGAAGTCGCTCAAGTCCGACGAGGGCGCCAAGTTCGACTACGACATCAAGATCAAGGCCTCCGATATCGTGCCAACCATTACCTGGGGTAATTCTCCTCAGGACGCTCTTCCAATCACCGGAAAGGTGCCAGACCCAGTCAACTTCTCGGACCCTATTGCCAAGAGCGGTGTTGAGGCTGCTTTGAAGTACATGGGTCTCGAGCCAAACACTCCATTGCAGGACATTTCCATCGACAAGGTGTTTATTGGTTCTTGTACCAACTCGCGTATTGAGGACCTGAGAGCTGCTGCCAAGGTTGTTAGAGGACATAAGAAGGCCGACAACGTCAAGACCGCCATGGTTGTTCCAGGATCCGGTCTTATTAAACAGCAGGCCGAGAGAGAAGGTCTCGACAAGATCTTCGAGGCTGCTGGTTTCGAATGGAGAGAAGCCGGTTGCTCGATGTGTCTTGGTATGAACCCAGATATCCTCAACCCATATGAGAGATGTGCATCCACCTCGAACAGAAATTTCGTCGGTAGACAGGGTGCTCTGTCCAGAACTCACTTAATGTCCCCAGCCATGGCTGCCGCTGCCGGTATCACTGGTAAATTCACCGATATCAGAAACTTCAAGTACAACGAGGATCCAGCCCAGCCAAAGATCAAGCTCGACTCCCAGGACGAAAGCCAGGCTTTGCAGGAGGCCGTGTACGAGCACGAGAAGGAGCCTCTTGCTCCAGGCGAATCTGCCGACGAGCAGCAAGAGGACGAGGTCAATGACGTGCCTCCATCTGATCACGTGACCAAGGAGTCGGTGGACGCGAGCGCACCACCATCTGCGGGCGGAGCAGGCATGCAGAAGTTCATCACCTTGACGTCGATTGCCGCTCCTCTCGACCGTGCCAACGTCGACACCGACGCCATCATTCCGAAGCAGTTCCTCAAGACCATCAAGAGAACCGGTTTGAGAGCCGGTTTGTTCTACGAGTCCAGATTCACCCAGGACAAGAACGGAAATGACGTTCCTACCGACTTCGTCCTGAACGTCGAGCCATACACCAAGGCCCAGATCCTTTGTGTGACCGGTGACAACTTTGGATGCGGATCGTCCAGAGAACACGCTCCATGGGCTTTGAAGGACTTTGGTATCAGATCGATCATTGCCCCATCTTTCGGAGACATCTTCTACAACAACTCGTTCAAGAACGGATTGCTCCCAATTAGAGTTCCTCAGGAGATCATCAAGGAGAAGATCTATCCGTTTGCTGTTTCCAAGCAGCAGATCACCATCGATTTGGAGAAGCAGCAGATCCTCGGACCGCAAGACGAGGTTCTTGTCGAGCACTTCGACATCGAGGAGTTCAGAAAGCACTGTTTGTTGAACGGTCTGGACGACATCGGAATCACTCTCCAGAAAGGAGACTACATCGATGCTTTCGAGGCCAAGAGAAGAGACGTGTTCTCCTTCTTAGAAGGAGGCTCCAAGCTCATTGTGCCAGCTAAGGGCACCAAAGAGTCCAAGTACGGCGTGAAAGCGCAGGAATGGTAATCGTATTTATTAATGGAATTATATCCTCATCTTTTGATCAACAGATCCATGTAGTCGTTGGTATTTTCCATGGTGAAGTTGTTTTCGTTGGCCAGATGGAGCAGACAGATGAAACAGAAACTCGTCGAGAGCTCCGATTTCTCCTCCTTGGAGTACTTGGTCGACAGCTTGTTGACGATCTGGGTGAACTTGAGTGTGTTCTCGTCCGGTTTTTCTGTCTTTTCTTGCGGTTCTGGAGGACCGTTCTCTTTATCATCGTCCAGAACAGACGCGTCTCTCTTGTTCCGCTGAGACTCTGTCTCCAACGACTCCCAGAGATTGTCCTTCAACAGCTTCACGTTCACCTTCTTGGCGACTCTCGCATACCCAAGGTTTCCTGGACGTTTCTGCGATTGCGAGAACAACGGCTGCGAGCTCAATGGGAGATCCGGGATGTCGTCGTCATCGTCATTGTCGTCGTCATGGTGGTCGTACTCAGCGTTGAAAAAATCCCCGTCAAACCCTTGGTCCGGGTTGTCATTCTGTTGGTCGCCCTGCTCTTTGTATGTGTTTGCAAAGAAGTTCTCGTCAGCTATTCTCTCGTCGTCGTAGCCCAGCCGCTGGGCCACCTTCTTTTTCTTCTTCGTCAGAATGGTATTGATCTTTTGGCTCGGCTTGATGTTCAGGCAGATCAGCCGCTTCGTGGTAAACTGCAGGTCCTCAGGTAGCATGTTGGCGGTCGGATGTAGTCCTCTCTCTTTCTCAGGAAGGAGCAACTTGGAAGCGTTCGTCGGCGTTGCAAACAGCTCATTTTCATCAACGTCCTGTTCGTCGTCCATGAAGTTGAGCGTAAACACTGCCTTTGCGCGCTTTGCGGTCGCTTTCTGCACAAAATCTTCTTCCGGATGCTCGTTGTTTGTTTCCTTCACGTCAGTAGGAAGAATATCCAGCGTAGCACTCTTTTGATGTGCTTGTTTCACCATGGCAATCTTCCAATGCTCTGGTCCACGCCAGTTCTGTCTCGACATCGTATCAAAATACTCCGCCATGCTTCGTCCTCCCTCCTCATCTTCGTCATCAAATGCAGCAGTCTGGTTCTCGTCAAACAATCTTGTAAGTGTCAGATTAGGTCCCGAACGGTCGCTTTCTTCCACGCCGTCGATGAATAAAGAGTATTGCGTTCTCGCATTCTTCCTCGTTGGATCATCTCCTTGATCGCCTTCATCGTCATCTTCGTCCTCGTTGCCCCAATCGTCCGCTCCAAAATCGATATTGTCGTTCTCTTGAAACACAGGTTGTTCTTCAGGGAACTCGATTTGTCCGATCTGTTCCAAAAGAGCAGTGGCGCTTGCTCCTTCGGTTGTAATGCGCTCCAGTTGTTCGATCGATGGACAGACAGTGCTGTCCCCCTCTGGTGGAGAGAAGAAGTGAGAGAGTTTAGAAATATCGACCTTGGACCTTGTAGGTGCAGCAGGTTCCTCATCCTCCTCAGTATCTTCCATCACCATCTCGTTGGACTTTTCACTTGTGTCAAAAACAACACGACCCTGCGGATTGATCTTCAACATGTTGGTCAGAAGACTCTTGGCTCCGCCTTCGTCGAAATCTGAGAGAGCCTTTTTAAAGATCGGATCCACGAAAAGCTCTTTTTCCACCTCCTTCAACTTGATCGTCTGAAACTTTTTCGCCAAAGTGGACTCTGCTCTGTGTTTTCGTGTTTTCGGTTTGGTAGATGCTGCTGTTTGCGCGTCGTTTTCGTCCTCCTCCTCTTCGTCCACTGTTTCTAGATTGTTGGATGTCAGACCAGAAAGCAGTCTTCCTGTTTCCGACGCGGCCGAGTCGATTCTGGAAGCGTAGATCTTTACACATCCGTCCAATGTGGTGGACGCCTTTTGAAAATTGATGCTGTCGCCATCTTTGAACAAAGACAGCTCGTGGAAATAATCAATCAATGCAAAATTCCAACTGTTGGACGAGTTGATTTTCTAACCGTTAGTACTTCTGACCTTCAAATCCACTTACGTTATCTGTAGCCATTCGGATCCATAGCTCATAGTTCTCATTTGTCAACGGGGCAGAGAAAACCCCTGATACATCAGCCATCGTCTCTTGTTACGGCGAAACACCCGTCAAATACAAAATATCTCGCGACAACAGTCCTTGTCCACTCAAAGTTCAACTATACGGGCCAATGGATTGCAGATATCCCGTAATTCTAATTCGCTGATGCGGTCTTGTTCTGTAGAGTTACAAGTTTGTTTTGATTTAATTTGTAAACATTACTTATTTATTTTACCCGGTGCGAGGTGTGCTTTACCATGAAGTCAGTCGCAGTCGTTGCACGCGGAGAAGAACACAACCAGATGGCGATGGTAGAAAGGGTCTAGGATCTCTGGTCGGCGACGCCAAAATTTAGCCGCTTCCTTCTTCAGCTTAGACGTGATGAAGTTTGCAACCTCCACCGTTTCATCTAGCGGGAGATCTTTTTCCTCAGAAATGCTTGGTAGCTTGTTCGAAGATGCCATGCGGAAATCGGTGTGTGCATGCGGCAAGTCGCGTTTGAAAGTCACTACTGGGATCCCAACGTGACGGTACAGAGAGTAAGGCAGAATTCGCGGCACCAGGTCAAAAAAATGGTAAACACGAACAGCTCCGGCTTTGGGAGCCTGGTCTATCAGCCGGTTGTAAATGGCGGCCAGCTGGTGTGAGAACACCGAGGGAGCATTGAAACTGACCATTAGGTTGTCTATCCCCAGCAATTGGAGGTCTAGCGAGGTTAGCTGGGCTAGTGCTCCACCCATCGAGTGTCCGGTGACACAGACCCTGTAGTGCGGATACGTTTCGAGCCATTTGAACAGTTCGTTATGCACCTGGACCGCCATTCCGTAAGCAACGTGTGAAAAGCCTGCGTGCGCGTATAGCAGCGGAGAGTCGAAGTAGTCGTTTGCCTCGAGGTTTTCCTCTGCTGTGCGTTTCAGCTCTTCTTTGTGTTTGTAGTCGATCTGATCCCAGTAATCCGAGTCGTTTGTCACTGGCTTGTACCGTCCTGGCTTGAAGTGCAAATTGGTATACCATTGCGAGAACTCGTGGGTTCCACGGAAAACCACGTTGATCAGACCGAGTTTGTGGTCCAGAAGAAGGTAGCCCTCGCCGCCGCCGTGGCTGATGATCCGTCCCGGCTCTTCAACGTTGTCGAACAGTTTTGTCAGGTTATAGCGAGGATGTTCCGATCCGTCCTTGGCAATTAATTTCTCTCTATAATCTATTGGACTGTAGGGAAGAAGATTCTCTGGGAACCTGAACTCGTTGTGAGACAACTCCACAAGACTGCTTTTGTCGTTGAGACAATACGCGATTTGACAGAAGCCGGCAAGTTGCCGCATATAGTCTTTGTAAAACTGGTGATCCTCGAACATGTCTCCAGGAGGAACTTTCTCCAAAGAGGCGTCCAATTGGCTTTTGTACTCGTCATAGAGAGCTCGTTTCCCGTTCGATAGCCACGAGTTGTCCGCCCGCGCGCCACCAAGTACAAGCACACAGAAACACACCGCTAGTAGTAGCATGGCTGGGCCAAATAAAAAGAAGCCACAGCCATTATATACTGTTGGAAATCTGATGTTCTGTTGTCTGAGATTTAGTGTTTTGGGGCTCTCAAATGGAAATTTCGCCAAAGCGAAACAACAACAGGGTATCAGTCTTATTTCTCTGTCTTGATTGTATTTAGTGGTCCCTTATTACCCGTCACTTTTGGGCCCATGTTAAAAAATCAATCAATCCCCAAAAATATAAAGAAGGGCCACCACCCAAAAATTCTTTATAGTATTCGTCACAAACAAAAATGGACAGAAAGACCCACGAGGTGCTCAAGTTCCTGATCGATTGGAACAACCTGCTGGTCGACCCACCAGTCGAAGGAGCCATCTCGGAAATGTACTTCTGCTTTATAGCCTCCTGCCAAGTAAAGGGAAAGGATAAGGTGTCGTGGTTGCAGTTTGTCAAGTGTTTGCAAAACATCGACGAGATCTGTATCTGTCACGCGTTCACGTGCTATCCCTCCAACGCACTCAGCTTGACATACGAGGACCCGTTCAAGTGTTTTAGCAGAATCACAAGCATCGATAGACTCGCCTTAAATCTTGTTTATAAGCGGGTTAAAATCACCATGGACCCTGTTTCTGGTGAAGAATCTCCAAAAACACCTAGCAGTCCGCTTCCGGGAGCACAAACAGCCATCTACCATAAACCTATCCCAAAGGATAAGGAGGAGAAACTGGACTTGTTGCTGGAACTGGCAGAATCCCGCAGAGCCAAGCCGAAAAGATCGATCAACGATTTGTGTGCTGGTCTCACACCGACCGATCTCGAGGACATTTACACAACAACGTCCAAGGCAAAAAGACTGCGTCAGCTGAACCTTCTGCTTGCCACACATGCTGGGTCTCACATTCTCACCAAAGAACGGGCCAAACTCAGAACCATTATCAAGCCGTTTTACGACTGTTGTGACGACCCAAAACATACCCAGATGCTTATATCGCTGGTGTCCTTCGATAGACAGACCAACTACTGTAAGCTTGACCAACACAAGCTGAATGACCGGCTGAATATGGGGTACGGGAACGACAACGATATATCCAAGTGCGTGAACCAAAAAATCCACTTCATCCCCATCATCCAGTCTCAGACAGACACCAAGCTAGGAGACTGCTCGTACCTAGACACATGCCACAAGATGTCGTCTTGTAGGTATGTTCACTACGGCCAGCTAATGCCGCTGGACGATGTGTCTGCGAAAAAAGCGACCCAGCACAATAAGAGTATCCAGAAAGCGATGCAGGTGAGCGACTTCACTCGCGGCGAGTCGATGTCGCCGGCATCGAGGCCTGAACTGCCAGCACAGTGGATCAATTGCGATGTTACCAAGCTGGACTTTAGCATCCTGGGCAACGACTTTGCTCTGATTATTGCGGACCCGAGCTGGACAATCCACATGAACCTCAACTATTCCAGCCTGACAGACTCAGATCTATTGCAAATTCGCATGGACAAATTACAAAAGGAAGGACTGTTCCTGCTGTGGGTGACTGGACGGACCATTGAGACTGGACGGGACTTTCTGAAGAAATGGGGGTACAAGGTGGTGAACCAGATCACCTGGGTGAAGACGAACCAGCTTGTTCGGACGATCAGCACGGGCAGGACGGGCCATTGGCTGAATCATTCGAAGGAGCATCTCTTGGTTGGTCTGAAGGGCAACCCCAAATGGCTGAATAAGTGTATCGATCCACAGATCCTTATTTCCTCCACGAGGGAGACGTCCAGGAAGCCAGACGAGATATACGGGATGGTGGAGCGGATGGTTGGCCCTGGCACCCGCAAGTTGGAGATCTTCGGAAGACAGCACAACACGCGTCCCGGATGGCTAACGATTGGAAACCAGTTAAACGGGACTCATCTTGTTGAGAAAGAAATTGCTGAGAGATACTATAAGGTTGCAAGTGTGTAGAATAATAAAATTGGCCCGATTTGGAATATTTACGTTTTATTTATTTTCAATTAATGTCTATTCAGGTGGGCAGTCGAGTGTCGATCCCCGGCGGAGGAGAGGCGTACGTGCGATTCATTGGGACTGTGCGGAATAAGAACGGGACGTTTGCCGGAGTTGAGCTTGTGGGGGAGAGTGTGAACAAGGGCAAGAACTCTGGTGACGTTGATGGGACGTTTTATTTCCGCACCAAGGTGCCCAGAACAGGGCTTTTTCTGCCGTACCACAAACTTGTGCAGGCCAACAGCTCACCGCTGCGGCCTGTGACGCGGACCAATGTGATGAACTCGCCGAAATCTTCGCCACAGAATGCGGATCACCGCGTCCAGGAACTCAGCGAACAAAATAGACTATACAAACAGCAACTGGCGGAGCGCACGCGGATTCTCGAGGACTTCCAGGAGACGGTGGGGACTTTTGAGGCGTTGCTAACAGAAAATCAGAACGAGCTGAAGATGAAAGATGCAAGATTTGAACGGTACAAGAGCAATACAGATACCCAGATCAAGGAGCTGATCGAGGCCGTGGAGACGCTGGAACAACAGGCCCAGGAGAACGAGGAGATATACATGCGGCGTCTGCGTGAGTTGGAGGCCCAGAAAGAGACGGGCTCTGCCGATACGAAGACAGACGAGCAGAAACAGTTTGAGGTGTTGGAGCAGCGGTGCAAAGAGCTTGAGGAAGGTGAAAAGACATTGAATATGAAGCTGAGTGCGGTGCAAGCAGAGCTGGAAGCCTCGCGCAGAGAAACAGAGAAGCTCCAGCAGGAGAAGACAGAAATAGCGTCTGCTTTGCAAACGCTGCAGAAATCGCACTCTGACCTCCAGTCGGCTCATACCGCGCTCAGAAACGCACCTCCACCGCCAGTGCCGGCTGTGGACGAGTTCAAAGTTAAGTACGATGAGCTGCGCGTGCAGTACACCGAGCTGGCGGAAAAGTGTGCTCGTTTGGAGGCCGTCTCGTCCGCTGCGTCAGCGCCCCTTGTGCAGAACGGCGAGCTGATAGCCACGCCGGCAGTGAAGAGCGATCCTGCGGCAGGCCGGGCCAAGTGGTGCGGGCTGTGCGAGCGCGAGGGCCACGAGAGCGTCGAATGTCCGTACGAAAACGTCATGTTCTAATATATTACTATGTACATCAAACTTTGTGTCTTTGCGAAGGGTCCACGTGGAATGGCGACCAGATGCCTCTGACGGACTTGTTGAGCGATTTGACCAGCTGTTTAGGCTTGGAGAGTTTTCTTCCGCTAGAGTTGACTAGCAACTTGAGCTTGTTCTCCACCACGTTGACATCCCACTTGCGCACACAGATCTGTTTGTCGAGGCCATCGGTATACTCTGCTCTGAGCACGGGGTGGAAGCCCGGCTTTTCGAGCACGTTGAAGTGGATGTGAGGATATTGTTCGGCAAAGCTCTTGAGTCTGGTTCTGAGAAAGTCTCTTGTTCCTTGGGAGGAGCCACCGAAGTTGCAGTAGGTGATCACTATACGCCGGCAAGGATGCACGAACGCCCCGATACCATTCCGGGCCCTAGAGACCTGTTGGAGGATGTTGATTCCGGCCATGGTGAGTGAAAAATAATGGTAAAAAAATATCGAGACGGGTAACTAATTTTTAGTAGCGAGTAGCATGTAAGAGTGTAAACTAAATAGACCTACAGAGAGAAAAAACAACAATTTCTGGCCTAACTGGCCCAACCTTGTTCCTATGTACATCTGGGGAGTTGGAACATGGGCCATTGATGACCATTGGCAAAGGAACCGCTCATTTCAAAGCCTTGACCAGCAATTGCGTGCTGAACACGTAAGAGTATCCGGTGATGGTGAGCACGCTGATCAAGTTGAAGAACAGACTAATTCCATGGTACTTGCCGAACTGTTTGGTCAATGCGGCAATTTTCTGGGCAGTCTCCTCGCTTCTCTCGGCCTCAGGAAGGTCCTCCAAAGCGAACCGTTCAGCCTTGAGTCTCGAGCAAACCGGCAACAACCACAGGTAGTTGACAAATCCCGATATGGAAGAAACGGCCAACAAGGCAAGTCCGGTGGTTGGAATCGAGTATGGGGCAGTGAGACCAACAACTATCGGACCAACAGACTGGGTCAGGAAATGGATAGGAAACAGCTTGGACTGCAGAAGACCAAACTCCTTACGTGGCAACACCTTGAAAGCTCTCACGGACGAGATGAACGAGTGGAAAGAGGTCGCACCAAAAACATAGGAGTATGTCAATAAATGGATAGGAAGCAGCATGGTAGTAAAAAATGGTGATATATTTTTTTCAGTGGGGGTTATTTATTTAAGGTAGCCCAATTTCTCCATTCTAATTTTGACGGCATTTCTGTGCGCGTCAAGACCTTCCACGGCAGCCAGGTCCATCACAGCCTTTCCAATGCTTTTCAGCCCTTGCTTAGTCACCACTTGCGACGTGATGAACTTCTGGAAAGTGGCGGTGTTGACTCCGCTGTACATTCTTGCGTAACCGTAGGTGGGGAGAGTGTGGTTGGTTCCAGAGGAGTAATCACCGCAACTTTCTGGCGAGTAAGCGCCCACAAACACAGAGCCCGCGTGGTCGACCTTGTCGACGTACTTCTCGGCCTGTTCGATCTGCAGGATCAGGTGCTCCGGAGCGTATCTGTTGCTCATGTCCAAAGCGTCGTCATACGATTTGACTGCGATCGTGGTAGAGTGGGCAATACACTGGCGCACAATATCGACCCGCGGCAGCTCGAGGGCCTGGCGGTGGACAGCGTCGTCGATCTTGTCGATCTCCTCGGATGTCATGTCCACGGCGATCAGAATCACCTGCGAGTCGACACCGTGTTCTGCCTGGGACAGCAAGTCAGAGGCAACAAAGTCTGGGTCGGCGTGCTTGTCGGCGACAACGAGCACCTCAGAAGGCCCAGCAGGCATGTCGATGGCACACATGGCGCTCGAGTCGTTCGAAACAAGCATCTTGGCAGCAGTGACAAACTGGTTACCAGGTCCCATGATCTTGTCGCACTTTGGCACAGACTCTGTTCCATAGGCCATTGCAGCAACAGCCTGCGCACCTCCAGCAAGAACAATACACTTAGCTCCCACCTTGTGTGCAACGTAAACCACTTCTGGGGTCAGACGGCCGTCCTTACCTGGCGGAGAAGCAAACACAATGTCTTTGCAACCAGCAACCAAAGCAGGCACAGAAAGCATCAACGACGTCGACGGCAGCACAGCGGTTCCTCCTGGAATGTAGCATCCGACCTTCTCGATCGGCCGAGCGAACCGCGAGCAGAAAACACCCGGACACGTCTCCACGGTGAGAGTCTCTGTCTGGTTCTGGGCGGCGTGGAATTTCTTGATGTTGGCAAAAGAAATGTCGATGGCCTCTTTGATGTCGTCGGTGACCTTCATCATCTCCTCTGGGAATGGAGCGTTCAGCACAGGCGAGGCGAGCTCCACCTTGTCGAACTTGGCGGTCAGCTCAACCAATGCAGAGTCTCCCTCCTTTCTCACCTTCTCCACGATCGGAGTCACCAGGTTCATGATGTCGGCAGACTTCTGGATAGGTCTTTGCAAACACTGGTCGATCTCGGCCTTGGTGGCAGTCGTAGCATCCACGCGGCCCATCACGATACGAGCAGACTCGTCGACCTTCTTTGGTTCTGGCCTGGTCTCTTTCTTTGGCTCTTCCTTGACGTATTTTGGCTTAGCGTCGCCCTTTCTTCTGGTCACCTTCAACGACTTGAGATCAAGGTTTCTCTCGATATCTGTCAACGAAACATCGTACTTGACACACTTGGTCAGAGCAAAATAGAGCAAGTCAGCAGCCTCCCAGGCAATCTCGTCCTTGGAGGTGGCTTCCACCAACTCGTCGGCCTCTTCCTGGATCTTGGCGTTCAACAGCTTCTCGTCCTGGAATAGTCTCTTGGTGTACGAGCCTTCAGGAGCATTGGCCTTGCGGTCCCACAAAGTAGACTCCAGCGCAGAGAGTCCCTTAGCTGCTCCGAAACAGGAGGCAGTGTCCAGATGGCAGAATCCGGCACCAGCTTGCTCAACAACAAACTTCAAACAGTCAGAATCGCAGTCGAGTTCCAACTGCAACAGTTTCTGTGTAGCACCAGACGTCTGGCCCTTGTACCAGAGTCCGTGCTTTCTGGATTGGTACACTCCGGTACCGGTCTTGATGGCCTCGGAAATGGACTTCTTGGAAGAGTAAACCAGACCAAGCGCCTGATTTCTGCTGTCGGTCACCAGCGTTGTGTACAAACCGTCCTGTCTGTCGGTGGTGAGAGCTGCCAAATAGCAGTCTGCAAACGAGATCCTTTCTCCCGAGTGCTCGTAGTCTGTAGTTAATTGGGCGAGCTTGATGATGGCGGTGTATCCCTTGGCGATCTCAGCAACCGGGTCGCTGAACGTTCCAAAAACTCTTCGCTTGCCGACCTTGACGCTGGTTGCGCCGCTCACACTGATATCCTGGCTATCGCCAGAGCCATTCTTGATAACCAGACGGGCATTAGGAATTCTGGTCTGAATGGCCGAGCCAACAGACTCATCAACGAAGATCCCGTGAACACCGTTGTTGAGCAAGGTCAACACCCCGTCAACGAGTTCCTCACTCAAATCGGAGTCGGATTTGACTGCCCAGTCAACATAGATCTTGCCCAAGAACTGCTTCACAACAGCAACGATCGAGCTAACATCCGCCACAGACGTAAATGGCACAAGAGCCTCGCCGACGAACGGAACACTCAGTACCTGCTTGGCCTCCTCGACACTTACAAGGACTGGAGAAACCATGATGAATTAATTAATTGCAAAATGGTGACTCAGGGTGAAAAAAATATATAGTGAAAAATTACTTTTGGGGCCGCCACGACTTTGGTAGCAGACGGGTATATACACTAGTTGTTGAACAGGAACTGCATGTCGGCGGTGGACAACCGGTTGGCGGCGTTCTCGTCACGGTCGAGTGTGGCCTTGACCATGTCTGCCTTTTTCTCCTGCAGCTCGATGATCCGGGACTCGATACTATCCTCGATGACCAACTTGATGATTCTAATTGGACGGTGCTGTCCGATTCTGTGGATTCTGTCTGCGGCCTGGCCGGTGTCCAGTGCCGGGTTCCACCAACTGTCCAGAATGAACACCTGGTTGGCCTCCACCAGGTTGAGAGCCACTCCACCCGCCTTCAACGACACCAAAAACACCTCCACGGACGGATTGTTCATGAAATGCTTAATCACAGAGTCTCTTTGAACAGGAGTCATAGAACCCTGCAGCTTGGCGATCGAGAACCCAGCGCGTTTCAGCCGCCACTCAACCAGGTCCAGCATCGACGTGAACTGCGAAAACACAATGCTCTTCACTGTCTGTCTATCAGAACGCGACTTGTATAACTCCTCCATCAAAGCTTCAATCTTGGTGGACGACTTCCACTCTCCACCCATGTCGATTCTGTTCACAATAGACCCTTTCTCCACAACCTCCTGGTCCACCTGGAGCGCTGGACCTTCGAGGTCGATACTTAGACCAATGTGACAGACCGGACACTCGAGCTTCTTGTTGTCCCCGTTGAACGAGTCCACATACTCGGTGATACAGATCCGGCAGAACTTGTGGTGGCACTTGGACTCGATCGGCTCCTCGGCCTCGTCGTCACAGAGCTGGCAGATAATTGCGCCTGTCTGGGCAACACCCTTGGGCAGGTTTTTGTATCTCTTCAGAACCAGGTCCGGATGGTCTGCAAGCTGTCTCATTCTGGTGATCAAAGTGAAAATATTGGCATAATTGTTAAGAACAACACCCTGAGCCACATAGTCGTTGAATTGACGTTTCGAGTCAGAGTACAGCGACTGATAAAGGTCTTTCTCCTCCGGGTTGAAGAAATCACGACGGATCTCCACAATCTTTGGTGGCAGTCCCAGATCGTCGGCTCTCTCGACCTTGGTTCTTCTAAGCATGATCTGGCGCAATAGGAGCTGGATGCGCGCAAACGACTCCTCTCCCTCCTGCTGCAGACCAAACTTCTGGATGTTCTTCAACATAAAATGGTTGAAAAAGTTCATATGGAGCATTCCATGATGCTCACAGTTACCACAATGTCTATTATCCGGGAAGTTCCACTCTTTCGAACGACACGGACACTTTGTGCAGAAGTACTCGCAGAACGGAGCAATGTCCAAAAATCTAATCAGGGAGTACAGTTCTCCAATTCTGTTCTGCAACGGGGTACCAGAAAGACACCATCTCTTTTCGCAGTCGAGATGATTAGCGGCAGTAGCGGTACTGCTGTGGCGATCCTTGATGTTGTGGGCCTCGTCCAAAATCACCCGGTAGAAATGCATCGAGTGCAACAGACTCTTTTCCTTGACGACTCTGCCGTTCTTTTTGGACCCGTACCGCTGTTTTCTATAACATGACTCCAACACAGCGTACGTCGTCATAATAACGTCGTAATCCTCCAAGTCTTTCAACGACTTGGCACGATTTTGTCCGTGAAACAGACCAACCTTCAGGAGGCCACCAGCATGCTGCTCAATCTCGTTTTTCCACTGAATCAACGCCACAGTAGGAGCAACAACAAGAGTCGGTGTCTTAGAACGGTCGTGCATCATCAACGAGATCATCTGGATAGTTTTTCCCATTCCCATCTCGTCAGCAAGAATTCCTCCGTTATAGATAGAGTCTTCCTGTTTGATCATCCACGACAGTCCTTCAAGCTGGAACGGAAGCAAAGTCAGTTTCATCCCGTCAGGCTGGATTCCTCTCTCAACAGTGCGTGTGCTCTGAGCTGCCAAAACCGGGAAAGTATCCTTCACATCCGGATTGAACTCGTACACCTTATTAGTACGTCTTTGGTGCGCAGTTAACTTAGGACCGTCATTCTTCTTCTTCTTTGGTTTCGTACCAGGAGCAGCTCTCTTCCGTTTCTTTGGTACCTGTGCCAACGGTGTGTCGCTGTCGGGTTCTTGGTTGTCAGGATCTGCCTGCTCATTATTGCCACTGGTACCTTCAATAATGATAATATCATCGTCCTGTTCTTCTGCAACAGGTACCTCCTCGTTCTCCTCTTGCTCATCCTTAATTTCAAACACAAACTCCTCGTCCTCCTCCTCCTCGTCGGGAACGAAATCGTCGTCCTCGGACTCGTTCTCACTGGAGCTGGACTCTAGTTTCATGGCCCTCGGGCCTCCTCGTCCTGTGCGAGCTCTGGTGGCCCCGTTGGCCCTCCCGTTACCTCTGGCGCCGCCTCGTGCGCTCTTTCGCGTCTTCCGCTCTCGTATAAACCCTCCTTCCTCCATTTAGCAGGCTTGCTCTTATCAAGGCAAATCAATATCTATTGTAATATTTATTGCGTCGCGAAAAATGATAAAAAAGAAAGAAGGTGAAAAATAGCCAAATTAGTCAATTACAGTGCATAAATTACCACCCGTCAAAATCCCAAAGATCGTCTTCTCCAACCTTCAGTTTCTTAACATCGCCTCCAAGCTCCTCTTGTTTCCGCTTTCCGGGAGTCTCATCGTCCGGAGGAGTAGGATACACTTGTAGGTTCAGCTCCCCTAGAAGAGTAGATTCAAGACCGTTCCGAGTGCTCTCGCTCTTCTCCTGAGGAAGCATCGAAACAATCCCTTGGAATGCATCAGAAATAATCGTCGCCTTCACCTTGCCCTGCCAATTGGTACCCTTGTAGCCATTTGGCGTGATCGCAGAGTTATAGTACTTGAATGAGGTCGGAGTTTTCACGTTGAACGGCAACGGAGTGGTCAAAATGGCAGACGGAGTCAACACCTTGTTTCCCTGTCCGCTATTCGAGCTCAACGTGCGTCCCTTGCTCGTTGTCAGCTTCGTAGTCTCGTAGATCTTATTCTCCTCCTCAGGAAGATTCAGAGTGTCTGCAAGCACTGCAAGCACATACCGTGCCGGGTCCAGACTAGCAAGCTCACGACGCTTGTTGCGTTGCTGATCGATTGCGCGGATCCGGGCTTCTTCCTTCGAAACCATCTCGGTGGCCTCCTTCATCAGATGCTGCACCTCAGGCGAAGCCGCACCTTCAAACCCAGGCTGCACAGCGCCGGCAACAGCCGCACTTTGTGGAAACGGAGATGCTTTGCCTTTAACCGGCGGAGCAGTAGCAGCAGGTCCTTTGACAGGCCTCTTTCGCACAGGCTGCTTCTTCGCAGCAGCTACTGCTGGAGCAGAGGATGGCTGCTGAGAAGGCATCATTCCACCGTGAGATCCACCCATGAACTGTGGAGGAATCTTTCCAGCAACAGGTGCCTGCATAATGGGCACCTGCTGTCCAGGAATTTGACGTTGATCAGAAAGCTGCTGAAACTGTTGCGAGGCAGACGAAGCGCTGATGCCATTCATCGTCGGGAGCGACATGTACTGCTGTTGCTGTTGTTGTTGAACAGGATTCACGCGCTGCATCACCGGAGATGGCGTGGTAATGTTCATACCACCCTGCTGCTGTTGCTGTTGCGGTTTCTGCTGCATCATATAACGTCCCTGTGGTGGAACCATGTTTTGCGGGTTCATCGCAGGTTGTCCCGGAACACCGTGTTGCTGGGCTTTCATCATCTTGGAGTTTTGCTCCTTGATGTAGGCCAGAAACCTTGTGATCTGGTTCTGGACCTTGTTCAGAAGATCAAAACTGGCGAAGAAACGTCCCCCGTTCTTCAATCTGTCCAAAACCTGCTTGATCATTAACTGACTGTACATCAATTTCTTGGTACCCTCGTAGCTCTTTGTCATCATGTAAAAGTTTGGAATGATGATGCTCTCGCAAATCAACACCAGTTGCTGCGATTGCTTGATGATCTTGACAATCTGTTGCTTCTCATGCTCCGAAATCTCGTCCGTAATGTCTTTGAGGTTGATCGGAGTCGTCGAAACCTCCTGATAGATGGCCTTGAGTCTTCTCCAGTCTTCGTCCGTGGCATGGACACCAGTGAACAAACGAGGGCCAGCATTACCTGTTGGAAATTGAGGCTGCTGACCAGGCGAAATGTGTTGGCCAGAGATGACGTTGCCAAACTGTTGACCAACATGATTTAAACCCTGACTCTGGTTTTGATTGGTTGGAAGTTGTTGGGGCTGCATCGGAGGCTGCGATTGCGGAGCAATATGGTTGTTTTGGGATTGAGGACCAGTGTTCATGTGGTTTTGCTGCATTTGCATCATCATGTTAGGTTGTTGCATTTGCATCTGCGACTTTGGGAGTGTAGAGTTTGGTTGTTGCCTATTCTGAGCCATCATCGGAGTTTGGCCCATAGGAACCTTCGATTGTTGTTGGCGGGCATTATTCAGCAGGTGAAACAGGTATCTCTTGACATAGGTGCTTTCCTGCTCCGGGCTCAGGTTTGGAGGCAATTTGTTGGAAGCCTGCAAATTCTTGATCACTTGCAATGCTTGATTTTTGTAGTTCTCCAACTGTTCCGGAGTAATGGATGGACGCACACCAGCAGGATGCTGCTGCTGAGGTTGCTGAGGTTGTTGTTGCTGCTGCTGCTGCTGTTGTTGTTGTTGAGGGGGAATCATTTGTTGTTGCATCATGGATTGTTTCATCTGCTGTTGTCTCTGCAACATGAGCACCTGTTCTGGGTTCGGAGCGTTTGATTTCTGCTGAGGCATCACCTGTGCTCTGTCGCCCGTTGGATGGGCTCCATGCATCTGCGACATGCCTTGTTGTTGTTTAGCCCGCAAAATTTGCGTGTGCATGGTGTACACCTCCTTGATGAGTTCCATGTCATGAGGAGACATTTGTTTTTGCCTGAAGTACGGCATGATCATGGCCCATGTGTTGTGGCCCTGCGGAAACACGGGAGGGAGTTTCGCCAAGAGCGAGGGAGGAATTGGAATGTTCTGAATGTCGATTTTCTGCGGTTGACCCGTCGGCCGTGCCATTTGCGGTTGGGACTGCTGGGGCTGTTGAGGTTGCTGCTGTTGTCTCTGAATAGCGTTCTGCCGAGACTGATTGATGCTGGCGATCTTGCTTTTGAGATAGTCGACATACTCCTTCTTGGTAGACGAGTTGGAAAACGCAAACTTCTCGTACTCCTCAGCCACAGGTTTTGTTCGTTGGAGGGAAAAAGCGGCCCCTTGGATTTTGGCAATAGAAGCAACGATGAAATTGACGAATTGGATCCGGTCCTGAGGACTGATCTGTCCGGCGTTGTTGGGCTTACCTATAGGCGGCCTGGCGTTAGGTACAAACCCCTGGTTATTCATGGGGAAAATGATTAGAGTGTATCAATTTTTTCCCACGCTCGCCGCTTTTAGGTAATAATGTATGGCTGCATGTATTCTGATATCTACAACGTCCATACGGTCTACAATGAAGTTCCATGTTGTACAACAGTGCATTTTTATGTAACTAGTATCCAGCGGCTCCAGGAACGTCCTGCTTGCCCTTGAGCGATATCAACAGATCTCTGAAACGGGTCTTATCTCTATGGTCCGCAAGATCCGAGGCATTTGAGTTCTTGGTGAGGCTCAACACCTCCACCACACGGTCCCAGACAGTACCGTGCTCCAGAAACTTGTCTCTTTTCTCCAAAAACGCCACCTCCTCTTTGCGTGTGGCTTCCACGGCCTCGTCTTTCTTGTTGTTGTAATTCTCGTAGAAATCGTCAATTGCTTTCTCGGCCTCCTTCTTGACCTGCTCGAGCTTGCTGGCGGCTGTCTCGTCTCTCTTGGACACCTCCAGATCTCTGGTCTTGCGCCACTCTTGGATATGGGTGCTTTCGTCCAGGTTCAGATTGGCGAACTTGTTGACGACCGGCTCCTCGAATTCCGGCTCTCTGGTCTCCTCGACAGGCTCTGGCGCAGCGTCCGATGCAGAAGGCACCTCTGGGAACTGTGTTTTGAAATCCTCAAACTCGTCGTCGTCTTTGACAATGTCGTCCTGTTCGGTGGCAAACTCGTCTCCGAGCAATTCCTTTTCCCGCGAAAGAAAATCGCTGCCTTCAGCCACTCCGGTGGTCTCAACGTCGTCTAGTTCAGGGAATTTGTCGGCCATGTTTGCGTTGCTTAAATTTCTGTGTTGTCAAAGAAATCAAAATTGGTTTACAAAGTTTCTGGTGTAGAGGTGGGAAAATAGGCAAGCAGAGCTGGATGGAGGATGTGGAAACAAGATGGGGCAGAAACCATGTAGGCTGGTTCTGCGTACAAGGGGGGTACTAGAGTACAGTCTGGTGTCTGAAAGGTCGCTGAAGCTGGTTATTTGGATGACTACTGGTAGCTACGGTAAGGAGGGAGAACCAGCCAACTTGAAAATAGAGCATGAACAGCAGATAGACAGGCAGAAACTACGCGTAGTACTTAGCTACTTCTTTTGAGCCGTACTAGCTCATGGCACTTTTTTTGTTTCACCACCCTGCCATTACTGGCAGCATATTGGTTAGATGCCACATTGATCACTACTTTGATAGTGCCGTGTACAGACGCTTTCTTTGGGCTCATTTTCAGCCTGAAACAGTTGCCGAGCAATTGAGACTCCTGTTACTGGATAGATCAGCAAACCGGGTGCTGGTGGTGGATCGACGATGGATATTCCGGAAAATGATAGTTGCAACCAGGAGCCAGAGTGAGACTTTTCATTAGCGTAGCCACAGATGTGCTACCAAAACCACGATGGATACACCAGCAACTTGAGAGAAGGTACTGTGCAACTCATTAGTCACCATAAATTCATTCAACTGCCAGGACCCTGCCAAAGTGTCCAGAAACCTTATTTGCGTTGCAGTTGGTGGACTGCTATGTCGCGATTTGTGATTCGGTTATCGGAATGCGGTCGCTATCGGCCGAGATTTTTAGACTTGGTAATCAGCAGATAAGCCGCGTCGTGGTGCACTTGCTCAGTTCCAGGGGTATACACGACACGTTTAACGGCTCTATTGTCGTTGCTGCCAACCCTGATGTTTGCCTATACCCTTGAGGAAGACTTACCGGCTAGTAAAACTGTGTTTTGTGAGACGGGCCCGTGAAGCTGTAAAAACTTGAAAAGTCTCAAGAGCGTGTAGGCCCTGCAAATAATTGGGCTTGCGTAGCACGTGTGAGCTGTTTGTCCTTTGACGATATGAGAAGCAGGCAGGGATATTGATTGGATGTCGCTGGGGAGCATCCAGTCTGTGCCAACTCACATTGGCAAGACGAGTAGCAAGGTTTTGTCCACCAGAGCTGCTTGCTGTTATAGCTGCTTGAGAGCATAACCAGCAGTCGGTCAGCTTGGTCGCTGCAACCACTGCCTGTTGGGGTCCCATGAGTAATCACAAACCTTTACCTGGTTACTGCACAATCATGGTTGCAAGGAATATATCGTAGCAACCATTCCCACGGTGGCCAGTACTGGCTACCAATAGTGAACGCCCATGCTTTCGAGAGCTACGTTCAGTTACTACCGGTTGTGAATTGCAATTCGAGTATATTAAACCATAAGCTAAACAAAACAAAACACAAATCTACTCTTCTTCTTCACCTGGAGGAGGGCGGTCTTCGACATGTCTTTTCAAGTTAGAGTTTCCAACAGAGCCACGACGTGGACTGCAGAATGGGCAGTGGCGTGGAGAAGTTGGAGCAGCGGTACCAACAGCAGCAAGAATAGCAAAGGCACTAAGGATAGCAGCAAATTTCATGACAAGGGGTCTTAGGATAGAGATGGTAGCAAGGATCTTGGGTTGAATTTATACCGTTTTCCTAAGGCATTAAGTCGGTGAGCGTCGGAAACTCGGAAATTTAGATGCATCAATTGGTCTGCATAAGGCTGAAAAAGATAGAGCGTAGATACGGTGGAGAACTAAACTGAGGGACAGATATAAGGGTGAGCAGTCACCTCTCAATGAACACAGCAACACAAAGGATTGGTAGCTCTGATTTCTGCTCCCCCATCAGCTTGTCCTGGCGTTAGAAACTCCCACCTGCTCACCCCTATTTTTCAGCCATGAAGAGCTAAATTCCTGCATTTACGAAAGATACATCTGCAGCAAGATCCCAAACACCCTAAACCGGCAATGATTTTATTGTTTGGTCCCTGAAAATCTACCCTAACCGTGGTTCTATAGCAAGACAAATGCACGGCATTACAGGTACACCATAGTATCAAAATCATCAACATTGATAACGTATCGATAAGTTGTCTAGGAACTCAATTTCGTGCGGCTTTGCAGCCCGTATTGCCTTGGATTAAATGTCCGAAACCTTCATTCTGGGACAATTGCCGTAAGAATGGCTCATTCACATGCGAAACAATCATTTTGCTCCCAGATTGTTCAACACTTTTTCTTCTTATCTCTTATCTCAGCTACCATTGGACCAGTTTACAGTAAAACGTGACTACGGCATTAAAGTCTTCTTATTTTAGTAGTTTCAGCTTCTCAACACTTCTTGTTTGCAAATAGCAGGTTTTGCGCCATAACCCCGTAATCGCCCATACTCTTTTCTCTCTTTGACTGTCAAACTGCCTCGGCAAAAGGCAGAAGCGGTCAATCGCTTGCGGTGCACGGGTGTTGCGAAAATTATTCAAATCTCCATTTGTATAACAAAGTTGAACGTAATGAGTTTTTCGGTGGATCGTGCCCGCGTGAAGCTGGCAGCGCTTGTGCCGACCCAGCAGAGTATTCAGACCACATCTCAGTGGATCATGTTTCACTACCGCGAGGCGCAGACGATTGTGGATCTGTGGCACAAAGAGATCTCTTCACAGCAAAATAAGTTGACACTATTTTATCTAGCGAATGATATTGTCCAATTGAGCCGCAAAGACCCGAAAAACAGCGGGTTCACCAACGGGTTCAAAGAGGTGCTTCCGAAGGTGATACAAACGCTAAATCCAGGCGCCGACAAGCCTAAGTTCCTAAAAGTTCTCCAGGTCTGGAAAGATAGAAATATCTATCCTGCAGACTATGTTGATAATTTAATTCGTTCGCTCGGTGGACAGCCTGGTCAGCAAGCAGAGCCAAGGAAACATGCAGCTGAGCCAACCGCGTACCAGAAATGTCCGGCCGAGTTGATCGAAGTTGCTCTCCAGTACGACCATCTGCAGCAGGTTTCTTCTGCCAATAGTGCGCGATTTGCAGGGCTGTCGGAGACGTACTCAGGAACCCTCAAGGCGGAGAATCTTCCTGCTCCAGACGTTCTCATTGGACAGCTTGAAGGACTGGTGAAGGGCAGTGGTTCGTTGATTGACAGTATCAGTAGCCAGAAAGAATTGAGAGAGAAATTGGTCACCAGTCTCGAGTCATTGATACAAGCCCAAAAAGACTGGATCAACGTGGATGCAACCAAGCTCTCAAAACTGGAAACTATAAAGAGCTCTGCAGACTCGAGAAAACGCGAACTCGAGCAGACGTTGCAACAGGGCGACGACGACGAGGAAATGCCAACCTACAAGGACGACGACGAGGATATACCAGCTTATCAGGACGATCAGCCAGATCAGGCAGATAACGACGCGACCCCAGCGTACGAGTCGGCCTCCGACTTCATCTCCGGGTTTGCGTCGGACTCCAAACGCGACCCGCCTGACAGCTCCGACGAACCTGCTCCGAAACGCCAGGAGATTCCTGTCAATGTAGATTTAAATGCTCTGTTGAGTAAGTTACAATAATGCATGTACTAAAATTATTTTCCTGTAAATATTTCAATTAATAATTATGAAGGTGGCTTTTGTTTGCACGGGAAACATGTAAGTAGCGGCCCGATCAAGCACTAACCAACAGATGCCGCTCGCCGATGGCTGAGGCAGTTTTTGCCGACATGGTCAAACAGCACAAGCTCGGAGCGGAAATCACAAAAATTGACTCGTTTGGAACTCATTCGTATCATGTCGGACAATCGCCAGACGAAAGAACAGTGGCCACCTGTAAGTTACACAAAGTGCCTATCAGTCACCGTGCTAAGCAGATCAAGCCCCAGCATTTCCTGGAATTCGACTACGTTCTCTGTATGGACGACTACAACCTGCGTTCCTTGCAGCAGAAACGTCCCGAAAACAGCACAGCCAAGGTTTGTTTATTTGGTGACTGGAAGCAGGATGACGACTTAGAAAGAATCGTGGACGACCCATACTACGGTGATAGAGACGGATTTGAGGAATGTTATAGACAATGTGTTCATTTCAGCAAAGTATTTCTGGAAAAGGAATGCACTTAGTTAAATTACATAGATTACACCAACGTTTGTTCCTGGCTAGGATCAAAATAGAACCCGGGCTGGCTTCTAACAGTCCATGACTCCTTGTAATCGAAAAATTTCCATTCGTTGCCCTCCAGATGGAACCACGTCTTAAGTTCCTTGTGGTACTTCCATCCACGACGAATAAGTTCCTTGGCTGTGATGTATTGGAGATAATCGTCGTTGGATCCTTCCAGATTGTGCAGGGCTGTGAATGGAGACTTATATTTTTGGTTGTGGTAGTAGAAACAGTAGGCTAGGGTGTTAATCTCCAGTTTCTGCAAAAGTTTCGTCGACCCTGTGATCTCCACTGCTGGTTCCTGCGGGAAGCATGTTTGGGTGGTGAACTGGTTGGTTGGCTGGTAGTTCCGGGGCTTGTCAGAATCGTACGAGTCAGGACAGTTGAGCAATGAGGACTCTAGTTGCATGAAAATAGGCTCTACTGTGCGGTTTTCGTTGCTCTCGTGTCGTTCCTTTGCACTTTGCAAACATCCAACATATTCTCTAAATCCTTCGGGCATGTGGCCATAGTTGGTCGTATCCAAGAACGAGAACGGAGTTGGTGATGCAGTTGTCTCTCTGGTGGACTCTCCAGTCTTGGTAAGTCCCGGTGGAACCATCGGAGACGCTCTGCCTTTTGTTTCTGCAGTAGGTAACCCTGTGCTTACCACTGAGGCGTACTTCAACTTCGGAGTAGTTGTGCTGGAGGCTGCAGGAGTCAAGTTAGCAGGCCATGGCTTCGGTGAGCTCTTTTGAACAGTGGCCGGCAGGGTGCCTGAAGTGGCCCTTATAGCCAAATTCTGAGCGACCGTTTGATGTGTAGACTCTGTGGGCGTAGGCTGGCTGAGAGGACCGCTCGAAAGCACACTTGGAACACTCGTGCTAGATTTGCGCGTCGAGGGCTTCGAGTCTGCCTTAGAAACCTTGTCCTCGCTGTCCTCCTCGCCGTCCTCATCCTGGCCGCCAGGAACCACGTTGAAGCTCTCATCAAGCTCGTCCAATCCGAGCTCGTCGTAAAACGTATCGTCTTCCACAAAAGTGTCGTCCTGGTTCGATTGAACGTAATACTCGATGTCTTCTTTGATGTCGTTGATCTGATCAACGTCCAGATTGTCGTTTTCCAGCAACCGGAGTATCGTTTCCAGCTTGCCTCCATGCCATCTATGACGCTCAAGAAGCTCGTTCAGCTCGTCTATCTGGGCTTGCTTGGCAGCGTCCGACTTCTTCTTCTTGAACGAGCTGGTGATTTGGTCGATTTCAGCCTCAATAGCCTCATCTTGTCGCTCGAGCTCCTCGATCATGGAATGGATGAAGTCGGCGCACTCCAGCTTCTCTCGCTGGGCCGGGTCCAAGTTCACGTCTGCAGAAGCAAGAGCCTCGTTGGAGAACGCCTTGGTCTTCATCATCTTCTCCACCTCCTTGAATCGCTCCATTTCGTGCTCAATTAGTCGACGGTGCTCAACAAGCGGTTTTTTGTCCTTCACCTCGTTTCCAGACATCCAATTCTTGATCTGCTCTCTATTTCTCTGCAGTTTCTTGATCTCCTTCTTCAAATCGTTCTCCAACTTCTCCTTCTGCGACTGTTGATCACAATTCTGCAATTTCTCATATATAAAGTCAAACTCCTCCAGCCCCTCCTTCACCTTCTTGAACAATCGTTCCATCTCTCTGATAAAGTTAGTAACACCAACCAATTACACTTACTGTTGAAGCTTTCGTTGCGACATCTTGGGATTGTCCTATTTGTTTGATGTCTCCAATTCTTTTTAACTTCCTTTTCAATGGCCGTACTTTTTTATGACAGAAAACTAATCATGCTTCGAATGGAAAATACAATTAAAAATTATCTTGAAAAATAGTCATGGATTACTGGACTACCAAACTTGACAATCCAACTCTCAATGTTGTGCCGCTGGACTTTAACCGTCCAACGACTCACAAGATTGTTGAGTCCAGATTGTCCGTTCCTTTAAAATCGACTGCCTCGTTCCAAGACCTTTTGGCTATCTGGATGGTTCTTGTCTATAGACTTACCGGTGATGACGATATTGTGGTGGCCACAAATACCGAATCCGGAGACGCCTTTGTGGTGAGAGTGGATATTGACCCAAAGAGCTCGTTTGCCTCGTTTTCGAAACTGGTTTCCGAAACGTACTCCAAGGGATCAGATAACCTTGTTCCTTTAACGGAGATTGCACTCAACCTCCAGAAATCCAAAAAATTGGACGCTCCTCCTCCATTGTTCAGACTCTCCTTCCAACACAAGAGCGCAACAGAGCAGCTGTCGTCGTCGATTGCTGGATCCGTCAGAGACATCGCCGTGTTCGTCCATGATTCGAACGGAAAGCTCTCGTTGGAGATCTACTACAATTCTCTGTTGTACTCGCAACGGAGAATCGAAATCATGGGAGAACAGTTCAACGAGTTTCTCAAAGCCGTCTCGCAAAGTCCAGATACCCTGATTTCCCAAGTCTCGCTGCTCACAGAAGCCCAGAAATCTGTGCTACCAGACCCCACCATAGATCTCGACTGGAGTAATTTCCGCGGTGCCATTCAGGACATCTTCAGCGATAATGCAGACAAGCATCCAGACAGAACCTGTGTGGTTGAGACTGCCTCGTTCCTGCAAGAGGGTGCAAAGGATCGTGTTTTCACGTACAAACAGATTAATGAGGCCTCCAACGTTGTCGGTAACTACCTTGTCAAGACAGGAATTAAGAGAGGCGACGTTGTGATGATCTACGCTTATAGAGGAGTCGACCTTATGGTTGCAGTTATGGGTGTTTTGAAAGCAGGCGCAACTTTCTCCGTTATTGACCCGGCCTATCCACCAGCCAGACAAACCATCTACTTGCAGGTTGCGGATCCTCAAGGTATCATTGGTATCAAGAAAGCCGGCGAGATCTCCCAGTTGGTGGAGGACTATATCTCAGAGAAATTGAACGTTGTGACCAGGATCCCAGCGTTGGAGCTCCAGGACGATGGAACCATTGTTGGAGGAACTCCTGACGTCTTGCACGACTACCAACAGTACAAGGGCCAAAGAACTGGTGTTGTTGTTGGTCCCGATTCTAACCCTACTTTGTCGTTCACCTCTGGATCCGAAGGTATTCCAAAAGGTGTGCTCGGAAGACACTTCTCTCTGGCATACTACTTTCCATGGATGGCCAAGACTTTCGGTCTAAGCGAGAAAGACAAATTCACCATGCTTTCTGGTATCGCGCACGATCCTATCCAAAGAGATATGTTCACTCCGTTGTTCTTAGGAGCCACTCTTTTGGTTCCAACAGCTGACGACATTGGAACTCCTGGTAAGTTGGCAGAATGGATGTCCAAGCACGGAGCCACTGTCACTCACTTAACTCCTGCTATGGGTCAACTGTTGACCGCTCAGGCGGTCACTGAATTCTCAAGTCTCCACCATGCCTTCTTTGTTGGTGACATCCTAACCAAGAGAGACTGTTTGAGATTGCAAACCCTAGCCAAGAACTGTGCCATTGTCAACATGTACGGAACAACGGAGACCCAAAGAGCTGTTTCTTATTTCGAGGTTGCTTCAAGAGAAACCGATCCAAGATTCCTGGCCAACCAAAAAGACGTTATGCCTGCCGGTAAAGGTATGTTGAACGTTCAGCTATTAGTTGTTAATAGAAACGACAGAACCCAAACCTGTGGTGTTGGTGAGGTTGGTGAGATTTACGTGAGAGCTGCTGGTCTTGCTGAAGGTTACAGAAAGAACGACGAGCTCAATAAACAGAAATTCGTCACCAACTGGTACACTTCCCCAGACAAATTCATTGCCAAGGATAAAGAACTTGACAAGGGTGAGCCATGGAGAGAGGTTTGGAAGGGCCCAAGAGACAGACTTTACCGTACTGGAGATCTTGGAAGATACTTGCCGGACGGAAACTGCGAATGTTGTGGTCGTGCTGACGATCAGGTCAAGATCAGAGGTTTCAGAATTGAGCTGGGTGAGATTGACACCCATATTTCTCAACATCCGCTGGTCAGAGAGAATGTCACCCTTGTGAGAAGAGACAAAAACGAAGAGCCAACTTTAGTTTCTTATATTGTTCCAAAGGCATCTCCAGAACTCGAGAAGTTCAAGAGTTCCTCGAAAGACTTGGATGATCTGGAGGACCCAATTGTCAGAGGTTTGATTGTGTATCGTGAGCTGATCAAGGATTTGAAGGCCCACTTGAAGAAGAGACTGGCCAATTATGCTATCCCATCTCTGGTTGTTCCAATGTCCAAGTTGCCAATGAACCCTAACGGAAAAGTCGACAAGCCTAAACTTCCTTATCCAGACACTGCTCAGCTTGCTGCTGTTGCACAATTGTCATCCAAGGACGTTGAGGATGTTGAGTTCACAGAGACAGAGTCCAAGATCAAGGACGTGTGGCTCTCTGTGCTTCCAAATAAGCCTGCTACCATCCAACCGGATGACTCGTTTTTCGATTTAGGAGGACATTCTATTCTTGCTACACGGATGATCTTCGAGCTCAGAAAACAACTTGCTGTGGAGATCCCTCTGGGAACTATTTTCAAGCACCCAACCATCGCCTCCTTTGCTGCTGAGATCGACAGTCTGAAGAAAGATGACGATTTCGAGCTTGCTGACGGTAAGAACAACGCTATTCCTGAAAAACAGGCGGAGTCTGTGGACTACTATGAAGATGCCCAAAAGCTAGCTGCTACCTTGAAACAGTACCCAACCAGAGAATCTTTGGATTTCACACAACCATTGAACGTGTTTGTGACGGGATGTACTGGATTCTTGGGATCGTTCATCTTGCGTGACTTGTTGAGCAGAAAAACCAATATCAAGGTCTGGGCTCACGTTCGTGCAAAAGATGAAAAGTCTGCTTTGGAGAGACTTGTCAAGACCGGAAAGACTTACGGTATCTGGAATGACAAATGGACTGACAAGATCCAGATTGTTCTTGGAGACCTTGCCGAGACTCACTTTGGCAACGAGCAGCAATGGAAGACACTTGTGACGTCGATCGACGTGATTGTGCACAACGGAGCTTTGGTCCACTGGGTGTACCCATACTCGAAATTGCGTGACGCCAACGTCATTTCTGCCGTCAATGTAATGGATCTTTGTGCTGAAGGTAAACCAAAGGTGTACACGTTTGTGTCTTCCACCTCGACCATCGACGTTCCATACTACGTCTCTCTTTCTGACAAGCTTGTGGATGCCGGAGAGGCTGGTATTTCCGAGGCCGACGACCTCATGGGTGCTTCCAAAGGCCTGGGAACCGGGTACGGACAGTCCAAGTGGGCTGCCGAGTATATTATCAGAAAGGCCGGTGAAAAGGGTCTCAGAGGTGCTGTCATCAGACCTGGTTATGTGCAAGGTTTCTCCAAGACTGGTGCTGCCAACACGGACGATTTCTTGCTCCGTATGTTGAAGGGCTGTGTTGAGATTGGCGAGTACCCGGACATCTCCAACAGCGTCAACACTGTGCCTGTGGACCACGTTGCCCGTGTTGTTGTTGCTGCTGCTCTGCATCCTCCTTCTGCTGCCACGCTTCCTGTTGTTCACGTGACCGGCCATCCACGTATCAGATTTAACGAAATGCTGGCTGCTCTGCACAAGTTTGGCTACAACGTTCAGCGTGCAGACTACCTGCAATGGACCAAGTCTTTGGAACGATACGTTGTTGACGAAGGCAAGGACAACGCGCTGTATCCATTGCTGCACTTTGTGCTGGATAACCTGCCACAAGACACTAAAGCTCCAGAATTGTGCGATAAGAACGCAGTGGAGAGTCTTGTTGCTGACTCCAAGTACACTGGTGAGGACACCTCTGTTGGAGCCGGTGTGACTCTGGACATTTTGGCCCGGTACGTGAGCTACCTTGTCAAGATCGGATTCCTGCCTGCCCCTAAAACCGGTGAGATCACTCTGCCCGATGTGGAAATCTCTCATGAGACATTAGAATTGATTAAAGCTGGTTCTGGAGCCAGAACCAGTGCAAACTAAATAATTTGACTATATTTACACCATGATCTGATCAGCAACGTCCTTTTCCTCCTCAATGATGCAATCCAGTCCGGTGAATGCGTCGTCAAGAGACTTCTGGAAGTAAACGTCGAGCTTGTATCCACCAGCGCGGTACTGGATATCGTCCACCATCTTGGATAGGAACGGGTCTTTGTAGTCGCCGTACTCGTACGGAGGAGTAGGCATTCTGTCTCCGTTGAATGGCGTGAACGGCATCTTTGGCTTCTCCTCCTCCTTGATTTCGTCCTTGCCGCTGATGATGATCTCGCGTTCCTCCTGATAGTTTTTCTCCAGTTCCTCGAGCTGCTGCTTGTATATATCTGTCTTGGAAACCATGGAGTCTCTAACGTTCGCGATGATCTTGTCGGCATCCTTTTCTCCCGATGCGGTCTGTAATTGATTGATGACCTCTGTTTTACTGAGGTTCTTGAGATTCTGCTCTTCTTTGAAGATCTCTCTGTTGATCTTGTTTTTCTCTGTTCTATACCGCTTTTCCAGGTTCTGGAGCTTGACGAACTTGGCGTGCTCCTGGTCCCGCTGGTTGTTGCTCATCTCGATGTCGTGTTTGTGCTCTATCTGGTAGTCTTTCAACTTCTGTTCTGTCTGCTCGACATCGATTCTATTCACAAGCTTGTAAACGTAGTCCTCCACCTGCTCAAGATAAGCGTTGTACTCATCCAGCGTGGCAAAATCGTCCTCGGTCTTGTTGTAAACGGCCATAACCCGTTTTCGCACATCGCACTCGCGCTCAACCTCGATATCGTCAAAGATCTGGGTCTTGAATCGGTTCTTCCTCAAGATTTTGCCACAGTTCGGATACGGACAAGGAGAAGGACCCAATGAGAATATTCGGTCCACGCACGAATCGCAAATCTTGTGATAGCATTCCGGGTTGATCTTGAACTGTAGGGAGGGCGAAAGGTACTTGTCGGTCTTGCAAACCGGACACAGGTCCTTTGGGATGTTGTTCCAATTTAACTCCACCATTTGGAATAAATAATTTTTTAAAGCTTTATTTTTCATACGCGTGCCAATAAATGCTGGACGAAATCAACACCCATTTGTTTGTTCAGAAACAGCCAATCACGTACAAGTTTCTTGCCCGCTGGAAAGACTTGTCGTCAACAAAGGCCAAGGAGGTTCTGGCGGAGTACTACGACAAGTACAAACGCGAAAAGCCAGAACTGTTCTCTGTCTACACGGTGACGGGCAAGACTGGGTCGGTGCGGGTCATCAAGGTTGTGGGGCAGGATGAGCTAGATAGCAGCAAAGAGGCGCTTGATGGAGAAGTGTCAGTGTCAATTTACGGTCTTAATATGGGCAAAATAGCTCTCGACACCATGGTAGCAGTTAATTCGACCATTTCGAAGGAGTACACAACGGACAATTGCGTGCGATGGGGCGTGATACAGACCACTACGGCAGTGCGGATAGTTAAAGGAGAGACGGAAAAGCCGATCGAAACACGGCCTGCTCAGAGAACGGCAGTGAGCGAACCAGTCAGGCAGAAAGAAACCAAGCCAGAAGTTAAAAAGGAGTCTCGTTCGGACGAGTTGAGCAGACTGAGCGCAATGTACACGTCCAGGAAAAAAGAGACAGAGAAAAAGACTCAGCCAAAGTCAGAGTCTGTGGAGCCGCCAAGAAAGAAAACAAAAGCTGAGGTCAAGGCCAATCTCCAGAAGCTATTTGCAGACAGCGACGAGGACGAACCGATGGATGTTGACGAGGAGCCAATTTCTATCGAGTCGCAAGAACCGTCAAATACGCCAAAACCTGCAAAGGAGGTCTCTTCCAAACCTGTGGAGTCTGCTACCAAAGTTGTTCAGCCTGAGGCTGTCGAGCCTGCCAAACCCGTCTACGACGAGGACGGATACCTGGTGACATCCAAGCCTGCTAAACGATCGGCTACACACCCACCTGCCAAGAAGACTCCCGCTCCAGCGAAAAACGCCGAAAAGAAAGGCGACACGAAAAAACAGGTCTCCTTGATGTCATTTTTTGGTAAGAAGAAATAATTTTAATTTATCTCGTGCACTATATGCTTACCGTGGCTGTCGAAGGGTGCTGCCATGGTCAATTAAACGCCATATACAAGTCGCTTCCGGCGGTTGTGGATCTTCTGATAATCTGTGGGGATTTCCAGAGCGTGCGCAACGCCGCCGACCTGAAATGTCTGGCCGTTCCGCAGAAGTATCGGCAAATGGGCGATTTCCAGGACTACTATACGGGACGTCGAAAAGCGCCCGTGATGACGATTTTTGTCGGAGGCAACCATGAAGCGTCAAACTATCTCACTGAGCTGAAACATGGTGGGTTCGTGGCCCCCAATATTTACTACCTTGGACAGTCTGGTGTGGTTTGGTATAAAGGACTCAGAATAGCAGGAATCTCAGGCATCTACAACGAGCCTCATTTCTACACCGCGCGCACAGAAACACTACCGTACGATCGGTCGACGATTCGCTCGGTTTACCACTATAGACACAGCAATCTGCTGCCATTGCAACTTCTTCGACCTTCAAATGAAACAATAATGATCTCGCATGACTGGCCCGAGGGAATCTACGACTACGGACTGAAGGACCAGTTGTTGAAAAATAAACCGTTTTTCAAGACCGACATCGAACGGCGATGTTTGGGCTCGCCGCCGCTGATGGGACTTCTGCGACATCTGCGGCCCAGATACTGGTTTAGTGCACACTTACATACCAAGTTCGAGGCCAATGTTCCATGGAAGTCCGCACGACCAGAGGAAAAACTCAACGTGCAGGAAATAGATTTGGATCTGGAATTGACACCTTCTTCCACCGACAGTCTTCCGACCCGGTTTCTGGCCCTAGATAAATGTTTACCACGGAGAAAGTACCTGGAGATCCTGCGACTGGCTCAGACAGAAATGCCGGCCAATCTAAAGGGACTGAAGTTTTCCTATGATCCAGAATACATCAGCATCATACAAACTGTCTCCAAGTACCAGGACCAGTTGGAAACAGAGCCGTCGGACGAGCTGGTCTCGGAGATTCTAGAGAAATGTCAAGAGCGGCGCGAGCAGCTCGAAAGCCTCGACCCGAAGGAGTATCGCAAGCTCATGAACATCGATGTGGAGTTCGTGCGTACTGCTCCAGCAAAAGAGTCGACCGTTCAAGAGTACATTAATCCCCAGACTGTGCGATTTACTGAAAAATTTCTTGCACAGCCGTTGAAATAATAAAAAAATTTTAACCTTTGAAAAAATAAATTAAATAGCATGGCTAAGAAGAGAGTTGCCGAGGAGACAAGATCTCAGCCAAAGAAGGCTAAGCTAGACCCGGAATACTCTGAGGAGGAAGTTGAGGAAGAAGTTGATGAGCTTGATGGAGGCGATTACGCTGAAGAGTCTGCTGAAGAAGATGATTCTCCAGCAGGTACCGGTAACGATGAGGAAAACAGACCGTCCAGAGAGGAGCAGAAGAAGCTCTTGAATGAAAGAAAGCTCAAGAGAAAGTCTGGAACACAGGTTGAGAACATCAAGCGGTTGTGGGAGAAGTTGAGAGTCAAGAACCCACCCATGCCAAAGGAAATCAGAGATAAGCTGTGTGACGAGACCTGGGAGCTATCTAAGGACGTTATTGGTGATTTGGTGTTGAAGCACGATGCATCGCGTGTGGTCCAGACTTTGGTGAAGTACTGCTCTAAGGAGCGTCGTGAGATCATTACTCGTGCTCTCAAGGGACAGTTCTACAATCTGGCTACCTCGTCTTACGGAAAGTACCTGCTGATCAAGCTTTTACACTATGGATCCAAGGATTCGCGCGAGTTGATTCTTTCTGAATTACACGGAAAGCTTCGCAAATTGATCCGTCACAGGGAGGGAGCATACGTGGTGGAGGACCTGTATGTTTTGTATGCTACTTCCAAGCAGAAGTCTCAGATGATCAAGGAGTTCTGGGGATCGGAGTATGCCGTTTTCCGCGATACTTCTGACGCCAGAACTATCAAGGAAGTCTGTGCTGAGTCCAAAGAGAAGAGATCTCTTATTGCCAACAATCTGATCACCACTATCCGTGGATCTGTCGACAAAGGATCTACCGGATTCCAGATTCTCCATGCTGTTATGAGAGAATACGTCCAGATCTTCGAGAACGAGGAAGTGCGCGCGCTTATCGAGCTCCTGCAAGACCAGATCGCAGAGCTTGTGCACACCCAGGAGGGTTGTGAGGTTGCATGCACTCTGATCGCCAAGGCCAATGCTAAAGAGAGAAAGAACATTTTGAAAGGTCTGAAACCACACGGAGAGGCTCTTGCCAAGGACGAACACGGACAGCTTGTTCTGCAGATAATCTTCATGACCGTTGACGATACGGTTCTCGTGAACAGAACATTCTCCAGCGTTTTCAAAGACACATTTGAAAAACTTGTTCTTGGAAAGTTTTCCAGAAGACCATTCATCTATCTGTTGAACGGTCTGGACCACTCATACTTCTCGCCTCCTGTTCTCAAGGACATTCAGAAATACATGGAGCTTGCATCAGAAACCTCCAAGAAGCCGCAAGAACAACGTCGCACAGAGCTCCTAAAGAACTTGCTACCTCTGTTTTATGAAACCGTCCAGAAAAGATCCATCCTGCGTGAAAATTTTGGATCCCAGTTCGCTCTGGAGCTCATACTCAACAACGACTTCCCTGAAGAGACAGAGGAGCCAAGAAAACAGCTGCTGGAGCTAATTTTGTCTGAGATGAAGGAGGATCTTGGAGAAGACCATCTTTTGAGCAAACCGTTCACCTCTCGTTTATTGAAGTCCCTTATCCAAGGAGGTAAGTGGAACTTTAAGGAGAAGAAGGTTGATACTGTTCCAAACATTGGCGTGGGCAAAGATTTTGCCGCTAGCTTCGCCGAGACGGTGTTTGAGAACGGAGAAGACGAACAGGTTCTGAAAAACTGGATCAACGACAACCAAGGATGTTTTGTTTTGGTTGCTCTGGTCGAAGCATTGAAAGACTCCAAAAAGAACAGTTTCCCTAAGAAGCTCAAGAAGCTTGACAAGATCATCAAGAAGCAGGACGACGATAACAAGGGCGCACAGCTGCTGCTCAAGGTGTTCTAAGTGGATGCTTTTCCGGTGTACGGGTGTGTTTGTAATCAGGCAAAAAATAAATAAAGTAATTTCGATGGCAAAAAACTAAACTAACAATCTTGGAACAACTATGGCGGCCAAAGAGGATTGGGAAAAGTATAAGAAGCCTGTCGATGACGCCGACGAGGAAACAAAAGAGGAGAAGATCACTCCATTGAGTGAGGGCGATATCCAAGTTCTGAAGACCTACGGAGCAGCTCCATACAGCCAGTCGATCCGCGACATTGAGAAAGACCTGAAAGAATTGGAAGGCCGTATCAAGGAGAAAATTGGAATTGAGGAGTCCGATACCGGTCTCTCGAGTCCAAACTTGTGGGATGTGGCCGCTGACCGGAAGAGAATGAGCGAAGAACAACCATTGCAAGTGGCACGGTGTACCAAGATGATTGAGCCTTCCGCAGAAGAAGAGGCCGACGCAAAAACGAAATACGTGATAAATATCAAACAAATTGCCAAGTTTGTTGTTGGATTGGGTGAAAGAGTGTCTCCGACCGACATTGAAGAAGGAATGAGAGTTGGTGTGGACAGAACAAAGTACGAGATCCAGCTGCCTCTTCCACCAAGAATCGATCCTAGTGTGACGATGATGACTGTTGAAGAGAAGCCAGATGTGACATACAGCGATGTCGGTGGCTGTAAGGAACAGATCGAGAAACTGAGAGAAGTTGTTGAGTTACCTTTGTTGTCGCCAGAGAGATTTGTCAAGTTGGGAATTGACCCTCCAAAAGGTATTTTGTTGTACGGTCCGCCAGGAACAGGTAAAACTTTATGTGCACGTGCCGTGGCCAACAGAACAGACGCTACATTCATCAGAGTCATTGGTTCGGAGCTTGTTCAGAAATACGTCGGAGAAGGTGCAAGAATGGTGAGAGAGCTTTTCGAGATGGCGAGAACGAAAAAGGCATGCATCATTTTCTTTGACGAAGTCGACGCTATCGGAGGTGCAAGATTCGATGACGGTGCTGGAGGAGACAACGAGGTGCAAAGAACCATGTTGGAATTGATTACCCAATTGGACGGTTTCGACCCTAGAGGAAACATCAAGGTGATGTTTGCCACAAACAGACCAAACACATTAGACCCTGCATTGCTTAGACCTGGAAGAATCGACAGAAAAGTGGAATTCTCGCTACCTGACCTTGAAGGTCGTGCCAATATCTTCCGGATTCACTCCAAGTCCATGTCATGCGAACGCGACATACGTTGGGAGCTGATTTCTAGACTGTGTCCAAATGCCACTGGAGCAGAGCTCCGGTCGGTGTGTACAGAGGCCGGTATGTTTGCGATCCGGTCGAGAAGAAAGGTTGCTACAGAGAAGGATTTCTTACAGGCTGTCGAGAAGGTTATCAAGGGAAACATGAAGTTCAGCTCAACATCGAGATACATGCAATACAATTAATCGTGAAACATATTCATTACTCCCACCAGCTGACACAGCCCATTCCGTCTGTCTGGCAGCTGGCAACAAGTGCGTAAGGTGGCGATTTGCGGTCCGCACCGTCGGCGCCGTTGGTCTGGTCATCCACCGCCAGTGAAGTGAGCGAGTTGTCTGGGCCCTTTGGTCGCACGTCGTTGAACACTTCTTTCTCTATGCGAAAATTGATTTTTTCGTTAATGTCCAGATACAATTTAGTTTCTTCATCCATTTTCCAGATCCATGCGTTGTCATCGGCTGAGTAGTACGATCCTTCGAACATGTAATTTTTTGGCACGAAGATGTCGTTGAAGAAGTTCATATTGATTTTAATGCCTTCCGCGCTGCAACTCTCAATCCACCCGGTCAGAACCTCGCCAACCACTGGCTTGAACACAACCGCCCGGAATCGCACATTCACAAACACCGCCCCGTCGCCAGGCTTGAGCAAACCGTCCTGCACTTCTAAAAGGTCCCAAACAGCTACAATCAGCCCCAGCCGGTGCACCACCTTGTTAGCGTATTTGATGTTCAGCTCGTTTTGAACGGCCTCTTCTGTCGGCAGGTGGAATAGGTGCGGTGATATTCGAATCAGATCAGAAATGACCGTCAATTGGAACATGAATCGAAATAAGGAGTAATTAATTGATGATTTTTTCTAATTTTTTTTTTTCTTCTCTTCTAAAAATCTATCTGCAGCTTACTTAAGCATTCATTTCCATAGAATACTATCAAATAACATATTCTTTATAATAAATACCTAGTAGACTCTCTTGGCAGGAGGCACAGGCTTGCACTCGTTCTCGTCCAAAGTGGTAGCAATGACGTGTCTGTATGCGAGCTTGACGTCCTTGCCGTGGCCGTGTTGCCAGGAAAGAGAATGTTTACGCCAGTTAACGTCATCTCTTTCTGGGTAATCGTCTCTAGCGTGAGCACCTCTACTTTCCTTTCTGGCAGCGGCACTGGTAGCAGTCTGTCTGGCACAGGTAAGCAAGTTCTGCAGCTCAAGGGTCTCAACCAAGTCCGAGTTCCAGATCATGGATCTGTCGGTGGTCTTAATTCTGTCAAACTTACCATCGATTTCGGTGATCTGTTTCACACCCTCGTCCAAAATGTCCTGTTTTCTGAACACAGCAACGTGCTTCTGCATGCTCTTTTGCATCTCGAGTCTCAATTCGGCTGTGGTGATATCTCCGTCAGCGTTTCTCAAACGGTCGAGGTTGGCGACGGACTCGTGACCAATGTCGCTTGGAAGCTCTGGCAATGGAGCACCTGGCTTGAAGTTGTCTCTAATGGTGTGAGACACAGCTCTTCCGAAAACGACAAGGTCCAACAAGGAGTTGGCTCCCAAACGGTTGGCACCGTGCACAGATGCACAAGCGGCCTCACCACATGCGAAAAGACCAGGCACAACCTGATCTTCACCCTTCTCGTTCTGGGTCAAAACCTCACCGGTGTACTTGGTTGGAATACCACCCATGTTGTAATGCACGGTTGGCAGAATTGGAATTGGCTCCTTGGTAACGTCCACACCGGCGAAAATGTGAGCAGTTTCAGAAATACCTGGCAGTCTCTCCTTCAACACAGAGGCTGGCAAGTGGGACAATTGCAGGTACATGTGATCTTTGTGGGGACCAACACCTCTTCCAGCGTTGATTTCCATGGTGATAGCTCTGGAAACCACATCTCTGGAAGCAAGATCCTTGGCGGTTGGTGCGTATCTTTCCATAAATCTCTCACCCTCGCTGTTCAACAGGTATCCACCTTCTCCTCTGGCACCTTCAGTGATCAAACATCCAGAACCGTAGATACCAGAAGGATGGAATTGGACAAACTCCAAGTCCTCCAATGGGAGACCTGCTCTGCTGACCATGGCATATCCATCACCGGTACAGGTGTGGGCAGAGGTACACGAGAAGTAAGCTCTTCCGTAACCACCTGTGGCAATGACCGTGTTAGGAGCCTTGAATCTGTGAAGGGTTCCGTCCTCCTCGTTGTATGCAATGCACCCCACACATTTTCCGTCGTGCATCAACAAGTCCATGGCAAAGAACTCGATGAAGTAGTGGGTGTCGTATCTGAGAGATTGACCGTACAAAGTGTGCAAAAGAGCGTGACCGGTTCTGTCTGCAACGGCACAAGTTCTGTATGCTTGACCACCCTTACCGAACTCCTTGGCTTGACCGCCAAAGGCTCTTTGGTAAATCTTTCCCTCCTTCGTTCTAGAGAATGGAAGACCGTAGTGTTCCAACTCGATAATCGAGTCTGGGGCTTCTCTTGTCATGTAGTGGATGGCGTCCTGGTCTCCCAGCCAGTCAGAACCTTTGACAGTGTCGTACATGTGCCATCTCCATTCGTCAGGGTGCATGTTACCGAGAGCGGCGTTGATACCACCTTGAGCTGCCACAGTGTGAGATCTGGTTGGGAACAATTTCGAGACACAGGCAACTTTGAAGCCCTCTTGGGCCAAACCAAACGCTGCTCGAAGACCGGCACCACCGGCACCAATCACGACGACATCGTATTCGTGGTCGATGATGTGATAATCCTTGGCCATTGCCGAAGATGCGGTCTTACCGTTGAGATCATTTGATTTGGAGATCACCTGGAGGGCCGATCTGGAGGACGAGAACAGTCTGCGTCCAGCAAAGCGGGTTTTCAGGGAAAGCATGGTAAATTAGCAGGGTTAGTTTTTCTTGAGGAGTTTTTTCTTGGGGTATTTACATAATCAGGCTGATCGGAGAAGTTACGGAGGACGTTTGACGGGCCAATGGAGTTTCGCGAATTTGTAACCTCGGATAAGTTTGCTGTATAGCCGAAATTTGGGGGCCGTGTACGGGACATTCAGCGCGTAGCGGGGGTTCTAAAACTTTGTCCGCGCGCTTTGTACTGATGTGTCAAGTTTATTAGTGGGGGTTTGGGTGGGGATTTGCAGGCCGTTGCCAGGTTTAAAACCATATTTAATTTCACGTAGCAATTTCGGTTTTAGTAAACCTACTGAACCCCAATTACAGCCCTTTGAGCTGCTGTTGACAACTGTCCCTCCTTATTTCACCCCCACTCTACAGTGGTTGATGTTTACTTTTGGAAATTCACCGGGTATTGTACATCATTATTTCATAATTAATTAACATCCGTTCTTAATTATTGCTTGGACCCCCACCAGCTCCAGAACCGGCTCTCCCATCTCAAAGCCAAACTGCTAAACAAGACACTCACACTCGAGCATGCCATAGCCAAACTCGACCACGTAGGACTTAACCGAGAATTGTGGTATGGATAGATCACTCCAGCTGCAATCGGGATACCAATAACATTGTAGACCAAAGCCCAGCAGAAATTGAACTTCACCCTGTTTATCACCTTGCGCGACAGACGAAGAAGAGTTTTCAGCTGGTTCAACGGCTTTGTCTTGGATAATAACACAAAGTCACACGAGCTTAAGGCCAAATCAGAGCCAGAACCCATAGCAACACCTATGTCGGCTGTAGCAAGAGCAGGCGCGTCGTTGATACCGTCACCAACCATCGCCACAATGGCTGGCCGCGTGGTAGTATTTGGAACGCTGTGGAACGTGCTTTGGATCCGTTTCACCTGGTCTGCTTTCCCCTGAGGTAGCACATTGGCAATCACGTGATCCGGCTCGATTCCAAGCTCTGCTGCGATTGACTCCGCCGTGGTCTGGTTGTCTCCGCTGATCATGTACACGGCAATCCCTTGGCTTTGCAAGTCCTGGATCACCTCGCGCGACTCTGGACGAACATCGTCTCGGGCAGCTAGAAGCAGAAGTAATTTTTTGTCAAGAGCAACACAAATCACACTCTTTCCTTGCTGTTTCCATTGGTCAAGAAGCAGCTGTTCGTCTTGGTTGATGTCGACTCCATGCTCAGCCATCATCTTTTCGTTCCCCAGAATTACAGATGCATCACCGTACTCGCCCATCATTCCGCGACCGCTTTCTTCCTCAACCTTTGGCACGAGAGTGGTTGAAAGTTCAAATTGCTTATCCTCTGCCGTTTCAACAGCAAAACGACGAACAGCAGCGGCAATAGGATGCTTTGATCCAAGTTCCAGATCTCTAGCTAGTTGAACTGCCAGCTTAAAGTCTCCAGACGAGTGATGGTCAGTAATTTGAATCTCTCCAGCGGTGAGAGTTCCGGTTTTGTCAAAACAGACAACTTCAACTTTCGAAGCCTGCTGGAAAGAAGCACCTCCTCCACGGACAAGAATACCGATCTTGGCAGCCAGACCAGATCCAACAAACAACGCAGTAGGAGCAGCAAGACCCAGTCCACACGGACAGGCAACCACAAACACCGCAATTGAAAATTGGAGCGACCAAACTGTCCATCCTCCAACATCAATATCAAGATATCTCTGCGGCAACACGGTGTATCCCAAAGCGAGCCAGATAATCCAGACGATGAGCGATATCAGACAAACCACAGGAACAAAGTAGCTGGTGAGTTTGTCAGCGAGCTTTTCAATAGGGGATTTGTTGAGCTGTCCGTTTCGAACAATATCGACAATTTGGTCCAGCAACGAGTTTCCTTGAAGAGCAGAAATACGGGCCTTGATAGATCCGGGTCCCTGGTTCACGGTTCCAGCAAATATTTGGTCTCCCTTCACGTGGGGAATTGGTTGCGACTCACCAGTAAGCATGCTTTCGTCGAATTCGGCTTCTCCATCAAAAATGATACAATCCGATAGAGGCGAGTCCCCTGGACGGAGAAGAATCGTGTCGCCGAGTTCCAGGTACTCGACACCGACTTCTTTCTCCTCCGACGACTCAATCAGTGTTGCCTTGGTGGCTTTGAAACCACTCAACTGGTTAACTGCGTTGGCAGTCTTGGACTTGGACCAACTCTCCAGCAATTTTCCGATGCTCAAGAAGAACGTCAAAAACACGACAGAATCGAAATACGTGGTGGTGAACCCGCTGCTTCCTCTTGGACTCTGAGCAGAAAGTCCAAGCATAGCAATACTGGCCACATATGCGACGGTAGTGCCCAACGACATCAGCAGATTCATTGAACCGAACCGGAGCAAACGACGTCCCCACGGAACGCTGCTTCTCCAGAGTGCCCGGACTTCCTTGATTGCTTTCAAGTGGAACATGCTTGCTCCAAAGAAGTAAACCGGGGTGGCTAGGAAGAAGAGAATCCACACAACTCTAGACGCATTTCCTCTCCAGATGGGATCCATCAGCCACATGCGGAAAGCGTTGTGTTTCGGAAGCAGAGACATACCAACGATACCAAAAACGAACGTTGGAATGGCAATGACTGTGGAAAGAACAAGTTTCTCAACGATCCGACGAAGCTCGAGACGGGCAAGTTGACGTAGATGCTCTTCAACAGAAGTGACCTTGATGATTTCAAGCTGGAACTTGTCGTTCAGCTGGTTGATCTCGTCAATAATCTTGCGAATGGTCAGTTCTGGAGGGTTAGGAACATACGTGAATTTCACGAACGGGTGTTTCAAACTGATTGGATCGTTCACCACAATGTAGTCACCATATTCGTTCAACTTCGCGTTGATGCTTTCTGGACAATGCTCGCAGTACATTCCGGTGACCTTCAGATTGACTGTACGCGACTTGCTTTTGGTAGCTGCATGGCTGACCTCCTTGATATTCAGGATCTCAATGTCGTAACCAATATCCTCGACACACTGGCGGAGCTGCTCCAAATTCTTTTCCTCGGCAGACTCCACAATGAAAAGACCCTGTTTGTTGACTATGTTGATGTTTGACTCCAAGACAAACTTGCAAGTCTCGTTCACCGCCTCGGTGATTGTCTGCGAACATGCGCTGCAGGTCATCCCACCAATAAGTGTCACAACCTCGAATTTCTTGGACCGCTCGATTGGAAGCATCTCCAGCAGACTGCACTCGAATCCAGAGTCTCTGATGGCTTTGATCACATGGTTCACGTACTGCCGTTCAGGAAGTAGCACAGTGCACACTCCTTCCATCACAGAGACACTGTAAACGGAGTTACCGTTTTCTGTCAACGGAGCCCCCAATCCTTCAAGACACTCTTTGATTGCCGATCCAACGCTCGACGAACATGAAGCACAAACCATCCCCTGGATGCCTATGAGTGCACGATACTCCTTGGATGGCTCTGCTTTCACTTCAACATCAACGGCAGTGCTTTCGTCCGATTCCGAGCCCTGTGTCTCCTCACGACAATGTTTACAGTGTTCCAGATGGCTCTTGTGGCGCTTGTTACTCTTGATGGTCTTTTTTGCCTTCCCCAGAACAAAACTGAACGGATTGGAGGCGACCTGCTTGGTGAGCTCATTTGAAATGTCCCAGGAGATCACATCAAATCCAGCTTTCTCTAGAACTTTGATCACCTGTTTCTCAGATCCAACCAGGTCCTCACCTTTGCCAACTATCGTCAGCTCGCCATTGCCCAGGAAAACAACAACACTAGGCTTCCCTTGCCCAGAGACTTGGTCATGGCAAACAGTATTATTGTACTCGGTGACGTCGAAAACCTCCTTCAGCGCCCGATGAATACTCACCGAACACTCATCACAGTGGACGTTCGCTAATTGCACAGTGAACTGCTCCATGCTAAAGAATTAATGACTAACTTGCAAAGATCCTTGCCATCTCATATATTCATAATTTTTTCTACGCGAAAATATCTCATGCACCCGTTTGTGAATCAGCGGCTCAGCGGCTCACTATAGCCAAAGACCCTGGTGTCAAAACGGACAACCATGGCAGTCACGTTATCGGTGCTCATCTGATTAATAGCCAATTTGCACAGCATCTCGCTGGCCTTGTAAGGGTCTGTTTCGGACTTGACGAGGTCCACCGCCTCCTGGTCGGAACACACGTCCCAGAGCCCGTCGCAGGCCAAAATTAGAAACTCGTCTTGTTCACTCAGCTCCGTGCAGGTGGTGTATGGCGCGCCGATGACCAGGCTCTTCATGTAGACGTCGCCCAACGACCGGGTGACTGCCAGGACTCCGTTCACACGGTTTTTCAGCATGATCCCGCCGCTGTCGATGATCCGTTGCTGTTCCAGCCTGTCGGTCGATTTGTGGTCGTACGACAACCGCACAGCTTGGCCGCCACGGCACAAAACAAGCCGCGAGTCCCCCACGTTCGCCGTGTACAGCACCCGCCGGTGCTTGTGTGTGGGGACGAAATCGAACGGCGTGGTTTGAGGATCAACCTCTTCTTCGGCCGGCGTGTCGTCGATCTCCTCCTCCCACCGGAGCACAGCAACCGCAGCAGTGCACCCGCTCGTTCCCTGCAACTCCTGGCCGATCTTGGCGTCGGCCTCCATAAAGCTGTTGTTTAGGTTTTCGCGTAAATCCAAGTTGTCATTGTCCATTATTTTGTCCACCAAGATGTTGTGCAGGTTCGACCCGCACCAGCGCGCGGCATGTTTCCCGGCGTGGCCATCAAACACCGCGAAATACCCCCAGTCCAATCGCTCGGCGAAGTTCGCCACATACGTGTGCACATCCTCCATGGTGGGCCTATACCGCGAGTTGCGGTTCTCGCAAACCCCGACATCGAAAGACAACCTATCACACGGCCCTTGAACGTCCTTGTCCACGTCATCGTCGTCCCCCGTCTCCGAAACACTCTTGATGTGCAAAATGTCGCCAGGGCCCCGTTTCGAGTGTCCCTCAGCGTCCTTTGCAGACGCCGGTAGTCCAGACATTCCAAAAAACGCTCAATCAGAAACTATTTCTACTAAGTATCGTAATTAGACGTGTTTCGTGTAAAAAAAGCCGTGTTCCTGAAATCACAACGCTCTGTTCGAGAATGAAGTTCAAGAACACTATTTTTGTCAATGTGTTGTACACAGCCTGAAAAAATTTCACAACTCGGAATCATCATCTCCTAAAAAGCTTAGTACTATATAAATAGAACTATAAGTATAAACCTTCCAGGTTCTCCTCGATCTTGTTCTTCAAAACACGCTCCTTGGCCTGCTTGAAGTCCTCTGCAATCACCTGCATCCGTCTCTCACGCAAGGCAAGCAATCCAGCCTCGGTACAAATGGCCTTGATGTCTGCTCCCGAAAAATCCTCCTTGGTGTTGATCAGCGTGTCAAGCTCCACGTCCGGCGAGATGTTCATCTTGGATGTGTGAATCGTCAAAATCTTCTTCTTGGTGGCCGGGTCTGGGTTCTCAAACAAAATCTTCCGGTCAATTCTACCAGGTCTGATCAATGCAGGGTCCAAACTCTCAATCTTGTTTGTAGCCATAATCACCTTCACGTCTCCTCTATCATCAAAACCGTCTAGCTGGTTTAGCAGTTCCAACATCGTCCGCTGAACCTCCCGCTCTCCGCCAGAAGACGACTCGTATCTCTTGGATCCAATCGCATCGATCTCGTCGATGAACACAATCGATGGCGCGTTCTCACTGGCCACCTTGAACAACTGTCTGCACATACGCGGTCCGTCTCCAAGGTACTTCTGAATCAGCTCCGAACCAACAATTCTCAAAAACGACGCACTTGTCTGGTTCGCCACCGCCTTGGCCAGCAAAGTCTTTCCGGTTCCCGGTGCACCGTACAATATCACGCCCTTTGGCGGTTTGATACCCATTTCCTCGTACAGTTCTGGATGTGTAAGTGGCAACTCGACCGCCTCCTTGATCTCCTGGATTTGGGACTCCAGTCCTCCGATATCCGCATACGACTCGTTTGGCGACTTGTCCATCTTCATCACGTTCACCACCGGGTCTGCATCGTCCTGAAGCACTCCCACAATCGACACGGTTTTGTGATGCAATAGGACCTGACACCCAGGCTCCAACAGCCCTTTGTCCACGAACGACAGGATCGAAACGTAGTATTCAGGGCCGCTTGACGACGAAACAATGGCATGGTCGTCATCGATAATCTCTTCTAACGTTCCAATGGACATTGGAGTGCCTCTCAAATCGTCAACCTTTTCTCTTTCCTCTGCTTGTTTTTGTTCGGTTGGTTGGAGAATTTCCTGGTTGGACACAAATTCTTCCTCCAACAACAAGTGATCTTTGATCCGCTCAAGCTTCAGAAGCTTCAGCTTGCACCGCGTGTTGGGCAGCACGGCAGGCAGCTTGGCAATGCTGTCTGGACCTTTCCGTTTCTTTCTTCCAAATGTCTTGGTTTGGACAGGAGGCTCGTACTTAGGCTTCTCCTTCTTCTTGTCCTGGCTCTTCTTGCCGCTAGGCATGGACGCGTCTTGACCCTGACATGTTAGCAGGCATAAACTAAACAATACTCACCATTTTGTTGTTTGCCACTGAACAGGTAAAATAATAATTCGAAAATAATTTCTACGGGCAAAATAGATAATTGCACAACTTTTATTTATTTCTCTAAATAAGTTTGAGCTCCTCAAGAACGGTTTTAATCAGGTCGTTGGCCTTGGAGTTGAACTTCAAGAAGGTGTTTCTTGCTCCATTGATACGCTTCAGGGCAGTAGCGTTGGCGTTCAGCTTCTTGTAGAAGGTGTCCTTGTCGGAGAAGTAGGACTCCTTTGGACCAGCTTCCTCAGGAGTGTACTTTTGCTTCAATTGAGGACCCTTGTAGTCGGCTGGCAATGGAGTGTTCAAGATCTTGGTCAAGGTGACAGGTGGCAAGGTCATCTCGTCGACACCGGCCAAGGCCAAGGTTGGGAAAATACCGATCTGGGCTGCAACACAGTTGACAGTCTTGATGTCGTAAGCACGGTAGTACTTGTGGATGTCAACCGACAGGTTGTATCCGTAGTGCTCACTCAATGGCACGTCCTTGTACGAGGAAGGATCCAAGTTGTAGTCCAACTCGTCGACGTAAGCCGAGATGGCGACACAGTCGGCCTCTGCGGCTAAAATTGCCTGTTCCATCGAGTGGATCATAGTGCCCAAAATTTGAATCTTGTCCTGGTTGAACAATTTCTTAGCGGCTTGCATGGATTCCCAAGAAACACCGATCTTGATGATAACCTTGGAACGATCGACACCCAAGTCTTCATACGCGTCGATGATTTTCTTAGCCGCAACGTAGGTCTTCTCCGCGTCCTGATAATCTTCAGGGCTGACCTGCGACAAAACACAGCCTTTAAGGCCCTTCAGCTGGTTTCTACCGCTAATAGCAACGGCGTACACCTTAACAGCCTCGACGTACTCGGCAAAGTTGGAGGCAGAGGCTGTCTTTGGAACAGAACTGCCAAACTTCTTGTTGACGATCTCAATGGCCTCGTAAATGACCTCCTGGTGGGATTGCCAGTTGGCAAAGCAGATGGCCTGGTTACTGGTAGCATTAAGGAACTCGATGTTGTACTTCTTAATGAAGAACTCCTTGTCCTCTTGGGACATGGTGTCGAGAGAGATCTGGGTGTACTTGGACACTTCGTCGTAAACGGTTGGCATTGTTGATAGGTTTTGAATTTAGGGGACACTGCAGCGAAACTCCGTATTTATGTTACAGTGTCGGGGGATCAAACCAGGTGCAGCGGACAATTCGGCCGATGGAGCGGAGCTTTGCATTTCACTATGCGGGGGAAAGGCGTCATTCCAATGTTCTAGATTGCGGGGAAATGGCGCAACCGTTTTTAACAAATGTACCTCCCCGGAGATTTATAACCTGGGGAAATCCAGGGATGCGCACACCTCGCACCGCACGGCAGGGTCAGTCTTTTTTTTTCTTAAATTTTTAACCCATATTGTGTTTAGAATGTCCTTATCCCCCGACACTTCAGGCGACCATGCCAACGTGATCCAGCTCTCTAAGCCGTTTCTGAGCAAGGAGGAGATTGAGTATATGTTTCGCAACAGTCTCGCGGACGAGACCCAGGTCCGCACGTACAATGACAAAAAAAAGGAGGTCTTCCAGTTTCTGTGCCAGCTGGTCAAAGTCTTGAAGTTTCCGACCAAGATCCTTCAGAGCTGTTTTTACTACTACCAGCGTTTCTACATGTTTAATGACTTTGGAAAGTACGGGAACCTTCATTATGACGTGGGATTGACCGCCCTTTTCGTCTCGCTTAAGCAGAACGACTACATCAAGAAACTGTCTTTGGTGATATCGGAGGCGTACAAGTTGCGCAACATCGCAGCGGGTCCGCAGGAACAGGACGAGTACCGCAAACGGCTGCTCGCAATGGAGAAAAAGTTTATGGAGTTCGAGGCGTTCGACTTTCGGTACTTTATGATTGAGGAGCTGCTGATCAAGTACGCCAAGTACTTCCGAATCCCAAAAGAGGTGTGTTTTCTTTCGTGGTCGATGCTGAACGACCTGTACGCGACAGAACTGCCGTTGCAGTGGCCTTCCAACTTTAACTCCGTCGTGGTGTTGAAGAGCAGTCTTTTGGTATGGAACGAGATTAATGCCGAGCGCAGAGTCGAACGTGTCATCAACGAGCGCGAAGTCTCTGTCAACGCGCGCAAGGAGGAAACTAGCAACGCGGTCAGCGAGCTGCTGGACTACTATATGCACAACTACGAAGCTTCGTTCATGAAACAGGCACTGGACCAGCTCAACATCCAGCTGGACAGCAAACACATTATTAATAACGTCATTCTCAACATCAAGATCGGGCTTCATCAAGACGAACGCGCACGGCCGCCAAAACGGCAGAGAAACCTGGACGACGACCTGTTCTTCAAGCTCAGGGACTACGACGTGGGAAAGACATCCTCCATCAGGTTCCTGTACAGCAAAAAGATGTACCTCGACGAAGTGAGCCAATATCCTAGCGAGAAGGCCAAGGCGCCTCCAAAACAGGCACCACCGCCACAGAACCGTCCGAAAAATAGACCGCAAGCGCCCCACACTCCAAATAACGAACACCCGAAAAGACCTCGCCCCCACCAGTCTTACCAGTCGCCAAACCACCATCCTGGCCCGCGGAAAAACTTCAAGAAGAACTACAACCCGTCCTTCACAAACAACCGCAAACGCCCGCAGGACAGAGCGTTCGAGAAGTAGACCAGCTAGTCTTTGGCATCCTGGTACCTTTTCGCGCGGATCGTGTCCTGCTGGACAAGTTTCTCCAACAGTTGGTTTTTCTTTTCCGACCGCACTCCAGTGACACGGCTGAGTTGTTGTTCCAGGAAAACCAGAGTTTTCAAACACCACTGGTTATCGTGGCTGCTTTCCTCTGCCTCGAGCGCGTTCAGTTTCGAGATGTCCTGGATCGCGTTCTCGACAACTTCCCGTGCCTGATCTTTGGTCAAGTCATTTAGAAAATAGTCTCCCAGGAGCCATTTAATATATATCCACACCGACGAGTCGTCCGGGTCTGTGTAGAAGGCGTTTTGGGCCAGTTTCCATTCTTCAACAAGGAATCCATGCTTATTCTTTGTGTAGAAGAGCGTTGCACACTCCGGAGATCTTTCAAAAAGCAGCTTGATGAGTCGAGACCGGTTGTGCAACGCGGAGTAGTTCGATATGTCCTTGCTGATCTGCTTTGTGGTGTACTCAAACTCCTGGAGATCTGTCTGTGCCTGTTGCTTCGGACTTTGGGCCAGCTTCATCCGATCTATCACGTACCTTCTGTACTGCCAAACGTGGTAGTTCCGGGAGTCTGCTTCCAGGAACTTGTCAATGAGGACCATTTCGTTGTCCCAGTTGGTCAGAGAGTCATACTCCAAACACCACTTGCGATGATTCCAGATCCAGTAGCATTTTGGGAACCGTTTGAGATGGCCCACAGTAAAGACCAGTTCCTGTTTGATAAGCTCATGGGTGGCCTCCGGGGTGTCTGGCTTGAACCAGTCCAACAATATATCTCTCCTATAGTTCCAGATGGTGTAGAGTTCCGGGTTGACGTCCAGCAGCTTGGCTGTTTCGGCAAACGCAGACTCCGTGTACAGTTGTGCCTGCTTATGTCTGAGAACTTTGTCCACAAACGCGCGGTAGCGGGTGATTTTGGGCGCGTCTTTGTGAATTTTCATCTCCCGCGCATTGTGAGAGAGCCTCGTGCGCTTAACTCCGTGCTGGAAGGTTAGGAGGGCAATTTATATACTCACCATTTCGAACAAGGGAAAAAAATTAAACTAAAATAATTTATTATGACAGACTCGGTTCCCACAAGATCCAAGCTGGCGTTAAAGGGATCTTCGCGCATTGTTTCTGATTTCTTCGAGTACAGTATCCACAGCATTCTGTACCAGCGGGGGATTTACCCGCCGGAGGACTTCCAGACCGTAAGGAAGTACGGGCTCAACATGGTGGTTTCCACGGACGACGAGCTCCAGTCGTACATCAAACGGATCATGAAGCAATTGCACCGCTGGATTTACGGGGGCAGCATTTCGCGGCTCGTGGTGGCGATTGTATCGAAGGATTCGGGCGAAACGGTGGAAAAGTGGCAGTTCAACCTGGAAATCAACAAAGAGTCGCCAGAGACGGTGGAGGAGGCCGCGAACAAGCCGAACGAGCAGATACAGAGGGAGATCCAGGCAATCATTCGGCAGATCACGGCCTCGGTGACCTTTTTGCCCGAACTCGACGACGAGTGCACGTTCAACGTGCTTGTTTACGCCGACCAGAACTGTCGCGTGCCGGAAGAGTGGGGGGACTCGCGCACACAGGAGCTGACGGGCGAGGTGGAAAACGTCAAGTTCCGCAGCTTCTCCACGGATAACCACAGAGTCGACGCGTTGGTGTCGTACAAGTTCTCGCGATAGACCAGGGTGGGTGGGGTCGACGCGACGATTTCCCCGGAGTTCCTAAAACAGCAATTAAAACCCCCCGGGAAAATTGTCTCTCCAAAAGAATATACAAAATGAACTTTGGAGACACGTTCGGAGACTCTTGTGGGGGCAACAACGCCCTCAACAAGCTTGCACGGCGTGCAAACATTGATACATCAGTTACAAACCAGCTAAGGACGGGCAGCGACGCCTCGCAGTTCTTGAAACCTACTTACCGGTCTGTTGATCAGCGGCTTGAGACAGGCTATCGCGAGTTCCAACAGCAAGGTTCGTCCTCTTTCCAGCCCGAACTGCCCGGATTTCTCCCAGAACAGGGCCAGTGGATCGACCGGTTCCGCGAGATGAACTTGGACGGAAATGCGCAGTCTCTCCACTTTGAGCAGCCGAGTGCAAATTCTTCCTTGACTCCGTCTGCGTGGAGAAACGAGTTTTTACAGAACAACCAGCATGTCCAGCAACAGCAACAGTATACTCCAGGGGGTCACACTGCCTCTTACCGTCCGCAAACGCAGTTTTCCGCTCCGATGGTGCAGATGCCCCGCCAGGCATCGGCCCCGCCTCCACAGCAGGACTACTCTGCCGTGGACGCCGCGTTTGAGGAAATCGAGGACCAGCTCGCACAACAGCCCGTGAACACTCTCCCGCAGGAGTCTGCTCTTCAGCCCACCAACGAGGAGGACAAGATCAAGTTCGCACAGCTCGCCAAATCCGTCTTTATGACCATGTCCAAGCCCCCAAGCGACGTTTCGCAGGAAACAAACGCCAAGTTCCAGAACTCAAACTTCCTCAAGCTCATGAGCAGGATATCCACCCGCGAGGTGGAGATCAGTGAGCAAAAGGACAAGTTTATCGATTCGCAGGGCAGAGACATCAGAGACATGCTCCCTGATCCGTTGAAAGACATCAAACAGGAAGGGCTTGCTTCGCTCGGCCCGTTCGACTCTGCACAACAAGTCTACTCTCAAATGGGCGAGGAACTAAGACCCAGCATGTGGCAATAGCTAATCTAATGTACTCTCACTATACCGTTTTTCTTAATATATTTATCATCCCGTGTGCTGACATAAGCACAAAAGAGGGTTTTCAGCGAGGATAGTTTCCCACTTATTTAGTATTTCCCCTTTTATGTTCTCCTGCGCCGAATGTCCCAAGTCCTTCAAAAGGAAGGACCATCTCAAACGTCACATGATGAACCACACCGACGTGAGGTTCGAGTGTCCTCGATGTTCGATTCTGTTTCGGCGATCGGACTGTCTGAGTGAGTAGCAGAATGAGTGTTTACTAACAACAGCCCGTCATCTCAAGCGGCATACTGAAAAGGATACCAAGGCGGGGGTCAAGGGGCCAGAGAGTGGGTTCACCATGAAAAAGACGTGGAACGTCAAAACCGTCTCTGTTAAGAGTGCCGGAGCAGACGAAGAAGACCAAACAAACTCCGACTTCTCAGAAACGCGTCATTCCAATAAGGTCCAAAGCGATAGCGACACGTCTGTGGAAGACAAACAGTTCGAGAGGCTTTTGGAGCCAGAACTATTGAAAAGTTCGAGATCTGCGGAATCGGTGTGGAATAAGTACAATTTTGAGTCGAAAATAACCCCCAAGGGAAAAATCTCCCAAGTTGGAGACAGAGACGGAAAAAACGTGGAAACGTACATTCTTAAGCTTTGTTCTGGCGATGGTGAGCTCAAAGATGCGGTGAGAAATAGCCAGCTGTTACAGGTGTCGGAGATGCAGCAGTGTCTCGACAGGTTCTTCACAGGCTTTAACTTGGTGTACCCACTGATTCATTTGCCGTCGTTCGAGACGTGTAACGTGGATTTGCTTGTTGCCGTGGTATTGGCCGGGGGTTACGATTCACATGATGTTGCACGCAGGATTATGCCGTTGTTGCGCAAGAAAGTGTTTGAGTCCGACGTTTACGCAACGGGCCAGCTCCGTCTTGTCCAAATGATGATAATTTGCCAGATATTCGCACTGTTCAACAGCTCTGCGCGTGAACATCAGCTCGCGCTGGCCCATCATGGAGTGCTGATCCACATTCTCCGTCAACATAGGTATTTCGAGAAAACAGCAGAACCGAAGAACTGGAACGACTGGGTGGACTGCGAGAGCAGAAGAAGATCAGCATTTATTGCTCTGCAATGCGACGTCCAGAGAAGCATTTTGTTTGGGGCCGACGTGACCATGTCTGCGTTTGAATGCCTGATTCAAATGCCATGCTCGATGTCGTTGTGGATAGCCTCATCTTCGGAATGGGCAAGCCAAAGAACACAGCAGCACCCTGTCTCGTTTCTGAGCGTGTTGCAGTCCCATTTGGAGTGCAGAAACGAAACGAGCTCAACTAGCGGATTTCATAAACAGCTTGTTCTTCACGGTCTCTTGAACGTCATGATGAATTATAAACTGAACCAACCTTTGCTACCATATGCCAACTGGAGATCCCGATGCACAACATCGCTTGAACACTGGAAACGGGACTTTGACATCTATTGCAAGTCAGTGAGCAACAACCTGGAAGACTCGTCGGTATTCGTTCAATACAGCGCCTCTGTTTGTGCGTTGTATAGACAGGGCCACTTGTTGTTAGCAGACTTCAGCGGGCTGAAGAATGTACAACGAGGACCAAGCTATAGGAGTGTTTCTCAGCATGCGATCTGGCACGCCTCTCAGTTGCTCATCGAAGGGTATCTAAGCCTAGATAATTGGAAAGTTGAGGGAAACTTGCATTACATTTGGTGTCTGTTTTCGGCCATATTTGTGATATCCAATCACTTCAAAGGCAAAAGTGACGGTGATCTATCCAAGACTCTGCTAGTGTTGTCCAGGGGCACGCCCGAAAACATTGGTACCCTTCCAATAAACCCTCGTCCGATTGTTAAAAACTTGCAGATCTTGTTCAGCCATCAGCACAGCGAGTTGATCAACCAATGGGCACAACTACTGGTGTGCTAGCCACATAGGAATTTGGAAACGTAAGCAAGTTGCAACCAACGTGCGAGAAATCTACCATTGGAAGTTGCTAGAACTCGTGCTCGGCACGACGGCTCAGCCAAGACCCTTGCAGGCCGACGACAAAAGTTCTGTTACGGAACGTTGTACACAGCCTCAACTCCCGGACTACAATATCGCTACGCTTACAAAGCAAGCAAAATTCGTGAAATAGGGGCAAATATTGCCGCCTCCGGAGATTGGACTACCTAAATTCCCTTCATTTTGGATACTCCGTCTTAGCTCCGCAAAAGAAACGAGAGTTGCGGCTCGCCTTTCTATTGTCATACAAAAAATTAAGTTATTTTGCTATTGTTCGAGTGAAGAAAGAACATGTGGATTATGCAGAATTAGAGATGAGATGGTTGAAATGGTGCATTACACTACAGTCCGAGCTATCTCCATCTGACCTTATACTATTTCCGTGAGACGATATCGAGGCAACCATATAAAAAGCAGTCCTTGTCTCTTCTTGAATCACTTCAAATAATAACATGTCTCAATCACCATCTGAATTCAAAGCTATCGGATTGCTCAACTTGAAAGACTGGCCTAACGCTAAGTCTTTCTCCTACAAGCCTTACCAAGCCAGACCACAAGACGTCGACATCAAGATCATCTCTTGCGGTATCTGTGGATCTGACTTGCATGCGAGTAAGGGTCACTGGGGTGATATTCCTGTTCCAAGAGCTTTCGGTCACGAAATTGTTGGAGAGATTGTTGCTCTTGGTGATGAGGTTGATCGCTCCAAATACAAGATCGGCCAGAGAGTTGGTGTTGGAGCTCAATGTGACTCCTGTGGTGAATGTTACAGATGTAACAACCATAAAGCCAACTGCTGTCGTAAGGGAACCCATCTTTACTTGCACTCGTACCCAGACGGCACTCTTGTTCAGGGTGGATACGCTTCCCACATCCGTGTGAACAGCAGATTTGCCATCCCAATTCCAGAAGGTCTTGCCAGCGAGGACGCCTCCCCAATGCTTTGCGGAGGTATTACTGGATTCCGTCCATTGCTCACCTACGGCGTGAAAAAGGGAACCAAGGTTGGTGTTTCGGGTATTGGTGGTATTGGCCACATGACAATTATGTTTGCCAAGGCCCTTGGTGCTGAGGTCACCGCCATTTCTAGAAGTAACAGCAAGAAGGCTCTTGCTACGCAGATCGGTGCCGATCATTTCGTTGCAACTAACGAAGAAGGATTCGAAGAAAAGTATGCAGACACTTTGGACTTGATTGTCAACACCGCCTCTGATTTTGAGCCAGAGTCTTTCAACAAGGTTACCTCCATGCTCAAGCCTGACGGAAGGGTGACTTTCATTACTGCTCCCCCTGTCGGAACCCAGATTTCGTTGGAACCAATGTTCTACCTGATCAACGGTTATCACATTGGTGGTTCTGCAATTGGTTCTCCAGAGGAGATCGAGTACATGCTCAAACTTGCCGCAGAGCACAACATCAAGCCTATGATCGAGACTTTCGACATCTCTGAAGAGAACGTCAAGAAGGCTTGGGAAAGAGTCGACAAGGGAGATGTTCGTTTCAGAGCCGTTTTGACCGGCTACGACAAGTTCTTCAAATAAATGATGAATAATGATATATAGTCTAATTGACTGGCTTATTTCTAACCACGGAGACCAACTCTTGTGGCTGGCCGTCCATCCGTGGAGCGCTGCCGTTGTCTGTGGTGGGTCTCAGCTTCTCTGCGTACGACCACATATCCTTCAGCACCGGGTCGAGCTTATCCTCGAGCAAGTCGACCACCTTGTCGCCGAGAATCGGCACGAACTTCCACGCGTGCGCAGAGCCTCCCGTGGCGAGCACCACGTTTTGCAGGGCAGGGTGGTGGTCGATGATGAAATTCGCCGAAGGCGTTTGTGTGAGCCAGCACAGCTTGGTTCTGTCGAACGGTCTTTCGGCCAGCGGCGGCATGATCTCGGCAAGATTGTGCCTCAGGGCGTCTTCCGCGTCCTGGGGGATCCAGTCTGCTGGGTGGTCGATGATGGTTCTAGGGTACGAGATCGAAATGGACTCGTCTTTCGCTGGGTCCGGGTGGGGGACGGCCTGCGTGTTGCGGTAGCCAGGCGACCGCCGCAGACACTTGATTTCGCCGTTGTACGGTGGGAACAGGTTGATTCCCGTGGACAAGTTCGTGGTGATGGCCATGTTCTTCCACTGCTCCTCTTCCTCGGGTGTCACTTTGAACCAGGCAACTTCGATGGCGGAGGAAAAACACACCCCCTCCAGATCCACCAGTTTGCAACTCCATGCCCCCGCAGCCACAATCACGAGGTCCGCCTTGAGAAGAGAGCCGTCCCCGAAAAGTACCCCCTCCGCTGTGTTCGTGCCGCTGGCGAAAAGCAGCTGCTCAACAGGCTTGAACACAAAATTCACCGACGGAAGCTTCTTGGCCCGCTCGTAGTACGCCTTGACACTCCGCTCAGCGTCGATAAACCCGTTCGAGTAGTTGGTGTACCCTTTAAGCCAGGTGGGGTGACTAACGGTGGGGGTCTTCGCGACCGTGTGGATGCTCTTGTACACTTCCTCGGGGGAATCGTAGTACTTCATCATACCAGGGGTGTCGCTGTTGGACTTTTCAGCCGAGATCTTGCCGTTGATCCAGATGTCGGCCCATTTGTCGTTCCCACCGTCGTAGACAAACGACATGCCCGTCTGGTGGAAAAACGGCGAAATATCCGGGTCTGCCTTGATAATCTCGAGCGACTCCTTTGCCAGCTTTGCGTACACGGGATCCTTGTAGTCGACACGAAGACACCGGGTGGTGTCGACGCTTGTGGCGTCCTGCACAGGAGGCTCAAACCGGTCCACAACGGTGACTTTCACGTTGGGGTAGCGCTTAGCGAGCGCAATTGCCGTTGACAGGCCAAAAACACCTGCTCCGATGATACAAATAGAGTCTGGCACCATTGGCGAAAACGGGGGGGGGGGGGGGGGTTGGTGCGCTAGTTATAGTGCCAGTCTTATCGGGTTCCCAATATGGCACTTCCGCCAGCTTGATCGACGCGTCGGTTGTTTCTTTTTGTTGTTCCTGCGCCGACCGACGCGTCTGGGTCGGAAAACACGGCCCCCACCGAGGCTAGGTGGAGTGAGATGGCGCTGCCTCAAACCGCATGCATGTGGGAGTTTTTAGTTGGTTGTGTTTGTGCACGATGTGCTACAGAACGGGCCCTGCTAAACTATTGTGTTTGGTCTAATATGCAATTAGTCTTGACTATGTGATCACTCGGCCGTATATGCACATATCCCTGCGCTTTCCCAGCCTGCAGCAGAGGGAACGTGAACCAGTCCCAGGAACGGTCTGGTGGGCCCTACGGCGCGAGATCCAAAGCATGGGTTGCGCGTGTTTAAGTTGGCAAGCGTCGAACGTGGACGTAATGAAAGCAATTAACGTGCGCCAAGACTCGTAAAAGAAGCTTTTTCTATAAATACAGGTGAAGAAGAATAGGCCGTGTACACCGCATCCAGAAAAAAAACAAACACAAAATTCTTTAAATCGCCTCATTCCGAGGCTGTGCTGCAGATTGTTTCCGGTCCTAGCTGGTTGATACGGATTCGTGGCACCAAAATATCTTTCTCTAATGGATTCTTCCTCTTCTGCCCTGAAGGGCAACAAGAACGGTCTCTTGGTCGCCACGTTGTTGGTGCTGACCGCTCTGATCAGCTCGTTTTCCACCAGAGCCTATATCACCAAATCTGCAGGTACCCCTGACTTGTCTCAAGAGTACTTGTACTTCCAAAGATACCAACAGACAGATAGATACAAGCAGAACCCGAAATACCTGGATTCGAACCCGTTCGACATCGACACCACCTACCATCGTTTGATTAAAGCTTTCCCTTACACCAAGACTCCTGGGGGAATCCCGAAAAACATCTTCCAGATGTGGATTTCTCCAGAACCGGTCCCTGAGAACGACCTTCCGTACCCTGATTTCAGAAAAACATGGAAGGAACAGAACCCAGACCACAACTACACCGTGTTGAGCTGGGAGGCTGTGCGGGACGCAGCCAAGGAGGCGTTTGAAACGACGGTGCCAGAAGTGTGGGAGGTGCTGGAGTCGATGCCGTTGGTTATTTTGAGATCCGACTTCTCGAGATACTTGATGCTGTACTTGAACGGAGGTGTGTGGGCTGATCTGGACACCGGGTGCGACCGGCCCATAAGTAAGTGGTTCCACAATACCATAGACAGCGACATACGATTTGTCGGTTCTGTGGAGCACGATCTGAACAGCGAAAGATGGCCCAGCCTCACCAGTAGACGGCTGCAGTTCGAAAACTGGGCGTTCACGAGCGACAACTTCCATCCTGCGCTTGCCATGGTGATTGCGCACGTGGTGAGAATGCACTTCATCATCATGTACGAGGGCCATCTGGACATGTACACCAAGGAAGACGGCGGTGGGAACAGCTGCCACAAGATTTCTGTGATCGACTGGACCGGACCGGGCATTTTCAGCGACGGAATCTACAGATACATGAACACTGCCGAAAAACGCGTGTTCCAGGACATGGATTTCGACCGTTACAACTCGGACGAGACGCTTGTTGGCCCAGGAACCGGCGAGAAGATCAACTGGCGGGGCTTCTCCGGACTCGTTGCGCCCGTCGTGTTCAACAACGACGTGTGCATACTGCCAAAGTCCGGTTTCCGGTGCAAGAACGACTTTGACGAGTCGTTGGAGGAATACTGCTACCTCACGCACTACTTCTCGCACTCGTGGTTTAAAGAGGTGGATTAGTGGTTTGTAACGGAAATCAAATCGAAAGTGTATAAATCTAAATCAGTCGGACGATTCATTGTTCTGCTCTGCCTGTCTAGCTTCCTCGGCCTCCTTAGCCTCCTTAGCGGCCTTCTTTGCTTCCTCCTTCTCCCTTCTTGTCTGTTCCTTCTTGTTCTTATCGACGTATTTGTGTAGCTTTTCCTCCTCCATGCTTATGAACGACTGCTTGGCAAGAGCGTCGACTCCGTGCTTCTTGCCTCCTGAAAGGTAACTGTTGACATTCACGTAGTAGGAGTTGTAGTTTTCTTTCTTGGTGGCTTGTAACACCGTTTTCTTCACAGGTTCGATGGTTTGGACGTTGGCAGACGAAATGATGAGTGTGACGGCGAGCACCAGCAGACCAGCTGCGGCGAAAACTAAGTGGACGGGCTTGATGGCACGATCTAGTTTCATTAGGAGAAGAAAACTGATGAGGACAGGTCAAGAACTGGCCAGGCCAGGTTTTTGTGGATTTTTTGGTGCTTCTATTTCCAGTATCCGGTTTCCGGTTGCATAGCATAATACGAAAAAAAAGATTTATTAAATAAACACACCGTATGTGGAAAAACATATTGCGCCGCATCCACGTATTGCAGATCTTGGTAACGTAGCCGGATTTGGCTCTGACATTTAAAAAAAACCTTTGGTTTTGTACACCTTTTCCTATCATTCTTTCATGGTGTCTCTGAAAGTGTCCTCTTTTCTGGGATCCGCCAGATCGTACGCGTCTGCGTACAAATATACAATCTTGGTCGCAATAGCGGCTATCTTGTTCCTGGATGTTCTGATCCAGGTCGCTACATCGGGTCCAAAGCCTTCCAGGGAGATTGCCAAGGCACATTCCAAGGAACAGATTGCTTCTGTGAAGAAGAACGTCAACGATCCAATGGCCATCGAACTCCGCTTGCTGAGAGCGTACCCATACGGCGATACAGATCCTGAGAAGAACATTTGGCAGTTATGGGAGACAGAACGTCACTCGAACACGTTTATCGAGGAGGCCAAGCCACTGGTCACCAAGTGGTCAGAAGAGAACGAGGGCTACGGCCATCTGTGTTTGAGCATCGAGGAAGCCGAGGTGAAGGTTGAGCAAATTAAGGATACCGTTCCGGAGGTCTGGGAAGCTTACAAAGCGTTGCCTCACAGACGCCACAAATACGAGTTCTTGAAGTATCTGCTTGTCTACTTATATGGTGGAACATACGCAGATATCGATGTGGAGCCCCAAATTCCAATCAAAGACTGGTACCGTCCACGGATGATGTTTGGTAGAGTTTTCGTTGGCATTCTTGGCGACGTGAACGAGGAGGACTGGAATAAGTGGCTCAACAGAAGACTCACTTTCTCGACTTCTGTGTTCCAGTCTAGATCCAAGCATCCCTTCTTGGCCAAGCTGATCTCCCGTATCTCCTACATTGCTCTCCACGAGCGCAAGAAGTTTGCCAAGATCGACTGGGAAAAGGCCTTCCAGGACACAGACGCTACAGGAGAGCCTACGATCTCGTTCACGGGACCTTCCATTTTCTCCGACACCTTGATAGATTACTTCAACAGCATTCCAAATGCCGCCGTGCATGTGGTTTCCAAGTCGTTCAAGAGTCCTATCGACCACTCCGACGCCTTCGTGGGACCACCTGTTCCAGAATCCCAACAGTTTTCATACAAGACGTTCTCGCAGGCTCTTGCTCCATCGCAAGTCGAGAATGTCGTGATATACCCACAGATCTCGTTCCAAGGACCTTTAGTTAACGATGAAAAGTACGCTCGCTACCAGAAGTTATTCTTTGCGCGTCCTCATGGATTCCTTCCAAAGTGGGGATACAAGGCCAACCTGGGGTTGGCTAAATGAGCTCCGATAACTCCACTGGTGACGGGGGTCAGTAAGATTATGTAAAGTTATAGTAATGTTCAGGTTACAGGTTTATTTTATATCTGTGGATATTGACATTTTTTTATCTAACGGTTGACTAGATCGAGCTAAAAAAAAAATTGTAACCATAGCAACGGAAGCATTGAAATTAGTTGATAATACCTTTAGCGCGGTAAGTTTCCACGATCTTCCAGTACCGTTCCTTAGTCTTGTTTCTCCAGTAGTAGCCGGTGAAGATCATCACGAAGAACGTACCGATACAGAAGAGACAGATGAAGGCAGACGCAATGAAACAGTTTTGCACCCCGACGTTGGTGACGAACGGAGTGATGCCGTAGTCCATTGCGAAGTTCATCGTATTTCTGATCAAGATAGCAACCGTGATAGCTGGTGCGCTCATGTGCTCATAAGAGTCAAGAATGTAGGTGACAGCGGAAACACAGCCAATGGTACAGAGACCAGCCATGAGTCCTAAACCGAACACCACACCAAACCAGTGGACTCCCTTGGCTGCACCGACTCCCCAAAGGATAAGTGCTGCCGGGCCCAGAATCATGTAAACAGGCAGCACCCAGAACCGGTCTTCTGCCTGCGACACTCCGTTGTGCTTCTTGGCAAAGTGGATCTTGACCCAATCAGTAGACCAGCCACAGTATGGGTAGATCACCAAGCAGAATATCACCGGAGACAGATAAGCGAGACCGCACATTGCAGAAGAAAAGTTGTAAGGTTCGTCACCCAAAATCAGGGCCTCGGTACCGTTCAAAACAGAATACCAGAAAAGCGCAGCTCCGTACAGGAAACCTGCATAGAGAACACCTGGAAACTGAGCCATCAAAAAGATAGCCTTGATTTCGTCCCACAGGTGATTTTCTGGTCTCATTCCGGACGTGACAGAAAGTTTCTGCCAGAAAGTCTTGATCGGTGGGTACTCGACCTGCTCGTCAATAAGAGCGGCCTGGTTACCGATCTCGTTGCTGGTGACCACCATCAAAGTGTCTGGGTTCTTTTCGTCCAGTCTCTTTTCGCCGCGGCTGGTGATGGCTGCAACGATGCTTCCCGTTTCATCACGTCTAACTCTGAGTTTTCTAGTATAGTTGGTCTCTTCCATGAAAAGAGCTAAGAACACCCAGCACGCACCTCCAAAGATACAGGCCATCCAGATGACCCATTTCCATCCCAAACCGTCGTTCACGAATCCAGCAAGCATAGGAGCCATGTAGTTGGAGCCAAATAGAGCAACACTGTAGACACCCATGTAGGTGGCTCTTTCGTGCTCGAAGAAGAGGTCACCCACAGTGATCTCTGGTAGAGACTCGACTGGAGCGAAGAAAACTCCATTCAAAATTTTGGAAGCAATCCATTGTCCGTTAGAATGGACGTACGGCTGCCATAAATTGAACATTACAGTTGCCAGCAAAGAAACCAAATAAACAGGTCTTTTACCGTACTGTTGAGCAAGAGGCATCATGATGAGATTTCCAATACCCAAGAACAGAAAACTGTACCCGGTACCGTCGTTGAGCTGATCGACGGTGATGTCGATGTCTGGATCAGCAGCAATATTTGTCAGAATCGAGTAAATGCAGCATCCAGGAACACTACCTCCAAAGATGTAAACCACCACACAGAACATGGACAGCCATTTACGGCTTCTGCTCCAGTTCAACGGATCATTAGGATCGTCGGAAGGTGTAGGAATCAGCACAATACCCTTTTCAGTCTCGACAGCGTCTTCGGTGTGGTCCAAGTCAACCAAATGCGAGGTTCCTGGAACCGCTGAGTAGTCGATTTCTGTCTTCATTTAGAAAGTCGTAGCCTGTTTGTTTGTTGGGATCCAATGGTTGTTTTATACCGCCTACAAGCACCTTATCTAGAAGGTGGCGCGTATCAATAGATCCGAGCATATGGCGCACATTTAGCCAACAATTTTCCAGATAAGAATTTGGATTTCCTAATTGGGACGTCTACTCGGAACGGCATTAATAGATAAAACCAACGTCTGCCACTGCTGCTTGTAACCTGAGAAATCAAAATGACTGACTTCCAGCCTACATATTTCGGAAAATTCGTCAACACTACTGAAGATCCTGAGCTCTTTGCTACCTACAAGCCTAAGATCGAGGCGTACAAGGCAAGACTGGCTGCCGGTGTGTTGCCTGAATACGCGCTGCCAACCGATCTCCTGCCGCAAAAGCTTGGCGTAGATGCAACATTGATCGCTACCAAGCATCTGTCTGATTCTGAACTCAAGATCGTCGACACCCCGGCCTACATTCTTGTGGATGAAATTGCATCTGGAAAACTGACCTCCGTGGAAGTTTTCAAGGCGTACGCAAAAACCGCTACGGCTGCTCATCAGCTGACTAATTGCGCAATGGAGCTTTTTGTGGACGAAGGACTCAAGCGGGCTGAAGAATTGGATGCATATTACAAGAAAACAGGTAAGACAGTCGGCCCGTTGCACGGTGTTCCAATCTCTCTCAAGGAGCACTACAACTACAAAGGTAGAATCACTCACGGTGCCACTGTCGGGATGATCGACAATGTGACGGAGGGATTCTGCTCTTTGCTGGAATTGCTGTACAATGCCGGTGCCGTTTTCTATGTGCGTACCACGGAACCACAGAGCTTGATGCATCTGTGCTCCAACAACAACATCACCGGGCTGTGCAAAAATCCAGCCAACACTGCCTTGACCACTGGTGGATCGAGTTCTGGTGAAGGCGCTATTGTCACTTTGAAGGGGTCTGCGATGGGTGTTGGATCGGATATTGGTGGTTCCATTCGTGCTCCTGCTGCCTTCTGTGGATGTTGGGGCTTGAGACCTACACAGAAGAGAGTCACCGAGCTGGACCTCACTACCAACACTTTGGGTGCTCCTGAGGCCGTTGTTGCAGTTTTGGGACCTTTGGCACGGTGTGCACAGGACCTTGACTTGTTTATGAAGGTCCAAGCCGATTCCAAGCCTTGGGAAAACGACCCAACCATCATTCCTTTGCCTTGGAGAACGGTTGCCGCTCCTGCTACCAAAGATCTGAAGGTTGCAATCATGTACGACGACGGTGTGGTGAAACCTACTCCGCCAATTCTCAGAGGACTCAAAGTTGCGGCCGAGAAGCTCAAGGCCGCTGGTGCCACCGTTGTTGAATGGGAGTCCTTTGGTGTTGAGGAATTGGTAGCTACTGTCAACTGCATGTACAACTCCAACGGAAACACCGCGCAGAAAAAGAGTTTCGCAAAGTCTGGTGAGCCATTGCAGGAGCTGACAAAGATCGCCCTGTCCTTTGGTAAGGGAGACGAGATGCTAACCGCTTTGGAAGAACACATGTTGGTCTACACCAGAGAAACTTATCGGGTGAAGTACCACAATAAAATGAAGGAGCTAGGAATTGACTTCATTCTTTCGCCAACCTATGCGTCTGTTGCCGCCAAACCAGAGACCATTCATTACTGGGGCTACACCAGTTTGTGGAACATTTTGGACTTTCCAAATGTAATCTTCCCGACCGGATTGAGATGTGATCCTTCATTGGATGCTCCTGATAAGAGCTACCAACCAAGAAGCGAGCTAGAAAAGTACGAATATGAGCTGTACGACGACGCGGAAAACTTTAAAGGTGCTCCAATCTCGCTCCAGTTGACCGGAAAGAGATGGTTTGACGAGGAAGTCGTCAAGGCGTCCGAAATTATACATAAAATTATTTCACAATAGACACAAATCTTGAATCTTTTTTTTTTACAGCATGAAAGCAGATAAGACAAGACCTCGAGTGAAAAGCGCATTTGGGTGTGTTTGCTGTAAGTATTAGACCTCGAAGTTAGCTCTAACCGATCAGGCCGTAAGCGGAAGGTGAAATGTTCCGAGACAAAGCCCAACTGTGACCAGTGCGTTCGCAACTCGTATGTGTGCGTTTGGGCCAGTGGACGAGTTTCGGTTGCCGAACTGAAAAAGTTCGCTTTGCGCCGTGTTCGCAACCCCAACTTTGAGTTTGTGTACGAGACAAACTTTGGGAACAAGCCAAGCTCTCCGGAAGCAGAGTCGGCCGCCTCTAGTCCTGGGTGCACAGAGCTTGTGGCCGCACGCTCTCAAGTTGTTCAGCAGGAGGTTATCGACGACGCCATGTTCCGAAAGTATTTGGCAACGTTATGTAACTCTGCGTACACAGTCACGGGGCTAAACGGCTACAACTCCTGGGTTCATGGAGTCCAAATGAACAGTGAGGAGGCTTACTTGTACGATGCGTTCGTGAAAGGATTTATGGTTTCTGTGTCGCCCCAGTTGACCCATACCAAGCTTCAGCCTGGTGTCATTTTCATTCCGCAAGGAAGTCAGAGCCCGTGGCTGCTTGATATCTTCTATGCGTGTGGTGCTGCGTTCCTGTCGAGCGAGAAAGAGGAAATGCGCGCTCTCGCTGAAGCAAGGTTTTCGCAAGTGATGCGCCAGTTTGACGTCGTGTCCAATCTGGTCTACCAGGAAAACAACCAATGGGTGCTGATTGGACTGCTGTCGCTGTGTTTGCGGGAGAAATACTTTGGCAAAGACCACATGCGCACAATTGTCTATCTGAAGCTTGCTTTGGAGATGATTAGAAGCTGGCCGAAAACAAAACTGCTCCAGAGACGATGTGTCGAGGTCAAGATCGACGATATAACTTCTGCGATAGATCTACAAGAACACGCTCTCACGCCCTCAGAACGCACGCTTGTTGAGAGTTTTGCTTACAACTACGCAATTATCGGACTGCTCTGCGATAAAGAAACGCTGATGGTGCTGGATTCACCTTTTGAGGTGTTTGAAGAGCTGAATCCACTGCTCAGTCAGCAATTGTACGAATGCCCTGCTCCATGGATGAACAATCCTGTTATGGGTGCTGCGCTTCCAGCATTCGAGCTGGCCTCGAAAGCGGGGTGGCTCCAATTGCAGTATCCGTTCAATGCAGAAATGTTCCAGAAGGCAACCACACTGTTGCGCGTGTCCAAATTCATGGTTCCGCCTGTGCTCCCGCCGGACGTTAAGTTCAAGCAGCCAAAACATGTTCAAAAGCGACTCTTGGATAGTTGCTGCACGGCGCGAATCGTTGTGAAAGGGGCCTACGTTCTACTGTTCAAGCTTCTAAACCCGGAAAAACCGGCCACAGAACCCGAGATTCAGCACTGTATTGATGAATTCATCAAAGATCTTGAACAACTTAGTCTGCACTGCAGTTCCAGCCCAATTCTTACTTGGCCGTTATCAGTCCTTAGCACAGCCTTGGTTAAAGAGAGTCACCGAAGCTATATGGTGTGGAGAATGCGAAACTTTGCTTCCGTTAATCGAAGTTTATGTTTTGAGAGTATTATCGAGTTTCTTAAGCCAGTGTGGGGCGATGCCCAACATCCGGGTTATGGATGGGATGTTCTGCTCGACAAGTCTAATTTTCAGTCGTTATTTATTTAATTGAGATATTAAAATTCACGCAAACAAATTTGGTAGCAAACTAGTTTATCAGTCCTTTGGCGCGGTAAGTCTCGACTATTTTCCAATACCGTCCTTTAGTCTTATTTCTCCAGTAGTAGCCGGTGAAGATCATCACAATGAATGTCCCCACGCAGAAGAGACAGATGAAGGCAGACGCAATGAAACAGTTTTGCACCCCGACGTTGGTGACAAACGGAGTGATGCCGTAGTCCATTGCGAAGTTCATCGTATTTCTGATCAAGATGGCCACTGTGATTGCCGGTGCGCTCATCTCTTCGTAGCAATCAAGAATATAGGTGACAGCGGAAACACAGCCAATGGTACAGAGACCAGCCATGAGTCCTAAACCGAACACCACCCCAAACCAGTGGATACCCTTGGCTGCACCGACTCCCCAGAGGATGAGTGCTGCCGGGCCAAGAATCATGTAAACAGGGAGCACCCAGAATCGGTCTTCTGCCTGCGACACTCCATTATGTTTTTTTGCAAAATAGATCTTTATCCAATCGGTGGACCAGCCAGCGTAAGGATAGATCACAAGGCAGAAGATCACAGCAGACAGATAAGCCAGTCCACACATGGCAGACGAAAAGTTGTAAGGTTCGGCTCCCAAAATCAGGGCCTCGGTACCGTTCAGAACAGAATACCAGAACAGAGCTGCTCCGTACAAAAACCCAGCGTACAAAACGTTAGGGAACTGAGCCATGAGAACAATTGCCTTGAAGTAGTCCACCAGATGGTTTTCTTTCTGAACACCACCGACAAGTGATAGTTTCTGCCAGAAGGTCTTGACTGGTGGATACTCCACAGAGTTATCGTCAATCAGCATAGCTTGGTTGGCCTCGGAAGATCTCACCTGGACCAGTTCAGATGTTTTTTTCTCGCCTTGACTAGTGATCGTTGAAAGGACGTGGCCGTCCGAGTCTCTCTTCACCTTCAGTCTTCTGGTGTAATTTGTCTCTTCCATGAAAAGCACCAAGAACACCCAGCAGACGGCTCCAAAGATGCAAGCAATCCAGATCACCCATTTCCATCCCAAACCGTCTCTAACGAAACCTGCCAGCATAGGGGCCATGTAGTTGGAGCCAAATAGAGCAACACTGTAGACACCCATGTAGGTGGCTCTTTCGTGCTCGAAGAAAAGGTCACCCACAGTGATCTCTGGTAGAGACTCAACTGGAGCAAAGAAAAAACCGCCAATGATCTTGGAAGCAATCCATTGACCGTTGTCAGTGATATATGGTTGCCAGAGGTTGAACATGACCGATCCAAGCAACGAGACAATATAGACGGGCCGTTTTCCATACTGTTGAGCCAATGGCATCAGCAGAAGGTTTCCAATACCAAGAAATAAGAACCAGTAGCCCGTACCGTCGTTAAGTTGTCCGGTGGTTATGTCAATTTCCGGAGCCGAAGAAATGTCTGTCAAAATGGAGTAGATACAACAGCTGGGGATAGAACCACCAAAGATGTACACCACCACACAAAGCATGGCTAGCCACTTACGGCCACGACTCCAGTTGAGTGGGTCGTTAGGGTCGTCAGAAGGAGTGGGGATCAGCACAATCCCATCCTTGGTTTCTGCTTGTGCTTTATCGTTGTGGTCAAAGTCCACCAGGTATGAGGTTCCTGGCACCACAGAGTAGTCAATTTCAGAGTCGTGCTGCATAACAATGATCCAAAAAGAAGACAGTGCTCGGATTTATAGCGCTGAACTGTAATCTTGTTGACTTTGCTCACTATCTGTTTAGCTAGTTACGAAGCGAGCCTCTTACTACATCGGGAAACTGGCTCGTCTGAATAGCCTACAATCTCTAACATTGACTATATTTTGACGAGCTGATTTCCTTTCCTAAGCGGATGACCATTGTCTATGTGGACGAGTTTAATTTTTTATCGAGACGAATTTCTCGAGATAGCACTGATAAGAATACCACTTTCCCAATTAGGAAATGAGCTCGCTTTACATTCACACCCTCACTATTTATTTGGCTGCCGTATAAATGATGGCCAGTCGAGCGATTTATCGTGATCATCATGTTTGGAACTTTCACTAACACCACTGAAGACGCAAAGCTATACGCAACGTATGTGCCCAAAATCGAGGCATACAGAGCCAAACTGAAGGCTGGCATTCTGGAGGAGTACAAGCTCAAGGAAGAGCTTGTTCCTAAGGAGTTTGGTGTTGATGTCACTCAAATCCCAGAGCAGATTCTTTCCAAGAAGGAATTAGCAATTGTTAACACCCCAGGCTACAAGCTGGTGGAGGAGATTGCCAGCGGAAAGCTCACATCGGTTGAGGTGTTCAAGGCTTTTGCAAAGACAGCCACTGCTGCGCACCAAGTTACCAATTGTGCCATGGAGCTGTTTTTGGACGAAGGTTTGAAGAAAGCAGAGGAATTGGACGAGTACTACGAAAAGACTGGCAAGACTGTTGGTCCATTGCACGGACTGCCTGTTTCGTTGAAGGAGCACTACAACTACAAAGGTAAAGTCACTCACGGAGCTTGTGTTTCCAGAATTGAGAATATCACCGATAACTGGTGTTTGACGGTCGAGGTGTTGCTTGAGGCAGGTGCTGTGTTTTATGTCCGTACCACGGAGCCACAAACTATCATGCACTTGTGCTCCAACAACAATATCACCGGGCTTTGCAGAAACCCAAATAACACCTCGCTGACCACTGGTGGGTCAAGTTCTGGTGAAGGTGCTTTGGTTGCAATGAGAGGCTCTGTCTTTGGTCTTGGTTCCGACATTGGTGGCTCCATCAGATGTCCATCTGCTTTCTGCGGTATCTTTGGCTTGAGACCTACTCAGAAGAGACTTTCAATGAAAAATGTCACTTTCAGTTCAAACGGTGTTGGCGAAGGCGTCGTTTGTGTTCTTGGTCCTTTGGCCAGAAGTGCACAAGACATTGATCTGTTCATGAAAGCTTCGTTAGGCGGAAAGCCGTGGGAGAGAGACCCAATTTTGATTCCGTTACCATGGAGAGAGGTTGCAGTTCCTGCTGCAAAAGATCTTAAGATTGCAATCATGTACGACGACGGTGTGGTGAAGCCTACTCCGCCAATCCTGAGAGGACTGAAGGTTGCTACTGAAAAACTCAAAGCCGCTGGTGCCACTGTCGTTGAGTGGGAATCCTTTGGTGTTTTGGAGTTGGCAGAGACATGCGGTGCTTTCTACAACGCTGATTGCAACAAGGCCCAGAAAGATGCACTGGCTGCTTCTGGCGAGCCGGTTCTCGAACTATCCAAGATCGCTATGTCGTTTGGATGCGGAGACAAGGGACTCTCTGCTACCGAAGAGCACATTGGCCAGGGTCTCAGAGACAGCCACCGTGTGAAGTATCACGATAAGATGGCCGAGTTGGGAGTGGACTTCATTCTGTCCCCAACGTACGTTTCCGTTGCCGCCAAGCCAGAAACCATTCATTACTGGGGCTACACCAGTTTGTGGAACATTCTTGATTTCCCGAACGTTGTGTTCCCAACCGGATTGAAATGCGATCCTTCACTGGATGCTCCTGATAAGAGCTACCAACCGAGAAGCGAGCTAGAAAAGTACGAGTACGAGCTGTACGACGATGCTGAGAACTTCAAGGGCGCCCCCATCTCGCTTCAGTTGACCGGAAAGAGATGGTTCGACGAGGAAGTCGTCAAGGCGTCGCAGGTGGTGCACGAGATTGTGACTGCGTAAACTTATATAGCGGGCATGTAAATGCAACCGTTAAAAACGTTCTACACCTAAAACCAACTTCAGATAAGAAAATCGAAACTAAATTTCACTTCACCCATGAGCATTGATAAGCCGCAGCAGGCCAAGCGGGCTTCCAATCGGTCCAAGAACGGATGTTTGTGTTGTAAGTAGATCAGCAAGTGGTGAACTAATCAAATAGGTCGCAAACGAAGAGTGAAATGCGACGAAACCAAACCATCTTGTCATTCGTGTCTCCGTAATTGCTATGTTTGCGTATGGCCGCCGTCTGACGGGAACTTTCGCGACAGGAAACGATTCCAGCTTCAATCTGTCTCAAGAGACCCGTTCAAATACGTTTATCCTACGTCTCCATCTTCATCCAAGCCCAAGACCGAAACTGCGCTCAAGACCGTTCTCGGAGTGGGCGAGCCTGAACGACAGGTGGTGACCATCTCCAGGACGCAGGAGGAGCGCGAGCACCAAATGAGCGATGATGAGCTGTTTAGAGAGTACCTGGTGACCCTGTGTAAGGATTTTCGGCCCACCACCAAATTGAACGGATTCAACTCATATATGGTTGGTGTTGACATGTCGTCGCACGAGGCGATGTTGTTCGACTCGTTCGTGAAAGGGTTTATGGTCTCTGTATCTCCGCAGCTGACCCACCGCAATTTACAGCCCGGCGTGGTGTTCATTCCACCGGGAACCACAAATAAAGCTCTCCGTGATATTTTCTACGCTTGCGGGGCAGCGTTCCTGTGCTGGGAACAGCAGGACATCCGCAAAGAGACAGAGAGCCGGTTTCTCCAGTGCGTGACCCAGCTTCCGGCGCTGGTGCAGTCGATGAAGTCGTCTGGCGACAACAAGTGGTTACTGATAGCGTTGCTGTGTCTATGCTTGCGCGAGAAGTACGACGGGCACGATTACTTGCGCTCGGCGTGGTATTTGCAAATGGCGCTGGAAATCATCCGCAGCTGGCCGTCGATGCAACAGAAGATAACTATGTTGCCGCAGATCGACCAGATAGCTGCTCAAACGGCTCCGGACAGCGATGAGAACATCGAGCTGATGCTGGACGACATGTCTGGAGTCATGACGGAGACCACAAAGGTACTGGAGAACTCTGAGAGGTGTCTGCTGGAGAGTTTCTTGTACAACTACTCTGTGATTCTGCTTCTGTGCGACCGTGCAACCATCGACCTGCTGGAATCGCCGTTCAAGGTGTTTAAGGAGTTTCGTCCGTACATGAACCAGAAACTGTACGACTGTCCTGCTCCCTGGATGAATAACCCAGTGATGGGGGCGGCGGCTTCAGCGTTCGAGCTGGCCGCGAAAACGAGCTGGCTCCACGCAAAGTACCCGTTCTGTCCCTCCGAAACCAAGCTGGCTCTTGGTGTCCAGAAAATGGCAGAGTACTACGTGGCTCCAGTGCTGCCGCCAAGTGTTCGTTTTTCCCAGCCTAAACACGTGCAGCGGAAACTGCTGGACAGCTGTTGTACCGCGCGAGTGGTGGCCAAGGCGTCTTACCTGCTGCTCACGAAACTGATCAACCCGGACTTGTCGTCTGAGGACCCGAAAATCAAACAGATGGTGCAGGAAACCATGAAGGACATTTCCGAATTGAGCATCCACAGCCAGACATCCTTCATAGTCACGTGGCCCATTGCAGTAATTGGCACCGCTGTCTCCTCAAAAGAACAGCGGGACTACCTGGTCTGGCGGCTTCTCAACTTTGGATACGCTGTGCGGTCGAGTTGCCATATTCGCATCGTGGAATTTCTCAAATCCGCTTGGGGGACAGAACAGCAACCAGGAATCGGATTCGACGTGCTGCTCAACAAAAGATACTTCAAAGGACTGTTTTTATGAATAAATGAACTCTTAAGCTTAACTACGTATACAAATAACATGGGCGTAACAAAATATATTGCGCAAGCTAAACCGAAGTTGACTCGAGAAGCTTGTCGGCATTCTCCACATGCTCCACTTCGGCAAGAGGCTTGACATCTGTGTCATTGAATGGTCTGTGAGCAACCACACCATGGAAGATGGTGGTCTGTCCCAGGAAAATACTCTCGATGTCCTCCAATGTGCGCCTCGTGGTTTCTGGACAGAAGAGGAAAATAGTCACTGCGGCAGCGGCGTTGGTCATCGTGAAAATGATGTATGTTTTCCATCCGAGGTTCTCGGTGATGATAGGGGTGATCATAGCAATCACGAAGTTGGAGATCCAGTTTGTAGAGGTGCTGATGGCAGTACCCTTGGCTCTGAGTTGCAATGGCAGAATTTCTGCACCATAGACCCATGGAACACAGTTCATGGCGGCTCCGAAAAAGGCCATGTAGGTGAAGAAGAAGGCCACAGAACCGGCAGAGCACTTCTTTCCGCCAATTCTCAGCAGGATAGTGATCATCATCATCGACACCATCTGTCCCAGCGATCCAGAGATCAACGCAGTTCTTCTTCCAATTTTGTCCAGCCACAAAGTAGGGATGAAACCGAAGAAGAAGAAGGTAATCATGATACAGCCACCAAGAATGGTGGAGATGTTGGTGCTCATTCCAACGTTGCTCTCAAGCACCATTGGCACGTAGTAGACAACAAGGTTGACACCTCCGAACTGGTTCCAGAACTGCACAAGCATGGCTAGGAAAATTCTAAATCTTCCGTGCATGGCATCCTGGCCACGCAAAATCATTCTCCAACTGATACGGTCACCTTCTCCCTCCATCTCTTGCAAGTAGAGGATGTCGTTAATAAGCTTGTTGACAGAATCGTCGTCCTTCGACACGTTATTGATTCTCGAAAGCGAAGTTTTGGCATCGTCAACGTATCCTCTCTTCATGAGCCATCTTGGAGACTCTGGACAGAAGAACAACATGACCCATCCCAAAACAGCGAACAACATTTGGATACCAATAGGAAGTCTCCAGGACGTTTGATCGAATCTTTTGCTGCAACCGTATCCAATCCAGTAGGAAATAGAAATTCCAAGGGCCACACCTTGAGGTTCTGCTGCAACCATTCCACCACGCTTCTCAGGAGGAGTCACCTCTGCCTGGAACATAGGGACTGTACTTGTTTCCAATCCGGTTCCTAAACCAGAGATGAATCGTCCAATAAATAGCTGCACAACTTCATAACTGCTTGTCTGAAGTATAGTTCCGATAATCACCAATGTGAAACCAAACCAAATGGTCTTTTTTCTTCCAAGTCTGTCACCAAGATACAAGTTGGCAAGACATCCAAAGAAACTTCCGAGGTTGTAGATCGAGACAATGATTCCGAGATAGTTTCCGGTTGGGTAGCCGAACTGCTTCTGGAAAACAGGATGATTCTGAATGTTGGCCAACGCGCCCTGCTCAAAACCATATAAAATGAAGGAGAATAAACAAGTAACAGTAATCACTATTCTTGTGGGCCTTCCGGCGGGAAATGCTTCGTAGTACAGTTTCATCTTGGTCGGTGAGACTTCGTGTAAGAAACACAAAGGGATAACGACGTGTTTATATACAACATTTGTGTCATAGGGCTGTGAGAAATGAGGATGGAACCATAATGACGTCACACAAACTTTTTTTCGGTGGGGCCTATTGTGCCGAGATATTCTATTGTCTTATCCCCGCTATTTTTGGGAGCCCTCCTATTGTTTGTGCAGCAAGGCTTGAACATGTTTGACCGTCATTTATCCCGGGAGGCATGCTTTTAGATTGCCTAGATGCCGGATGCAGCGTGACCAATCTGTACGTGACTACGGGTGTTCGGAACGGCATTTCATAGCAGGCACAACATGGCGCGAAAACTCCGCTTTCTCATGAAATTGTGATATGTCCCGTTTCCCCGCGAAGATATGCCAGCAGTCACAAAGGACGATCCTCCAGTGCTGTTGACACCTGTTTCATCGTGCCAGGAGGGCTTACCCAGGAATTCCCTGGCATTTGTGCCATTATTATGAAGAAGTTGTTCAACTTATTATTTGCTTCAACCGCACGGACATATCATGCTGTTGGGTTGACTAAACTAGCAGCTATAGTCTACTCCGAAAGCAATCAAAAGAGGGGTTTCCCACTGGAGTTCCCCGAGGTCGCGCTTCATTTCCGCTATTGGCAACACTTGCCCCGGGCAGCAACATAACCGCCTGCCGGTTCTGGAACCGGCTGCAGACAGGTTTAAACCTATGACGGAGTTTGCGCAGCGAGGGCCTTTTTTTCTGATCGACACCGTTTCATAACAACCCCTCTCCGACCCACCAAAGCCATCCTGCTCGCTAATGCTTAAGCGGTGGTGTCCCACTGCGGAGATTCTCAGGGGTGGGGAGATCCAATGCCGAATCTACTCTGCAAAACCGCCACAATGCGCACTGGGTGGTTTGATAAATGTTTGGTGACTTGTTGGGCAGTCGCCTGATTGTTTGATGGTGGTACCAAGACTTTGGGGTACTCCTCACAAACCCCATGGAGGTTAAGTCCCGCTTCGTTAATGCAGTTCTCCGGCCCCACTCGGCCTGCCTTACACGTCACGGTCAAATACAGCTCCCACCCCAGAGTCTGGAGTGTTTCCTGCGTTGCCCGTTCTTTGCAAGATGAGCTGATTCCGAAAATCGTCCCGTCGCGGGTGGGTCGACCTCAGCGTCGGGCAACTTTTTTTCAAATTTTTATTGTAGATAAGATACTACTCGACACCAGTTTTTGTGCTGATCATGGTTAAAGACGTTGTTGTTGTTGGAAGTGGTGTCGCTGGCCTCACGTGTGCGTACCAGCTTGCCTCCAAAGGTTACAAAGTGACGGTTGTTGCTAAACACCTCCCTTCTACCTCTATTACCGACTCTCAGTATACATCTCCATGGGCTGGAGCTCATTTCAGACCAGCTCCCTCCAAGACGCCAGAGGATTACAGAGACTCTAAGCTGACCAGGGCTACATACAAGGCGTTCAAGAAGCTCGCTGCTGAGTTTCCAGAGAGTTCTATTCAGTTCATGCCGGGAACAGACTACATCGAGAAGTCCGACCCGGCCTATTTGAACCTTGCCCCGGGCTATTATGAGGACTTGGAAAACTTTAAGGTGATTCCAACGCACCAATTGCCCAAGAACGTCAAGTTCGGTGCCAAGTACACCGCTTGGAGCTTGAATGCTCCAATGTATCTGCAATTTCTAGAGAGAAGACTGGAGATGTTCTTCGGCGTGAAATTTGTCCAGGAAAGCCTTGGCTCGTTGGAGCAAGTGGCAAAGATGTTCCCAGGGAACATTATTATCAATTGTTCTGGCCGTGGACTGCAGTACCGTGGTGGCTACGACCCAACCACGTTCCCTATCAGGGGCCAAACCCTGTTGGTGAAAGCTCCCGAGAACTGTCCTTACCGCAAGGAAACCATCACGTACCAGCTGGCAGATGGCAGGTTCCGGTTTGTGATTCCACGTCCATTGGACGGCGGAGTGATTCTGGGTGGAACAAAACAGCCTGGTGACCTCAGCTCCAGCGTGAGCGAAGAAGACACAGCCAGTCTTATTGCTGACGGTAAGAAGCGGTTTCCAGAGCTGCTGATTGACGGAGAGTTCCAGGTCAAGCGGGTGAACGTTGGCTTCAGACCGGCCAGAAAAGCAGGCGTCAGAATCGAGAGAGAGATTGTTGACGGAACAGAAATCGTCCACTGCTATGGTTTTGGCGGTTCCGGCTTCGAGATGAGCTGGGGAGCAGCAGAGAAGGTTGTCCAGCTTGTGACTGGCTCCAAAAGTAAACTATAAGTATTTTATTAGAATTAATTATTCACCTTTTACAGGTGGAGGATAAATGACTCCTTTTTGCTCAACAATCCGTTTGTATTGGTCAGGACGTCTGTGCCGCTCAAAGTTGAAAATCCGGCCTCTTGGTGGATAACATCTGTCCAGGTCGACCTCAGTCCAGATAAGCTCGTCGTCATGGGTCTTGGTTTTGGCAAGAATGACTCCTTCAGGATCCACAATTGTTGAGCCACCAATCAGCGAATACTTGCCGTCATCAACACCCGTTCTGGCAGAACACAACGAATAGCAGCAGTTATTGTACGAGTTGTACTGCAAACAGATGTCGTTGTGGAAGCTGGCCATCTCCTCGTTTGCATCCGCATTCACCATCTGGCCGTCGGAGTCGGCCTTGTTGGAAACGGGAGTGTTGAACCCAATACAAACAATCTCTGCACCCTGCAGTCCCAAAATTCTCCACGACTCCGCCCAGCGTCTGTCATTGCAGATCAGTTGCCCCACAACTGGGCCTCCGTTTCCAGTTCCGGTGCCGGGCCATCTGAACGCTGTCCAATTATAGTTTCCTTCCAGGAAGTATCTTTTTTCAAGGTGCTGCCACGGAACGTTTTCTAAGGGCTCCTTGTCACCAGGCAAGTGCATCTTTCTGTACTTGTTGATGCTGTTGCCCTTCTGATCCACAAATACAGACGTGTTGAAGTGCTCCTTCTCCTCAGTCAGCTCGGCATATCCAACACAGACTGCAATCTCGTACTCCTTGGCCTTCTCAAAAAAAGGCTTGAAAGGATCGAACTCTGTCACCTCGCCCGACTGATACCACTTGTCCAGCTCGGGACCGAATGGGAAAACGTATCTCGGGAAGAACGTGGTGAAGGTGAGCTCTGGGAAGTTGACTAATTTCACCCCGTTAGCATGGGCCTCGTCCAACAACTTGATCATCCGCTCAATGACCTCCTCGTAGGGAGTATCGATGTCGATTCTACCCACCTGCGCTGCTGCTATTCTGATGAGCCTGGTCATTTCGAATTTGCAAACTCATATCTTACGGTCGCGCTGATATATATATTGCGGGCAGAGCTGCATGCGAGCCAATCGTGAATTTTTTTATCTCTGCTAAAACAATAACTTGTCGGGCAACAGGGCAATACCGTTTTCATGGGAAATCCACAGAGACCGTACAAGTCCCGTAAAGTGCGGCCGTGCGACAGGTGTCGTAAGCGTCGTTCAGGATGCGTCCTTGAAGGCGAGCCTCCGTGCCGGCTGTGTGCCAAAATGAACTGGAAATGCGAGTTCACCGACAGTGTGCCCCCTTTCAACAGACACAAGAACAAAGACTCGGCCCCGCTCGCAGCTGGAACGTCGATCATCTCAGAGACCTCATCGCTTGTCGATTCGTCGGTGCTCAAGCCGCAGGTTGTTTCGTTGTCGTCTTTCACCGAACCCACCTCTGTGTTATCTCCCGAGGTCCCATCGTTTCCCTCCATCAAGTCGGCCGTTTCCTCGCCAGCTTTTGACCGGTACGATAACGGAAGATCCGTCTTGGAACTGAACAGCCCAAAGACGCTGGCCACGGATCCCAAAAACCTGCTCTTCGATAACGGCATCTGGGACGAGATCTTTGGACTCATTGTTGGTAACGAGCACCAATACGAGTCAATCAGCGTTTCTCCCTCGGCCAAGATCTGGACTCCGGCAGAACAGCTCATTGCTAATGACGACAGATACTCGATTGATGCTTTCAAACAGTACGAGTCAACTTACCTCTCAGACTCGGGTTATCTCGATCCCTATAACTACCGAGATGTTTCGGGACTGGTTCCTACATCGAAGAAGTTTCACATTCGCAGCATGAAGAAGTCCGATCTTCCTGATGTGATCATATTTCAGCGGTCTGAAATTGATTACTCTGTGGCCCAGATCAACTCGGAGATTCAGAAATTGTTCAACCCATACATCTCCAAAATGATGCTATTATTCCTGCGTCACGTGAATCCGTTCTTCCCGGTCTTCTCTCGAGGACGATTCTACAATTTTGCCAAACAGGACACAAAAGTGTTCGCATCGGTGCTATTTGCCGGTCTTCTTATTGTGACCATCGACTGGTGGGACCGAGATCCCGAACTGAGTTTAATTCTCCGTCCAGATGTGACCAAATTGATTGATATGACTATCGACCAGCTCATGGTAGAGTTGTCTAACCCTTGCTACGGAACGATCCAGGCTTGCTTGCTGCTAACACAAATAATGGGGACCGACAACCAGTCGTCGCGAATTAAAGAGCTACCCCTATTGAGTCTTGCTTATTCGCTCTCACAGGCTATGGGTCTGAATGTTAACTGTCTAAACTGGGAGATCCCAAATTGGGAAAAGAGAATCAGACGGCGTCTTTGGTGGACTCTTTTTATTCAGGAGAAATGGATGAGCTTTTCCCTCGGAAAAGGTAGCCATATCTCAAAGTCTGACTGGAATGTGCCGATGATCATGGGCTCAGACTTTGTCTATTATCCAGATCCAGGAGTGGAAGAGCAGCATCATACCAACGAGGTCAAGATTTTCTGTATAACAGCAGAGCTGACTCTGATTGTGGACGAGATTGCAGACGAACTTCTGAAAGTTCGTTCCACTAAGATGAGCTTGGCCACCACGTACAAGAAAGTGTACGGCTTTTTGACAAGAATTCGGGAGTTTCAAAAGAGTCACCAGTCGGTGCTCCAGATAAACGCGAGCGAATCTGGAGCCACAAGCTGTGCTTTATGTGTTGCAGTAATCACACTCAAAGTTGCTCTTTTTCGCACGCTTCTTCACAGGATCTTAAATTGGTTTCAAGAAAAGGAAGCTGACGCAAACAAAATACCCAGTCTAGACGAGTCTGAGAACGACAAACTTGCTACGGAAGCTATGGATGACAGCAAGAGGCTGTCGGCAGAGATTTTAGACGTTCTCAGCCAGCTAAGACCCTATCACTTTGAGCGGTTCTGGTTCTCCTGGTCAAAGTACAATTTTGCTTCTATTTCCAGCTTTTTCCTCCTCCTTTCACAGTTTGCACTTACTACAGAATCCCGAACGACTATTGAGACCAACACCAATAAGCTTCGCTACTTTGTGCAAACTCGCGCTCGGCTATTCAACCAACTTGATCTTGCTAGATGGGTGCTGAACATGAATAATTAATTATCTGTGTATTATAAATAATTTTGTCCTCTTAACTCGCGATTTGGCTTCGAGTCCATAAAAAGACCGCGTTTTGATGTTCTCAGGCCCATTCTCACTAGACCCGAGAGAATGTTGACTGCGGAAGAGACGCCATCGATCACCTGGACATGGTACGGCTCTACGGCAGCTTTCACAGCGTTGGCCATATCAGCCATTCCTGCGCACCCAAGCACGATACAGTCCGCATCCTTTTTAACTAGCTCCAATGCGCAGTTGGCCATGAGAGCTAGCACTTCTTCTCTCGGTTTTGTCTCCAGCTCCTTCACGGCTAGTTTGGTCGACAACAGACCAGCACAAAAAGGCGTAAGTCCGTAGTTTCTCACAGCAAACTCATGTCTAATCTGAGATCGATAAACTGTACAAACAACGCCAAACTTACCTCCCAGTAAACGTGCGTTATAGAAGCCAGCTTCCATTATGCCACAACAGGGTTTTGAAAACTCTTCTCTAACACAGTTGATCAGTGGATGAACGGAGAAACAGCCAACGACCACCGCGTCAACTTGATCAATTAACCCATAGGCATTTCTGATACAGCTCGCGGCAGAGAGAACGGAATCCAGATGACCTTCAATAGTGATTGGAGTATCGTTTTCTGGACCCGTGTACCCATATACTATAGTGTCTGCAGGAATGCTGTTGGAGATCATGTCAAGACATGACATGGTCATGGAATTGGTAGCATTGGGATTCAAAAAGAGAACCTTAACAGTGGTCTCACCCGATCCCTTGACGAAAGGAAGCTCGTTCAGATCACTAGCCATCCTTAGTAGCCACACCGAATATTTTCAAAATATATATGCATGATAAGCGTTGCAGGATAGGGCAACTTTTTTTGCCCGACAGACAGGAAATAATTTATCGCAGATTCAACACAAGATTATGTTCCAATGTTTTCTTCCAAAACCAACCAGTTCGACCTAGTCATCCACAACGGATATGTGGTCACAGCGTCTGATATTCTCCCTCCATCGGTTTACATTGGTTTGAAAGATGGTGTTATTGATCAGATCTCGGCTCGTCCTCTAACTGGTAAGCGGGTTATCGATGCGGAAGGTGGATACGTCATGCCCGGAGGTGTTGATTCACATGTCCACCTGTCCCAGAAAAATACTCCAGCAGGCGATACAATCGAGTCTGGTACTCGATCAGCCACACCGGGAGGGACTACTACGGTGATTCCATTTGCCGTGCAGGCCTCAAAGGACGACTTCGATGTGGTCTCGGTAGTGGAAGATTATCATAAAGTAGCAGACGGGCAGGCATACTGTGACTATGGATTCCATTTGATTGTTTCCAATCCTAACGAGGAGATGCTTTCTGAGCAACTTCCACAGCTTGTGGAGAAAGAAGGTATAACGTCTGTCAAGGTGTACACCACTTATCCTCGGTATAAATTATCTGACGAACAATTATTGGATATTCTTCTATCGAATCGGAAAATGGGTGTGACCACAATGATTCATGCGGAGAACTCCGACATTATCGATTTTATTGGAAAGAAATTGGAAGAAAAGAAAATGATCGACCCTTACTACCATTCCGTCTCCAGACCACTGGTAGCCGAGGACGAAGCTACATACAGGGTGATTTCTTTATCGAAAATGATTGACGTTCCAATTTTAATTGTCCACATGTCTTCTGAGACCGCCCTGTCTACTGTCAGAGAGGCTCAGACCAGCTTGGTCCCAATTTTTGCTGAGACATGCCCACAGTACCTCTTTCTTACGGCAGACTACTTAAAGCATGATTGTCACCACCATGTTCACAAAAATGACAGCTTCCAAGGAGCCAAGTATATTTGCTCTCCGCCTCTACGACAAACAGTCAAAGAACTAGAAGGCGTTTGGAAGGCAATACAGAACGGAACTGTCACCGTGTTTAGTAGTGATCATGCCCCAACGGTATATGATCACCCATTGGGCAAAAAGGCCGGCCTGGTGAATGGTGTTCCGCACTACAAAAAGGTGCCCAATGGACTTCCTGGGATTGAGACCAGAATGCCGTTGCTTTTCTGCAAGGGAGTCGAATCCGGCAGAATCACTCCTCAAAAGTTTGTCGAGCTCTGCTGTTCCAACCCAGCGAAGATGTACGGCTTAGGTGATAGGAAGGGAAGTATCAGCGTTGGAATGGATGCAGATCTGGTGATCTGGTATCCAAAGGGAAAGTTACAGCCGTTTTCTTTGGACAACAGTATGCTGCACCATGGAATTGATTATTCTCCGTTTGAGGGCATGGAATTCTCCAACTGGCCTAGATACACCATTCTCCGTGGAAATGTTGTTTGGGACAGAGACAATGGAGGACTAATTGCTAGCAAAGGAGTTGGAAAATATCTGAAAAGGGGAAAGTCTTCTCTTGGAGGTCCAATCAAAGAGCTAGACGAGATTTTAGCGTAGATTCTACATAATCAGATCAAAATAATCATATGCATAATTTGCGGTGGTCATTGCCCGATAGCGATATTTTTCTCGAGATCTGACCAAAATAATTTCTTAACCTCTTATAACGATGAGCTCGATCCTGGGAAGAAAACCTAAAGTGCTATACATTCCAACGGAGCAGAACATTCACGATGAAGAGGCTTGGAAAACGTTGAACGATAAGTTTGAGGTTGTTACTTATGATTGTGCTACCGAACAAGAGTACATTGAAGAAGTTCAAAAGCCAGACGGGAAATTTGCAGGAATCGATGCCATATGTCGGTCGACTTGGCTTAAAGGACAGCCATATGTTCATCATTATTTGTTTAGAAATGAGCCGGTTAAGTACCTTCCAGACACAGTCAAAATCATTGTTCAATCCGGTCACGGCTATGATATAGTTGACGTTGATTATCTCACCAAAAAGGGTGTGATTTTTTGCAACTCACCCGACTGCTGCTCTATTGCCACTGCAGACGTTGGAACGTCCTTAGTCTTGCAATCATTCAGGTATTTAACTTTCGCTGAACACTGCGTTAGGACAAATAGATACTATGAAAGTGCACCTTTGGTTCTTTGGGGAGAGAACCCAAGAGGAAAAACACTGGGAATCATTGGAATGGGAAATATTGGTTTCTATGTGGCTACTGCTTGTAAAGCTTTGGGAATGAATATTGCATACCACAATAGAAACCCCAAGCCAGAGTACGAGAGTCAAATCGAGGGCTTACAGTTCTTCAAGAATCTTAATGATATGCTTGCGATTACTGACTGTGTTTTTGTTGGATGTCCATACACTCCCCAGACACATCATTTAATTAACAAAGAAAGATTCAAGCACATGAAAGATAGGGTGAGATTGGTGAATATTGCTCGAGGCCCGATTGTGGAGGAAGCTGCAGTCATTGAGGCATTAGAATCGGGACAACTGGTGGGTGCAGGATTTGATGTGCACGAGTTTGAGCCTAAAATTCATCCAAAGCTGTTGAATAATTACAAAATCACTTTATTGCCACACGTTGGTGTTGCCTCTGTCGATAGCTTCAAAGCTTTCGAAAAAAAATGCGTGGGAAATCTTATCGAATATTTTTACGGAAACGGACTACCCGAAGCAGTCAATGCGGAGCTACTTCAAAAACGAGCCTGAGCTTTTGATTAGCGGCGTCTGATTGAAAGTGCCCGAGGAAGTCGACTGATAGGGCTTCTACGTGCTTTTTTTTGGCAGTCGTTTATTTCCTTCGACTGCCCGAAAATATGTACGAAAACAATAGATCTATCTTTGATAGGGCAAATTTTCATCGATAGTTGAAGAGATAAAAAATGATCATTTTGTATAAATGCTAACAGAAACTTTCTCTTGCAGAGTACGATGAACGTGATCAGAAAAGTCGACCAGTTCATCTCTATCAGAGATGATACAGAGGAGGACAGCGATAAGCTTCGTGCAAACAGAGACTTAAAGCCAACTCCTCCAAGAGAAAGAACTTGGAAAATGTACAACTATGTTGTTGTCTGGTTCCAGTCTGCCTTTGGAGTCAGTTCTTGGAACACCGGTTCATCTTTGATGAAGGCAACGGGGCTCCCGTACACGCATGTGATTGCGGGTGCCGTTATTACAAGTTTCATCTGCTGTTTCTTTGTTGTTGTGTCTGCGAGATCAGGTGCCAAGTATCACATTGGGTTTCCGTCGGTTGCCAGAGCTACCTTTGGTGTTAGGCTTGCCAGGTTCTTTGTTTTTGTTCGTATGTTTGTTGCGGCCTTGTGGTTTGGCGTTCAGACTTATTATGGATCCCGGTGCTTTGACGTGGCACTTAGATGTGTCTTTGGGCACAAATGGTACAACATCCCCAACCATTTACCCGACAGTGCTCAAATTACAACCAGACTAATGGTTGCGTTTCTGATCTACTGGATTGCCCAATTTCCGTTGATGTTTCTGCACCCTAAGCAAGTCCGTTGGTTTTTCACTATCAAAGGTATCATTATGCCTATCGCAGCCTTTGGTCTGTTCATTTTTTGTATGATCAAAGGAGGTGGACCTGGCGATTATGATATTGGTATCAAGGTGGAGCAAGTGACGAGTCAAGGTAACGAGTGGATAAGAATGATCAACACTATCATTGGATCTGTTTCAGCCATGATCATTAACCAGCCAGACATCGCACGTTACTCTAAAAAACCACGAGATGCCCTATGGCCACAGTCAATTGGATACATTCCTTCCACCATCGCAATCTTGCTCATTGGTATGGCTTCCAATGCATCGATTAGAAAGGCGTACGGTGAATCTTATTGGAACATGTGGGATCTGCTCACTGCGATCTTAGAACACGAATGGAGTGCGGGCACTCGTTGTGCAATTTTCTTGTGCTCTGTGTCTTTTGCGCTCGGGGCTGCAGGTACCAACATTTTTGGAAATTCGATTCCGTTTGCCGCAGATCTCTGTGGCCTGCTACCAAAATACTTCAATATTGTGCGAGGTCAAATATTTTTAGGGCTATTGGCTTGGGCTATGGTTCCATGGAGAATGATCAATTCCGCCGCCACTCTTGTCTCCTTTCTTGGCTCCTACTCCATTTTTGTTGCTCCACTTCTAGGATGTCTTTTGTCGGATTTCTACATCATCAGAAAAGGAAATATCCATGTCCCTTCGTTGTACATTAAAAACCCCGACGGAATTTATTACTACTACAAAGGACTTAACCTGTGGGCAGCAGCAGCGTGGGTGATATCTCCTGTAATTGCGATACCCGGGTTATACCGGTCCTACCATGCCGATTCGTTATCGCAAACTGCATCCAATATTTTCTACGGTGGCTGGCCATACACGTTCATAATTGGATTCACTGCATATAGTGTGCTCGGGTTGATCTTCAAACCACCCATCTATCCTCCACAGCGTGCAGATACACCTAAAACTTGGGAGTATCTCGCGGAGACCAACGGGTTTTTCGAGGATGACGAATACATTAATGGCGTCGGCTATCCGGGAGCTATAGATGATGGAAAAGATGCGGAGGACGATTGCTCCGACGAAAAATGCGAGCTGAGGGTTATTCAAAGCGCAGTTTCTATTTCGCAAGGTTAAATCTAATACTTATTTTATCAATACTAATCTAAACTCACAAGTGACTATCTCTTTTGGCTCCAAATTTCAAATCTTCTTCGGTAGAAAGTTCCTGCTGGTTGTAGTTCCGCTTCGTCTTGATGCCCTCCCTGAGTCCATTCGGATCTTTCTCTTTACCAGAGATAGATCTCCACTTGAACAATTTTGTATAGAAGTTTTCACGGCCTTCGATCTTGTCAACCAAGAACTGTCCCAAAACAGGTAGCATCTTGAATGCATGTCCTGATCCACCGCACGCAACAAACAAACCCTTTTTATTTGGGACAAAGTCATAAATGTAGTCGTTGTCAATAGTATCAGTATACCATAGAACTCGGCTTTGATACTCGAGTTTGGCCTCGTACAAGTCTGGGAAGAAGATCTTCAGCCATTCATCAACTTGACGAACAATGTGACGGGTAAGCATGGTGGTAGGTGGATCACTATTCGAAGTCTTTGGAATAGACACAACCCTACCATTTTCTAATTTGACCGGATTTGTGTACTTGGTTTGTCTCACAATCATCTTCATGTATCCTTCTGGCTCCATGACTGGGAACATGAACAGCCCACCCATGTAATCTTTTTCTCTTGAATGACCGGTCTTCCAACCAAACATTGGAAACACTTTACTGTTGTACTTTGCTCTCAAGTCTTTGCGGTTTTCAGGAATCTTAAAAATAATGATATTTCCCGAGGCAGCTTCGTTCATTCCATCCAGTTCTGGAACAATCAAAGTTGACCATGGACCACAGCTGACGACCGTCAAATCTGCAAAATGAGAAACATCATCCTGAGTCACAATTCCAACAACTATAGTCTTTGCTTCATCCTTGTAGATAAACTCCTTGAAAGTACCTGCTTTCTTACCGAAAACAAACTTGACACCCAGTTGTGCACATTTGTATTTAGCAAATTGACAAGCTCTTGATGCATACAGAACTCCAGAAGTAGAATCCAATGCACCAGCCAACGACTTGTACTTAGACTTCAAATCTTGGGCGAATTGCATCTTTGGACCATATCCTGCTGCTTTGGCTCTTTTGATGTCAGTGGAGTCGTTGATATCGTATCTCAAAGGAAGAATACCTTCTTTTTTGAAATTATCTCTGCTGGCCTTCTCTTCCCAGCCAAGCTGATCATCAAGCCTGAGCATTCCGCAGAGATCCAGAAGTTTCAGGCTGGTGTAATTCTTGGCTTCTTCCTCGGGGAGGTTTTCAATCTCGTTATTCCATTTTTGCCAGATATCAAAAGCCTCGAACGCTAAGTTCTGGTAATGCTTTTTCTCCGCATACTGAGCTCTGAAAACCTTATTAATGTCTGCGGAGGCGGTGTCTGCGCCCTCTAGAAGTGTATAATGATTTGAATTGAAGTCCAAGCGATCAAAAACGGTGATATTTTTGTATCCTGACTGAGCCAAATGCAGGGCATTGGAAAGGCCGAAAACACCTGCTCCGATGATGATGATTGGGGAGTCTTTCGAGATCATTGATAAAAATTTGTGGAACTTACAAGATCTAAGAGCACGAAGCGCAAATAAATACCGAGCTAGCGTGAATTATTACTTCCGACAGATCACCTAACTGAGGCTGATAAACGGAATAAAATTTCCTAATCGAGTCTTATCCGATCATGTAAGTCGAAAAGGCCGACCCGTCGCCCGATAACAATGACGCCTATCAGCTTAGCTTCAGATAAGCCGGGCATCCCTCACGGACTATATCATACAGCAAAGAGCCTGTGAACGACTCGTAAGACTTTTTTTCATGTCTGACGAAAAAGCAACGCCGATCGAGACAATCAAAGTGGACCAGGTTCTATCTCAGAAAGAGCTACGTAACGTGGATCAAGCTTTTGAGTATGCCTTAGATACAGATGGTCTGGCTCTAGACCCAGAGGTAGAGAAAAAAGTGGTTCGAAAAATTGATTGGTACATCCTCCCACTGATGTGCATGCTCATGTCTTGTCAACTCATGGACAAGTCGACAAACTCCTATGCTTCCATCACGGGTCTTCGTACAGATCTAGAGATGAGTACTCGAACTTACTCCTGGGTTGCCAGTTGCTTCTACCTTGGCTACCTTGGGTTTTGCTACCCCGCAAATATGTTACTTCAACGATTCCCGTTGTCCAAAACGCTTGGCTGCGCAGTCCTTGCCTGGGGGGTGGTTATTTGTTGCCACGGAGCTACTCAGTCCAGCTCTACATTTCTTCTTTGCAGGACCCTGTTAGGTGTGTGCGAGTCATTCATGGATCCAGCATATATGATCATGACTAGTCAATGGTACAAGAAAGATGAGCAGTATAGAAGATGTGGTTACTGGCTGGGATTCCAAGGAATCGGAACCATGTTGGGCTCTCTCATTGCGTATGGATTTTACGTCCATAAGGAGTCATATTCCACTTCTCCTTGGAGACTCTTGTATGTTGTGACAGGAGTCATTACGATCTTTTTCGGTATTATATCGCTCATACACGTTCCCGACATTCCAACCAAAGCATGGTTCTTGAACGAGCAGGAAAAAAAATATGTCGTGGAAAGAATCAGGGGTAACCAGACTGGATTTGGAAATCAACACTTTAAGCTATCTCAACTAAAGGAAGCTGCCTGTGATGTCACCTTATACTTATTCTTCTTCTACATGTTTGGATATGGAATCCCAAATGGCTCCATAGGGAACTTTGGAAGCATTTTGCTGAACGATCAATTTGGGTTCACCACTCGTCAATCGTTATTGCTTAATCTTGTGGGGAGTGGAATCGATATAATATTCCCGCTTGCATTTGCATACGTCAACTACTATTTGATCCCGAGCAGACTCGCCGTTTGTTTCTGTATCAACTCGCTAGTTTTTACAGGCCTTTGTATGCTTGCGTTTGCTTCCCCCATGGGTGCCAAATTAGCCGGATACTTTATGAGCTACCTCACTACGGCAAGCTGGGCTTGTATGAGTTCAGTTGTGTCCTCGAACGTTGCAGGACATACGAAGAAGATCACAGCCAACACTCTTTTCCTGATTGGATTTTCTGCGGGAAACATTATTGGCCCCCAGGCGTTTATTGGATCAGAAAAGCCGATCTATATCACCGCCAAAAGAACAATGGTTGGAACATATGTCATTTCGGCAATTGCTCCTTTGATTTTACTTGGGATCTACTACTACAGAAACAAACAAAAGGATGCGATAGCTAAGGACATCAATGGAGAGGACACTACACTTGCTTTTGGTGACTTGACAGACAAAGCAAATCCTGCTTTCAGATATATTTTGTGAAAACCTACGTACATGATTCCCGGGAACATTGTTAAAATAAAACAGACTATGTATGTAATCAATTCTTCAAGATAGGAAGGGCATCGAAAGTTTTGGTCTTTCCAGCAAAGTCCATCGACTCATTGAACTCCGACAAAGCAAACTTCTTGATTCCAGAATATTGATCGTCAATACGCAAGGTACCTGACTCGACCAGTTGGATCAATTCCTTCAGTTCTGCGCGAGTGTACATGATCTTTCCTCTGACAGAAAGGTTTTTGCCAACTGCCAAACCATAAGGAATAGACACCTCAGACCATATGAATCCAGAGAGAACAACTCTGCCACCAAATCCAAGTGCATGGAGTGCAGTTTTGAAGTAAATTGCACTAGAGAGATTAGATGGAGTAAAATCCATGTAAGCATTTAATGGTCCGAATTTGGTCAAAGCCTTGACGTCTTCATCTTGGTTACCAGACAGAGCAACGGCATGGACATTTTTGAACTTTTTTGCGAGTGGAGCAACTGATGATTCGCTTCTTCCAACAGCAAGAACACGTGCACCCAGAGCAGATGCCAAAGCAACTGCGGCACTCGAAAATGCGCCCGAGGAAGGAGCAATTGCAATTGTCTCACCTGGCTTCAAACCGACGGCCTTCAATCCACCAAACGCAACAGCCAGACGACTGAGGTTGTTCAAGTAGTCATGATCAAAATTGATTGCAGACTCGTTAATTGGGTAGACGTTTTCAACGTCAACCAAAGCATACTCTGCAGAGTAACCGCTTCTCTTGTGGAAAACAGCAGAAAGATCTTTAGACTGAGGAGATGGTGCATCAAAAATGGTCTTAACCAGGAAGTGGCTAGGATCATCCCTGGAAGTAACCATTGAATCCATAAAAACCAGTTGTCCTGGTTTGTAAGTATCGCTCTTGATAATTCTGCCCACACCTGCGGTACCAATCACGAACGGAGGTGGCAAGGAGAACATTGGGTTTCTTGGCTTCGAGAAGATAGGCCTCATATCTCCATTAACCAAAGAAGATTCGATCTTAACAAGCGCAGTACCTGTTTGGACCTCTGGGATTGGCAAGGTTTGCAATTCAACCTCATGTTCGTATTGTGGAAGCACCACGGCTTTGTAAGTGGATGGGAGACTCATTGATGTTCTAATTGATGATAATTAGGGGTGCTGAAAGTGTCAATTTATACTATTCTTCAACCCCCGAGTATAACGTAATAAACTTATGCAGTCGAAAAGTTAAATCCTTAATTTTTTTCTTAATGCCGAATTCCGTGTCTCTTAATTCCAGGCCCACTTTTTAAGTCCAGCTCCGTAAAAATTCGGTTACGTAATCTCATAATTTGTATAGTAAATTTGAAATTTACTACACAATTTTTGCATGGAGCCCGAACCCCATTGCTTCTAGAAGAGAATTTGAGGGCCAATTTCGGTGTCGCTAATCATGCCCGTGAGCAGTTTAATGATTAGTTCCGTTAACTACATGCGTATTGGATCAATTACGCCGAGTTTCCACACTCAATTATAATGGCTCATTGGTTAAGAGCGAGTCTGCGTACGATTTACTTTACATAAGCTCGGTCTTAATGCTGCAAAAATCAGGTTCTTGTCAAAAACGGTAATACACCGAGGACAAATCACCGAGGACAAATCACCGAGCTCTGGTCTTATCGGTCAGGAACCTTTAGATGGGGTTGATTGACTCTCTGTCTGAACTCACGCGGCCTCAGTTTCTCAATAGACTACGGGAGTTGTCTACTCCACTCAGTCCCTTTTTTGGAAATACATTTTTTGATCTGGTTACGTAATCACGCTAGAATGGAATATCCATTGTATCATCTGCTCTGATAAAGCGGCCGGACTTGGACGGAGCAAAGAAAGCTCTAATGATGTTTCCCGCACTGGTCTCTGGGCGAATAGTCCCCTGCCGGAGCATTGCCTTCAGCTGCTCGTTACCGTTTGCAATGGTGTCCATGGACTCCTCACCCATGTCCGTAGCGACCATTCCGGGGTGAATCGCAAGGAAAGTGATCTCAGGAATCTCCTCGCTGAGCTTCTTAACAGCAAAATTGAGAGCAGCCTTGGATGCACCGTAGGCACTCGTTGGAATAGGGAGGAAGCCCTGGATCGAACCGGCGGCAGAGGAGATGAACACGGCCTTTGCACCGGCTGCGAGCAGCGGCTGAATTTGCTGGAACACCATGACAGGGCCAAGTGCATTGGTAGTGAAGTGCTCAAGCCACAGCTGTCTAGGGGTTTGGGCGACAGGCAGGAAACTGCGAGCAATACCAGCGTTGAGAATGGCAACGTCGATGGTGACGCCAGCCAGCTGGCCTGGCAATTTCTCAATCGAATCCTGGTCGTTCACATCAAGTACAACAGTCTTGACATTTTTTTCTTTGGCGAGCTCGAGGAGTTCTGGGGCAGAGGAACGGTAGGATGCGATAACGGTGTTGTTCTTGTCGCTGCTAAGTTGCTTGGTGAGCTCGAGGCCGATACCTCTGGAGGCGCCAGCAATGAAGTAGGTAGTCATTGGCTACCAGGAAAGCTTTAGAGTCCATATTTATAGTACTTTCAGATCAGGGTGCCCAGAAAATCTATCATCCGGGATACGGCTGAGATTTGTAAGCTGCACCGAAGGAAACCTTATCTAGCTGCAATTGCTAACGACACCCGTGCACCGAAATATTTCTGCTTACCAAGCACCGTGATGGGAAAGCTGCACAACTAGCACAGGCAATAACAACACTAGTAGCACCTCGTGCTTGCACCATACTAAGCAGGATCTGCTTGAATCTATTGAGTCACTATTATGGTTGCAACTCTCAGTTACGCTCACCCCGCGGACTTGGCCAATGAGTCAGTCTTGAAATCTGACTCACGGCCTCGGTGCGCCACGCGCCCAGGCGGCTCACCGCATAATATAAATAAATGAATACGCGCTCGCAGTCTCCTCCACAATGTCTTCCCCTGCGTCTCCTGACGTGCTGGAGCACAGCCCACTCTTGAAGATTGAAACCACGCCGCCAGACTCATCTGTGCGTGCCGAGCTTGCCTACCTTGTGCGCAACGCGCTGCCGACGCTGCTGGTGTTCCAGGTGCAGTTTGCGCTGCTCATGGCCGCGCCACTCTACTTTGCCGGCCGCCAGAGCACCGCCGTGTTCTCTGCTGCATCGCTGGCACTGACGTTCTACTACGTGTCGGGCCCTGTCGTGGTGTTTGGCTTTTGTACAGCCATGGACACGCTGTGCGCGACTGCGTATGGCGCACGCGACTATACGGCCGTTGGGCGACACTACCAGCAGTGCACGCTGGTGTTGCTTGCGGGCTGCGTGCCTGTCGGATTACTGTGGGCGTTCCCGCAGCGGGCACTGATAGGTGTGGAAGCGGACCTGCGCGCCGATGCTGCTGCGTTCCTGCGCGTGCTGGTTTTTGCTGCACCAGCCGTCGTGTTGTTCGAGACGTCTAAACGGTTCCTCCAAACACAGGGCCGCTACGCTGCCCCAACGTATGCACTGCTCGCTGCCTTGGGCCCGGCTCTGCTGCTGCACTATGCCGGCCGCAACGCTCCACTGGGTGCTGCATGGGCCCTTGTGGGTACCTATTGGCTGCTGGCTGCGTGTATAGCTGTGCAGCTGTACCGACACCCGGAGTGCTGGACGCCGCTGTCGTGGGAAGTGTTGCACGACGTGGGCCCGTTATTGGCCCTTGGGGGCCCTGGCATCATCATGGTGCTAGCAGAGAGCTTTGCGTTCCGTGTGATCACGTTTTTGTCCGCACAGTTCGGCGAGGCGTCTCTGGCTGCACAAACAATAGTGACCACGATCTCGTCGTTCTCGTTCCAGCTGGCGTTCTCGATTGGTATCTGCAGTTCTGTGAGGCTGGCGAACTACGTGGGCCAGCGGTCTCAAAACTACTTAGTGGTCGTGCGGGCAGCATCCATTGTTGCCGCTTTCCTGTCGCTGTCCAACTGTCTGCTCATGCTGACTCTGCGCAAATGGCTGCCTCTGATTTTCACTAGCGACCCTGAGGTGATTGCCGAGGCACGGAAGCTGTTCGTAGTAGTTGCGCTCAACGAGCTTGGCGACACGGGGAATGCGATTTTTTCGTGTCTGCTGCGTGGCCAGGGACGGCAGAGAGTGTGCTCTGTGCTGAATCTGTGTGCGTACTACATCCTGGCAGTGCCGTTAGAGCTGCTGTTTGCATTTGGGATGGGGTGTGGTGCGCTTGGACTGTGGTACGGCGTGGTTATCGGGGTGTGCACGATGGCGGCAGCGGAGGCTGTGCTAGTTCACCGAACTGACTGGCAGAGGGTGCTTAGAGAGAGATGGGAAGTAGCCAGTCGCTAACGAATGAATTTGATGAATAAAGAATAGACAGTAGAACAAAAGTAGGTCTTAGTATGGTATACTACGACAAACAAATGTGATGTGAAGCGGATGGTGAATGAGTTGTTGAGGAAATGGCTGGTATATTGGAAATTAGTCTTGATTTGGACCATTTCATGAAAATTTATCTTGGTGTGGATCAACCTGGCAGTAAGATTCCTGGTGTACATCATACCATAGGGATCAGTTTGCAAGCCGAAGCGAATATATAACTATTGTAATTGTTTTCAATAATACAATGGCGAGATCTCGCCCTTCTCTTACAAGAGCTTGAAATATCTGGAATAAAAGCCAAAGAGATCATGATCAATGATGTTAAGATTCGTACCAATTGAAACTCAAAAAGTACACAGATTTGCTTAAGGATTTATAGCGGTAATGGGAATTTTCCATGCGAGGAAATGACTAAATCATTTGAGCGTCCATTTCCAACTTTGACAAAATGTGCTGTTTGCTGCAAAGAGATGAACAATTATTCGTCACCGAAAGTTGGCGATCAAAATACCAGCGTCATAACCGAAGAAAATTATAGAACATTCATCAAGTATCTAAAAGGTTGACTTCATAATCCCTTCTACAGACGTACTACCTCTGCAGTAATTTGTATTGAAAGCGGTACTGTGAATCCATATTATTGAGCTTATATTTTTATTCCAATATCCAATATCAGCTATGCTATTACTAGCCCCTCCTCAAAATCCCCTGTTTAAAATTAACAATACTTTGCTTGATTGTTTTTGGCAGAGATGGTCATGTGATGTCATGTGATGCCAACTTTTGCGCTACATATTACCTGTACCAGCCACATACCAGCCACATTGCCACACCTTACACCACCCTTCTCAGTTCCCTCTTTGGTCTAATTTAAAATCTAATCAATAGTTCTTGTCTTCACAAATGGACAAGAAGTCGAATTTATCACAGAATCAGCCAATCCAGCGGGACATGTCTGGCCAACATAGCCCTGTTCCTTCCACTCCGAGTCTATTTCACAAGGCGCGTCATTCAATCCTGTTTTCCAGGCACCATTAAGAGATTATAATCATTTTGGCGATGTAACCTTGATTGTTTCCTCCTCTCACTCAGATCATGATGGTCCTGTTTTATTTGGTGATTCCACTTTTAGAAGCAGAAGTTCTGAGAATGATGAACAGAACTACCACGATAATCCCGAATCTGTACCCAATCACAACAAGTAAAGGTGACGCGTCAGATCGCGAGATAGATGGCCGTGTTAACCGGCGAACGCAAGCCATTTTCGGGATCGGTGATGGAGCACCAAAACTCAAAGCTGCTACAAAGGTTAAGTCAATTTCTCAGCGGTATGCGATGACGCGCAAGCTACTCGCTGAGCTAAAAAAGAGAACTCCTCATAATTATGAACAGAAGAATATTCCTAGAGTATTCTAACATCCGACCTGGCTTGCAACGCTACGCAACTCTAATATGATCAAGTTATTCCATACGCGTTATCATGACACTGAATTGGAGAAGGCGATGCCGGATGAAATTTACGATTGTCCTTCGACAGCTGACAACCCGTATGAGGCTGTGACGTATGCTGAATGTGTACGATGCAGACACACCTTTCGATTCCATGGACACTACAATGCACGCAAAGATACAAACATAGGAAACCACTGTAGGAACCATCCTTCTGAGGTTCCAAGACCCTCTTCTCAGCGTACTATTGAGTTTGACTTTTTTGGGAAAGGAGAACCATTTGAACATCTTGGGCGTATCTTTGGCAACAAAGAGGAGAGAATGCGGTATGACCTGCTTATGTATTTCTGGAAAGATTCTATCCCGTTTAGAAAGGCAGATTCTCCAGATTTCATTTCGTTTGTTGCTTCATTTTACCAGCTCGTCGTTCAAGAGACTACAAGTGATTCTCGCATAACAGGTTCAAGACAAGAAGCTGTCAAATTTTGTTTCAAATACCTCCGGAAAAGAAAATTGATCTCGAAAATGGTTGACAGATCTTATGATTGCATGAAAGAAGGAATCGTTGCTCCCAAAGAGGAGATGATTCTACCGAAACACATATAGATGGTGGCAGCCAGGAAAATGGGGGACAAGTAGACCTCGACGGACTGGCCGACGCTTCCAGCAACAATTCTAGCGTAGCCGACCACCTCGAGAATGCCTCCGATGATGAACCAGCACATGTACCACGTACGGGTGTAGATGGACATGCCCAGGTGGAGCAGGGTGACGACGAGGAAGGAGAATAGGTAGAACCACGCGCCGGCTTTGGGAGTAACGAAGAGAGAAGTAGAGTACTGCATTAGTTCGATGGAAGGTGAGCTGCTACGAAATTTATAGTGCTTGCTACCAGGACCCTGTGCCCAGAGTTGGCGGCATAAGGTTTAGGGCTGTGGAAATTTTTTTGAGGCGGAGCCTGCGACGATGAGAACAAAGGGTGAAATTCAATGGCTGTGAATACCTGCGGCAATATATATTGGCGGAGCTTCACGGATCAGGAAAGTACGTTTTCATTAGTGGTGGTGGTGCCAAGAGACGCGGCTGGGCATCAATTGCGGCGAAGCAGAAGAGTGAGGTTGAAGTTAAAATTTCATTAACCTCGAGATCTCATGGTTTTTCAGTACATGCTTTAGGCATATTTGTGTGAGAAAGAGAAATTGAGGAGTATAGTATCCAGCGCTGGCCACTGGCCTCCCAGGTGACAACCAACCTGGGATGCCACTCTTCAAAAGTTGAAGACCGAGCAATCTTCTCAAGTAATATATCATTCCAGCATTCACGTTGCAGATTACAAATACGCAGGTCACTTGTTTCACCTCCTACCCCATTATTACTAGCTAAACTTATAAATCACCTTTTTGTGTGCGGCTCCAATCTGGCTTTTGGACACAAAGAAAGAAATGTGTAATATAATAGGAGGTCAGCAGCACACTCCTTGGTACGGGAAACGCGATTTGGCCGGCAAAAGAGGTTTGCTTTCCAAGCTCACAACTGTGCAGCTGTGCACTCTTATAAACTGGTTCGCACATATACGGCTCTAGGCACGCTGTCTAGGGGAAACAAGAGTTACAAGATTGTGGCATACGTACAGATATTACTGGGGTTTGGTCGCAACAACCTGAGTGTGAGCGGCGGTACCACGACGATCGCGAGCTTGCAGAAAGGCCTGAACAACGAAGACGCGACTGCAAAATGGGTAATCTCGATGTAAGCTCTTACTTTCGGCTTGTTTATCATTCTGATTGAGACCCTGGCAGTGCCGTTAGATCTGCTGTTTGAACTGTGGTGCTGCATGGTTATCCAAGTGGGCACGATGGCAGCAGTCGAGGCTCTGCTGGTTCACTAAACTGAGGTGCCGAGATAGAGAGTCGGAAAGCGGTCGGAACTGAGTCGCCAAAATAAACGTGGAGACTATTTATAGATGGAGCGTACATTTGGCTGGTTGGACCGTGGCCAGTAATCTATACAAACTAGAAATCCCAGTCAACCTCTATAGGTCGTTACGAAACTCGCTTTGCATCTCGACGTGAACCGGTTCTGTGGTTTGTTTGTCCTTGCGGACAAACGCCAGTGGAGGGTAGATGAGTGTCAGCACTAATGTGGCCAGAAACATCGGTGCTGCGTCGAGACAGTAAGTGTAGACGGTATGGAAAAAGATATAGCCCAGTCCTTGTGCGTACTCGACAACACGGAAGATGATTCTGACAAAGAACAGGAAAACCACAACGTAGTTGGCTTTGAAGTACGCCGGCCACTGTATCCTGGCATTGTGGACTCTGGGGTATCCAGAAATTACCAGTCTCCGATGGACGACGATAGCGTTGGCCAGGAAGAAGCTGAACAGCAGGAGCTGCAAAACGAAACTAATGATAGCTATGACCTTGCCGGTTGTGTGCAGACTGTCACTCATGTACTGTAGCACGATTCCGGCACATTGCGACGCAAAGCAGAGCACGTCGCCGACAACGAAAACCGCAGTTAACCACCTGCCGGAAATCAGGGCGAGATTGTTCGCATCCAGGGACGATACCACCCGGCCAAAGCACATGTACACGGAGGCTGCCATGAAGATTGGGGCGAGATACACCTCGATCTGCTGGCCAGAGTTGCCTGTCGACATTCGAAAGTAGCCCACCACTTCCAAAATTCCTCCGATCAGGAACCAGCACATGAACCAGGTGCGTGTGTACACTGCTAGAATTGAGTGGACGATTGTAGTGATTAGGAACCCGATTTTAAAGACCCACGCCCCCGCCGTGGGTGTAACAAATACATCGCTCGACGCCATAGTCGCGGACAAAAATGGCCGTCCAATGTGTTATATACTTCAGATTTGAGCTTTATTTTTAGGTCGCTGTTCAATCAGGGCTCTTTTTATTCACCGGCAGGTAGAGAAGATGTAGTCCAACGAGGCTTTTCCCTGCGCAAAGCCTTGTTCTTTGTTCTCATGCTAGTAATTGATAAGCTTCACACAATGAAACAGAAAACCTTGTTATTTTTAGACTCTTAAAAATGAACCATACATTTAGAGCATGAAAGCATTTTCAAGAAAATAGCATGTAGATACCGGAACTGGCCAGCACATTCTGCTATCAAGAAGGACCGAGAATCACCGACTGCATGCATTCCTAATATGTGCTTTCTTCTAGGGGTATCCAACGACTCAGTAATCGAGCAAGGCAAGTGAAGCTGCAAAAGATATTTGATTGTAATAGATCATCTAGACGGAGAAGATGGTTTGGTTGCGATGTATCAACTTATTCTCTATTGGTTGAGACGTCCACAGTCGCGAACTTGGTCAATTTTGAAAGTAGTGACCGTGGGTACAGGTGCTTCAAGGGAACACATATCTAATTTGTAACTTGCAAACTTCAGCCCACATTTTTCAAGCTATATTTGGAAACTCAAAATTTCCCACTGCAAGGTACCACGCAACAGAAAAAAAAAGAAATTCAAGTTTAGTGGATAAGCTTCGAATAATAATTGTCAGGTACACGCTCCTGGATTTTTTGACAAAAATAAGGTTTTGGAGTGCATAATAAGGGCCAAATCTTGAAAAATTCGGTTATTTTGACCTGTAGATTGGTGTTTTGTGGCCAAAGCCGTTAACATGGACTGTCTGACATTATTCTGCTAGGCCTCGTTGTGGGGAGTTGAAGTCCGTGGAATTGCGTCGAATTTGAGCATATTTACGTTGGTTTTACCAAGATAGTACTCAACACCGAGGTGATCCGATCAGGAATTACTTTATGATTGAGACATCTATTGTTAGCGTGCTTTCGGAACTCGGAGCCATACTTTTGGATACAACCATTATCTCCATGGTATAAATTCAATGAGCTACGGCTGCTTCTCTTGCCATGAATCGGAAATTAGCAACGTATTTTCTTATCCTCGTTGGGCTCACGTTGGACAATTTGAGTTTGAGTGCTGCCTTCACCATTACGGAGAGTCTACAGCACAAACTCCGCGAGGACTATGCTACAGTCTTTGTCTCCTGGGTGATCTCGGCGTACGCCCTGACTCTTGGCTTTTTCATTATTTTGCTTGGTAAACTGGGAGACATCGTTGGACTTCACAAAGTTTATATTGCTGGCCTTTTTGCTGATGAGTGTTACCGCACTAATGAGCGCTCTCATCCCTGAAGCGATCCCGTTAATTATTGTGCGTGCTGTCCAAGGAATCGCCGCTGCAGCGCTCATCCCAACGGGAATAGCCATAACTGCATCCTACTTCCAGGGAGATAGCTTGCAGTCGGCTATAAGGCTACTGATGCTTGTTCTCACTGCATCTTCCGCCTTGGGTACTGTTCTTGGGGGGCGCGTTTTCTTCTACTGCAATAGGCTACAAGGGCTTTTTTTACCTCAACTTTGCGGTGGCAGCGGTGTGTGCATTGGCCCTCTGTTTCCTAGTCGTACCCATTGAGCCATCCGCATTAAGGGGCCTGAGAGATCTATATTACGGAGGGGCCTTTTTCCTTTCTTCGGGAATGTTACTGATAATTGTGGGATTCACAGAGGCAGGATCTGGATGGAACTCCCCCAAAGTATACATACTGATTCCGCTTGGTGGGGCAATTATCATTGGGGTCACTGTATATGAGATCTGTTACATTGAGACATATCAGCACAGATATCAGTCATCTTCCGAATCGAGGTCAAGGCTTTTGGTGTTATTCGCTGCTGAGTTGAACAATGTCCGGATGTTTGTGATATCGTGTTTTGGCAGCTTCTTTCATTACTGTGCGTATACCTGCACCCAACTTGCTTTGGTCGCGTATCACCGCTACTGCGATTATGACAACCCGCTGATTGCAGCTCTCCGCATTTTTCCTATAGTTGTGGGAATTGTGTGCGGTAGCCTCATTTGGAGACCTGCCTTTGTCAAAAAGGTAGAGGATCGCCTTTTGATTATGATATCGGTTCTGATCTGTCTTGGCGGCTCAGTCGGGGCTTCCTTCTTCCGACCCGGTGGGTACTGGCGGTACGAGCTGGTGAGTCTGCTTCTTCTCGGCGCGTCGACGAACGTC